CTTCACCATGCGCTTCTCCCCCATCCTCCTCGGCCTGGGCCTCAGCGCCCTCGCCTCTGCCCGCTGCGGCACCCGCCCCCCATCCGACAACATCAAAGCACACCACAAGTACTTTCAAGAAAAAGAAGACCGCGAGTCCGCACGCCCACTGCCCCGCGACATCTTCGACGCCACAATCGACACCTACGTGCATGTGATCCTGACCAACAGCTCGGGGTTCAACACGACTGGTCTCCCCGCGCAAATCACCGCGCAGATCGACGTGCTGAATGAAAACTACGAGGGGACCGGGTTCCAGTTCAATCTGGTCAATGTCTCGTACACGCGCAACAACAACTGGCAGGTGGTTACGGATGGGACGACGGCCGAATACGAGATGAAGAGCACCCTGAGGAAGGGGGATTACACGGCGTTGAATCTGTATTTCGGGACCATTGGGAATGGGATCCTTGGTTATGCGTGCGTCTCCTCTCCTCCATCCTTGGAACCCTCTCGAATCCATCGTACTAATATATTCGGCACAGTACCTTCCCCGACAACGTAACCCCGCGCGACTTCCTCCTCGACGGCGTCGTCTGCGACACGCGCACGCTTCCAGGTGGCCTGGCCCCCTACGACCTGGGCATAACCGCCGTCCACGAAGTCGGCCACTGGCTCAACCTGTTCCACACCTTCCAGCCGGGCAACAACGACCCCGAAAACCCGGGCTGCTTCGGGCACGGCGACTACATCCACGACACGCCGGCCGAGGCCTTCGCCGCGTTTGGCTGCCCGCGCGTGCGGGATACCTGCACGGGCGTGAACGAGACGAGCAACGCGTACTCGATCCCGGGCACGGACCCGATCCACAACTTTATGGATTATACGGATGATGTTTGCCTGACGCATTTCACGCCGGGGCAGGTTGTGCGCATGCAGAATTCGTGGCGGGAGGAGCGTGTTGGGTATGTTCCTGGCGTTGCGGGGCGGGGGATGAGGAAGGCCAGGCCCGGGACTGGGTTCTAGATGCACCTGGGCCGCTGAATTTTGGGTCCGAGTGAGGGTGGCGAGTGTGGGGATTCTGGACGATGGACGATAATAATGCTAATGCATGGGTGGGAGTTGAGTAATGATTCAGTTGAGCTGAGTTGTCGGGGTGGGTGATGAGATTAGCATGGTGTTGGTGTTGGTGTTGAGAGGTGGTCTTGACGACGAATCGCATTGATTGCATTGATTGCATTGGATTGGGATGTACAGTGAAATTGCCTTGCTTGACATTGACATACATAGACGAGTATACCAGATCAGATCTGCGATACATAATAGAATGAACACGAATCTTCATTATTACCTGCTGCCATCGAAATCAGAAATCTCTCTCCCATGTGATCGAAATCAAAGAAAAAAAAGTAAGATGAAAGGATTTACTCGCCCCTGACGAACCACAAACCAAACCTTCAACCACTCCAACCCACGGTACTCCGCATGGTACACCCAGGGCACAACAATGCTGCGTCCCGACCCACGGAACAAGACAATCCCAAAATTGGACCGAACAATCAGAGCGAGGAACCCCTGCCCCTGCCCCTGCCCGCGTCCCGTGGATCCGGAGCTTGGGGTGGCGATTGGCTGGCTTGGCGCGCATGAAAGGAAAGGGATTGACAGACATGTGCTTTTGGCTTTTGGCTTTAGAGTTGGACAACGCGGTGCAGTGCAGTGCACAGAGTTGTGGGGGACATGATCGCGTCGGTCGCCGGGCGATGTTGCAATTGCGGGCTTGGAGTCGTGGGGGTTGTTTGGATGGCGATTTCTCATTTTACTTTCCAAGAGGATAGCGAGAGGAGCGTGTCTGTCTGTGTTCAGGAGTCGGAGAACAAGATCCTGACGAGAAGAATCATTGGATAGACCCTGTCACACAATTTTGCCGCCGTAGCAGCCGTCTTACTGTCGTAGTCGTACCAACACGACGCCTTCCCTTGCGTTTCCTCCAATACTCAATGAGCCAGCTGTCGCATCGGCGACACGCTGTATGCCCCGTCAGCAAGCGCGACAGGGATCTTGAGATCCAGACCGAGCGAGGTCGCACATGCAACGCCAACGGCGTACAGGCGTCGCGTCGGGGTCGGGTAGTACAGGTAGTACAGCATCATCAGCCATTAGCATTATCTATTATTCTAGCATCTAAGCTGTATCCCCTCCCCTAGTAACGCTCGGAGTCTTCACGTGTTGAACTTGAGAATACTCTCCGCAGCCGCCAAAATGGCCTCTTCATTCGAAAAGTGACTCTCCCACCCCAGCAACTCTCTGGCTTTATGCCCACTGATGACCCTGTGCACCCCGAGATCCGCCAAGAGCAGTCGCGCAACGGGCATGAACACGCCGACGCCGCGAACAAGCATATCGGGCAGAACAAGCGCGGGGACTTTCTTCGCCTTGTCGCCGAGGTTCTTCTTTAGGATTTTTGCGATATCCTCCATCCAGAGACTGCCCTCGCCGATGCAGATGAAGCGCTCTCCTGGGGCGGAGGCGTGCGTCATGGCGAGGACGTGGAGTTCGGCGCAGTCGCGCACGTCGACGACGCCGTATTGTACGCGGGGTATACCGGGGGCATTCCCGTCTAGGAATTCCGATATCGAGCGGAATGTCGTCGAGTCTTCGCGGCCGAGTGCGGGGCCGTAGATGTTGACGGGGTTGATCACGACGAGTTCCATGCCCGACGCCGATCCAGACGCAGAGCCAGAGCCAGAGCCTGACGGTGATTTCGATCCTGATCCCGAACGCGAATTCAACCCGGATTCACTCTCCACAATCTCCCACGCCGCGCGCTCAGCCAGCGTCTTGCTCTTCGCGTACGCAGGCACAATCCGCGGTTTACTCAGATCCGTCCAGTCATCCTCTATAATCGGCACAGCCGAATCCCGTCCAACATGCCGCGCGCCATACGCAATCGCCGCAAACGAACTCGTGAGCACGACGCGCTTCACACCCGCATCGCGCGCCGCGCGCATCACCCTCTTCGTCCCCTCGACGGCCGGAATAATCAAATCGTATTCATCTTTCGGGGGGTGCGCGGGGAACGGGCTTGCGATGTGCTGGACGTAGCTTACGTCCTTTAGGGCGGTTGTCCAGCCGTCGTTGGAGGAGAGGTCTGCGTGTGTGAATTCGATGGCTGATATTTGGGACTCGGGGATGCCGGCTTCGAGGAGGGAGGATTTGATCTCGTCGATTCGCGAGGGCGTGCGGAGGGTTGTGCGGATTCGGTAGGGGGTTGGGCTGCGCAGGAGGGTTGCTATTACCCATTTTGCTAGGAAGCCGGTGCCGCCGGTTACCAGGACGAGGGGCGGTTTGTCTGTTGTTGCTGTTGACGTTGTGGGTGAGTGGGCGGTTGCGGGTGCGGAGGGGATTTGTGAGGGATCATCCTCGGGGGTCGCACTCGGAGACTTGGAGCGAGAGGGCGGAGGGGATGGATCGCGAGAAGGGGACGTCGACTCGACCATGATGGATGTGTGTGGCGTATATCGTCAACCGAGTGTGACTGTCGAGGCGTACAGCATGCAGCGTGCTTACCAGTCACAGCAGAACATGAATCACCGGGTGCACCATGTTATAAGCACCTCAAGGAATGCAAATGCCAGCAAATCGAGACTCAGTCCCCAACAGGGCGGGATCGGGCGGCGGGACGAGAATCCTGATCCATTTCGAGGGTGGATCATGCAATCAAGCACAAACCATCCGGCATCCGGCAATGAAATTGTCAGCCAGCACTTGGTCCAACTGGGAAGGAAGATTGAGAGCGCGGGCTGATGCGGTGTGATAAGAAATTTCGAGGTTGACAAATCTTGTGCTGCGACTCCACACGAGCAGCTTTGATCCCTTTTAGCTCCAGTTAGCCTCGGCTTAGGGGCCCAATCTAGACTGGATTGGGCATGGGCTGTCGAATCGTTGTTTGATCTTGACAAATCGCCAGGTTAGGCTAAGCTTCGTAGGGTCTTGACTCTTCAGTCTTGTCCATTGAGGCTGGGAGGGCCTGCTCAAGCTCGCTTTCTCTGTGCCGCAATGCCAGCAACCTTTGGACTGCTTGTGCGAGTATCAAAAGTAGTCCATCAAGATCATTATGAGCTACATTAGCTATTCAATCTCCAAATATCTGCCTCAGTAATCAGTATGAGATCTGTGCACAGCTTGAGTCAGTGTACCTTCAGGGGAAGGGAAGTAGCTGAGTTTCGTCACCGCGACTGATCTCTGTCAGTGGTACCTGCCCCAATCGATGAGCCTCTTTTTGCGATCATGCTCTTCTCTCGACAATGAACTAGGGTGTTACAGGACTCTTGGACACCGCATGTTGGGCTGCCGGCCATAGCTTGCATCTGCGAAATTATAACCTCGAATAGAGTGAGGTCTCTTATATTTACTGGCTTAACTTGAATTTATGGGTCTCTTGATGTAATACAATAAACCCGGACGGACATACTGCGATGTTAATAATACAAATATATAATGTATACGCGTTTTGCTGCAGGGTGGGGATTTCCCATATAGACGAGATTGGTCACGCCTATTGATCTAGAAAGGAACCGTTAGAGACGGAGATCTCAGGAAACAATTAATTGAAGGATGAGAGAATGATATGAGACAGATTGTTATGCCGCCAGAGCTCTCTCTGAATGTGAATAAAGAGACGTGGTTTCCATAATCAACACTCCATGTGTGAGCAGGCTGCGGGTTTTCCGTTTCTGTAGTAAAAATAAATGTTCATGGTGTCGGGCTGGCGGGAGCACGCTCTTTCATGGCCTTGCGGTCCGGTGAAGCAAGCTCGCTGCAGTTAATGCCGAGTATCTGCATTAAATGAGCTTTTTCTTTCTCCGATGAGGGTTGGTTCCTGTACCAAGGGGTCAGCAGAGTTGGCCATGGCAGTCTCTTCTCAACTTACATGGGGTCAATGCTGAAGAGGGATAGTCTGTTGTTGGAAGTCTCTACCTATGATTGACCTTGGCCCGTCCATTTATGAAACATGCGGGATATTTGTTGAGAGGTATGTGGAAGCTTCCACGATCTTTTCGGTAGACCATTTTTGGATAAGTCTTGGGACCCTTCTTCATGCCCAAAAACTAGTACTCCTTAGTCTTGTCACACCGAGATAGGTAGGTGGGCAGTGACTTACGGTATTGCGAAGCCGACTTGCGGAGTTTGGCATGAGGCGGTAACAGCTTCGTTGAACTCCCACTCGAAGGGTCAGGTGTATTTCTCACAGCAGACAAGAACAACTTTGCATACCCTGCAGCAGTAGCCGATGCGTACTCTTGCCATATCTTGTTCTTGTGAGAATCGGCATAATCACAAATCCCACGAATAGCGAGGAATGGAACCGTTTCCATGACACCAGCGGCTTCCATTTCGACGCAAAGGAATCCTCGTTCTGCGGCCATCCGGTCCCGAATCCTAGCATCCTTCATGACGGTATTCCCCGACGCAACCAGGCCGTAATGTATTACAGGATGGGTGTGAGTTCGAGATCCCCTAATGTGCACAGGGCCGTCACACTTCTCGCAGTCCTCAAATGTGGGATGGTGAAGATAATCTGAGGAAAATAGCTGATCCTTCTCTTTGCCTGGATATCGATACTCCGGTCTCCGTTTTCCGATCTGGTCAATGTACTTCTGGAGTATGACCGGGGAGCCATCAGGATCTCCTTGCAAGATGGCCATGGCTGTGGTCAAAAAGCGAGGCGGCCGGTGTAAACGGCCAATTGCCTCGAAGGTGCCATTTCCAAGTGCCTTGCCCAAGTCATATTGAATGACTCCAGTCTGGCTAACAACAACATCTCCAAGACGAATATCATTCTTCGACGAAGGCATTCCACCTCCAATCCCCACAAGAAGGCAAAACTTCACCGGAAACGTCCGAATCATATGGGAAACAACATCCGCAGCAGAATTGGTGCCGTACACGCCACAGGGGAGGCAGGCAGCAACTACGTTATGTTCACCCATGCGCCCAAGGGCATAGTGGTTGGTATCCTCCGGAGGAATTTGAACATTTGCGTGTCGCTCGTCGAATAAAGCACGGACGGCTAAGAGCTCTTTAGGTAGCGTACAGACAATCCCGGCTCTGTAGTTGTGGACTGTGAAAGGTTCGGAGTCTGTGCTCGGTGACTTAGTGCGACTGACAGACCCAGGCGGGCCTATACTCTGCCCAATCCCACTGTCGTGGAATTGGGTACCAGAATCTTCGGAAGATCCGAGTTCCCCTTCTAGATCCTCGGTGACCGGCCAGACTGGCTTTAGAGATGCATCATAACCGAATATTATAGCACCACGACTATTCAGTGGAACTGAAGTTATCGGAAGCATGTCTGTAGGAAACGACGGAAACGACACTGGAAGCAGGATCTGGACTGGGTCAAAACAGTTCCCGAGGGCCCTGCCTTCGCACGCGCATCCTGCGATGACCTTGTTCGGGTTATGCCACATAACGTTTTCGCTGACTCTTCGAGGCTGGGCCTTCTGATCTCCGTGCAGATCGATAAGCTTCAACAGATCAGCCGCACAGGCAGCGAGGTAGTAATTATTCTTCGGTAGGACCGTCCACTGACCGCATGGGGTAGCTGCCTCAGGTGCTGGTTTGATGATATCGCCGAATCCGCGACCGAACAACGAGACGGCATGGATATCCCTGGCAAAATCGACCCAACCCGGGTTCTTTAGCACTGCTACCCGAAGGTGGCACTGGTCCTGTTCTGAGGCTAGATCTTTGAAGTCCCAGCCCTCGAGTTCGTTTCGTGGTCGAACCCCACTTGTCTCAATGACCCCAGTCTGGTAGTCTAGTATTTGTTCCAGGGAATTGTAGACGCTTTCAACCCTGTCCTCGAGGTGTAGATACCCACTCGCCTTTTCGTAAAGCTTGAGCTTCCTATTTGCAGGGTCAAGAAGTATCTTGACGGCAGAGGAAGGATGATATCGCTCGAGTGCTTCCACCAGGTCCTCCGCTCTGAACAGAAATACGTCCTCAAATTCACTGTGCATATCGTACTTGAGTGATGCACGAACAAGATGCAAAAGGGCACTTGTACCGTTCACCAGCCACCCGCGCTTTTCTTCATCATCCCACATGACGAGGAACCTGGTAGAGATCCATCTAAGCTTGAGAATGTATCCGTTGTGGCGAGATATGTGTAGTGGAATGTCTTTGAACCCGATGGCATATTTACTACCATCTGTAACTATTAATCCTGCATGTAGAGTTGCTCTTTTGACAGCGCCGCTGGCAAGCGGCTGCGGAAGCCCTGATCTGCTGATGTGATAATGGGCGTCGGTTGCACCTGTATAATGATGTGTGTCAATATCTATCAAGGATTCCATTGATTTGTTGATTGTAATTACCTGCGAATGTTCTAGCCTCGGAGCACCAACCCACAATGTGTCGAGCAAGTTTCAGATCTTGAATTCTGATATTTTCCGCTTGTGGCACTTTGCTCTTGTAGTACGAAATTCTATTGCCAACCATATCAAAGAGTAAGTGCCAAGTTATCATATCGCCTTCGGCCTTGGTAGGAATAAGTAACGTTGAGAACCCTTTTATGTAAATGCTACTGCCAAGAGCATTCACACGATGAGTCTGTGCGAGCTCTGCCATCATGTCTAAGGAAATTTCAAGACCTGCGTTCGACTCGGACCGTTTTTGTATTGGGTATCCTTTGACAATAGTCGGGTTTCTGAACAGGTTGTGCCAACATTGGCCGTTTGACACGCTTTTAAACTCAATCAACGCCGTATGATAACTTATCCTGCATGTCAGAGGACGGGAACCAGCTCCTGGGGTAACCTGGCTACCGTGACCTATACCCAAATCACTGATAAATGGGGTACAAAGGGCTGTCCTGTAAGTGTGTGAGGATACCCGAAGTGCGGCCCCAATCCATGCCAGCTGCTCACCGATCTCGGTAATAGAACGCCCAGTTCCAGAGGCCTCGGCTACAAACGTCGTTTCGTGAAGCCAAGCAGTTACTCTTGTTTTATCGAGGGAGACCCCTACTCGTCCGACGTCAGATCAACACTAAGCATATGGGGCTTCGAGCACCAACATGTCTCCCGAGATCCAGGTGAGCTTCGAAGAACTCTTCTTATCAACTCAAGCAAACAACCCCCAGCTGATGACCAAGTTTGTTGGAAATACTGTTCACAGGTCACCGCCTGAGCATCCGTCTCGGAACCGGTTAGGGTAATGACTCTTCCCAGTATCTCTTCTGCTTTTCTTTCGTAATTCTGCTGAACGAAAAACGCGTGGGGATCCCACTCAATGGTGAAGGTCACTGTATAAGTCTCCGATGCGTGCCTTTGACTCACTCTGTGAGCTATTGGGAAGCATTCCATCAGCGTTTGCCTGATTTTCTTCAAAGCATCTGGCTCAGTTGGTACAAGCAAGCACTCCCTTTGCAAGCTCTCAAGTAACCATTCGTAAGCCGGACTTTTCGAGATGAAATCCCTGTAAGCCGATATCTGGGGCGTGATAGTTTCTTCGTTCTTCTCTTCCTCGATCTCATCATCTGCGTTGCGAGTTGTTAAGACGTCGCTTGCCGTGTCGGGGAGGTCTGCAGAAAGGTGCAAACCGTCCTGGAGAGAGGATTCGCCGTCTTCCACCTCTTCGCCATTCTGCACTGAATATCGCTCTTGCACATGTGGTACAGAGATGGAAATCTCCTGGTCTGCAGCGTCCTCCAACCTCTTGCTCCAAAGGTCCATCAGTTGTTCCAGTGGCATCTTGTCGGGGTCGGAAACATGAGCCGCGGAGATAGTTTCTTCATCACGATAACATATCCTTTTGAAATGCTCGGTGATGTCGCTTCCTTGTGTTAGTGTCTCCCGACACAATGTGCGATGCTTAGAGAAATAGATTTAATGCTTACCTGCGGTTTTTATGAATGAAGACCATGACGTCCCGGTGCATTTGGCTTGGGGCATCGTGGCCGACCTTAAGGGCGAAAGCTTGGAGTAAGTCTGGGAGTATCGAAGAGGCCTTCTCCATATCCGGTTCGGCTAACCCTCTTGAGCGCAGTCCGGCTATCATTGACTCTGCTAAATCGGATAGGTAGCATTCTCTCATGACCGACGGAATGCTAGATGCGTCGGAGTAAACAGTTCGCGCGTCACTTGTGCCCGTACTATCCTGAGTCGTCAATTCTAGTCGCGTGCTGGTGGGATTAGTGTTTTGTGCTGGATGGTTCTTGCCATTCGATGCAGATGCGTATCCAGAATCTGTGATTGTCCGGGTTTGGTCTTCGGAAAGGTCACCATGTAGATAGCTTTGACGGCGCTCTACTTGTTCGCCGGTCAGAGAGACTGACGCAGATGCGGAACCAAGATGCTCTGCTCCCAAATCGTCGAGCAAGAAAGGCTGGAGGCTCTCATGCAGCTGTTGAAGTTTTTGCTGTAGCTCTCCCATGAGCTGCTCTATTTCCGCATGCGATGGATAGACTTGCGACGACGCAAGTTGCACTTGCATTGTCTGCAAATAGCGTTGGTAATACCGCTGTAAAATCCTCTGCTGGGGCAGTGTGCGATTATCAACGCTGCCGCTCACTTGGACCTCTTGTAGGTTGGTTACTTGTCGGTTTACGTATCTTTGGAGAATTTTCAAGGTTTCCCATTGCTCGTAAAGTTGAAAAAGAAGGTTCGGGTGAAGTAAGCTCGTGTAGGCGTGTCCCTGGAGCTGAAAGTGTCTTTGCTGGATCCCTGGCAGCCCTTGTTGTAAAAGACTAGAGAAGGACAAGCAGACATGTACGGCCTCCGATTTTTGCCAGTCGCGCCGTTCCTGAAGCTCATTCCGGGGCAACCCATGCGCCTGCCCGGACTCTTCCGCAATTGCCCCTTTCTGCTGACCTTCAGCCATTTTTGAGGTGGTGCGCCTGTGAACGTGATAGACTGCGTTTGATCAATATGGTATGAATGTTGGGAAATGGTGAGGATGCTTTCTGGTGAGGGGTAATGCACCGCCCCGTAAAAGAAGCAAGCACATCCCTGCCCACAGATGGTCTGGGCCTCGGAGAGCCGCATTCCTTTGTGTCTGTCAGCTGCCCAGAAAACCCTGGAGTCTCTCCTTGCGCCCCGATTCTTTACGGGCGACATTCCTCAAGGACGGCAGCACCGACCGGAGCTCATACGACTTGAAGTGTATACGACGGCTAATTGGCGACGCATCGCAAACTTCAAGATGGGTGACGAAGCTGCTTTTATACGCCAGGTCTTTGGCAATACTACGCTCGGATCCGGAGCCGCCGCGTTCCAAGGCTCCTTCCCCAACTGCACTTTCAACACAATTGCCGGATTGCCCTCCGAGTGGTTTCCACACCTCCAGGATTTCATCAGAAGCATGCTCCCAGGCAACAAGGATTCGCAGTATGACCGACTTTTTACAAGCGTCACTCAACTAGGGTTTCTTGGGAAGGCGCAGAGGCAACTAGCGACTGGAGGGGAAGCTAGGCGCATCCTTGGGAACATCCGTAGCATCCTCCAGGCAATCTCGCAGCCGGCAAGCTTCGTCGAGTCCGATGAGCTACGAGAGAGACTACAGATTGAGAGCTCAGAGGCTATCGATGGGATTCTAAGAAAATCAGAGGAAGTACACATCAACAAGACAGATGGTCCGTACTGACAATAATGTTACCAGGACTCTCTTTTAACGTTTATAGCAATTCGGCGGGGCCCGACTGAAACCACCGAGTCGATGCAAATCTCGAGGATCGATCACCTCTCCCGCGTCCCTCGCTGCGAAGTTCGAATTCAGACCTGGGAACTCGGGACTGGAGGACAAGAGCAAAAGCGAGGATATGAAGAGTTGAGTACACGGATTGATATTCGACCAGAACTCGGAGACCCCGAACAAAAGCCGTTCATATCTGTCTACATTAAACGATTTCAGGAGCTCCGATACGCGGTTGCTCAGCCCATAGTCTTGGGCCCACTCGTTATAGCACGAAGAACAATCCCATTGGGCTCGCCTATCTATAGTATCATTGCAAAAGGAGACCTCGAAGGATTTAAAACAATGCTTAAAGCAGGTAAAGCATCGTTATGGGACTGCGATCCTTGTGGGCGATCACTGATCACTGTATGTTCTAACTCTATTTTAGATGTGAACTGCATTTCAACAGATTAATCCGGTGTAGTATGCAGTGTTCAAGTGCCAGCCGAAGATATGCAACTACCTCATTCAAAATGGAGCTGATGTTGACTCCGTGGAACCGTTGTTTTGGGATTACCCCAGGTAGGCAATACGCGTCATTAGGGGCTGGTATCACGATGCTCACCTAATGTAGACATAGACATCTCCTAACGCAGGTTTTGTGCAGATGACTGGCTAAATTTCCCAGTCGATGGCGACATGAACAAACGCCACCGTGCAAATGAATGTCGAATTTTACTACTGCATGCTGGTGCTGATCCTACCATTGGTGGGCAAGGATCTGCTCTGTGTAAGGTCCTGAGCGAGAGTAGCGCTTTAGTAAGTCTAAGTGCTTAGTGGTTTGCCTAAACATTGTTGATCGAATCTTAGGGAGACCCCAAATACAATAGCCAAACGGTGCTCGATTTCCTTTTACGACTTGGCTCCCACTATATTGACCCAAAATAACGTGACAGCCGTGGTCGGACGCTTTTGCATAACATATGTTTAAAAGAGTTTTGTCTTCCATCGCTGGATGGAATCGATACCCTTCTTGGATTAGGGTTCAACCTCAATGAGCGCGACCATCAGGGCAACACTTGCCTACATCTCGCTATCAAAGCCCTTTTTACCCTTCGTGATTATGATCAGGATACCATACAGTATTTTACTGGTAGGTTTCATCCTATCGGGTGCTGATTACCGTGCCGCTAATAACTATTCTGAGACGCCTGGCGTCCTGATGGCAAATCTGGGGCTGGAAAAGGATTGGCTCGGAGCTATGCTTCACTGTAACCTACAAACTTGATAGATCGGAAGCGGGATGCAGAGTCACGGCGAATGAGCGAACTAAGGAGGCTAGAGAAGTCGGGTATTTGGACTAAGATTCATCGAGGAGCGACTCGGGGGGAGTAAAAATGCCGAGGAGGTAATAGCAAAAAGGGCAAGGGCTCCGAAGGCGGTTATCAGGTGAGATGTTTGCTACTTTACTAATTCCTTACAACGATGAAAGCCCCCGGTTGACAAATACCTTTTATATTTGCCATTTTACCGGTCCTCTAAGCAAACGATTCTTTAGCCTGCAGCTTGACTCGGTGGCCCTAAAAATGGATCGACGAGAGCACGGTACCGGAGCATTCACCTGCTCTTTCCAAGCGAACCGCGCTCGATATGATACTTCTAAGTCCTGTAAGCACTCTTCAGTTGGTCGTCGGCTTGATCATCTGCCACTCCTTGCGATGCGGCGATTCGCAGTGTGACGTGTGTATCACTGGGACTCGGGCCTGTCAACTTTCGAAGGTGGCACCTCGCAGCACTTATTGCCCGCAAAAGAGGGTTCATCAGCTCAACCCACAGTTCAACAGTTAAAGCTGTCCCACAAGGGAATTGAGTTCCCGCTTCCAAGTTTGAAGCTGAAACTTGAACCGCCATCGGCAGCGATAGCATATCACTACGAGCCCTAGTCCCTTTCCTTTCCTCTTTACCTGGAAGCTTCCATGACTTGCCGCCCTTGGCGACGTCGAAACTAGATATAGCCTCGTGCCTATATTCATACAAGTGTATTGCATCGATTAGAATATCCCCTAACTCCTTATCACACATATAAAAGCTACATTCCTGTATACGCATTCAACGCCAGCTGCCCCCCCAAATGCGCATATAGCACATTCGAACGAGCTGCAATCTCCCCGTTCTTCACCAAATCCATCATTCCGGCCAGACTCTTGCCCTCATACACAGGATCCGTAATGAACGCCTCCGTCGATGCTCCAAACTTGATCGCCTCGATCGTCCGCTCGTCAGGGATTCCATACACACCCCCATGATACCGGTCATCAAGAATGATGTCCTCTTCTGTAATGTCGTCCTCGGAGAGGCCAATCTTCTTCGCGGTATTCTTCGCAATCCTCAACACCTGCGCAAACGTCTGCGGAACAGTAGCAGACGCATCAATCCCGATAACCTTTCTCTTCTCGGACCACCCCGACTTCTCCGCAAGCTTGAACCCGGCAACCATCCCGGCCATGGTACTCCCCGTAACCGCACAGACAATAACCGTATCAAAAAAGACCCCCGTTTCCTTCTCCTGCTGCACAACCTCAAACGCCCACCGCGCAAACCCCAACCCTCCCAGCGGGTGATCCGACGCGCCCGCGGGGATATAATACGGTTTCCCGCCCTTGTCTCGAATCTCCTTCTCTAGATTCGCAAGCGTATCCTTGTGCTCGATTCCAAAGGGCGACGGGTCGAGCCGTGTATCTGCGTTCATGAGGCGCGAGAGTTGGATGTTCCCCGCTTTGTCGTAGACGGGGTCGGTCCAGTCGACCCATTTTTCCTGGATGAGGGAGACTTTCAAACCCAATTTGCTGCCGACGGCGGCGACTTGGCGCGTGTGGTTGGATTGGAAGCCGCCGATTGAGACGAGCGTGTCGGCGCCGCTGGAGAGGGCTTCGGAGGCGAGGTACCTGCACCACATTGGTCAGAACCCACTCATTGTAGGGAGGATATTGGAGACGGGGGACATACTCAAGTTTCCTCGTCTTATTCCCCCCAAAGGCGAGGCCGGAGTTACAGTCCTCGCGCTTGGCGTATATGTTGACTTTGCCGCCGAGGGCCTTTGTGATGTTTGGGAGGTGTTGGATGGGCGAGGGGCCGAAGAGGAAGGATTCACGCGGGATGCTGGCGAAGGGCTCGGGGAGGGGGACTGTTGCCATTGTGACGGGAATTGAAGTGTATGTATGGGTGGTGCTTTTCCGTGAAGTAGAGGAGGATATTTTAGGGGGAGAGAGGGAAATAAGGTGTCGGTATAGCTTGCAATTTTGCAACTTGGGAAGTTTGCAGCTGGGACTGGTATATAGCTACGATAAGTATGAGGGGTGCTGCGTTATCGGAGAGGGGGAGGGGTTGTGTCTGCAAGGAGGGGGATGGAGGGGTGCTTTCCGTCGGAGAACGCCGGTTTCTATTGGCGGAATTCGCGCTGCTCTGACAATCAGCCTATCACTGATAAGCCTTGCCTATCCGACGGAGATGTACTTGGATGGATACTACTATTGTACTCCGGGGTAGTACTCCGAAGCAGATCCACTGATTAGATAACTGATAACCCAGATAAAGCTTGAGCTGATAAGATCATTGTAGTGATAATATTATATCCAAGTATCCTGTCAAAAGAGTTCCACATCTACGATCACAATATGCTCCGCTTTGAAGGGCCAGACTGCGCTGGAGATGGCCTATTCCACTACAGCCGATTAGATCTACTTGAAGCTACAAAAGTCTGCTACATCCATTGGCGGCCAGTGTACCTCAAGAACTGTGATTCCTCTCGACAGACACCCATTATCCATATCTACCAAGGCAAAACTCCCAAAGTGCAAAAGCAATCAGAAAGCAGTCAGAAACCTCTCCATAACAGTAAGAAACACCTCTCTCGCATTACCCTCAATAACATCCCCATGACACGGAATGATACGGTCAAACTCCCACGCCGCAATTCTTCGCACCGACGCCCCAAATGCCTTGCGGTCCGCCATTGCCGAAACATGCCAGACATACTTCTTCTGCCAAAACGCCGACATCTCCGTCGAGGCTAGTGGTTTTAAGAGTCTGTTCAGAAGACCCGATGCGGCGCTTTCGCCTGTGCGCGAGTATTGTTCTGTCGCGGGGAGGTTCAGAACGAGGTCTGCTTCGATGAGTGTTTTGGATGGAGTGTGCAGGAAGACGAGTTCCTTTGACTGGTGGCCGTGGACATACTCAACGACGAATTCCGCGCTGAACTCGTCTGAGATTTTGGGAGGTTCATGATCGTCCTTGCGGAAAACATGCGTAAACGCCGTATCCTTGAACTCGGCCACGGCCTGCCGTTTCTCCCAGAGTCCCTCCGGCGCGATGATTTCGGCGGCGGGGAAGGCGTCTTTCCAGGCTGTTAGGTTCAGGTGGTGTTCAATGTTTAGCGCGGCGATGTATTTGATTTGGCCGCCTAGACTCGCGATCGCTTCGTGTACGAGGGGGGTTAGAGGGACCGGGGAGAAGACGGCGATTGAGCCTGTTACTAGGCGGACTGTATACGTACACGAGATACATTAACTATGAGCCTTCAAGCTAGCATGAATTTTGGAGGGAACGAGCATACCCAACGTCCCCCTCCCTCCAAATTTGACACCCCCAAACGGCGAAAACGGTAGGCTGAGGGTGACGATGTTGGGGGTGACATTTCGAATCACGAGCACCTCGTCTGGATTTGATGGGGTCTGCGGCGCCATGTTACCTTTTCTGTCCTTCTGAGCATGTGTAAGGTTCTTGTGTGGCTTTCCAAGGGCCCTGGGTTGCGGCTGATGTGAATGTATATCTTAGAGATTGCGGGCTAGCGGGCGCCTCTGCGGGCAGGGCACCGCCGCATTTTCCGCATTGGCATGAACATCGCCACGTGGATGTTGATATACCTCGCGTGTAAATCTGCCACAAACTGCGCCTCATGGCATCATCAGGCTGAAAAACACGACGCACTTTGAGCCCACCGTGGCGGGGCTGTGCCAGTCCAGCCCGCACATACCGAGAGCGCTCCAGCAGAGGCTGAATGGTTCCGGTCTACTCATCCTGCCATTGTTATGGCTGGTTCCAAACGCGATGCAGATGTTAATATTTTTGGCGTTGTTCTAGCGTCCTGACTCTGAGCTGTATTTTGACAGCTCATGGAACAGCTATATTTCGCGTATTCGTCGCAGTGGCATAACGATCGGAGGGCAAAAATACTCACAGTACAGATAGTGCCTAGCACCCTATATAGAACGATTCATGGTTCGAAAACGCCCCCTTGTCACTCCCTTACTAATAGCTAAGCGATTATGTGATTGCAAACATTGATTTGATTCCAAGGTCGACTCCCATTCTACGTCCTTCAAAGTTGTTGAACGGGGAAATCAGGGAAGTCTGGTTTGAAATTCTTCGACCCCGCAGCCTATCTACCTTTCTCAAAAGGCTGGCCTTTTCAAACTTCAGGTGAGGGGCTAAAACGTGGTCTGCAACACGTGGATGGTCCTTATGAAGCGCAAACTTAGAGCGAGTCGTGATGTTCTATACTCCAAGACATGCGGGTTCACTGACTACCTTTTTTTTCATCTTTCCACAGTCCATGTAATCACTCTCTAGCATAACTTAAAGGATAAATGTCTCTGTTACTATAATTTAATGAACACAAATTAAAAAAGGTGTGAGGCGTGCATGAGAAGTTCTGTGAGTTCCTAAAAGTGAATCGGCAATGGACCGAATCTTCGATCTTTATATCCATGTGAAAGTGATATCATCATATACGTATATCTGGTTTAAATATGATCCGCTCTCTATACCGATATTCATTTAGCATGAAATTCTCCAATATGTCTATATGCCTGGTAGCCGAACAGCATCCATATGTGCTCACCAAACATCATTGAACTTTTCCATGACTTTCTTACCGTCCAGGACGCGACACAGATAGACATCCGGTTCCACACGGATGCATGGCAGCCTGGACGTCAGGTTATGTGGAGTGGGATACCCCGTCAACTGGTACAGGCGTGGGCGGATAGACATGGAATGCAGACATTAACAACAGCCATGGGGCCTCTAATGGTTCACGGTCACCCGGAGTGTCTGCGCTCGATGAAATCGCCAAAAGGATGGTCCAGGTATATGAAAGGCGCATCTGCCATGTACGCCTATCATATTGCACGAGACAAAGAGATAGTCACTCTGCTATCGCCGCCGCCTCCCGAACAATACAATCCATACGGCGGATCAAACTATCAGGCTATTGAGGAGCCGATCCTAAAGGGAGCACTTGGTGTCGGGGTCAAAGTTGCAAGAATCGACATGGTACATCCCACTATACCCGGCGCTGAGGAGTTTCGGTATCAAATATGGCCAGTGGACGAAACCGATTCGTGGCATGACGCATTCGGGCATCCTGATCCCGCTACACAGTGGCGGCATCCGGCATTGTCGTCGCATCGGTTTACTACGGTGGTGGGACGAGTTTAGGTCTCAAGAGTGATTCATTTGATTGCTACCTACGACTGAGATGAGGGTAGCTTGACAGACATCTAATCAGAGCATACCGCAAAAGTATGGGTTCTTGCTTGGCCACGTCCTTGGATGCAGGTCCGGGGGAGTTTGACACTGCCATCGTAACAACTATTGTCTGGGCTCAAAGTGTGTTAGCTGTATGTTTGAGAGTTGTTTTTGTATCCTAAGAATGAACTCACCAGGTCTATGAGACAAGGAATGCCCTCATAGAATGGAACTTGTTCAGCTGGCAGCTACAGTAGTGTACATCAGTCATCAGAAATCAGACTTATTATTATCCTTGACTCACAGTAGCAACAAATGGATCACTCTTGAAACCTGGTCCGGACACCACCTCATTGTGGTATGTCCATGGGTTTAGATATACAGAGTCTCAAATGTGTTGACGTACGCCAAGACGTTTCCAACAGCAAAATAATCATAACTTGATGAACACAGTATCTAACTTTGAGTATCTACGGATCCCAGCTGATCACGCAACTTGCGAAACCTCGACCTTCCCCCACCAAAACTCCGTCTCCCCCGTATCCCCCCTCGCCCACGTATCATCCACAAACTCCGCAACAACCCCATCCCCACGGTTCTCCCCACCAACAAGCTCCTCGATTCCCTCCCCAAACACCAGCACTTTCGGCGTGTCCGGCTCATAAACGCCCCAAACCGGTCGATCACCATATAACCCGCCCCGGACTCCATTCGGATCCCCAGATACGATAAAACTAGTCAGATACGCATGCAGCACACCCGAAAGCTTTTTCTGCGTCTCACTGATCCCTGTAATGGCCTTGTTATACGTCTCGTAGTACATATTATCCGCATGGTTCGCGCGACCCACGACAGTCCGCGGTAACGCCCAATGATATAAGTATACAGACCCTGGATTCTGAGCCGAAGCAAACTCCGCCGTCTGTCGAACCGGCGCGACATACGCATAATGCGCATACGCCGCCTCGATACGTTTATACTGCGAACCTAACCCATGTCCCTCTCTCGTCTCGATATAAGGTGAGTCAGTTCGTGTAGACGGATCCGGGTAGAGCTTCTCAATCGTATCGAGATCTTCGCTTGAAAGCGCAGGTAGGAGCTCCGCCCAGAAGGCGCGGAATGCGCTGGGGTTGTCCATAGTCTTATCGACGTACATCGTCCCCTCGTTCGTGGTGAAGCCCGTTAGGATGGGTACCTTGTGCCAGAGGCCCTGGCGCCATGCATCCAGTGGCGCGCGCGGGATGAGGTCGCCGTCGATGACTGGCTGGAAGGCCCAGCGGAGGGAGGGATTGTATTTGTCGAAGACGGCGGTTTGTGCTGATGTGATTGTTTCCGTGGGGAGGGAGCGGAGGAAGGGGAAGATTTCGTTTCGCGGGAGGGAGGGCGGGCAGCCGACTTCGTGTAGGAAGTCGGCGAATTGGGCTTCGTGGATGGAGGCATTGTAGGGGCGCACGGCGCGGGATGTGGGCGCGCCGGATTCGATGATCACGCGGTGGAAGAGCGGTTTATCCACACCGTTGTAGTTGAGGAGGTGGTGGCCGATCTACTGTTGTTAGCTACACACCCCCTAGCACGATATACTTCGGGGATATCGAGAATGGGATGTATTTACCGAATGTGCTCCCGCCGACAACCCAACAAGCGTAACAGCCCCGGGATCCCCGCCAAACAGCGCAATATTCTCCTGCACCCACTCCATAAGGCGGACCTGATCGCGCAGCCCCAGATTCAACACGCCTTCCTCCTTACTCACGCTCGAAGGCAAGAACCCCAGCGCACCGAGTCTATACCCGAAACTCACGGCGATAAACGGCTCCGCCGACCACGCGACCATTGGCGCCGTGTTGTGCATGGATGCGGAGCCGCGGTTGAAGGCCCCGCCATGGATGTAGATTGCGACAGGAAGGGGTTTGTAGTTTCCATTAGGGTTGCTAGGGCGGAAGACGTTTGCTGTGAGGCAGTCCTCGCTCTGTTCGAGCTTTGGGCCTGTTTGCAGGAGGGCTTTTCCTGGTGCTATAGGGCCGTATTTCGAAGCGTCGATGGTCTCTGTTGAGGGTGCGACTTTGACCGCGGGGCGGAAGCGCAAGTCACCGACTGGAGACTGCGCGTAGGGGATGCCTAGAAATGCATCGACGGGCTGTGGGAAGTCGTCGTTGATTTGGATTCCGATGACTTTGCCCTGGGGGAGGGTTACCGAAGGACGTTGGTCTGCCATGTCTGGTGGATGGTTATTCTTGTCGAGACTGTCAATTGATAATCTTCAACGAGGGGTAACGGGGGGTACATATATCGGAGACAGAAGTAGACCCGACGACGAGGGGAGTGCTCTTCTTATCCTCCAATCTGCGGTGCTCGGAAAGAGTCCGTTGGAGTAGGTCGACATGTCGGAAACGAGGGTCGCGATGGTGAGCTTGGTGGAGTCGGCTCCATACCTATTCAACTCTTACAATAATGCGCAAGCTTGTATGAAGAGGGACTATTGTGGAGCTGTTGTAGAAAAGGTAGAAAGCAATTGCATGCATCCCAGCGTTATACAGCCAGCCTGATTTCAACACCGTAAGTCAATGATCAAATATAGGGAGAGTTGACCATCGGAAAACAGAACTCTATCAGTTCCCCGCTCGCAGATAAGCTATCATGATGATCTCCAAACTGAGGGGGTGTTATCTCGTACATATCTCGCTGCCCAGATAGCAGACGCCACAGCCATAGCGGACGGCTATAAAATCCTCCCCGGATTACCCCAACTACACAATGTCTCTGACTCTGCTTCCTTTATTTTTGTCCTCTAACTTAACCTATCTTCTAATCCGCCAATATGGCTCACCCACAAGAAGTCCACGACGCTGAGAAAGCGCCTCACACCGAGGATCCCACCCCAGAGAAAGACATCCAAGCAGGCACAGTAACAGACCTCGACCAAGGCGAAGTCTTCCTGCGCCAACACGGCTTCACAAACGAGGATCTCAGCCAATTCCTGTCAGACGAGACTCGAAACAAAGCCCTGGTCCGCAAGGTCGACCTCTGCCTCCTCCCCCTGCTCGCGGGGACATACATGCTGCAATACATCGACAAATCGGCCCTCGCCTACTCGGCCGTCTTCGACCTGCTCCCGTCAACGAACATGACAAGCGAGCAGTACAGCTGGCTGGCGAGTATCTTCTATTTTGCATACTTAGTGGCAGAGTATCCGTGGACGTTCCTGGCGCAGAAGACGCGGATGGCCAAGGTTGTTTCGGGGAATATTATTGCGTGGGGCGCCATGTTGATGATTACTGCTGCGTCGAGCAATTTTACGGGGATGGCGATTTGTCGGTTCCTGCTGGGGGTGTTTGAGGCGCCCATTACGAATTGTTTCATGATGATTGTGGGCATGTGGTATACGCGGGCTGAGCAGCCGTTTCGTGCGGGAGTGTTTTATTCGTGTAATGGGTTGGGGGCGATGGTTGGTATGTCAACAAACAAATGCCCTACACTCTTGGGACTTTTTGCTAACTGCTACTGACAGGCGGCCTGTTAACATTTGGCATCGGGCAAATCAACACCATCGCCGTCTGGCGAGCCATCTTCCTCATCCTCGGCGGCATCACCGTACTCTGGGGAATCGTCATGCTCGTCTTCCTCCCGGACGATATCCTCTCCGCCAAACGATTCACTCTCGAAGACAAGGCCCTCCTCGTCGGACGCGGCCGGCTCGCTCGAACGGGTATCCTCAACCACCAGATCAAGTGGTACCAGATCCGGGAGGCGTTCGTTGACCCGCAAGTCTGGATCCTGTTCCTCTTCATGCTGCTCAACGAGACGATCAACGGTGGTATCGCTAGTTTCAGCAAGCTTATCATCAAAGGTCTCACAGGCGATCCTCTCACGACTGTTGCGCTGGGCATCCCCTTTGGTGCGTTCCAGCTGGTCTGGGTACTTTCGGGGACATTCATCGCGTCGCGGATTCCAAACTGTCGTACGATTGTCATGTTCGCGTATCTCATCCCAACTATCATCGGCATCTGCATCATGTGGAAGCTTTCCCACGAGACGCAGAAAGTCGGCGTCCTGTTCGGTTACTACATCGTCGGAGCGTACGTCTGCTCGCTGGTTCTGGCGCTGCAGATGCCAGCCACGAATCTTGGTGGGTACACGAAGCGTGTCACTAGTGTTGCGCTCGTGTTCCTGGCATACTGTGCTGGTAACATTATCGGACCACATGCATTTTTGGCGGAGGAGGCACCCATCTACCAGACGGGGTGCAAGGTCATCTTGTCCTGCTCATCCGCACAAGCTGCTTTGGCCGTATGCCTGCGGCTTCTGTTGATCCGTCGAAACAAGCAGAGAGATGCGGCAGCTGCAGCTAATCCATCGACAGTGGAAGGTGAAGAGTTGGGAGACCTGACAGATTTTGAGGTTAATCCACCTATCACCTGCATTGGCATCCAAATACTGACTGAATTAGAACCCCCGCTTCCGATATGTACTTTGATTGTAAAGCAAGACGTTTATTGTTGTTGTCCACGTTATGGGAATGTGCGTAAATCATAGGCATCCACATCAGGCATCTGCCAGAGATCCGGAAACGCAGGATAGTCGGAGGCCATGGCGGGCATGGACCCAAATGTCATCAACGTTTGAAGATAATCAGGATTGACCTGGTCAGTCAAGTTACCGTAGTTCATAGTAGCCTGTATCTGCACGTCTGGATGCCCATCGGAGGGCACTGTGTCTGCCGGTGTTGGAAATGGCGCTGTCGATGGGTGCTGATTGCCCTGCTGCGCCCTCTCACTTGCGTGCTGTCCAGGTGGGTTCTTTCTCCACATATCGAGATTATTCGTGTCGCATAATCTATCAACCACAGCCTCACACTGCCCAAGGCATATATCGGCCAGATCCCAATTCATTTCGCCTTTCATCTGCCGAAGAAAGTCAATGAGGCTCTTTGCGCTGGCTACGCATTCCTGCGCGGTATCTGCGCTTTCCGCTTCGAGGGCGCAGCGGAGGGTCATTGTCGCTGCAGATGTGAAGTGGTACGCGGTATACGGTAGCCAGAAGGCATCTATCTCATCCTCTGAGAGAGTCGTTGTAAATTCTATCACAGCTCGTGCGGCTTTCCGGCATCGTGACCTGTAGTATAATTTGTCTTCTTCGGCTGTCTGCTCGCTCGATCGGTGAATCTCCTGGTTGAATGTTAGACGGGCATATGTAGGATTCGAATCACCTACCAATAAGGCCATTCTTGCGAGACAGAGCTTGACCGCCAGAAATGAGAGCTGTAGATTGAGCGCCCCGGCAGCCTTACGCTCGAATGCCGGGGACGTGGGCCGAAGCCACGACGGTAAACCCTCCTCCCACTCGTTGAGGGTTGTTTCGTGTCGTCGCAATGTTCTAAAAGAGTGATCCAATGACTGACTCTCGAGAGCATAGATCAACGGCAGGATTTGTCCCAGGATTGTGGTCAGAGAGCATAATGCAACAAAAGAGTGACCTCCTTGTACCCGTGCATCGGGGGGTAGTCTCTGACCAATTGGCAGGTCGACAAGTAGAGAGTCTGAATCTGGTAGAGGTACATCCCACTGCGACCGGTGGATATGCGGAGGGGTCCCGTGAGACAAGCTCGCCCTATCCCTGTCAGCATGTCTTCCTACCAGTGGACGAGCAACATACCATTGATCATGTATCAAGATCCCCCACCATGTCCGTATCCGTAGGCTCTTCTGCCGACGATCAAGTCCCCAGCTGGCCGGATTCCGATTCAAGCCCAGACTCTGCGCCAGGGCGACAACACGACCGACATTGACAGCATTGTATGTGATAGATGTGATCGGCCGACCGAGAAGATCCAAAATGCAGGCAAGAACGGTAGAGAAGTTAGGGCTTAGAAAGTCATCATTCATCGCGCTGACTGTCAGATTCCACATATATTTAATGTCCGGCGCGGGACGTCGAGTGGCAGCGGTGGCTGGGGAGCGTTTCCAGAGGATCAGCGAGACAGCATAGATTTCACAGGCGAGGGTGTGCGGGAGGCCATCCTGCTGGTATGCTTCCAAAACCGTCTTTTCGTCGAGGATGGGGAACGGGGGGTGGATGTTGTTGAAGTAGCTACAGTCATGATCAGAGAGTGCACCCCAAGGGAATCGAGAGAGGACACAAACACAGCACACAACTCAGGCCCCAACGGCTCAACAACCTTTTCCATCGCCTCAAATTGCTTCCACCCAGCAGTACCGTTCCCTGAAGGCACAGCGCCCCGTTGTCGTGGCACCTTCATGTAGACAACCGGATTCCGCGTGTCGTCGGAATAGACGCTGTAAGGGTTGGGCCTGGCATAAGAAACAGCGGTATTATAGATCGACGACATGCATCGTTCCAGAACCTGTGCATCGCGCGCCATGGCCGGTCCCACAATGTGCCTGGATTGGCTGCATACATTGTTGTTCTGTGTGAACTCCGGTGTCGGGGTCGGTGCGTGACGGTCTCCGGGTGGGGAATGGCGCGATGGGCCAGGCGTTTCGGGAGGCAGAGGCGCAGATGATGCCTGTTGGTCCGGGATGTCTTTTGAGATGCGTCGCCTCTTTGCGATCGGGGTGGGCCTGTGTTCATCGATGGTTCTCGGGCAGGCGGCGGGCGCCCTGGAGCAGGTGGCGCCGTGCATGCGACACAGCAGACATGGCTGGTCGGCCAGCTCCTGCGTGCACCGACTTCTCCGCTTCCGACAAAAGTCGCAGGCGGGCACCTTGTGCGAGCGGTAAGGGCGAGCAGACGGTGTTTCGCTGGTCATGCTGGCCATGATGCATGGGAAGAATGGGAAAGGGAAAGGGAAAGGGAAAACGTGGAAGAATCGCGCGTCCGTCGGAAAACCCAGTGCAGCGGGCGGGGGCACTTTCCCCACATCAGGTTGATACTAATCAACTATCTACGCTATCTGATGCCGCTTCTTCAGCTCCCCAATAGCCAAATTCACCAGCCCCTTCACGGTCCCTGCCGCAGTAATGTCCGACAAGCTGATCTGCACCCCAAGCTGCTTCCTCGCCCACGCTCGCGCCTCAATAGCGACCAGCGAGTCAATCGCGATATTGGAAAGAGCCTTCAGATCGACCTTTTTTGTCGCAGCGTTCTGCGTCGGCGATTTCATCATCGTTCCGACTTTCTCAATGAGGAACTCCTCAGTCGATGGATCGCCGAGGATTCCCGGGTTGGCCTCGACTTGCACGATAAAGTCGCCCACATCGTCGGGGCTTGGAGCGCTCTTCTGCTCCTTCTCTGCGCGGTTGAGAAGGATCAAGAGGCGGCTATCGCCGCGCTTGGTAAGCCAGGGTGCCGATGTAGTTGCTATCCCCAGTGCGAGATAATGGGGGTCGGAAAGCCTTCCCTCCGGCCCAGCTGGCGGCTTGCGGGGTGACAGCGATCGGTCAATCAAGACTTCGGTCGCATCCAGCAGTTCTTGTTCTTGAATGAATCGCCATTCCAATTGGCCGGTGTACTTATTCATCAGCTCCATATTACGCGCGACAAAGCCAATGTCCGCAACAGGGCCGAGATCCAGAACCGAAGCGGGAAACCCAAGAGACCGTCGATACCTCGCAAGAGACGTAAGATATGTATTGCCCGCCGCGTAGTTGGACTGCCCAGCCATCCCAAACGCACCTGCAACAGATCCGTACATGACGAAAAAGTCCAGTGGGGTAGCCTCGAGGGCTTGGTGCAGGTTCCACGAGCCATTGACCTTGGGTATCAGAGGCACTCTCCAGTCTTCATAGGCCATGCGTTCAAGCGTTCGGTCCTAGAAGAGAGTTCGTCAAAAGCCTGCCTCCTCAGATCTATGAAGCTAAACTTACTTGCAAGGCGAGAGCAAGCTGAAATACTCCTTTGATCGGCTTCGGGCTCAAGGAGATGGCCTTCTGGACATCAGCGAGTTTTGCTGCACTTCCCGGAACAAATATCGCTTCGCATCCTTGACACTTGAGCTCCGCTGCGAACGATGGGTGTGCGTCGGATACACCTGCGCTGGGTGACAGATAAACCAAACAACGAGCACCCTTCTCTACCATCCAATGCGAGATGGCACGCCCCAACCCGCCCACGCCGCCGGAAAGCAGATATGCATGATCTGGCGAGAATCTCACCTCTGTCCGAGTCTCTCTTGCAGCAAGATCTCCCGGGGAATCCGGCATCCGCACAACAATCTTTCCCATGTGCTGACCTGTCTGCATGTGTCGAAAGGCCGCAGAAATTTCCGAAGCGTCATAGCAGGTTACTGGAGTGATAGGCCCGAAAAGCCCCTGCTTCACGCTTTCGTTGCTAAAGAAAAAGTTATCATCAGTAGCCAATTGTAGAAATTCCGGCATACAAATTAGGTAGGTCCCGGCTGGTGCCATCCATATACTCCGCAAGATCTAATGTAATAAACGACTTGCGGTCCTTGAAGTACTTCATCGGAAGCATGGCATCGGCCAGGACATCTCGTCGGCTGATATCGAACATTGTCCCCCCAGGGGCCACACATTTCCACGATGTCCGAAGCAGCTCCCCACCAAGAGAGCTCAAGACATAGTCGACTCCTCGGCCTCGCGTCTCCCGCATCAAGTCATCGTAGAATGAGGCATCTCGCGAATTGAAGATGCGTGAGCGCGGTATGCCGAACGTTTCCATCAAATGCTGAACCTTTTCTTCGTTTCCTACGGTGGCATAGATCTATGACCTTGAGTACAGGGGGGAATAAGGGACATGGCTGGGCTTACCTCGGCTCCTATGACTCTGCATATCCTAATGGCTGCTAGACCAACACCACCGCATGCAGAATGGATCAGAACAGTCTGACCATGCTGTAATTTCACAAAGTTTAATAGGCACTGGCCGGCGGTTATCGCAACAACCGGAGATGTCGCCCCTTCTTCAAGCGACCAACCATCTGGAAGATGATGGACTTGAATAGCAGGCATGGTAAGATGGGTTGCGAAGGAGCCTGGCCCAAAGAACACTACCTTGTCTCCAGGCCGGACATGAGACACGCCAGTGCCCACTGACTCCACTACTCCGGTGCCTTCTAGCCCAAGCTGATCTGGTGACGCGATCAGTCCAAGGGCGGTGATAATGTCCTTGAAGTTCAGCCCCACGTATTTCACCTGCAGGCGAACTTCTGCCGCTCCAGGAGAAGAAGGAACATCCTCTCTCCAGAAGAAGGAGTCTAGGAGCCCTGGGGTCTCGAGACCGAGCCTTCTCGGAGAGTCGTGATCTGCTGGTGTCCGCAGCTCTCTATCGATTGTTGTCGAGTGAAATCTCCCTACATGTACCATCCCTTTGTGAAGAGCGTACTCATCTCGCTTCGGCTCTCCAGATGGGTCCGTACAGCAAGCCTGTTGGTAAACCTTCAACAAGTGAGGAATCTCCTGTGTGTCAAAATTTTCGATTTCGAAAGTCGCGGCGCTTGCGCCATTGACACAAGATTCTCCATGAAAAGCCCTTATAAACCCCTGTGTCAGCCCATGGCGGGGATCTTTGCAGGTTATCTGCGATGACTTGGTGACCCAGAGTACGTGCTTCACGTTAGGTCCTCGGATGCAGTCCTTTAACAGTTGGAACTCTTCTGGGTCAAGATCGTAGAGAAAGGCGCCGGTTGCGTCCAAAAGCGAGATGATATTGCCCTCCAACGACGGTGCCTGGCTTAAAGAACACACATTCACCTGATACCCCTCCTGCTCGAAATAATTTTGGACATCCACGACCCACTGGGAGTGTTTCTCGGGGACGAGGAAATTTACACTGCGTGTTAGGTCGGCGGGTCCTGGAGCTTTCACTACCAGGCTTACAATCATGCCACGCTGGTCATAAATCGTGAAGACGACGTCGTCAAAGCCCGCAACTTTTAGCTCCTCCTTCCAGCGCTCAACAGACACATAAGGCCTCTCAGAGCGCCGGTCATTCTCGCCAACCCACCAGCCCGGCAGTAAGCCCTTGACTTAATGTCAGCGGAGTGCGAAGACTTGTTGGGTGTGTACTTACGAATATGTACTCTGCCTCTCTTCGTTCTAACCGGCAAATGCTCCATGGTTAGGTTCCCACCACACGTGAAAGAAGTGAATCGGGGTTACACTTACCTCCACACAGCTCCTGAAGAAACAAACGTCCACCCGGAGCCAGGAGAGACCTTATATTGGCTAACGACCGACTAAGCTTCGGCGTAGCGTGAATGACCTAGGCAAGTGAGCGATCAGTATCATTCGCCCTAGATAGTGGAAAGGGTACATACGTTAGAAGCAAGGATCAAATCATAACTCTGTAGTTTGAACCCTTGCTCGGCGGGATCTTTCGTGATATCCAGAACTGCATATTCCATGGCATCCCTCCACGCAAACCTCTCCTTGGCAGCTGTCAAGAACCCTGCAGAGATGTCGGTAAAGGTATATTGCGAGTACAGGCGGCTGCCATCTGGCAAGTGCAGGTAGTTCAAAAACGTAGCCGTGCCGCCACCCGTACCAGCCCCAACCTCGAGGACCCTGAGTCTCGGATTCGAGTGGCCCAATGGACCGAAGAAATGAGCACAGTTATCGAGGGCCAGGAGAGAATCATACAGATTCCTCAATACGTCATCCTCCATCAAGACTGATAGCGGCTTGCGTGTTCCCGCAAAGATCTCGGTGATGTTCTTCATTATTCGCCGCATGCAGGCAGATGCTGGAAGCAACGTGGAGTAGTTCCCGCGGTCAATCTCCTTTTCCGCCCATTCGATCATATTTCCGCTGTCCGACGAGTCGAACGGGCAGACTTTGGCGTATCCCACATCCGCAAAACGCCAGGGCTTTTCATTCCGTATCCTGGTGTGTTGGCCAGCCAGCCAGGCTTTGTATTTCTTGAGATGGTCATCGACAGGGTCCATATGGAGGGCGAGGGACGCCGTCTCTGTTATGTATAGATCAACTACCCGCTTGAAAAGCTCCTTTTCTGGGAACGTTTCCAGAGGTGATCTATCCATGACCGAGGCAGGTATAAAATCGAGATGAGGCATCCAGACGCTTCTCGCGGCAAAGTCCGTCTCTTGCTCCAGAGAGCTATCGTCAGCGAAAATGTGTAGTCGTGCACCTTTGACCGAAAGTTTAATCGTTCCATCTGACATGGCATCGAGCTGTCCGTTAAGGAAATTGCCCTGCCGTGGTTCTGCTTGGGCATGAATACGCAATTCAGCTGGCTCCGGGCCAACAAAGACATCCTCGAGCAGAATTGGAAGGCATCGAATATTGATATTACGGGTGAGCCCCCGAAAGATCGCAACAGACATCACCTGTAAGCATCGATCTATGGTCGTTGGATGCATGACATACCGACTTGCGGATACTTCTGCGGTTTTGAGCGTAGCGATGGCCTCGCATCGTACAGGGTCTGCGTACACCTCATCGAGGCCACGGAATTCCCGCGAATAGTCCATTCCAATCGTCCGCAGTGCTTTGTACCAAGTGGCTGCGTCGACTGCCCTCGTCGGGTGTGTACTAGGTGGGAGAGGCATCTCAGGAAAAGCCGACTCTGGGACAGTCCTGATTTGACCTGTACAGAGCCGTGTTGTTTCTCCGCCTTGCACACACGTAATTGAGAACTCGTACCATCGCGAATCCTCAATATCCGAGATACGAACAGGCCTCAAGTTGGTAATGAGCTCCACACACTCGTTGCTATCCATGAAAAGGGCGTGTCTGAGAAGCAGATGACTAACCTGATACGCTTGGGCTAGAGGCGTTGAAATTTGCTGAACCGCCTCTCCAGCCATCGCGACATACCCCGCGCCCGGGAACAATGATTTCCCCATCACTCTGTGCCCATAAAGCCAAGGAGCATCATCAAGCGCCAAAACATTGCGCCATGAGGGTTCTGCGTCCGTTGAGCCCAGAACCCGAGACCCCAATAACTCGTGATGCGGGTATTGACGCAGTCTCCAGGACTCCACCGCAGGACCCTGGTTCCAGTATCTCGTATCATGCTGCCACGGATACGGAGGCAGATCCACAAGAAGACTGCCTTCCCCATTGATAATATGAAGGTCCACAGGTATACCGAAGTTGTACAGAGTACCAGTGGTGTAGAGCAATGAGGTTCTGGGGTCTTCTCCTCGCACCAACGATGGTATGTACGTAGAGGATCTGCCACGCGGATGATCTGCGAGGATTTGCCTCAAGGGTCCGGATAATGCCGAATGAGGCCCGATCTCTACAAATATCCGGGATTTCTCTTCTTCGTCCGATTCGAGCAGCGCTCGAACCCCGGTCAAGAAAAGAACAGGACACTCCAGGTTCTGGCGCCAATAGCGGGCGCTCAGCAGAGCGGGATCGGTTATTTGAGTCCCGTTTACCGTCGAGAAAAGGGGAATCATTGACGAGGAGCCCTTCACCCAGAGTGCCTGAAGCGCAGCCTCGTAGCTGTCCGCGGCGTCCCACATGTGGTGTGAATGGTACGCCTTGTCAACGCGAAGCAGACGACACAGCGTGTCCGGGTCGTCCTCCTTGATTTTATCGATAATCTGAGTGATTTCGTCGTAGTCACCGGACAGGGTAACGCTCTGGTGGCTGTTTTCGCATGCAACAAGAACGCCATCCTTGAGATAGGGTGTCAACGCCTCCCGACCACGTCCGACAGCCGCCATACCGCCCCGTCTTTGGATTTTTCTGAGTGAATCTCCTCGGTGATAGGCCACCATGATCGCAGCCTCAGCTGTAAGCCCTCCAGCGGCATACGCTGCAGCTATCTCACCGCTTGAGTGTCCGATCACCGATGTCGGAGCGATTCCCCAATGTGCAAGTAGATCAACAAGACCTATTTGAAGAGCGCAGCAAAGTGGTTGTGCAAACTCCGCTCGGTCAAGCTGCTCACGATTACCATCCGTATGTAGGAGACCTTATACCATGTCAGGTCCATTCTCTTAACCGCCGTTGGAGGGAAGAAAAAACAAACCTTCCAGTGTCCATGTCGGAGGGCTGCTAAGTCTCTGGAGTGCCTGATCAAGTCGCTGAATAGTCGCACGAAATATCTCATTGGAATCAATCAATGCCTTTCCCATCGCAGGCCACTGTGCTCCTTGTCCGGTGAAGACAAAAGTAACGTCAGGGGCGACCTCGCAGCCAGCCGAGCCAACATTGAATGGTCCAACCGCTTGTCCCTCCGATGCAAGAGCAAAGGCTCTGTAGGTCAGGTGTTCTCGTCGCTTCCCTAGAGTAAAGGCAAGGTCTCCTAGGCACTGCGGGTTCTTGTCCAAGTAAACCTTGATACTTTCCGTCCGTTGGGAAAGAGCCTTTTCGCTATTGGCAGACACAACTAATATCCGAGGATGTGGCAGAGTATTCGACACGCTTTCGTCCTTTTGGTTCAGACTTAGAGCGGATGCAGAGTCCAAAATCACCTTCGCTACGTCAGCTCTGGATCTTGTTACAGATCAACCTCTGCGAGAAAGAAAATACTCACGTGGACGTTTGTTCCTCCCACCCCGAAATTGTTGACACTGATCCTCTCCTTTCTCCCTTCTGGCCAGGAGGTGGATTCCTGAGGAACAATCAAGTTTGAACTTTCAAATGGGACTGTACTGCTCGTTAGGGTCGGGAGGTGGTTCGCAAGGCTGTCGTCTAGGCCCACTTACTCTTGGGATTGGGTTCATTCATGTGAATGTGAGGTAAAAGAACCTTGTTTTCCAGCGAGATTACTGCCTTGATCATACTGGTGATCCCTGACGCCCCTTCAGAATGGCCAAAGTTAGGTTTTGCCTTAGTTTGTTAGCTCCCAAAGCCTACAAAACACCATGAGAGAGGTGCGAAAAAAGCAGGGCATACTGACCGATCCCAAGTAAATACCCTGTGGAAATACCCTTGTGACGACCGAGGTTTCCGTCGTGTCGCCGGCCTGTGTCCCTGTACCGTGACATTCAAAATATGCAGTGCTCTCGATATCCTCAATGCCAGCCTTGGCATACGCAGCTCGAATGAGCTCTTCCTGTGCATCGGCAGAAGGAGTTGTCAGTAACGCGGTTCGTCCGTCGTTGTTGACCGAGGTTGCTCTAATGACCGCCCGAACAACATCCCCATCACGTATAGCATCGTCCAACCGCTTGATGAAAATGGCGTTAACTGCCTCTCCACGTCCAAACCCGTCCGCAGTAGTGTCAAATGTTTTGCAGAGGCCTGATGTAGATAGAACGCCGCTTGAAGCCAGGTTCATGTGCAATGTAGGAGTAAGTATCAAATTAGCGGCGCCGACGACTGCTGATGTGCACTCTCCGGAGTATATGGCCTGGCACGCTTCGTGTAAGGCAACCATGGAGGAAGAGCAGGCAGTCTCAATAGTCATGCTGTCCAACCGGTCAGCCCTTTAGCTCCAATGGAGGCTGCCATAATACCGCCTGAAACTTACCTCGGTCCATGGAGATCTAGATTCCACGCAATATAACTCGAGATGAAGAAACTGCCCGCAGCAGCTCCTAAAAGTGGATTGCGCTGCTGTCCGTCTTTCAGGGTCAATTCACACCAATCCACCCCCCACGCTCCGACGTAACAGCCGATATTCTTTCCGCGGTAGTCAATTTCTCCGGCGTTCTCCAGGCATTCGTAGACGACTTCTAAGAGAAGCCTTGCTCGAGGATCTGCTCCCGAAGCCTCCAACTCCGAGGTGCCGAAGAAGGTTGCATCCATCATCGCGATGTCATCACTCAGAAAGTATGCTCTGCGTGTCCTCATCGAATACGGAAATTCTGCAGCATTGTAGAAACCGTCCACGTTGAATCTAGAGGCAGGGACTTCACTCGACCCATCCTTCTTGTCTCGAAGGAATTCGAACATGTCCGGAATGGAGTTGACTCCCCCTGGAAGCCTCGTTGCCATTCCTACAATGGCAAGAGGTGGGGGACCTTCCACTACATACGGGGCTGTGGGAAGGCTTGTGCGCCCGATACCGCAATTATGTTGAGCTGGGGGCACATTGCACGTGGGAGGCTCTGCCGCCTCGGTCGCAAGGTCTTGATGTGTATGCATTATGTCCAGAAACGAGGATGGGGTCCGTCAATCTTCAGTCCCCTTCTCGCTGAATTGGGATCAGGGTGCAACGAACGCAGAGGACATCGGCTCATGCAGGTAAACCACGCTGAAGGACTGAGCAAGGTTATATTGTGCAGCAGTTCATGTTTCGCCTCGCCTCTGTCGGCTACCTTGAGTGTCGTGCAGGTCGCGGCCTCCGAGCCGGGTAACATGAGGTAGTGAGAACCCAGGTTGAATGCAGAAGTGAGTTGCGGTCTTGTCCAACAAGCCCACGGCAAAGCGCATATGTATGGTTGTACCACAAGATATGGCAAAACTAGGCCGGCTGTTAGTGGTATTAGCTTGCGCAGAGCTTTGCTTCAACAGTTGTCCAAGAGCCTCGGGTCACACAGGAACAGTCTTCCCTAGAAAGGTTCTGGTCCGTTGTACCCCCCGGGCAGCCTTCTCTGGCCGACCTTTCAAGCATAATAACGAGTAAGCACACTTTGTGCGAGGGAGCCCCCGCGCTATTAAACTCTCTCACAGGCAACACAGCGCGTTGGCACGTCCTCCCATTCTCTCGTAAAAGAATGCCGTCTCTATCATCCTCCTCTCCTTTCTGTGACGTTTTCAGAAGGTAACAGCGAGTTCCCCGTCTGCGATTCAAAGTACGGACAAGATGGATAATTCAGAAGAAACGAAAAACTATTTTCGGCAATATGAGAGCCAGGTCATCCTCCTGACCGGGGCCACAGGAAGCCTAGGAGGTTGTCTGCTGCATAAGTTAGCTTTGCGATTGCCCACAAAGAAGATCTATGCGTTGTGTCGCAAATCGATCGGTGATGCGATACGGAAGTGGGAGGTGACCATGCCAGAGCAGATCGAAGATATCCTGGACTCGGGCAAGGTCGAATTCATAATTGGAGATTTGTCCAAGTCGAGCTTAGGGCTAGAGGCCGCCGTCCACGAAAGATTGCGCAACGAAGTTACGACAATCATCAACACAGCTGCGAACATCTCCCTCGTCCAGGCCCTTGCAGATTCGTTGAAAGACAACTGTCAGACCGCTACAGCTCTGTTCCACGCCGCATCCAAATTCAAGAACTTGCAGCTCTTCATCCATTTCTCGAGCCTATCGGTGGGCAGTTTCCTCTCCGGAGGTCTCGTTGAGGAGCGGCTCTATCCCTCGCCGGACGATGTTTCGGACCCAGAAACGGATGCTGCAGGGCTCCCAGGGGCAGACCCATCTATACTGCTTTCGGACAATCGATATGCTTGGCCGTATGCTCAGGCAAAACATCTAGCCGAGCGACTCCTCCTCCGTGAGCCACCACCTGTTCCGGTCCTCATTATCCGTCCGTCAGCAATTGGACCAGCGATGGCTGAGCCGTTCCCCCTATATGGGCCAGATAGCGCGATTCCCCTACACCAGATGTTGCTCACGTTCACGCTGTCCGACCAGGATATGGAGCGCGTGGCCACGCACCACGACTTCGAGGAAGTCCCGGTTGACCTTGTCGCTAATTGCTGCCTCCTCCATCTCGCACATCGAACCACTGGTGTTGTTCATTGTTCTTCTGAGTTGTACGTGACGAGAACAGGCGCAGACGTCCTATCCACGGCGAGAGAATGCATCACGCCGGTGGAGATGGCGGAGGTGTTTCAGAAGCAGCGAGCTGTGGCGGCGTTCATGTGGCAAAACAAATATCAACTAGACCAGATTGATCAGGTGCCGACTTGGACTGTCAAGTGCGAGAGATCAGTTTACCAGAAGCAACTTACCGGACCGTTGGCGCTTGTTCCGGCTCAACACGATCCCCAGCAGCACCTGCGGCGGCGGATTCGAAAGATGTATCGCTTTTTATTAAATAGCCCAGATGGACGGCAGTGACGACGGACCCGGGCTCTCAGAAAAGAAAAAGTTGATTTCAAGATAATCCAGAAATGTAATGAATGTAGAGAGAAACCAAGCCTGGAGTCAACGATCACGGTCGCGTCTGTCGGGCAACCGAGTCACGACGCTCGCGCGTTCCATTCTCGCAGGAGCGAAAGCCGTCCTTGCACCTTCAGTATCCATGACAGATCGATGATCCAAGATGACCACGCACTCGGGTGTTTCTTGCCACGGAACTTCCAGTGTTCTCCAGAGTCCAGTCGAGCCGCAAAGGTGGGAAGCGGATCGGAAGTTCCTGTTCGTCTTGGTACAGGCCAGCAGGTCACGTTATGGAGTACTCGCCCTGGATTTACCCTTTTGCTCCCTTGACGCTCTCTGGAACTTTTTGACCATCTCTGCAGTTGTGTAGCGCAAGTTGTGCATAGACGCATGCTGACCCCCAAGCCAGCGCCAAGCTCCATGATCCTTATCTAATTTGTCCTTCACCAGTCAAACAATTACTTCGGCGGATATTCTATGGCCTATGACAAGCCATTGAGGCCCCAGTTATTGGTATCGCGGCTCTTACATTAATATTGACAGTCACGCGAGTGCAACCCTTAATCAAACCATGCCCGTCAGATGATATATATTTGTACGAAGCTCGGAATGTTTCCGATTGAATGCTTTCACCTTGGAGTAACAACAGCATTTTCAGAGATCTTCCAGGTCCTCAGCAGTGCTATATTCTCTAGAAAGCACTTCAAAAAGGCCATATGAGCAGATATCCACGCTGGTGGGTGGAAAAGGCCCTCCAAAGTCCGCTCGACGGTCGTTTAGGCTTCCCAAATAGACAGACTTAACCGCAGGTCTTGGCTACCAAATCTGGTAATATTTACGAAGGATCCACAACACCGCATCCTTCTTTTATTCTCAAATCCAAGCACTGAAGCGCCTGGAAACATTTAATACAGGAGGAGAGGACCATGGAGGCTAGGATAACTACCGGAAATAGCACCAATAAGCACACATATCAACATACCACACAGTGTGCACACTGAGGGGTATAGTCGGACACGGTCTCGACCAAGCTGGCATAAACTTGAAGGCTTGACTACAGATGCAATGTCCGGTAGTACCGCCCCTTTATCTTCTCACACGTGACACGGCTGTTCTCGAGTTACAACATCCCAATATACTGGCCGAAGGAGGTCTCACAAGGAAGGTTGAGTACGAGCATATTAAGCTATCGGTGGATATCCTGTCTGATGGCGCTGTTTGCCTAAACATGGTGCGTCAGATGTCATTCCATCATGTTGCCGGAACCACGATCATATGCACTTTGTACCCCAAAGCCCCTTAGCCTAAAGTAGCTGCGTGCTAGAGCTTTGCTTCCCAATCGAATTGGAGCCCAGCAAAAGTTGAAACGGCGGCCGCTGTTGTGTTATTGAATGGAGATAAACTTGCAGAGTATACATATTTTTAGTGAGGAAGGGATGTCCCCGGGCTTTTCCTATCAGAATGCCAAGACAATTTGCTTTTATGATGAGCGGAGTTGATCACCTCCTAGCTATCTTACAATCTTCATCTCAATAAATCTTCAAATCCTTCCAAATAGACCCTCGTCCGTAACAATCTTACTCCCCAACGCAACAACACCCCCAAACGTACAGATAATCCCACTGAACAGCGCCAGTTCCAAAAACCCACCATACTTATCAACCAGCACACCACTAACCGGCGGGCCAACAAGCACCGCACACCCAACCATCGCAATCCCCGAACCTAGATACGTCCCAAACTCCTGCGGCCGCTTCACACACAATGTGATTGCTGCACTGCCTCCCGAAATAATCGTGCCAGACCAGAACCCGAAGATGACGGAATACACGATGAGCCCCGCGGTGCTGGTTGCTTCGTTCATGCAGCAGATTATGATCCCCGTTGCGATCCCGCCGATGCCGAAGGCGTTGAGGCGGCCGAATTTATCCGCGAGGATGCCTGGAATGATGCGGCCGAATGTGCTTGCGCCGTTGACGATTGCCACGAGGTATGAGGCGAGGGTTGGTTCTGTGCCGCGGGAGACGGCGTAGGTGGGGATAAAGAATAGTGGGGAGAACATTCCGAGGAGCATGAAGAAGAAGGACAGGCAGATGAGCATGAATAGTGGGTTCTTGAATGCGGAGCCGATGAAAAAAGCTGTTGTTCGTGGTGGTAGGCGCGCGGTTACCGTGAGGCACGAGAAGATCATTGTCGGGACCATGATGAAGGCAATAATTCTTATCGACCAGCCAAAGCCTAGGGAGGAGCTGTTGAGCATCTTTGAGAGGGCGATTGGGAAGACAATGCCGCCGACCGAAGACCCTGCCACTGCGATGCCCAGCGCTGCAGCACGCTTCTTGTCGAAGAACTGAGAGACTGCCGCCATTGCTGGAAACTGCAGGAGGCCTGTCGATATACCGACTAGGACTCCCTGGGCAAGCATGAAGTGCCAGTACTCCGTACAGAGGGATGTCATCATCAGGGCGAAGATATACACAACTGCGGCGGGGCGGAGGACCTGTGCTCAAGGCTGTTAGGGCATGTCCATTTACTGTATCGACGAGGTATACTTACCCACGCCCCATATCGATCAAATAGTGGCCCGCCAATTCCGCCAGCTGCGAATTGGAAGAACGCAGACAGGGAGCCAATCCAGGCGATCCGATCCGCGGACTCTCCGCGGAGTTGGTGTACGGCATAGTACTCTTGAAGTACGCCGAAGGAGTTGGCGAAGCCGAGAGTCGAGAATATGGTACAGGCAGCACCGGCTGCAACGAGCCATGCTTTGAGACCTCCATCTGGAGCTGGACCGAAGTTGTCTGTGGATGCTTTCTCGTTGGGGTTGGGTGTACCGGGAGTGTGAGATGCGGGCTCGTGTGCCTCGACGTCGGAAGAGGAGGGACGTGTCGTGATTGTGTTTCTGTCTGCCATAGTAATTGCTAGAGTAAAGGGATTTAAAGAATCAAGTGTTTTTTGGAAACAATAATGAGATATCGACGCACCTCATACCATCTGTACCGCGACTTTTTTATATGCTGTGGACGGGGTTAAGCCAGCAATCGGGGATAAGCCCAAACAGGAAAGGTTGACGGGAAAAGGCGAGCGACTCGGACCAAAAGCGCAGCGCTCTCCACAACAAGTCCGAGCAGCTTAGTCCAGCTGCTCTTGCTCACCCTTTTCTTTTTTTCCTTCGCAAACATCTGGTTTCGCTTTCGGATTTGAGGATGAACACTTCACCTGACGCTTTATAGATCGGAGTTTGTGCGAGATCGAGGCCGAGCCAAGAGCCAAGACGATTCGCGATGATCTCCCCAACAGCACCAGCGCCGGAGCGTCGCCGGAGAAGGCCAGCAGTGTGAGAGATTCTGCGTAAACCGTACACGAACAGCGTCGCTGACAACCCAGATCATGCACTTTGTGCCGGAGACGCAAGATAAGATGCAACCGCGAAAGCCCCTGCAGCAACTGCGTCAAATCGAAATGCGAACCGTGTGTATACGATAGCAACAATGTTTTGCGACCGCAGCATCATCTCGGATTTAGGCATACACTGGAGCTGGATCTCGCCAAAGTGTCGCAAACTTCGCACGCGCCACAAGCACCGGCACAATCCCAGGTCCAAGCAAACCGCGTCGAGATGCTGCCCCCTACCGCGAATGTATCCCAAGATTCGAGCACTGCGTGGCGATCAGTCCCGTCTAGCTCAAAGGGTTCTTGGTCGCGCACGAGCCAGTCAGCTGTTTCGGAAGTCGAGAGTCTGAGGAGTAAAATTCAGCGATTGGAAGAGCAGCTCTCAAAAGTCACGCAGGGGACTAGCTCCTCGCCGCGTCCGGATCCACGGCCTAGTATCGAGACGTCGACGTCGGGCATAGCGGGGACTTTTCACATCAATCGCGAGAGCCGCTTGGATGATGGACGGCACGCGATTAGTCGCAATGTAGTCATGCATAAGAGTCGGCTGTTTGGGCCGAGCCATTGGGCTCAAGGCGCATCGATGGTACGTGCCATGTCGCCAATGTGTCCGTGTACTGACCCAGTTAGTTCCGCGAGGTCTTTGAGATGATCGAGCCGCATATCCGCAAAGAAGACTCCAAGGCTGTCACCAGTCTTAAGAAGTGCAAGGAGCTGGCGCGAGTGATCAAAGCACAGCGAACGCCGCAATGGCCCACGCCGCCGACTTCAGATTTACCCCCGAAAGGCGTCGCAGATGAACTGGTCGATTGCTATCTACGGACGATCGAGACGACGTTTCGCATCCTGCATATACCGACTTTCAAAACCGATTACGATGCGCTGTGGGTTACGGATGCAAAACCAAGTATCGCGTTTACTGTTCAACTGAAGCTGGTTCTTGCGCTGGGTGCAATCACGTATGATGACTATTTCTCAATGAGACCTTCCGCCGTTCGATGGGTTTACGAGGCACACACCTGGCTTTCGGATCCGGACTTCAAGACTCGGTTAAATATTCAGTCCCTGCAGAGCAGGGTTCTTTTGATGATCGCACGGGAATGTATCAACGTGGGAGGTGACTCGACCTGGATCTCTGCCGGAGCGCTGCTCCGCACAGCGCTATACATGGGACTTCACAGAGACCCTTCCCACCTCCCGAACCGAACGACACTCGCTGCGGAGATGCGCCGGAGATTGTGGAATACCATTATGGAGCTTTGCCTGCAGGCAAGCATTGTCTCCGGCGGCGCCCCGCTGCTGTCCCTGGCCGACTTCGACTGTGAACCACCAGGAAATTTTGATGATGAGCAACTCTTGGCCGAAGACCCTGTAGCTAAGGGCGATGAAGAGTACACGCAAACGTTTATCGCCAGAGCGCTCCGTCAGACCTGGTCGCAGCGCCTCTCGATCGCTAAATTTCTCAACGATCTCAACTCCTATGGATCGTACCAAGACGCACTTGAATTGGATGCCGAGCTTAGAGCATCATACAGAACGATATGCCGAACACTTCGAGGCTATAGCTTAAAAAAAGGACCCTCGCCTTCGTCGTTCGAGACGCGCGTGCTCGACTTCATCATAAATTACTACCTCTGCTGCGCCCACTTGCCGTTTTTTGAGCCATCACTACGCGAGGCAGCATACGCCTTTTCAAGGAAGGTGATTGTCGAAAGTTCTCTGAAGCTCTGGTGCGACACCTACCCATCATCACCATTGGTGACATCATTGCCGCTTCGCGATGAGCCCGTCTCAAACCAGGATACCTTGACACGGCTTGTGACGTGCGGTTTTGGCTTCTTTCGCCTGGGCTCCATGATCTCGACCATGTACGTAGCATTGGAACTCAAGACGCAGCTTCAAGATGAAGACAGTCTAGGCCCGAACCCCTACCGCCGTGATCTGTTTTCGCTGATCTCGGAAGCCAAAGCACGGATGTGGACTACGATCGAATGTGGCGAGACTAACATTAAGGGATATCTGCTCGCCTCGATGATTACAGCGCAGATCGAGGGCCTTCGGCAAGGGGCAGAAAAGAGTAAAATGCCAGACCTGCTCCTCCAGGCAGCAGAGGAGGCGGAACAACGATGCCTAGCATTCTTGGAGAAGAAGGCTGGTCAGAGTGCCAGTAGTCTGGATGTCAGTATGATGGATGAGATGGGCCTGAATCGGACCCCGGCTTTTATGGGCGACTGGGAGTTTATTGTGAGTAACTCAAGTTCGAAAAGGCGCGACCGGTACTAATCAGTGGGGAAGATGTCGGAAGCCTTCTTCAATCTGGGTAATGGGGAACCCATCAGTTGGGTTCTGAACGACGAAAACCGACCATTTATGATGTGACGCAAATGAATATGCATCTGTCTTTTGAGTTAGGCAACAGTCACCACGCCAGCGAATCAAACAATGGATGAGCAAGCAATCAACACATCTGAGTCATTGCGGGAGCCAATTGGGGGCATTTATACTTATGCGGCTCAGCCTCACTTCGTCATACCTGGGGTGCACCTCTCAAACCCCACCAGCCAAGCAAGGCAGAGCCTGGATCAACCCTATAAATACTTCTCTCTCGCACCTTGTTTCTTTGTCTCTTCGAAGTCTGTTCCTGATCATTTGAGGCCACCACAAACACAGCAACATGTCTAACTCCGAGTATTCGCAAACATTGCAGCATATCACCGACGCCAAGCTTGAAGAACTCTCCAACAAGCGCCAAATCTTTCTGAAGCGCAAGCAATCTGCTTTGGAGGCAGCAAAGTTCTCGGAATCTCCGGTCGACAAGGTACGGGCTCTCGGCGATGGAGTAAAGTCTTGCTTCAATATAAGCGTCAAGGACGGACGCGTCGTCCACAGCTCGAGCGATCAGAGCCAGCTCGAGGTTGCCCTCTCGAATCTCGATCGCTTCCTCAAACAGGCCGAATATGATCCTGCAATCTCGCAGGATACTGTAGAGCGGTGGCACCAGTCGCTTCTGAGTCACCTCGACATTCAGACTCTCAAGTATGAGTACGCCACACTGTTCGCCCAGCTCACAATGGAGTGGCTGTCGGTCAAGAAGAATCGGAGCTCGGGGACGCCTGCCGTATCGAAGGACGACTTTGAACAGCTCGCAAGTGCTGCCAAGCTGGAATCGAGGAAGGAATGGGAAGAGTTTGTTTTCGCCCCCGCTGGCCAAGACGGCGAGACGGTCAAGGCGTTCCTCAATGACCTCTTTTCGGGCGTAGGACAGTCAGAACCGGTCGAAGTGACTGACAAAGAGCGGAATACGGAAAAGACGCTGCGATCGCTTCGCGACAGAGTGACGGCGTTTGAATCCAGCTTCACCAGGGCCTCCTTTGATGTTGGCATTTTAAACTGGGTGATCAACGGTCTCCTGCACTCCGATTTGGTGACCGATAAACAACGCGCTGTCTTACGAGACTTTCGGAACGATAAAACCGTCCTTACTGAACTGGCGGACGTGCTCAATATGCGAATGGCAGGTCTCCATGCATGGACCTGGGGACCCTCTGTAGCGGTCGAACAGAGACGCCAAATGAACGGAACGTACCAAATCTACATGCACGAAGACCTCATCCAGGCCATATTTTTGCAGTACATCGGCGTTAAGTGGTCAGTGTTCTTCAAATCCGCGTTGCAGGATTTCAGAAAGACAAAGGGCTATTGGAAGTCGCTGCGGTCGACTGTCCCAGTGATCGACAAGAAGCGACGTGACTTCTTCCTCGAGAAACGCGGGGACAAGCCCAGCCTGCAAATCATAAAGGAAGCAATTCATCGACGAGCGTACTTTGTCTCGCAACTCCTTGACAACGAGTACCAAATCAGGAAACAGGAGGAAGGCGAGGAAGAAGCTAATTACGCTCCCTCACAAGGACCAGCACACCGGTCGCTACAGAAGAAACGATCGATGAAGGCCGCCTCTTTTGTCGACGTCGAGGCGGCTATGGAAGACCAATTTGAGGAGGAGGAAGAGTCCGACGAGGATATGGGATTTGGACTGTTCGACGGCGACGATGGTAATTTCGATCCCGATCTCACCTACGATGATCACAGGGCCGGGAATGTCAAGACGCCTGCCAACCAAATGCAGGCAAAGCAGAATCTGCTGCTTCTGCTGAGCGCGGACACGATCATCAACAAACGGCTCCATGGCGAAATTACATGTTTTCGAGCTCAGTACGAGTCGCTGTACCCGAGTCTACCGCACCCGACTATCCTCGCTGTCCTCCAGTTCCTTGGTGTATCGGAGAAGTGGCTGACATTCTTTGAAAAGTTCTTGACGGCTCCGTTGAGGTTCACTGATGAACCTGACACCGAACCGCGTACGCGCCAGCGGGGTACTCCAGGATCGCACGTGCTCAGCGAGGTGTTTGGGGAAGTAACTCTGTTCTGCCTCGACTTCATGATCAACAAAGAGTGTAATGGCGAGATACTCTGGAGAGTAAACGACGATATGTGGTTCTGGTCACACGAGCAGCAGACGTGCGTTGCAGCGTGGCAAGCTATCCAACGATTCAACAAGACCATGGGTATTTCGGTGAGCGCAGACAAGAGTGGCGGCGCACATATCAAAGCGCAGCCTGCCCAGAAGTCGACACTCCACTCGTCCCTACCCAGCGGCAAGATTCGATGGGGCATGCTCTACCTTAATTCCGGAACCGGCCGGTTCGAGATCGACCAGGAGATGGTCGACGACCACATCAAGGAAATGCAGCGCCAGCTTGACGATAAGCAAGGCAGTGTCTTTGGCTGGATTCAGGCCTGGAACTCCTACGCCTCGACATTCTTCACGTACAACTTTGGCAAGCCCGCAAATTGCTTCGGCCAAGCGCACGTGGACATGATGTTGCGAACTCACGAGCGTATCCAGCGGGAGGTATTCTCGCTCGGCCCCGACGGCGGTAAAGGGGAGAGCAGCGTGATCACATACCTGCGTGACACCATCCGGTCTCGCTTTGGAACGGAGAACATCCCCGATGGCTACTTTTTCCTCCCCATCGACCTCGGCGGCCTCGAGCTATCCAGCCCATTTATCAACCTCGTTAGCCTCCACGACTCTGTGGTCGCAGACCCAAACACACTCCTCGATGAGTTTCTCGAAGCCGAGCAAAGCGCTTACGCTTCGTTGAAGCGCCGCTACTCTAACACGGACAAAGACCGCCTCGCAGCGAAACAATCCTTCCGACCTGACGACATGGACACATTCATGTCATTCGAGGAGTACACGCGCCACCGCGAACTCCTCGACTACGGGTTCGCAAAACAACTCGTCTCAATCTACGACCAGCTGCTTAAACGCCCAAAGCCCGAAGATATCGAGCAGGATGTCTCAGGTCCCGTCACGCTCGGCCTTAGCCAGCTCCAATCGCAGACTAATCTATCTGGGATCAAGTCGCCGTGGCGGCACATGTCGTCGTACTGGAAGTGGATTGCGCAGCTGTATGGGCCTGAGCTCGTGGAGCGGTTTGGAGGGTTCAATGTGGTCGACCCGGGATTGTTGCCCATTGGGCTGGTTAGTCAGTTCCGCAGTGGGAGGGTGAATTGGGCGGAGAAATAAGGCTTCGTTTTATTTCTAATGTAGGTAGTGTGGCTGGACTGCATGAGTTGGGCTGGTCGATTTATCGTCTTCCAGCCTTCTGCAGGTCTACGTAGGATATATAGATCACAAGTCTTGCCAAAGCAGAGAATAATACAATCATGCACAGCTCATTCCTGCTTAAGTCCCGTCTTTGTCTCCGTATGCTCCACGCTCAACGGCCTATTGCGAATCAACACGCTCGCCACCGCCGCAATCCCCGCCATACAGGTGTACATGATCCAGACATTCCGCAAGCTCGCCGCAAACGCATCTGCCAGAGCCTCAACCATGACCGGATTCTGCACTGTCTTGATAAGCTCCGTACTCGCCGCCGCCGAAGACCCCGTGAGCCGCTCAACAAGCGCCTCCGCGATCCCAGCGCGTTGCAACGCGCCTCGCTCTCGCGCCATGCTGTTATGAAAGACCACACCCCCAACAACAATGGAAACGGACATGGCAAGCGTCCGAACAAACCCCAACATCCCCGTGGCGCTCGCCGTATCCTCCTGCCTGACCATCGCCTGCAGCGCAATCAGCGGCGGCGCAAACAGAAGCGCGGACCCGGCGCCCGCAAGGACCTGCAGGGCTACCAACTCCGCGAGCGAGGAATGCGGGTCCAGTCGGATGAATAGTCCAGTCCCCAGACAGAGCAGTGCAGTGCCGATCCAGATTTGCCCGAGGTATCTCCCCGTTCGGTGGATGAGATAGCCGGAGATCCCACTGAAGATGCCCTCGGCGACCACGAAAGGGAGGATGAGTAGGCCTGAGTGCATCGGGGAGGCCCGTTGGGCGGATTGGAAGTAGAGGGGGAGGTAGTATTCGCAGGCGATGAAGACCTGAAAGAAAGTTTTGCAGGGTTAGAGAGCGCTGGGAAGATGGAAGGCCCAATGGAGTACTACTTACTGCGCCGTGGAATAGAGTGACGAGTAGGGTTGCAACAACCGAGCGGTCTTTCAATAGCTCAAGAGGCATGAGCGGATATTTAGCCACGTACTTCTCCCCATAGTAGAACAGCCCTATACACAGTGACCCAAAGACAAGGAGACAGATGACATTCGCCGAATCCCAGGGGAAGACTTCCCCGCCGAAATTCAGACCCAGCAGGACCATTAGCGTGAAGCCCAAGATGGACGCGCTGCCCAGCCAGTCGATTGCCTTGAGACCGTCGATCATGGGGGTTCGTGGGTTATGGACGTCGAGATAGAAAAAGAGGAGGACAAATGCGATTGCGCAGATGGGGAGGTTGATCCAAAAGTTCCAGCGCCACGAGACGTATTCGGAGAAGACACCGCCGAGGATGGGGCCCAGGCCGCCAGAGATTGTCCACATGAATTCGAGGATGCCCATATAAAGGCCTCTTTCTCTGGGACCTGTCAGTTTCACACAATGTCCAACATCAATCACATCATACCACAACTCACCGCACACTAAACAAATCCGAAACAACAACCATAACAAGCTGCAGCAGCCCACCCCCGGCAGTCCCCTGCACCGCTCTCCCCGCAATGAGCATGTTCATATCCACCGCTGCGGCACAAACAATGGAGCTAAGGAAGAACAACAGCACGGCCGCGAGTAGAATTGGCTTGCGGCCCCAGATATCCGACGCCTTGGTCCAGATTGGAGCTGCGGCTGCACTGGCTAGCAGGTATGCGCCTCCCACCCAGGTGTAGCCACTTGCAGAGTTGAGGCGCGATGCGATTATTGGGAGGGAGGTTGCGACGATTGTTTGGTCGAGGGCGGCGATGAAGAGGGATAACTGGTGCATAGCGTGGTGTTAGGTACGATTGGGCACTGCATTTCAGCGAAGGAGGGAAATAGGGGTTCATCGAGGTAGCTCACGCAGAGGGCAGTCATCAAAGCGACGATTCGAATTCTACCACCCTCGACTGCTTCATTCTGCCCATCGGCAGAGATTGGAGGGAGCTGGCCGGATCCGACTCTGTCACCGTTGGGGTTCGATTGAGCGTTCAGGGATACCGTCGTCTTGGCTGCATCGGGCACTCTATCCTCCTGGATAGTTGTGAGCTCAATCTCCTCTAGAGTCATAGTCATCGACATCGTGCGGGTATCATGCATATAATGCCAATATGTAATTGATAGCCAATATTGTACCTGGACGAATTGAGCCAAGGGAGCCTCTTATACAAGGACTGCCAATACAACGCCGATTAGCGGTCACAAACAACCAGGAATCGAGATCCTTCTGCTTTGAAACAAGCAGACCCCGGAATGTCTCAGATCGTTATTGCCGGCATTTGGCGTGACAAATTTAGCCAGGCCCAGAAACAAGCCACCTCGGAGATGCGAGCGCGTGCGTCCGATTGGTCCGTCCCATACAGGCGATGCGACGAATGGAGGTACCTCCATGAAGCCAGGCACGCATCTGATTCCAAGGTCCAGATTCAATTGTCGACCGTGGTGACGGCGCAGGCCAAGAGTAGTAAATCAGGCAGAGCACGGTATCCGTTTAATTGTTCCAATCAAATAGCTATAGATCTACAAGTTGAGGACCTCGGCCTTTGAGTCGGGCAGGCAGTACCTAACGAAACTATGCAAGATGGAAGGATTCACTGAGTCATACTACTAGTAGGCCAGTGTAGTAACAGATATATAATTGTTATAGGAGCACTAACAACTTCCGGCCTATTACAGATAAAACCGCGAGATATGCCGATAATGGAAGCATGGTCTCCCACGAGGAGACGCAGCGGACAGACAGCCAAGCCTGGCTAACATCGTCGTGGTACGTGACATAGAAGCTTCCATCCGAGTTATATTTCACCCGTGCTACGGTGGTTTCGCGTGGTCGCTGGCTGGCAAAGTCGATGCCTGCAGCATTCTTGACAAGGGTGTCAAAGTCCAGAATCTCGTGCCTGTAATGGATACCTCCGGTGACGTCGGCAACAAAGAAACCGCTTGTTTGGGGTAATATGAATCATGGTGTTGCTGCTGGGGATGATCTGGTTGAGTTGTTCCACGCGCAAGTGTCCCGCGATGAGATTGAATGAAAGCCAGGAGGAGGGATGTAGGAAAGGGGGTGAGAAGTGGAGGAGTGGGAAGCGTACAATTGCAACAAGGCCAACAACTCGAGAGCGCCCGTCGGGCTTGTTGATGACTCTTTCAAGCCCAAGGGGAGACGAAATCGTAGTGTCTCTGCTCGCCTGCATGTGGGCTTCAGACCCATGAATCGCGCCACCAGTGTTTTCGGCCATGCTAGCTAGGCAGACTGCGTCAACAGGCTAACAGGGAAGCAATCAGTGCAGGGCTTATCACAGACAATACCTCTCCTCTGTCTCCAGAAACTCTTCCGCTCTCACTCGAATAGCTATGACGAGAGAAAAAGCTCACCATCGGCAAAAGGATACCACGGGGGGATCGGAACTGCATAGTGACTGCTTAGTCTTTCAAATATCGATCTGGAATCTCAATTCGATCTTGTGATTCCTGCGCTTACCCCACATAAAACGAACAGGTGCCTATTATGCAACTTGGGAGGAACACCCTGGTACTGTAGGCAATTCCAATGAATTGTCGAGGGTCGAAGGTGTCCGTCAGCTTGAGGACGACATTTGAGTTACATGCGTTTCAAGTAAGGGATGCGAAGCAAGGCAGCATCATGCCCAGCAGCGTTCCCTTGGGGTGAATGGAATGCAGCAGGCTGATCCAGTCCAACACTTGGCAGCCAATCGTGGTGGCTACACTAGGGGGGTGTTTCCCGTCGGGTCCATGCTCTGGCCACCTTCCACTTCCAAGAGACACCCGGTATATACAATTCACACAGACTACAGAGTACCGACAGCCCGCCATCTATCCACGAACGCAGCTCTCACTGTGACTCGATCGGCCGAGCCCTTGCCCGACACAAGAGCCACATAATAGCCTGCCGCGCCCCTCAACTCAGCACTAGACTACATACACACGGACCAGAGAGTGACCCCGCGCCAACAGCCGTCAGCCGTCAGCTATCAGCCGGAGTTGGAGTTGACGGCATAGTAACGTCCGAACCCCGCATGACGGTAGACACTGATGGGTGAACTAACTCCTGCTCGAACCCTCTCTGACAACACAAGGAGATGTTAGTACCTTTGATTATATCATTTACAGGGCCAGGTCATTTTTTTCTGTCTTGCTGGAGTCTAATTGCGATTTTAGACTGATCTGGAACCCTTGTGATTTCCAGGCGAGGCATCACATCACCCTGTATGAAGCCCCCATATGCCATGACATGCCGGGGCGTTAGCAAAGCATTATGCAATATAAATAGCTTTGAGGATTCAATGAAACTCTATCCCCGTTGCTATTATTCGAAACGTAGGGTCCAGGAACGATATCCAAGGATAGTGTGCACCGGGCAACGAGTACAGATTTTCTTCCTGGATGAGTTGAAACTGCAAGTCGATTCCAGGGAGGATCCCACATGGCAGAGAACATCTCCTACAAAACATGATGGAAAAGCAGATTATACAACGAGCGCCACAGATTCCCCCCGGGAACCTCTCTTCCCCTCTTGCTAAGCGCAACGTGCTTCCCAGTCTCCTTTCCACCCCAACCCTTCGACCCAGACGCAGACACCGACAGAGGTGCAGAAGCCTGCACGTCCTTCTTCACGGCGGGCCTCGCCTCCGCAACCGCATTCGCCTTCACCAACACCTCATCCCACTCTCTATCCGCCTCACTAAGCCACGTAATGGCGCCACCGGCGCCGAGTTCCAGCTCGTTACCTGTCCGGACAATCGTGCGGATGACGACGGATTGGTCGACGCTGCCGCTTGCGCAGAGGTAGCCGAGACTTCCGGAGTAGATCCCTCGTTCGCGGTGCTGCTCGAGGCCGTCGAGGATTTGCACGGAGCGCAGTTTGGGCGCGCCAGTCATGGAGCCTGGGGGGAAGCAGCGCTCGATTACTTTTACCCTGCTGATTGAGGGTGGAATGTTGGATTGTATTGTTGTGACGAGCTGTGGGGGGTTAGATGAGGATTCAATGAGAGAGAGCCTGGTGGGATGCGGAGAGGGTACGTACCTGGTGGACGGTTTCGTAGCTCTCCACGTGTAGCAGCTTCGGCACCTTGATTGAAGTTGAAGGAGATATATTGTGGAGGTCGGAGCGGATCAAATCGACGATCTGGATCTGTCAGGCATCGCCTTCTTCCAAGAGAAAAGGGGCACATACCATGAGATTCTCAGCGAGTTCCTTAACGTCAGTCGCGAGTTGATTCTTCCGCCGCTCGTCCTCCACCGGATCAGGGCTTACGGCCAGCGTCCCCTTGATGGGCTTCATCTCTGCAACGCCGCTGGGATCAACAGATATAAACCGCTCCGGAGAGGAAGAGAGGATAGATAAGTCGTGTGAAGGGAAATTGATATAAGCGGAGTAAGGCGCTGGGTTCCGAGCTCTGAGTGCCAGGTATAGTGAATATGGGTCGACCTTGGGGCTTTGGGCCTGGAACTTTGTGGTTAAGGTTAGTTCGTAGGTTTCTCCCTCCTTAATAGCCTCTTGGGCCTCGCGGATCGTCTGAGAATACGAGTCTTCATTATCCAGGGCGACGAACGGCGGCAATGATTCTGGTTTGCTGGATGGTAGTTGCGATGCAGCGAAGACCGTTCGAGCTCGAGTGACCAGGTTGTCGAACTGGATCTCGCTGATCCCCACATTCTGGCGGGCCCCGATAAACTGCCCGATGGGATCATGGTTGCCTTGCTGAATCAGGCCGAACAGTGTCCACTCGCCTGTATAGTTGTCCAGACGGAAGACAGTGTTCGAGAATAACAGCCGACTGTCAGAATGGCCTCGGGCACCTTGAGCCGACGGTGTATACGCGTATCCCGGAAGCGACTCCCTCTTCAGTTCGTATCCAAAGTAACCGAGGAGTCCGACCTGAAGAAGCGGCTGGCCGACCTCTGTCTCTTGACCAAGGAGATCAGGGGACAGAGTTTCGATGTTGTTTTGAATGATATCCTGGTGGAAGTGCTCAAGCCATGTCCAATAGCTCGCCTGAAGGCGCTGCGTGGCGAGCTCAGCCCCATTCTGGAATATCGAAAGCGACTGCGTCTTGGTTGCATAACTGAGTGCAAACGCGGCCGAGGCAAAGTATGAGTTTCGTGAATGGCTATCGCGGACTTTGGCACTGTCCAGCCATACCTCGCCGTCTGCAGAGGTCCCTTTGACTAGACTCTGGAAAACCAGTGGAGCTGGGGGACCTTTGCCCAGGGCAACCGACTTGACAACATATGCGAAGTCTTCGGGTGAGGAGGCCGCGGACTCAACTTGTGCTTCGCGCCGGGCAGCTTGCTTGACGATGACATTCGCGTCTTGAATGTGCTGAGGGAGGGCGGCATTCTTCACAATCTCACGGCTGGTCCACCGGTTCCACGGTGCTCGCTGCGCCCAGAAGTCAAGCGCAATATTTCGGAAATTGTGCAGGATCTGCGACCCATAGGCGGAGCACACACTCTCCGGGTGCCACTGCGTGCCAAAGATTGGGCGGTATCGATGCTGAATGCCCATAAGGACTTTACGCGATTTATCTTCCGGGTCATACGTCCACGCCGTAGCTTCAAGATCTGACGGGAGATCTACACCGTATTAGCGGTGATTCGACCATTGGAGACAAGTACGTACTGTCATAGCCAAGCACAAGACTATTATACCTCACGGCGTCGAATCCCTGCGGCAAGTCCTTGAGGACACCGATGCCCTTGTGACTGACCTGGCATATCTGACCGTGCTTGATGTTCGGGGTATGAATGATCCTCGCGCCAAATGTCGTCCCAATGCCCTGATGACCAAGGCAGATGCCTAGGATGGGGATATTCGCTTCGGTGATGAGGCGCGAGTCGAACCCAAAGTCCGCCTCGCGCTCTGGGCTGCCGGGGCCCGGCGATAGAATGATGGCATCTAGGGAAGGAAGAAGCTCGGTTGAGAAGGTTTCCCTGGTGATGGAATGGTCAGATGGGACATCAAGAGGAAGGAGCAAGTGAAAACCGCAAAGGGAAGGAGCTATGGGCGGTGGTACATACCACGAAAACTGATCAAACCGCACAATGGCAACGCTCCATTCGGGGTATTCCTGGCCGGACTCATCTAACCCGGTGCCCTGGAGGAGCTGAAGGATGTTGTTCGTGTAGGAGTCATAATGGTCGATGATGAGGACTTTCAATGTACCCATTTTCACTCAAGTATAATGGAAGCTGCAGTGGTATGCACTTCCTGCTAAGCTACGCCAACTCACCTTGCTAGGTCTATTTAATGTTTCTGCACGGGTCCTGGTGTGGCTGTCATGTCGACATGCTGCCGAGACTCAGCCAGCCGCGTGAGCACGGAATACTCCAATCCTGCTTTCGCTCGAGGATTAGAGCATGGTACCTCCATGTCCGATTAGCAGCCGCGGTACGCTCATGCGATTCCCCTGCAGGGTTGCAACTGAACTGAATCCTGACTGGGATTGTAGATGGCATCATCGTGAGAGTTATTCTTTCATGCAGGCATCTTCGAACAATAGGCTACTATCTGGACAAAGCCGTTGTCCATCTCCGACAATCTGCACGGATTAAATTAGATCTACCAAAGTGTTCTGCCTCTGATAGGCCGCTACCTCGTGAACAGATCTAAGCGGGGAGTGCACAATGTGGGGGGCATATGCCGTGCTCGCATTCGACGAGATTCCATTCGACGATTCCAAGAAACGTCCGGAGATAAGATGGCCTTGCAGAAGTCGATCTTGCAGGGTCGTCAAGTTTGCACATGTTTGGCATAGACAGGTGGACCTGCAGCCTGCACGCCCTAACAGCGTCGTGGATGATGCCTTTTGTGGCCCGCAGCGATACGGATCCTCTGAGCAGAAATGGTGAGAAAACGCTAGACATGGCGTCATCTGTGCATGGAGCTAATGTGGGCGCGTCTACCTCGCATAGAGCTCAGCGGTCCCTCCCGACCCTTAATAGAATCGTGGTTCCGATTTTCTTTGTTAAGGCTAGCTCGCCCCTCGGAGATTTCGACCTGGTCCCCTCCTGTCCTGCATTCTCCGTCTCCGCTCCTGCCCCTACGGCTCCGCAGCCCCAGCTGCAGTCATTTGCTCTCCGTAACCCAACGCCTGCTGTATTTCTCCGCCCGCCATGCCTGCACCCGCCCGAGGACGAGGAGGTCGCCCAACTCCGCAGGGCCCCTTTGCCTGCCAGGAGTGCGGCAAGGTCTTTGAGCGCAGTAAGTCGCGTCACCTCCGATCATGGCAACTAGCGGGGCAATGCAAGCTGACACGATGTCGCAGAAGAATATCGCGACAAGCATTACCGGCGGTGCCTCCGCGCCGCCAATGAACCCCGACAGACCCGGCAGCGCTCGTGCGTCTCGTGCGTGGCCAGCAAGCTCGGCTGCGACCAGCGCCTCCCGACGTGTTCGCGCTGCGCGTTGCGCGGACGGCGCTGCCAGTATGCGACCGGGCCCAAGTCGCATCCGCGCAGTGAGCAGCCGGATACCAACCTCTCGGGCCCTGAAGAGCTCGTTCAACACGAGCTGACCATCCATTACGACGACTCCCTTGGTCCTGAGCCTGGACTTGGAGCCGGTGACGAGGAGGCCGAGATGGATCTCAACCCAAATGGCGCCTTGTCGCGGAATAGCGGTTCCGCGAATGGACACGGCCTTGGAGATGGCAATGGCAACGGAAATGGAAACGGGGCATGGGCGATGAATAATGCCAATGTCGCTGGGCAGCAGAGCCCTGACCGCTCCATGAAAGATGTCAATATGATGTCCGATTGGCTTCGACAGAGCCCGTCACAGCAAGGCTTTCTCCTTAACAATGACTCTACGTACAGATGGCCGTCACGCAGTCCGTCCCTGGCCATGGGTGAGGCAACCTCGATGGCGCCAGAGTGGGACGATACGTTCCAGTTTGGGATGATGGGGATGGGCAATGACATGAACTTTGATCTTCTCGGCTCGCTGGGCGTCCTGCCGCCGAGGTCTACGGTCCCAAGCGTGACGCCTGCGCCGCGTCCATTGTTGAGCAGCAGACGCAATACAGAGCCAGCGCCGCAGCAGCCACCGCAACAGCAACAGCAACCGTCCACCACACTGAGCACATCCCACCAGGACCAAACCTTTCGCGACTACATCCCCACCTCATACACCCAACAAGCCACCGCAACCACACTCCTCACGCAACCCACTCACCAACTCACCTCTCCAATATCAACCTCACCCCCCAGCACATCCTGCCCCTTCGCCAAACTCACCTCGGACCTCGACACCATCGACATCATCTGCAGCTACCCGCGCCTCATGCTGCGGCCGGGGATCTACCCGCCCTTCGTCCACCACAAGATCTACCCCTGCGCCGAGGGCGAGATCCTCGAACCGCTGGCCAAAGCCTTCTGCTGCGTCGGCGCGTTCTACGCGTCCGTCAAGACGAGCGAGGGGTTCGTGTATCAGCTGATGAATAACGAGAGTAGGCGGCTTGTCAACGGGTTTGTATGTCGCCCTCCCCTTTCCCTTAGCTGTACCCGCTGCTTGAATGTGCAAGTGCTGATACTGACCGTGTGCAGCAACTCTGGTCCACCTCGGACCACAGCATGCTCGCCGCCGTCCACGCAATGGCCATCTACCAGATCCTCGGCTTCTTCACCAGCACGAACCCCGAGCAGACGCGCCTCGCCGAACTCCAGCAGCTGTTCTTCCTCAAGATGGTCCGCAAGCTGATAAGCACACACCTCCCGCCGCGCCAGCACCCACCTTCATCCTCCCCTGCTACCTCCTCCCAATCCACCATCAACAACAGCAACAGCAATAACAGCACCGACGAAGCCATCTTCGGAACTGACTGGCGCAAATGGCTCATCACCGAGACGATCCGGCGGACGGTCTTCCTCGCAAACACGATAAACACGCTCTCCTATCGAACGCAGAAGCAGAATCCCTACTACTACGAGGCGCTGGATGATGATTCTGTATTGAATATGTTGTTGCCGGCGCCGATGAGTGTGTGGAAGGCGAGCTCAGAGGAGGAGTGGTTGGCTGCGAGGGGGACTCTGAGTGCGGAGGAGAGGGGGAGGGCGCGGATGACGGTGAGGATGGTGCTGGATCAGGTTTCGGGGCAGAGGACGGGGACTGGAGGCGGTGGTAGTGGTGGGCGGAGTGGGAGGAGGGCGAGGGATCGAGAAAGAGAAAGGGTGAATTTTGAGGAGCTGGATGAGTTTACGAGGGTGGTTATTTCGATGGCAAAGGCGTATTGACTTGCTCAATGATATAGACTCGAATATCTGGTGATTTGGGTACAACTCCATTCTCCTATGCTGTGCTGGAATCAATGCAAGAACCACTAACCACTTCCATGTTACTTCCTCATCGGCCTACATACAGATCTTCCCCTCCCACACCATCCAGTTCACCGGCCTTACCACCCCACAGAACAATTTCAATCTCAAAAAGCAGACTGCCCATCCAAAATCACAAACCTCTCCGAGAACCCCTTGCCCGTCTTGGTAACAGACTCAATACTCTCCTGGTCCCGAACAAGAATCACATTCTCCGGATATAACTTGCCCAGTAGCGCCAGCTTTATGATCGGGTCGGCCACGGGGATGACGTGGATTGCAGGTGCGCTATTGCTGTTTCCCTCATCTCGGCGGGCGCGAGGCGAGATGACCAGTCCCGGCTGGGATAGGATGTCGGCGACTTTGTGGACGAGGGTTCGGGGCAGCTCTTTCACTTGGACGCCGTTGGACTTTGGACCGGCGGTTCCGTTTGGCTTGCTGGCGTTGACCTGCAAGTCGTAGGCGTATCGCCGGCCGCGAGTGATTTGGCCCAGATCGACCGCGATACCGATTCCCGACTCGAGGGTGAGCTGAAGGCGGACGATTCGGCGACGGGCGTCGTTGTGTGTAGAATCGATGGCGATCGACGAGGACTGCAGCGCGCACGAGTCGAATGGAAGGAGCGAAGAGAGATTCCACTTTGTCACGCTCTTGACGTCTTCATCTTCTTCGCTGTTCTGCAAGACTGTCCGCGGCGCGTTGATGTATTCGGTATGTTCATAGTCGAGGAGCAGATCGACACTGCTGTCGTCTAGTCTTGCGGGATGGTATCGCAGGAGGTGGATCGAGTTGGAGCCGGATAAGAATGCAGGAAGGACGAGGCCGTGGGCATACTGGAAGCCGTAGCCGCCGCGGGGAAGGCCTCGAGAGGTGAAGACTTTGGCGAGATTGACAATGGCCTGATGCTGCACGGCACCAGTCATGCATTGGACCAAGAAGAACTTGCGGGCTTCTTCAAAGTCGCGGATTCCTCGCGAAGATGACTCGGGGATGACCAGCGGGACGTCGGTAAAGTTTTCAAAAGGGAGCAGACTGTCGCGCAGGAGAATCATTCGATGGAGCCACTCGTTGTATAACTCCATCAGCTGCGCATTGCCTCGCGGGCCGGTGAGTAGGGCTGCGACTGCCGGCGTCCACAGGTGGCCCTCGCAGGGACTACGGATTGCCAGACGGGGGCTGATCTCGCGGACGGGCGCATCTCTGACAAAGCCGATGATGGTCTTTGCGATGCGATGCGCTTGAATAATGATCTCAGTGCGGGTTCGGTCCTGGGGACTCGGCGTAAGGGGAAACGTGGATTCGCGACCGGTCGTGGCAAGAGACGCCTGGAGGCCGTCGATCAAAACCTCCCTCGCGGTCGGCCCTCTGGCAGGATCCGCCCCAAGTCTGGCGACGATGACATCGAGGAGGGGCGAGGTTCGCACGACCAGCTGGTGGATGTTGTAGACCCCCGGCGGGGTCGTGGTTGCGGCAGACCAGATGTCATCCAGGGAGCCGATCTCCATCGATCTGCTTATACCAGCAAAGGAGGCAGGGACAGTGAGACTGTGGCCGATGGGCAGGTTCCCGAGATTGGCAAGGCGATAGGGAATGGAGGCAACAAGGGACATGATTCGCAAGGGGAGAGTGATGGGCTCAGGGCGATGACGACTGAAGGGACCCTGATGATTAAACAGCCTCGAAGAAGTACTCGATCCCACTTGCCTGGTCTGCGCCGCAAAGTCAAATGACGAGGCACCGATACGAGACCAAGGCAGGAACTGCAAGGCAAGGAACTGCGAGTTGGCGGTATCGCAAAGAATTGCCTCTTCATGTTCAGCAAGTGAAATCAAGTGTGGTGGTCGACTAGGTTGGCTTCGGAGTTTGGTGGCACTGGCCATCCAAGTCCGACATCCCACACGGCCGGGGACAATGAATGCCTTGCAGTGTCGGCGGTTGGTAATCTGTAATTGTAATCGATCTGCGCGAGTAACGTATTCACCACCAGTGATGATGCAAGGGGATGAAGAGTATAACTGATGCCCAGATGGAGGGACAAGATGGCTCAACATACACGTTGAGACATACGGCACAATGGCAGCATTGGTAGAATCCGCAAAGAAGGTCGCCTCGTTTGTCGGCACAGAGGGCGAGTACATGCTCCCCCACCACGCCAAAGAAATCGAGCGACTGCGGAAGCAACATGTATTCATGAACAGCACAACAGGCGGACAACTTCTCGTCGTTCCATTGGTAACTGAACCTGGGGACAAGAAACTCCGAGTGCTCGACTCTGGTGCAGCAGATGGTATGTTTTTCAGCCCAACTGTGCTCTTTGGGTACTAACAACATAGGAACATGGCTTCTGGATCTCCCCCGTCAGTTACCAACGTTCGACCTGGAGCTCTTTGGCGTCGATATCGGGTCGAGCCTCTTCCCACCAAAATCGACTGCCGACCTGCGAGCTCACGATATCCGGACCCCATTCCCCGAGTCTTGGAACTGGAAGGACAGCTTCGATGTCATTCACCAACGCCTTCTGATCTGGGGAATCAAATCGGCAGAATGGCCGACCGTCATACGAAACCTCAGTACCATTATCCGACCCGGAGGCTACATCCAACTCGTCGAAGCAGAATGGATCGATCCCAACAATCCCGCGTCGCCAGAGACACGACCCAATCTGAGTAAACAGGCCGCATTGCAGGTATGGTCGACCGAGAGCTTCGAGATGGACATCAACATTGCGTATAAGCTCGAGGATCTGTTAAAGGATGCTGGCTTCGAGGACGTGACCAAGGTCCAGTTCGATCATGGATACGGAGCGTTGGCCAGAGACCCGGAGCAGCGAAATGTGTCGGCGGAGCTGTGGGTGGATTGTTTTCGACCGTTGGGGGAGAAGATCCCAGGTAGGCTTCTGCCACAAAATAAGATGGAAGGAAACGAGCTGATCGTGATAGATGGCGGGATCCCGGGCGTGGCGGCCAACGCGGGGGAGTTTGCGGAGTTTATGGATGCGCTGGAGCTGGAGATCAAGACGTTTGGGTACCAGCCAAAGCTAAATTTTGTTTACGCAAGGAAGCCTTATTAGTTGGAAGGAGCGATCTGTGATGGGATCAGATCGTGCCTTCCCTTTGACAATGAATGTTATGGGAACGTTTGGGAAGGAGCAGCCACTCTCTACCATTTTTAGAACATTTAGAACGCCCTTCGCAATGCATCACATCTTTGATCTTGTATCAAGCCCGTTCAACATGGTCATTATATTCTAGCACTGTATATCCTATCATTTCAAGATAACATCTCTATCCCAACTAAAGATCACGTTGATACCCCTGGACAAACCCCGCAAACTCCCTAACAACATCCAACGCCTGATCAACCGACAGCCTCGGATCACACAGCGAAGTATAGCCCTCGGCCAGATCTTCAGGATCGGTCACATGGACCTCATCCAAGCACTCTGTCACTGCGTCCCCTGTCTGCTCAAGATGAATCCCACCAAGGTGACTCCCCAGTTCACGATGCACGGCATACGAGTCCTTCAACTCATGCAGCAGATCGCCGGCGCGGCGCGTCTTGTGTCCGTCTGCCGTCGTGAACGTGTTGCCGTGACATGGATCGGACATCCACACCGGTACGTGGCCGCTCAGTTGCACGGCGCGGATGAGGGCAGGGAGGACGGCGCGCACGCGCTTGTGGCCTAACCGCGTGATGAGCGTGATCTTGCCCGGCGGGCTGCGGTCTGGGGAGAGGACGTCCAGGAGCGCGACGATCTCTTCTGGCGTCGTAGACGGACCGATCTTCACCCCGACCGGGTTCCGAAGACCGCGTGCGTACTCAACATGTGCGCCATCTAGCTGGCGTGTGCGTTCGCCGAGCCAGATGGTCGTTGCGGAGAGGTTGTAGTCTTCTCTTGAGAGCGAGGATTCATAAGGTAAGTGCAGCGCCTCGTGGGAGGTGAAGGTGGCCGGTCCGGGTCCGGCAGCTTGCAGCTGGCGAAGTGTATTGTGCGCGACTGCAGAGTGGAAGTACCCGGCCAGCAACCTGGTTGGATCGGGCGCGCGGTCATTCTCGTCTTCCGAGTTGATGATGTGTCCGCGGAACGCATGCACGACTTGGCCCGAGGGCAACGTCTCGAGCGGGTTCGAGCGCGGTTTCGCAAATTGCCCGGCTATCCGCCCGACTCTGAGAACGGGCTTGTTCAGGGCTGCTTCCAGGATCCGGCCCTGTTCGTGGAGCAGCTCGACTTTGCGTCGGATGATGTCGTGTCGCACGTCGAGGAAGCTCTCTGCGCAGTCGCCGCCCTGGATGACAAAGGCTTTTCCGACTGCAGCGTTGTAAAAGTCGTGCCGTGCGACTTCGACCTCCTCCGGACTGACGAGCGGAGGCAGGTGCTTTAATGTGTCGCAGACTGTCTGGAGGACGTCTGGGTCCTCGTACTCGACGGCCTGCGCAGCGGGTTTGTCGCGCCATGAGTCGAGGGTCCATCGGGCCGGTGGCTCGGGAGAGAGCTCAACAACATTGACCTTCCAGTTGGCCCCCTTTTCCAACGGTACGAGGACGTCCGCTGCCTACAGCTGGTTAGCCTGCACTGCTGACATCCCTCTTCGGTTGACGAACCTTGAAAGTAGCCGTTGGAGCCATCCTATCTAGCACGACAGTCTAGTGTTGAATCCGGTCTATAGCAAGCGAGTTCTATCTCAACTGCTGGTTTCTTTCAATCTCACTAACGTGGGACACACTTATGTACAGCCTGCAAACTCGGTCCCCTCGTCCTACCCGCCATCCCACCACGTTTGCACAATGTTGCAGCTGAACGCCTCGTTCCTGCGTGATCGACATCCTGTCGACTCTCGCCTTCCCGATTTCATCAACAGAAGTACATGCAGGCGAGATGCGCTAGCGATGGTGAGATATGCAGGCCTGCAGGATGAATATTCGGTCGCCCTTCCCCGAAAGTCCGATCGGAGTCGGACGGCCGTGCCAACCCCCTGCGAACTCATACCTCGGAGGCGTTTGACCGTATCAACCGCCACAGCCGGAGACAGAGGGTCTGTTCTAGATCGCATCGGTTCGCGACCAGGGTAGCTCCTTGCCTGGTAGTCCAGCCACCTGTGGGCCAGACTCGCCTACTGTGCATGGACACGCTGCTCAGATGTATACGCTCGATAAACAACTACGGAAATCTCTTCTACGACCGGAGTGACGTGTAGCCCCTGATCCAAAACACCCAGTCTCATGAAATAACGCGATTTACATAACGTGAATCCCTAGTAGACAGATTCGGAACGAACAAAAAGAAGAACCAATCAACTACACTAAGCAGCAACAGCAACCCGGCCCTGTCCCCCATGCCCCTCCAGGGCCTTTGCACCATTCGCATCCCGCTGCATATCATCCGTCCAAGCGTCCGTATTCTTCCCCTTCTTGTGCAAATACGCCAAGCGCTCAACGACATGCTGCCCCGCAGTCACAGGCCCGTACTTTTTCGGATTCTCCGCCGTGCAGCACGCCTCGAGCGGCTCAACGAGCGCATCCCGATTCGGATGCCCAAACCAGGCAATCGCGTACCGCGCAGGGACGACCTCGGGGATTACCCCGTTCTCGTCGGGGCGTGGGGACGGAGACACGACGCGGTGCTCGGTCGAGCGCAGGCGGTCGTTGAACCAGCGGGCGAGGAGGTCGCCCACTATATACGCAGGATTAGTATTAGCAAGCCATACATAGCATAGAGTAGAATCTACAGCCTGAGTAAAGAGAATTGGAACGGGAGGAATACACACCGTTAATAATAGCACACCCCTCAATCGGCGGCGCATCGACATACTCCCCACTGGCCGTCCGCACCTGCAACCCGCCCGACTGGTCATTAAAGAGCAGCGTCAGCGTCCCGTAGTCCGTATGTGCGCCGGCACGCTGCCTCTGCGCGAAGCTGCCGCGCGTCGTCTCGGGATAATAAATGACGCGAAAGAAGTGATCCTTGTTATCGACAAAGGGCTCGAAGAACGCCTCGTCGACCCCCTGCACCTGGCTCGCGAGCGCGCGGAGCAAAACCAGGTGGACGTCGTGGCAGCGCTCAAAGAAGAAGTTCATATCGCTGCGGAATGCTTCGGACCATTTCCGCCCCTCTTCGCCCTCGAGCGCGGGCCACTGGTTCGGGCGCGTGGGGTCATTGTCATCGCCCACGTCAAACGCCTCCTTCTGGTCCGAGTGCGTGGTATCGCCGGACGTGCGCTGCGGCGAGAACCAGCCGTGGAAGGCTTTGGATTCACCAGTCTCGACTTTTGCTTTTTCCTCGACGGGGAGGGCGAAGAATGTCTTTGCGTGCGCGAAGAGGTTTGCGGTTGCGAAGGCGGGGATCGAGTGGTTGCGGAGGTAGACGAAGCCGACGGACACGAAGGCGTCAAAGAGGCGTTTCTTCTCGGCTGCGCTTTCGGCGAGCGCGTTGGGGGACCGGCTGATTGTCGGTGCGATGATTTTCGCAAAGTCGATGATGGGGAGGGAGGGGGTGGGAGTTGGCATTTTGCTGGAATGGGTTGGGTTGGGTTGTGCTATACTGGGACCTCGAAGGAAGGACAACAATAACTATGGTAGTGGCCTCTTGCTCAAGTGAGCTGGGCTGTTGAGGAATAGTCGCGATCCCATTTATGCCAATTACCACTCCTCCATCGCCATGGCATGATCAAGACCAGAAGATCAACTGCCAACCGCGACAACCGCGAGCCATCATCCCAGTCGTAAACCTCCAGGCCCCGCTTGAGCTGTCTCGGAGATAGTGAGATGAATCCCATTGTTTTCCGATCCCTGCAGAATCCGATCTCCTTCAGGGACGGGACGGCGTGGGGAGTACGATCAGCGTTCGGAGAGGGGTCTGCTTGCAGGCTGCATGATGTCGCCATCATGTACCTCAGATTGCTCCTGCAGGGACGAGATGGCGCGATAGTTGGAGTATACTCGAACCGAGGAATTGCGACAGAGATGAGGAAATTGGATAATGCGATGGAATGGAATAGATGCATGACTATGGCTGTCGGTGATGGAGATAAGAAGCGAGTTGGAGACGAGACATCATCGAGTAAACAAAGCGACAGTATTGCAGATAGCAGAAGTATCCCCAACGCAACGCAAAGATGGTTTTCACCTCACAGCTCCCCTTACCCTCCCCACCGTCCACAGACGTCTTCAACTTCATCTTCAACACGGGCCGGGACACATACCCCCGCGACCGAGTCCTGTACCGCGTGCACGAAACAGGCGAAACACTCACCCTCGACGAGCTCGAAACCCGCAGCCGCCGGTTCGCACAGGTCCTCGCGACCAAGTACTCCATCAAACCCAACGACGTCGTCGCATTCCTCGCCAACAATTCAATCCAGTATCCCATCGCCTTCTTTGGTGTGTTGGCTGCCGGCGCAACCATCTCGCCCATCCCCGTCCAGACGGGGCTGGATGTCCCCGCCGTCGTGCCGCGGCTCGAGCAGGCCGATGCAAAGCTGATCATCACGGACAGTACGCTGGGCGGTCTCGCCAAGGGGGCAGCAGAGGCGTACAAGAACATCCCGCTCGTCTCCCTGGACACCATCCCCTCGGACCCGTCCATCGCCTCCATCACCGAGCTCCTCGAAGCCGAGTCCGCACCGCATACGGGATTCGTCCTGGTCACACACGAGGAAACCGAATCTCACAACGCCTTCATCTACCGCACCTCGGGCTCCAGTGGAACAATCAAGTCCGTGCTAACGACACACGCCCACTGGGCCGCGAACCTGCTCACCACGAAACTCACCGTGCCCGCGGACACGGACCCGGCCACGGATACCTGGATCTCCTCCCTCCCCTTTGCATACGGGATCAACGCGAAGCTGAACCTGGGCCTGAACGTTCTCTTGGGTATCCCCGTGATCATCGTGCTCAAGCCATTCGACAAGGAGTCCCTCCACCTGATCGATACGTATGGGATTACCTTCCTGTTCGTCACGCCGCCGCTCGCGGCGCAGATTGCCAAGGCGGAGAAGACAAGTGAGACCACCTTTAAGAGTATAAAGTGGCTCCTCTCCGCGGGAGCCCCGCTGCACGAGAAGATCCGCGATGCGGTGCAGGACCGGTTCAATGGGGTCCCACTAACGCTGGAATGGGGCACGACCGAAACCCTGCTCATCGCGCTGCAGATCGACGAGAGGTCGCGCGTCCCCGGGTCCAGCGGGACGCTCGTCCACGGGATCGAAGCCCGCGTGATCGACCTCGATTCCGGCGCTGACCTGGGTCCCGGACAGAAAGGCGAGATCCTCGTCCGGAACACACTCGCGCGCTTCGCGGGGTACAAGGACAATGCAGAGGCGAACAAGGATTTCGACGAGGAGGGCTGGTTCCATTCCGGGGATGTGGGTTTTTTCGATGAGAGGTCCAACGTCTTCATCGTCGATCGACTCAAGGAGCTCCTGCGTGTCGGCGACGGGTACGGGACGCACGTTTCCGTCGGCGAGTTTGAGGCCGTCCTCTTTGACCACCCGGCTGTTGCGACGGCCATTGTCGTCGGGATCCGGGATGTCGAGACGCAGCAGGAGCATCCGACGGCGTTTGTCATTTTGCAACCGGGTGTTGAGCAGGAGAAGGACAAGGGGGATCTTGCGAAGTTGGCGGTTGAGATTGAGGCGTTTGTTGAGGAACGCCTTGGGTCGTTTAAGCGGTTGACAGGGGGCGTGTGGTTTGTGGAACGGTATCCGACTGTTGGGTACAAGATTAATCGGCAGCGGCTGAAGATTCTGGTGAGTCCTGGGGAGAGTAATCGGCAGCAGAGGTGGGTGGATGTGGGCGCTTAGATGCCTTTCAAGGATAGAGAGGAGTTCTTGTCGTCATTGCCTCTGTTACAATGCTAGCTCGCTCGGGTTTTCATTATTGTTATTTCCATGTTGGGACCAAGGAAGATAGGTTAATTCCAGCCTTGTGGTGCACTCAATAGGATTGCGGCCTATCTCGAGTCCGTTTGTGATGGCTGGGATTTTGGTCCCTATAATATAGATGGTCAGGCGAAGCACTTCTATAATTCTGCTGCAAATTATCTTACGCTATTTGATAAAGCATATACTACCTGTGAATCTATTAGATGGATTCCGATCAAGAGTATATAGAATGGAGTTCCAAGGTGACAATTTCCCTAACGATATCCTCCTGATACTAACATTCCACCCATTCCCATCAACCTATTCCATAGCGGTTGACTAGAAGAAATAGAAAACCTTCCACCTCTTCACCTTGGTCGCCCACGTAAAGAAGTAAACCAACCCCAGATTCACCAGTGTAAACAGCACAAAAATCCCCCAGGCACCCCACTTGCCTCCCAGCCGCCCCTGCCCCAAATGGAACTGATCGAGGTACTGCTCCCCCGACATGAAAGGACACACCTCGCACAGCTCCGTGGCGTTCGGGTTGAGGAGCTGGGCTGACACGGAGGATGTCCAGGATGCTGCGTAGGAGCCGCAGGATTCGCCAGAGGGCGGGTTGAAGACTGTTAGGTCGGCTGGGGAGCAGGTGATGGATGTGTCGGCGATTACGGCTGTTACCATGCCGCCGAGGAGGTAGGTGAAGGGGGAGAGGTAGTATAGCTTCGAGGCGGTTAGTCTGTGTTGGCTAGGATAGGGGATGGAGACGAAGTGGTGCTCACCCAGTACCGCCAAAACACCTGGATTTGCTCGTAGGGGACAATGATGCCGTTGAACCAGTTGAATGTGCAGACGATGAAGACGAGCACGTTACCTGCGACTCCGAGGTCGGGGCTTACAGCCATCATGAAGAGACCAAGCAGGACCTATACTGTAAGTACACGGGCGCATAAAGTAGGATGGAGCGGCATACCTGAAAGATCTCATAGGTAAGAAGAAAGAGGAAGATATATCCCGCTTCGCTATGTGGTAGGCCGCTAGGGAAGTACCAGAGTAGATAATATAGCACGGTGACGAAAATCGCACCCGGAATCTCGGCCAGAACAGTGGACGAGGCAAACGCGACCCAGCCATAAGCATGAGATGGTCCTTCACGGAACTGCCAGTACAGGCTGGCGAAGAAGTACCTCGCAAGAATCACATTCACAATAGCGTTGCAGAGAAACAGGATAAAATAAACGCTAAAGGCACTGTAGGGAAAGAGTCAGTCTCATGCTTCTCCACAAACGAAGGGGCCATACCGGTTCTGCAAATCCTGGGGGCTCGTCCCGATCTTGTAAAATGTGAAGCCGACCAAGATGGCGCTGATGACATGCACCCATATCTTCGAGTACATGTACGCCGTATTTCGCCACTGGTTCTTCAGCATTCGTGTGGTGAGTAGCTTGATCTGGAGCAGAAGCGAGGCATTATATTCAGAGATGTCCTCATCCACCTCATCAGGTTGTGGACGCTGTTTACTCTCTTCAATTTCGCTGCGCAAGCGCTCGGACTCGGGCGACAAAGCCCACTTGGCTGCCCAGTCGGATGATTTATCGCTCTCTCTCGCATTGACACCCGCGCCGACTGTCTCGAGAATGAACTCTGCAGGGTTTGTGCCGGAAGGGCAGATCGCTCCATGGCTGGCGAAGTACTCGAGCGCCGAGTCCACCTTGCCAAAACTGGTCCTGTTAATCAACTGGACTATCCGCGTGTATGAGTGTCTTACTAGAGCTGCTGTCCCTGAGAAGAAAGCGCGAGGAGGTTATCAAACTGGGAGAACAGGAGCGCCGATGGCTGATGGATCGTGACGACAATAGCCTGTCCCTGGCGCGCAAGCAGCTTGAGATAGTGCACGATACGAGCTGCACCTTGGGAGTCCAGACCAGATGTCGGCTCGTCGGCAAAGAGTACTTGAGGTCGTGCGGCCAGTTCAACTCCAATCTATTCACGTTAGGTATACCGACTGGCTGTATGGAGGCTGAATGGCACGTACCGTTACTCGCTTCAGCTTTTCCACCCCCAGTCCAGCTCCCTCGTCGCCGATGAGAGCGTCTTGTACGGAGCGTAGATCAAGCAGGTCAAGAAGACGGTCAGCATATGCCAGCTTTTCGGCTTTGCTGTACGTTTTTGGCTGACGCAGGAGCGCCGAAAACTCAAACGCCTCCTTCACGGTCGCTGTCCCATCATGCAGATCCATCTGTTGAGCAAAGCCTGCTACCGGTTAGCATTTGACTAACCAAAAAGGATTGAGGTTAATACCCGCAGCCTTGCGGTACGACGCGCCAGGTGGCTTATTCCCAACCAGGACCTCCCCATGGAGCTCACCCGCAAAGTTGGTCTGGCTCAACGCTGTGAGTAAAGTCGTCTTGCCCGCACCACTTGCACCGCATAGCGCAGTTAACTCGCCTCGACGGACGTAGCCTGAGATGTCCTGGAGGACTTGCTTCTCGCCAATGTTCACGCGGACATCGCGCCACGTCAGAGCAAGCTCTCCGGTCGAACTGTCAATCGCATCGGACGAGGCAGCTGGCGCGGATTTTTCAGGATCCGCTGAGTCGGTTTTCTCCTTTTCATGAGATGCCCTCCCAAGGACGACGAGTGGCGACCCGCCCTGCGAAGTAAAGTTACGCGTCTCGCTGCCGATGATTCCAACGATAAGATACGCGATGCCGATGGCGATCATGATACCAATATTACGCCACCTATGCGCGAAAGAGAAGCCGAATGTCTCCGCATACTGGATGCCTGGCACGGTAGTTTGACCGGGCAATCCGCCGCGGATTGAACACGTCTGGAAGCCCGCTTGTCCATCCTGCGGGACGAGGATGTCGGCGCAGTCGAGCGAGAGCCCGGCGAACTCGTTGACGAAGAGCTAATTCATCAGTACACTTGAAGAAGAACAAGGGCAGACGTCTTACATTTTCAAACCCGTAAAACATAGGGTTGATGTGATGAAGCCACCCAAAGTACGGTCGCATATCACCCGGAGGAATCAAGAAGCCGGCGAACAGAAGTAGAACCGTGCAGGAGAAGCCGCCATATCGGAAGCCTTGACGTTGTTAGTCCCACAGTGAGTGGTCAAGGAGGGGAACGTACAATCATCCAGAGTCCTGACGTAGTATGCAAACATCCGCAGCAGGTTGCTAAAGCAGACGGTTGAGATGAACAGAGTCAAATAAAAGAAGAAGAATTTGCCTGCATCCAATTGGAGTCTGGCGAGAAAGTAGAATATGATTATGAAGATGACGTGCTGAAAGGCAATTAGAGGCAGGTCAATCAGGAAGCGAGCAACTGCTACAGCGGACGGGCGACTGAGATGGAGATGTGCTACAAGCTGGTTAGCAGTGAGGTCTCATGATTGTCAAAAAGGTCGCATGCCTTGTCGCTCGACCACAGGTCTATTGGTATGAGCATCGAAGAGCTCGGGAAACTGGAGCCAGCCATTGATGATGAGGGCAAAGTACAGAATGCCACCTCGCGTAAACGCTCCCTGGGCATTGTTCGTAATGTCAAAGTAAACACTTCCGCAGACCAGGCACAAGATGATAGTTGTGACCCATTTTGTGTAATAGACGTGTCGCTGAGCTTTGACGAGCTGTATTTCTCTTCTGAAGCACTCGACCACCTGAACGGGGAAGGACAAGGCGTACGTGTCAGATGGAGGGGGTGCCTGCTTGGCTTTGACCTCGGTTTGGTAGCTTTGGATTTCCGCTTGGAGCAGCTTGAACTGGTCTGATTCTCCAAACGCCTGGGCTAGTTCAGCGGGAGACTTGATCTTCTCCGCCTGTGATCCAGGCCGCGTCCGTCGCTGATCAGGATCCGTGACAGTCATCAAGAACTCAGCAGTTGTCTGTCCTGGAATCGGGACAAATCCCAAGTTCTCAAAATATGCCCAGGCTTCAGTGGTGCTTCCAAAAAAGGCTTCATGGCCTTGATCAAGTACGATGACACGGTCAAATGTCCGGTAGATGTCTTCTCCAGCCTGGTAGAGCGTTGCTAGACTGGTCTTTTGCCCGACATTTGTCAATACCCTGAGAGCCTTGACAAAGTCCAGAGCCGTTGACGAGTCCAACCCCCGCGTCGAGTTATCGAAACACTGGACTGAGGATCCCGCTGCGAAAAGTTCCGCAATGGACAATCTAGACATATATGGTCAGTCGTCGCAAACGCTAACGATGGGATAACATACCTCTTTCTCTCTCCACCAGAAATCCCAGGACTAAAGGCCCCTCCAGCCGGTGTATCAAGCGCATGCTTCAGACCGAAAAGCCTCGCGATCGCATCGACCAGATTGGCCACCAGCGCCGGATCGCGAGAGCCACTGGGAAGGCAAGTACGAAGGGCAAACGTGATTGCCTGTCGAACGCTGAGAGAAGCCACATGTCGGTCTTCCTCTGGCAGATAAATCGTCTCGCGAGGGTGCTTCTGTCGGAAGTCTGGCGCAGGCACACCGGCATAATGCACGTCGCCCGTCTGCGAGAGGGTGGAAACGTTGGCTATCGTCCGTAGAAAGGTCGAGCACCCACTGCCTGGACGTCCAAGAACTAGGACCATCTCTCCTGGCTTGGCGATTCCGGTGAATCCTGAAAGCAAAGTTCGAGCATTTCGCGAGTGTTTGCTGCCGAGGAAGCGATTCAGGACATGTGTGCGGATGAAGTTGTACTGGTCGGGGCCAAAGGTGTTTAAAACAGCTCTCGGGAGTGCCTTGACTGGCACTTCCGTTCCGGCGACAGCAGATACAGAGAGATTGTCAAATGTCACGCCAATCCTCGATGCTTCGCCTTTGCCATGTTGACTGTGGAGGAGAGCTTTGATGGCTTCGAGGCCCTCAGCGCCGACGGCTTCGACGCCGGCGATGCTATCATCCAGGACCTTGGACGACTCAAAGTCTTGTTCGGCCATCCCCAAGTGCGATATCTCAATTTCAGGCTATTGAAGAACACTCTGACCAAGTTCGCCTTGGAGAGAAAACCGAATGCGCGGTCGGTGGCGTGAAGCTAACTCCCTCAAGAGTCAAACTGAACCGGGTGACCAATCGCCAGAGATAAACAAGGGATTTCCAGCTATTGGCCTCCGATTTACACAGTGTCGGACCTCCTGGGCCATGAGAGACGATATTTGTCAGGAGCAGATTTCCTAGTTGATCTGCCACAAACTCCGAAATGTGGTCGGACTTCCCTGGCTTTATCTCGGAGTTGAGTAACCCTAACCCAACAACACGGTAACAACCATAAAGAAATCTCGAAATAACGCGATGCTGTGGCTGTAAGGCATGAGATGAAGCACCATACCAACAGACTATGGCAAGCGCTGTACACTATCCCATTGGCCAGTCGTTTGGGGCTGCTGCGGCACCCGAGCTCGAGGTTCGCTTCGCTTTACTGTTCCAGATTATGGTTCTGACCTGGCCACGCGAGGATCATGTACAAAACGGTCAGTCTCCTCGTTTCAGAAACACCAACAAGTCAAGTCAACAACACTGACAACCCCATCGCAACGCGGTACACCGTTCACGATGGCAAAGTATACCCCGGATTGGATCCACAACAAGGGCCTGAGGTCCTTGTACTTTGTGCTGCCGATTGTCATTCTTAGTAGCTCGTACCAGGGCTTCGATGGGATGATCATGAATGGTTTGCAGCTGCTTCCTGGCTGGCAAGAACGTATGTCCCCTCCCCGTCCCACAGCCTATGGGTCGCAGACAAAGCTAACAGGACGCAGAATTCGGGCACCCTCGCGGCCCCGTCCTCGGTCTCCTAAACTCGATCCAAACCGTCGGCGCCGTCGTGGCCCTCCCCTTCATCGGCCCCGTCCTCGACCGCTTCGGCCGCCGCAAGGCCATCGCCTTTGGCGCCTCTTGGACACTCCTCGGCGCAGCCCTGCAGGGGAGCGCGCACCAGATCCCTCAGTTCGTCATCTCACGCTTCCTCATCGGTTTCGGGCTCGCGTTCCCCGTCGTCGCTTCGCCGCTCCTCCTCGCGGAATTGGCTTTCCCGAAGCATCGTGGTACGGTCCTCTCGTATTTCCCGACGGCCTGGTATACAGGCTCGATCATCGCCGCGTGGACGACGTTTGGCACCCGGCATATCAACAACTCCTGGTCGTGGCGAGTGCCCAGTCTTCTCCAGGCGGCGCCCGCACTGATTCAGATCTTCCTCATTGCTTTCGTTCCCGAGAGTCCCAGGTGGCTGATCTCGCACGGTCGGGGCGCAGAGGCAAAGGAGTTTCTAATCAAGTATCACGCGAATGGCGACGCAACGAGCCCCGTTGTCGATCTGGAATACACTCAGATCAAGGAGGCCATTCTGCAGGATCAGGAGTATAAGAAGAAAGGGCACTGGAAGGATCTTTTCAAGACTGCTGCGAACCGAAGGCGGATTATCATCACCACATTTTGTGGGTTGTTTCTTGAGGTATGCGATTGATTCCCCTTTTGTGGGTTCAAGTTCGCAGATTGCTAACCTTCCTGCAGATTTCCGGCAATGGGCTGGTCCAGTACTATCTTCATTCTGTCCTGCTGAGTATCGGCATCACCAGTGTCGCGACTCAGACGACGATCAACGGATGCCTAGCTATCTACAACTTTGTCATTGCGGTCGGCGCATCGTTCTTTGTTGAGAAGATTGGACGGCGGAAGCTCTTCATCATCTCGACAGCGGGAATGTTCTTCGCCTTCATCCTGTGGACTACATTTGCAGCGTGTGAGTATCATTCAGTTCCACGACATGAAAAAGAAGCTGGAGCATAGCATTGAGCATCTAACTAACATGACTTTCATACAGTGTATAGTACACGTGGCGGAACAAACTGGGCAATCGGTGTGCTGGTCGCCATCTTCCTATCGAACGGCGCATATGATATCGGCTGGACGCCTCTCTGGGGATACCCAGCCGAACTGCTTCCATTCGAGATTCGTGCACGTGGAGTCGCATACATGACCGGAGTGATGCACATCAGCGGCTTCTTTTCCACCTTCGTCAATCCCGTTGGTCTCGAGAATATCGGATGGCGGTACTATATCGTATACATTGTGTACACCGGGCTGGAGGTATGAGTCCCGTTAACATATTTCACTAGCATCGCTAATTTGTTCCTGCAGTTGCTCGCTGTCTGGTATTTCTTCGTCGAAACGCGCGGATACACCCTCGAGGAAATCTGGACCATCTTCGACACTCCGGGCCTGACCTGGAAACAACGCCGCAATTTGAAAGCCCCGGGCACCCTGCAAGGCCCGATCGTCGAGGCTGAGGCTACAGTGCAAAAGGCCACACCTGTTGTTGCAGTATCTGAAAAGTCGGAGCGGTCCACGATTGACAATTAGGCGGCGGTATACGCAGGGGGAGGGGGAAGGAAGGGAGGGTGGGGGCGCAGAGCGGAGGTGCGGAGTCGCTTGCGCCCATGCTCCGATAATCTCGCTGGCTATACCCGGCTCACAATGTCAGTAGAGCTCTTGCGGAATGAGTAGAGTAATCAACGTCGATTAGGGTAACTGTGATCTTACCCGTCTCCGCTTTAGCGAGATCCAAGTCTCTCAGGTCTCCCGTGATTTGGAAGCCGGGGGGCGAAGTACGTAATTCGATAACCATTGGCCGTCTAGGCACAGGTCTTTTTCTACAGTTAGTTAGTATATCGCAATAGAGCTCTTCATGATAGCCATAACACGGTCTTGAAGGAGTAGTATATGGCGATGACAGTGAGGACGGGGAGGCTGTAGCCGATGATTTGTAGCCAGAACCACCACGGATACATGTTGCCGGAGTGGGAAATGCAAGAAGGATTTCTGAATGTAGGCGTGTAGGATATCACTTTAGAATCTCGTATTCTGAGGAGTCTCGGAAAAGATGGGGGACTGGTAGGATCCGAGAAGCTCAGCCTGAGGATCGGGAAAGACAGCCCGACTAGGGAGGGAAGGCGCAACCACGATAACAAGCACTTCCTGCATTCGCATCATGAACCTATTATCATACTAGATTATGAGAAATTCAAACCACTTTTCAAGTCTATGCGAAACCCGCTAAACCAATTACAACTCCAAAAAGTCCTTCAAATAATCCAGCTTGCCCAAGGGCACGCCCTCCTTCCGCAGAATATCATACGCCGTCACAACGTGAAAGTACACATTCGGCAGCGTAAAAGTCACCGCATACTTCTCAGGGGTAAACTCCACCACCTGGGGCCCTAGCGGCGCCTTGAACGTCTTGTCCGCATTCGCGGCAATAAGCGCATCGTCCGCGTTCGTAATCTCCGCGAGCGCGGCGTCGATGCGCTTGTACAGGTCCTCGTACGTCTTGTCGGTTTGCTCGCGCGCCGGAGGCTCAATGTGGCTCGCGCGGTAGACGAGCTTTTCGGCGTTGGAGGTTGCCGCGAAGATCTGGAAGGAGAGCGGTTTCATGTCTTCGTAGATGCGGGCGTTGAAGAGGGTGTCGAGGGGGATGTTCTTTTCATTTGCGTGGGACTCGGCTTTTTGGAGGATGGTTTTGAGCGAGGTGAGGGCTTTGGTTACGCTTGTTACGGCGTAGGCGTGGAAGGGGGAGGCCATTTTGGTATTCGGTTGGTTTCAATGTGTAGGTAAAGTCAGTTGAAGAGATGAATTATAGATTGGGTGCTGACTGGAGGCTAAAACTGAGCGATTGCGCAATATCTCAAGATCCTTAGAAATCGGGGCGACTATTTATGTCTATTTAAACTGCCCGCATCTGCCCCCAGAGACCAACGTTTCGAGTAAAAGAGGATTATTAATGGAGTTCGATCGGATTCCAAAGCAAGGCCATACAAAGTTGATTTGTCAGGGTGGGACAAGATGAAAGAGCGGTGGAACACGAGCTCATCCCTTCTTCCAACAGGCAACACTGGTTTGTGCCGCCGGGTGAGCGAATCATAATAATCAAGCGAAACCACGTCGATCTTGCAGTCAATCCTCGAGCGGCTATTCTGCCCTGGGGGCAGTCACTTTCAAGTCTCAGAGCAACTACTCCTTTGCACCGGAATGTGGGGAAGATGATCTCCGTGTTGGTGGGTATGAGCTTGTCAGAGTCTAGCACAGGCTAGTTAACGCCAACATAACGACAATACTCAACTATCCGAAACCCTAGTCTAGAAGGAGGCGCTAACAGCCTAGAGCTTGAGACCTGGGTATAGTTTTGGGTGTGGTGAGCGCTGGGATTCAATATATAATGTCCAAGCCATCCATCCATACTAGGAGGTGCTCGAGTATATATAATTGCTGGACCATGCAAGCAGTCGAGTCGTCCCGATCTTGAGACCACAATGTGCCGTTTCCTACCAACTCCCCGTGCAGACAAAACCGACAACCATGAGAGGATCGCTCAAGTAGTTATGGCCAGATTGCAGAGGGCGCATGGAATGAGTGCCAAGCCGCCATCGGGAACGAGGCTCGTCGCACGGTCGCGCTGGAGACTGGCCTCGCCAAAATTTCACCTCCACCCACTCCCCCATCCTCAACGATCCGACCCGATGGCCACCCTTCGGAAAAACGGCCAACTGCCGTCCTGCGAGCCATGTCGCACTTCGAAACTTCGATGTGACCACACTACGCCGGTCTGCCAGCGATGCGTTGCGCGGAACCGGGCTGAGCAATGTGTGTACCACCCGTGCCCGCTGACCAAGCCTCGAGACACGCGCCAGCGGAAAGAACAAGTCCGCGCCAAACGAAACTCCTCCACCACCGAGCCTCCTTCAGTGAACAACACCGACAGGACTGAACTATTCGACTGGGTGGAAAGGGCACCTTCTGTCCTTCCGCGAAGTTCGCGACCAGCGCATCCACCAGGGGACGTCCTTGCTGATTCGGGGTTCGGATCGAAAGCATCGGATGATGTTTCGCTCAGTCTCGACTCACGGGCGCAGTCGTTGAGCGACGCCTGTGCTCCGCAGGTAGACACCGAAGACGTTGAAATCGGGGCACAGATTCTCGCATTCTTCGAGCATCTTTCGTTGTTCGCCGAGGTGATCGACCTTCGCTTTGATATCTTCGATGGCTCCGTGTACAGTCCTCATCTGATGCGGCAATCACTGGCGCTGTTGAAATCATTATATCGAGAAGCGCTTGGTGGAACCGGTGTCAACGGCCGACACTCCCGTTTGCTGGCCTGGTCCCGAGCCATCTTCCAGAATACCGCCAGAGCAATCGACACACATCCCGAGATGACGCTCTCCGAATACGTCGCCCTGATCACAGCTAGATGGGATACCATTGGGCTCGTTTTCGCCCTGCTCGGGACCGCAACGTATCAGATCAATCAACACCACTCTGTGCTCAAGCGAGAAGTGATGCCGGGAAAGGACAAGCATGGACTGCGCAAGATCGCAATGGCAGCTAGCGATATGTGTATTCAATTCACTCAGAATCTTGGTGCGACGAGTGATCCCCTCTTTTGGGCCACTTTACAGCGTACTGTTTGTCTATTTAAGATGCATGGGTTTGCTGGTAAGCGCTGTGGTCATCCATCCTTCGGCGGCTCTTGCTAAAAGACCAAGATTACAGATCATGGCAGGCGCTGGGAGAAGTAGTCAATCTGGTATTCGCTCTTGGCCTGCATCAGGGCAAGGTCGACGAGCGAGCCCCATTCTTCCTGTCTGAAATGCGCGCTCGGGCCATGGTCTGTGCGTACGCGATGGACAAAGATATTTCAACGATCCTCGCTCGCCCTCCTCGGATTTGCAGTCGTTACTGCAACTTTCGGTTTCCGTTGGATCTCGATTGGGCAGACGTGGTGGCCGATGCTCCTGTCCGCGATGCAGCCATCCAGCGACTGGGCCCAGATGGCTGGGACACCCAAGACCACACTGGCCGCGAGTGTTCCAGGCCGCGAGCTACTCTGCTTTCATTTATCCTCAGGGAAATGATCTTGGAGGTGTCACTGAGCTATACGGTGGATAATCTAGAGGAGATGGTAAAGTGCGTCATCGAGACTGCCCTTTGTGGGATGCTACTAACGTTGTACGCTGGGTAGAAAAATTCGACACGAGTCGAATCAGATGCGAATGAGGCTGCCTGACTTCCTGCAGTGGTCTCCTGACAAGAAGCACTCGCCCGTCATGGCTACCTCGCTGCATCTCGAATTCTTGTATTCGGAGCTTATCCTCTCGCAGGCCATTGCGAAGCTCACCGGGGAAACATCCGAGTCACTCATCGCCACTTCGCGGCAGATCTTGACGGTGCTTCTCGATGCAATCGCCACACAGCTGCGAACGGGTCATGTCAACTGCCTTCTTATCTATGATGTAGGTACCTCCTAAACAATTGCGCCTCTCAACACTTACCAAACTGATTCAGTTCTCCTATATTGGTCTTCCGGCAGCCGCCGCTCTTTCGAAAGAATTGCTCCATCGATCACACAGTCCTCCACTACCAGGTGAAGTTTCACCTTTTCCACGCTCAGAAATAATTCAAAACCTCAGCGTCTTTGCTGCACATCTCGAAGCCTTCCTACCCAATCGGGAAAGCGATGCCGATGCACTTAGGAAAGGACTCCAGTCTGTTCGAACTACGTTGGATGCTGTTCTTAACCAGCCAACTTTTTTTGCACAGAGCAATGGAACTCTCACGTTGCCGCCGGCCGATGGGACAGCGCTACCAGGCCAAAATATCTCAGCTGCAGATGAAGCTCAGGGTCTGGACTTTGCGGCATTCTGGGAGGACTTTGAATTTGATTGGGCAGGCGACAGGCGTGTATTGTTTAGCTGAATGAATTTTGGCAGAAATTCTTCATCATCGAGAGCAAGGTTACTCAGCTTCAATTGTCTTAACAACAGCAAGGGCGACGGCAAAGCCAAGCCGTATCCTGCATCTTGGCCAGTGGGGGATCGCGTGGATGGGGCGATGACACCTTTTTAGCGCGGTATGGTGGGATTTTTCAAATCCCGAAGCACGGCGGGAACGTGGTTCGACGGACAACCCAGGGAAGTGAGAGAACACAGCTTATAAGGCGAGTCTCTGCGAATTGTTGCGTTGCGCTCTTACCCCAATCTTCGTGCAATCGATCCAGGCCACCATGGCGCCTCGTGTTAAAAGTGTCGCCATTATCGGCGCTGGCCCGGCCGGTGCAATCGCTGTCGATGCCTTTGCTCAGGAACAGGCTTTTGACCGAATCAGAGTATTCGAGAGAAGGGAGAAGGCTGGTGGTTGCTGGTGTGTCCCATCTTCCCAACAAACGGCAACGGCGTGGCCTAACAGACTATAGGCTGTACGATGAGGAAGAGCCAGCCCCATTGAGAGATTTTGATGCCCTCGCGGCGCGGACTGCGGATCAGCCCGCCGCAGCACCAGGAGAGCTACCTGGATACTTTCGACGGTCGGAGCAACATCGGTTTGATGATACTCCAGTGTATCCCGCCCTAGAAGCGAACATTGATGCGGACATTATGCGCTTCTCGCAGGAGCCCATTCCAGAGGTTCGAAGCGCTGCCTCCATCAGACTTCATGGGCCCGATACCCCGTTTCGACATCACACCGTCATCCAAAAGTACATTGAGTCACTGGTAACTCGCAAGGGTTATAGCCGGCTCGTCGAGTATAACACGACCGTGGAGAACGCTGAGAAGCGAAGCGAAGAGGGCGCAAACAAGTGGGTGTTGACGCTGCGAAAGCAGACTCCCGGCCTGGAAAAGGACTACTGGTGGCAAGAGGCATTTGATGCAGTTGTTGTTGCTACCGGTCACTACTCGGTGCCATATATCCCACACATCAAGGGCCTCAGCGAGTTTGCAGCTGCGGCACCAGGAAGCGTCATTCACACCAAAGCTTTTCGACATCCGGAAGCGTACCGGGGCAAGGTAAACAGAGCCGGCTCCTATGAGAAATATGAATGCTGACACTTTACAGACGGTGATTACAGTCGGCGCATCGGTATCAGGAGCCGACACAGCAGTGAGCCTGGTTGGCATCGCCAAGGGCCCAATTTATGCCGTCGTTCGCGGCAATTACAATGGATACTTTGGCGATGAAGCATTCAAACATCCCCAGATCCAACGAAAGCCACCCATCTCTCGGATTGAGGGGACTGGTAGTCGGCGAACGGTGCACTTTGAGGACGGCACAACGGTCGCCGATGTCGACCATATTATACTTGGGACAGGGTACACCTGGACGCTGCCCTTTCTACCCACCGTGCCTACTCGCAATAATCGGGTTCCCGATCTCTACCTACACATCTTCCATCAGTCTGACCCCACATTGGCCTTTATCGGCGCGGTTGCTGCTGGGTTCACGTTCAAAGTCTTTGAGTGGCAAGCCGTCCTTGCTGCGCGTGTGTTTGCTGGCAAAGCGCAATTACCACCGCTTGAGGAGCAGAAAGACTGGGAAGCGAAGAGGATAGCAGCAAGAGGCGATGGGACAAAGTTCACGCTGATCAGCCCAGATTTCGAGAAGTACTTTGAGCTGTTACGGGAACTAGCGACAGAGCCAAAAGAAGGCGAGCCTGGTCGACGCCTGCCGAAATTCGACCCGGCATGGGTGAAGAGATTCGCTGCGAGCCACCAGAGGCGCATCCGCATGTGGAAACGAGCGAATGAGAAGGCAGCTAAGGGCCTGGAACGCGAGAGAACATCAAAGCTGTAGATCATACATTAGCTTTATAGCATCCAGCGTGCTGGACCAGGACGATCCATGCCAAATTCTTGGCAGGTCAACTTATTCGCCTAGGCATGCAAGCACGTTATCCATGACGCTATAACGAGCGTACCGGACAGCCGGCTCAACCATTGCCAATACTTCCAAGACCGAAGGAGCTTCCTGGTAACCTGGGATTATAATTTCGTAGGCTAATTTGATGAGAAAACAGTAATGTTTCGCCCATCACGCAATTTGGAGACCATTTTGTGTGAGCTCCACGGTCAGAATTTCAAATCCCGGGCCGCGTAGATGGCCTGTCTTATATCTGTTTGGGGTAATGTAGACTGCGAAAACCTTTGGGTATCTTTTCGCTACGTGAAACTCTCGGCCAAGACTTCGCCATGTCAATTGAGCCCTCCAAACTCGAAGCCAGCGAGCATGACGCCGAATCAGTCTCGCAGGACTGGGCTCCCGAGGAGGAGCGGCGAGCCCGGTTGAAGTGAGAACACCACGACGCTGCATAAACTGTCAAACGGCTAAAAATCCATCTTAGAATTGACCTCTCCGTCCTCCCTCTGCTCTGCTTCGGAATGATCATGTTCCAGCTCGACCGAATGAACCTGGCCAGCGCCCTAACCGGCGGCTTCACCACAGATATCGGCATTACGCAGGACACGGTGAACCTGGGGAACCAGCTGATGTTCATGGGGATCATTGTCCTTGAGATTCCGTCGAATATGCTTCTGCAAAAGGTTCGTCCACACCCCGCATTTGTCTCCACCGAAGGGAAGCTCGCCCGGTACTAACAACAACAACGCCAGATCGGCCCCAGCAAATGGATCCCAGCCCAAGTCTTCGTCTTCGGCCTCATCGCAACAATGCAAGTTTTCCTGCGCAGTAGAGGTGGGTTCCTTGCTACGCGGATACTCCTGGGTCTCGCCGAGGCGGGGTATATCCCGGGTTCAATCTATACTCTGTCGACGTGGTATACTCCACAAGAACTCGGAAGGCGTGTCGCGATTCTATTTTTTGGCATGTTTGGCGGCAATGCGATCTCGCCGTTGCTTGGGGCGGGCATTCTGCGCTTGCATGGGCGGGGGGGTATGGCGGGGTGGAAGTATATCTTTTTGAGTACGTCGCCTCTTCTGCAGGTATAGTGGGTGGTGTCGCTGCTAACAAGAGCAGTCGAAGGAATCGCAACAATGATCGTTTCAGGACTGCTCCTTCTTGTCCTCCCGACAAGCCCGCAGCGCCCTCGGCCGCTGTTTCTTAAAGGCTTGATTCGGTTCTCAGAGAGAGAACAGTATATCCTCACAGCACGACAAGGTCTCGAGAATCGATCGTCCGCGGACAATAAACCGCGCTCGGGGATCCCGCTGGCAACGGTTCGAAAGACAGTTCTGAATTACCGCCGCTGGCCCCATTTCATTTCCACGGCGTGTGTCTTTGCCACGTGGAGTCCGCTGACGACGTATACGCCGAGTATAATCATGTCCGCACAACCCCCTGCCCTCCCCATCCGATTCCTTGTCCGTGCTGATAACTGACCTGATCAGGGCCCTCGGCTTCACCCGCGTCCAAGCCAACGCCCTCTCCGCAATCGGCGCGTCCCTAACGCTCCCCATCGTTTTCACCGTAGCATATCTAAGCGACCGCACGAAACGGCGCGGCCTAACAGTCATCTGCGCGATATGCACCTATCTGACCGTTCTCATCGTCGCGCGATGCGTCCTCCCGCATGCAGGGCGCTGGAGCCGGTTCGGGCTGTGGACGGTCGTCAATGCGTTTGCCGTCTGCTATCATCCCGTCCATAATGTTTGGGTGCAGTTGAATTGTAAAGATCAGGCGGAGAGGAGTATTGCTATTTCGTGAGTTGCACCCTGCCTTTTGTAGAGTATGGAATGGGATTGGTGCTAATGTATCTGTGTAGGATGTGTATGTCTATGCCGTCGTTGATGAGCATTCTACACTTTGTAGGACGAGAGCTAATACAGTACACAGGGGTCATGAGTGCCATCTCCGGCCTATTAGCAGGAACGCAGATTTTCCGAGCGGATGATTCGCCAAGGTAGGTAACCCCCAAACCATCGCCATAGATGGCCTGCAGAAAAGCTACTAATCGAGAATTGCAGATACCACACCGGCCTCATTATAATGATTGCGCTGGTCTCGTCGGGACTTGTTCTCGCGGTTACGCAACATCTGATCTACCTCTTCCTTAACTCGCGGCAGCGGAGGGTCGGAGGGAAGGCGCTGTATAATCCATGAAAAACGACATTACTACTAGTGATATGCTAGGCGTAAATGGGATTATGGGAAATAAACATACGCTAGGCTCTCAGACTCATTCCACGCAGCCCGTAGAAGCCGCAGCGCAAGACAACCGAGTGCACCTGTTGGTTGCCCTATCATGGCTATCTTTAGTCACCAGTCGCTCCTAGGAGTCGGACTATCATTGTAGGCCCTCAAGGTGCTGGTGATGAGGCTTCGGAGATTTGCCATGTCCGTCGGCTTCAGCCGAGACCCGGGGCGCGGGGGTGACTGCCTGTGCTTAGTATAGGGCTAGATCTGGAGCATCATGCCGAGCTTGCATTCTGACTGTCCTGACTTCATCAGAATTGTACAACAATAGAACGGGGATCTTGGGTCTTGACCGAAATTTCTCACCTTTATGATGGGCTGTAAATCCCTTCCAGGATTTTTACTTGCGAATGGGTATTCTGTTTGTAGGAATACAACTGTGAGGCCAAATTATACCATCAGAGAGCTACCTGGAAGAGTTTTTACGTCGTGAATCATTAGCATGGTGAATTGTTCGAAACGCAACCTTGGGTTGCTGCGGGTAGGTAGAGCATCGAGTACAAGTCATCGCCACAATAACAAGCCGGAGTAGGTCATTTTTAGCAGGCGCATGCATGTACCACGCTTACGCATAAATAGACCTGACCTGGATGTAGATATATCTAGGGGCCATACACTCCATGGATACGCTAACCGTTAGTTTCCCAGATTCCCAATGACCCCCGCTGGATGGTCCGCATTACCCTCGCGTGCATACTATAGAACTAGTACAGCTTCAGTTGGCTATGGCGGGCTGAATACAGCGGATGCTAGCGTATAAGGGTCGCAAGGTCTGGTATGGACCTATATCGTAATTTGAACCCCAACGAACAATAGCCGGTCTGTGTCTTGTATATAGGTCCGTAGCAGAGAAGAGCTTTCCAGCTATCTTTATAATCGATGGCATAGCTGAGTCACACTAACAGACTAGCAATGATTCTAACTGTGAATCCCATGATTTGATACCCTCCCTATACAGTATGAGCCTCCGATAGCTGTCGCTAGTGCAAGCTTTCCCATTTTTTCGAACCTCTGGCAATAAATATATTCACAGTATAATTTGATATCTAGATGCATACGCATTGTGTATGGCCCGGCTTACAGTATTGGAAGGTTTGCTCACGAGGTCTAGAGTGATGACAGCCATATCCATCGGCATCTTCGGTCAGGAGACAGCTCAGGCGTAGCCTTTCATTTGCCAGGACCTTATAATTCCACGGGATGGCAGTAACCGTGGCACAGAGGAAATCCAGATCTTGGCAGACTCAGCCGCAATTTTAACCTTGATTTGGCCGAGGATCCGGATCTCGTCCGTTCCTTGGTTCAGTGTAGATCATTGATCCAGGGCCTACTTGGTAGTAGCGCATCCGTTCTCTCCGATCGAATCTAGAAGGTTGCGATGATGGAACCTGTGGTGCTGAATTCATCTATCAAGAGTTGGTGGTCAAAGAAGTAATCCCATTATCAATGTATCTAAAGGACTAACTATACGGACAGCTATAAAAGCAAAACGGATGAGTCACCATGGACGACTGATGATATCCTAGTTTCTAAATGCTGCACCCTTTTGATTAACAACTTATCTAGCGATCCTTCAAGCTCGCGTAATGTCCAAGTTCACTCACCTGTGTCGAAAGCCCATTTCCTCGTCACCTCCGCGGTCCCTCTGCAGTAGGCTGCTCCTCTCCAACTGCGGCCCGTTAAGATACGAGTCCGGCTGATTAATGTCAATTACGTCCTGCATTGTCTTATACCGGGCGAAGGCTTCCTCGATTAGGGTCGCAACATTCGCGGTATCCTGATCCCGCCCGCCGTATTTAAGTCTTATCGCCACCTGTTTAATAAAGGTCTTGACCTTTCGAATCTCAACCAGATCCTTTTGATGACGCTGGGGGAGGCCACGGCCCTTCATGAGGGCAAGGATGCCCGCAACGACGGTGTTCACTGCGCCCAGGCTGGTGATGGCGATCATATGGCTGTCGGATGACGGGCCCAGCGCTGTGATTGTTGCGCCGACCATGAGCTGGAGTATCGCGAGGAGGTTGCAGAGGGTGGAAAAGAGGTAGTACAGACGGGTCTTGTGTCTTTCCTGGGCCTTTAGCCTTTTGGATAAGCCCCTGGTGGCGGCCTCGAAAATCTGATTGGGTGAGCTGCTACCTGGCTGCGGTGGATACCCAGGCATGATTGAAAGGGAACTTGTTGTATTGGATGGCGGGTGTAATGTCGCGGTCTTTCCTCGGAGCAGATATAGCAATCGTTGAGGTTGAAGGGAAATACCTGTATTATATCTCCAGACCTTCTAACCGGGATGCAATAGTCATTTCTCTTGAACAGGGCCTCTGCGTGAAAGCAATTCATGTCACCCTGGGTGAACTGGGAATGCTTGCCAATGTTGAGAGAGGATCTGTACAGGTGGCTTGCCTCTGTGTTCCAGAGGACACAAGTTGATGGGCAAGACATCCCCTCGCACGCATTTCACAGACATTATTTGCTAGCAGTGATTGAAACGTCACGGATCTCGCAGCTATGGTCTGGACCTTGGTATAGCTATCTTAGTCATAGAGATAGTGCCTCCATCAGTGATTTGGTGTAGTGCAAGAGCTGTAAGTGAAGTACTACATACTTAGACGTCTAGGCATCCTGTTCCATTGGAGCTACTGAGGAATTCAACTCGACACTGAGGACAAAAGCCGAGTGGCAATACTATGGAACTCAAAAAGCCACAAGTAGCAGGCCCGGCTAAGGGCTCGGTAGAGGAGAACTCTTCTATCAAGCCCAGTTACCGGCCCCTGGGGTTATCACTTTTGTTCGACCTACACTGGACTCAATCACCAAAGCTATATACGTGTCATGACTGTTGTACGGGCCACCGCTGATTTGGTACCACATCTCTCATCCCTGATACATATGCTTCATAATCGCTATACTTCCAAGGAGCTACTTTATTATACCTACGGCCAGTAGGAGCGGTAGGGTTTGAAAAAGAGGCCGCTTGCAGACTGTTCCGAGCCCGGGGGCGGTGGTCAGACCACCACGCGAGGATCTGGTCGGCAGTTGATTTAGCGCATCCGAGGACCCCAAAAGTTTGGTTCGGACCAACTACCCGGGGTAGTGAATTACAACGGTCAAGGATACCTCCGCGGTGGCTTTCTAGAGTATTTCTGATCTCGAATGTGGCCCTAGTGCCCGGGCGCGCTCGTTGGTCGTGGTGCCAGATAGTTGAATTATCGCCACCCGGCAGAAGCCTTGAACATGGTACACTGTTCCACGGCAGTATACCTAGATCTTGACCTCAATCTCTGAAGTGTCGATCACCGGACCCTGAAGAGTGACACAGCGGGGATGTGGTGTGATAATCCTGCCCGCAATTCAAGGCTGCAGTGACTGTAGGTTGCGAGTAGTATGCAATCGCAGAAGCCTGGGTCACCACGGTATAAGTAGGCCTGCTACACCCCAGCTCCAGGAGCGCTGGTGCACCCTAAGATCAGATTTGATATACCAAACTGGATCCCAGCATAACAAACTGGTGTGGAACATCCCTTAGCCCACCAAAAAAGTTCATCATGCCTCACGTTCAGCGAACTATCAAGCCATCCCGTGCGAACCTCATTCAGGGCCTCAAAGAGAATGTCAGCCCGGAGGCACTGAGAACACTGAAGCCGGGTACAGCCACCGCACAGGAACCACAGGCTGTAGCGGGGTCAACCGCATGCACCCTGGATAGCTATCCGTGCATCACACAGAAGCCGACTCCTGCCGCATTTGCAGGCAATACCAGCATCGCCTCCCTTCAGGTCGGGCTCGGCGACAAGATCCCGCGCTGGAAAGCGAATACAACCATCAACTTTGCAGCCCTGGAGCAGGGATATCCAGAGCCGGAGATGGCCCTGCTCGCAGCGAACAAGCTGAACGAAGCAGCCGGGGAGTGGAACGCACTGAACCTAGGCGTGCGTTTCGCATGGGTCGAGAAGATGAAGGACGCCGCGTTTCTTCTGAGCTTCGCGACGCAGCGCAGCCCCGGAACACTGGCGGAGGCCTTCTTCCCCAACGAGGTGGACCTCAATAGTCTTATCGTCTACCCGGCTGCATTCCAGCCAGGGACCGTGCAGTATCTGAAGAACATCTTCCTGCACGAGCTCGGGCACGTCCTGGGGCTCCGCCATGAGTTTGCGCCGGAGCTTGAAAAGGGTGCTGGCTTGGATTCTGTTCAGGTTGGCCCGCGCAACCCAACTTCGGTGATGGGATACGAGATTCCTCCCATCATGCAGGATTCAGACATTGATAGCACCAAGGTCTTTTACAAGTTCCCAGGAAAGAAGCTTGGTGTTAGGCAAAACCTTCCGGAGGAGGGGGGACTGCGCATTGTGGACTTTGATCCTAATAACTAAGGTCGCTAACTTGACTGTCTAGCCATTGCAGCGGGATACATACCCTGTCAGGCTGGACAGGAAAAGTGAGTTTTATTGCTGGGTGTACGTACCGAAATTGTAGGTCAGGGGTTTATGGCTTGAATGATTAATAACATCAACCGCTCACTCTAGTTGTGTAAACCCCTAGAAGCATGTCCTAGCACCATACCAATCCGGATTGATTAGATCGTCGAAAGTATAAGCTTTTAAGGGGAGATATAACAATACTCCTCACTGAAGTAAGGGCGGTCGTCACCATACCCAGCCCTCACGATAGCGACGTGCCGTGTAGATGCTTAGAATGATTGTCTGTCGAATGCATGATGTGCGAAAAGAAGTACTACACTGCATAGCCTTAGGCCAGGTCATATGGCCCTTAAAACAGCACCAACATTGTTGACTTAGCATTTCAAGCACTGCCGGCAACCAGATGTGGATGATGGAAGATGGCTTTTTGTTTCTTCCTTAAAGATGGGTGTTTCCCACCTTTAGCGATTTTGAAAAAAGATCACTCCTCTTCATTTCACTTCAGCCCCCCCTCAACGACATGGATGGCATCGGCAGGGAGCTGTTTAACAAGAGCGACAAAATCAAGCACTACGCCATCTTCCAGGAACGTCCAAAGTTCACTGCGCAAGGCGGTGTTCGCATTCCCCTTGAGAACCTCAACCCTTTGGGGCCCCGAGCGCTTTCAAGTGCACAGACCTTGTTATCAATTTCGCATCTGTACGTCAAATCTCGTTGTATATATCGATGATTGCAGTAACCCCGGGTAATGACTAATTCCTGCAGGGGCAGGAGAAACCCCAACGAGACCTGAAGTAGGCCAGAGAGTGTGGCTTTGAAGAGGTCGCGCGTCCAGATTGGTTCGGCGGATTTGCCTGCAATTAAGCATGCCTCCGACTATTCGTATTGTGTCCTACCCATCCGCTCATCAATCAAACAGGTCGTTTCAAGATGGGACTCACAGAGGATATGTTGAAGACTATATTTGCACATGGTGGGAACTCAAGAGCTGCATCCGGGGACGATGCTATGTTCTCATATTGCGTGTCATGTCTCCGCCGGAGATGCATCCAGGGGACGAGTAGGCTGCAGACCATGGAAGGGCAGTGAGACTATTGCCCCGCGTTTTACTTCAATATTGGCCTCAGATACACATTGGTGCTTGAGTCGGCTGCCCCAGCTATGGGGGCTTTAAGGTTCGTTTCCCTGTCTTTCTTTTCCATGATCTTCCTTCCCAGACGCCACGGCACTGACTGCGCAGCTCGCGATGTCATATAAATTTCAGTTATCTTGCGATGTTGGCTACGCAGTTCACATAGGGCCCATTCTCGCCGCTGCACTTGATGCACCTTTACGAGATGCGAGACGCCAGGAAATTGACAGCTCCTTTCACCCCAATCTCAGGGCTCCTCGGAGGTCTTTCCACGAGTGGGTAGCTTGGCAGACGGCCCAACCCTCAACTCGTCATCGTGGTGGCGGGGAATACAAACAGGTCAATCAATTATTTCTCCTTCACTCAAATAGCATCTGGGCCACATCCAGTGAATGCCGATCTTGGCAACGGCGCCTATTGGGGGGAGGAGAACAATGGTTGTGGAAGTGATTTTGTGCCCATATCCCGCCGTATTGACCCAGACCCTGTTCCCTGTTTCTATTTCTACCATTCCGATTGTTCCCCTGGCCATTAAGTGACGTATAACTGCCGTCGAGGGAACTACTCGAAGATACAGGTGAAGCTGCAGCTGCACCTGCTCATTCTTTGTCTTGCGTGAAGGCTTGGAGAAAGTTTTACATGGTGTCTGCTGTCCTATGGTACCCTTAATACCTTTTCCATCTTTCGTTTGAAACCAAGTAGCCAAAGGACCGTGGCTTATGGCTTGAGCCACATACCCCTCTTAGTAGCCGCCAAAATGTCTACCAAGCGGACTGTCCTCATCACTGGCTGCTCCGACGGCAGTCTGGGCTCGCATCTCGCTCTGCAATTCCACGCTGCGGGCTGGCGCGTCTTTGCATCTTCCAGAAACATGGCAAAGCTTAAGCTTGCCAAGGAAGTCGGCACGTCTCACATCCTGTCCAATCACTCCTCAACGCCCTTTTGCTCAAGCTGCTAACCAAGAGCGATCAAACACAGGCATCGAAACAATCCAACTTGACACCCTCTCGTCCGAATCTATCGCCGCCTGCGAGTCACAAATCAAAACCCTAACCGGAGGCACCCTCGACGCGCTCGTCAACAATGCTGGCGCGGGGTACTCGATGCCCGTCTCCGACATGGAAATCAGCAAAGCGCGCGACCTCTTCGAGCTAAACGTCTGGTCCCTCATCGCCGTGACACAAGCCTTTCTCCCCCTCCTGCTGGCATCCACACACGAAGACGGCGCCCTTTTGATTAATCACAGTTCACTCTCCGGCGTCATCGCAGCGTCCGGCCCCATCGCCGGCGCATACAATGCCTCCAAAGCCGCCGTGGCGAGTTTAACCCAAACGATGCGCCTCGAACTCGCGCCATTCAACATCAAGGTCCTCAACCTCGTCACGGGCGCCGTCCCGCTCCACATTCCACGTCAATGCGCCGCGGCCGCAATTACCACCTCACTCGCTATACACGGTCGCGCGGGAGACTGTGGAACGCGCAATGGACAATGAAGATGATGCGGGGGATACGGATCCGCGATGGGCAAGGGGCGTGGTTGCGCAGGTTAGTCGGCGCAGTCCGCCGTACTGGGTGTGGGCGGGCAAGTTCTCGGGGCTGGTCAGATGGGGGAGTTTGTTCCCCGTGGGGTTCTTTGATCGGTTTATGAAGAGGATGGTTGGGCTTGATGTTGTGGAGCGGAATGTCAAGGCCCAGGTACAGCGGCAGAGGCAGGGAGCAAGGTATAGCGCAGGGGGACACTCTTATGATGGGAAGATTTGAAGGATGTGCTCACTAGTCTCTTTCACCTGATACAAAGGTCACTCAGTACATCGCGATTGATCCTTAGGCCACAGCCACCTCGCCAGCATGAGTCCGACGACTGCTCACCGTTGGTAGCCTTGTCTGGCCCGATACTCTTGGGGGAGAACTAGACGCAGCCAGGGACTAATCATGTACACATTAGATAACTATCCACATTCAAGTTTTGCGTATTACGGTTCTTTTCTTCCTGTCACCTTAGCCATCTTGCCTGGATTGTAAGATCAATTCGCTAGCCATTCGTGCCGCTTTTCGGTTGCCTTGAGGGTTGACAAAATGGGACGTAGACTAGGCTATGGCTTGAGGGAGAAGATATTCGCGCTCGCCAAGGTACAAGTGTACTATTTACAGGTGTCTCTATCATGATAACCGGCGTTGGGCGCCTCAAGGCTCCGTATCACTTCTTGCTGCGTTTTGCTGGGTCACCATCTTTGCAGAATGCGTCTGTATTATACGTATAGATGTAGCGACAGGGGTTATATAACCACATTCCCAATTCTGGTAAATTCATTCCTTTCCGCTACTCTATCATCCCGACGAGAATTCACGTCGGATTTCTCTCCCAAAAGATGTTGGAAGAGCTTCTCGTCGTTGGCCTCAATCGCGCCGCGCGCTTCGGCTACTATCGGGTCACAATACAGTCTGTCTGCAGGTTCGGCATTTGGATCTTTTGAATCCACGGCTGACAGGCTTCGCGGCGGTGGGCTGCTGATATTCCTCGCGTAGTCCTGTCCGCTGATGAAAAGCCTCCACCGGCGCGATGGTACAACATCGAGGGGTACGGGAGTGCTATATTCGACTACTAGTTGCATAGTTAAGGGTAGCTACGCTATCCACCGTGGCGATAGAAGGACTCGACGTATTGTTGGGGCTAGGGGCCATGGCACCTGTCAACCCCATCATGCTTACCATGACCTAAATCGTTACGCGAATAATTTTACTACCTTTTTCAGGCGGTGTTGAGCTTTTTATATCATGGTTCCACTCAAGGGATATTGACTGGTTAACTTGTGTGTGGATATTGAACGGCTATGAGTGTATGGGAAATTGGCCCCAATATATATTGGTCCTTGAGTTGACGGCGGAGGAAAAACGTAACCCTAAACTCGATAACCTGGCATCATGCCTTTACTTTTACTTCTGGGCCCAAGTAGCCTATATCAGCTCCATTCGATAACCACGATCCAGCAGTCAGGCCACCCTTAAGGGTGGCCTGGCCCCTGCCAAGAAGACGCTAAGGGGAGGAGCCTGCAGCCTGAATTGTGCGGCTGGAGCCTTCACCAACAACCTCCCCCGCATAAATACTGCAGCATAAGAACACCCGTGGACGAAGCTCTCAATGGCATCTTTGATAAGAGTTCACAAAATGGCAACGCTCCTCACCCTCCCCCGCGAAATCATCCACCGCGTCTTCTACTCTGCACCACAAGCATCGCGCAAGCAGCTCCGCCTCGCTAGCAGCCTCACCGGAGAGATTGGACGGAAATGGGTCTTTGAATCGGCGCAGATTGCGCCACTTAAGAGCAGCTGCGAAAGGTTCCGGAGTATCCTTGATAATCCCGAACTTGCGGGGTGTGTCACCAAGGTTTACATCGATACTGTGAGACCAACGGATGTATGTCGTAGAATCGTCACTCTTTGGCTTATATCGTTTCTTTCTTCTGTGGTCGGTGCAGCTACTGATCAAATCCAATTAGGACCGTCGCATCCGGGACAAGAAGCCCGAGGATGAATTCGACGACGAAGCTTTGAATGACGTGGAGGACGAGGACAATCTCCCACGCCCCTTCTGGAATCTCGTTAACCGCCTGCACGAATTCCCGCGTCTGCAGAGCGTCGTCCTGCGCTTCCATGCCGGCTGCGACGGTGAAGAAAACACCTGGAACTGGGTCACGCAGACGATCGACTTTCGCCACTCGGTGCTGCGCAAGGTCTTTGCTGTGCTCGCGAACCTACCTCGACTGCCAGCGGAACTAGCGATCCAGGATCTACAGAATATCAATCCGACGGATGCAGGTACCAGGCGGGACATTAAGAAGGTTCTGGGAGGGCTTAAATCGCTGCGGTTGCATATTGCGAATGAGCGTGATGAGGGGAATGGGGAGCATGATATCGAGGTACGTACGCCCTGCAAATTACTGCGTACCTTGACCAACCTCCACAGAGACTAACGATAGTAACAAGACTCCATAGAAGATAGCACTGCACGACTTCTTCCCCAGCCTGGGCTACACCTGGCTCTCACCCGCCGCCGCAAACCTCGAGCACCTAACACTCTACTCACAATGCTACTTTGGCTTCTTCCCGACCTGCGATCTCACCGACATCCACTTCCCACGCCTCAAGACCCTAGCCCTAGGCAACTACACCTTCATGCACGATTCCCAACTCGACTGGATAACCTCGCACGGAGCGACCCTGCAAGAACTATACCTGGACGACTGCCCGATCATCTACGAGGTCATGGTTGAAGAAAAGGATACAGAGCGCACACTCCTCGAGAAGGACCAGTACAAGGTGCACCCTCGCGTCGCCGGGGATAGTCGCTACGCATGCTACGACAAGCGCTGGGTCGACTACTTGCGCGCATTCGACGCGAAACTCCCACACCTCCAGCACTTCCGTTTCGGGCACTGTCCGACGTGGTGGCATAACGAGTCGACGCCGTTTGAAGAGGAGGGGAAGATCACGATTGGATTCCATGACGAGTCGTATATGACGTACTGCGAGGGCTACGGGCCCAGTCAGTATATGCAGAGTTTGATTTGGGATGTGGAGGATGAGGAGGAGGAGAATGGCATTAGTTATGAATACGAAAGTAGGGTTAAACCTAGCGAGGAGGATATTGCTGCGCTGGAGGGGTTGCTGAAGAAGATGGGGCAGGAGGTTAGTTTGGACCAGGATGGGAGGAATGCTAGTCCGCCTTCGTTGTATGACTAGCCCATTAAACCAAACAACAATCTGTCTTCTTCCACTGGTTAGTGAGAGAGGTCCCGCGGTCAAGTGAACGAGTCCTAGTCAGCACACGGGGGACTTTCAATTGAATCTGTATCCTCACTTACAGAAGTGCTTCTTGAGAAAGACCCCAGAGCATCTATCTGTAGCATCTGTAGGTCCTGCGGTCCGCTGGCTATTTCTTCCCGCTGTCAGTTGAAAAGAAGACGTGGTAGGTCGCTCGAAATGCGGCACAGCTGCATTGCAGGTTCAATGAGTCTAGTGTCAACAGAAGGAATTTAATCCAGGACTCAGTCTCCGAAGGGACGCGGGGCGGTACTCTTGGCATCGTCACATGTGTCTTGACATTTACCCTTGGTGCTTTGGTGCCGAACCGCCTGCACATGTAGGCTTTTACTCCCCGCGCACAATGCTGACGCTTAGCTTCAACGTGGCGAGTCTCAGTGTTTCGCTGAGCACGAGTGATCTCGGTTGCAGGGACCCTGTGAGGGCGTTTCAGAGCCCGCGACACGGGGCAGATTATACCCAGAATATTAAAGGGTTCTAGGACAAGGTACAGGAGCTGCTAGCAACAACCATCGCAGATACCCCCGTGGACCATATCCTCCTTATTGGCTCGCATGCTCGAGAGGTGGGCTTAGTGCAGTCGCTGGCGCGTGTCATTAAACAGTCGGAGAACATTGATCCCGCACTGCTAGACCGATATCGAGGGAATGCGTCGGAGGAGGAGAAACGAGATGCCCTGTTTGCAGCTGCGAACCAGGCAACGTTCTCGGCGAGGCGGGGTATGAAGAGTGGCTACGTGTTTGTATTATTCCTGATCATTGTCCCGTGGGTGAGAGCGGGGACGAAGAATTTGAGGGGGGGGACTGGTACGCGATTCTAGGCGTTCCTAGAGAGCCGATTCAGTGACCGGACACAAACTTGGCTTTTTATTATCCTCGAGTCACCAAATATGCGTATGGTTTATATATCATAGTACTGGGCTACTTCAATACCCTACGGTCCACCCGCAACCTAAATATTAGCTAGTACCAGGAGCAGAACCATAAGGATACGTGGTATAGGGGAAGGAAAATGTATGCTTTGCAGGGCCTTCACACAGCTACGTAGATTGTGTCGAAAGATCCAATATTTCTTCTTCCGGTCATAACGCTTAAAATCATCCGGAAGGCATAAGGCGTCGGGGCATGACCCTTGTACTATTTCGTGCAAGACTGCAGCATACGGGAAATCTGGTCCGGTAAATGAAAAAGCATCATCAGATGCCCTTTTACGAGATGGAGGATCTCCAAACTCTGGGAGTGGCTCTCGGCCATAGTGCGCTAGGGTCAGATTGGCGCAAAATTACGTCGGACTGAGGTTGAGTACGTTTCCCGCGTCCAACTTTTGATCGTTGACGTTTATAAGGATCAGTTGTCGTGCTTTCTGTGGTGACAGAGGCCGTCCTGCACAGGCGGTCTACCTGAGAGCCCTAAGTGCGATCTGTCTCCTCGTGTCGGGAGCCCTTTGCTGGTTGTGATAGATCCGTTGTTTGACCAAAGTCTATTGAGCAGGAACTCTCGATTCGCTCTAGACACCAGATATAAGTTGGGTCCAGATCATCGGGATGATTGTCCAACATTTCCTTGATGTCGCTATCGGTGTGGCTGGAACTCCAGATGTTCAGCAGTTGGAAATGTATCGAGGAAAACCTGATCCGTTAGCATAGACTCTTCTTAGGCGCAGCGGGAAACGGAGAAAGTCCACATTTTGTCCCCTCTGGCTATCAGGACTTGTTTGATCTTATCTAAAAGATTTCTGTCCTCTATGGTGGCGCACTCTTGCTGGTTGTGATCGACCTCGTGGTGGACGTAAAGCTCAATATCTACGGATCGGATTGCTGCACCCCGTCGCCGTGTCCGTGTAGGTCTCGTTGTACCCTGGCCCGTCGCTGTCGCCCATACGGATGACAATCGGATCGAAGAATCCCGATGCCGCCGAGGTCGCGCGAGCTGCGTGCCAGACTCTGGTGTATTTCAGACGGTCCGAGTCGATCATCCTTTTCCTTAGTAATTTCGAAGTAGGACCGGCGCGGTGACTGGAGATTGGCGGGCGCGAACAAAGCCTGGAGATATACAAAAACAAAGCCAGTTGGCTCTGCTCAGGTGAGTCATTTTTAGATCTTGGTTATCCTCACATCTTACATCAACTAGAGCCACTTTTATTACAAAGCATCACCTCTTTTTTAAATCCATGTTCTTTTAGCAACGCTTTGACGGCGTTCGCCAGACTTCCCGAATCAAAGACACCCCACACCTCACCGACACTATTTCGTACCTCAAGCCAAATGGGGAACTGTCAGGTGGCGTTGAGATAGATTATGATATTGTTCAATAGACCAAGATATATCTATTAATACTTATCTTAGGGTGCCCGCGCATAATTGTAATGAGACTTTATCCTAGAAGAGACGGACACATATACTGGGAGAATCAGGGTAGCCTTACCCTCTAGCACTTGGACTACGTATTATGTTGAAAAGCTTGCACGGTCTCGCCGCCTTATTAAAGCTCTTCTCCTCCACAATCCATTCCCTCGGGTCATTCCAGACCTATAGACGTGGCCGCAGCAGAAAGCATCCAAGACAAAGCACCACGACCGCTACCCCCTCCCGCCATGCCCGTCATCTCCCGAGAGGAAGATCGGATCCAGCGCGAAGGGAGTATCTTGATGTAGCTCAGACCCCCCCTCGGACACGGTACCATCCGGGCCCCAATTCACACCTTCTGCCCAGGGCGGCATGCCCCACGGATGCGAGGCAGACAAGGCCTGCCCCGAATCCTGCCCACCATCATCTGCGGCCATGGGTACGCCCTCCAAATCCAACCCCTTGGCAGCCGCAATCCTGCGCAGAAACCTCTCTGTGATGCGGAAGGCCCGCGCCGCACTCGCGTCTTGGTTGCTCATCGCATGCAACCAGCGCACGCCCTTCTTCGCGCCCTGCAAAACGGCCCCGGGGTCGGCGTGGGTATACAGTCCGCCTCTATGTCGCCTCTTCCCGTGCCCGTCGTCTTCGACTGGGACCTGGCCGATGGCCAGTTGGATCAGGAGGACTGTTTCCGCCTGCATGATGAAATGCAGGACACACCACCAGGGCGTCATGCGGAGGAGCCAGCGGGTGTCCGGGTCATCGGGGAGAATGGAAATCAGGGCGACGGCAGAGTGCACGCAGGTCTTTGCGGTATCGTTTCCGAAGCGGGAGCGCGGGAAGCGGATGTTGGTTCCTTCTCTCATGTCCGGGCGCGTGAGACACGGTCTGCTCAGGATGATTTGTGCGCTGTAATACGCCATCGCGAGACTTACCTGCTCCCGGGAGTCCCGGGCGACCTCGGGGACTGTCTCTTGATCAGTAAACGCAAAGGGCTGCTGCAGGTGCGCGAGCCAGGTCTGGAGCCGTTTCTGGTACAGCGGGATTTCGGCCTGGCCCGTGTCCCTGTCCTTGGAGAGGGTGTAAATAGCTTTGACGGCGGCGTGTGTGATGATCAAGAGGTCGACAAAGTGGAAGAAGAAGAGGGCCGGGGTCGGTTCGATGCCCTTGAGCCACTGGCTGCGAGATTCGAGGTCCGCGTCGCTGGCGTAAATCGCCCATGATAATCTCTCTTCACGGAGGAGGGCATCCGAAAGGAGTTTCTCGGCCTCGGGCTCGCCAAAGTGTGCCTCGCAGAAAGGGATTGGCGGAAACGCGGAGATTGCGTGGTGGTCCACGCACGGAGACCGGCCCGTCATGGACGAGAGGATGTGCTCGATGGCGAAGATGGACCACCAGAGCCTGATTCGCGTTTCTTTGGACACGGGGTCTATCTGGTCACTGAGTGTACGAAGATTGAGGCCTAGAGAGATGGCCGAACGTGTTGCACGGCCTGTTATCTGCCACGGCCTACGCATGTCAGAACCTACTTGGTGTGTCGTTCACGGGCCATACCTATTGACCTGGCCAGATGTCAGGTAGTATATCGCCAGCAAAAGATCCATCTGCACCTGATGCAGGTCCGAGTGCTCCATTGCCAGAGAATGGGTCTGGTTGAGGGATAGCGCTCTCGACAGGAAGATTCCGTCATCGACGTCCTTGCCAGCCTCGGGCTCTGCAAGCTGGTAGTGTCTTGCGCCGATAGCAAGGGCCAAGTTGAGGACAGCCAGCCACTTGTTAGTCGGCTCCGAACCGGATGGGGAGAAGGCGCGATCGAATTGCGAATAGAACAACGACCGGTTGATCAGCGGGAAGAAGTGGTCGGCCGTGTTGAAGAAGATGTTGATCAGCCGCGCCGCCCACGCCTTGGGCGGCAGGAATTTCGGGTCCGCAGGTACCGAGTCGACGATTCTCAGATTATCCAGGTGGTAGCTCATGGAGACAATCGGCTCCTCGACTCGCGAGGGCCTCTTCTCTTGGGCGTCGCCCCGATCCAGCTTGCTGGCTTCGGCCTCGAGCTTCTGCATCCAGGCGATTTCCGATTCTTTCCCTATGTACCCTGTCGCGCGGCTTCCCTCGTTGCGGTTGGGGTCTTCAGTCAGCGTGTTTACTTCCCTGAGCGAGCCAACGGATGTGGAGGAGCCCGAGGACAAGGCCGAGCCGGGTCGTTTCTGCTGGTCGTTAGCTGAGCGACTGAACTATAGACCATCAAATCAATCCGGGTTGGCCACGCACAGTGTCCTCCTCATCGTCACTCTGCATAACGTCATCCCCCAGAACCAAGCTACTTCTCGAGCCCTGGCTCTGGCTCCCCGACTCCTCTAGTATAGACGGAGTCCGCCTGTCAAACAGCGCAATTTCCCGGGCGCGGTCCTCTTTCGCCGACGTGATCAGCGCCTTTAACTGGGCAGAATCACCTGCCTCAAACACCTCGATGATCAAATCGAGCAGCCGATGCACACCCTCGAGTTCCTGCTCCACCCGTCGCTGCGCGTATTTGCGGCGCCTGTCGAGGCCCGCGGGGAAGATGCATTCCCGGCCACTGAGGGTGCATTTCTCGCAGGGGTGGGTGCCACTACACTGGATATTATCAAAACTTCATCCGACAAGGGGAGTAACTTGGCACGAGCAATGTGATATACTTTGGTCTTCCGCGCTTTGCATCCCGTGCACGCCGAGCTCTGTTTCGTCCGGCGGGGCAACAACGATGGTTTGGAGAATGTCGCAGCATGCGCCGGATTCGGCGCGATCGAAGCAAAAGGGCGAGAATGCGATGATGCCATGATGGGGGTTGGATTGCGAAATCCAACCAATCGACGTCGAAAGTGGAGATTTGATCCCAGGGTAACAGCTGGCAGTTGACAGTTCGCCACCGAGGACAAGCAGGATCGTGCTTGAATTATATAACGCCCTTTTATCGCTAGAGTTCCCGGTGATGGGCAGGTCGAATCGGGCCCTTGTCGCTGATGATGATGTCAATGGCTGAGGCCGCTGCGGAGACTGGCCAATCTGCGTCGACAACCTGGTTTGCTGTTTACTCAATGTGGAACAGGCGGCCAGGTACTCCGGAGCCTGTGTTTCGCTCGCTGTTCGGGAAAACAACTCCGGGCAGTCAGTTTGGCTGGCATTTGCTTGGCTGTGCCTGTCGTGCGGGGCGATCTTCAGATCTTCAGATCCTGGTCATTCGCCGCCCCCTACGTAGAGCCCCGTCGCCCAGCTTTGGATCCTGGTTCACAGTGTTGGTCATTCGATGATTAATGCCTCCCTATTTGGTCAATTGACCATCTGCTCGGCCACCGATTTGGCCAAGCAACACCCGAAAGCCTAGTACCACCTACATCTCTACAAATAAATAAATAAAATAGTAGAATATCATTTCTCTAGCGGTAACGGCAATTCTATACGTATATATCGTTATAGATCGGTACTGATGACCAAAAAAAAGTAAAACCCGCCTGTAGACGCTCAAACCCACCCACCCAGGCTACAGCGACGCCTTATTCTTACTCTTGTTGCCAAACGGCCTCAGAATCGACTGCTGCGTCATATTAGCCACCAACTTGCCCTCCACATTCCACAGCCTCGCCTCACTATACGTCCGCCCCTCGCCCCCCGCAACACTCTTCATCTCGCGCAGATTCCACTGCGTCAGATCCCACTCGCTCGAAAACACGCGCAGCGCAAAATCCAAACTCGCGCACGCCGCCGCATCATCCAGGAACATGTGATTATGCATCCCCGCGAGGAAACTCAGGTACCCGTCCAGGATAAACGCCAACCCCGCGTAGTGCTCGAGCGGCTTGTCTTTGCGGAGCGGCGTTCGACACCGGATCCAGTCTGCCGTCGTCTTGGAGGTCAAGGGCAGATGATCCTGAGTCGTCGGTTGGTGCTTGGCCATCCCCGTGACGTTCTGCGCGCCGATTCCCTCTGGTGCTTGGCGCGTCTCGAAGTGGCGCGCCATCAGGCCGAAGAGCGTGTTGTAGGCCGATTCGGTTTCGGGGGCGATGGTTTTCGAGTCCGTAAGGGTGCGCGCGATCTCTTGTGGGGTCCGGCTGTTTTCTGGGCCGGAATATGTCCGGTCGGGTGGGGCGGAGAAATCGAGCATGCTGCGCTCGCCTTCTTTGTGCAAGTCTGCGAGGAGGATCATACACAGCCTCGGTTGACGACTACCGTCTTTCTGGACCTGCTGTTGGGAAATCTCCACAAGCCGCGTCGCAAACGTCCTCGTATCGCGCAATCTCCGCACCGAGCAATCGAGTTTGATATCAATCGACACGGGCGCAAGGAAGCTGCCGGTGATCGAGTACGGGCGATACCCCTGCGAGACTGTTTCGCAGGCTGCCTGCACGCCTACACCGAGAGCGCATCCGCCATACGCGAAACTGCCCATGTTGCCCATGCGCTCGGGGAGGAAGCGCGTGGTGAATGTATCCGGCTGCGGTCCGGGGTCGAGGGCGAGTTGGTCGGAGAGGCTTGGTGCAACCTCCCGCGGCGGTTTGGGATTTTTCGCCATTATTCTGGGTGTATCAGCTGGCGAGTGTACGAGAAGGCGGGTTCAGGTACAAAGTTTAGTCTGGGGAAGACCCTGGTTGCATTGAGGTGAACCGCTGGACTCGGGGTTAAATTCAATTCTGGAGATGGTGGGCTGGCTGAACTGCAGCCTTGGCTCCCGAGGTCGGGGGCCGGTGCCGAGGTCTGTTTCTGATGACCAAGCAGCCGTGGGACGCGAGACATGATCGGAAGATGTGCTGACCAATTTCACCTCCATTCGAGAGATCTTTTCTTTTGCTCACCAGTGATGCATCTCCCTTCGGTTTGTGAGGAACCCCCTTTAACTAACCGTTTTCCATCTCTACTAGTAGATTTATGCTATAACGACTATCGTTCCTGCCAATTCGGTCTGGGACGGGTTGCGCTGTCCTCCCTTGAGTCATATCCATATATATATATATTCTCCCTCCAGCGTTCGGTTCAGAGCCATGCATTTGGACCGCCGCAAAAGCAACGTAACCCGGCGAAAACTCGAGACCTTTAACGGTAACGCGCAGGCTAGTCATATTTCGAATGGATACGGTAGAACGCGAATGGACCCAGGAATGACAAATCAATAAATGGACGTTTGGTATCATGCTACGCATCAAGCAACTGCGAAAGCTTCCCCTTCCACGTATTCACCATCTCGTGCGCCGCAGCCGTCTGCGCCTTCGACTCCTCCAATTCCTTCTCCAGGACCGCATTTCTCGCCCTCAATTCGTCGACCTCCCTCTTTAAATCCCCAGACTGCGACATCGACGCGCGCAGCTGTGCGAGTTCAAGAACAGCGCTCCGCCTCTGCTCCAAATCCCGCCTCATAATCGCTATATCGTTATCGCGGAGCTTGATCAGCTGTGCATCCTGACGCTTCTGGCTTTGCAACTCCTCGATCTGGAGTTTGAGCGAGGTGACTGATTCGAGTTCGCGGTAGAGAACCGAGAGAGCGCCCTCGACTTCATTGGAGAGGGTCGCGAAGCGCGATTTCCGCTGGCGCTTTTGGGTCGGTGTTTCGGTGGTTGATTGTCCGTCTGTACTGGCGAGCGTATCACGTGGGCGTTTCGGAACTGCCATAGACTCGGATAGTGTATTGAGAAGGCGAATGTCTTCAACTGTATCCCGATGCCATTGCTGCAGAGATCGGGGCGAAGGCTGCTGCCGGGTGTCTGGCCCCAGCGTCTGACTGACGAGGTTGGAAATCGATATCGCGCTTGACGTGGCAGGGGCCTGTTCGGTCGTCGCCGGGACGTTTTGTTGATCGGTAGGCCGGAGAACAGGAGAGGCCGGTGGCGTCAATGCGGGCGGAGAGCGGTGCCATCCGCGCTCGATACAGATGGAGCAATATGAAGCCGTTGAACCATCGGGAGAAACATGTCGCGGGAGAGACACGCAGTCAGAGTGGAACGCGAGCCTGCATGTATGGCAGGGTTCAAGCGTGCCGCCACGGGAACAGACTCGACATGTTGTCTCATGATTCGAGCCGTTGCCTGTCTCGTGGTTAGTTATTTGCCCATGCGTCCGGTTATTAAGGGACACGGAGAAAACCTACGCTTCCAGTCCTTGTATCGTTGGATTTGCACACTCATAGGGGCCGATTTGACCCAGGCCTTGAATTCGGCTAGAGACATCGGCGCTGGCGACCCCTCAGTTGGTGGTTGAGATGTAGGTTGACTTATTGGTGTTGCCGCTTCCTCACTAGCCACTGGGCTCTGCGCGGGATCCTGAGACACATCGCGCGAGTTGGGACGCGCTCGTGTGGTCCGCCCGGCTCTTGACGAGGTTACTGACGTTCGCGCTTGGGATTTCCGAGGGGGCATTGTGCTATTGAGAAACGTGGGTTTGCTCCTTGACCATGTATCTCGCAAGGTGGCAAGACCAGAAATGTTGACAGGAGCGAAAGAATCTGGCGACGGATTTGGTCAGGAGATGATCTTAGTCATCTCGCAGAAATGCCCGGACCATGACAAATCATGCGCTGACCCTCTCGCAACGCAAGATTCAGTTTCCAAGTTTTTGGGAATAACGTTCCATTAATTTCGCTACGCAAGAAACACCATAAAACAACCCCATCAAGAAATCAGGCACCCAGACTATCCTCCCACTCTTCCACGGTCCGAACAGTCGCAAACAATGGCCAAACCAGCTCCCCGGCCTTGGTCAGCTCGCTCGACCACCCAGCAGTGGCATCCTTTCTGCACCAGGATTAGTATTGCTCTCGCCGGTCGGACCCAGCGGCTAGATGGTCAAACTTACAGGATGGTAACATGGTATCCACTGATGCACTCTATTAGCCGTTTACTTCAACAGTTCAAGGGTCAGGTCGTACTCACAGCTCAAATGCATGGCGCGCAGTGGCCTCCAAGCACGTATTAGCGGTCAGCCCCGCTAGAACGAGATTTGTAATCTCGCGCTGCCGGAGCTGATAATCGAGGTCGGTGTGCGAGAAGGAACTATCGTTTGCAATCGAAGTAATCAGCGTGTCGTTTCACGAAAGGAAAACACACGTCGGCTGTATCATACTCGCTATTCCAATGCTTGCTAACAACCACATCCCCATTCGCGAGATCAGGCTCAAGCCCCTCGTAAATCTTCGCACCAAAACTGCCTTCCTCAAAGAAATGGATATCGCGCTGTCTCACATGGCTGGGCGTCATATGTTTCCAGTCGTGGAATTTGTCAGCGGACCACTGCTGGTGTAGACCGTAGTAGACTGGGATGTTGCGGGAGCGAGCTGCTTGAACAAGGTCTTTCATGTTCTGCACGGCGTTTCGCTCCTCGAGGTCTTTGAGGAACGGGGTGAGTTTGCCATCTGGGTGAAGGAAGTCGTTGTACGGGTCCACGAGGACGATGGCTGTTTTTGTGGATGACATTTATTGTGAGTGAAAGCGTGTACTGTCTAGATGGAATAGGAGATGAGATTAGATGATAATGTTGTGAAAGAGGATAGAGGGGAGTAGGCGTGGTTTTATAGCCCAGTTTCCGGGACCCAGGGCGAGGAGCAAGAGGTGTTCTGGATTGATTACCAATATATCCCGGCAACTCTTGCCAGGGTCATTGAAAAGAAAGAGGTGAGGGGGCGTGCTGGATGACCAATCTAAGAAATTGACCCTTGTCTTACTCCGCAGCGTATGCGGACCGGAAATACGTCACGACTACGGCCTCGGCCTTGTCGATTAGGTGCTGCTGTGGCCCATCGTCGGGACCAATACTTCGAAGTCTCGCGCCCTTTATCCCCAAAATTGTTGAGTCAGGGGACATTGGGTTGTGACGCTGCCAGATGACTCTACTACTGTTGGGGTAGAAACCCCCAAGGCTGGGACTTCTGTGTGTCTAACGTGGACAGTAGGCATGGAGAAACAACAATTTCACTTCATCGAACCCTCAGGCGCCGTGGCTGGCCCAGGAGCGACTCCATAATAAATAGCACTTGTTTTCCTCTGGTCAGTTATCCCACTTTCGGCCATTATCCCCCGTAACGATCAGTGTCCTCGTCATCGCACTCGCCTCGGCCCCGCCACCAGTATTGCTCAGCAGCTCCTGCGCTGTCTCGGAGATGGGCTTGTACAAGGGTTACCCACTAGATTGCGCGAAGAGGAGCACCAGCCGTAGTTCCAAAAGCAACAAAGGGAATGTCTGCCGAACCACGAGTTGGTGCGCTCTCCGCAAGGGGGTTTGTTTCAAGTCTCAAGGCGTGCGCATGTTAATTAATGCTATTACATGGAATTCAGGCGCTATTCCTAGTGGCTCTTCATTCCACGGACCTGGTTTGTCTAGTGTATATTCCGATATGGAGGGTTTGTGTCGAGATTATGTGCTGTTGGGACTGATGAAATACCTGATACTATTGGGGAGGTATATCATATTGTCGCTTGCGACTTTGAAAAAGATTACCCCAAGGGGATAAGGGGATAGCGACATATGAAAAGTATTCACGTTCAAGAACGCCCCTTACTGTCCTGAACCAAATTCCACTCAACCCACCCCACCCCCGTCCTCCCATCCTGCTCCTCCACCTCCGCCCACACCCTCGGGAAATACGCCAGTTTCCCATCCGGCCCATCCAACCGCACCGGCGCCTGACCCCTCGGCCTAACATGCAACACAATCTTCTCCGCCGAAATGGATTCATACTTGATAATCGCCGCCTTCGGCAAACCATCACTCCCCATCTGCTCCGTCACTTCGACGGAACCAAGTTCTGCAATGGGGATCGTGGGACTCTGGATATATCCCACTGATACGGGACCCGTAGGAAGCCGGACCTGCACGCCGTGAATCTCCGTCCCGTCGTCGAGGTGGAAGGCTGTCCAGACCCAGTTGAACGACCACCAGTCGCGCACGCCCCAAGAGTGGTCGCGTTGGCCCGGGGCATTCTTGACCTGAGTAACGGTGCTGTCGACCAGAAGGGTACCGCTGACTTTGCATGGGATCTCGTATCGCGTCGCGAGACTCCACTGGTACGGTGTCCCAGCCGTATGCCAGGTAAGATCAATATGCACGTTAACAGGCTTCCCCTTGCTACCGCGGAGGAGGTCCGCCGGGTCCTCGAAGGACTCGCCTCGTCCAATCAGTGTGACACGGTATCGCTCGAGGGGAACCTCAGCGGTATGCGTCGCCTTGACATTCTCTGTATTAATCACAAAATCCGAACCCGGCGTCGGAGCCTCGAAATCGCTGACGGCGATTGTCGGACGACCCGGACCGCAGATGAGCGCATTATACCAGGACCCCGGCTGGTTTGGCGTGACGCCTAGCCGCACCCAGAGACCGATTCCTTGCTCCGCGTCGACGACGTCGAAGTACAGGCTTTCGTTATGCAACGGGTGTTCGGTAGCCGGGTGGTTTCCTTCGTCATTGGGGTCGACGGACAGTGGTTTGGGGGGTGTGGGTGGTGGGAGTGTTTCGACGGCGTTGATGTCGATGATGAATGTCGCGAGGCGATCGAGCATTGTCAAGAACATGTCGTCGCCGCGCTCGGTTTGTTCGAGGATCATTGGTGACGCGAATGCGAGGGGGAGACCCCAGAAGGATTGCGCGCGGATGCCCTCGAGACACTCGTCCAATGTGAAGGGTGGGCTCGGACCGAAGGCATTGATGTAGACTTGGAGGAGATCTGTGATGTTCTGACGACGAAGGTCCGTCGGAATAGACATGCCAATGAAATACGCCAGATCTTGAAAGACAGAGCCCATATTCAGCATCTGCCAGTCGACGACAGAAACCGAAGCCGGTTCCCCGCCCTCGTCCCGGAAGAGCATATTATCGAGACGATAGTCGCCGTGAACAAGACACCTATTCTTCGTAATCGCCTTGATCTTCTCGGCATACGCATCGAAGCACGCAAGCCAGCGCGTGACAACCTCCTGATGCTCAGGCTTAACACGACTCCCATACCTCGAAAGAAACCCCAACCACAGCTGCTGCAGATAGATCTGGCTCGGCGGCTTCTGGTTTCCCACCCACCCCGGATGTTCTGTAGACAAGGAAACACTCTGTATCTTCCCCAGCGCATCGAGCGCAAGCCGCGCCTGGTCAAGGGTTGCGCCCCGGATCTCATCACCCACAGTCGCAGGCTGGATATCCTCAAGTAGGATATAGAACGCGTCGCGGTCGCGGTCGAAGCGTGTATCGTAGCACTTCACCAAGGAATCGGAGTTAAGAGAGGGAGCGATCTCTGAGTAGAAGCGCGATTCACGCTCGTAGATTCCTAGCTTCATTCCGGACTCGCGGCTGAGGTGGCCGGATGCGCCGAGTTTGAGGACTACACTTGCGGGGCCGGTTTCGGTTTCGGTTTCGCTAGGGCCGTAGGCGAGGGTGATCCGGTGGCATTCGCCGACTTGCCCTGTTCCGATCCGCTCGGTGGTGAAGGATGTTATTGGGCAGTTGAGGGCTTGGGTAAGGAAGTTGAGGGTGACATCTTCGATGCGCTGGATGGACGGGTGGGAGTTGATCATTGTGGTAGCTGCGAACCGTACGAGGCGCTTCTTGCTGAAATCTCTGTACCGAGGACAACCACTGCTTGCGTAAGGGAATAGATCTCAAGTCCTGGCCAGTTCCTGCTAGGAATGAATCTATAGATGACCCACTTAAGTACAACAGCGCTCAACCCCGACCCCGCAATTCCACTTGGGTCTTTTGCGGGGAAACCAGGCCAGCGACCTCGGCATACCCCACCCCAAACAATCTATCGAGACGCGCGCAGGCATCAAACAGCCTATGAGAAGCTAGCCTGTATTGAAGTCACACGGCTACCTGGATACCCGTGTATATAAGGGCCTTGGCAGCATCCCCCGGCGATCAAGAGAGAAGAACCGCGCTTGGCAAGTGGGCATTTACGCTGCTTGATGGAGCGCCGGGCATCGCAGATATATTCCGGATACACACAATATTTACTAAGTGTTCTTGTATTTTGAGTCGAGCCTTCAAGCAGGCATCAACTCAGACTAACTGAAAACCGCATGCGGGCGTCTACCATGCCGCCCACCTACCAGCGAGGCCAAACCGAGGACACCGTTGACGACTTGTATGGGGGTTACTCTGGGCAAGCCCGCGCCTAAACCTAGAAGATTCCTTTGTCCAACGCAAGGAAAAACGGCACTCCATCTAGATCTCAACGATAATGGCATATGGAGAAGCAACGAAATAACTTGATCACCAATCAAAGCCACCAGAGCTCCAAATGACACTAGCCATATTGCACGATTGTACGAGCCACCAATTTGCGCCCGGACCGTGCGAAGGCCGGTCGAGAATGGCCGCACAGCGATCCCCCAGACCCACGGCAGCAAGATGGATACTCGTCACTCCGATGATCAAGCGGGGTTGGCGGAAGGGGCAGCGGGACGCCAATCCACCCGGCTTCTGGAGAACCGGCGCTACACTGGCGTCTTGCAGGCCTTGGCAGGGACACCTTCGCTTCTCCTCGCGCCACCTCACCAAATTTCGCGGGTTGATATTCTCAACACCCATCTACCTGCTTTGACCGCCTGTCCCTCGCACAATCTGTGTCGTCCCTCTCTAGCGGCGCAATTCTCGCCTCGCTAACCCCAGTGACAGCACGAAAAAAACAACAAGGGGCAGCAAAAACACATTGGCAGGCTCGCCCCCGGTACCGTACGATGACCAGTTTCACTCTCTTCTCCAGCCTCCCCGCCGAAGTCCGTGTTCGGATATGGCAAATGGCCGTCGAGTCTCGGACTGTTGAGATCCGGGAGGTACGAAAACGCACCGCGATCGAATATTTCATCTCACCGACCCCTGTCCCCGCCGTCCTCCATGCCTGCTACGAATCTTGAGCCCATGCAAACTACCATAAGGCGTTTGCCCTAGGCAAGGCTCCACGATATGTATGGTTCAACTTCGAAGTAGATATGATCTCCATCGGGGGTACACACGTTCTGGACCTCCAGGGACCCGACGCCCGACTTATCCGGCGGCTACGCTTCGAACGTGAAAATGATGAATGGTTTTTTCACTACGAGTCGAAGGAGATGTGGCAATTGAACGATAGGATGGAAGAAATTCATGTAAATTGCAAAGAGGGCGTCTTGGCGTGGTTCGATGCTTGGGAGTGTCTGAGCTGGCCGTGTCCGAGGGAGAATTTGAGATTCATCGACAGGGAGACGGGCGAGGCGTTCAGGGGCGAGGACTTGGAGAGGGTGGAGGCTGAGTGGGCGGCAGCAGGGTATGGCGGGACCCCTTCCCCTTGACTTATGCATCGGCTGCTTTTGTCTTGTACACTTCTTGTTTGTAACTAAGGGCCAAATTTGATGATACTACGATCCCGCGTGTAGCGCTCGTACAGCCCTTTTGGCGTCGCTCGGATATAAGGCGTTGTCGTATCCTGATCAGCTCTGGGAGACCAACGACTTGATCGTTCGATCGTAGCTTCCCCAGAAAGATCATGAGCTTGTTGAAGGTCCATTTGCCGCTCCTGCCCCTCTCCAGTTGTTGGTGTCGCTGGTGAGTCGGGCATGCTGGTTTATGGCATCGTCGAAAACCCGGAGAATGCCTTTATGACCCTCTTTAGCTACCTTGCAGGTGCTGGGGTGGGCCGAGAAGGGTTCAGAAACGCAACCAATGCCCGGCGGTCTATGACCGGCAAGGAGATTGATAGTCTTGGGTCGATCAAAACCGATCTCAACCTTATTGAGACTGTGCGTAGTTCCGTTTGCGGCCGTTGAGCCTGAGGGTCTCCTGTGGCGGCTGTGACTGCCGCCACGGGTATTAGCAGGGACACTCACTTCATGTCTCCTTATCGTCATCATTTCCTGTTCAACGTTTATTATGTTGTTTCATCAACCACTGTACATAGATGCAGAATGGCGGGGAGAGGCAGCTAGCTTGTCACCGCCAGCAGTTGAATTTCCGGAATGATGACTCCGCCCAAAGGTGGCGGTGCGTGATGTCGGGCAATCGCTACGCAAATGAGTCAAACAATTTTCTTGGCTGGGATCAAAGCAGAACTTGCGACTCGTCCGAGTCGTGCCCGACGACAGGGCCCCTCGCCAGCCTGTGGCTCGCGTCGACCGCCAAGTGGACGCTAAGTATATGATGGCTGAGGCGCAGCATATATCCTGGCCTTGGTCCCATGCAACAGCTACACGCATTTTGCGTCTACTTGATGGTTCACTTGCTTAGTTTGTGATTTCTGCTGCATGGAAAGGGTATTTCTCCTTGTGTCACGGAGCTTGCATCCTGGTCTTCCGGCGTCAAGTGTATAAGAAACACCCGTAGTATCCACCAAGATCTCACAAAGCACCCCGCAAAAGCAACAAGAACGTTCAGGATCGACCAAAGCTCCGAGGATACACAATCATGCCAACCGCAACCTCCACCCTCGGCTGGACCCTCACAAACTGGGGTCCGCTTCCAGACACCTACACACTGGACCCCACCTGTACCGCCGCCACGGACGTCTTCATCGCGTATACAGACGCACCTTACGCTCCATTCTGGGCCGAAGTCTGTACAACGGCGACTACAGAGAACTGCTGGCCTGTCCCCACCGATCAAAGCGCCCTTGAGGAGTATGCGAATAACCCCTACCTGGTTGCGTACTTATCGCCCGCTGTGGCTTGTCCCTCTGGATGGGAGTCTATTGGGGGAGCTGCGAATCCTGCGGATGGACCTGTTACGTCTTCGGGGATATTTACCGGGTATCCAGGGCGATGGGATTATGGTGGTGATGACGCGGTTAACAATAACGATGCACCCGTAATCATTGGCTGGAAGGATGCGATCGGGGCTCTCCTTGATGATGGTGAAACCGCAATAGCTTGTTGTCCCAGGTAAACCCACCCTACCTCTCATCTCCTAATCTCCTTTGCTCTCATTTCCTTTCCATGTGTGGAAACGGCAGATACTAAGCCAAGGCTCCCCCGGGAATAGTTCCATGACCGTCACCCTACACGGCCTCTGCTACGAGACCCTCCCCTCGCATCCCGTCTCAACAGCCTGCGACGGGGAATGGACTAGCATAGCCACAACAACAACGACCGTATCAACAACCTACATGCTCAACGGCACAACACGCACGGGCCAGGTTGTGATTCCCGCGACAGACTCAGTGTACCCGTTGCCTATAACGGCGCCGACAACGACGTTCGCTGCCGAGGAGACGGGTGATCTTGTTGCTGTTAGGATGCAGGGCGTACTTGTTCTCATGCACCGGGAGAGTGATATCGATGTTGGTTCTACGGACAGCGACGAGGCTACCGGGAGTGAGAGTGAGAGCGAGGAGCCGGGGGAGGAGGTCGGGGATACTACGGAGGCGAATGTGGCGATTGCCAGGTTTTATACTGGGGCGAGCCACTGGGGTCAGATTTGGGGGATGTTGGGGGTACTGGGAGTTTCGGCTTTGCTTGGGGTTGGGCTGCTTGTGCATGTGTAGAGTCAGCGGTCCTCGTGGGGAGAAGGCCATTTCAGCTATACTATCAACGTCTCCCATGGCAATACAAATTACCTCTGACAAGACTGATCACATGAAAACATCCCTGGCCGACCATTAGCCCTCCAACTGGGGGATGCGCGAATTCATTATATGCCATGGAGCCAGGCAAATTTCATTGACGGAGGGTAGTCTAAGACCGAATAAAACCAAGTATATCATGATTCACCTCATCCACATTGATATTGTGAATCGCATGCGAGCCCCCAGGATAAACCTTGAGCTTCCCCTGGGGCAACAGCTTCGCCGCTTTGGCTCCAGCGGCCTGGAAAGGAACAACCTGATCATCGTCGCCATGAAGAACTAGAACTGGAATATCAATACTCTTCAGATCCTTCGTAAAGTCCGTCTCGGAAAAGTCCTTGATGCAGTCGTACGCCGTCTTGAAGCTCGTATTCATCCCCTGCCTCCACCAGCTCTGGATGAGTCCCTGACTCGCCTTGACCCCGGGGCGATTGAACCCGAAGAACGGGCCCGTGGGGACATCGAGGAAGAATTGCGCGCGATCGCGCTGCATCGCCTCGCGGAACGAGTCGAAGACTGCCTTTTCCGTGCCCTCGGGATTCGCAGCCGTCTTGACCATCAGAGGCGGCACGGCCCCGATGAGGACGGCCTTCTTCACACGGCGACCGGTGCCAAACTTGCCCAGGAACCGCGTCACTTCGCCGCCGCCATGCGAGTGGCCGACCATAACGGCGTCGTTGATGTTCAGGTGGTCAAAGAGCTCCTTGAGGTCGTCGACAAAGGTCTCCATGTTGTTTCCCTGCCAGGTCTGGGTGGACCGCCCGTGGCCGCGCCGGTCGTGTGCGATGACTCGGTAGCCGTTCTCTGCGAGGAAGAACATCTGGTTCTCAAAGTTGTCGCTGGATAGAGGCCAGCCGTGCGAGAAGGTGACGACGGGGCCGGCCGGGTTGCCCCAGTCCTTGTAGAAGAGCTCGGCGCCGTCGCGGAGTTTGAGGTAGGGCATGTTTTGTTTACTTGGATAGGTTGGGAGAAGGATGAGTTGGGGTTGTAACTGGGCAGGCTTTGGAGATATCTCTTTTTTTCCAGATTGGAGAAATAAATCGAGGAACTCTGCCTTTTTCTGTGGTGGGTGTGGGGGTTTTGCAGTCGTGGCGTCATCTATGCGCTTTGATGACCTCAGTCAGCATTTGTAAGGAGAGTGACACGAAGCTTATTAACGGCGCCTAAATCTGGCTTTGTAAAAGGTATCTCCTGAGCTCATGTGCCAAGAAATCTATATAAATAGGTGTTTTTGATAAGCTTATGTCATGACCCTTGCATACGACCGACTCTTCTTGGTGAAGCGTTTGTTCATCCTACGTCGCAGTGCTATGCAACAAACTCGACACTATCAATGCCGACAGATTTACCATTCCTTCAATGAGGTCTAGGCGCAAAAAAAGATCTATGTTGATTTGACACAATGAAAGATAGTAGTCACGGCTATAACGAGAATGCGCTCTAGCTTCCGTATCTTGGACACCTGAGAGAGTACCATGTTCACGCGGGGATTACTGGCTCCACCGATTGTCTGAGAGAGTTTCTACCACTACATGGGGAGGACTAATAGGCTCTAGAACTCATGTGCCTTGCCCAAACCTTGGGGGCACAAGTCAACCAGGGACACCCCATACTAGGCCGGGCGCGCCTATTCACCTTACGGGCGCGTTGAAGTCACACGCCAGTAGATTAGTAGAATGGAGCGTAGCCACGTGCACTTTCATACCGCTACATATTTTTTACTTTGGGCTCCCCGCTACAACAATCATGATCAACAATGTTTTCCCATACGGATGCGATGGGCGCAAGGCTGTCGGTGCGGACCAAAACACCTCGCTCCAGATGTAGCCCGCGCCTCATTTCTGCCTGATCCTGAGGCTCATGTTCCCCCGCTTCATGGCATCTTACGCACGTTTCTCCTTCCAAAACTTCGCACAAATTCTAAATCCACGCAGCATTGACACACAGCTAAATTTATTTTTAGAGAGCATAATGTCTCACTCGGAAAATCGTTCAGGATCGGAACTCGGCCCTCCCTCTGTTGAGCCCGACACTATAGAGGACCTCTGTAAAGCGCTAGGAGGAGAAGGTGTGAGTGATTTATCAGCAGAGGTCCGGACGCGGAACAAAGGAAAGCTTGACACCCTGCACAATGGTCGGACGGCACTATCGCTCGCGGCTCAAAAAAAGAACCGCAGGATTGTCGAGGCGTTGTTGAAATATGATGCCGATGTTAATGCAAAAGACGATGGGGGTTGAACTGCACTGTCGTACGCCGTGCAACTACTCCAAAGAGAGATAGTTAAGCTTTTGTTGGAGCGTGGTGCCAACCCTGATATAGAGGATGCTGGGGAAAGGACTCCTATCTCCTGGGTAGCGAGCACGGACTAGGCTCTCGCCTAGAGCCTACCCACATCGCCTTGGGCAAGATGGTCTACAGCGTCCCCGATTGACGAGTGTCTAGATCTGCTCAAGAAGTATAACGCAAATCTATATTAACGTGATATGACCGGCCGCACGCCTCTATCATGGGCAGCCGGGAATGGCTTGCGGGAAATGGTAGAGTATCTCTGTAAGCATTATGGAACTGGCGATACTTTTAAGCCTGACAATAGTGGTCCGTCGGCCTTGTCGTTCGCCGCGGAGAAGTAATAATACGGCGTGATAGCAACTATTGTCGAGTACAGGCATAATTATCAGGATTTTGATAAGGAAAGCCGGACGCCTTTATATTGGTTTTACTAAAAGTACCATGACAAGGGCGGTCACCAGCAGCAACCACGTGGAATAAAAGCCATGGAAAATATTTTGGAATATCTTAGATTCAAGCCACAGTCCGTGAAATGGGCTGGAAATTAGTTTAGGAAGGATGATTATATACCCTCTAATAAACTTAATGAATCTATTGCGGGTGGAAAGATACTTTTGGTGTACGCCGTCTTGAACAAGTATGAGGAGCTCATCGAGGCCCTTTGGAGCAGGCAAACTAGCATCAGCCCTGATATTGTGAAGAATGATGATGGGAAGACCGCACGCGTTTTTGCACTGGAGCAAGCCACAATCGGACAGACCAAGTTCATTAAACATCCGCTGTTTCGGAAAGGCCTTGAGACAGCTCTCCCAGCTATTATCAAGCTCAGAAGCCCTTCCATGTAAGAGTGTTTACTTGTTGAACTTCCTAAGCACACGAATGAGCGGAGTCGGGTGGCCAAGAGGTCTTCCTTCGCCATAGAATACGCAACAGGCAAGACGCTGAGTCAAGAAGTCCCAGATGATCTAGACGCTATCTTTATGTAAGTCTTGGATTTGGCCAGGTGGAAGTGGTTCCAACTAACCAGCACTAGGTCTCACAAAACAGAAGAGTAATGGGGAGAAACCAGGTTTGTCGCCGGAGACAGGTACACCACTCACGAGGTCCAGCTAGACTTTCAAGGTCTTAAAGGAATAAAACCGTGTGGCGATGACAAAGGCATCGAACAGCCGACTTGGGGAATTCGATGGATGATGAAACCAGGCGCTGATCGGCCGGTTGTATACGAGAGCACCCTCCGCAAGGTCTGGATACCGGATGACATCACCGACTTTTTCACTCAGTTTCTTCTTGAGTTTGATGAGAAGTGGCAAGCATACTGCGATACAACCAATGGCCACCTCGACAAACACGTGAGTTGCCAAGTAACCTGGATCCGTCTGCTCCAAGGCACTGGCTGTCATCTAACAGCGTCGAAATGCATTTTTAAATGAGAAAGGGACCGATCAGAGACACCTCACCGAGCTTGCACATGATATATATTACCTTTCCGCGCTGAGAGGCGCTTTGCACACCCAAGTTAGGACAATCCAACGCCTTGCCCCAAAGCTGCGATAGTTCGCATGCATACAGGCCGTCGCCATATTCAGCGCTGCTTTGGACATGCGGTACGCCTCAAAGGGGAGATTGTACGCATCAGAGGCCGGATCCGAGCCGTCCGCGATGGAGCCCAGGCCCGAGGTGACGTTGATGATCCGTGGGTGGGCGGACCTCTTCAGTAGTGGGAGGAGGGCCTCTGTTAGAACGAGTGCACTGACGGCGTTTGTGTTGATTGTTTCGAGGATTGAGGCGCGGTAACCCTGGGATGTAGTTAGGGCAATTCCGGCGTTGTTGTTCAGGATTTCGAGGACGCCGTGGTTCCTAGTAATGGACTCGACGGCAGACATGATGCTCGTGTCGTTGGTGATGTCTAGCTCGACGAGGCTTAGTGTCCCGGCAGGTGTGCGCGCCTGGAGCTCAGCGAGGGCTTGCTGGCCTTTGGTGAGGCTGTGACAGGCCATTATTACGTGGTAGGTTGAAGATACGCCGGCTAGGGCGTAGCAAGTTTCGAAGCCGATCTCTGTGTTTGTTCCTGGGCGGTGGTAGTCAGGTGGGCTGGGTTATTTGGTAATGTGAATGGAGGGATGCGGATGCAACGAACCAGTGACGAGGATGATCTTTTGTTCTGCCATTTCTTCAGTTGTACTTGCTGGCAGTGTCTGTGTAACGTCTCCTTGTTTAGAACTGCGAACACAGGGAATATAGAGGGGCCTCAGTTTGGGAACGACGTGTCTTCTTCACGTCATGTATACATGCATCTGACAAGGTATGACATATTGCTAATCAAATGGGTTTGTGGTCCAGCTGTAAATATGCCAATATCAGTGATATAGCATGAAATATCTATATGTAGGGGTTAAGACTCGGATATACCTTGATTGTCTATTACATTCTCTACACCATCGCTGAAAAGGATGTAACATATGAATACGAAGCAACTACCTGCCGTAATTCACACTACCCACTTGGAGCGGCGGTCTTCTCCCTCTCAATCCACTCAACCTCAGCCTTGTCCTCCATCCTTTGACCTCCATCCAGATTCGTAATCTCCGCCCCTAGACCCGTGCATACATAGTTCCTAAACTCCCTTGTTGGCACCTTGGCCTGGAACATATCATCCAGCTCCTCCAACGACCGACCCCTGGTCTCTGGAACAAGCAGCCACACCCAAACGGCTGCAACGACACTAAACGCCCCATAGATAAATGTCACACTCCCGCCCAAAGCCGACTGAACATATGGATTCACAAAGTTGATTGGCACAGACGTGACGAAACTGCCCATGCTCGCGAGAAACAGTGTCCGCTCCCGCAGCTGGCCCGTGCCCACCTCCCCAGCCATAACCCAGCACCCGGGACCCCACGTGAACCCGTAGATACAGTACCACAAGATTAGCAGCGCAACAGACGCCTCGCCTACTGTATCTGAGTAGTTTCCTGGTGTTCCCGTCGTCGTCGCCCCGCCTGTGCCCAGCATTGTCCCCGCCATCAGGATCGCCCCGAAAAGCAGCGATGGCCGTCGCCCGATCTTGTCAAAGGTTAAGAATGTAATAATATGCACTGCAAAGCTACACCCTGTAACCATAAGATTACTCCGCAGTGGATCCGGGAAGCCGAGTTGCTGCATGAAAGTGACCACGAAGTTCTGGATGAAGCTAACCCCTTGCGCCTGCTGCAGGATCTGCACGCCCATGGCGATTACCGTGCGCCGGAGGTTTGTCCCACGGAAGCAGTCAAGCAGTGATGTTGCGCGGTGCAGTTCGCGCTGTTCCAGATCTTGCGCTTTTAGAAGCTCGACCTCTGCGGGGATTGTTTCGGGATGGTTAGAGAGGGTCCGCAGCACGGCTTCGGCTTCGTCGTAGCGCCCTCTGTAGATGAGGTACCGGGGGGATTCGGGGAGGAACACGTAAAAGGATATGTAGCCGACCGGGACGATCAGTTGGCAGAGGATGACAATTCTAGTTGTTTCAGTTAGTGCGGTGGTTTAAGATGGCGATTGGGGGAGGAGCAAGTTAAAGGGCTGGCTGAAGCTTACAAGTACTGCCATTGATCTTGCCTGGTACGAGCGAGATATACGACGACTGCCGCAAGAAAGGTTCCGAGCGAGGTGAAGAAGCTGTACAACGCTAAGAATGCGCCTCGGATCCGCGGAGGAGAGCACTCGGATAGATAGAGCGGCACGCAGTTCGAAGCTAATCCAATCCCCGAGTACACGACGATTCGACCAACAACGAGCTGCCAGTAGGACGTCACAGCAGAGGCTTCAAGCGTGATTCCCACAAGCATAAGAGCTGACAGGACGAGAAATGCATTGCGGCGCCCGAGCTTCGAGGTGACAATGGGCGCGATGATGCAGCCAAGGATGATACCCGCAGAGCCGGTCCCCGTCCCCACAGACGTCTTGTGGGAGGGGATCGTGTACCGGGCTAACTCTTCGTCCCAGGCGCCGTACTTGCGCTGGAACTCGGGGAGGCCCAGCGCGCCGCCCCACCAGCCGTTGTCGAAGCCGAATCCCAGCGCGCCGAGCGAGGAGACGACGCCGATGAGCACGAGGCGGGCGTTTAGGTCTTGGAAGAGGCTGTAGTTCTTGATGTTTTGCAGCATTTTGATGATGGATGTGGGTGGATGTAGATTTCGATGTAGATATTTTCTTGTCACTTCTCAGGCTTTATAGAGACTCATTTTGGCCAGTAAGGCAGAATAGGAAACTCGTAGCCCTATGACCGGTGGGTCAGTTGGGGTATGGGAAGATAGCGTGGGGTGAAAGCTCAGGAATGGCAAGCATATCCCCCGGTTTCCGTTTGATAAACAGCTGAAGTCGTATGACGAGGAAGTGACAATCACTTCCAAGCAGCTCGCACAAGCCCAGCATTTGACATTCCATGATGAAAGGCCATACTCGGGTCGTCCTCCAATCATCCCTGCTCAAGTCGGCCGCCAATCTTACGGCTCAACTTTCCCGCCAGTACACCGACCCCGCCGCGGATGCCGTGATAAACTGGCAATCAGTGGCAGAATTCGCCATGTTCGGGCTCATCCAAGCCCACCTCAACTGCCACTGGCAGCAATTCCTCGAAGACAGCTTCCCAACGCACCGCCGCACCAAATCTTTGACCGCCACCGGAGAGAAAGCCGAGAAACCCATCTGGCGCAACGTTTTTGCCAAACTGCTCCTCGACCAAACGCTCGGCCTGTTGGTGATGAACACCATCTTCTTGATCTGCACGAATCCAGTAGTGCACTTTTCGACTCGTCCAGCGCTTATACTCGCAGAGGTGAATGCCCGGATCTGGACGCTTATCCGTAACGCGTGGAAGATCTGGCCCGCCTGCGCCCTGGGCAATTTCCTTTGGGTCCCCGTGGAATCCCGCGTGCTGGTTGCGTCTTGTGTTGGGTTTGGCTGGAATATTTTCCTTGCACTGGTTACGATGGCGAAATAGGAATGCCTAGCCATTCGGTCGCGCGGAGTGTTGGAGAAGCTCTGGGGTGATAGGGCAGGGATCTGCCGGGGGCGTGGGGGTGCGCCCCCACCACCCGCAGCCTGGGGAAAAGGTCCGGCGCTTGGAGCAGGTTCCACCGATATGTCAGCTTTTAGGAAATTGCGGTGTGATAGGACGAGCACCATCAATGTTGATGACGTGGTTAGGAATTCCTTTCTTTACTCAGCCTCGGATGTTGTATTTGGTAGTTGCAACCGCCGCTTTGTTGCGCGTTAAGGTTATAAATGTAGCTACTTGAAAAAAAAAATAAAAAAAAAAAGCCACTAGCTAACAATCACCATTTTATTTATCCTGCTTTCGACATTGAAGGCCCGCCTACAGTCATGCCCTGGTGGAAAACAACAACGTACCTCGCCCTCCTAGCCCCATTGTATCTGCAACTCTCCTCCCAAACAAAATGCATACTCGCTGCCGAACCCAAACCCCGCCTCTTCATCCTAAGCGACATCGCCAACGAACCCGACGACGCGCAATCCTTCGTCCGCCTCATGGTATACGCCAACGAATTCCAGATTGAGGGCCTCGTCGCGACAACAAGCATCTGGCTGAACGACACGACGCGTCCCGACCTCATGCACGAGATCGTCGATGCGTATGGTGCGTCTCTACCCAAACTCCGAAACCATGCAGGGGGATGGCCCGAGGCTGCGCATCTCAAGGCCCTCATTGCCTCAGGGCTCTCGGTCTATGGGATGGATGGCGTCGGGGAGGGAAAGGATAGTGATGGCTCCAATCTCCTTGTTAACGCAGTCGACGCGTCGGATGAGCCCCTGTGGATCCCCATCTGGGGCGGGGCGTCCGTCCTCGCGCAGGCGCTATGGCAAGTGAACGCGACGCGGTCGCCTGCTGAAATCCAGTTGTTTGTGAGCAAAGTGCGTGCGTACGCGATCTCGGACCAGGATAACACGGGGACGTGGATTCGGCGACACTGGCCGCGGCTGTTCTACATTGCGAGCGTGCATCATTTCAACCGGTATGCGGTTGCGGCTTGGGGTGGGATGTCCGGGGAGATGTACTACCATTTCCCGTCGGGTGCGGACGCAGCCCTCGTCTCGCCGGAGTGGGTTAGGGAGCATATCCAGAGTGCCGGAGCGTTGGGAGAGAAGTATCCCGACGCGGAGTTTATCCTCGAGGGGGATACACCGTCACTACTCTACATGATCCCAAACGGGTTGTCCGATCCTGAGCATCCGGAGTGGGGATCGTGGGGTGGCCGGTATGGCCCCGTCACATTTGGTGAAGGGCATTTTGCTGATAGTGTTGACACCATCGTTGGCTCTGACGAACGCACAATGATGGGCTCGCATGTGACGGTCTGGCGATGGCGCGAGGCCGCCCAGCGGGAATTTGCGGCGCGGATGCGCTGGGGAGTTACGCCCCAGTTCAATCACGCGAACCATGCCCCTGTTGCCGTCGTGAACGGCATCGAGGGGCGCCATGTCATCAAGATGATAGTGCAGGCTGGAGAAGAGGTCAACCTCGACGCGAGCGCATCCTGCGATCCGGACGGCCGTGATCTCACCTTCAAGTGGTGGCAATACAAAGAGCCATCGTCAAACAATAACAACCCGCGACGCGACGTTGCTGAGTTAGGGATTGACTCGCGCACGTCGGCGACGGTCAAGGTCAGGATCCCTTCAGATGTGGTTCTTCGTCAACCCGGGCGCAATGCGCATCCGGATTGTGATAAGCATCTTCACCTGATACTCGAGGTTTCGGACGGAGAGCTGGTTGCTTATCGGAGGGTTATTTTTACCATTCTTGGTCCCCGTATTAGGCAGCCAAAGGTGATTGCCCAGGGCCATGATGAACTGTAGGAAGGGGCTTGGGCTCGTCCTGCATGCATTCAGGGGCCTGCACAAGCACCCGAATCAGGTAGCATATACAACGCCTGCAAATCCTCCTCCTCATTACAATCCAACCCGTCCCTAACAACCCCCTCAACAGCCTCCTGTATCCCAACATCCCCAGACACCAAATTAAACACCCAGTCACATCCTGCCTGCCATCTCAGCCCCAACACCGACACATCCTCAATGGCCACCTGTATACTAAAGGTCTCGATTAGCGCGCTTCGCGGGGATGTGGTGTAGCGTGGTGAATTCTAATGTTCCTATTGCCATATCTGGTTCTGGCCGGCTTTTTATACCCAGGCGCTCCCATCACCCTACATGTCAGAGATCGTCGGAGTTAAGCCAGGCCGTATATCACCTGGCATATAGTCGCAAATAAGTGGCGGGAATAAGGCTGGAGAACACGGGTCCGCGGGCTCCATGTACTATTGTCGCTGCTCAGCACATGCCACTGAACCTCCGTACCTTGTGCGTATACTCAACCCTATACTCTCAGGGCAGTACGATACTCCTTTACCCTGTGTAGCTAGGCGCCGCAGACCAAGTGCTCCACGCAGCTATGCAACTGCCGGCTCCTCCCAGCACAACACTAGCCGGGTCCAAAGCTCTCTGCAGCAATGGTGCTGGGGGAATTCTCTCTTTAATATGAGCCGTAATGAGTTGACACGAGTCATGCGCACTCACTACATATCCATGCCATGCAGTGTGGCTGGAGCAAAGACTGCCCAGACGTCATGTCGGATTTTTGGGGCGATGCACTTCGGCTAACTCCATAACAAGCCCTTGGCCGCTGGCCGGGGGCTTGCAAGTGGGCGAATTGATTTACCCGGAGCCCGGCTCAGCCTCTTCAAAGCAGCCAGGCCCGGATCCGGGGAGGAACGGCGCTCCGAGGTCCGGTCCAGGTTGTAGTTCCACGACCCTGGCGGTCCTGATTTACGTTCCTACTACTTACTAATACCTTAGGGACCTGTCACTCCAATAAACTAGCGGACTGTAACCTTGAACGGATCGAATCAAAACCCTTGCTCATTATATGTCTCGCATCTCTCTACACCGCACCAAAATACACCAACGAAGCCAAAAGCCCAAACCCCCAAGCTGACGGCCTCATCAGTGCCCCAGCACCACTCTCCCGAATTTTCAGCGCCGGCTCATACCCCACGGGCTCGCGACTATCAAGCGTCCCATTCCAGCAGTAGCTCCGAAAGCACCGCGTACACGCCTCGGGCAACGTCGTCCCCGTCCTCTCCGCCGACCGACTCAGAATCGCACAGCCCACGCACGCAGGCCACGTCTCATCCTCCGTGGAATTCCCCTGCGTCGCGACATTATACCCGTTAAGAATCATCGCATCGCGATCCTCGTCGGAATAGCTCAGATCGAAAGTGGAAGTATTCGACATGAACGTATACGGCGCATTGGGAATATAAACGACGAGCGGGCTCGGACCCGTGAGGTTCCGCGTATCGCACCCGAAAAATGTCGGCCGCTTATTCAGTCCCAGATTCACAAATGTATTCGGGTCCGGGATCGATGGGAACGCCGTCCCGTTGCCTACACCCGCGGACTCCAGGGACCGCTCGTACGTCTCCACAAGACTTTTCCCACTCGGCCAATTGTGGATATTCGACGTCGAGTCGATCGCGAAGATGACGTCGACGTGCCGGTTTGGTTGAATGAGTGGGTGCAGCGGGATATTCTGGCCGTCCTCGCCGCCGTCGACGACGTTGAGTTCGGAGAGGGACGAAATTGAGGCGTTGGTGTTTGTGTAGTTGGAGAAGGGGTTTGGGTAAGCGGCGATGTCGTCGTTGGCTTCACCGATGTGTTCGAGGATGGATGCGAGGACGGATTTGAGGGCCTCTGGGATGTCCGTGCCGTTTAGGCGGAGGATGAATTGGTTAAACAGGCTGGAGGACGTCCCCATGACGAACCCCGCGTTGTCGAATCCGCGCACGCAGGCGCCGTTGGTGCCCACGCGGCCGTTGGAGAAGTCGGATCCAAGATATTCGAGCGGCGCGTAGCCGTAGATTGCAGGGTCCGGCGAGCCAAACTCCCACGGATTAAACTCGTAGACGGTCGAGTTCGAGCCCACGACCAATTCACCCGGGTTGCGGCCATCAGCAACGAGAATTGGGAGCGGGATCTGGCCATTCTTAAAGTTATCCATCAGCGCGATCGAGGACCAGGTGTAAGATGGCCCGCCCTCGGAGGCGTTGATGAACTGGTAGGAGAGAGCGCGGCCCCAGTAATCAGTGAGCGAGGTGTTAAAGCCCGCATCGCGCTTGGAATGCACAGCATCGATGATATCGCTCCAGTAGCTAGCGGTATGCAGCGCCTGTAGGTGTTTGTGGTCAGGTCCCTCGAGGATATTGTTCCGCAGATCCCAGACGTCCTCGGTAGCCTGCAGCTCTGCGATGGTGGTAAAGTTGTTTAGAAAGACGGATCCGACAAGCCACCCGCCTCCGCTGAGCGCCGAGACATAAGTAGCGGACTGAAGGAGTCCACCGAGGTGACCCGTGGCCGTGGAGTTGGATGTCCTGCTATCAAACGCCTTGAGCGCTCCAGCGCCATTGAGCATAGCCCGGTATCCACCGCCCGAAACTGCGATTCCGATATTCGGGACGTTGGACGTGTTGCTCGAGACAATGTCCATATATGCCGACGCGTTGAAACCCGTAATATTCAGGCGGCCGAGGAGATCCCGCATAGGCGATATAATTTGGCGGTGACGGGAGTGGACCCATTGTGTCTCATTTGAGGAGAGATTCCGCGCGCTCCGGATCGAGGGCTTCACAGCCGGACAGGTCACATTTGCGGGCGCATATTCGTCGGGGGCATTCGGTAGGGCGCGGGGTGTGGTGAAGGGAGTCGCGCTCGCAGCTGCAGCTGCGGCGAGGAGCAGGTCGACCCTCATTGCAAAATATCGTAGGGCAGCAGTATTGGTCTTTCAACATGACATCTGGCTAAGGCGAGTGATTGTATTTATATCCATAAATTAGACGTCCTACAAGGGGCCGCTGATCCGAGACAGAGCCGTAGGCAGCACAATATTTGGCTCCACAGTCGCCCTATAGGGTGGGGTTCATGCATGAACTACTCGAAATTTCGAGGCGGCTACTCCGGAGTAAGCTCGAAAGAGGGTTTCAGCGCTCGCTTCGGAGGCCGCGGAGTAGATCGCTGATCGCTGCATGGATTCAGGTCATGTTTGTTGTTGGTCGAAATGACTGCGGGTCACCGCGTTAAAGACCACAAACATCTCCGCATTTTTGGTATAACCAGCATTCCAGACTCGATAGAATGTTACAGAGTGCAACTGTCGATTCCAGGGAGAATGAATTGTCCATTGGGACTCCTTGCCCGGGCGCAAGAGCAGCGTTGGTGACCACAGTTCATGTCAGCCCTATGGCGGAAGATGTGATTACTCAACCTCACGAATTGTACCCCTAATTGGACAACAAAGCAGTTTTCTTGTACTGCAGGGGCAACCAGGCAGAAGTATAAAATTCGCCAATCAGGGCTTGGAAAGGTGCGGTACCCACTTGGTATAATTCCAACCACGGTTCAGTCTCAGAAAGTGTTCTCGAAGCTGCGGCGGGCAACTGGAGACATGGAGCAGAAATCCTGACGCTCTTGCTGAACAGACAATTGCGCATGCCGCACTTCACCAGAAACCTCATCGAGGCTGCATGTGACAATAAACAGTGTGGGCATGATATCATGCGCCTCTTTATTAGGCTTGACCTGCTACAGGTTAGGCGGCTTACCTCAGATGATGCCCTCTTTGCAGCGGCGACGTGCGGCCAAGACAAGATCCTCGACATCTTCTCAAAGGACTTGGGATTTGACATCGGGGACAACCTCTACGCGCTCGCCAAAATGTACAACGCTGCCTTGCAAGGCGATGCAAAGCTCGTCCAAGGCTTGATCATTGACGGGGTATATCCCGACACGCCGAATAGACGAAATGTTACTCCCTGTGGATGGCGGCTATGAGTGGTCACATTGATGATGTAAGGCGCCTCTTAGCAACAGGACGTGTCAGTAGCAACCGCCGATCCGTAGCTGGGAGATCACCCATTTGGTTTGCATCAGCGTACGGACATACAGAGATTGTGGAGCTGTTGATGGAGTACAATGCGGATCCATCCTGGCCGGATATACGTGGTGACACTGCGAGATCAGCTGCGGGGCGATACAGACGTCCTTGATACAAATCCTACTCTGTTCCACATGCGCTAGTGGAAGGAATACCACCACATTCCGTTTTCGTGAATCAAACTAGAGCCTCTGTGAGCACTGAGTCATAGGCCCTCGTTTTGCTTGCCCACGGTGTCGCTGATGATATGCTCGGTAATAGGACGCGAGTAGTGGTGGACGATCAATTATACTCGCCGTCAGCCTCTACGCCGCATTGAAACACGCTGTGGAAGGGTTGACCTAGTCACTCGCGGGAGAGTGTGCTGAGTTTGAAGCACGGGTTCTTCTCGTTGAACCGGGTCCTTTGTATCTGTATTTTTATGGGATGGCGCATGGGTTTGCAACGAGGGCAGAGCTAGTGGGTGAGATGCAGGTGAGAGAGTTAGAGAGGGCCAGAAGGGCTGCGTTTCATTGGTTCAATGAATGGTTGCATTGACCAACGTGCTCAAGGGCGGGGGCATGTTGCCCAAGGCTGGCGAATTCGACCATGTAGACTGATGATTCGTCGAGTGTACTTGTATACACTGTTTGTTGTTCCATCGCACTCAGTCTTCGCGATTGTTCTAGGCACCCCTTTCTTGCCATTATTGCGCGCGAAATAAGCAAGGCAAAGGCATGGGGAACAACGAACCATCTTGATTGGGACATATTTCCTTTTCTAAAACCCACATGTCCCTACTTATTAGTTCTATCTTGGACCATGCTAAGAAACAACAAGAAACTCGTAGATATTGTACAGGGAACACAATCAACTAGACGCTGCGTCTTCTGTCGGCACAAATCGTAAAATAATCATACTTGTTATCAATAGCGCCGTGGTTAGCAATTGTGACATCCTGTAAGAACGTGATGTCTTGTCATTCCATAATCTTACAAGGCAGATCTATTGGCTGACAGCATCCTGTCTTAGCGTGGCTCCCTGACAATGCCTCTCATGCTCTGAGAGGAACTAGTCAAATCTAGTGAGCGCACCTTTGTTATCACTAAGGAGATTAGTCTTACCTCAGCATGATTTGTTATTCTGTCCAAGCCCATTCTGATTCGCCCCAAGCAGCTTTCTTTTTGGAGAGATTAAGCAGTCTTTGAAGTAATATTGTTTCCTCAAACAATATTGATCCGTCAGGAATGTATTAGCATGTGACGCCGAGGTGACGCAATGACTTGAGATGGGTCGGATGCTCGGATTAATTAGGTCCAACAGCGCAGCTATCCTGCTACAATAACCCCCTCCGCCATCTCAACTGGTGCCATGTATTGCATGCTCTTCTATAAACTATTCAAGGGAAAGGGAAGGAAACTCAAGCTCGGATGCCTGGACCCTGAAGCACTATCGCCATCAGCATCTTCGTGTAACAGCCCGTATCAGCGTATCAGCGCCACTGATGAAGAACTACCCCGCTTCAGGGAATTCTGTAAGACGGACTTTTATTGTTTGTTTGGGGTGGACACCCTCGTAGATGAGATCCTTAGTTTTCGTAGTTGTCTATGGTAAAGGCGGGGCAGTGTGTCAGGTGATCACCAAGCTGTGTTGGTTGTTCACCTGCTCCATGACTTTTGCAGAACACTTTTAAGGTCACCATCGAAGGCCTTTCGTCTTTTGAAATAGGAATGCTTTTTATTTTAAAGCTGGCTGCAGCGACAAGAAGGGTGACGGGTATTCAAGGAGTTTTGTGCCTTTGAGGCACTATTATCCGAGTGAAATTGCTGCCTCAAAACAGTTCAACGATGATATTGCCTAGATTTAGGAGCGAACTTATTTTCCCATCCCAAATACCTTCGTATGCGACAGACGACCAACTCCTGAGGCAGCCGTCCATATTATACAAATGTCAGCAGGCTCGCAGGCAGGGTGGTGCAAGTGTGATAAGACTGGTCACACAAATGGTCATGTCACGGCGCTAACTTTGGCCAATCAGAGGTGGAAACGGGGGCGATGGAGGCAGCAACGGAGCGGCGACCAGTACATATTTAAGAGTCCCACCCCACCATCAGCCGCACATCCTCATTTCCCTTCTCGCATCTTCTCTACCAAAAAAATAAAAATAAAAAAATTGCAGAACACCACATCAATATGGACCCTGTTAGCATTTCTGTCTCTGTGCTAGCCGTCATTACAGCTGCCCTTCAATCGGCAAACACGCTCAAGGAAACTGTCACGCGCTTTAAAGAGCGTAATAAAACGCTAGGCAGGCTCCAGAATGAGCTGGAGGATCTTACTAAAATCCTTGATCTATTACAAAATGCGGTTGAGACCGATGCATCAGTACTAGCGCTTCTCGAAGGTCCTGTTGGTCGATGCAGCCAATTATGCAGCGAGTTTGAAGACTCCATTAAAGTCTTCGCGAACAAGTCAAAGACAGGCTTTCGAGATTGGACAAGAATGGAATTTATGAGAGGCGATATTAACGAGTTTATCGAGACTCTTGCGGGATATAAATCTACCATTTCAGTTGGGCTAGGCACTATTACAATGTTAGTTGCAAACCCCACATCTTCTTTGAAATTGGCTCACATCCTTTCAAGGCATACATCTAAAGTGTCCTACAAAGTCATTGAAGAGTACAATGAGATGATCAAGGACACTTCATATAGTCTCAAGGAGCACCTAATGCGCATTGACGAGAAATTAGCTCAACTTACCATCGAAAATACCGAGTATTCAGATGGAAGCACAGACCTGGAAGACGAACGAACAGTCACTGAGCAATGCCTCCGTATCTGTGAAGATGCAAGATCTTATATCGAATCGTTGACGAAACGACAAACAATCCTACATCAAGATTCGCCTAGGAATCTTCCCGAAGAAGAAGTCGGGCAACGGCAATTCGAAGCGCAAAATCTCACACGCCAAGCCCTGAATGAGAATCAGCAGCGGTTCGTGGAGATCATCGTGCACCTTCAGAAACGCCTAGAGGGCTTGATTATGAACGGGGACTCTGGAGACAGAAGTGAGCGATTACGTTTACAGCAAGATCTCGATATTTCGAAACAGTGTCTCGAAGTGTGCCAAGTAGCTAGCGATATTTCTAACCAGAAGATATTCAAAGTAGGCGAGGTGGTTGCTGATGGTGAAAGCGACCAGGTAGTGGTGACAACTTTGGCGGATCTATTCGACGTCAGAAAGGCGCTCTCCACAGGAAACTCGGCACAGCTGGTTGGCTCAATGACACCAGGGGATCTTCAGCATTTGGTTGAGAAGCGTTATAGCAGTCGCTTTGGGGCGTTAAATAGTGGTTCTGGCCATACTGCAGCGGGTGCTCCGAATCCGCAATCCGTCTATGAGGCTAGGAGGACGGCGAATGCCTTTCCGCCGAGAATCAGTTCTGAAGAGCAGTCTCCTGGGCCGAGCACGAAACCTAGTACACCGTCTCCCAACGAGGTGAGGAAACGTATGATGGGGGGTGCAAAAGACTAGAAATAATGCTAACATGGGAGGGAGTATGGAATATATAAAACTCTTCAAGTCAAGAATCAGTGCCTGGGTAGATTATAGCCAAAAAGAACATGCTGGGAATTAGCTCTTTTTGTCACGTACATTATACTCTAGAATGCCTCGTGGTTTACAGGTTGCTATTATAAACATCAACAAAAGTGAGCTCATTTATGATATCGAATCTAGTGAAAAATAAGCCCACCCCGCTTCAATCGCTGATAAATCCCCTATCCTCTCTCGGCGCTACAGCCTTTTCAAATATAGCAAAAGAGGAGCGTTTAGGCTACCAATGACTTTGTACAAAATTCACCCGTAAAAGATGCAAAACGCAGTGGCCACCTTGGAGCTAATCGGAAGATAAGCTGCATCGGGACTTCTCCCTCCATTTGCGGTGGAACCTTTCCCATTTGAATCCAACCCCCCGGAGTGATTCGGTATCACTTTCGGAGTCGAACAGCCTCTCGTTGCAGACTTATGGTTTCATGTGAGGTGGCTCGCTCACATACTCATCCATTGTTTCAAGACAAAGGTCGATAGCAAAGCTAAGGACTGGCTCTAGAAGCTCAGAATCACTCGCTGGTTGAAACATTTGAAGACTGGGTATATTGTGGACCACCACATCAATTTCCAATGTTTTTAATGCCTGGAAGTTGGCCCTCTGCGAGTAGAGCTCCTTGATTACGTCGGCAAACAAATCCCTCTCTGAGCTCCCCACAACCGCTCATGGGCTCCGGTAACCGTGTTGTCTGAGGGGCAGCCTTGCAGGATTACTTTCCGACGATCCGTGTTTAAATAAAACAGGCTCTTATTGGCTGCGAGTCTGTTTGGCTGAGAATGCAATGCCTGCGAACGCTAAAGGATTAGCGCCTTCAGCGCGACTCTAGCTATGCCTGCGGAGTCAGCCTTGAAAGGCAAACAGCATAATTGCTTCTTTCGCCCCGCGAAGGAGTTTCCCATGAGTCTCTTGCCCTTGACTCCAAAACGAGCGTGCAAAGGCAACAGAAATTGACATAATAGAGGCTCTTTTGGATAATCATGGCATGATAGTTGAGTACTATTAAGCTTAATTCGACTTACCTTGACTGAAAGCTCCCTTTGCTTTTCCGATTCCCTCAGCGCAACCCCATTCTAAGTTTGAGCACGCATTGCCGTTGGCCAATAAGAACTGCTGTCAGCTTTCCCTCAGCTTGATTAGACCTTGGCAGACTCCAGAAAGACTCTCAGGCTCACTCGATTTGCAATCAAATGCAAGCTATTTCTCTCCCCTCAAGGCTCGCCATTTTCTCCTGCGCAAGAAAATTACAACCGCCAAGCTTTCCATTTTCAAGCTTTTCGTGTCGTCTCAAGCTGAAATGTCACCTCCAGAGGGATCCGATCCCGGCTGCTCGCATGAAATCGCATGGCCAACCATATTTTTCTGGATGGCCTGCCTCGCACTCAATTCTATCGCACAACAATCCGGCAGGGTCTTGGGAACGAAATATCAGCATCAGGCAATATTTCGAAGCTCCCCTATTCTGTGCGCCTTTGACGCTATCGATATGCTCATAACGTGGGTTGCGCATGTCTTCCCACCGACTACACCACGTTCCAGAATCCGCCGCGCAGCATCTAGAGTCCTATTGCAAAGGTGCGCGGATAAGGAGGGCCAGGCTGATTTACAGGGACTAGCAAGGTTCAAAACACAGTCCGGAGGAAGATGGCTAGCCTTTCTTATTGGGGTCATCCCGCAGCTCATCAAGCTCTTTGCTAGCCGGGGAGTCGTTTGGTCACAGGTAGCAGGAGCCATGTACCTGGGATCATGGCTAATTTTCGAGTTCCTAGTCCTCGCGGCGCAGCTCGAAAACACAGCTCTACAGCCACTCGAAGAACAATCCGAGCCGTACCGCCATGAAAACCTCATTCGCAAGATATGGGCTTTTGCGGGGATGATGCTCCATGCAGTTGTTTACTCGATTCCAATCAAGACCCAAATGGACCTCCTCAAGGGCCCCGATGACTTTTGGAACTACTACAGCACGTCGACTCCAATAGTGCTGTACACCTTCGCCCTCTGGTGGGGAGCCTTCTTCACTGCAGACTACACCCCGAACCGAACTGTTTTTCACAATCTCATTATGGGGGCTGCGTTCCATTTATCCCTTGCACCAGTTCCTGACTCGGGCAGAGTTGTGTACCTGATTTGCGTTCTGGTGATTTGTATTGTAGGAGGGTACATATTTTCCTACTTTGGGCACCGGTGGGCAGGCGGGTTTCTTGTTTCAATCCAAGTCTTGAATGTTATTAGCCAGCCGTTGCTCTTTTATATGTTTATGTATCATCCTGCCGGGACATACCAGCCCGCATGGTTGAGGTGGCTTGGATAGCTGTTCAGCGCATGGTCGTTCCTAGCATAATCTTGCGGCATCAAGAGAACATTACACCGGCTATCAATTGCTACGGAGAACAAAGCATGTGCTACTACTGGTTCGGCAATAAGGTGGGTTCTGTCCTGCTTCGAAATCCAACGTGCATTCCGATCGGGTTTTGAATGATTGCAGCGCTTTCTGAACGATTCTCTTTACAGCCTAAGGGTCTAGCCTCACATTCCGCACCATAAACGACGAATGACACCACCTTTCGCTCTGTTTGATGCGACGAGGCATTAGATTCAAATCCTACTTCAGTCAGACTGCGCCGTGAATAAGCCTAATCTTATATTGAGATTCGAGCCACTGCTAGTTAATGAGTTTTGCTACTAGGCAGTTGGGATAGGAGCTTTCATATCGCTGATAAAGTGAGTCTATAGTAGGTGGACATGAAGTATCTTTTTCTCAGCCTTCCTAAGTAGTACAGCTGATCTGGGGCCTGAAAAATCCTGGGGCGAGACGCTGTCGATGGAGTCTCTGATCCACTGATCGTCTTCTCTACTAGGTCGTTTCCCTAAAAGCAATGCCTGTAGTACCTTTGTTACATGTCTTAGTACATGAACACCCGATAATGAGAGCATCTTACAAGAACCAAGTCCCAAATGGCTTGCGAAATCATCGCCAGGTTAACTACTAGTAGACGATGACCGACTCCCCGGCATTTGAAATGGGCCGCTGGGTTGGGTCAATCACCGGTGACAAAATCACCGTCGGTGTCTGAAATATATTCCAAGACAGCTCCTTACCAGGTAGTAGTCCTCATTCATTTGTAAGAACCTGGTGGTCTGGACAATGCATTGCTCTCTGTCGTTCCCGTTATTCGCTGACCATTGCTGGATCTTTCTAGCCTTTCCTGTATATCTTCTGGCTAGCCCCAAGGTTATTCCGTGAAGGCATTGATTTACTCTCTCTCGAGTTTGATCGCGGTGTCCCACTGAATACTGTCATCCCGATGGAAACAGACGAAGAACCACCCAACGGAGGTTATGGCTGGGTCTGCACGGTTGCAGGCGCGGTATCCATGGCGCACTCCTGGGGATTCAATTCCGCCTACGCGGTATTCCTCGCTTACTACCTGGACAACGGCAGTTTCAAAGGCGCATCGCGGCTCGATTACGCCTTTGTCGGCTCCCTAAGCCTGACAGCAACGTTTATGGTCTCTCCAATTGCGACTGCGATCACGCACCGATTCGGCATTCGCAAGACCATGTTCATCGGGACGATCTTGGAGACGGCAAGCCTGCTGTGTGCCAGTGCGGCATCGCAGATCTGGCACCTCTTCCTTACACAGGGCGTTTTGTTCGGCCTCGGGATGGGGATGTTGTTCATCCCTGTCGCGTCTGTGGTGCCACAGTGGTTTACGACGAAGCGGTCGTTGGCGGCGGGGATCTCTGTCTCCGGCGCAGGGATTGGAGGTCTCGTCTACTCGCTGGCGACAGAGGCCGCGATCCGAAATCTGGGGCTCGTCTGGACATTCAGGGTGCTGGGGATTCTCGCATTCACGGTGAACACGACCTGTGTCCTCTTGACCGCAATCACAAAGAAAGGAATCGCGCCCTACAGCATGACGAACGAGAAGCGGACAAACCCAGAGCCAACGTGGCCTTGGAACTGGGCCTTCTCAAGAACAGCAACTTCCTCCTCCTCATCGGCTTCGGCGTCTTCACCATCTTGGGCTATTTCATCCTCATCTTCAGCCTGGCCCATTACGGGACCGAAATCGGTCTCACGCCATCCCATGCATCGCTCATCAGCGGGCTCTTCAACCTCGGCCAGGCCATCGGGCGCCCCCTGGTTGGGTATTTCAGCGACAGCGTCGGCCGGATCACCATCGCCGGCGCAACGACCTTCGTCGCTGGTGCGATCTGTCTCGCCGTCTGGGTGAACGCGCATAGCTTCGGAGTGTTGGTATTCTTCGCCATTGCCGAGGGCCTTGTGGCTGGGAACTTCTGGGCGACGATTGCGCCGTTGGTGGCGGAGGTTCTTGGGATAGACAAGGTGCCCTCGGGGATGAATCTGGTGTGGTTGAGCATTGTTGTTCCTTCGACCTTCTCGCAGCCGATTGCGCTGGTGCTGACGGAGGCGACGGGGAGTTTTCTGGCCTCTCAGCTGTTTACTGGGCTCATGTATATAGCTGCGGCTGCGTGTTTGGGGTGGCTCTTCCTACGGATGAGGAGGCACGCGAGGGGAGGGTCTGTTTAGGAGGTATAGATGGCAGGGCGGATCTTAGAACAGAATTTATATCAAAACACTGGAATCATTTAAAGAGAAGATCTGAACGTAGACGTCAAGTGTGTTGACGCAAGTCGCATCAACGGTAGCCCACCAAAACGAAAGCCCGAGAAACCGGAGGAAACATGAAACTGGCCAATACTATCCTAACTTCCTGGCCCCGTAATCCGCAACTATCGTGCTGGAATCTGGCGTGAACAGATCAGGCAAACCCCGCGCGTGGAGATGTTCTACGCGCCCTCCGGTCTGATGCGGCGCCAGTAATATGGAGTGTGTCATAACTGCGTTGAAAGAGCCAGCTGACTAAATAGACCGTGGTCAAGCACTAGTCTTACATCGAGCGAAACACAAATTCAGGAGCATTTTCTTTGGTCAGGAGTGGCATTTCCCATCAACCTGCGGAGCCTTCGAGGTGTCCCAACGGCACAAGCACGATGCTTTAATCGGCACGTCCGCCACAGCAAGTGCCAACTGAACCTGCTGCTGAATTGCCGCAGCCTCCTCCACCCGGCCGAGCCTAACCAGACACTCATGATACCCCTGGAGCGACCAGACATTATTCGGGTGCCTCCGCGGCCGAATAAGCGAGTTATCCAAGCCCAAATCCGCCCGATAGACAACAAGAGCTTGCTCGAGGTCCCCCTGCTCCATCAGGAGCGCCGCATAGGCATGGCGCACAGGCTGCATCCAGCTCCAGGGCTCACTGTAGGGGAGGCAGTCCTCGAGATCAATTGCGCGGCGCAGGGCCGCGAATGCGGCCTCGTAGTGGGCTGCGCGGTACGAGATCTCGCCCTCGAGCATTGCGTCTGCGACCTTGAGCACGTCAGTTTGCTTCCCGTTGTAGGCGCGGCGGGTTTCTGGGACGCGTGTGCAGGCGTGGTGGAAGAGGGCCTGTTCGGCGCGCGCGGAATCAATATCGCCTGTGGCGGCGAATGCTACCCCGCGTGCGTAGTGGGTTGTTGCCGTGGTGGCTGCGTAGAGCGTCTGGTCGGCTGGGAGCGCCTGGGTCTTTAGTTCCTCCCACATGCCGAAGCGGACCATGACATGTAGGCGGATCGGGACAAACTGCTTCAGCCAGTCGGCCATGGGCGGGGACTGGATGCGGAGGACCTCTTCGGGGAGGGTGGCTTCCATGCGTGATACGGCGTCCAGGGCTGTTTTGGATTGGCCGGCGAACATGGCTGCATAAATCAAAGAATGATAGTCGTGCATGCGGTAGAAAGTGTAGAAGTTTTTGGCGCCGGATTTGCGGAAATACTTGTCGTCTGCGAGGGTTGAGCGGTAGTTGGAGGCGATGGACCGCCGCCAGTCTCCAACGAGGATATCCAGATGCGTGGGCATGTGATGGATGTGGCCGGCATCGGGGACGAGGTCACGAAGGTGATCGGCTGCGTTTATGCCGCGCTCGGGAGTTGGAGACATCTCGATGAAATGGATGTATAAGTGCAGCAGACCCGGGTTCAGATGTGCACCGCCGGACTCCCGTGCGAGCGCCTCTTCCAGCACCGCCTTCACTTGCATGGTGGGAGCCTCTGGGTTCGGCTTGCCGGTGAAGAGATCCCACAGCGCCCAGGGGGTCATATTCATCAGCGCATCGGCATACAGGGCTGCGACGTCCAGGTCTGCTGCTCCAAACGCCTCGTATACTGGCTTCATGGCGTCCGCGTAGGCTCGATTGACGGCGGGATAATCCTGGGCGGGCTTATCGGTCGGAAACCGAAACTGTATCGCCTCGATCAGAGCCCGCTCTAGGGGAGTCGCGTTGTTGGCAAACTTGCTTGCATTCTGCGCTGCTTCGTGGCCGCGCCGGACGGAAGTGTGGAGGTCGCCGAGATCGAACTTTTCCCACGGTTTGTTGTAGTTTGGGCCGACTGCATATGCAAGGCCCCAGTATGCCATTGCGCAGGTAGTATCGTGCGCACTCGCCTGCTCAAAACAATAGGCACCTTCGACATGGTTGAACGAATACACCCATGTCAAACCCCTGTTGAACCAAGTCTGGGCGTCTGCGCTGGTGGTGGTGATGGTGTGGCCGAAGGAGCCCAGGTCGTAGTATTCCTCGCTCGCGGGGACGGCGGCCACTGATACAGAAGTCATGGTGATGCATACAATCGAGAAGGGCAATACTAACAATGGAGTGTCCAGAGCCCTGGAAGTGGAAGATGGGAGTTATATATCCCTCCAAGGAATGACTAATGCAAAGTCGAGCGACCGCATTTCAAACACCGAAACTTCAGACGCCGATTCTCCAACTGGTCCTCTTTGCCCTCTGTGTCCCTTGACAAACCTCAACCAAGTGGTCTACAAGGTCTAAGGGAGACAAGTGCAAATAGAGAGAAAGCAAGAAAGAACCAAGAATGCCATCTTCCCGACCAGTCAAGCTGGCATGTCTGGTTTGGTATGTCACCTCCGACCGGGGAATTTCTGCAAGGGACCGAGGGGACTGACGTGCATGCCAGCCGGGCTTCCAAGATTCGCTGCGACGGCCGCAACCCGTGTTCCAATGTAAGGGCCGTTGTTACCTGGAGGAAAAACTGGCTGATTATGATCACTCCCAGTGCTTTACACACAACGAACAGTGTCGATATGAGCCCAGTCGGCGAGGCGGGGCGCGACGAGGTCCCTTGGCCGCTCAGGAGCTGGCTCGCAAACGGGCGCAACGAGTGTCGAGACACTCCAGTGCAGCAGAGTCTCGCCCAAATCAAGGGCATCATTATTGGAACCCCAGTGACCCGGGCCATCCGGCTTTATTGTCCCCATCTCCGATCGAATCGGGTCCCCACCTGGCCGGCAATTCGCTCGACATCAGCCTTCCCGCTCTGTTCAGCGCAGACGGGCAAGAGCCTCCAGAACCGACTCTAGACGCCCTGTCGCCGAGCATACGAGCATACAGCTGCGATAAAGACCTGTCTGTTTACCCCGGGGCTTTCATTGCTATTGCTAAACTAACATGTACAGACTCAATGCCTACTATATATTTATTCACCCATACTTTCCCTTGTTGCCACCTCCATCTTCGTCCCAGTATGAGGACAAATATATGGCGCTTAACATTCGCTCCCCCTACCCAGACGCCTCTAGTCTCCCCTACTGGCCCACTTCACCCCTGGGCCTCGCCCTGGCGGCCATGCTGGCTCCGATCCCACCACAAAGCAGCGCACAATCGACGGATGATGCTGCTGCTGCTATACGGCGCGCTTACAGCGATCTATATGCGCGCTCTGCGTGGGAATCCTTGCAGAGCGCCCTCGACACATGTTCCACTGACGATCTGGCAGATTGCCTCCCGAGTACTCTGCATCCAGAAATTCCGAAAAAGATCGAGCCAGTCCTCGCGTTGGCCCTTTTGAGCCTGTACGAATACTGTCAACGGGGCAGTGTCCCGAGAATGCGCACATGGGCGAACCAGGCCCTGACATCAGCGATGGACCTGTCGTTACACCTGGAGAGCTCGGATACCGGTTTCTTGGATGCGCACCGCCGGTGCTGGTGGTCGACGGTGTGCATCGTCCCATCGAGCTTTAGATGAAACTCATGCTAATGGAAGAAGCTTTTCCTAGTTTACCAGTCCTCTATCCTGAACGGATCGGTCAGTGTGCATCCATTCGAAGCCAGCTCTTAAACCACTCACCGCGCATGTAGGATCCGATTGTTACCTTTGACGACCACCGAATCACCACCATGTTTCCCGAGTTCCGCGGCTGCCGCGAGGTACATACCCCTCACCCCGTTTGCAAATCTACTACAGCTGATGGATGACCTCCAGCCATGGCCCCTTGTAGTGAATGCTCAAGTGGCCCTCCTCCGCAGCTGCTCCATCACCCGCGCCCTGATCCGCGAAACAAACACCAGCCCAACACTCGCCCGCTCCACAACCCAAGACATCCACGATCTAGAGGTATACATACTCAACCTCGCATCCGAGGTAGACCGCTTCCGCTGCGTGACGCACTACCAGGGCGCCGAAGCCGACGCCTCGCGGAATCTCTGGGCCATCTGCAACGCTCTGATCCACACCTCCCGTCTAACCCTGTATCGCGTGCGCGCCTTCCCAGAGCGCCCCCTCTTCCACGACAACCCATGCGACTTTCTTGCGCCGCATGCCTCCTCTTCACACCCAGCACGTGACCTGCGCCTTTCAACTACCCGCCTGGGCGAAATCAACTCCGTCTTTCCATGCACGGAGCAGGACGCCGTCCAGATCTGCCTACAGTCCGCGCTCGTCGTATCCCGCGTCTTCCGCCGCCTCCCACCCCCGAACCCGTTGTACTCTGACGACGTCGACGTCGGCATCACGAGCCCACGCACGCTGTCCCGCAGCAAGGGCCTGGGCTCCCCGCGCTCAGTGCCGTACATGGTCGTTTTCCAGATGCAGAGCTTCTATGTTCTGGCGACGTTGCTCAGCCGGGTGCACGCGGCCATGTGTTCCGGGACGATGGGTAGCTATGCGTACTTGCTCTCTCGGACGAGCGTTGTAAGTGCGGTGCAAGATGCAGAACGACTTGTCGAGGAGCTTCACGGTGGGATGGAGGCCCTTGGGGCGTCGGTACGGGCCGATGCGGTATTTGAAGGGGTTGGGAGTATGGCTCGTGAAGTTGAAACTGTTCTGGACTCAATGGTCATGGATTGAGTAGCTGTTCTGAATGGTTACAAACTGTGTACGTAATTATGGGCAATTGTGCTGTCAAGTCCGGCTGCGGCTCTCGTCGCGCGGGATGCTTGGGGATATCGAGGTTGGTCCCATGACATTAAAGTGGCGTCGGATCTTGGTCTGAGTGCTTCTCTTCATTCGCGAAGTTATGGCCTATAATGTGTTCATGCTTATCCAGCACTCTGATTACTGCCCAGAAGCCTCGTGTTGCGTAACGAGGGCTAAGGTGTCCAAGACGACCGAGAACGATGGGGTTAATTCAGGTAGCGTTGTTTGCGTTCCTGCTTTTGGCATTTGTTTGTGGGATATTTTCTGCTTGCATGGAGGATTCCATTGATTTGACAAGTATGACGCTGATGGCATCTTGACGGTGTTTGAACTCGGCGTCTGATATTTGGGTCTATTTATTGGAGTCGATCTCCTGGCCATAATCGGTTTATTCTACTGCAACTGCCACGATGACACTTGTCCCTGACTCCATCATTCCACTACCCCCGACCGACGAGTATTACGACCTAGGTACATACACTCGCAAAATCAGCACGAAGAATGCGGCCGCGCAGATCTGGTTTGACCGTGGTTTGGTCTGGTGCTACGGCTTTAATCATGCCGAGGGCTATAAATGCTTCGAACAAGCCATAGCCCACGACCGCCAGTGCGCCATGGCGTACTGGGGCCTCGTGTATGCGGCAGGGCCAAACTACAACAAGGGCTGGGGGCTCTTCGACCCCGTTGACCTGACGCGCAGCATGAAGATATGCCATGACACCAGCCGGTATGCTCTGCGTCTGATAGAGACCGCGCCTGTGACCCCTGTCGAGCGGGCACTCATCAAGGCCATGCAGGCGCGCTACCCCGTGGATCACCCGGTCGCGGACTATACCCAGATCAACCACTCGTACGACCAGGCGATGCGAAACGTGCACGAAGAGTTTCCCGACGACCTCGACGTGATGACCTTGTACGTCGACGCCAAAATGCACATTGCGCAACGCAAGATGTTCCACATCAAGACCGGCCTGCCCATTGAGACGTCGCCTGTCTTGGACGTCCAGCGCCTCTTTCAGGAGGGTCTGCGCCATCCCAACGCAAATACACACCCTGGCATCCTCCACTTTTGCATCCATTTCTGGGAAATGTCTGCAACTCCAGCCGTTGCCCTTCCGCCGGCTGACCATCTCCGCAACCTCGTCCCGGACGCGGGGCACCTGCACCACATGCCCACCCACCTTGACGTTCTAGTCGGTGACTATCGCCGTGGGATCGAGTCCAACATAGCCGCCGTGCGTGCAGACGAGAAATACCTCGCCCGCAATGGGGCAAAGAACATGTACAGCTTCTACCGACTACACAACTACCACTCGCTCATCTACAACGCCATGCTATCGGGCCAGTCCAAAATCGCGCTTGCAACGCTGCATCAGATGGAATCATCGATAACGACCGACGTCCTCCTCACAAAATCACCACCCCTAGCCGACTGGCTCGAGTTCTTCCTCTCAGTGCGCGTCCACGTGTACATCCGCTTCGGGCTCTGGGACGCGCTGATCGGCCTCCGTACGCCAGAAGACCAGGGCAAGGACAAGGATCTCTACTGCGTTACAACTGCAATGACATTCTACGGCAAGGGCATCGCCCACGCAGCGACTGGAAACCTGCCCGAGGCATATCGGTACCGCGAGCTCTACACCGCGGCCGCGCAAAACGTGCCCGCCTCGCGAAGAGACCACCCAAACCGCGTGGTCGACATCCTACAGGTCGCGACGGCCATGTTGAATGGTGAGATTGAGTACCGCGCAGGAAACCACGACGCCGCCTTCCGATACCTCCGCGAAGCAATCCACCATGATGATCACCTCCTCTATACTGAGCCATGGGGGTGGATGGTGCCCACCCGCCACGCGTTTGCCGCGCTGTCACTGGAGCAGGGACACGTCGAGGCCGCGGCGCGCGCGTATGCTGAGGACTTGGGTGTTGCAGAGGGCCTGACGCGCGCGCACCAGCATCCGGGCTGTGTGTGGGCGTTGCATGGGTATCACGAGTGCTTGGTGCGGTTGGGAAGGGGTGAGGAGGCGGCGAGTGTCAAGCAGGAGTTGGATGTTGCGATTGCGGTGACGGACGTGGAGATTCGGTCGTCTTGCTTTTGTAGGCTGGGGGTGTTGGCCGGGAAGGCAGGGGGTGAAGGTGAGAGTCGGAAATGTTGCGATGGGCCTTGGTTGGACTGTTATTAGCATGATTGATGATGAATGTCCCCGACAAGTCGGGATTTAGTCACGGATCCATCCACTCTGGAGAGGATCAAACACCGAGCCAATCAGGGTCATGTTTCAGAGGCCGACCGAACGCCAGTGTTTTTGATACCTGCTACGTAGTTCTTCCCACCCCGGATATCCAACAAAAAAAAAAATAAAAAAAAGAAAAAAAAAAGGTAGAAGATGAAAAACCAAGCAGGGAAGAAGACTACAATGAGATATTGGGGTCTCGGCTGAGCCCATAAAGGCCTCTTCCCATCCGTTCGCTCCCCAGCTCTCAGTTTCCAAACCCTAGTCGGCCTTCCCACCACCATGGGTTCCGTTACTCCAACTGTATTCAAAGCTTCCAACTCGCTCTCAAATCGAGGCCAGAACGCACTTGAGCTTGGCGAAAAGCGCATAACATGGGACATTATCAGCGACATGTGGCATCCCGAGAATAACCCAGACGGATACCTCTCCGTGGGCATGGCCGAGAACACTCTGCTGCATAGCATACTCGTCGAGTACATTCACGCCAATCTGGACATCTCCGCCCAACACCTCTCCTACAACAACGGGAGCATGGGATCCCATGCCCTCCGCAAGGCAGTCTCGCACTTCCTCAATAGACATTTCCATCCCTTCCGCGCCGTCGAGCCCACCCACGTCCTCATAACAAACGGGTGCTCCTCCGCCATCGAGCACCTGAGCTGGACGTTCGTTAACCCCGGTGAAGCCATCCTCCTTGGAAAGCCATACTATGCCACCTTCATCGCCGACATCTGCCTGCGCCCCGAGGCCGTCGTGGTGCCCGTGGAGATGGGCGCCGTGGACCCGCTGTCTCCAGAAGCCGTCGACCTGTACGACCGGGCCGCGTCGCAATTCGAGCAGCGCACAGGGAAGCGCGTCCGCGCCGTCATGCTCTGCAACCCGCACAATCCGCTCGGCCGGTGCTACCCACGGGCAACTGTTGACGGCCTGATGCGGCTCTGCCAGGCGCGGCAGATGCACCTGATCAGCGACGAAATCTACGCGCTATCCGTCTGGGAGAATCGTGTAGATAGAGACGCCCCATTCGAGCCGTTCGAATCCCTCCTCGCGAGGGACACCACGGGACTGATAGATGCGCATCTAGTGCACGTCCTCTGGGGGATGAGCAAAGATTTCGGCGCCAACGGCCTGCGTGTCGGAGCAGTCATCTCGCAGGGCAACGCCGAGCTGCATATCGCGCAAAAGTGTCTTTCGCTGTACTCGTTTGTCTCTGGGATGTCGGACCAGATCACGGCGTCGATCTTGCACGACGACACCTTTACCGACGGCTATATCCGCGCGAACAGGGAGAAGCTCTCCGAGTCCCATGCACTTCTCGTCGGCCTGCTAGGTAAATACGGGATCGAGTATGCTCGCGGCTGCAATGCGGGCTTCTTCCTCTGGGTGAACCTCGGGAAGAAGTATCTGGAGGCGCGTCCGGATATTCAGGGGGACGCGCAGGGCCTCGAGCTCACGGAGATGCTGTTTCAGCGCCTGTTGGATAACTAGGTGTATGTGGCCCATGGGACCGCATACGGGTCGGAGAATCCAGGGTGGTTTCGATTGGTCTTTGCACATCCTTTGCCATGGCTGGAGGAGGCGATGACGCGGATTCTTCGTGCTATTCTGTGAGATACTACAATGTCAATCCATTCATCTACCGCAGTTTGCGTAATCTCACCATCGATCCTGGAAGACGTTGGGGGAGGCAAACCCCGGCCGATCCATCTAGAGTGAAAAGACAAAACCGATCGCTCTCGGCGTTTGAAAATCTGTTTGTGGGCCAGTGATAAGAGCACCACACCACCTGCTTAGACTGCACTACAGGTATAAATTGAAACTTCTCAAGTCATTTCCAAAACAGACAAGCGCCAATATCCACCAACTCATCCAAAGCCTCTGTCACAAAACCAAAAATGCCACATGATCCCCTCTGCACATTCCCATGGACCAAGCGCCCCCTTATCGCAAACGCCCCCATGAGCGGCATAGCCACCAGTGCGCTCGCCACAGCTGTAACCCAATCCGGCGGCCTGGGGCTGATAGGGTTTCTCGACGACCCCCGCCGACTGGAGGGGGAGCTGCGTCAAGCCAAGTCATTGCTCCAAAGTTTGGACAGGCAACCAGCTTCTGGGGAGGGTCTGAGTCTCAGTCGCCATCTGAATTCGCCGTTGGTGATGATACCCTCCCCATCGGGGTCGGCATCATCATCCTAGCCATGGAGGGGCCGTCTACATTCCTCCCCCTACTTGCGCAGTACAAACCAGCCCTCGTGTGGCTCTCCTTTCGTGAGAGCCAGGACTTCAGGCAGTGGACAGATTGTATCCGGCAGACTTCGCCAAGCACCAAAGTCTGGATCCAACTAGGCAGCGTGCGATGCGCACTCGAGGTCGCGCACTCCTGCCGCCCAGACGCGCTCGTTCTCCAGGGGAGCGACGCAGGCGGGCACGGGCACGCACGCGGCTCAAGCATCGTGACTCTGGTCCCAGAAGTCGCGGATGCCCTTTCGCGCGCCGGTATTGGCAGTATCCCGCTGATCGCAGCAGGGGGGATCATGGACGGGCGGGGGGTTGCAGCTGCTCTAGCGCTTGGGGCTGCGGGGGTGGTTATGGGGACGAGGTTGTTGGGCGCGGTCGAGGCGGACTTGCCGCGCGAGTATCGCGACGAGATCCTGGCGGCTTGGGATGGGGGCGAGTCGACAGTTCGATTCCATGTCTTTGATGAGATGTGGGGGGATAATCCGTGGCCGGAGGTTTATGATGGGAGGTGCTTGAGGAATCGGTGTTATGAGGACCTGGAGGGTGGGATGAGTGTCGGGGAGATGAGGGAGAGGTTGTATTGGAGGATTGGCATGGCTCGCAGAGACGAGGAGGTTGCTGTTAAGGACACCAGTAGTCTCTGGGTCGGGGCCGGGGTTGGGATGTTGAGGGTGGTCGAGACAGCCAGGGAGATTGTTGAAAGCGTGCAAGAGGAGGCAAAGGATCGACTACAGCACGCAGCGAGCCAATTGTCAGCAATCGGGCATGCAATGCAACAATGAAGCCCAGTTTAGGTCCAGCACGGTGTCCCGGGATTAGCATGACGTAGGTCTGTCCTTGAAGGCTTCAAACACCGAGATAGTCGTATCATGTAATGGATCTATCCGTGTATCAGCCAGGCCATATTTCAAACGGCGTATGTTGCGAGCCCCATCTACAGAGCTAATATCCCCGCAAACGCGGGGAAAGGTTGGACAGTACGCCGGGGCTCACGACAGCCTGCTGGACAACTGATAACCATCTATGACTTGTTCAAAGGATCTTTCCTCAAGAAAGCACCGGGTTTCCTTGCCGCGCTTGGAGTCGTAAAGGCTACAGCCTGAACCTGGAGTGGATATAAGATGCGTTCCCGCATCCTACCGGTGGTTCTTCCCGATCAACATTAATTCGAGTTACCACTCAGATCATCTGTCATACCACTCGGCACACTTGCTATCGCTTTCGCTGCCTCACCTGTTCATTCGACATGGGTTCCCACGCGGCATTCGAGCACATCGAGCTTAGTCCCACCAAAGCGCCGGGGGACACCACAGTTTCAAACTCTGGCAATTTGCCAACCAATTCCAAAGGTGAGACAGTCGACCATGGCGCAGAAACGCAACTTCATCGCTCTCTCGGCACTCGGCACCTCACCATGATTGCCCTGGGGTCCGCAATCGGGATGGGGATGTGGCTTGGGAGCGGAAAGTCACTCGCCAACGGCGGTCCGGCAAGTCTGTTTGTTGGCTTCCTAATTAGCAGCTCGGTAGTCTGGTCAGTCTCACACTCCATTGGCGAGATGGCTATCATGTATCCGCTGCCCTCGGGGTTTGTGCAGTGGTCGTCGATCTTTATAAGCCCCGCGGCCGGGTTTGCGCTTGGTTGGGGGTATTGGTTTTCGTACTGGATTACGATTGCAAATGAACTCCAAGTGGGTTATAGGTCTCCCAGCCAGATGGTCCTATCGCGTACATGATTATGAGTTATTTTGCTAATGCCAAACTCCTCTAGGGCGTTGTCACGGTGTTGAACTACTGGACAGACCAGGTACCCAAAGCAGCATTGATAACCATCTTCTGGGTCGTCATCATCTTGATCAACGTTTGGGCTGTCAGGTTCTTTGCAGAGGTCGAGGTATTTTCATCAACCGTCAAGTTCGGCTGGATGTTCATAGCCATCATCGCATTGGTTGGTATGGTTTCTCGTCTTCACCATTTGTATACAGTCCCATCATGACTGATTCGACCATCACTCGCAGTTGTCACGGCCGGACGTGCCCCACAAGGAGGACCCATTGGCTTCCGTTATTGGAACGAACAGACATTTAACAATGGCTTCAAGGGGTTCATCAGCGTCCTCCCAACCTGTGTTTTTGGCATGGCCGGCTCTGAAAATGCGGCTCTGGTCGCGAGCGAGGTGTCTAATCCTCGACGGTCGGTGCCCAGAGCCATTGGATCAATCTGGCTCCGTCTCGGGCTATTCTATATTTTAGGAAGCTTGATGATAACCCTCACAGTCAATCCCAAGGATCCCAACCTCTTTGGCGGCTCCGGGAGTAACGCCTCTCCATTTGTGATTGCGTTCAACAATGCTGGTATTCCCGTCATGGCGCATATCACCAATGCAGTGATTCTTATTTCTGTCGTGTCAACGGGGAGTATCTCGGGATATGGAGGCTCACGGATGCTCATGGGCCTGGCGCATGTGAGGATGAATCACAAGGTAGGTATTATTGTCACAGCTCGCCTCCCTCACCTCAGAGAAACCAGTACGCAGACTATGTGCTAACGGAGACGTCTTCAGATCTTTGGCAAGGCTGACAGAATGGGTCGCCCATGGGCGGGCTACATCGCAACAATCGGCATCGGCGGCGCCCTCGCCTACCTGAACGTGTCACATACCGGAGCGGAGGTGTTTACATGGCTATCAAACCTCGTATCTCTTCTCACCCTCTTTGGATGGGGAATGATCTCTCTCTGCCACCTGAGGTTCCGATACGCCTGGAAGGCGCAGGGGCGGGATGAATCCCACCTTCCCTGGAAGACCTGGACGTATCCGTATGCCACCTGGTGGGGGTTTATATGGTGTGTTGGGTTGATTGTGTTCGAGTTCTATTTGAGCATCTGGCCATTACATGAGGAACCCTCTGTGAAGAATTTCTTCGCTAATTACGTGAGCGTTGTTGCTGTTGCTGTAATCTGGGCTGCGGCTCAGATCTGGTACCGCTGCCCGGTTTGGGTTGACGGCGGGGAGATTGATCTGGACAGGGATCGGCGCATTTATGCTCATGATGTCACTGAGGAAAGTACGCCTGCTAGGAAGAGATTGCTTGGGAGGCTGAGCTTACTACTAGAATAGACAGGTGGGTGCGGGACTCGGGTTCCTTCGAATACCACGCACCCGAAAAACGTCTGGTCGCTGCAGGGCTATTATGAGTGCCATAATGTTTCTACATCTACCAGCCGTTCTCACATCAGGTTCATGCAGACTCAACAACAATCCAAGCCAAGCCATAGAGCTTTGAGCAACTCAACTCCGATTAAGATAAAGTCCCGGCACAATATCCCTGGGGAGACTGGAGCTACGAGGGATACGATCGAATAAGAATGGGCAGGCTCGCCTGGGTACCCTCGGGACAAGCTATATATCTGAGCGGATTCTGTTCATCTTGTGAATTTTCCATCGACCCTCTTGGAGAGGTCATCCATAAGGATGATATCATTGTCAGAGAGCCGCGCTAAGACTGTCAGCCAATAGATCTGCCCCGCGAAAGTTATAGTATAACATGAAGTCACGACAATACTAGATTAGTAGATGTTCTAACCAGCAAGTTAGGAACATGCACTAAGGCTAATTAGGACTATAGTTATAGCTATTAAGGTTAATAACTATAATAGATACAATAGGACTTAATATTCAAGGATACTTATTCTTATATATAATTAGTTTTAGTTACTATCTACTATCTTTATACTATCTTTAGAATCTAAGCTACCCTGCCTTTTAGATATCTAATTTACCTTCTTAGTTTGTTGAGAAGCTGTTCTTCTCATTCAATATTAGAATAACCTTAAGACCTCCAGTCCTAAGCAGGAACGATAGGGCTTATCTGACAGAACAATAATGGGTTGTGGAGTGGTTTAATAATATATGAACACTAGGAATTATTTTTGGATCATTACAGCTACTTCTATTTACCTTACTAAATTATAGACTGTAAAGAGTCCCAAGGGGGGCTTCTCAGCCCTTGAAATATGATAAAGCACGAGCCTGTCCCCACTACTTTAGAGGTACAAGCTAGACTAATCCCGCGTGAACTAGAAAATAATAAAGAGGATATCTTGTAAGGTATATTATTAGCCTTAAGGTATTGATGCTTGCTAAATAATATTCAAACCTAGCAAGATAAGGAGGAGGCTTACGTGAATCAACTTCATCGAAGAGGTTCTCTCTTCGACATCATTCCTCGTGCAAGCCCTCGCCGCGGCCATTTCACATGGTCGCTATCTACCATCGTCCTTGTCAGATAACAAGATATTAATAATAACATACTGGTTCTCCCCAAGTTTTATTCTCAATCGCAGCACGTTGTCCATTTACCCTTGATTGCTCTATATTCGTCAGTCTCAGGCGCAAAATAACAAGAGCTCAAATAAGATTAACTTACCACAGTAAGTATGAATTGCCTGGAGAAGGGGGACTCCCAGCACTAGAAGAGGAACCAACTGTCCAAACCCGTCGACAATGTTCTCTTTCTCGCTCTCTTCGGCAGGCGAAACACTGTACATATAGTTTCTGTCGTAATAAATCCACCATACGCCCAGACTGAACCAGACAATGCCACCGACGAGGACATCCAATGTTTCGGATGCCAAGACGTACCAAACGCAGTTGAATAGTCGTCGCCATAGTGGGAGCTTGCTTGTTCCTGCGGCTAGCCGAGTAATACTTTTATCATCGACAACTCGATGTCTCAGCCGATCGAGCCATATTTCCCAGGCCGAAGGCCAGAGCATGAGACATCGACGCGGGTATTCCCAGAGAACCAACACGAAATTCGCGACCATCCAAATCTCAGGGGACCCCGCTTTCCTTCTTCCCAAAGAGCAGCTAGCGGGGCAATTGTAGTTGTCATACCAACCCTCAGCCCCGGAAACATAGCTGCCATAAAGCAGCAGTCCAGCCAGGAATAGCATGCCACTAACGCGAATAATGACATCAAGCCCCGCACCTAGGCTTTCCTGAACGGCCTTCTTCCATCCACCACCGCGCGAACGATACGAGGGCCGCTGGCCCTGCTTCATGCTTTTCAGGATCTTGGTGCGGATCACGAGCAGAGCGAGAAGATGCACGTTACTACTGAGCCACGCCAGGTTGAGCACCGTATTGAAATGGTACACGGTGATTGTGCCGTGGTTTAATCTTATAATGGCGGCAGTGAGCATGGCTATGCCGGTTGCAAGCTGGACATCTGCTAGCGACTGGACCAGTTCGGAAAGCGGCTGCTCGAGCCGGTCAAGTAGAGACCCGAGCCAGGATACCTCGCGGCAGGAGCTTAAAATCTTGGTATCCATATAGTGCCGCATAAAGCGATCGATTGGGTTGAAATCTTCCGAGCGTATGGATCGATGGAACGACTGTATCTCTTCTTGGGGCGAGCAACCACAACGGAAAAGCATTAGATAGAGGCAGGTACTGATGTTTGCCATGACTGCCGCGATCACGAATGAGCATATAACCTGCCAGTGTCATTTAGCAAGAAGTTAGACTTGCAGTTGAGTGGGTCGAAGTTGTTCGCACGTACTCCTATCCCTGCTATATCTGGGTCTGCTTGGAACAGACAGGGACACTTCCACACCAAAGCATCATCATCCTCTGACATGGCGATGCCTAATCCGCGAGACCTTGCTTGACGCCTATTGCCTTTGATTTGCCTGATATGTTATTGTCAGATATGGGAGGGCCCATATTCCAGGCCATAATCAATGCCGTAATTGACTTGTTGGGAGACACGGAGAATCTAATCCCCCGTCTCGGCTCCACGGCACGAGTTGCCCTGTGTCTGTCCCAGGCCAGGTACTTTTGGACCATTTTCGATTAAGAGGATCTGTGATCGGCTAATGTAGTGTATCTAGTCGAACCGTACGACACCCTTGTGTAACATACATTCCAGTCAACAGGGCCAAGCAAGCTCTGTACGTTTTCAGAATTGGCGTTTTATGCTTGCTGACTAATCCCCTTGGAGGTCATGTGAAGAAGACAAGCCTCATGCAGCCACTTTTTTTGAGGCGGGGTGGCGTGACCGATGAACAAGTGCGTTGACTGTCCAGTCTGATCTGGAACCAATCTGTGTGGGCGCGACCGACGCCATTTTCTCAGCTGTTATTTTGGTGCTCCGTACCAAATGAACTAACTAGCCTTTGCGTACCAAGGCCAACAAGGAATTCCAGGTTGACGACACTCAAGGAAAGCCAGTCTCAAGTCCGATTGTTGGGCTTTGGATAATTAGAAGAAGGGTGGACTAGTCAGTGGCTGTATTTATTTAGTACTATCGCGCATGGTTCCAGGGGTTGGTAGTTTGACAGTTAATCTTTCACTATATCTAGTCATTTAGTAAATATTACTAGTATTTTTAATTACACCCACTCCGTGTGGGGTTTTGTTGAAACCGGAATATTTGCACCACTATTGATGGTGGACGCTGGAGCCCAATTGTTCCACCTGATTAAGCTATCAGTTGGCGAGGACTCGGCACTGAGCGGGTAGCATCCATGCAGTGAATACAGAGACGCTAATTATGGACTACTGCAACAGCCCGATCGAGCTGAGGAGCCTGCAATGTAAGTATTATATAGTAAGAGGCGACCTAGCCGAACTATGTGTAAGGGAGAAAACTATAGAACTAAAGTTTAGATCATGAGAGACCCTCGCATAATCCCTACTCTCGACTAATCGCGAGATATTCGAACTTTGGATATGTTGAGGAGCGAATGGTCGTAAGATGTGCTGTGCATTAGAGATAATTTTAGTACTTTGCATTATACACCAAGTATTTATGGTGCTACTAAATACCCATGGGAAGATAGAAGCAAAAGGCTCATAGTTTATAGTAAATCTCAAGTATAGCACAAATCCTTTATAAAGCACACATCAAACCAGGTACCCACAGCGCCATAGAAACTCATAGATGTACGCAGAACTCGTCGAGATCACAATACCCCCAGCTGGAGATATCTATACCATGGAAATTAGACCAATATCAGTCCTGTTCCGTGGCTCGGGGCCTACCATTCGAGTACCACCAGCGCCGACGCCGAGACCTGGTTCAACATGGGCCTCACATGGGTGTATTCGTTCAACAACGTCGAAGGCGTTCATTGCTTCGAACAGGCGATCGCGCATGATACGACTTGCGCAATGGCATACTAGGGCCTCGCGTATGCAGTCAGCCTAAACTAGCACGACTATCACTCGCTTATCTATGCCGCCATGTTCGCCGGCAAATCTAAAACAGCCCTCGACACGGTTTCACGCATGGAAGTCACCCTCCCCGAAGAGGTCTTCCAAACCAAGTCGCCGCCCATGGCCGACTGCCTGGGGCAGTTTGTCCTGATCCGCCTACACGTCCTGGTCCGCCTCGGCATGGAGGAGGAACTCCAGCGTACAGCCCTGCCAGTAGATCAAACCCTCTACGCAGCAACCACTGCGACGACGCACTACGCACGTGGAATAGCATTTGATTATATTCCCTCAACAGAGCATGTGATGGGAAGCCTGCTGGACTAGAATGGCTCATATAGACAGGCTGGGTTCCTTCTACATTGGGAAATTAAATGCAGCTGCCCGACCTAGTAATGGCGTCATTTACGGATAATAGTGCAGCTTATGACTTTACGCCGCCCCAATATCACTTTGTATTCGCCCATCCCGCGATAGCTGCTTCATATTTCTGCCCTACGCTTGGCATGCACAGCCTCGGTTCTTGGGGCTATGTGAGCTCCACTTCTACTTTCAGCTATATAATCCCCGCCCATTGCCCATAATATCCATCTACTCGAAGGCCATGGCCTCGTACCAGGTATCCCAACAGCAATGTCCTCCGCCGAGTCCCGACCTCTCGATAATCTCCCCACTGAACTCCAAACCAGCATAATCCGCCACCTAGACCCCATCACTCTAATCGCCCTCTCCCAGACAAACACCTACTACCGGGCCCTAATAAGTCCACGAAAACCCCACTTCGTCGAGCGTCTGCTTGCCCTCGAATGTGATGAGCGGTACGGCGGGCCACCGATTACAGTCACACGCTTCGGCAAGCCCGTGCCAGATTGTGAGAGTGCCGAGTGGGAAGCGAATCGCTGGGCGTGTACTAGTTGTCTGAAGTTGAGGCCGCATTATGCGTTTACGAACCAGGCACTGTTGAGGCTTGCTTATCGAAAGCCTCCGGCTGCAGCACAGCGTTACGTTGTTACGAGCTGGGAGCCGACGGGGGTGCAGAGACGGGAGAGAAGGAAGAAGAAGAAGAAGAAAAGTGACAATGAGACAAACGCAAATTTGGATTCCAGATGGGATTTAAAGAATCCTCCACTCGATGGCAACAGACAGACAAATGCGCAGGCACATGGGTATTCCCTCGAAGAGCGCGAAATCCGCAAACGAACCCGCATCGTGATGGGCGGGGTGTGGAACGAGATGCCGGCCAAGCATAACCTCACTACACGCCTGGCCGAGTTCCGCGACTCCGGCATCCCCGCGTTCCAGGAAATGACGCTTGAGCAGTTCGCGCTGATGGGCAGTTGGGCGCTGTCCGTCCTCCTCGAGAACGACGCGCAGGAGCTCAGTCTCCTTCGCGCGGGAACGAACCGCCATCAACGCCGTTGTATCGAATGTCGCTTCCACAGGAACGAATTCAATAACCCCAGGCGGGCTAGCTGCGACAGCGGCGGTGGGTTAGGGGACCAAGACCGTATTGGGCCGGACGATATTACTATCCTGCCATGTCGCCAGAGAACCCTGGATACACCGATCGACCGATATTTCCCTGGAGTGTGCGACGTCCTGGAACATAAGAGACCAGCGGGAATTGCACCGCAGTTGGCCTTCCGCGTCGGCCGTACCGACGCATACGACGCATCCTGGACGACGTACAGGCTCCGCTGTCCGCGCTGCAAGACATGGAAAGAGATCCGCGCGTTCCGCTTCGACCATGCGTATCCCATGTGGAGGCCAAATGCCGTTGACGGGAAAAATTACGTCTATACCACCTGGGATACGGCGGACGTTACGCTGGGGAAGTTGCGGTGTAACCACTGCTTTGCTGCGCAGAGCGGCCGTGGAGCTCTAGGGAAGGAATTGGTGCGGTGGTTGGAGGTCCTTCTGGGGAATGAGATCCTTAATATACAGGCTACCCTCGCCTATGGGTTCGGCATCGCGTCTCGGAACGCAGGCAGTCTGGCATACAAAATCACATCAGATACGGTGCCCACATCAAAAGACGCAAGAAAAACACGGTTTACTCGGGATGATGTTGTAAAGCTGAGGGAGCGCTGGGAGCAATGGATGGCTACTGGTGATATTACTGCAAGCGTGAATGCTTATGGAAACCCACTCGGGCGGTGGATAGAGCAGTATGCAGATGCCGAGGCGATGTGGTACTGGCTGAAGGGGTGTTTGGAGGAGGTTAGCCAAGATGGGATCGGGGATGTGCTTGTTGAGTGGGCCTTGACGAGGGATAGGCCCGTTGAGTGTTGATCTTCTCTATGTGGGATTTGGGTTTCGACGGCCCTCCTATAAGTAATGCAGTCTCAACCAGTCGCACTACCAGGCAACCTCGATAACCCCGTGGGCGCACACTACTAGGAGCCCCCCGCCTTGCTTTCGCTCTGGCGAACCCGAATCAGACATCAGCATACATAGCAGCCGTCGTGGCATCCACCGCCGAAACCAGAAAGCTCAAGGGCGTGGACTAGCGACATCTACGCCACGGGGTGGAGACTGCCTGGTGGGTCCAGTACAAGCCCCGGCCTTAATCTTGAAGACGAGTTGGGGTACCGTATTGTAGATACCGTTGAAAAGTACTATTGCGTGATATCAGATGATGATGCCTTTGCTTGTGAAGTATGATGCCTCGATGACAAGTGGAATGCTGTTCTCTGACCGTATTATCACAGCAGGTTTAGTGAATATTTGACGGACCCTGGGAAACAATACACGTGAATCGCTTCCTCTCGCAATATCACAGCCGGCCAGTCTCTCAGTCTGTCGCGACTTCCTATGAATAAATCCCAATAGCCTCGCCTCAGTCAACCCCTTTTCCCAAAGGCGCCAACATAAACTGCTCTCAACAGCTCACGAGCGACATATTTCCAACATCATAATCAAACCCTTCCTCGAACTATACTTCTCCCCACTGATATCTTCCGGTAGCAGATCCTTATCCCCATTCGCAACCAGCGCCTCGGCGAGCGTGCAGTTCCCGGCTTCCGCAAACCCCAACCCGCGATACAAGGTCACTGTCGCATGATTCTCCGGCTTCACCATCAACCGCACCCAAACCTTGCTCGGAGACAGCCTATATGACGCTAGATACTTTAACGCCTCTCGACACAGCCTCTTGCCCAGGCCCTGGCCGCGATGATTGGGAAGTGTAAACAAGCTGAGCATTTGCCACAGTCCCTCTTCCCCTTCCGCCGTAGGCTTCTTTTGACCAGATTCTTCAGGCAGGATGAAGTCTTCCGCGCTCTGCGGGCCTCGCAGCGTCACCTGGCCCACCCATATGCTCTGATCTGATATTCGAGGATGTGGCGGACTGCTCTCTTCTGTCGGTGTTGCGGCGCATATGAACGTTTCCTTGCCGTTCGCTGCAATGCGGTTAATCCATTCAGTATCTGTGAGGGTGGATTCGATTTCGTAGGTAGAGGAGAAAGAGGCCGGTGCGACGGATAGGGCCTGCAGGCGCAGCTGTTTGTACTTTTTGGCTGAGGACTCGATATCATTGTCCTTGGCGATGCGAAGAAAGGAGTATGTGTAACGGGGAGTTGACATGTTGGGTAAATTGCAGGTATGGAAGGGTCAGGATGTGTCGCGATAGTTCTTGTAGAGTGTGGTCGCTGGGGTATCAAGCAGTTAAATATCGGCAGCCTGTTATCAGGGCTTCTCTGGTATTGGTTATTGGGGAGCAGTGGGGCTGGGAATAAAAGATCACGGAATCAAAAAAGATAAAAATAGGATGGACCTCGGAATGCCGGGGTTACTGCTAATTGAAACCAGACTGGCCCAGTAGGTATGGAATCGTCGCTTCCAAGTTCGAGAGGATAAACTCTGTCACTGCCATTTCGGGTTTGCAAGAATGACCTCAGCTGCGAGACAAACCTCCCTGGGCTGTGTGTGATAGGTTTGTGAAAAATATCTTATGTGAAATCAATATCGCGGAGCCGTATTGACAGCTCCTAATAATACAAAACATAGATGGTGCCTACTACTAGATAAAGGTAGATAATTTGCTTTTATTGACTTGTGATTGGCTAACGAGTAGGCAAAAATACGAGGATTGCTAATCCAAATACCGGACAAGCCATACCCGCGAGAGAAATCGGTACATGCAGGCGCAAAAACAACGCCGGGCCCCTCTGCCTCCTTATGCTTGCCAAGCCCTAGGTTCACGATAACATCGCAGCTTGCAACCCTCAATTCAGATAGCTATGGGGCGTCGGGCCCGACCATCAGCATCCGGTGCACGAAGCGACAGCGCGGGCAGTCGATCACGGTATCCAGGCCGTGTTCTGCTAGTCCTCTTTGCGAAGCGACGTAGAGTCTGTTCCTGATGTTGGGTTGCACGCATTTTATCAGAGGGCGAAGTCTTCAACGCTCGCAAATGTTGGATGGGTGAGGGCAGGGTCTGTCTGGGAGTCTACCGCAGGAGAACAGGCGGGGCATGCTTGATGGAATAGCACAGGGAGTTACCGCTTAGATGGGTTGGAGGCATCGTCGGACTGCGACCAGGGAGATGGAACGGCGTTCTTGCTATTGTGTCGGGTCCGACTTCACATCCCGATAGCCTGAAGAGACAAATGAACAAATTTGCAGGTGCTGTGGGCACGGCGGTAATTCGTACTACGTCTAATATCGTGGAGGAATTGGGTCTCTGCAGAATTGGTGAGCGGATGCATGGTTAGCGGCACTGCATTCTTTCACGGGGTTTGGTTTTCCACTTGCATAGTAGCACTCCAGAGCTTCTTTAACCATAGTGGACTCTTGGCCATCTCAGATACTAAATAATCCGACATTCGTTTAAAAGGCAACAAACAAACTTGCCTGGATAACCGCGTGGAATCAATTATGTCTGCGCTGGACGTGACAGACTAGTATACTAATAGTGGCTGTAAGAGCGCTCCTGACCATGATCAAAATTCATCGCATAACCTAACCAACTAGTAGTAACAGCAAGGCTCCAACAACATATACCCACTCTCCTTTATCCGCGAAAAAACAAGGTGGAGAAGAGCATGTTATTCAGACATGATCAACGGTGGGCAGCCGAGCTGACCTCATGCCAAGGCAAGGCTGTAGAAATCTCACAATGTCGGGCAGCAAAGGATGCCCAAACCTATACCAGGCTATGCTGGAGCCTCAGATTGTATATAGACCACCATCTTCGTCCCACTCTTTTTCATGTGTTTGCCTGACCCGACATAAGTGGTGACTCCATTCCGGCCTTGAATCGGTACGCGTTCACACACGAGAGGTAGGTAAACACCCCCCATCTTCTAGTCCTTCGCTAAGAAGTCTCTCTCGACCAAGTACTGCAGAACTATCCTCCCCCCACTAGACACTGCGCTCAAAACCTAGAATCCCATTATGGCCTGCACCACATTCCTCCAACAACCCGTCCTCCACCGGAACTACGAACACCACAAGCGATGTGCGGTGAGGAGCCAGGACGGCGTCCAGTGTGACTGCACGGTATACAAGTATGCCGGCAAGCTGCCGAACGGGTGGGACGTGTGTAAATGTGGCCATGAGGAAGCTGCTCATGGGTTCCTCGGAGGCCGGTAGGACGACGTTCGCAGCCGCGAAGTGGTGAGGCGGTTCATCTTCCGATGGGATTTGGAGTTTCGAATGTTGGTGGCGTGACTGGATAGGCAAAGACTGGAAAGCAACAGTTGAGAAATGTTTCGAATTTGGCCTCGCTGGTACTTAGCCTGTTTATATGTATTCTGCGCCAGAAATCAACAGAGGCAGTAGGTAAGATGGCCGGAAGATGTGGTCTGTTCTAGTCTATACGGGCTGTCACCCTCGGATGACTCGCTTCGGCATACTAGTTACCGCGCCATCATTCAGGAGTATTTCAACTACCTATCCAATCAACAGTCGTCGTTACCCCGTTGTGGTAGATCATGGTCAATAATAAAGGTGATCTCGTTTGATCGGCCTATACGGCCATAATCCAAGCCCTAGGCGCTGAATCTACTAAAGTCGAACGCCATGACGGTTACATGTCTGTCTGCATTTCCGATAGCAACCGTGCTGCCCTGTATACTGGACGCTCGGCGAACATATTTTTGTTGATCTCCCAGGCGTAGACTGGCCACTGGCTGGAAGTCAGGCGGCAGGCAAAGCGCCCTTGTCCCATCCGGTGTATGAAGCCAGCTCCCACACTCTGAGAGGAATACGGCTTGCTTGGTCGCCGTAAAGGACTTGACAGACACAGTCCGGCCAGTAAAAGGGTCCCAGGCGGTTGTCAGTGGTTTATCGGCATCTAGTAGAATCAATCGATCGTCCTCGGGAAATGCCAGTCGCCCCGTGCCAATCCATTCTTCTGCTGTCATCGGCGTCCATTCTTGCTCAAGCTGAAGTGTGCGGCCATCTCTAACTTCCACTTTACCCGTGATATGCCCCTTTTCAACTCTTTTGATCACAATCTTGGTGTCATCTTTTGAAAAAGCTGCCCTTGTCACAATAGACTCGTCCCCAGTAAGATCTTTGGTTACCATGTTCCTCGTCAAACATAACGCGCGCAGTCGCCAGGTTAATGTGGTCGGCGCAGACCCAGCCGACCGTGTATGCGGCATTTCCCAGTGTCGAAGCCATGATAGAGCCCAACATCCAATATATCTAAAGAAGGGTCGTAGCACACTGCGATCTCGAGCGAGGGTTGAGAGTTTTGGATGGTTGGGAAGCGGACCTGGCCCCAGGATGTTGGGTCAAATGGCGGGATCGAACGGCAGCGACGAAGAGAGGAATGAATGCACCAAGAGCAGAAAAGCACGACTGGGCGGTGCTAGGTTTAAATCTACGCTGGCCGACCGGTGATCAAAGATCCCTGTCATTGCCAAGGCCGATGGTGCCTTGTGGGCGGCGTCTTGCTGTGCAGCCTTGCGGCAAGGCGCTTCTCGCTCTCAGCTACTCGCACACTTGTCCCAGCTGGGATAAGAGAATTTTCATTCATTATCTCACTGTCTCGATTGCAGGCGCAATGTAGCCCATCGCCATGCGAGCAGGGCACAAAAAGTCGGACGTCAAGTTCTGAATAGCGCGTTGGACGTAGAGCCCCGCGCTACCGATGGAATCCCAAATGGCTTCCAACATTCCGGCTTGATCTCACCAGAATACACGCAGCCTATGTTGGAGCCCCGACGGCTGATTCTCAGGAGGCGCATGTCGCTTACTCTCGTACTCCTGGCCCAGCTCGTACATGATCGCTTCATAGTTTACCAGATTGTACCTGTGGTCTCTGGTACTCAGATGCGCGATGACGCTCACATTCTTGTCGGAATAAGCATACGCAGCGGTTCTGCGCTTGTTAGGGCTCTTTCTGGCATAGTAGGGTAGCATAGGCGGAACACAGGGAAGGAGGACATAGAAGTCATCCCAAGGTCGATAGGAATTGGCTTTGCCCACCAAGGGTCTGGTACGCAAAGTAAGCTGTAATCTGGATCATCCGGGTTCGTATAAGAATATGGCCCGTGGTGGCAGCTTCCGCTGCGGACCCATGCAGGATGGTACTGCATGCAGCAGAGCAAGCCTAGTAGATTGAATAGCATTGCTCTCATGCCTGAGCCCTTGTATATCGTGAAATGCGACGACCCGGTCAGTGATATTCATCTAGGTTCATACTGCGATAGCGGCATTATGGGACCAAAACTATTTCTTTACACTATCAGCGATTGGATACCCGGTCAAAAAGCTGTCTTCCGCGTATCAATACTGCGGTGCATCTGCCCACCACGACGATAGATTAAGATTGGCTTATCTTCCCCTCTCATCCCCAGGGTTGTCTTCTGGTGGACAAGAAAATACAAATGGATTCTTTAATAACGAATCTAGAAGCTTGGGGCACAAGCATCGGTTTCCGTATATGCATACAATTAAGTACCGCGTAATCATAGCAATTGATAACACTAGGCTACCGTCTAATGCGTTGTGCTTTGGAAGCGACCTTTAGTCCATTATTATGGAGCATAGTAGATGTAAGTGCCTCAGATAGCTTGGCTATTATAGTTTTGTTTTCTATACCCGGTTGTGATAAAACCAAGAGTATCTATTAGCCGGTTTTGGATGAATGCAGCATGTCCCTGGGCAAAAAGACCGCCTATATATATGAGAAGCAGTCAGGAATTTATCGAATGAAAGCTAACTGTTTCTTTAAGCGTACGTACTACATGAGACTTTTCCGACCGGCGAGGCTATAATACTCGCTCCGTAGCCAGCATCAATCCGGGTGTACTCCGCAGAATAACTATTCCATATCTTTTTATGTCACTTCAAACTATGTCATTGGAATGAAGCGGTTCTGGATGATTGGCTGCATCGGGGCATGCGTAGTCACGCCAACGGGCTAGATGTGACAATGAAGGATCTTAATGAGTCATTTCAAGAGCCAATGATGTGGTAAGGCAACAAATATTCAGGAGTCAGAAAACATCAAGGGAAGAGATCCGGCGTGCTCGCCTCACCGAATATCGAAGCATTTTCGAGAAAGACCACCACGCCTCCCACAGAACCGCAGGTAGAACTCCACACCGACCAACCTTGCTAGATCTTTTAGAGATTATCAGGCTGAGAACTATGCCATCACAAGTACACAAATTTGTCGCCTTTCACTTGATATGCACCATGCGGCGCATACCCACGCGCGGGACACATTTCCGAGCAGAAACAGGGAGTCACGTTGTCCTTCAATCCTGCAGCTTTTGGCGCGCCTTGGCGGAGGTCAACCTGGTTAGCTAATGACCCCTTCCAGGGACCAGAGTATCGCTAATTAAAGCTGCAGTGTGATTGATGCAGGCGCGGAATGATCACATCGTTCTAGTCGCTGAGCCTGGCACATCTTGAGTTGATAGGGCAATGGGGGCTCCGCGGAACTCAAAAAGCCCACGACAACCGTTGCTTAAATATTACCCATTGGTGTTTCCGACAAACTTGGATGCTCAACGAAGCTGACAGGCTGTCACTGCTGGTTGCACAACCGCTCTGGCAAGCTCACTCGTGTTCCAATGAGAGCCAACGCGGGCAGGGCAACTGAATGATCGTCGTCTAAATGACGCCACCAATCCGGGGTGAAAATAGACGAAGGATTCTGAGCCTCTTGATTGCGCCATAGTGCGTCTCGGCCTCGTATTCTTCAGCAACTTACACCGCAGATGGTTTCAGTCGCGCGGAGCGATTGGTCCATGCCCCCCTGCGTGGCAGAGGCCTGAGCATCAACGGGCTTCGTATTAAATGAGCCCGCCTTGGCCAGTCAAGTACTCGCCAGCGACGGTTTGCTGTCTTAAACTTTATTTTGAGGCTGAAACTCTGCCCCCAACCAGGACATCATAAGATCGAGACCCTCCCTCTGGAGTCCTAGACGATTCCCAAAACTAGAAAAAATCCTCTCGCTCAACATTCGTTTTTGAAGAGATATCATTCCACTCGTTTGTGACATGCACGCCTCCGTTCTCGTTCTCGGTGCCGTGCTGAGCACTCAGGCTCTGGCTGCTCACCGGCAGGCGGTCATGCCGGCCTTTGGCAAGCGCCAGACCGGTGAGGCGTTTGACCCGATTGAGGACGAGACGTGCCCTTCGGATTGGCCCATTTGCGGCAACAGCAACTTCTGCTACAATACCGCTGAAGATTACATCTGTTGCCCGGGCCAGGAGCGTGAGTTTTCCTTACTTGGAATAGATTTAACGACCCCTGGCTGACAAGGGTTGTTTCTAGACGTCTGCCCTCCAGGATCCTACTGTCTCCAAAACCCGTACTGCTGTCCTGACGTACGTATCTTGAGCAACTTCCCGGTTTCATATATCTGTCAAGGAAGCAGTCGTACTAACAGTTGATCCCGGTTTAGGGACTCGATCCCGAAACCTGCGCAGAGGAGTTTGGAATCACCCTGGACCCAACACCCACCGCCACCTCGACTGCCAGCACCTCGACCCCGGTGATCCCCACCACGACAAGCAGCGCGACGTCCACCCCGACCAGCTCCTCTGCTGTTCCTCCCACCGGGACGGAGACTGAGACGCCCGAAGTGCCTGAGTTCACTGGCGCTGCGAATGCCAAGATTGCTGGAAGCGCGGCTGCCCTGTTGGGCTGGGTCGGTATCTTCGGAAACCTTCTCATCTAGGTACTTTGCTTCCAAATCTTCTTAGGAGCTGGCCTAGCCAGAATGCGTAATTCTCTCGCTGTTGATGGAAAGAGACGATAGTAATGTTTAGTCAGGTTGGCGTGTTGTCGGGATTAGGTTAGCCAAGGCGATGTAACTAATGGATATTCACTGTAAGAAGGAGAGATCTAATGGAATGCAGAGACGTATTTTCTTAAATATAGACCCTGGTGGACTTGTAGCACGCCCCATCGAGGTTGTTCTTCGCATCTGACCCGCCCTTCCCGTCTCTGGGTCAATCTGAGTCTCCATAAGTCTGTTTTATACACTAAGGATAGGCTCGCCGGCATCATGTCTGCGTCCGCCGGACTAGTAAGTAGAATCAATGGGCTTTAGGTCAGGAGAGCTAGGAGCTTAACCCGCATGCTGATGTGATGACAGTATCTTGTTCTCCGTGGTACCTCGAGCGAGCCTCATAGCCGCCATTGGGGACTGTACTGCTATCATCAGTGTTGACGGCAACAAGGGGTTGCAACAGAGACTAGATGCGGTCTGGTAGAGATCCTGAGCTGCATGATCCCATTCTTTTGATGATTATTGCTTCATTAATAGACTAAATTCGAACTAAATATACCCAGCAAGAATAAAACAAAATACGACCTCCACCAGGGCGAGGGCTGTCAGCAGCGATATATAAAATGATGATCGCAGTTTAGTTGAGGGACGACTTATAAGCATTCCATTGGTTGTTGAAAACATATCCCGTGCAGCAAAATCCTGGAGAAGTGATTAGTAAGGCTCTGTGACTCGCCATGCTGTATTAAGCCGCTGATTCTGAGTAGCCGCTGCTGTCCGAGAGCTTCCGTCCTCCAACGCACATTGATTGCACGGCTGGAGGTCAAGCCGCCATTGCTGTCGGTTTGGTCGTCGTTGGACTCGTTTGCAGGGTATGGATACGGTAGGGAGCAGAGTACAGATGGACGGTTTCCGGCCGTCTTATTATTGCAGTCAAGTAGCCACATGATAAAGGTGGAATCGTCGTCATCTTTTATGTATACTTGTCTGTAATCTACCTGGTTTTCTATTCCATTCCCCATTATGGTTGTTAGGATACTCACCGACTTTGTTCCTAATCCCTGCCCAACCGAGTACAGTAAGTCGTGTACTATAAGACCGAACTATGAAACCTAAGAGCAACTCTGAAAAGACAGCATAACTCCTAAATAGAAATGCGACTCCTATCCCTTCTTTATCTTTCTTGCACTGCGCTCCCCGCTATCTCTGATATCTAGGTCTTAAGCCTATCCCCTGAACTAGGTTCCTCAGCATCCCTCTAATCCCTACCTGCCCAAAACCTACACTTCTTAAGCGCATAGCTAAAACATAAAATCCCTTCTTTTAGCTTATCGAAGCGAGTGTACTCTCTACACATGCAAAGTGGGTTCTACTGCGAGACGCCCACCTTGTCCGCCTACGTGCGGAACTCCCCCATATTGGCTATATCTGTACAAGGTGCGGTCTTGGCGCCCCTTATTATTTTTGTGGACGGAGTGGAAACTTAGAGGCGTGCTGCATCCGTGGTATGTAGACTCGAGCACCTATACTTAGGAAAATCAGTTGAGCACTGAAAGAGGGCGCTAAGGCGCTGAAGTCATGCTTCGGCGGTCGAAAGTATGCACTCCGCATTTATAAATATTTACCACCAAGTACATAGACCGCGTGCTTAACCACCTGCTATAGTAGACTATAAGGCCACTAAAATATAGAGTATGGTGCCTTAGGGGCTGTATTTTAGCAAGGTACTTACTTAATTACTTAAGCTTCCTTGCTTGCCTACTTTCTCACCTGCTTGTTCACATGCTTACTCACATGCTTGCTCAATTGCTTAATCACTTGCTTGATTTCTTACTTAATTACCTGCTTAATGGCTTGATTAAGCACTTAATTACTACTATATATAGCTACTAAAGACTAGTAAGTATATAAGTTACTATATAAGGTAAGTACTTTTGTAAGTGCGTAGGCAATGTTTAAGCAAGCAACCAAGCAGGTAATTACGCAGGGAATTACGCAGGTGATCAGGCAGGCGAGCAAGCAAGCGAGTAAGCAGGTAATTAAAAGTAATTATGTACCTAAGCAAGCAACTTATTAAGAATCTAGCTCCTTATGCTGGCAGGTTTTTCTATGATACGTTTCACGTCAAGGGTAACAACTGATAAGGAAACTAACACAAAATAGAACTTACCCAAGGGTAGCGGACCATAGTGCGATACCTAAGCCCCAGCAACCTTGCCGGTGGGCGTCGTCGGATGCTCCGCCCTCCAAATAAACCACGGCTCGACCTTGGCATTAGCCGGTTTCGTCTCACTCCGGGGCAAGGGCGCAAAGTTGCTCCAAAACATATACGGCGCGCACGGCTGATTCTTCACCAACTCGTGGAACCACATGAGCCGGTAGAGGGAATCATGGCACTCCTCTTCGTACAACTTCGGACTGCGCTGCAGAAAGTTAACTACATGCCCGCTCGCCGGATCGGTCATTGTCGTCTTCATACTAAACCAGACGTCCGTCAGAAACTTTGCGTCCCTACCTTGGGCAGGTCAATGAGCACACTCACCTTGACGACGGGTAAGGGCAGGGAGGCGGGCTCCGATGTCGATTTGGCTGTCCTCTCGGCCTCGGTGTATCGTCGGATCCACATGTGGAAGCGGCGTACGTGGGGCGTACCGTCGTCGCCCGTTGTCTTGAGGTGAGGTTCGAGCAGGTCGCGGAGAGATTGGCCGATGAGTTTCCCGCCTGCGTGCGTGTCGAAGCTGGTTGTTGTGTCGAACTCGAGGATGAAGGGTTTCGTGTCGGCTGGGTGGCGGAGGGAGTTGACGGGGATGTACTCGGCTGCGAGCTTATCGCTGCACTTGGACGCGAGGTCCAGGCAGGTAGGGCAAAGGTTGGCAAGGTTCTCGCAAGGCATATTGATAGTGTTGTCAAGGGAAGGCTTGAAGATACTGATTTACATGATGGTAAGGGAAACATGTTGCTATTTATGCCCGCGCCAGTCATTGAGGGAACGAGTATCAGAGAGCATTGATACAGCGACAAAGGCGAGTCCCATATTGTAGGACAATGCCTTGGTCTTAAGCATAAACAGAAGGACGCTTCCTATCTTTGTCAACAAAGTCCTTTGTTGCAGCGTAGTGGCGGGGAACAAATGGTTTGGTTACTAAAGATAAAGAAGAGGACCTTTCCTCTATCCATGAACAAGGGAAGCTCTTTTTCTTTGCATAGTGTCCAGGAACAATGAGACCACCATAGCCCTAATCCTGGTGTGTGTATACTATCTCAAGCAGCGAACCATTCACTAACCCACTTCTCAATCCACCCCGACTGCACCGCCTCAACAGCGCGAAGCTTCTCACTGGCTTTTGCAGTGACCTGTGTATCTAGCACGTCGCCTCGCTCGGTCTGGCACATGATCGCGGTGAAGAACTCGAGGAGTTTTGCCGCAGGATTCTTCGCTAGAACGCCTTGCAGGTTATTCTCACTCAACCTTGGAGATGTATGTGACTTCTCAATATCCTCGCGCACGCGCTGGAGCCACTCTTGGAAAGGTATAATCTCTACTCTTTTCCCTGTTGTCTTGAGCAGCGCGTCTGCGACCATCATCCGGATATCCGCCCAGCTTAGCGGATGTAGGTTTACCGGGTGATAAACATTAACGGATGCCGAATCCAATTCTGAGTCGCTGACTGCTCTGCGCTCCCTTACCGCGAGATCAACCAACACTTCGGCGAGCAGATCAATCGGCATCCAATCCACACGATCCAACGCCAGACCAAGCGTATCCGGCAGCGCACCCACATGCAGGGAGCTGATAACAAGGCTCGGGAGCCATTCTGCCTTATTCCATAACCCTGGTGAGCGCAGTGCGCCGGCAACCTGGCCCACGCGAGCAAACGAGGCATGCACCAAGCTCCCCTGCCGCGTGGCCGGATCCAGCAGCCGTTCAGCCAGGTACTTGCTATCCGCGTACCCATTTGGCGCGGGCACCGTAGTCCGGATAACGGCTTCGGGTGTCAACCCGCTGGTTGTGCGGTGGCCCATCGTGGAGCTTATTGACGAGATGAAAAACAGATGCGGTGCGTTTAACGATTCCGCGCAGAAATTGATCAGGTTGACTACACCGTCGAGGTTTGGTCGAAAAGACGGCAGGGACAAGTTGAAGTTGACGGCCCATGCGTTGTGGATGATCAGCGTGGCAGACTGTTGGAGTGTATCGAATAGGTCTGGCTGAAGGCCAAAGTCTGGCTGGGAGAGATCTGTTGCCCAGAAGGTGACACGTGATAGATCGATACTCAAGGAATATGCTTCGCATTTTTGGCGTTGCACATCGATGGCTTCGGCCTTTCGGTTGAGGCAGTAGATGTGTGCAACGGATGGGTGCTTGACAAGGGCATTGAGGAGATACGTGCCCAGGTTACCAGTGGAGCCGGTGAGAATGACGGTATGGGTGTCGACCGCCGGTGGTTGGGTTCTAGATACACAGGGTTGAAGTTTCGCAGAGAGCTCCTGCAGTAGCTGGTCACGCTGTTGCAACTGCTCCCTCTTTGCGGCCTCTGCCGATTCCTCCTCCTGTTGCTGCATGCGCAGCACAGCTTTAGTAAGCTCATCCACGGATGGATGCAGATATATCACACTGGGACTCAGTTCCGGTAGGCCAAACCCTGACCTCAGTGTCCGTGTGGCGCTGATCGCCTGGAGTGAATCCAGACCCAGATGGAACCAGTTGACAGAGTCGGTTTTGAACTTGTCTTCGCTCCAGCCAGTGCTTGCCATTGTCGTCTGCCGGATATAGTCCCTGATTACCTGAGGGTCGTTGACGCGGCCGGGACCCGCGTACTCGCTGTCAACCTGCGCCAGCTTGTCTGCATCGGCGTATAGAGTATCTAGCTCTGCCTTGTATAGAGCGAGTGTCCCGGCTCGCTGAACCGTTCCCTTTCCAGCGCGAAGCATCGGTTTACCGGGCTTAGTAAACAAGATATGTGTCTTTGCAATACGCGCATGAGCAGGGCACACAGCATTCGCCGCTTCGATACTCGGCCAGAGCTTCTCAACCATCGCGCCGCGTTCAGTCACATCGAGTTCCTTCTCCTGGTCGCGCAGTTCCACCAGCAGGGAAGCCTGGAACCGGCGCGCCCCAGCCACCAATACCGCACTGACTTCAGGGTTCGATGCAGAGATGTGTTGCTCCATAGAGATTGGATTCGTCTTCTCCCCGTTCAGGAAGACGATCACGTCGTCGGCGCGCGCGGTCCAGCGCCAAAGGTCCCGCTTGGTGGGATCAGGATGCCGGACGAAGAGATCGTTCGTGTGGTATTCCTGCTTATCTGGAAACACGGTAAAGACGAACTGGTGAGCCTCGGTGTCTGGCTTACGGACCAGGACGAGCTCGTATTCTTCGTGGGCAACGTCGCGCATTTCGGCGCCCATCCAAGGGTGGATATGCAGATAGCGCCAATCTTCAAGTCGATCCCCGTTAGTTTTAGCCTGGATTGTATTGAGCATCCCGACTTCAGAGGCGCCATATGCATTGAGGAGAGGAATCTTTGAAGCGACAGTATCGCCGATGGATTGCGGTAGGTCGCCCCCGCAATACATCAAGCGTTCCAGGTGCGTGCTGCAGTAATCAAGAAGCTCTCCGTCTTGGGAGAGTTCTTCAATGATAGAGGGAACACCCAACAGGGTATCAATCTGGGTCCTTTTCCTCGCCTCCACCAGCCCGGACGCCGTAGGAAGACCCCCAGATGCAGGAAAAATGATCGTCGTTCCAAACGGGATACTTATGAAGAGCGAGTAGGCCAGACCGGCTGCCTGTCAGGTTGTTAGATACCGTGTCGTATGCTTTTATCTGGTTGCCCACGAGAGGGTACTCACGTGAAAGGGAGGTGGAACGAGAAACATCCTCTTTCCAAACGGGAATCTGCTGTGGCTCTCAAAGCCGTCCGGGGGATCCAAGTCGGTCGTACGCATGTGTGTGCAGGCACCTTTGTGCGTCCAAAAGATTGGCTTTGGGATTCCTGTCGAGCCGGATGTGTGACTATATAGTAGGTGTCAATTATCCTCATGACAAGGCAATGAAGGGATGGCGAACTTACATCACTGCTAATGTCTCACTGGCGGCTTCTGCATAGGTCTTTGGGAACTCGAAATCCGGATAGTCTCTGTCAAGCAGAGTATCGACACTAGGGACATCAAGAACGCCTACCGTATTGGCCTCTAGTATGGCCGCAACTGGCGGGGGTCGAGGAACGGGGGCCAGAAACTTGGTGCAGTTCAGCCGGTCAAGAAGGCTACTATGCGCGGCAACGCTATTGCGCGGCGATGTAAAAAACATCTAATGACTTGATTAACTGGACGATCTCTTCAAGCAATCGCTTCGAGTCCACTCACACAATATCCCGCCTTCACAGCACCCAACACCAGTGCGGGGTAACGCAGATCATTCGGTCCGAGATATGCGAGAATCGCGCCGTTCCCAGGACCTAACTGCTCGACTAGCCACCAGGCAATTCCATTGATTGCATTTGCAAATGCTTTGAACGTTATCGGTCGATAGCCGTCCTTGTAGCTTGCGGGAGATATAGGGTATTCGGCGTAGATGGCGTCGGGTTTCCCTCTGGCATAATGATCGACGATGTGAGGGAGAAGCTGGGTCCGTTCGTCGAAGCCCGAAGTACTGTTGAAGGCCATGGGGCTGGAGTTGAGACTTGGGATAAGGAGATGATGTTGCAGGTTCAAGGGTGTGGGATATCGGCAACGACCAGGTTTGTACCATGGAGAGAGCTAAACGGGGGAGATCCTGTGGGTCTGCCGAGCCCTTCAAGCGTTCTTGGACGGTCGCGGCTCCAGGCCCACGGGTTTACTTGGAGCAGAGTGGGGCTGATGATCCGCTCAAAGCCATTCCACACACGGTACAGCCTATCATCGCCGAGTACGTTGTACAGATCCAATACCTTAAGGCATGCGATTCCGCGGTCTACGACGGTCGCTCGGTGCCAGCAAGCATAGACAGAATAGGTAATGTAGAGGATTTGGAGACTTCGGGACTGTCTGGGACAATGACACTGCCCTGCCAGGATGGGTGCGCCGTGTCACGCCAGAATCACCGGAAATTTCCTCGCCGCTGCAGCGCTTCTTCGAAGCCCTCGGATCAGCCACGAATTCAACGTATTTTACAATGCTTCAGAGCGCTCAACGCGGCCAAAATCATGGGAAAGCCAATGGAAGTGTCAAAGTTCGAAGGCCATGTAGATAGTGGCGCGTCGAACGGCCCCGATGCTGAATACCACATCAAAATAGTCATGTCCCCTTGCGAGAGGTAAGTGGTATCCTGAAACCCTGCCTATGTAGCTATCTGGCATACCTTTACTAGCTGATTGACCTGCTCAATCCGTCTTGGTATTGTCACACCATATCTGTTTTCGAATACTTGAGGACTACCGAGGTCGTCAATCGCCTCGAGGTTATAGTTAGGCTCGTCCATGACACTTTAGTAGAGACCCTACAGGGGCTTGGTCCAGGAGCGCCTCCATGAGTTTTCCTGTCCTTAAACCAAGGCGCCCTCACGCTACGCGTCTAGTTTGCTCTGCGACGAAGTGACTCATGTTTGATATTTTATTCCAGGGACTAACACTTTCACCACAGGCTGGCCGACCATTGGGAAGAGATGTATACGTCAAGAATACTTTATTAGGGTATATAAATCGATGCCGCTGTCTTTTATAGATGCGTACTATTTCTGAGACGTCTCCGCAGTTGCACGAGAAAATTTGAGGTAGTATATTACATATGCAAGAGGAGTATTTACTGCCTTGAACTCACCGTTTCGTGAGCGGGTACTCAAGGAGTTGAAGTGAATTGAGGATCAAATCCCAAATCTAAGATATAACTTTGAGACTTAAGAGAGGGATGTGCAGCTTGTTCTGGAAAAGAGAAGATGAAAGATGAAGTGGAAGTTACATATAGATAGCTAGGCAGGCTATTTTAGCAATGAGGCGTTGTTTACTAGTTGCTGAGAACTACAGGCATCAAGACGCGCTTGGCCCGGGCCCTGAACGTCTATCTCGTCATCTATAACATTTCGCTCCTTTCAACATTATCTCAAATATAAAGAACGTCAGGTGGGCCTACATACTGGTCTTGCCACCCTTGGATATCACCTAAATAATGAAAGAACGGCGCCCGCAGTCCAGTCGTCGCCACTTTCATCCATCCCACATCCTCTTCCGTGCACCCATCAATTGGATCGAAAGCCTCCTCCTCATACTCCTCCTCATCCTCGCCATCCTTGTTGTACAGGTTATATGGCTAGTCCGCGTACACAAAATTGACGTGGCCTGTACCGCGCAGCCAAACAGGGTCCTCGAACTCTTCCCGCATACTCTGCAGTGACTCCTCGTCAACCTGGACAAACTGCTGAAACCTCGAGCTACCTATCTCAAGATGCTGCATCGTAACGTGAGGGGTTGAGTTACTATAAACGACCTGGTCAGCAAGCCCCAGCCTGTTGAGCTCGTCCTCGCGCCATGCCTTGAAATGAACCCGGATTTCATCTCGCGACGCGTTTTCAAAGCGCTCCCGGTCCTCAAAGAAAACCATGTCAAAATAATTAATTAGCGTGGGTGTGTCGGATTTAGCTATAATCCGTTGGTTGTCGTCAATGATGGTTCGTTTTAGGCGCTGCCATGTGCTTTCGTCGTTGTAGGTGCTGCGATAGACCACCCACCCCCATTTTTGAGAAACGCGAGTCAAAGACACGTTATGGGACCGGCGAGGCCACCTTTTGAATGACAAGAGTTTCAGGGAATGTTTCTATTACAAACACTGCCGCTGTAGCAGTAAAAAAGCTGGGGCAGGAGAATTTTCGTGGCTAGGCGGGTGTAAGATGTATATAGGGGAGAAGGAGTGCATCTTATCTCTGCGCTGGCGAAGAAGAAGAAGGATTAGGCTGGCTATCTAAGGGAATTGTATATACACCTTGATCTCCTCATGACGGTCGAACCGTTGATAGTATTGTGGCGCCTCATCAATCGAAATAACTTCACTTGTGATGAAGCCCGGACGAGCACGACCAGACGCAATCAATTCCACGAGCTCAGGAGCCACAATCTTGGGGTCGACAATTCCAGCTTCGTACCGCAGGTGCTTACCAAAGAACTCAGTTATGGGGAAGGTAATGTTCGGGGAGAGGGTGGATCCGAGCGGTGCACCAGAGGAATTGGCTTGGGCCATGAAAACGCCGATTTGGCCTAGACCTCCCTGAGATGCCGCGACGCCGATCATATTCTGGAGGACAATGTCCTCTTGGATTCGGCCGTCTCGGTTAACCGCTTCCATTCCGACGCAATCTACCGCTCGTGTAACACCATTGGGTTCCAGGGACATGATATGCTCGACGGGGTCAGTCTCGTTGAAGTTGACGGGGATTGCGCCGATGGATGCGACCCGTTCGAGGCGCATGGGGACGTGGTCGATAGAATAGACTCGTGAGGCACCGCGGAGGATGGCAGAATACGCTGCGAGCAGACCAACGGGGCCTGCGCCAAAGACCGCGACGGAGTCTCCTGGCTCGAATCCAGAATATGTAAGCGCAGACCAGCCAGTGGCGAAGATATCCGACACGGTCATGTAGTCTCTTTCGATCGTAGAGTTGGTCGTGTTGGCGGTCAGGGGCACTGGAATCAAGGAGTTGTCGGCAAAGGGCACACGTGCATACTCGGCTATCCCAAGTTAGCAACTGGCCAGCTCAACCGTCACTAAAAGAAAGAGAATTACCCTGCAGCCCACCCAGGCCGGCCCCCGTACCAAACGAGTCCACCTCCGGTGGATGCATGTTCAAATGACCGGTCGCAACATTATCAGGGATAACAACATAGTCCCCAACACTGAGGGACGAGACGGCATCGCCAACCTCCGAGATCCACCCAAGCGCCTCGTGCCCCATCACCCAGGGTGGCGTGCCGCCCTGCACTCCGTGATACATGTGTAGGTCGGATCCGCAAATAGCAGAAGTGGTGATTCGAACTATTGCGTCCGTCTGGTTGAGGATCGTGGGACGGGGGACGTCCATCACAGACACATTGTAGGGGGTGCCGCTGTAAACGACAGCCTGCATAGTTAGATTGAGCGCCATTGTGTTGTAGTGCTTTCGCTGAGGTATTGGTCGGCTGGCATTAGCCTGAGTGACTTTCGGTTTATATAGCCATATCTTGCTGCCATTGACATCAACAATGACGCGCAACTGTAGCGAAGGTATCCTGTATCCGCCAGGAAATGGAGACAAGCTACTGTATGGCGATCAAGACGATCACTACCAGCGCCAGTTCTTCCATGCTGGTCTGCCGAGCTCAAAAGCCAGGAATTCGTCCCCAGGCATAAGCAACCCCACCACATTGCCTTGCATGGGAGATCTTTAGGGGCACACTAATTGCTGACGGGGTCCACCACGACTGATATGCAAGACCATTGGCCTGAAGTGATTACAATCCTATCAGTTTGTCTGGCACTGATATGTTGCCCTGTGGACAGACTTCGATCTATTCTAGCGACTTCTCGCTCAAGCACACAAATCCCAACGTGAGGCACGGTAATTTTCTACCCATAATAAGTGCAAAATCTAAATGCTGGTGAGCTTTGCTCAACTTCCATAACTTCTCTGCCTTCTCCTTATCACTAGCATAGGGTCGAGTCTCCGCTACCTGACAGTCACGGAGATACCTCCCACTCTGTGCAGCCAGCTCTGGTTAAAGTACTGCGACCAGCGTAGTTGCAACGCCTTGGCCCAGTGCTTTCTTGGGCTCCACGTCTGCGGAAAAGCCGGTGTTTTCTCGAGTGGTGGCATCAATCTCCTTGAAATCAAGCTCAGGCAGATGAGCGATAATGGAGGTACTTGGCATGTCTGTCGGTGCGATTAGCACTGACAACTTGCACCGCATTTGCTCGGAATACTCACACCCTGGATGTTCTTCTGCAAGCCGATCCGCCAAGGCCACGGTGACAAGGATGTTCGATGTCTTGGATTCACCGTAAGCGGTCAAACTGTTATAAGTTTGCCGTCCTAGAAGTAGACAGGTAAGCTATTGCCAGAATCCAGTGGACGCGATCAGCGAACGCCAAGAACTGGAATCGAAACGGCGTCATCCCATAGGCGCCGCTGGTTAGATTGATGAGCCGTGCGCCCGGTTCGGCGGCACGAATCTGAGGCAGAAGGAGCTTCGTGAGAAGAAAGTGGCCGAGATGATTCACGCCAGTTCCTTTTCAATCCTGGCCTTGTTCGTCGCCCATGGAATGGCCATGATACAGGCATTGTTGATGAGCACATCAATCTTATCAACCTGACCCGCAATCTCGGCGGTTGCCTTGACGACAGAGGTGAAATCGTCGAGATGGATAGTAGTCAGTATCACATCAGTGTTAGGGGTGACTTCATTGGTTTCTCGAACCACACTGCGAACTTTGGCCGCATCTCGAACCGAAAGGATCACCGCGCGGGTGAAGCCGCAGCCAGACGAATGCACGTCAGAGCCCCGAGGCTTCCGGGAGTGCCGCCAGTGATAGAAACTGCTGGTGTGTGAGGTCATAATAAGTGCACCCCTTTTGTTTCTCAGCGAGCGGTACTCTTTACCTGTCTTTCCTTTGATGGAAGAACCCCATCGCTCAACGACTTAGCGGCCCTCGGTATGACGGTCGAAATTGGCCATTGTGCGGAGAAAAGCAGGAATCGACAATGGATGCAATTTGCCTCAAAGCTGGAACACCACTTGTCACTTCTTCTACACTCTGGTGGGGTAGATTGGAAGCTGACATTGCTCACGACCCTGGACTCCGTGGATAGACTTGTTGATCTCTGCATAAAATAAGCCAGTTGCCGTTGTTGATGTCATAACCCAATGGCACGATCCAGATTAAAAAAAAAACTTGAAGTTATAGGATAATTTTGATAATGAATTGCTCGTTGCACAAGAAGCGAGCCGCCATCTGTTCGGGAACATTCACCCTTTCTTTGTTTTTGTTTTTTTTCATTTTCTCCCTGCTTAACGACCGCTCAAAGTACGGCAGGGCAAGGCCACAAGTTCGAGGGCTGGCTAGGCCATACCCCGGATTCTGCCAATGGCAAGATGGAATGTGGACCCTTTGGGCCCAAAATGTGGGAAGAAGACGATTTCGAGATCCGCATTACACACTGCGGTGTGTGCGGATCCGACATCCATACATTGAAGTCTGGCTGGGGCGAAACACCATACCGTCAGTGTATCCTCTCTCACGCAAACCAATGCAGATATAGATGGAGCTGACACCTTTCGGATAAGCATGCTGCGTTGATCACGAAATTATCAGTACAGTAGTCCAGCGATAGCCTAGAGAATGGTCGGTTTTAGCGTATTCTGTGTATCTGATAAATAACATCCATACTTGTACCGCTCTTCATGGAGCCATCGCTCAAGCTCAGCAAACCTCACAAAATGTACTCGTCATATATTGGCGCTTGGCTGAAGTTGTGGCTTATGGTGGCTGGGTTACGCAAGTCCGCCAACGCTACGTGTTTGGGCTTGTAGTCAATTCAGGCGCGGCAGTATTTGTTCAGTTAACTCCTTCTTACGTGGATTGTTTAAACGATAGCCCGTACGCCACGTGAGCCCAGCTCATTATAACTCCCACAGGAAGAGCTGTCATCTCCGGCAAGCAACCTCATGTTAGAATTTGTGGAACGCCGTATTCCATAGCGCTACAAAGGCACCGCCCACATTTAAAGTCTATTGCAGAATAATGTCTTAGCCGTATCTCTATTCGAAGGAGACACATACAGCCAAAGTCCGGAGCGATATTCTTCAGTAAAAATCTCCTAACATATCCTTGACATATATGATAATAAGTGAGGCAATAAAACAATAATTTTTTTTCCAAAATTGGTTAAACTCTTAGAATAAAAAGTGTCTGGAGATATTGCGATTATCAAGGTAGAGATTGTTAAAGATATAAGTAGCGAATATTAGTCGGCTAGCTTATACATTTCCTCAACATCTTCGCCGTCGATATTGTTAAGTCCATCGCGGACAGCTTTGTGAATAGACTCATCAATCCCATCATTTCCTTGTATCAAATCATACCAGCCATGTGTATCCTCTCTCGAAAGCAGGCCTACTGCCACAGCAGCCACGTCCTGAATGGGAATTTGGCCCAGTGCTCGGGTCTTACCCAAGTGGACCTTGCCAGTACCCGGGCTCGTCAGAAGCCAACTAGGCCTCAGGCTGATTGCCTGGAAGCCTGAACTGTCCTGGAGGTTTCGTTTCCTTGACATGGCAATCAGATACTCGTCAGACTGCAGCTTTGCGTCGGCTATGTCAGGATAGGAGTTCTTTTCTTTGATATACTCCATGACATCGCGACTATCCCACCATGGAGCCGGCTTCCGACGGGATGCGGGGAATGAAATCAAGAGGAACTTTCTGACTGCCGGATGTGAAGTCGATGCCTTGATGATAACCTTGGCCGCGTCACGGTCAATGCTGTAAACGTCGGAGAAGGACCCTATGTTCCGAGAATATGTCAATAGCTGCCACCTTGACATGGTCTCCTTGTGAGCTTACCGGCGGCGAATACCACGCAATCTGGGCTGCAGTTATCGAGGATTTTTTGCCGAACTTCGCCGGAATCTTTAAGATCTTTCAGATCAAGACTGATAACGTCAATTGTTCCCTTCTGGTTATCACCGAGGGATTGTATGTATTTCTCCTGGCTCGGGTTTCTGATCACGCTTGTCACCTGCCAAGATCTCGCCAGCATCAGGCTCGTCATGGCTTTGGCAACACGCCCATTGCCTCCAAATATGAGCACGCGCATTGTACTGCAATTTGTCCAACTTGTTCAATTTGTTCCCCTCTTTGAGTGCAGAAAATAATGTGCGCGATTGGCAGAGGTGGAAAATAATTTTCTCTTGTATGAATTAAGTTCGCCACTTGTACCTGTTTCTTCGCTGCCTTATCATGATTGACATGGGTTTCCGAACCAAGGACCAAGTTCTGGCGATGCGACCTCATTGGTCATAAAATCCATCACCTACCGCTGACCAAATGTAGTCCGCTGACGAAACGTGGTACGGCTCCCACCCGTGGTACGGCTCCACTTGGTGACAGCTTTAAAAGCTGACGTTCGTAATGTTTTCGGTACCTTTAACTGGACGGACTTAGGCGGGTAGTCGGACTTAAACTGCAATCGGCTTAGGACCATCATCCACGCCTACAAAATAACACATTGAGACTGGGCTTTCCCATGGAAGTAGGGTGTTCTTGGCATGCATTATACGGAGCGTAGGCCTAACAACGAACAGGAGTCGAGTCATTACGTCATGTATTGAGGGCCGTGAAACAATCTATTTTGAGGCCATCCGCGAAGTCCTCTTTGAGTGTCAGCAGAATGGTATACAGGGGGCGACAATTCCAGTACTGCCTTGATCTACAATTTTATTCTCACTCCAGCAAAAGATAAAGATGGTCAACAATCTCCCGTTTGCCGACATCCAAGTACCGCCCCCCGGCCGGCTTCGGTGCAATGGGCCTAAGCTTTGGCCTGGGTTCCAATCTAAGCCTGGAGGAAAAGCTGAGCCAGTGTTATTGAGGGCAATTGAGCTGGGGTGTACTTTCTGGGACACTGCGGTAAGTCAGCGAAATCAGTGCGTCTAACATACACCATGTATGCCAAGCCCCTTCCGGGGAAGCTTTAACCTGTCTGCCAAATCTTAATTTTTCGGTCTGCTCACATCCTTTTCGGTGATTTAATTGGCTGGGTAATAGGAGTCCTAGGAAAATTAGTGGTGGAGAAAGTATACATGTGTAAAGGATTTACTAGTTGAGCTGCTATAAAGGCCTAGAAACCCATAGAAATAGCAGAGAAAAATATATACCTAGCTACTTTTATAAATACAGATATATAAATAGACATTAGCACCATATATCTTCTTGATAAATGATACCACATGGAAGGCGTAGACTGCAGCTTCCATCCACAATTTGGCGCCGATTTTCTGACAAAGAACAGCATCGCATTGATGCGTTAGCTCGTATTGATGAATTTCTCCGCCAGACCGACTGCCAAGCATAGATTCCAGCATCTTGGCAGGGGTTCCGGTGCAGGTGTTTGTCTCTAGACGAAGTGGATGTCCAACCACATCGCGGGCAGCATGTCGTCGCAGGCTCCAAGCCACTAGCGAGTAAGCGAAAACGAGCGTAAAGATGTCCTTGGATTTTGGCTGGGAGTCTGGGACAACGCATCTCTTGGCAAGCTCCTCGTTAGAGAGCAATAATAACCATTCTCTTCTCCCTCAACAACCTTCTCCAAGCCGGTAGAAGATAGCTGTCATCCTGCGTTCGATCACGAAGATCCCAGACATCTCTTAGAGTCTCGTATAGCGAGGCAATATTCCCGATGCGATATGCAAGCATGTTCTCCCACCATTCTACCCACCCTTCCCGACCCTGCTGCGGCGCTTCACAGGCTGCGATGAAGCCTGGCCACATAATAGACGCAGATTTCCTGTCGAAGGCGCGGGGATTTTGTTGCTTTATTCGTTCGATACTTCGAAGGTGGGATAGAACTTCCGAGACGTAGAAGCTAACCTCATGGAATAAAGCACTCCTTGTTCCATCGTCCGTAGAGAGAGGGAGGACAAGGTGGGTAAGGCGGAAAATGCAGATTGCGTTGTAAAAGGCCAGAATATGGAGCTTCACGACGCGTGTTGACGCTACGTCGGGGAGGTCGATAATATCCTCTGACTCGAGACGCCAGTCGTTGAGTCCCTTAGATAGGCTGTCCATTTCCAGTTGCAAGGTGTCTGGGAAATAAGCTCCAGTGGACGTATAGTAGGCCACGGACCAGAAAAGTGCTGTAACTGCGCGGATGAACATTGTTAGGCGCTTCGTCGTGCCATATGTGTACTGTAAACAGTGGTCGTCAATAGGGCCTATTGTGTATGAAAATTCTTGTATGATGAGCGAACTTTGCGGGTCCGATGACCAGGGCACCGGGGTGATATCGTAGTTCGTCGACTGAGAGAGAGTTGACTGGAGGTAAAAGATGGTATTCAGAAACCGCTCTGCCAGGAATGTGGTTTCATCTGGAGCCAACCCTTCTCTGCTTTCCCGCTTCCCTTGATGCTGGGCCTGCAGAGCTCGGAATGCGGAGTGGTGCAGTGGAAATTCCGTCATTGAACCGTGCATGATCTGGCCAAATACGAGATCCTCTGTCAGTAACGCTCAGGATCCTCCAAAAGCACTGACGACCTACATCAATACTGATAAACGACAGGATAGCGGACAGGGCAGCTTCCATATCGTCAGGCGTCCCAAAGCCCTTTGTAAGCGCAAAGCGGAGATACCTGTAGGCCATCGTGCGACATGACCTTCCAATACGGTCCATCTCGATTGACCTATCAAGGTCTCTTGAGGACGATACTATAGCTCCTCTGGGAATGTGGATACCGCGAAGGTGAAACGCTGCTGTCGCCAGAATGGAGAAGAATATTGATCGTGTGCTCCACGAAGCTGTTAGGGCCGAGTCGCTTCGCACCAGATCCCATGCTCCTGAAATAGCGTGAGGGACATAGACTGCGCTGTAGAAGTTCCCTGAGTGGAGCACGGGCTGCAGTAGGTGAGTGACATGGCGGGTATAGTGATGAAAGAGTCGGGCGGCGGAAGGAAACGCGGAGTTGGTCGAGAGTAGGTCGGGCAAGGCTTGCATTTGCGACAATACCTGCCAGGGGGATCCAGAGGCACATTTCTGTACGGATGATACGGAAAGTATGTTGGCCCCAGACTCGCTTCGAAGCGGTAGATTGGCAAGTTCCTGATCCGTGTCTGAGCCGTGGCAATCGCCATGAAGCTGCAAGACCGAGAACGGCCCCATAACACGGTCAACTACCGGATCCATCTCATTCAACTCCGTTAGTATCTCCGACACTCTGCGCATGTCCAGCTGCCATGACTCAAATCCTACCAGGCGTCAGCCGACTGTACATTCATTTGTAGCACGGAGTTTGATACTCGGCGCCACCATAGCTTTCCGCTTGACCGCATTTCCACGAACAGGACAGAAGCTGTCATTCGCAAATGAGAAATTGTTTTCCGCCCAGTGTAGGAGTAGACCGTATCCATCGCAGTGATGGCCTCCCTTCGTACAGCGCGTGCACACTGGCCTCGTCAGGTCGCACTTGACCTTTCTTCGCCGGCATGTCCAGCAGCTACACTTTTAGTCTAAGGATCTCATGAGTCGTAGATGCACTAACCCATCGAAAGTTCTTGTTTTGCGGATTGGAGTCTTGCGAACCCGTGATGTAGGGCTACCGGAGCTGGAAATTGGATCCATATTTTGGATATTTGCAGCATGGGCTCTCTGGAATGCACGGAATGTGCGGGTACAGAGTATATCAGTGGGACGAGGGTGAGAAAATACACGCTTGACTATGACAGGTTAAGTCCTTTGGCCTATCATTAATGTATACCCGGGTTCCTTATCTTGGTGGAGAACGGTGGGCCGGGGTTAGGGCGGATGCAGAAACAGACCTCCGATTGCTGACGGTACCAGGCATTAACTGCTACTAGTTCATTGATACGGTAGGTTAAAACTTCTATGGTTGCTATCTCGAGATCCTCTCCGCCTGGTCCTTACTCAAAACTGCAAGTCTCTGATACCGCTCCGCAGTGAGTCCCCGAAATGTCTTGCCCCATTTCAGAAATACCACCACAAATGACAGGATGAAAGTTGCAACAAGTGATATGGTTATGATGACGTTCTGGATCCCAACGGAATTGAACCATGGGTTCAGTGCGAAGATGAATGCAGTGCTAACGCAGTTGCGGATGAATGTGACACCGACCATCGCGTCTCCGATTATCTGTCAAATCGTCAGTGATCACTTAAAATCTCGGAGAGGAATGGCGCTGACGTTATTATAGGCATCTGAGATATAGGTGAGCAGGACAACGTTGATGGGTGCGATTCCAAATGAGCACACGCCAATTCCGACCGCAACGACCGGCCACGAAAGGCCTCTCTGGATTCCGATTCCGTACAGCACAGCGCCACCCAGGACAAACGGAATAAACGGGAGCAAGAGCCAAAGTCGAACTTCGGGCTCGTAAATGCCCCTATTGCGGCGAGCGCAATACAGAATAAATCGGTCGCTTAATGGTCCGACGAGAAGAGATCCGATCGACACGCCGATGAACTGCGGCATGTTCATTAACCCGATTTGGTCCGAGTTGAAGTTGTACGGTGGGAGAGTCATCTGGCTGGACATGGTTGTGCTCAGAGTGTTCTGCACGGCGACCTGCGCACCGTAGCTCAGGGCGCTGTAGAGAATGGCGGGCATTGTGGCGAGCATGACGAATGGGAGCCAGAAGTGGCGTGCAAAGATTGACCACTGGCCCGGAGTTGAGGTGACTAGAGTAAGGCGTTCCCAATATGTCTTTTTCGTTATAATGGTGGGCGCATGTGACGGAGGTGGTGTCCTGGGTTCCTCGAGTGAAGTGGCCTTGATCACTTTATCGTCTGCATTTTTGGCTTCAGCTTGATTCCCGCTTCCAGAGGACTCGCTCAAAACCACACCCGCCGGTGGAATGTACTTGGTCTCCTCGTACAGCAACCCAAACAACGCCAAACAGACACCAAGGAAGATGACATTCCACCACCAAACCCAGCGCCACCCCTGAGACACCGTGACAAAGCCCGCAACAAGGGGACCAAGCGAGCCGGCAACCTGCGCCGTCCAGATAAAGATCGCATTCATCACCCCGCGCTGGTGCACGAAGAATACATCAGTAATTGTCATCTGGATCATGACCTCGGAGAGTGCCCCCGATGCACAGGAGAAGACATTAACCAGCATAATCTCTGCGGGCACTTGCATCTTTGCGCTCCAGATGCCAACCGCGAAGACAATGAGGATACTAATCAGGTACAAAGGCCGGCGACCGAACTTGAGGGCAAGTGGGGTGAAGATTACAGCTCCGATGCCGAGGAAGCCGCAGCCGATTGCGTAGCTGTTGTTCAAGGTTGCCCAGCTGAAGCCTAGTTGCTCGTGCATGGGCCCCCAGGTGGGAGTCGCCGCGCAGAGAAACTCGTTAACGAGGAGAACATAAAGACAGGTCAGGCCAAAGTTGAGGTACTTGCGCCAGGCCTCCCAGTTCAAGGGGTCGTTGGGATCGTTCGATGGCTTTGGCTGCAGGACAATCTCTTTGGAATGCTCCTGGTCGGCTTGCAGGAGCACAGTCCCTGGGGGCCATTGCTGGATGTCTCCAGTAGAGTTTTCCATGGCAAAGAATAAGGGTGGAGGAGGGTATTGAGTAAAAACTGTTTTATCATTAAGCCTTTGGCTTGGTTGAGAACCATGCTGAGAAACATGTATTTATACTCCGTAATATGTATTTTTAATGGCAATTCGAGAATGTAGATAAGAAAGCAATCTGCCTGGAGCTAGGAGAGTCAGAGTAACCCGACATGTCTCGATCATTGATAGCAGCGATACGGCGAGGAAACTCTTAGCGAGGCTGCTGATAATAGATTGCAATCTGCTGAATCGTGCTTATCACGCCACCCCCGACAATCTATCCCGTCCCCTATAAGCACCTTTGGACTCAAGGCAGGTCTTAGCGAGCCTGGGCGCTTCTCGATGAGGAGGCCATCTCACAGGCGTCCGAGAGGTCTATATAAGCCTCATTCAGCACTGACAAGAGATTTCAACACTACATCTGCTCATAGAAAACCTCCCCTTCCGATACACCTTCATTATGGCAATCGTGACACCCCTTCCAAGCATCTCCGGCTCGAACGCCAAATTCGGAGCAACCATTACCGGCGTCGATCTCAACCACCTGAGCGAGGAGGATTTCCAGACCATCCGTAGCGCAATATACGTTCACAAGGTCGTCGTCGTGAAAGGGCAGCGTGACCTCCTCCCAGCGAAACAGTTCGACTTTGTGCACAGACTAGACCCAGCGGCGGATCGAGTGCATGGGTTCGACACGGACGACGTGACTGATGAGACGAGTGGGGTTCTCGGAGTACGCTTTTTACTCGCTGTATAAAACATGGATTGTAGGTCTGACCTTTGACCCTCTATCTCTAGCCAAGATTCAACGTTATCCCCGGCTCTACTGGAGTGACCATCGTTGGCCAGGGGTACCAAGGGGACAATCACTACGGACTAAAGGGCATAACAGCCAAGTCAACGACCCATTTCGACGCGCATGCCGAGCCTCTTTCCCCCAAGGCTTTCGCAAGCGGCGCCACACGCTTCGGAGCCTTTCACTTTGATGGCGTTATTTATGGATCTTATCCCTCGCGGGTTACGACCCTTCGCTGTGTGAGGACACCCAAGGGTCCCGATCTTACTGTGCGCTGGGATGACGGGTCTGGATATACTATGACCGTTAAGCCGGGTTTGACCGCGTTCATTGACAGCGCGCAGATGTATAGCATGCTCACGGATAAAGAACGGGAGATTGCAGACCACAGTCGGTGGGAGCCAGCGCCACAGCCGTATGTCTGGACGGGCACGCGCAAGATCCGCAACTGTGGTCTGGGGATGGCGCCTGGTGGGGAGACAGTGCCGCTTGAGGGGCTTCCTGCGTGGGTGCCGGAGAAGGTGTACCGGTTTCCGATGGTTTGGGTGAATCCGGTAACCGGTGTTAGGTCTTTTCAGGTTCTTCCTGATGTCGTGCGGAAGTTTTACCTGAAGAAGGGAACAGATGAGGAGGAAGAAGTGGTAGAGGACGGGGAGCGGATTCGAACGTTCCTGAACGATATCATCGATCGTATCCTCAAGCCCGAGAACATCCTTATTCCGATGTATGAGGAGGGCGACGTCGTCATGTTCAATAACTGGGTTTGCCCACTGCTCCTTTGACTCCTTACCTCAATTACTGACTACTTGCGTTTAGGAGGTCATGCACAGCTCGATCGACTTTCCAACAAGTTATGGCACTCGCACAAGTATGCCTTCCTCAAGCTAAAGGCAGGATTGATACTGACTTACTACAGTGCACCAATGCCACATCCCGTCCTCGACATTCCCAACTGGTCCGGCTCCCGTCAAGTAAACGTCGCTGAACCGAGTCCTTCAATACCAAAACAATGAAGAGAATATAGAAGCGCAATCAAGATATCGCTGTACGCATCAGTTCTGTAGCCGAATCCAGAAATCCCCCATGCATTAAAGAAGTCGTAAAGCGTCAGTAATATACATCCGAAAATAATACCACCAACACCTCTCACTCGTGGTGGCTGTTTTCTTCGTCCTGATCTGCTTAACCTTGTTGCCATCCATACCCGAAATTTCATGCGTCGTCAGTGCAAAATGCGACTGTGGCTGCCGTGGGTAAACCCCCGGCCTGCAGGTGAGTTCAGGGCGATACCCCTAGGCCGGCAGAGCTCCGCGAATGGACCCCACGGCCACCACAATTGGGAACCTGAAAAGGTAGACTGTCAATGACGAGCGATTTGAGAGGTATTGGTGGCTCAGTGCAAGGAATCTCGCACAGCTCGTCCATGAACCGGGGATATATTGCACAATCCACGAGGCCGAATGCCCGTATAGTGCGAATGAGCCGAGGTTTGCCGGCAAGTGGCTGATGAGTTTGGTCAGGGCTCTATGAGTGCGTTGGTTGCCAAGGAGGAGTAATGGCGACTGAAAGATTTCGCGAGGAAAGCTCGATGGATCTGGCATACTGACAGCACTTTTGACATACATAAGACTGCAGTTTTATAGTGTCGCGAAATGAACCTGAGGCAGAGACGTGTTCGACGCGTTTCTAGATGGCGTCGCCGCGTCTGTTTAACTGGGCCCACTTGCACACCTGAACGACAGAAAACAACTAAGATACAGTTCACTGCGATGTGCATAGTAAAAATACCCAATTTAAAACCATTCATTGGCCTAGATTAAGCATGTAATCCCCTCTCACTAGGATTGGTCGAAATTTGCACTCTGTTCCTGGCCGGGTGAGTTCTAAATCACACGTAGACTGGAACTGAGAGGAACATGGCCCTGGCTGTAAAACAGCGGCTTGACCGCTGACTATGGTGGAGGATCCTCCGACGACAGGTCGATGGCATGAGGGGCTGCGAGCGGTATGAAGATCAGACCCTGACCCATTTCCTGCCAGCTGAATGTATTCTCTACAAATAAGGACAGACTAAGAAGTATTGAGGTCCAATTCTGCGCTGCGGAAGTTGCTAGATTCGGTTCTGTCACTCCTGAGGATATTTCGGCCCATGCGCTCTTCTTCAGGTAGCTCAACTCTGACTCTTAGAGCTGTTGGAATGACCAGAACAACCTGGGTTATATTTCCTTAGGTGAGAAAAGAGCACTGCGGGAATTACCATGAACAGGGCCGCGGCAACAGCGACTATAATCAGGCCATCTGAGGACCTGAGATCAAGCAGGACCGGCCGAGACCAGATAAACTCGTTGAACCCGCGAAGGACTGTTCCTGGGTGAGGGTGGAGCATTATACAATGGTAGTTAGTGAATGTCTTACCTTGGATGATTTGCTTATGTTCAAGCCGATGGAAAATGCTAGTGAGGACCCCTCTTTTGGAGCTCTGCTGACAGGAAATCTAGGGGACCCCATGGGCCCGTCAGCAGGTTGCATTAGCGTGACCCTAGACTCCAACAGCGAGAGATAAGATAGGGTTGATAGGGTTGAGTAAAGATATGCTATGGGAAGTTTAGCTTTGCTTGACGTGCTGGATTGAACTTAGTCACACGAGCATTCCTATCGAGATCGAAACTTAATCTTACAGAGTCCAACGGACTTGCCTCTCAAGGATGTCAGTAGCATTGATAAGATCGCCCAGTGTCCCGCGGACTCAGAAGATAAGGCTCCCGACTCTATGCAGGTCCACGCGAGATATTCAACGGCTGCGGACCACTTTAACAGCTGCACTTTCTTAACTCTAAGATTGTGATGCCGGTGAACATATAAATAATGTATACGGCGGCTCACTGTAGCATCCCAAGGTTGCCCGAAGATTCAAGATAACGGGACAGATGGTCAAGCTTGCGACTCCTGCAGCGGTGCTCCTCGGGGCACTGCCATTCCTTGATCTATTCGTCGTTGTCAAGGCAGAAACCGCTTATAGCAGGGTGACTATTCTGGATGGAATTCCATACTATATTAGAGATATTACTATCGGGCGCATTCCTAAGGTGGCTATTTCTGCCTTGAACATGCGGCCAGACATGGATGTACTAGCCTTAACTATCATCTCCAGTAATTCCTCCTCATTTACTGCTTCCAAGTTTGATGGAATTATAGCACTATTTAGCTCGCGATGATGTGTTCAGCTCGGCATTCCTTAGTGGTGCGTATACCCTTCCATGATCTACAAAGCTACTTGGTATACTAACTTGCACAAGCCATCTATCTAAGCTATACAGGAAACACTACAGCCATGAGTAACACTAAGTTAATTGCAACCACGCTTAACAAGTAGAATACCACCCCTTTCTTGTTTCCCTGTTGTACACTATTAATGCGTCGCAAAATATGCTTAAGGCATGTCTAAATAAGGAACTTCTAAGTAGACTGTACTTTGTTTTAACTAGAACTAGACATGTCTTTAAGGTGTATTACTTATATAAGGATACCCACCTTACCTTCCTTAAACCCGCTATCAGTAATGGGAATAGTGGTATCAGGCGCTTTTAGTGACTATAGAGGTAATCCCTACCATCATAACTACTCTAAGATCCGACTAACAGACTGTATGGCATCCTGGGATGAAGCATCATGGTTTTATCCAGGCTATAGTACACCATGATCACCAAGAAGCCTCTAGCGGGAGTAGGGATACCTATTTTCTTAATACCCTACTAATCCTCTAATGTACTAACCGCGTATAGCTCTAAACAGGTGTGAAGGACATCTTCCATGTAAAAGGCCTCTAAACTAGTTGTAGAAACCACGCGTACTATTCTCTCTATAAGCCCCGCAACGCAACTAGAACCGCTGTCAAGCGTTTTATTAATCTTGGCATGGTTTTTATTAGCAAGATAGGCACTATTTAGTTTGTGAATCGAGACTAACCCGTAGCTAACTAGGTTGATATTTACTATCCTTTTAATCCTTAGGTAGGTCGCCACTCTTTTTTTCTTCTAATTATAGAGTTTCTGTTAGTACTAAGGTATAAAAGGGTAATGGTTATTAAGACCCTAGTAGCTTATCATCTTGCCCTAGTACTAGATTTAGCGCTTATAACTAGCTTAATATTATTATTAAAAATAATATAGGTGGCTCCATACGCGGTCCTACCAGCTTATAGGGTCTATATAGAAATAGACCAAGTACAGGAGTAAGTAATCTTAATAAGATAATCCTACTATGTAATAACCTTATTATAATAGGTGCATTTACTTAAAGTATATAGACATAGTCGTGCGTTATAAGTATCTAATATTAGGACTTCTATTCAGCCGGGACGTTGATACTGGCCACATCAGGGGCTGGCCAAATAGAGACGTTTCTCTATTGATGGTTGGATTATCAAACCTGGACCCCTACAGCCATCCTCTCACCTGCAAAACGTGGTCCGCGAACCCTGCGTGGCAATCTCTCAATATTCCAGCCTTGAACAAGTTCATACCCGGCACTCGGCTAGTTTCGCAACAATCCTCGCACACAAGTCCGCTTGCGCTTCGAGCTCCGCCTCAGACTCGCCTGGATCCAAGCTAATACACTCCCTCACTGCATCTGCATAAACTGACCCACATTGGAAGGCGAGGTACGAAACATGGTCGGCCAGGATAGCCCGCCTGGCAGAGTAGGGATCTTCGTCGGGAATTTCCAGGGTTTCGATGCGCGTCCACAGGCCTATTTCGAGAAGGAGGATCCCAAGGGAGTAAACATCGCAGGCGTGTGTATACCGAAGGTCTCGATTGGCACGCTTCGCGGGGATGTGGTGCAGCGTTGGATTGATCTGATGAACTCTGTTTGATCTCATCCGCAGCCTATCGATGTCTTCATCTGTCGAGTCGCTGTCACTGGCTGGCACTTTTTTTGTTTCTTATTAGTGTTTCGAGAAGACTGTCGGTTAATATTGGAAATCACCTACAGTGGTTCTTGAAATGGGGGGTTCGCACATCTGGCACGTCGCCCGGCTCGATAAACGTGGCGCCTAGAATGAGATCAGTCTGGACTAGGAACGCATTGGATTTGATGAATCAGTTTCCAGATTGTCTCACCATGAAGTTCATTTTCCATTTCCTCTTCATCGTCATTTGGCCGGAGAATATGCGGTGCAGACTTTACCCGCCCACTCTCCTCATCAGGCCTGGAGTACTCATAGCCCAGTAAAATAGGGTTGTCGTAGTCCAAGTCCGCTGCGGCAGTTCCAATGCCATCCGCATCCTTTGTAGGAAACAGCAACAGCGCGCTGGATCGGATATTTTTATGCAGCCAGCCGCTGGCGTGTAAAAAGGCAATACTGCGAGCCAGTTTACGTGCCAGATCAAACCGCCATTCCAGCCCCGGTAGCTTTCGCGCCAAAAGCAGAGGCACTGCCTTTTGGGCAGCCAGGTCCATGGCCGGGAATCGGAGGATGGAAGGGCCAAGATTGCCCGGCAATTCAAAGACAATGCCAATCTCGTCAGATTCCAGCTCGGCGAGGCCGATGCAGCGGAGACAGAGCAGCCTTTTGGCACAGACGGGACTCTGGAGTAACCGTCCCAGCTTCAGAATGCTCTCCCGCATGGTAGAGTCCGGCTTCCCTTCGGCGTTGCGGAATGACTTTCGCTCGATATAGACTGCTTCGGGTCTCCTCCTTCTCCCCTCGGTCTTTCTAGTGCAAACTGCGAGATTGCGTACGGAGCCCTTGCCGATATGTAACTCTTGCTGTCTGATAGTGAGCAAACTCTGCTCCTCTCGCTTAGAGAGGGTCTCTGAGCTGTGCAATTTGAGAATTTTCAGCTCCGCAATGTCGTGAAGAAGCGGAAGGCCCTGCTGCGAAGGACTAAACCCGCCAGCCTTTTCCGCGACCCATGCAGGGGCCTCCAGCTTTCTGAGGCCTGCCGCGCTGCTGTGCGTGGTGAGATACTGCACCACGAGATTAAGCTGCATCGTTTCAAACGCTCCATCGGGACATAACATGTACAGGGAATCGTTGTACTTTTTGAGATCGCCAATGAGGTTATGGTACTTTTCGCGACCATTGAAAGCCCACTTGCATCGCTTGAAGACTCCCAGCCGCGAACGGAGGGCTCTCTCTTGCGCCTTCATTCTCGATAACACCTCGTCCCCTGAGGGAGCAAGGATCGTGGTCATTGCTGTGTTGGGTACATCTCCAAGCTATCGAACTGGGTCTCAATATCCGTTGGTCCCGTTCGATGTGATATTATATACTTACAGCAAGGTTGCCAGGTTGTTCGCGCGAGCCGGTCTCCAGTCGGATCCCATACTCTTTCTCCAGCCGCTCTCGGTTCGACAGCGCTTCGGCAATCAAGACGAGCGCGTCTGCGAGCCCCTGTGCCTTGAACGGGTTCCGGGCCAAGTATTCGGTGAGTTTTCCATTCCGCGTCTGGTCGGGCTCTTTACTCTGGTTGCTTTTGCTCGAGGGGAAGATTATCGAGGCATGGCGAGAGATTTCCCAGTATGCGCCCCATGACTTGAGGATCGCCTCTTGGATCCCCACCTCTCGCAGGAGAGCGATGGCACTCCTGGGGGCATTCCGCACATCCGAGAAGTAGATATAACAGTCTCTACATGTGGAGTAAAGGGAGACTATCGTGAGAGCGAAACTAGCTGGTTCCATAACCCAAGAGGATAAACGTTGTCAGACGGGCAGGATATGAAGAAGTCGATTGTGAGGGCGTTCCCCTCGTTTCAAGCGGGGTTATCAGACTAACGGTGAGATGTGGCAGTGCATATGCAGCGCTTAATACAGTGGGGCTATTGGATTCCCGGCAAACAACAAATCTAATAACATTGCCCACAACGGGTCTGACAAACGGCCATGGCACATGCAATCATTCCAACACCAACGGCCTATCCAACCTGTGTCAATATCGTACTTTATAGTTCGCCGCTGAACCCACCACATCCCCTGACAAGCAATCCCTATCTAACACATGGTAGATCGTCCCTTTGAAGAAGGATTGATTCGGAAAGTGAGGAATTCTTTCCACGCCAAAATGCCCTCCACCAAAGGCAATGTCATGTGGCCTGAAAGTTCGCTCACCATGGCCCGCGCTGAACCGTGACTGACCAGCACCGCTGGGCATTGTCATACTCAGCCGATGGGACAGTCGACTTGAGCCAGACGTTCAAGTCCCCTACCTCGGCGTATGTTTGAACCAGTCCGCTAGTTCATCCTTATGGGACTATTTCGGCCAGTTCTTGGGAACGGCGAGTAGTTGAGGTTTTACATTGACATGATCGTGCAGCACAAGCGTCCTGTACCCGGCGCGTCCAGTCATCGTTATGCTCAATGATAAGGGATGAGATCCCCATGCTCTGGAGCTACGCACTGCTATTCAGCTTTGGCTGACCAGCACCGAGAACCAGGACGGTGGGCTCCCACGCTTCAACTCAACCTGCACCTGGGTCAGGGCGGTGTCTTTTGGGCGATGGGGGAATTCTCGTTGAGCGAGGGTCCGTATCTCAGGCCACTGGGTACGCGACCGTCGCGCAACTCACTAGCAATGGTTGCGCTTCGCTGTACCACGATGGCAGGAACTGGGTTAAGCTTGCCAAGACTTTTGGGCCTGCCCAGGCCCGTCTTCACAGTGTCACAGCATGACAAACTAAGAAGAGTACAAGTGTTGACATGGGAAGGGTTATTGCTCCATATTTGTTATCGCACCGCTAACCTACACTATGTCGTGCGATTGAATAGCTAGATTCACCTAGGACTGAGTCGGGAGGAGGCCGGCCAGATCCTTGACACTTGTACCAGCCTGCAGTACGGCATCAACTTCCTCGCCAATCTCGCGAAGACACCGCTGGTAATCCCACTCTGGATTCCATCCAAGCTCCTTGTCGTGGTGAGAAAGCACAGCGGCGCTGTTCAAATTAGTACATATAACACCCAAGGGCGCCTTGTCTTGAAAACGTGGAGACTTGCTTTGAGTTCCATGCGATGTCAGAATAGGGAGCCGGAAGGCCCAGAGACTTCATTTTGACTTCCTCGCTCGGCCACACGGTCACGTCGGCGTTTAGGACCAGGCCGCGGGTGTGCAGGTCATTTGCAAGTGCCTGAAGAAGCTCGTGCCAGCTGAATGTATGGGCGGATACGAGGTAGTACCCGTCGTTTCCTGCTGGGAGCGCGTGTTGCTCGATGATGCGCTGGATGAGGCGAGTATAGTAATCTGCGAGGTCTGTAACGTGCACTGCGGGCCATCCCTATTATTGATTAGCCACTTGGGCAAGGCATTCCCAACGGGGCGGGATATTTGGCGTACTGAGTTTTCAGCGAAGCGGTGAACTTGTTTGTTCGCAATAGCAGCCCGGATAAGAGTGGGCACCTGAACAGAGATCTTGTTCCCTGTTCCAGTTCCCTTCCCGTCTACCACAGTGGTTAGAACCTATACTTCAAATGTCCGAGCTTCCGCATGGTGCGACTCACAAACAAGAGGCGGAACTATGCTATAGATAGCAATACCGTATTGGTCCGCGGTTTTGTGGATGGCAACGTCGGTCTAGACATTAATATCCCTGGCAAGTGGGAGAGATGGCGGTCCTTACTTACCTCGCGGACTGGGTAAGGTACCGTAACCCCTTTCTGCAGCTCGTAGAGGTCATCGGTCTCTTTAGCAATTCCATGTGTCCAGCCCCTCTTATCAGCGAAGGCACTGACGCCGGATGTCTAAGTGTGTCAGCTTCTCGGCCACTATGTACACATATCTGGAACGATCGTATACATGGATAAAGTGGACAGGTCGCTTTGTGAGCTCTTTCCTTGCTTTTAGAGCATTCAATAGGGAAGCTGCAAGGGTAGGATCGACAGCGCTGACTGTATGGACGACGATGTCGACTAGGTATTGTCAGTTATTGGTCTCGATATGAGATGAACTGAGTACTCACTATCGTTACTGAGAACTGCCCGCTTTACCTTGGCGTCGTCTGTCAATGCTATCTGGGCAGTATTCACTCCCAGAGGTTTGAGGCTCTCTGCCTGCGCATCGGAGCGCACGATGGCCCAGATGCTGGATGGTGGGACCGCATTTGCTGAGAGTAGGGTCTGGAGGAAGGTACCTCCACTGGGAAACATTAATAAACGAGGGAGAGAATGTAGAGGACACTTACATGTAGCCGGTTGCGCCAGTAAGCAGGATGTTTGGAGGCATTGTGAAAGATAGTATTGTCTCTTGGGAGTTGGGGTTCTTGGGTGTACTACGGCAGGGTGGACAGGATATATATAGTGAGACGGGCAAATCAGTGTTTGTGAGAACAGCCATCGATTTCAACATTTGAACCAAAGCACCATCTTAGAAATGCCTCATTTCACCTTAACTGGATAAGAAACAGAGTTGGAGACCCAAATCAATAGGCTATTGCGTGATATTCCGGTCATCCTGGTGGATATCATCGCGCGGTGTGGCTCGCGCGCGTGAGACGCAGCGGGCGTCAGTCCTGGGCTGGATGCTCATTTTGCAAAGGGTTACTATCCCTCCATGTGCTTATATCATTGGAGAAGATTGAAGCAATCACCACTGGAGGAAATTCAGATGCTCTTCAAACTTTCTTCTGAGTCTTTCCAGCCCATGGCTCTTTCAGTTCGATGGGGCTGGCGGTCGGTATGCGATTTGAAGCCGCATGTTTCATTGCCTCCTCATAAACACAAATATTATCCGTGGTTATAACAACAAGTCGCGTGGTCTAATGGTCATGATTTTCCGTTAACACGTGGTCAGTTATCTGATTACTTCTACAATAGTAGATGCCGGAACGGTTCCCGGTTCGATCCCGGGCGTGACTAATATTTTTGTGTCTTTTCATTTCATTTTGGCAACTATTTTTCTGAGGTTTGGTGATCTAATTGTTATTTGACGAGTCGTGTGGCGGTGGTGGGTAGTGTGTGTCCGCAATGCGAAGACCGACGATAGCGTTTTGTTCGGATGGAGGAGGTTTATCAAGCGCGTCCCTAGTACGGAGTATACAAGCTACTAATTCCACGATTCAATGCATATAGACGCTGTGGTATTGATTGAACATTCAATTCTAAGGTTGTCGAGCGAAAGAGCGTCTATCGCCAGCCTTTTGGCCGCAAAGTGCAAGGGAAAAAATCCTTACCTCTGTCGCGAACCAGCACACCTTTTCTCTCCCCCTTGGCCACTAAAAGGGCGAACCTGCAAAACAATTGGATCCCACTAGATTTCTTGGTATATCTCATGTTATCTATCCTAAACAATCCTCTAGTGTTACTCATACATACATATATTCTTCTTTTTTGGTGGAACATATCTTCCAAGAGCAATAAAAAGCTAGTCACGCCCGGGCTCGAACCGGGGACCTTCATGGGTCATCAACACAGAGCTTTAACTCAGGTCATGTGAGCATGACGTCTTAACCAACTAGACCACGCGACTGCACCAAGTTGTCTATTTTGTGAAGGGAATTGTAGAGGTACTAAGTGATCCTAAATCTACCACTAAAACAGAAATCCTCGATCCTGACTACCCGTCACTTCGCCCCGACATCAGAAGGCATTGTAATGCCGCACCAGGCTTATGTCCAAAAGCAACGTGATGGGTACTTCTTTTCCTGCCCATTCCGGGTTTATTCCACCATCTCGTCCGAGTTTTGCTGTTTCTAATGGCATGCAACTCTTAATCATGAGTTGCTACGTGTGATATAGAAGAGACTTGAGATGGCTAAGGTTGTATTTACCTACACTGCTCTATTAATAGTCATGATCTCACGCACTATGCTCATCATGAAGGGGCTTAATGAAAGTCGAGTGTTCTTTTAAAGGTTACGGGCCGCTGATTCCTTACCCGGTACAGATCTAGGCGGAGGGAGGAACTTCGGTAAAATAGGGCTCCTCATTTCTTTTATAGTGCCCGACGCCTGATATGCCTCTTTAAGCCCAAATTTATCCCAAGTACAGTCGCGTGGTCTAGTTGGTTAAGACGTCATGCTCACATGACCCGAGTTGATACAGCTCAATGTTGATGATCCATGAAGGTCCCCGGTTCGAGCCCGGGCGTGACTAGTTTCTTTTTATTTTTGTTTGTTGGCCCATCCACCCTTCAAGCGACTTGAACTTTATGTAATTCTATGATCATAATGGCTTCGGTGTTTATTTAGGTCTGTTACCATTCTAGGAACCAAACAGCTCTGGTCACTCTGGTCGCGCTGACTGACGGCAGCGATTGGATGGATGGTACGTACTGGTCTTCCAAGGTTGCTAGCTACGTCCCCGATGCCCGAGGCCATGGAGGAGGTGCCGCCAGCGGGCTTTATATATCTTCATTCTGCACGTTGACTGACACACAACTTTCTTTGTAATTCCTGCTTCCAAGCTAGTCGAACGGCTATCAAATCACAACCCTTTCAAGTCTTCTTTTTCCTTGGGATCTGTCACATGAAGCTTCCTGCGGATTTGCGATCCCTCCAAGATTCGCCATGACTTCAAGATCCCTCGTAACAGCACAGCGTCGCAAACCAAGTTGGCCTCTTGCAACACTTTCAGTCTTTCCTCAAATCAGTCACCGGTGAATGAATTGCGTCTAAGTACCTTGCCATACGCCAGCGCCGCGAATGTCAGGCGATCCGAGAACTGAAGTGACGAGAGATGTCTAGTTACTGGAGTGAGTGTTCCAGCGATTATGCGACTAGGAAGGGAAAAGTGAAGGAGATTATGAGCTAGTGTAAGAAGGATGAGTAGTGAGGGGCAGGGTTGGAATTAAGATCGGAGGGGCTTGGGGGTTGCTGGCGAAGTAGTGGTAAGCACGAGAGAAAGGAAGCTCGATGAGGAAAGCTCGATATAGAAGCTAAGGGGTGAGTAACTAAGAGTCTCCAAGCCTATATCGAATTAGGGTATTGTAATGATATAGATAGAGCTAACATATAATAGCAGTCCGGGGGCGGGCGCCAAACTGTGTTCCTGCCTTGTGGATCAGCTAAGCGTCCTCATATCTCTGCGTTGCATATCATCCATTGCCCAAAACACTGCCCCATCGGCAACAAAACCCTGCAAGCACGTCCAATCGATTTCAGATATGATCGTGTTCTGTGACGCAGGAAGCGCCAGCCAAATCAGCCCCACGAGGCTGGCGCTTAGCCCCCTCTCCATAAATGCAGGGCAAACTCCACCCCAGCAGCAATAATATTATCTTTCTCGCAAACACCAGAACTGGAACTCTCAAACCACATGTAAATCTTATCTTTTCGCTTCTTTAATTGGCTATTCCCACTTCAGTTTATCAATGGCAGATCCCAGCAAGTATACCGTGGGCTGGATCTGCGCCCTTCGGGTCGAAGCCGTCGCGGCGCAAGCACTCCTTGAAGAAAAGCACGGCCGTCCTGCGTTCGTGCAACCCCACGACTCGAATTCTTACCTCCTCGGGTCGATCGCTGGCCACAACGTCGTCATTGCGACCCTCCCCGACGGCGAGTATGGTACTGCCGCCGCGGCATGGGCAGCTAGCCAGATGCTCAACAGCTTCCCAAACATCCGCATGGGATTCATGATCGGTGTTGGTGGTGGAGCGCCAAGTGCAAAGAATGATATTCGGCTTGGGGATATTGTGGTCGGTGTCCCACGAGACGGGGAGAATGGGGTATTCGAGTATGATTTCGGAGCGATGGTGCAGGGAGAGAGATTCCAAGTGACGAGATCGCTGAATCAAGCGCCGACGATTCTCCGAAGCGGAGTTGCTGCCCTTCGCAGGGAGTACACGGTGAAGCGTCATCGCATCCAAGACGAAGTGGATGCTGCGCTTGAACGGTATCCGGATCTGAGGGATGAGTTTCAGCGGCCTCCTCCAGGCACCGACCGACTCTTCAAATCCACAATCATCTACGACGCAAACACTCAATTTCATGAAAGATGCCTTGTGCAGCGAGAGGAGCGCCCGGCGCACACAGAAAGCCCGAGAATCTGGTACGGAACCATCGCATCGGCCAACCAGGTCATGAATGATGCCACTATCCGGGATGCACTCAGCGCGGAAAAAAATGTCTTGTGCTTTGAGATGTTGGCCGCTGGGGTGGTCAACCATTTCCCATGCCTCGTGATTCGGGGGATTTGTGACTATTCTGATTCGCATGGCAATGAGACGTGGCAGGGTTACGCGGCTCTGGTGGCAGCTGTGTACGCGAAGAGAATGCTGGAGATGATTGCTCCAACAATAGATGAGGTTGTGCGAGCCATTCAGGAAAAGGCAAAGGGGGAGCTCGGGAAATTGAGTCAAGCGAGTAGCAGAGAATAGGTTGTACCTAAGCGCGTTGCTCGTCGGGCTCGTGTGGATCGTGCATCATAATAGGTCTTTTTTACACGAGGGAATCTTTCTGACGGGACAACGGAATGTTTTGATATTTGAAAGCGTCCATCTCGCGCTAATATTAGTATCTGAGTCTAATTTCAATGGGATTCTCACTTGCGCAATCAAACTCCCACCGTTCCAAAATCTCTGCGAGCATATCCTGCCCATCGGCAATCCCACGAACAACACTGTCATCTACAACCTGCAAAGAATCCCCTCGAACAAGAAGCACGCGCCAGACCCGTCGCGGGTCTATTCCAAGTTTCCCGGAAATCCCTTCAATCAGGCTGTGAGCGGTCCACTCGGTGAGATAGACAGCTACATGGTAATCAACTTGCGTTTGGGTCCTCCCCGCGAACCCAATGTAAAAACACGCAACTAGGTAGGAGAATCTCACTCAGTGCCAGTGACTTGACATGGTTGGTGAGTTGGTGTTTTTATCTTACCGGATTGACTCTGCTGCTGAGCTGGGGGTTGGTAGTTTGGGTCGATATCCAGGACCTCGATGTACCGCCTTTGCTCGTCTTCGAAACGGTTTCTGGAAATTTTGAGTGCTTGATTAGAAGGGGTCTTGTTATGAGGGCCGCTCGGTGAGGGATTTTCAGGTCCAAGGAGAAGGTTCGTTCCCCATTGATAGCTCATCATTGAGCTGCTGCTGCTGGACTCGTCTGGACAGTCTTGACCGCTGATGGTAGATTGACGATCACCGTAGAGTGCACTAGCATCTTTGTACCGAGTTGAATGATTGACTCTAGACCAATCGGGGATATCACTCGCATCACCTCGCAACGAGAATAGAGTCACAGGTCTGGCTGATGAAAGCATCGCCTGCAGCGACGCAAGCTTCTGCTGTAACTGCTCAAGGATCCTCATCTGCTTCTTATGGCCTGAGTTCATGAATACCTCTCCGGCAGCCTCCGAGCCAAGACTAGTTCTCGTGCCAACAGTTTTACTAGTATACGAGCCCGGGTTGGGCTGGCGCTTCTGGATCTCCCTGCAGACTTTCTCCCAGGCCTTTCGCACACCAGCAGCATCCGCCGCAAGCTTTCGCTCCGCCCCGTACATACGGAACAGATTGACCTTGCAGTAGCACACCTCTGCTGCAGCTCTTTCCTCCTGAGATGACATTGGCGATGATTCCCCCAGATTATCTGCAACCATCTCCGTCCTTGCACATAGCCGGACTGGAAATCCCTTGACGCCTTTGTAGTGGCAAAAGTCCGTCGTGAGGAAGTTGAACCGGACTGTAATAGTGCATTCGGGTAGCGGTAGCATTGACGTGGAAGTTCCTGTTGCCGAACGATTGCATGACCAGAGGACGCAGAATCCATTAAAGGAGGATGTTTCGAGCTGAACATTCTGGCCCCGGTCATTGATGCCATCAGCGTTCAACCCAGTCCCTACCGACCGAAGCTTATCCAAGCATAACTCAATCGCACACAGCGATCCGCTTCCTGTCCCCCCTCCAGCTTCTTCATCGTATTGTCCTGGACCAGACAACCCGCGCCCGGCCCTCCAAAGCCGCCAGTGTGCATCCGGGTCCGATCGCTGGTCCTCCCTATGGAACGCTATGGCAACATGCGTCCTGTACCGGGCACGGAACCGGTCTGATGGGTGGGGCGGAGGGTCAGTGTCGGTGACTGTCAAACGATATTTTTGGCCCTTGTTGAGGTACGTGACGGGAGCCGCTGCCGCCTGAGTGACCATTGCCGTCGGCACTCTTAATACAACGCGGTATCTGGAACGGGAACTTGTAGATCACACTGCTGTTAGTGAGTGGGCTGGAAAGGGTGGGCGGGTAAGTAGAGGGGGCTTGATCGTACTGTTCGTTACCCTCGATCTGCTGTTGCTGAGGAAATACTGCTTCGGGGCCCGGAGGTCGTGGGCTCGCCGCTTCGAAGTTGTTTCTTGCATTGTGGGCCCTCGGTTGGTGAAGGGGAGGGCAAGAGAACGTGGTGCTCGTTGCATGCTGCAAATGCGTAGTTTGGTCACCGACTCCGTTTGCAAGACTAGAGCTACCAGAATTAGGGAAATAATAGCCCGGTGCGTGATTTGAGGAGAGCATGTATTGAAACGATCGCGAATCCATCATCATAATAGCGGGGTTCGTGGTGTGCAGATCGGGGGCAATCGTAAAACTAGGGCTCAGGACCTGGGAGTCAGAAGGGTCATAGTTCACGATAAACTCATGGTCTTATGGTATTCGGAAGACGCGTACCTAGGTTGCAATGCATAAGGAATCTGGCCACAAAACGTATTGGAATATTCTGTCTGAGGTTCCAAAGGCACTTCCTCGCCGAGCATACTGAGGTCCATACTGCACGGTTGGACTGTGCTTCGTGACCTGTGGTGGGTACCGAATTGAATGTTTCTAAAGTATACCTCCTGTGAACTTCGCACCCTCGTCGCAAGGGCCTCTCCAAGGTAGACGTAGGCTGAGGACTAGAAAGGCAATCTCAAGAATAGTCAAAAATCACCGCTTAAGACAGGCACACTCTTCGCTGCTGTTGTTTCTACTCACTGGAGTTCCATGCCCATTGCCGGACGGCGGTGGCTCATAGTACAAAGTACCTCCCTTCATGGGCTCGAAATCAGGAAACTGAAGAGCGAGTGGCGGCGAACGATTGGCGTAAGCACACAAGCCACAGCTTCGATAAGGAGCCGGCCTAACGTAGTAAGGCAGGGAGTGCGAGTTGATAGATGAACGGGACGAAGTGAGGGCCACCAATAATAACTGCAGGAAAGCACTTCCTCTTCGGAGACCCCGACTGCACGTCGACAGTGGCGTCGTCATCCTTTCGACAGGTCACAGGGCAGACCTGATTTCGAGGGAGCGATAGATGCCCGAGATAACCGCAGCCACACTGATCGACAAGACTATTTGCTGTTCCATCCAGCAATTCACTCCTCACTGGCCAGAGACATCGAACCTGTGGGGAGAAGGATCGGCGATCTGCATTGTGGCTCAGCTATGCGAACAAGGTTCTCTTTCGGCCGCGAGTTCGCATCCTGAGCCGAGGGTGCGAGCTGCATGTGGGACTCGATTCGGCTGTCACGGCATCCCCAGAGATCTCGTATTCTTTTTTTTTTTTGTTATTTTTCCAGATCCGTCGAAGCGAGCTGCATCATGCTCACATTGGCTACAGGGCACGTCACTGTCCACGTAGTTCACCTCAAATAGGCCATGCTACATATCAGAGCCTTGACTCCTACCGTTGGAAAGCAGCGGTGCGATCATGGCCGCCCAGTGATTGACGTCCTTGTCTGGTACGGAGCTTCGCCGTGAGAGAAGACATCTATATCACTAGGGGAGGTTTCGTACCGAAGAAGCGAATGACAGAGCAATTCGTCTGCCTTTCTCACAAGGATAAAGGGCGCACTCGATGTACTTCTGACTAGGCTTACTAGCTCCTATTTATGTGACAGTAGGATCGGCAGCTATTCCCGGTTTCCATTGCGGCTTGTGGGGGTGCAAAGGCCAATCGGAGCCGGGTGCAGATCACGAACCATCAGAAAACCTGTGTCAACAGCTCATTAAACTGTCTAGAACCTTCTGATCCATCACGTAGTGGAGGCACCTGCACCAACCAACCTCGCGAAAGGCATGATTACTGGGCTGTCGCCACAGGTGCAAGGGAGCCTCTAGACTCTTTGGTTAGTTGGTCGCATGGCTCACCAATGGGTACCAGCCTTTCTTTTGATTAGAACCACGGCTTTATTTCTTGCACAGTAAACCATTCTCCTGCTAGTGGTCCTCACCCGAGTATGCTATGACGCAAGGACATAGCACCTCTCCCTTCGATATATTACGTTTGATCTGGACGTAATCTTGGTCAGCCTGCTTCTGGTGTTCAAGCTCGTTCCAAATACCATCTTATTCCATGTCCTTGATGTTTATACTCATCTCACCACTCGCCAATCTCCGGCCCGGAGCCGACGCAAGTTGCAAGCATCGTGTTCGTAGATTTCGGATTCGTTAATGCAACAGGCTGAGGCTCGAATGGGGCCGATTGCTTTCTCTGTAGTATCCCCGACGTCGCCACTGTCAGTGGCCCAGATTCTCCCATGCATCTCGGCGACGAGATGGATAGGCGGTCGAAGCAGGGGTCAGGTTCCAGAAGTCATGATTAGGTCAAGTTCATAACCAGGATCCCCGCAATTATGATCAATTGATTCTGCAACACCGAGCACAGAAGTAGTGCTAGATCCCATCCGCGGCCAGGCACTTATCCCGTTCTTTTATAATGAGTACAGTTCGCGCCCCCTCAGGATCCTCGCCTCCATCTGCTGTATCGTCAACTTCGACATCTCGGGCGGGACGGCGCTCACAAGCTGGAAGCGCCTCAATTGACCGTTTTCTAGAACAAGACGGGCTCCCGTTTCTGGAGGCTTCACAAATCTCTTCTCACCAGACTGTACTCTCCTCAAGGCACTACTAATCAACATGATTCTTGTCGTGGCGCTAGGCAAGCTCCAGCTGCGCCCTTCAACTGCCCTTCATGCGCCTCTAGAAGATGCTAGCCTCTGTGGCAATCGTCCTTTGCGATTGCTACCTTGGTTCTGCTATGGCGCAGTCGCGACGCCCTGCCCAAGGGAAGATGGCTGTGCGACCGCATATCCTGGTTCCCGCTGATTATTCTGTTGACGGCACCGGTAAGCAATCAGCGGGAGATTGCAGTGGGAGGGGGTTATAGGCAGGTTCTTTAATCCCTTTTATCCCCCATCGTACGCGATAAGATCGGTATAGGTACCCGTGTCACAGCCTGAACCGTAAACTATACACCTGTTACTGCCCCGCGTCAGCACAACATCAACCGAGATGTTGCCACGCAGTCGAGAAGATAAAAATGAGGCTCAGCTAACGTCTTATCAGGATCTAGTGAAGATCTTTTGTTCCTAGGCGCTATAGTGGGGGACCTGGACAGCCCTGTGCCTTTGATCAGGGTATCCCAAATTTTAAGATTAACTAGACAGGGCGACTTCAAATATTCATATATGCGTCAGCCAGACTGCCGGAAATCTGCATATAACTATTGGCCGACATTTGCTCCTAAAAGCCGCTCATGCCGAGTTCGTCTCGTCAAAGTCCTGTCGTACAACGTTGATAGATGCAGGATCAGCACATGGACACGGACCTCTACTTTCTCTTCCGGTTCAGCTATTGCTTGGATCCTCATGTATCCAACTTGAGTCCTCAAGTGTCAGGTTCTCATCTCAGACTTGGGCGTCATTCGCTTTCTGGTGGATGATAGCGTCGACACCTCGTAAGATGAGGCTATCGCAGAGCTGTGGCTGAGAGACTGGTGTCGGAATTGGAACATGCGTTACGCAATGACCAACCCAAGATGCCATACCCCGCATTTCCTGTGTGACCATAAGGATAGCAAATTCACACATATTTACGTCCGATGCCGCGTTTCCTGTACAGCTCAGCCTTTGGCCACCTGTTCACTACAGTTCCACCACTTGAAAATCCTCCGCTCCAAAAACCCCATCACCGTGAGCCTCAATGCAAAAGCTGGCTCCGACAGTAGCCTAATAGGCCCGGGTCTAAGCCGCTCGGCGACTAACATGGTAGCCAAGCGACAGACTCCCGATTGGAGCAGACCAGATTTGATCTGTGGACCACGATTGGTATTCAATTTGCCGTTGTAGCACCTCCACTTGCTATGCCGAGCTACACCGTACTTAGCGTGGGCTCTGGAGGAAGTCCGTTCTTCTTTTGGGCTTTTATCCTCGCAGATGTTGGTTGCATTCAGCCTGGCGGAGCTGCCGTCGGCCTATCCTGATGCGTCGGGTAACTATCCATGCTTCATTCGCTTTTCATCGACCTTGCTCACTTCTTCCAGGCCAGGTGTACTGGACAGCCGCAGCAGGGATCCGCGCTGGAAGGGGTTTATTAGCTATTTTAGCGGAGCGATGGCATTCTTTGGCTGGAGCTTCGCATGTGGTGGTGGTGCAGTTCTCGCGGCTCAGTTCATCACAGCCCTAGGTGTCCTGATCAACGAGACGTACAACCCATCAAGATGGCAAGATATACCTCCTGGTAATTGCAGTGCTTCTCTTCGCCGTTTTTTTCAACACCATCCTAATACAAACCCTGCCAGCCATCACTTTGTTTATGATGATCTTTCTCAACGCCGCCGCGCTCTTCATCTTCATCACCCTGCTCGCCAAGACACACCACAAGGCCTCACCGAGAACTGTGTTCTTGGATGTTCGCAATGAAACAGGCTGGGACTCTAATGTGGTGGTATTCTTCCTGTGTATCATGCCCGGCATTCTGACAATATGCCTCTTTGACACGGCCGCCCACATGGCGGAGGAGCTGCCGCAGCCCGAGCGCCAAGTGCCCATTGTTATGCTCGCAAATGCCGGTCTCGCCGTGGTGTCTGCCCTTATCATGGTCATCTCGCTTATATTCTGCACCACACACCCGGAGAATCTCACCACACCGCTCGCAGGTCACCCGATGCTCCAGATCTGCTGGGACGCCTGGCCAAACAAAGGCTTCGTCATTGCCATCTGCCTGATTTACTGGGCGACGATCCTCAATGCCCATACCGGCATGCTTGCCGGCTGCAGCAGGCTAATTTGGTACTTCACGAAACTGGGATCCCTGCCCTGCAAAGCATGGTTCTCACACGTGCACCCTACCCTCCACGTCCCCACCAACGCAGTCTACTTCTCGGCGGTCCTCGCCATCCTGTTCTCCCTCCTCGTCTTCGGCCTGACCACCGTACTAAACGGCCTATTCGGTAGCGCGACACTCTGCTTTTCACTCTCATACGCTCTCCCAATCAGCTTGACACTCGTGGACCGCGCTCCATTACCGGCGCAGCGCTACTGCAATATTGGTGCGTTTGGTACCGTGGTCAACACGCTCGCCCTGATCTGGATTGTTATCGCCATGACTTTCGCCTCGTTCCCGACGTATCTCCCCGTCACGTCGGAGACCATGAATTATTTGGCCCCGTGCTTCTTTGGGATAGTCCTTGCGCTGAGCCTGGGGAATTGGGTACTTGTGAGGGATTCGTATCAGCCGCCGAAGGGATTCTTGGTTCCTGGCTTAATTCGGTCTCAATATGCGTGAGGGTGGAGTGAGCATTGGCGTGGCCACCCTACCATGCTTTGGTGACTGAAAGTGGCGTGGTGAACACTTAAAGCAGATACTTGCAGACCTGGATGGCGCATTTCACTGCCCAAACCCATAGATCCACCATTTAAATCACAGAATCATGACTTGGCATCGCGAATCTCGGTCGGGATATAGGGCAACCTGCGCGGCTCATTGTGCATACTCTTATGAACATGTTAAGGAGGCGTTTACTCGTCCGCTTCCTCGATGGTCTAACGGTCATGATTTCCGCTTGTCAGATTATAAACGTAATCACAAGCGCGGGAGACCTGGGTTCGACTCCCAGTCGGGGAGACTTGTTTTTTTACTTTCTCTTTTTTTTTTTTTTTTTTTTTTTTTTTTTTTTTTTTTTTTTTTTTTTTTTTTTTTTTTTTTTTTTTTGGTTTGTTTGTTTGGAGTGGAGTCGCCGAGCCTCTTTAGGCGATTGTTAGAATTAAGAATGGCGAAATCGTTCTTTCGCGCACGACGCCATGCAGTTAATACAGGGCATTCTGGGGAATGGCATGTGGAGCCATGACAGCCGGCTTTCCTTTGAGAGATGGCTTACCCTTTATCTATAGCAGCCCACCTGGCCACTAATTCTAACTGACTCCTGGAGGCTCCGAGGGACAAGTGAGACTAACCTGGCCGGCACAACCAGGTATGTTTCGCTCAGTCGCGAACCCAAGGGGCCATGGCGTAGTGGAAATGGGGCGGCGATGGCGGGCACAATATATCAATAGGTGCGTGCATAGAATTGTGTAACCTCCTTTAAAACAGGTCCGTCCGTGATGACAAGATCAGACCTTAGACTTCGCTCTAATACTGCATGCTGCCCACAACTTTTCGCGGTTGTAATCTCTGTTGCTCCTTCTTTTGATATTGTCTAAACTATCATCACAAACCGCAGACTGCATCCAGCGAGTTCGAGAATTCATCTATACCTGGGTCCTCTACGCCGTGAGTCTATTTTTCTTGTCACGAGTCTGCAGACATACTAGTGAAGGACAGTGGACTCGTCAATTCCCTAGTCATACTCCTTAGGCCGTCAACCCGGAGTCATCTATACTCCGTAGTACGACTGCAAATCATGCATATTCAACCTGCATACAGCGATTGGTTGACAGTCCGCCATTTAATCGAGTATGCGGACGGCGTCTCATCGAAATCATGCTGTGAGACTGTGATATCTGCAGTTCCCAGCCACGAACCGCTGGATCTCTCTCGGATACCACATCCCTTCGTCTCTCCCTAATCAAAGGGATCAACTTTTGGTTCCCCTTTATCCTCAAAAAGAAATCCTCAAGCCCCATCGACCATGGCAGCCTCCCTGCGCTGCCGCTCGTAGCTTTTATACCTATGAGTGGATGCCGGATTCTAGATTTAAGCGGGAGAGGCTGGCGTATCTAAATTGTGAGAACAGGCGTACAAATTACGTATCCCTGAGTGTGCCATGTTTGCTGCGAAAGCCTGGTGCAGTCGCGATTGGGTAGAGATGTTTAGAATTCGCCTGGAAATCGCGGGGTTTGAAGATCGTTCGCCTTTGTAGGGTAGCCACTTGCACTGACACAATCCGATGATTTCGAAATCTGCCCGTCTACCTACAATAAAACAAGATCGTTCTTTGGTATCGCTCTACCCACTCAACGGTCATGTGCACTGCGCGGAGCTCATATGGTGCTTAGATATACGTCCGCCCCGCCCTGGCCACGCTTACTTTCACTTCCGGAAGCCTTTACCACTTCCTCACGATTTCTTTCTCTTCCATCGCAGCTTAACTTGACTTCACCATGAGCATCAACGCAGAAACACTCTTCAACCACCTTGGCGAACGCTACGAGGCCGCGTACGGCAACAGCCCCAACCTCGACGCCACCATCGAAGCCGTGCTCAAGCTGCTCCCGCCCCAGAGCACAGTCCTCGATGTAGGCTGTGGAACCGGGAAACCGGTCTCTCACATGGTCGCCGAAGCTGGCCACCGCGTCCATGGGATCGACATCTCAGAGCGCATGGTTGAAATTGCGAGGCGCCAGGTACCCAGTGGGACCTTCGGACGCGCGGATATGCGCATGTACAATCCGCCGCACCTACGCTCACTGGACTCGCAGCCGAAGCCGGGAGCCGACTGCACCACCGTCGGCTTCGACGCTGTCTTCGCCGTTTACTCTCTGTACCAGATAACGCCGGGCGACACACACGCCATGGTCTTCCGGTTCGCCGAGTGGCTGAAGCGCGGGACCGGGATGCTCGTGCTGGGTGTTACGCCGGCCGAAAGCGTTCCACCAGGAATGGGAGTCGAAGACGCGACGTGGGGGTTTGTGCGGTGCTCGGCGAAGACGTGGATGGCGCAAATGACCGATGAGGTCTTTTTGTCGATGGACGGATGGAGGGCGTTGCTGCGCGGCGCAGGCTTGAGCATCGAGTCGGAGCGCTTCTTTACGTTTAGGCCCCAGGATCCGGAGCATAACATGCCCGAGGACCATTGGTTGCTGGTTGCGAGGAGGACGGACGAGCCAGCTTTGTTGGGGCCGCATCCGTATCCTCGTCTGGGAGAGGGGACGCGGCCTGAGTGGCGTGGCCTTGATGTGGGTTCATGGAGGGAGTTTAGTGGGCGGGTGAAAAGGGACGAGCTTGAAAAGATCGTTGGCGAGCTTGTGGGTGATACTCGACGTGCTCTGGAAGTCAGTAACGGTCAGGGTGGTAAGTCGACCTCCGGTGTCTACCCTCGCGGGCAACTGGGAACAGCTGGCTGTGCAATCTTTCCTTGGCATTGCTAACTGGTTCAACAGGATTAGCCGCCCTTCCACACATAGCAGGCGCGACTGCAGGATCCTCGCCAGGTGACCTCACAAAGTACCCAGATAGTTCCTTTGAAACTGTCATCGGCACCTGGATTCTTGAGCACGTCTCAGGCGTAACCCGGACGGTGCAAGAGCTGATCCGAATCACCGATCAATCTGCCCCTCGCTCACGCATAATGCTCCTCCAAGGCGCGCCGTGGAATGAAGTCCTCAGATTCCAGAACGCGACCTGCACACCTCTTGCGGCAAGGAGCCAAGCGCCCAGTCATCAAGGATACCTGCTCGATACTTCAATTAAGATCCTTTCTCGTCGCGGCTTCGATAGGGTCACGCTGCGGCACGTTAATGCTGCCTGTTTATTCCCTGAGGAGGACATGGAGGAGAGATGCAGCAGGGCCGCGGAGACCTTAGCGGACCTTTGGTATTTTGATGATGCGAACAAAGAGCAGATGAGACAGGCACTCATACCTCAGCTGCGGATGCATTTCAGGAGCAAGCCTTGTGAGATTGGGTTCGATATGGTTTTGTTGGTAGCGGAACCTAGCGGTGATCACCTGTAGCGTGGGCCAATTACCAAGCACAGGACGTTAGCGGAGAGAGAGAAAGACGTGGAATATCTGAACCTAGGAATTTCCATTAATTATCCAAAAAGGCCCAGTCTACTATCAGGGCTTTAAGAGACGGAAAGTTGGGCTCGTTGAAGGGGTAATAGAAGAGAACTGTAATGTTGCGCCAACAGCTATCATCACCCTTGACCATCCTGGAAGAGACCACTCCTGCCATAAGAAGTACATTGCAATAAGAACCCTCCGCTTTATACTATCCGACTACCCCTAACAAGCCTGGATGGACTTCAGGGGTTCCCTGGGTAGACCTGATATGTTCTCCCGACACCTCCATTAATACCTTGGAACTACAATTCGGATTAGCTCGGGCAGGGCGGAACTTGGATCTCCAAGTTGTCGACCCCAATGGGAGGTATAAGGTTTAAGAGATGCGAGAGATCCGGCCACGCCGATGAGCGCGACCTTTACTCTACGTGGTTGTATCTTTATTGACCAATACGAATATCTTTGCATAAGTGCGGATTATCCGACAAGCCCCTTTTGCATTAACCTCCAATAGTGCGCCTGAATCCATCTTGAATACTAATGGAACAACGCAAAAGCCGTGGATCTCCCCTCAAAGGGCCATGGGCCACACGCAGTCTGCCCAGGTGCCGGCGTGCAAGGTGGTTCTCGCCTATCGTATCGGGAGCAGGCGACAGTTACATATGATGGATCGGCCCGGGATGGTTCGGACCCACTTTATACCTACTCCTCACTAGGTTACTGTTTGCTACACTGCAATTCTAGTGCCCAGGAGAGGATGAGTTACCACGTGACTGCAAGGGATTTCCAGTGTAATGACAGAGAACGCCACTCTAACACATTTCTGGGGGCCTACTGACAAGATTATCAACTCCAGTAATTGCTCATTCACTAAGGTGTATAGCGCGACAGATACGAAAGAGAAATATTAGACATGATGGTGGGAACCTGGCATATTGGAAATCACTGCATTATCTACAGCACAAGGAGCCCTAACGAGTGCGCAAGTTGCAGCAAAGCCCCCGCCTCAAGGCCTGGTTCTGAAAGTGGCCGCTACCATATTCACATCAAGGTGGTTTATATAGCCATGTATTAGATCATCCCCAACTTCAACCTCGACAATGAAAAAGCGGCCTCTCACCCCGTCGCAGCCTCCAAGAATTGGTCGAGCGAAACAGGTCCCAACACCCCCGCAGAACCCATCCCCAGTGTCGCGCAAACGACTCTGTAACCTCCCACCCCTCTGGATCCCACGGATCTCTCCAGACAATGAGCCCCGTATGGTCCGTATCCGAGTATCCATACCCTTTCATATCGAGGCACAGCTGCGTCTCGTCAAACGACTCGCCGGCGGAGACGAGATTATCTCTCATTTGCGGAAATGGCAGGAGGTCCAACCACGGGTGATGGGGTATCGTGCACTGGATATCTGTGGCGCGGAGACTGAGGGGGAGAGTGGAGTCGGAGTCACGCTGATACGGGCCCATTGTGTTGAATGCGGAGATTGCCTCGTCGTCTAGTTGGTCTGAGGTGAGGCCTAGGACGTCCATGTTTCGGATCAGAGCTTTGATGAAGTTAAATTGGATTAGATGGAGGAGCATGTCGGTGCGGGGCGAACCCATTGCATAAGAACTGTGTGCTATCGCTTCGAACTGGCGCAGGATGCGTTTCGTTTCGGGTGTGTGGGGTTCTAGGATGTGTATTTCGCCGACTGCTGGTAGAGCCCGCAGGGTCGTGTTGTGTGGATTGGACTGGACACTGGGAATTTCCAAGTGGCCATTCTCCGTGACAGGTGACGCCTTTCTCGAGGCGTTAGCCCCCGAAGCAGATGAGCGGCTATCGTCGTTGCTGAGCTCATTACTAGGCGTGGCTTGGGCATCCTGCTTTTTGCGGAGGCCTGTGGCGTAGGGATCGATATCAGCCACGTATCCGACTAGCTTGGATGATCGAAAGAAATACTTACGTAGTGCCCTCTGGTTCAGCCGATTCTGCAGTTTTCTGCGATGTTTCGGATCCGAAATCCCGGACCAGTCTTCCTCGGGCCAGACTGTGATCCGCTCGGAGAAATGCTGGATTTGAATCCCTTGCTCAGCAGGCCCCGCTTGAGAAGCAGGCTCTCGTAATTGTCTCCGGCTCGCCATGATGCAATGGTTAATGTTGTATGCAGTCGGATGACAGGAAAAAGGGGAGGATGGTCGTGGAAGTTCCAGCGGGACTCAGATTGACTCTAAATCGCCCCCTGTGGAACCAGTGGAGCCAGTGGAAATTTCTAGAGGCCCCACTTGTCATCCGCCTGCATGAAGCCAAGATTTGAATATTTGGAACATTCTTGGCACTTCCCTGCCTTGTAGTATCTCGGGATCATTGTATGATTCCATCCTCTGGCAGTTGGGCATATGGGGTCTCCCCGTACTCCATCCTGCGTACGTACTCCGGAATCTGGCGTATGATTGTCCTTCTATGATACGTGAGCCAAGAAACGGGTTGCGAATTACCCATGCAAGGCCGATCATCTCCAAAAAGAGTTGTTGGCCACACGCTTCTATGCGGGGGTAGGCTTGGGAAGGAGGGTATAAAGGGGACGTCTCTGCAAGATTCCACCACAGGCTCATCAACACTACAAGATACTGGGCCAGAATGCGATCAACAATCTCTTTGGCTTCCATCTTGGCCGCGTCCACCGCCGTCGCTAATGGGTTCTCCCCAGTCGAACCCAATGGCACAGTGTCTGCAAACTGCCAACACGCCGTAAGCTCCCATCTGCATACCCAAGGAGCCATCTAACAACTCAAGTGCACGCAACTATCCAACATATTCGGTCCCGCGTTTCACTATCCCGACAACGACAATTTCTCCATCTGGGACGCGAAGCAACAAGAGGTTCGTCCAGCTTGCCGCGTCGAGCCTTCCAACGCATCCGACGTCTCCCAAATCCTGCGTATCCTAGTACATGCCTGGTGCCACTTTGCAGTCAAGGGCGGTGGCCACTCACGACACGCCGGCGACTCCAACTCCATCGGTGGTGTGACAATCGACCTGCACCGCATCGCACAGGTTGACATACTGAATGGTAATAGAGCGCGCGTAGGAGGCGGAGCAAATACCCATCAGGTCTACGAAGCCCTCGATGCCCACAACCTGTCCTTCGTCGGTGGACGACTCGGAACCGTTGGCGTTGGCGGATTCACCTTGGGCGGAGGGACATCTCCATTCTCAAACAAGTACGGCTGGGCGTTGGATAACGTCTACGAGTACGAGGCTGTTCTCGCGAATGGGAGAATCATCACTACCAGTGAAAGTCATAATCCTGATCTCTACTTCGCGTTGAGAGGTGGGGGAATAACTTTGGGATTGTTACGGCTTTAACTGTTCGAACGTGTCCGCAGGGCGCTGTCTCTACCACCCGGACGACCTACGCTTCCAACCAGACAGAGCAGGTGCTCGATCGTGTTTATGAGCTGTTCACTGACGAGGCTCTGACCAGTGATTTCGAGATGGGCTATGACCTGTACTATACGTACATGTCGCAGAGTGACAGTTTTGTCCTGTCGGGCACCCAGCGATATGGCAAACCACTAGCAAACCCGCCCGTCTTCGACGCGATTAACCAGATCCCAGCGGTTTCCAGGAGAAATTCTGTCGCGAAACTGAGTAGTCAGACACAGGGATCCGAGGAATTGGGAACAACAAGGTATATCCTTCTTCTCCCTGACCATCGCCTATGTGAGTTCTATACTGAGCCATCGTGACAAGGCACCTATTCGGCACGCTTACTGTCTCACCCTCCCGTGTCCTCCTCTCTCAAGCGATCAGCATCTTCGAGGAAGAGGTTCAAGCAATCAAGTCCGTAACTGGTCTCGTCCCGAACCTCGTATCCTACGCAGTGCCTCGCAACGCCATCGCAGCCATGAAACAACGCGGCGGAAATGCTCTTGGAATCGAGGGAGACGGGCCCCTCTTCCGTAAGCCAACTGACAACTCATCTAGACCCTTCCCTGCTAACATGCATCTAGTCATTCTCATCTCCACGGCCTGGTCCGACGCAGCCGGCGACGCCGCAGTCAATTCGATGACGGAGAATACCATCTCTAGGCTCAGGGAAGCAGCCACAACCCTTGGTGTTGCGCATCGGTACCTGTATATCAATTATGCGTCGGCGCAACAGGCGCAAGATGTCTTTGCGGGTTATGGAGAGGAGAATGCACGCAGACTGCGTGAGATCCAGCGGGCTGTTGATCTGCATGGTGTATATACCTCTCAGGGTTTGTAGAAGGGGTTCGTCAAGTTGATCTGATCGCTTTCGCTTGTGGGAGCTCGTGCCGTGCAGTAGTTCAGGTAGTTGGATAGTTGCTGTATTAGGTGATTGCATCTTTCGTCTCATATCGTCTTCACCAGTGTATCGCCCCCGACTTGCGCCACAAAATAGTGACTTGCAAGTCGAGCCGTTCCAATATGATGCTGTAATTCCAGTGTCTATTGCTAAGAAACAGAGATGGGATACAGGACCGGCGTTGCACTACTATACCAACATTGAGTACATATGATTCCTAGTACGGACAGACGTCCACTACCCTTGTACCAATGTGCTACACAGAGCTTTGCATGTTATACTCCGAGTCTGTGGTCTAAGTCGGGCCGAAGCCGGACCTCGGAGTTAATGCTGTGTCGGGTTTAGCAAGTAGGGGCTAAGCCTGGGCTGCAAAGAACAGTATGTACTCCAATCACCGACCGTGTCACAACGTTGCTTCCATAGTCGACAACAGTCTCGCCATTTGCCCAGTGTAGGACAAAGGCTTGTCAGCAAGAGTGGATACTCTGGGACAGATATGCCTCCATGAATGGATCATGGATGGATCCATGGTAGGAGCCCATTCCTGTTACAGTTAGCCTGGATGCAGGTGTATGACAACAGTCCATGGAACGCCAATCATGATGATCTCTCTCTCCTCATACGGTATTTGTGCAGCGACTTCGATGTACTATATAAACACATACGAAGCGCTGCTGGGGGAGTTCTGATTCCTCGTACTCGCAGTCCCAACCCCAGTCGCCGTCGCAAACTCGAAATTAACATTACGCATTCTGCAACCACCAAACGTTACACTCTAACTGCGAGTTCCCACCCTGTATGCGATCGCTGCTCCGCCTGCCAAGGGCAACAGAGGTCCTTGAAATCCTTACCCAACGGCGAGGTCTCGTCCTGCTGACTATGAGAAAAACACCCAAGTCACGCGCAATGGTGAGGACACTCCCCTTCGCCGACCTGCAGGTCCCTGTGCCCGGGTTTGGCGCCATGGGCCTTAATTCCTCCATGGGGACAGACTTCAACTTTGAACAGTCCGAGCCCGTGCTTATGAAGCCCTTGAGCTCGGCTGCACCTTTTGGGATACTGCCGTTAGTCATCCGGTATTGCGTGGCGACATATGGGTTCCTAACGATATGTCCAAACTAGGTGGCCTACAAGAATGGCGAGAACGAAAAGTTGATTGGTGAATTTGTTAAGAAGCACAATGTCCGTGATAAAGTCTTCGGTGAGCGCGATCCTATTTCTTCTATATACTCTACCGTCGGCTCACGTCTAATCGCATTGCAGTTGCTTCAAAGTGTGGATTTGATGTCTTTGGCCCCGAGCGCAAGGTGACCAACTCGGCTGCCCACATCAGGGAATATATTGAGGGAACGATTGAGAGGCTTGGTTTCACCCCGGATCTATACTATCTTCACAGAATCGATCCAAGTACGTGTCCCAAATCCTGGCTGAAACTTCAAACACAAGACCATTCTGACCACACCACCGCAGACACCCCGCTAGAGAGTCCATTGGCGCCCTGGACGAGCTCCGTCGAGCCGGAAAGACAAAAAACATCGGCCTCTCTGAATGCTCTGCTGCAACCCTGCGCAAGGCAAACGCCAGTTCGTCCTCTTGGAGAAGACCACCAAGAGGTAGATTGTATGCTAACATTGCCTAGTTGCGAAAATTGACGCCGTCCAAGCCGAGTACTCAGCGTTTGAAACCCTGCACGAGACGGCTGGGTTGATCGAGACGGCAAAGGAACTGGGTGTCGCCTTTGTGGCATTTAGCCCCCTGGGCCATGGTTGGCTCGTGGATAATTTCGACTACAAGTCCCCCGAAGACTTTGCGCGTACCGACTTTCGAACCACTGGTACAGTTGACCTCTTACACTCCATGTACCCCGAAATCCATTCGGATAGACTAACTCTGGTACTCAGTACCCAAGTTCCAGGGCGAAAACTTCTACAAGAACAAGGCTATCGTCGATGAGATCAAGAAGTTGGCTGTTCAGAAGGGTTGCTCTGTCGCGCAGATCGCTTTGGCCTGGGTTGCTGCGCAAGGCTTGATTACGATCCCAGGGACGACCAAGGCCTCGCGCTTGACGGAGAATTGGGCATCGCGTGATATTGAACTCACCAGGGAGGAGATGAATCAAATGCGCGAGATTGTGGACGCGGCGAAGCCAGTTGGAGAGAGGTTTGCTCCAATTTTCCAGTCCATGGTTGGGCATTAGTGCCTGGTGATACGGTCTCGTTGACCAGGCCAGAAGTAGAGAGACAATGTTTTCAATATATATAGTCATGCTACTAACAGTACTTCCTAACCAGGACTGATCTGTGGCTACTTCTTGCCTTGGGCTGATATTAAAGGCCAAAGCTGGCGATTACTAGTATGCAAGTCTAGCAAGACATTGAGAGTTGGGATTCTATTGAGGTTTCGCACAAGTCTATCGTAGTCCGGTGCTTACATATAAGCTCATTTTATTCTTGCATGTTTGTTCGCACCATTGTCTTGGGATACCCGAGACATCAAATGAGATAGATGCAATGCTACGAGACGCTGAAAGCTGTCGCCCAAAGCAACCCATAAAGTTGTAAAGACGACTGGGCTACTGACTTGAATGTGACAAGAGGACTATGAAGCTGAAAACGATGCATTGATCAATCACACTAGATGGTAAAGAGTAGAAGAGAACTCTGGAATAAAGATAGTGGATGTTATCGAGATAAGCAAGGAATCTACATGAGAAGGGGGGCTTCCAACACAATGCGCTCCTGAGGCCTGGGATTTCCAGTGTAACTCCAGAGAACGCTACTCTGTACTCCAACAATATACGAACTGACTACTTCGGCTAACCAGTGGCTGTCTCTACACTGCACTTTTAGACCCTGACCATGACTTGTCGATCGCTTGCCCAACAACACATTTTTGCGGGCCTACTGACAAGATTATCAACTCCAGTAACTGCTCATTCAATAACTCCATACCCCTTTGCATAACTCGCCGGCCTGAACAGAGTATTTCGCATCTAGGGAGATAGCAGTAGGTCTAACCATCGGTCCAGCATGGTGCGCTAAGTCTCAGAAGCGCGGAGTGTGAGGGGAAGCTGGGCGCCGATGAAGCATGGCCATTAACGTTAGGCAAGGCAAAGCTCCAGAAGACACTAAGGACGAGTCCGTACCAAACAAACTAAACTAAACTAGTACTCATAATTCCATTGGGTAGAAAACCCATCCATGAATGTCGGATAGCCCGATCCCATCATGAGTTGCAACTCGGTTTCCCAGCTGAGGGGGTCGCCGGTTGCCGGAGCGAGCGCAGTACTACTATCAAATGCCAGTGAGCGGGGGATATTCCCATTTCCTGCAAGGCACCCGTCCGGAATGTCCGATGCAGCCTCGGAATGATCATTCGCGATATTAGGTCCCGGTCCCGGTGCCCGTGGAAGGTGCGCATCCGATCCGGAGAAATTGTCCGCAAGACCCGCTTTACCCCCATGCAGCTCCAGGACCTGCGATCGGGCCATCGGATACGTACCCAGCGGATTGAGGATATACTCCAGGCAGCCCGGCTGTGCGGATGTTTGAGGCACTTGGGAAGGAGTTGCCAGCGCGGCGGGTGGCGCCGCTGCGGCCGCATGCCCTCTGAAATTAGAGCTCAGGGTACCAGTTAGAGTTGCGTTGTGAAACTGCTTGAGAGCCTGCGTGGCTGACTCGTAAAAGAGCTCGGCTTTGAAGTATCGCTTCAGGTACGCGAGTATCTGCACGTTGCTCTGAAGCATGGAGCGATAGTCGTCCGGGGTCAAGTGGGGAAGTAGAGGCTGAGCCTGAGCTGCTGGGGCGAGCTTTGCCCACGAAAGAAGGCTCGTAACGAGGACGCTGCTGCATATCTGGGCATGAACGGCATATTGCAGGTCCACGAGGGCTTCCTTGTCGGTGCGCCAGAGCTCCTGGAGCCACGAGGCAATATCCACGGCCTTGGTGAGGCACATGTGGTGGCAGCGGTGCAAGAACTGTTGAGGAGCATTTTCTCGAATCCACCTGGTGGCGGTGTGAGGGAAGACCAGGCGCGATACGCCCACGCGGTACAGATCATTGTAGGTCTGGGCGAGCAGAATGTGCAGGCCAAAGTAGAGGTTGAGGCGGCCGGCCATTTTCTGCAGACAGGTGTTCTCTGGGGTCATTGCGTACTGTTCTGGAATTGAGTTCTCGAGTACTTGGAGCTCGCTACGCAGGGGCGCGAACCGCGAAGTATCTTCCCAGGGAATCTCGCCCTGCAGGTGCTTGACGTATCGAAGGATCTTTGAACGGATGGCGACAGCTCGGATGTAGTATGCTCGAAGGTCGAGATTTGAGGCTGCACCGTCTGTCTGGAGGGACTCTTCATTGACAAACGGGAGTGTTTGACCTGGTAAGAGTGTCTCGGTCACTGCGGGTGTATTGCGGGCGAAAAGATCCTCGGAGCAGGGGAGCTGCACCTGGATATTGCCCGCAGAGATGAACCGCAGCTGGTCTATTCCACATTCAATCAGGGCGTCGAGCACGTAACAAGCCCACGCTACGCGACGACGACTTTCCTTCTCCGAGGCCTTCATCCTGCTCGTGAGGCAGGCGACGTCGGTATCGTATTCCAGGCTGAGCTGCAGAAGTTGAAAATGTCTTGCAACCATTCCGGACACCAGAAACGCCTGAGCGTAGTCGCCAACGCGGAGGTAGTAATCATGGAGGAGGATTTGTGTCATCAGGGTCTCTATGCCTTGATTTCCGCCCGCGAAGAATACAGCCTTCAAGGCAATTGCTGCCCAGCCTCTGCCAGCGTCGAAAAAGTGAGTTTCAGGATTGGGGGCTCCCTCGTCAGCCGCACAGGCAATGCGGCCGTAGTAGAATGGAGCAGCCAATGCACACATGATGGCAACCAGCCCAGATGTCAAAGGCTCAAGCTCCTGCAGTGATGTGCCCCAAACCGTCTGGGTGAATGTCGGGACATGGACAAACCCCAGACAACGCACCGAGTGGACACGCGCAAAGTACACATCAATCAGCTGACGGACCCGGTCTTCGGTGGGCAAACTCTCGCCCGCGAGCCACGAGGGCATCGATGGAGATTGATAAAGGGGAGACGAAACCCGCTTCTGCAAGCGAGTGCGATAAAAGCACCCGTGGTCTTTGGCCTTGCACCGATCGCACCGGGCACCACCCGAACATTTCACCTTGGCCCGTTTGCACTCTTCGCAGGACAGCGTGGTCCGCCGTCGCTTGAGGCCCGCTTGTGTGGTCAAAGCCACCGGGTTGGCAGCCTCACGACGAGGAGAGCTTGGAGCGGAAGCTACCGAGTAGATGCACTGCTCGCCAATCTTCCGACAGCGATGACAGGTGCCTGGGGTGCGGTCACATCTGATCTGGACTCGTTAGGGCCGGTGAGTCGTGGATGGAGACAGAATTCAATGTACCTTTCGCCTGCGACAGATGAGGCAGCTGGGATTGCGCTCTACCCTGTCCATATTGTGCTGCTGGACAGCGATGATATTAAAACTCTTGCAAAGTAGACAGCTCGATCACGCAAGTTAGGCGACGGCATTCGTACCAGATGGATATCCGACGCAATTGCAGTTGAAAGCTCGTGGTGCCGCAAGGTCAGCAGCCGATGGCGCAAGGCGGCCGGCAGATGTTGCAATTGACCGACTTCCGTGGTTGCGGATCTCGCCTTGCGCGCGGTCCGTACGGGACTATATAGTCTGCGACAGTTTCTCGCCATGAGTTCAGATTGTCCGTACACATCAACAAAAGCCATGTGGGCAAAACTGGTAACCGCCTGCCTCGTTGGCTCCGCCGTGGCCTCTCCCTTTCGCGTCTTCGACAACACCGCCTACACAAACACCTCGATCGGCTATGGAACGACCAATATCAACTGGATCCCCGCATACGTCTGCAATCCCCTGACCAAAGGAGGTCTACTGCCCAGCGAGGACTCCTGGAAGGAGATCGTGCTGCAATGGAACGTCTACCCGGGCTACCCCCTCGTCCTCGACTGCGAAGCCATCTACTTCACCTCGACCTCGACGGCCGACCGCTACCTCGAGATCATGTCGACCCTCCAGACATGGGCGGCAGAGGTGGTCCCCGCGGACCAGATCATCGGCTGGTACGGGCTCTCCGGGAACACCTTGGCCTCCCTGTACGGGCACTACCGCAGCCTCATCGCAAACCACAGCAACCACGCATTCTTCCCGTCGGCGTATACCTTTACCAGCAGTCTCTCGACTTGGAATACCAGTCTCGTCTCCGTTCTGGCCAAGATCAAGCTGATCGACGACACCCTGCCGGTTTGGCCGTACATGTGGCCGCAGTACCACGGCAACTACTCGTTCTACCCGGTTGGGTTGTGGGAGGAGCAGTTGGATGCTCTGGCGGGGAATCCGGATGTCGATGGGCTCGTTATCTGGGGAGGCAAGAATCATGCCGTCTGTGATGATGCGTGCCAGGCGGTCGCGGGCCAGCAGCCTTGGTTGAAGGCGACGCGGTCGTGGCTTGTCCAGCTGTACCAACTCTATACTGGAGGCTCTGGTCGTGACGGAGCACAGGTGTTTTCTTAGGAATTGCGGATGCGCCCCGCCGGGACCCCTGGTTGGTTGTGTTTGGGTTTATTTATTAGGTCAGAATTGGGAATGGAGCGCCCATCGTTGGGTTGTCTATGGAGGAGTGGAGGAATCATGGCATAGGGTGGAGTGGGCCGAGTCATCCTGTAACTAGAGCCTTAGATGTAGTGCTGGATCATAGTATCTGTTACTATAATGACAAACTCACTTATTCGCTCAAGCCCGCACATATAGCCCGAAGGGGGTCTGTCCGGTTTAGACAACACTAGATGCATCAAACGCAATGATCATAGGACACATTTGCTTTAAACGGCTATAGGCCTTAAATTATGGATCAACCCAATAGAAGAGAACTGTAGAACGAGCTGTAAGAAAAATTATTATCGAAAAGGTCTATGGGAGAGGTGTATACGTGGAAGACCGGCAGCTGTGTTCTCAACCACCAACAGAGGTACATACACCTATGCTCAACTTGACACGGCCAGACTAATCTGTGGCCAAAAAAATCTACACCGCCGCCTTCTCTTCGCCATTCACTACATCTCTTTCAGTGGCCGAATCCACCGCCGCAACATTGTCCTCCTCACCCCGGGGCAGGGTCCAGACGGTCGGAATGGCAATCAGCAAACTACCAATGCTCATCCCCCAGTTCATCGCAAACTGTGTCATGCCAGACACCTTTTCAGCATTGATCCTCCACGCCATCGCACCGCCCGCGGGCTTGAGCGCCGAATACGCACCTACCACGACCGCATTGACAGTGGGGCTGTGCGACTGCGCTCCGATGATCCAGTAGCAGTACGCCTGCCAGAAGGAGTCGTAGGCGCCGTAGAAGAAGTACAGGAACATGGGCCCCAGGTACCGGCTTCCATCCTTGAAGTCCAGTCTCAGAGCGTTACTGCCGCTGCCGCTTTGATCGATCCGCTTCTGGAATGCGTACCCGCCTCCCCAGATCGCCATCCCCGTTACAAAGAGAACCGCCCACCCGATGATTGCGCGGTGGCGCCGGTCAACGAGCTTGAGATCCAGCGTCAGCCCCATCACCAGCCCACCAACCATCTGCGCGATCCAGTACAGCGCCCCATTCAGCGCGCGCGTGCGCAGATCAAACGAGCCCCCATTGACGACATTCTGCTGATACGAGTAGAACACGTTGGCGTTGTAGAACATCGGGTACAGGCACGCGATGCGCCAGTCGGTGATGATGCGCAGGGTCTGGAGCGCTGTCGCACGGAGACCAGCGGTCCACGTCCCTAGTCGGCGACGCTGGGACCAGCCATGCTGGACGCGCTCGCCGGCATACCGCGCCGAGAGCCGATCGGTCGAGCAGACGAGGCCCGAGAGCGCCCAGCCGAAGAGCATGACGACGACGTACGCGACGTACGTGCTGTCCGTGACGATCCCGGACTGCGAGGTGTAGTTGAGCCGGAAGCTAATGAGCGAGCCGATCGTCCCGCCGAGGTTGAAGGTCACCCAGAAGAGCGCGATTGCGCGGCCGCGCGTGCGGTCCGTCGAGTACGTAACCATGATGGTGCCCTGCGCGACCCAGAAGAAGGCTGCGCCGAGCCCGAGGAGCGCACCGGCGGCGATCACAAAGGCGCCGTTGCCCGTGCGGTTGAAGTTGAGCAGGGAGCCTGCGTATAGTGCGTATGTCCAGCCGCCGAGGAGGAGCGACAGGCGCGGGCCGATGTAATCGTACAGGGTCCCAACGATGAGGAGAGCCGCGCCTGCGGTGCACGCGTGGGTGGCGACGTTCGAATTCGCTGCAACGGTGCCGTCGACCTGGCCGGAGCCGCCCATGCCGGTGAGGGCATTGTACATGCCCGGGTTGCAGAAGGAGATGAAGGAGATGAGGGCGATCTGAAACCAGGGATCGTGGAGCACGCGGTTCAGGAGGCCCGGCTTAACGGGGGAGGCAGAAACGGTGGTGGCATCCATTGGAAATATCAAGGATAGAATGATACGAGGAGATGGACACAGTAACCCCCCTCGATCATGGCCACTATTTATGGTGGTTCACGAGACGAAGAATTGCAGTGGGAATTTGCGTGACGGATGTCGCTTCCCCGAGATGCGACAGAGCGGGCCAGCGACTTCCGAACCTCGCATAAGAGACCCCCTGGTCGACGAGCAACTATCAATCAACAATGCCCTCAAAGCGTACGCAGTTGATGGCGCAACCTTGGCTAAAATGACCCAATCTCACAAAGACCTTGCTCGCCTCGAGACGGAAGCCTGGAACCGAGACGCCAGCGACATCGAACCCCTTGACACACTTTCGCTCTGCCGCGCCTTTCACCGCGAGGAGGCACGCGTCATACCGGCAATTGAAAATGCGCTACAGACTATCGCATACCTCATTGACGCTCTTGTGCCTCGGCTTCGATCTGGAGGCCGGCTTGTCTACGTGGGTGCGGGAAACAGTGGCCGGGTCGCGCTGATGGACTGCGCCGAACTCCCCGTGACCTTTTCAGTCGACCCATCGCAGTTCCTCTGTGTTGTGCCTGCAGGCGCTCCTGGCTCAGCGGCGCAGGCCCCAGAGGGAGCAGAGGATGCCGGGAATGACGGTTCCGCTGCCCTCGAGGCACTGAATCTCACCCCCGAGGATATAGTTGTTGGGATATCCGCCTCGGGGCGAACGCCCTTTGTCGTCGAAGCGCTCAAAGTCGCCGCTGCGCGGGGTGCGCTCACGGCTGGAATTACCAATGTTCGGTCCCCCTTGATCAGCCAGCTGCCAATCGATTACACCATAACCTCTCTCGTCGGGCCAGAGTTTATTACAGGTAGCACCCGCCTCAAGGCAGGGAGTGCCGCCAAGGTGATTCTGAACATGATCAGCACCTGCGCAATGATTCGGCTAGGCAAGACGTATAGAGGACTGATGGTCGATGTGTGTGTTCAGAATGAAAAGCTGCGCCATCGTGCGAGGCGGATTGTGCGCCAGGTCTGTCGTTCACACGCACTCTCCGCAAGGGGGGGAGGACCGCCCGACATTCCCATTCCGATCCCAATTCCCAAAACAACCGAAGGCGACAGGCTGATCGACTCGCTGATTGAGGACTGTGACGGGAGCGTGAAGCTCGCATGCGCAGTGGCCCTTTCAGGCCTTACGCCAGATGCGGCGCAAAGGCGGCTCAACTCGGTAAATGGGCATCTTTCGAGACTCGTTCAGGCGGCCAGCCAGCCAGCATTGGAAGTACCCATCTCTGTCGTGCCCCACAATTCAGAGCGATTCTTCCTAGCAATTGATGGCGGCGGGACCAAGTGCACTGCTTCCCTCGCGGTGTGGCAGGGAACCGAGATTATCACAACCCAAGGGATATCCGGCCCATGCAATGTGCACTGTACTTCCCTCAGCGAAATCCTGGACCGGATCCGGGCAGCTACTATGCAAGCGGTCGTTGCCATGAGGCAAAAACTACCTGGGCTATCGGCGTCCTTTGCAATCACCAGAGCGTGGGTGGGAATCGCCGGCGTGGATAGCGCAACCCAGCCCACCGTGGATACCCTGGCCCACCGCCTGGAGGAGATATTCCACATGGCTCATGGTCGCGGTGCGCTTCGCCTGACCAGCGACGGGATGCTCCTTGGCGCCTGCTTCGAGGCCAACAGCCACGTGGAAGCAGCGCTAGCCGTTGTCGCAGGTACCGGGTCTGTGGCACTAACCTTGGGCAGAGACGCGTCTACCGGACAGACCGTGTGTAGAGGGAAGGCCGGAGGCTGGGGATATCTGCTCGGAGACGAAGGAAGCGCGTTTGACATGGGTAAACGTGCTTTGCGGACAGCTCTGGCTCAGATGGAAACAAAGAGCGGCGAAGATACTGATTTGTCCGCCCTCCAACGAGAACTGCTCGCCACCTGTGGCTGCACCCGTATGGACCAGCTACTTCCCTGTGTTCTACAAGCCTCCGGCAGTGGGTCGAAGCGGGTGATTGCCGGTCTGGCAGCGGCAGTCACCCGGCTGGCCTTCCGCCCAGAAAATCCGGATCCAGAAGCGCAAACAATACTTCGTTCAGCGATTGAGGATCTTGTACAGTCGATCAGGCGCTTATTAGCGGTGGCGAGCTTGCCGAAAGGAGGCGCAGCAATGCTTATTCTGTCTGGATCATTGATGAATCTGGCTCCATATCGTAATCTGTTCCTGGAGGTGTGGAAGAGTAAGGGACTCTATCATTTCTCGGAGGTGAAGGTTGTCAAAGACCCTTCGATCGCAGCAGCTGAAATGCTGGCTAGATCTTGCTTTATGGCTATTTAGACGTGTGTCTTTCTGGATCTGTACAATGAGTCAACTATTCATTGCGTCTGATTTCTGTTACTTTGAGTTCCTGCAGACTTTTATCTTTTGTGATCCCAGTATAAATTACAGTATGCACACCTCTACCAGGCCAGGTGGTCGCAAGTGTCAACATCATATTGTTTCTGATCCATTTGGAGTGACCAACCATATATATTAGTTGCTGTCAACCTCGTGATATAAACCCTCCTTTTACATCAAATCGTTCCAACAAGAAGTTGTTGGGAAAATGTGCGAATTCAAAAGCGAAACATGACCAAGTTACCCCCCGGCATCCGGGAATATATATTCACGGGACGAGCACCCTTGGCTTTATGATGATGTTTCAAGTTACTACCTTCACAGGATCGACTCAGGTATTTACTCACCAAGTACAGAGTATTATGACTTCAAAACCCAAACACCCCTGAAGGACTCCATCGGCCCCCTGGAGGAACTGCAACGAGGCGGACAGATCAAATGTATCGGGCTCTCCGACTACCGTGCGCAAGGCAAGCGCCAATTCATCTTCTCCAAAACATACTTCAAATATGAAGGTTTATGACATCACCCCTTAGTCGCCAAAATCAACCCTGTCTGAGGTCCAAGTCGAGTACTCCGCCTACTGATTACCGCTGGACTGGTACACTGATCATTGCACTCCATCTACCCGCCCAAAACCCATTGCTGTAGACTGGGAGTGGGTTAGTTGCAGTACCTAAATTCCAAAGCGAAAAAAGCTACAAGAACAACATTATTCTCGATGATACTAAGAAGCTGGCAGGTGAGCGATTCGCTCTAATTTCTCAGTCGATGGTCGATCCTTCGGGCACAAGCATATGACTGATAATAGGTACACCAGCAATTAGCTGGTATCTGGATTATATATATGTATACTCTTAACTGATATTACTATCTAGTCAGTGGCGAGTTCAGAGCTACTTTTCTGCGTAAAGGAGCGATGAATAACGAGTCATGGCGATGAGTCTATTTCTGACAGAAATCCACGAAATCTACACTTCCAATAATCAATCTAATGGACACAATAAAGAAGTGACAGGGCGGGGAATGTGGCGGCTCTGGTAGCAGTGGTGCATACCACAAAGACACACTGGTCCAACTGCCCTCCGCGGGCGCATTGCCGAGGGCCATAGCACAAACAAACAAACACTACAACAAAGTGTTATAGAGTCCATCCATCCAAGCAGGTTTTATCGCCTGTTTCTTCTGTTCGAAAGTAATCGACCAAGATGGCATACCTTTCCGCTACCTCGCCATGGGACCCCCCAGCTACTGCAGTTCTGCTGCAAGACGCTCCCAAGAGGACCGTCGATGATGGAATGTACCATCCGTATACAAGTGTCTTGGATAATGGAGTCTATACAGCAGCATCACCTCAGACGGTAGATCCTGCAAACCAAGTGCTGGCACAGCAGTCGGCCGCTGCGGTGGATCCGCAAGCCAGTCTGGGGCTCACGCAACTCGCCCCTTCACTGCAGGTCGAGCAGACTTTACAGACTTCACCAACTGCACCCACCATCACAATCTCAATCACCACATCGATCATCACCTCTACGGTGACATGGTCTTCCACTCCGAGTCCTTCAACGACATCGTCGCATACAACTTCGACTGAAACAACTTCGGCCGAACCAAGTTCATCGCTGGCCATTGTCCCAACAACAACCGACAGGGTTGCACCCCCACCAGCATCGCCAGAAATACACCATCACGCCCACCCGCTGAGCAGCATTGATCAGGCCGGAATTGCCCTCGGGATCATGGGCGCTGCGTTGATCCTAGTCGCGCTGGTCTTTTGGCGTCTCGAGCGCAAGAAGAGGGCTTTGCGACGACACGCCCTCGACCGAAATGATCATGATGATGATCCCACCCACCGGCTACCACCAGCAAAGTCATATCGCGTGTACAGCCTCGCCTCGAGCCTGTATACTCGAACCAGAAGTACGTTGACACTTGCCAGTGTGGCGGAGAGGTTCAAGGCTTCGGGTGGCCCCCTTCTACCCTCGATTCATTCGCGGCTTAGCGACATCAGTTCGCATGACGAGGTTCCGGCTCCATCTCCGGCCCCGCTGCAATGCCATGCGGGCCAGTTCAACCCCAGCAGGGTGCGTGACTTGGTTCAAAGATGGCTCTCCGAGTCTAGCTCTCTCGCACGGCGCACGCTGGACAAGATCAGGCGTCTTCGGAAGCCACGACTAACACCCGCGCAAAGGAGGAGTCGGCAGCCGTATGAGTATGGTTTCTGTGAAGAATATCTTCACATCCCTCCTCCGGAACCGACGCGCCTGGAGAGGACATTGGGCCGGCTTTGGGCCACCGGTTCCTCGGTGATGCTCGCGACCACGAAGAAGCTGCCACTGCCGTATCCACCTCGAGCTCACCTGTCCCCTCAGCTCTCTGAGAAGGGCCTCACGGGGTCACCTTCAACTTCGAGCAGGAATAGCGAGGGCGAGCATAATTCGCACGACGGCATCTGCGACAGGCACCGTCAACAATACGCGCAGCAGCTCGGTCTCGAGGCCAACACGAGCTTTACTGGAGAAAAAGATCCCGTTCGGGTGCAGTGCGTCGCCTCCAGCCTGGTGACGGTCGAAGAGTCTCGCGGACAGAATGAAGACGCCGTCAGCGCCCGGATCTCGGGGGATGATGCTAAAGCAGAGCATGAGTCCAATCCTCAACACGCACAAGCACAAGCACAAGCACAAGCTCAACCGCAATCACAATCGTTGCCTCCATCGCCCCCGGTCTCCCCTACATCCCCAACACCACCATCCCGTTCACCCTCACCACCGTCAGTCTCGTCCGTTTCCTCGTCTTCGGTCTGCTCCCCATCATCATCAGCATCACCACTCCTCCCACTCCCGATACGCCCCAAGCCATCACATTCGGCATCCTTGCGTCGCCTGGAGGTTCCGTCGGTTATAACGCGAACGTTTCAACTCTATCGCGTGGAATTCACCTTTACGCCACGCAGCACAGGACACCTCGAGGTCAGCGAGGGCGACACGGTGCGACTTGAACAGAATTTCGATAACGGATGGGTGCGTCGACCCCAGTTACCTCTTCATCCCCACTCTTCGAAAGCTAATCTACTACTCACTCTCTATAGGCCCTCTGCACACTAACCACGACAGAACGCCAGGGCCTCCTCCCGCGCGCGTACCTCTCCACCTGGCCAATCCGAACGGGAACGACCAACGAGCGCCTCGAACCATCACCCAGCATCGCGAATACACCGACGGGCCTGGAGCGCTGGCGGTCGAACGCTTCGCGCGCCAAGACGCCCACGCCGAGTATCATGTCTGGAAATAGTCAGCCCTCGCGGTTCTATAGTCGGCCGGGGACGGCCATGTCCGGAGCAAGTGGGGGGCAAGACAGTAAGGCTCCGAGTATGAGGAGGACGCAGTCGCTTTCGCCGACGGCGTCGGATGCGTCGAGGTCTTCGTAGGTTGGGATGTGCCCTACTTGGGATTTCTTGTACATGATAGGGGCATACGGACGGATACTTTCTTTAATTTATGATGTTGATGTAGACGATATCAAACCAGATTTCTTTTGTTATACGTCAATTGGTCTAACCTCTGTTCACCCTGGACTTCTATCCAACACAGCTGAGTTCTGATGATATTTGGATGCATGGTTGAGAGTAGTGAGCCGGGCTGATTTCGGCGCCTACTATGAGTGTCATTTTGTTAGGAATGTGGATAATCAAACCTTCTGAGAGCCCTGGCCCTAGCGCTAAAAAGCCCTCTCATAATGCTATTATGCGGTCATTGCTTTGAGCCCATCAGCAATGGCCTATGGGGGATTGCGGGTGGAGCTTTAGACCGATGTCATTCACGGCCGACTGACTTCCGACATTCCACCAACCATCGCGGCATTTTGGCGTCTCAATGGACTGGTCTTAGCACATGACATGCCTTCTTTAATTAATGAGTTGCCCTGACAACTTCCTCACCACTCGCTAATGAATGTCTATTGTGCTAAAGGTGAATTTTGGTGTTGCTATCCGAGTATTTATCTCGGCCGGTGCGGGTAGTTCGCGGTCCACTTTCCCTGGGTCGAGGGTAAGTGGTCATAGAGCCCCATACGTTGAAATCTTCCGAATAGATTTCGAAGACAGGAGAAAAAGGTAGTGGTTAAGATAGCGCTGGTATTCTATTTCGGGTTTCCCTCTGTGCGGTTTCGTGAATTGGTCAATCGATATATATTCCTTCCTCCTAGGCGTTCGTGCCCTGTACTGCGCGCCCCATATAGAAGATGTCGCGACCTGCAAAGTGCGTAATACGGCTAACGCATGGAAGCGGACTAGATATTGAATTTGCGGTTACTGAGATGCGCATTCTGTAGCCTTGTGCTGAGGGCGACCAACTACAGCAACGCCCTCACCTCCCTCGCCGGCTCAATGAACAAGCCCTTCAAGGACCCCTCTTCCCTCCAGGACTCAATATAATCCAAAAACGACCTCGTCCCTTCAGACCACGTACTCCCCCTCGCCCTCTTGACCTTCTCCTCAGGATCCGTAATCGCTGCCGCCTCTCCATACGAATTGAAGTACCCCGGCGTACATCCCGCAAGGGCCGCAAAAAAGGGCGCCCGCTTCAAGATCTCTGCTGTATGCTCCTCTTCCGCTTCTCGGGTGACTTCAATAACCGCCCGTTTCCCAGCCCCAACACGCTTCTCCGCCTCTTGAATCCAGTGAATCACGTGCTTCGCAATAAGCCCGAGCATAAAGATATTATTCCCCGTAATCGTCGCCTGGTTCGTCCCCGAGAAGAACAGGTTTGGGAATCCGCTAGAGGCATATCCGTGTAGTGTTGCAGCGCCCTGCGCAGTCCACTTCTCGTCGAGAGACAACCCGCCGCGCCCGATGATGTCCACGCCCGTTCGTGCGCTGGGACTCCCGGTCCCGGTTGCGGCTTTGTATCCCGTGCTGAAGATGATGATGTCGACTGCGTACTCCTTTTCTCCAACGACGATGCCGCGCTCGGTTATTCCCGAGGGACCCTGGCCGTCTGTGTCGACGAGGTGCACGTTTGGCTGGTTGAATGTCTGCAGGTATGTGTCGCTGAAAGTAGGCCGTTTGCACCAAGATGGATACCACGGCTTGAGCTTGTCGGCTGTTTCGCGGTCTTTGACGATCTGATCGACTCGAGCCCGGATGGCTTCCATGTGTGGGAGATCCTGTGCATGGAATGCATCGACGTGTCGCTCGAGGTTCTCAGGCGAGGAATCAATGATGCCATGCTTGGGCGAGCCAGTGATGGCAGAGTACGCGGGCATATCTGTCCACCCATCATTGACGAGGTTCTCCACCCCCGGTTTTGCCGAGTTGGTCATCCACGCGTTGAGGTTGAGCTGTCGCTGGTACTGCCATCCCTTTGCATTCGCAACACGGGCCTGAAACTCCTCGAGCTTCGTCGGACGTTGGCTGCGCGCTTTCACATACGCCGGCGTACGCTGGATGACATACAACTCGCCTGCATGCTTGGCAACCTCAGGAATAACCGCAATCGCCGTCGCCGCAGTCCCAATCACCGCGACCTTCTTCCCCTTTAACCCCGTAAGGGCCTGGTTACCCTGCGACCCCCCGGAGATTCCATAGTTCCAGCGCGCAGTATGAAACAGCTTCCCCCTGAAGGTCGCCAACCCCGGAATCCTTGGGACCTGCGGTCTGGTCAACACCCCCGCTGCAAGATACACATAGTGCGCCCTGAAGACGCGCGTAACTGGCGGCGCAGCAGGCCCCCTATGTTCCACCGCCGTCACGGTCCAAAGCTGCGAAATATCATCCCAAACCGCACTGCGCACATCCGTCCGGAAAAGCGTCTTATCGCCCAACCCCCAGCGCGTCGCAATCCGCTCCGCGTGCTCGCGTATCTCCGCCGCAGGCGCATACTTGTGCGACGGCACATACCTGGTCTCTTCGAGGAGCGGCAAGTACACATAACTCTCAATATCGCAATGCAGCCCCGGGAACCGGTTCCAGTACCACGTCCCGCCGAACCCGCCCGCTGCATCCGCGAGCCGGATTTCGTGGACGGAGCGCGCGATCCCGTCGTTGAGCAGGCGTACGGCGAATTGCAGGCCGCCGAAGCCGGCGCCGAGGATGAAGAAGCGGTATGTGGCGCCCGACTCAATGGGGCTGGGTGTCGCGTTGAGCGTCTCATGCGAGACCCAGGGGTCCTCGGCGAGTGAGCGCAGACGGGACTCTTCGGCTGTGGTTAGTTGGAGGAATTGGCCCGTCCCTTCGGGGCGTAGCCGCTTGGAGGCTTCTTCGGCGTACCGCTTTCGGACGGCTTTGAGCTTTGCAGGGTCGACTGGGGGGGTTTGTTCGTGGGTGGCCATATTGGATGTCTGTTTGGATGGCTAGGGAATGTGATAGTTGCGGATCGGTTGGCATTGCCTGGAGTTGGGGTATATATACCCTTGGTTGTTGGAGAAGTGAGGGACACACGATGACGTGAGCACTATGCACGAAGACGCCATGATCACACAAGAGATAAGCAGAAGGACGCGATAACCGCGAGTCCTTGTCCACCCAAAGGCGATGAATCCATTGTACCTCCAACTGATACCATTTTATCCCTGCCACATCCGCGGATGTGCGGCACGACCCTAACTAACTACCCCAACCACAACACCCACACCGTCCAACCCACCTACAATTGTAGTAGCACAAATACGACTGCAAGCTGGCTCGTGCATGTACTTCTCCAGTAGACATACACTCCTCGGTTTACCCCAAAGCCACCATTCTGTCCATGGCAGAACACGAACTGAGCAAGGGGCGGGCGACCCAGAGGTGTATCATAACAGAAAGCCACAATGGTTGGCCCCCGGGTCGGGTTCTCCCCTTCCTTTTATGGAATGTTGTAAGTGAGGTAGGTGCGACCCTCGAACCTTCCTAATCCATGTAGCTTATGGGTCGCTCTTTCATTGCGTTGCTGGTTCTGTATAAGGAAGGTGCGCCCTAATGCAGTAGCCAGGATCGTGCCTTCCTTGATTGCTCTATTTACACGATAATTCTCGAGAAGAAATAGTCGCTGTTCCTTTCATATTTGACTGTCGCTACCAATTTGGTAAACTCGCAAGTGACTAACCCGAGCAGCACTTGGGTAAGTCACGGTGCACTTTGTCCAGAACATAGTGGAAGGTATCAAATAACTTCGTTCTAACGAGGCAGGTAGGTGGGTGCACTTTTGTCGAGTGCTCCGAACTTCGAAAAGTCATCAGACGACTTTTCCAGATTATAATCATCATGGCATTCTCATTATATGTGCTCTACCTGGTTAAGAGGCAATCAGATGTTGTATATGCGCTTTATATGCAGGTCATCAACGTTGCAAGGGTATACCATGCTCCCTTCCCTTCAACTAGTCCGAAATCGCCGCAGGAATACAACAATCGACCCCTTCCACCCAAGCCGAGGAGAGAACCTGCGCGGTTGTGGGTCGAGCGGCTGGGTCAATACTCAGCATAGCGTACAGGATATCACGGCTTAAGTCCTGTGCGCACATTGCAAGGGTTAGCTTCGATGTCAAAGTTTGATGCGAAAGAAACTAGGTATAACAAAAAAAGTCTTGCGGTACTGACCGTAGAGATCTCATCAAGGACGGCATTGTTCTTGCCATTACTCCTCTGCTCCATCCATTGTGCAAAGCCCGTGTCGCTCTCCGTGGCCTCCTGCCAAAGATTTCGACCCGTCCTCATGGCCACGTAGATAACCGCTGCCGCCCAAATATCCACAGCCCTAGGATCAAACTCCGCGTCCGTATACTGCTCCGGCGAGATATACGGGCGCGAGATCCCGCACTTGCCCTTCGACAAGACAACAGAATCCTCACCAGGAACTCGGAAGCAAGTCGCGTGCCCAAAGTCCGCAATCTTCAGACAGCCCCTATTAGTTAAGAGGAGGTTCTCCGGCGCCAGCGCGCGATGCGCCACGTCTTTGCTGTGGAGGTAAGCCAGGCCGCGCAGAAGCTGTTTGAACAGACAATCTGCCTGCTCTGCTGGGAGCTTATGTGCCGCTGAGCCGGCAATGAGCGAGTGCAGGTCGCCGCCGGCGCAGTTTTCCATCGATATAACAAAGAGATCGGGAGTGTTTCCCGCTCCGAGCGGGAGGAGCTCGTACGTAGGCACAACATGTTTATGCGTCAGCGTTGAAGCGAGCGCAAACTCGGCTGTTACGCGGTTCTGGTGATCGGACTGTGACTCGTCTGGAGCGCGACGCAGGACCTTGAGCGCGTAGTAGGTGTCCAGCGGCGGACAGTATTGGTATTTGTGCGAGACGAGGATGATCGACTCGGTGCCGAGCCCGCTGACTTCGCAGAGTTCCCCGTACTTTTTCGTCAGCGCGGCCATTCTGCTTTCGTCGATGAGCTCGTCTGAAGTTGAAAAAGTGCGTTTTGTGTGCGCGACCCAGCGGTCCCATTCGTGAAGAGGGGCTGTTGTGCCATGTGGAGTGGAGTTTCGTCTAGCGACGTAATCGGACATGCGGCCCCATGCGCTTGGTCGTCGGGGCACGTTAAGATGATTATGTTGGGTGTCGGGGTTTGAGTTTATCGACGAGACGGTTGCGACGGAGGGCCTTCGGCTTGCATCCGTTGATGCGCCACGACCTACTCGAGAGAGCGCTGGAGGGACAGGCTCGTGCGGTAGTGGCGGCTTCAATGATGCGGAGTCTTTTTGCTTGACCGCGCGGTCTTGGAATGGATTGGTGAAGATGGGCATCTTTAAGAGTTGGCAATGCGACGCTGTGTAGAGAGAAAGAAAATGTTAAACTGCCGAGAGAAAGCCAATATGGCAAGAAAAAAAAGCAATGGCCAGGGCGAGGGCGGCCTTTTAAGTAAACTCTACTGGCACGATCAGATAGGCAGCAGCTGTGGCCGTGGGTGGTTCCATGATTTGTCCCTCGTAGGGCTTGGTATGATGACAGAATATCGAGGTTTGCTGTTCACCGTCGATCCTGACGTCGCGCAGGATCGCGGGGTAGGGCCAGCTCTGCATATCATTGGTCAGAGCCTCTTGATTGTGGCGTTGCAGCATCCCTCTTCAAGTGGCGGTGTCACGAGCACCTGGCCAGACGCTCCCACCTGACTGGCCTGTGCGTCCAATCCACCCATTAGCCTTCTCACCCCCGGAGGAAACCGGTGATCCAATGGAGCCACTGTATCTCAGCGGGGGATCCCGCGACAAACCCTCCGCCGAGGAAGCGTCATGTCTAGCTAAGTTTGATGCGCTCCTAAGCTCCGTCGCCGGTGCTCCTCCAGCCAGGCAGAACTCTTCACCGCTCGTTTCTGGCACGAGTGCCTCCAAGGACTGTACTCTTGGCAAGGAAAAGGTGTCTTGGCGGACTGCCAAGCCCTAGAGGAGCCTCCGATCGTGAGGCGGATGTGAAGGGTATGAGTCCTGGGTGGGAGGGCGAGACAGTGGGACTCGTAATCTGTGTGCCGCTGGCTGGCGCGTTTGCGCGAAACGGAGCATGAGATCAACCGCCATGATGCTATACAATCCAGGTCCGGGCCCAGGCCACCAGCGGGACCATTTCGCCAAGACCTAAATCGTCATTTTCACTTCAGTTGACTCAGAGAACTATCGATACCGGCACGGCTGCGACTCACATGATCAAGACTTCAATGGTAGTCATGATACAGAGAGGACAGGGCTTGACTACAGTTTGTTGCCTGCGCGGCTGGCTTTTTAATCACTTACAAATAGTATACTAGGGTTGAGCGTAGAGAAGGAAGCACGAGAGACCTATCTATATACAGCTGGCTTCATACACAATAAGCCATTGTGGATATCAGAATGACCAGATCAACGGGCTGCGGAGTCATTTATACCTATACTGGCCCCAATGGTCTATCGGCATTTGCAAGCAACCCTTACCATTATCGAGCATGATACCATGGTTTTTTGTACGATCCTGCCTGGGACACCATCTGCGGGTCTGTCATTGGCCAGGGCTGATGGGTTTAGCATTAATGGAATATCGTAGAATTACACCGTGGCAGAATCCGTGATCGGCATTTTTAGCATTGCGCAAGCCGGCTATAGGCTGGGGATTAATTAGGGCTACAACCTTGAATAAGCACGATCGCGGTTACAACAACATGGGCTTATTGATTTCCTTGAGGGGTAGAGGTTAGAAGCATGCCTACCGCTGACTCTATTGCTCCTAGACACCTTGCCCATATTCATAAACATTTTACTGATCATCCGGACAAAGGGCAAGCCCCTGCGACATGTGTGGGCGACTGATAATCTTGTCTGCGGAGATTGGAATCTGACACACATGCCACCGCGTATGCTGATTATGAGGCCTTTTTTGCATGATGTCTCGGCGGGGAACTAGTCGATACGCTCCAGAATCCACGGGGGAAAAAAATCAGAACTCTATGCGCCTATTAGAGAGGGAGTGGGATGAAACAAATTGTGGTGATAGGAGTAGTCATTTAGAAGAAAATAGAGATTGAGTGTAACATCCATGTCAGGCTGGGCTTGAATTGACTTCTGGCTTGTCCCGCCCTCCAACAGCTTCACAATATCCACTGCTTGGCTTGGTCAGCTCTGGTTACAGGGGTGTACCCGTCTTGACCCATGAGGTCTGGTCGCGCTGCATGCCGTAAAAGCACACGTGCACACTCCAGATCCCCCCGTTCGGCGGTATATCCAAGTGCAGACCAACCGCAGTTATCCACAAGATCAACCTCGACACCAGGGTGGGCGGGAAGGGCCTCCCTGCAACTGGGGGATCTGGTCCCCATGAGTGGAGTTTCTCCAGTGTCTGATTGGCAGTTGACATGGATTCCATCCTGTGCTAGCAGGAGCTCAATGAGTTCCTTACAACCTGCCGCACTGTGCAAAGCAGTCCAGGCACGAACCCGCGGCATTGAAATCGAGGCGTCCGCATTCCAGCATGTCGCGAACAAGATCCTCTCGGCCTTGATTAATAGCCAGGTGCTTCGCAGTTTCTCCAGTATCGGGGTCTGGAAACGTGAAGTACGGTTTCCGGATGCTTGATCAACAGCGACACGGGCGCGCTTGGGAACAACTCCATGATTGCTAGCATTGGCACGCTTGACAGTGACAGTGTGACGTTTGATGTGGAGAGAGATTTGCCGAGGAGCAGCGTTATTATGTAGACCTTGGACACCTACGATAACTACAGCATTGGACAAGTTGTTGAAATTTCCAATATGGGTTATTGGTTTGTGCAGGAATGATGTTCACCCCCTGTGTCATAACATATATATTATCATTAGGAAACGAGGAACTCTCATGGTCTGCTGGGGTACGCTCGCATCGGGACAGGCTCAACAAATTGTAAGGCGTCGACAATATGATCTTCAAGGGTTGAGGCATTTATAGGCATTCTTTACGAGATCATACCGGGTGATTGGTCGCAGACAGTCTACCTAGGTGAACATCCGTAGCCATACACAAAGTAGACGAATACGCCTAAGGATAATGGGTCGAAGTTCAGTTCAAGACGTAGCTCGGAGTCAACCATTGTCTGCCAATGCCATTTGAAGTAAACACCGATAATCTTCTCCAAGTTTTATAGGTAGCAAAGTCGATGCTTCTCACTGAGCTTAGAGGGTGTAGATGCACGTGGGAACAAGCCGGCATTCCAGTCTTCAATCTAGCAACATGTTTTGTCTCACGTTGGAGCCAATCTCACTCGAACTACCTTCCTACTCTAGTCTGTTGCCGGATGGTACGCTTTGTACACTTGAAGGGCCCCCTCGACAGATTGCACAAGCCCAAAGAAGACCGTCAACCCCAGGACCAACACAGCAACCCAGAAGGTCGCCCACTGGATTGGTCGGCGCCTATCGAGCCAGAAGTGGAACACAGTTCTTGGTTCTAGCTCATCTAATGTTTCTTTCAAGATGGCCAGGCGGTCCCTCCAGAAACTGAAGCTATTGAGACCCCGGTCTTCACGTTGCATCGGCCGACGGTTCTTGCACGCGGTCGGATCCAACTCGAATGTCTCACAGAGCGTTGCGTACCACACCTCCGTGCGCCTGTGGTCATGCGGGAGCAGAAGGTCAAGAGTCTTGAGGGTCTCGATGATGAAACCTTGTGGATATATAGTTGACGGCCTCGCTGCATGGTATTCCAGAAATTGTCTGTGGTGGAAGATGGAAACTGTGTATGGGTCTTTATCATCTGCCGGGTCGCGGACAAGAAGGTGCTCAAGTAGGTTGTCGGTCCATTCGATTTCGAAATTTGAGATCTTTTGTATGTCGTATAGACGAAAGGCTTTATCCAGCTTGACCTTGTCGTAGATAGTTGTACTTCTCGGAAAACAGATCTCCATGTGCTGTCGGAGCGTCTGAGAGACATCCACCCATACTCGGCGATCACTGCATTGCTGCCACGCGGAATTCGCGGTCGGTGGGATAGCGATATTGGACATTAACCATAAGCGAATACATAGCTCAAGAAGCGTGGTGGATGCTAGTCGGAGATTCTTTTCGTCAAGAGGGTCTGTTTGGAGGAATGCCAATACAATCTGTAGAAGCGTCCGTAGAGTATGGGCACCTTCGAGGGAATCGACGATTGTGGCCATAAAATCAACCGTTGTTCTTTCTAGCAAAAGCCACACTGCATCCCCTCTATCCTGCAGTAGGTTCAGCCTTGCCTGCCAAGCCTTCGATGTTCTGTGCAGGCAAAGGGCCAAGTTTTCACCGACGCCCGTACTGGTAGGGCCCGCTTGCCGCTCGAAGATTCTAAGAATGATTTCGTTCTGCATGGCAGTATCATCGAGGGGAATCGGATCGAGATTGTGCTGTTGAGCCATTGTGGATTCTATGGTAATATTGCCTCAGATGCTGGAGTTGACTGCGCAGACCAAGGGCGAGCGGGGTTGGGCAAGCATTATATTTCAAAATGCCACCTACGTTATGGTGTGGCTATGCGAGCTCAGCTGAGTTTGCGACTCTCCAATAGGTGCTTTGCGCAGCCCTACATGGCCACGCCCGACGAAAGGCTCCTCTGCCACCCTCACACGGCTGAGCTCCTTGGCGACACTCCCGGGCAAAACCTGGCGCAGCCTGCCAAAAGCAATTATTCCGCTCATTTCCGTGATTATAAGGCAGCCAGGATTTCAATTCATCCTTTCCCCGCGGTTCTGGATTTCTTTTTCCAGACGATTATTCCCCCACAGTTCTCCGGCTTCAGTTGGGGACAGCCGTTCAGCAGCATGCCAGTCCAAGACCGAGACATACGTGATTACTGGCAACTAAAGGATATCCTCAATCAAGTGAAAGAGACATGGTATACGCTGAAGGACTCCGACGCTGTCCATCCACCTGAGGGTGTAGCATCCCAGCAGTCTCTCCCGGTGCCCCCTCAGCAGACACCGGATCCGCAGTCTCAGGATGCTAGACCGAGGAGACGGAAGAAGCGCAAGCCCCGACACTCAAGGTCGAGTTCGTCGACTGGGAGTGGATGGGGAGGTACCACCCTGGTTAACGGGCGATCAGGTATTTTATCATTCAATTGTTCCACGAGTCATTATGGGAGTGACATGAACTGACCTGGTACACCCTTGCCTAGGGTCGTCTGCCCCTGCCTCCCCTACACCTCAAAGCCCGAGCGTCCCATCGTCGGTGTCGAAGACAAGCCGAACGAAATACACTGGGGCTGGATTGTTCCAACATTGGCTAAGATCGGCCTTCAAGGGACCCGGTCCTCAACCCCCACGCCCGAAAATCACCCCTGGGCGCGAATGCTTGAGAATTAACGGGAAGCGATGCTGGCACATTGACTACGACACCTACCCGGTCGCTGAAGAGGTTGCGGAAAATGTACGAGCTCACGTCGAACATTACATCAACGGCCCTGGGGGTGTCGCTGCTGAGCACTACGTTGGTACATTTCTACTTGGGCCGAATCTCAAAGATCTCACGCCCACAGTACTCGTCTGCTGCGATAGCAAGTCCAAGAGGAAGTATCTAGAAGAGACCTTGCTGAAGAAACGTATGCCCAAACAATCATGGCTTCACATGGAAATCAGCAATGACTTTCCACACAAACGCGTGAAGGCACACCTTTCCGCGTCTGGCACCCATGAACCTATCGACGGCCAGGCCTCAGACTCACCAGGCCCTCGCACAGTATCGCTTGGCACCTTCATCACGCCACCCAGCTGCATCGATGAACACTCCGGGTGGGATGTTTATGTGCGGGGTGCTCCGCCAGATGGACGAATCACGTTTCCAGCTACGTTCTATGTTGGGACAAATCTTCGGCTACTTCACAAGATCACGATAGGGAGAATGGTCGTACTGGAAGGGGACGAACGCTTGTACGGTATCACGGTAGGGCACGCAATTACCACAAAGGGTTCGCTCCATGCAGATAGGACGGACCCGTGTTCATCTCCGAAACCGGATATGTCCGGAGATCCATCTGAGTTTAGGGCTGTGGGCACGGTTGTGAACTCTACCCGAGGGTTAAAAGGTGAGCTGGACTGGGCACTCGTGCGATTCTCTTCCAAGTTTCAGGTCGCAGACGACCTAAGGCAGGAGGACCTGGCAATTTCAAAGGAGCTTTTCAACTTTTCAAAACCTCCAGCGGAGAGGGATCGCCAGGTACTAATTATGCGCACCTCCCAACACATTTCCGGGCGGCTAAGGCCTTATATCAATCATATCAGCGTCCCCGGTGATGAATTTCTGGTCAAGACATGGATGGTTGAACTTGATGGTGGAGGGTCTGCAGGTAAGGTCCAGCCGTAGCGCTTTTTACCATCAGCATTGCCTAATATGACTTATAGAACCCGGGGACTGTGGGTCTTTGGTGGTTGATTTCCGCAGCAACAAGATCTGTGGTTTCGTCTCTTACGGCGCAGATGATGGTCGGACCGTGTTTATTGTCCCTGCTTGGGACATATTTTGCGAGATTCAAGGAGTCATGGATAAGCAAATTGCCATACTCCCCTTTGTTGACATGCACGTTCCTCCCGAGTACTCTGAGTCGACGTCTTCGTCAGCATCATCGGAATACGACGACGATGACGAGAACTCTGAAACTTCCGAAAACTTTGAGCTTGGAGAAGTTGAGGGAGACGGGGCTACCTCAACAAGGTCGTCCTCAAACACTGAAAACGAGAGTTGATTCAATGAAAGTTTCGTTCATAGGGTTTGTATTCTAGTTCGGTAGCATATATATAGACCATGTCGTTATCTTCGTCAGTTGTAATCGCCATATCCTATTTTCTATTCGTATTTTCCTCGTAGGATGTGGCCCGAAAAACAAACATAACGTGATGGTGGCTGAATATATTTTGGCCCGAGGACGCACCGGTCAACTCGCTTCAGCCGTCCTCTCCATCTGCTAGCTGGCATCCTCCGCAAGCCACGAATTAAACATGACTAACCCCTCTATATTTGCATAAACCTTATATCCCTTATTAACAAGCCAAGAGCGCCAAAAATATTATCTAAACTTCTATTATAATCCTACTAATAGTTATCTGCTTTTTACTGGTGGCCTTAACAGCCGCGCGGAAGTATCGGTTGTCCCATGCGTTGACTTCGCCCTATTAATAGATTAAAGTTGTGTTGGGATACATGTCCAGTATCTCCCTAAGCATTTAGCCGTTCGGACCTTCGTTGGATGGGGGTGTTATTACAACAGGGAGATTAAATATTTTGCTAAGCACGGCGTGCGCGAGCATATGGTTGCGGAGGTTGTTGGTTCCATAGTCACGGACGAGCTGGGCGAGTCCCACTTGGTAGCCAATAATAATAAGGGCCGTTTGCCTTCGTATAAATTACAGGACTGGCATTTTGCTGTTTAGCCCTGAATCTAAACTTAAAACATGTTTCTCTTTTCTAATCTCCTAGCAAAGAAATCTTGAAACTATTTAGGAAAGGCATAATTCATTTTTTCTTAAAATCCTTGCAGCTGTCTAGAATTATTACTAGTATAAAGGAGTTGCTTAATAATATATAGCTATGCCCCAGCCCTAGCAGCAAGCAAGTCATTTATGATACTTGTCCTTAATCTATAATCCTATTTACTTCCTATTAACTTCCTAGTAACCTCTTAGTAACTTCCTATAAATTCTATGAATCCTATTAAAGAAGCTAGATTCTAATAGCTAATAAAATTAATCAGGTTGCTACAAGACTAGTATACTAGGCCACGAGGCTTTCTGTGGCTTGAGAATATTAGGGTAGAGTTTATGCGTTTATTTTCTGTATTACTTTGTATTGCTGTTTTGCCTAAGCGTGATTAGCTGCTAAGCAGCTGCTATTTTAGCAAGGTCCAGCCGGATAACATCTTCCGCGAAGCCCAAGACAGCTTGTTCAAGGCTGACCGTGTATTCCTGCGTAACCTAAGGTGGCCAGTTAGTAGGTTGTCCATATTGGCGTAAAGGACGGACAAGCATATCATGTTTTATTCTAAACAGTCGCTATCTCATGATCTCTAAACCCGTGGAGTAATATAGACCTTCAGCGGGCCCTTTTGCCACATCAGAAAGTTCTTCTGATTCATCCAATTAACACTCTCATCCGCAAGCGTCATATCAAACTTGAATATAATAAGTGCGAGAATGAGCCGCATCTCGCTGTACGCAAGGCTGCTTTGGGATCAGCAAGGCTCCAGATCAAGAAGACAACAGACAACGTACTTTCTCCCAATACAATTCCTCGGCCCAAAGTGGAAGGGTTGAAACGCCTCACGGCGGTCGTTGGTGAACTTGACGTTTCCCATGAATCTGTCGGGGTGGTATGTGTTTGGGTCTGCGAAGTAGTCTTCACGTCGGTAGAGGGCCCATTGGTGGATTGAGACGTTGGTCTGTCGTTGACAAACTAGCTTAGTGGGCACTCTGTGCCAAGTCAGGAGTATGCATCTTCCTGGTAACTTACGCCCTCGGGTATATACTGCCCCATCACCGCAGCTCCTCCTTTAGGAGTCACTCGAGGAAGCCCGTTGGCGATCGGAGGGTACATCCGCAAGGCCTCGTCAAGGCACGCGAGCATGTAGGTAAGTCTGTTCACACTAGCCATATTAATGTCCTCCTGAGTCCGGAATGTAGATCTGATCTCGTCCTTTAGTTTCTCGTAAGACTCAGGGTTTCGTAGAAGCAGGTATGTGACGCCGCTGAGCAGGGACGCGGTCGTCTCGGAGCCACCAATTATCAAGATTTCAGCGTTCGCAATCAGGTGTTCGACGCTCAGATCCTGGCGTTGTTAGCTGTCTCCAGGGAAATGTGTGGATGGGTGTGTTCCACCGACCAATTGATCCTTCTTCTTCAGCAGCCCTTCAATAAGGTCGGCCCGGTCACCCGGCATGGCCATCCGCTGCAGCATTTTTTTCTTTGCAAGATCCTTGTGTCTCTGCGCGCCGTCCTTGACCGACTGCGGGACAAGAGCCATGATTGCGCTCCGCAGCCACGGATAGAACGTCAGCGCCTGCAGGTACGACCCCAAATGTCCCGTGTCAAAGATACTCTTAATCCACATGTCATAGGCCGACCCTTCTAAGCATCCAAACGGCTGCCCAAACGCCAGGTCCCCAATAATATCAAACGTAGTAAAATTATACCAGTCAGAGATTGTAATCGCATCACTCGTCCCAGCCATCTCGCGCAGCTTCCCAAGCAAAATCTCCACATACCCCCTAATAAGCTGTTCCTGCTCCCTCATCCCCTTCTCCGAAAACCCATACGCAAGCTGCCGACGGAGCCGCTTATGCTGGTCATTATCCTCATTAACGACATGTAGCGGCTCGTCGACGAGCGGCCGGTAGAACCAATCAGCCTTGGCCATCTCCGGCAACCCGTTCTTGTGGCCCATTATATCCTTCCAGGCATCCGGGTGCGAGAAGGCGAGTTCGTCGGGGGCGATCCGGACGATGTCGCCGTAGCGTGTGTGCAGGGATAGCATGTCGAAGGGGAGGGTTCCGCTGCAGGCGCGGTAGAAGTAGGGGATTCGGGAGATTGCGTGAGATACGGGGCCTGGGAAGCGGCGGAGCGGGTGGAAGTAGATGTTGTATATGGCGTTGGTGAGGAGGTATACTAGCACCTGTTTGGTTTGTTAGTGACTAAAGAATCATATCCGTAAACTGGGTGCAGTAAGAACCGTCGACCCTGCGATCACCAGGCTGGAATTTGGACCCGGAAGTGAATAACCGAGGAGATAGACGTGGTGGAACATTGTTTTTGAAGCGTTCAAGAACACAGTGATCCTGTCGTACAGTACCTGTCGTGCAATTGGTGGCTGGGCGGATTGAGACGTCGGATCGTGCACTTTACTCCACATATATAGATACGAAAAGTGATCGCCAACCTCAATTCCCTGCAGTACTTAATCCAATCTGCATAACCATGGAACCCGAACCCCAATACGAACCCGACCCGTACTCGACGACCCACCCTCATTGTAGAGTGGGGGTCGGGCAAGGGACAGGGGAGGGGATGTTGTTCTTGGGCGGCAATTAAAACCCTCGTGCGTCTTCGTTCCGAGCGAGAAAAAAAAAGAGTTTCTGGCAATGGCTCTCGTCCTCCTACTGCCGAGGATGGATGGCACCTCATACAGACACCGCCGTGCGTGCAGGAGGTGCGATCTGCTGTCGATCTTCAGTCGTAACTATCCTTCCGAGACGGACATCCGGGATCCGGGTTAGGATTACGGGAGCTTCAACCCTGGCCAGATACCACGCCGCCCCAGAAGTGAAGAGACACCCTTGCAACCCTATCTTGTCTCTTACAGATATTGAAACCATCGCCTCCAGAGGTATATTAGCCAGGTTTCGCTTCCGCTCGATGCTTTCCACATAATGGCCGCATATGCCGATAGACATGTCACAGCATTGTGCAAGGGAGCACTGTGTTATCTTCAATTCGACGTCTGTCCCTGACCAGCAAAGCAAAGCTGTCATATTACACAGTTGAATCTGTTGGTAACAGGGTGTCCTTGGGCTCGTGGGAGGCAGAGGGTAGGCCAATTCTCCTTTTGCTAGGATACTTTCTAGTTTTACTGTGGACCAGCGTGGCCGAAGTTGACCGTGCTCAGTTGCTCGGAGCGGGGAATCGCTGTTGTGTTTGAACCAGACTGGAACAGGGCCTCTATCAGAATACCAAGACGAGATTGCTTGTCTTTCAGGGTCGGATACTCCAGGGCTTGGATATTGCTGCATCTATTGGCTAACGACACTCATTCAGCTCGTGGTAGGTTTTACCACTATGTAATATCCACCGCCCCATCTGCGAATTCGTGTGAGTCTGGAAGAAAAACTACGCAACAGCAGTGGGTTTCCTGAATACTAGGATCGACTCTCTCGTCCTCGCTTTACATTTGATTGCTACACTACGATTCCCAGCTTGCGGTGGATGGCCGTCTGAACCTCGGCGGTGCGGCAGTTTAGGGCTTTTGCCGAAGAGCCAAGAAGGTGCTGCGGCACAGGGGCTAAACACAAAGGCTGATTACTATACAAGCCCGACTGAAAAGAGGAAGGGGAAGAAAGACTGCTCTAGCTGAGTGGTGATAGTTGGCCCATGGCCCCCCCTGCTCAGCTCTTGAGTCAATGAAGTGCTGGAGGCCTGAATTGTAACTTGTAAGCCGTAGCAGAAGACCTTGGATTGGGCAGATCTTACCGCATTCTTTTCTTATCCACTGGCCATGGTGCGTGACTATCACGCTCTCTCCAAGCCACATGACTCCGGTCTTGCCATTTGCCGTACATAGTACCGGACGATAATTCTATGGACGAAACCCCTGCTCTCTGTCGATCTTCCTGCGAGCTAGCGTCGCTCGGGCCTCCTGCCTCGTTCTCGTTTGCATTCCTGATTCTAGTTAGTCCGCGTGCCCCTCTCCAATATTGATTGCAGGCCCGCTGCGAGCTTCGATTAATCCAATCTTTGCTTCCGACCGAGTCTTTACAGAGGGCTCTGGATCTATCCTTACACAAGCCGCAGTTCCTCACAACAACATGCTCCCTCCTTCCTGAGGCACTAACCCTATATCCAGGCTTGAAAAGTGGACTTGGTCAGCATGGCGTCATTGGCCCATGGCCGCCGTGCCCATCGCAAATCAAAGTCAGGCTGTCTGCAATGCAAAAGGCGAAAGGTTAAGGTAAGCTTCCGAGCCCCGCCCTCAGCCATTATGTCCTTACCAAGGCCGCAGTGTGACGAAGTAAAGCCGGTCTGCCGTAATTGTGCATGGCATAAGGTGGGCTGCTCCTTCGGTGGCTTGTCCGCGCTTCCCCAGCACAACTTCACTGGCAGTTGCGTCACGCAACCGCCCCCCATCCACCCGTTGCGGAGCGCCAGCCCGGCGAACCAGAGGGTGGCTGCATCGGGCGAAACCGCCCAAGAAGCCCTAGTCGCACCGCGGCAGGTGCCACTCACATCCACTCTCCAACTCTTCGACATGGAGCTTCTGCACCACTACATAACATCAACCTGCTACACACTCTCAAGCAACTCCATCGTCCAAGCAATCTGGCGCGATGAGACCCCCCGCGTGGGGTTTACTATGCCCGCCGTCCTTCACGCACTCCTCGCAGTCTCGGCCCTCCACCTCGCCCGCTCGGACCCCGGGCGACGGGCCGCCTGCTTATCCCAAGCACACATGCACCATAATACGGCTGTCCAACTGGTGACGCCACATCTCCCATCTCTAGCGTCGGATAATGGCGTCGGGTTATTTCTCTTCTCTGCACTGACGTGCATTTTTGCGTGCTGCGCGACCGCCCACGCTGAGTTCAGCTTGTTTGCTGAGCAGGGTCGTCTTGCCGAATGGGTTCGTCTTATCCGGGGGATGATGACGGTTATCGAGCATACCAATCAGAACTTCCTGACGACGCCGCTGCGGCCGATGTTTGTGTATGGGAGCCGTCTGAGGACGACGTCATCCTTTCACGATCTTGGATCAATTGAACGTGGGCGGGAACTTACGAGGGACTTACGACAGGCTATATACCACCATGTTTTCCACGACCAGACGTTATGGGATATTTGTGCGGAGGCCCTTGATGCACTGAGCGAGACACTCGGGGTGGCTATGGCCGTGAATGAGGAGGAAGACCCCAGCCTCCAGACGGGCGATGTATTCGCCTGGATCCTCGAATTCTCGGATCAGTACCTCGATCTACTGCTACAGGAAGACCCCTATGCTTTGGCCATTTTCGCACACTTTTGCGTGGCACTGCGACAGATTGAATGGGTGTGGTGGACAGAGGGCCTGAGTCGGCGACTGCTGATGCAAATATACCCAGTCTTGGATGAGAGATATCATTGTTGGATGACATGGCCGCGGGAGCAGATAAACATTTGATTGATAAATACTGTATGATATAAACTACAATAATGCCCATTTCGCGGTCCTCATGAATTCCCCCATCCCTATTTGGGCGGCCTCGACCTCTCCCTCAACCTCTCCCCAAAAAGCTGAAAAGCAATCGGAATCGGTGCCAGAGCGAGGGCAATAAAAGCGAGCAGACTATTCCCCCATCCCAACCCTAACTTGTCATACAACTGCAGCCCCCCAAGCGGGATAAGTCCACCGGCTAAACTGCGCAGAATCGTACACGCCGCAATGGCACTCGCCGCATGGACCGTAAACGCATCGACGAGATACGTCTGCACGCCCATGAGAATGAGAATCATGCCAAAGCCCGTCACCGCGTTGCCGAATTCGGGCAGCAGCCAGTGGATGTGTTTATCCGTCGCCCAGCCGTAGATGAACAGTCCCGCGGGGATGCTCAATGACCCCGGGAGGACGATGTACCAGGGGAGTCTGTCCTCGGGCTTGGGCTGCAGATCCTGCGCGAGTTTGATCTTGATCGCGCGGTCGCTTAGGATCCCCGCGTAGAGCAACCCGAGCAACATCCCAACCCCACTCCCAAGAAACGCAAGCCCGCTCGTCCCCGAGGAGAACCCATACTGCCCCTGGAAGACTGGCGCAAATGTTGTGAAGAGAATATACAGGAGGCCGTAGAGGACAGCAATGTAGATGCACATTGCGGCGACGATGGGTGAGAAGAGCAGCATGCGTGTTGGACGGACGAGCGCTTGGCGGAGACGCTGTGTTGAGGGGATCCCGTCGTCAAGTTGAGATCTGTAGCCTGGGTTCCCGGTTTCTTTGCGGAGACGCGAGGCTTTGCGTTCGAGGAGGGTCGGGGCGTAGGTTTCGGGGACGATAAAGGGGAATGTGACCATCACGATGCCGCCCTGGAGGCATCGACCATGAGTAAAGGCGGAGCTGGCATCTGGAGGAAACCTAGTGACTCTGGGGTGATATAACACTTACCACAATTGCAAGAACCCAAAACACCCATCGCCAGCTCGTCCCTTGCACGAGGTACCCGCCAACAACGGGACCGATTACGGGACCAAATAGGGGGCCAAGTGACCATAGAGCCATTGCCCTCCCGCGTAGTTCCGTCGGCATAATATCGCTAATATTCCCACTCCCAATTGTCGTAGGCGCGACCCCGGCAACACCATCAAAGAATCGAAACACAACAAGCGCGGCTATACTAGGGGCGACGGCACTCGCAATGTTGAAAATGAAGAAGACGAAGTTGCAGGTGTTGTAGACCATCATACGCCCGTAGTATTCGCTGAGCGGGGCGACAATGAGCGGGCCGAATGCGAAGCCGAGAATGTAGACGGAGACCACAAAGGTTGCGAGGATAGTTGACGTTGTGTTGAAATCCTCCATTACTTCTGGGACGCCTGGGGCGAACATTGATGAGGCGAGTGGTCTAAGACGGTGCCACTGTAGTGAGTATTCCGTCAATATCGTCGCACAGAGAAAAGGCAGACATACGTTAAGAAGGTAACAAAAGAGATCATCCCGATAATTCCCCATTTCCGCTGCATACTCCAGTTCATGGGGTTGGCAGAGTCGTTTGGGCCATCCCAAGATACAATCAACTCAGGATCAGCTACGTTGGGTGATTGTGTCTGCGCCTCGGGCTCGTCTTTATGCTCCTCTGTCATGGTGTCCGCTGACATTACGTTGAATATTTCTTGGAAATAAAGTTCACAGGGGGGGCGACAAGGCCATTTAAAACAGACCTGTCCTCCGAAGCCTACCAGGCTTTTTTTTTTTTTTTTTTTTTATGCAAATGCTGGTCGGAGTCACTCGTTACCGCTCATCTTTTCTGTGAGAAGGTAACAGCTCGTATTCGGATTTCCAGCGCTCCTATTGGCTCGCTACCATGCCGTGTACCAAAGTTGTCGGTCACCACTATAATGCATTTTATGACCACGAGAGTGACTGAATTAGCACGTGTGCTCACTCTCCACTCCCCTAGTATACAGCAAACACCTGACTGGCAGTAGATGCTGCTCGGTCGCCAAGCCCCTGGGTATCTTCGGGTTCCGGGTTGATATGAATCCGTGCAGAATTTTATGCGCGGGACCGAGTCGCTGGAGAGCCCGCTTCAGCTTTGGCATGTTTTGTAGCACTTATTCCATCTCTTTGGAGTCGACATAGGTACTACGCGCTGGTTAATTGTGTAGCTGGCCAGCGCCAACCAGGGGGGCCGGCTAAATAGCCTTGGCCATCCCGGCGAGCGACAGAGCAACCTATTCAGGATCTGGTCCAACGGATCAGAATAACATTATACGAAGCTCAACTGAGCGTGCGGGGTTCTAGGAGATGTTTAGATAAGCTCCATTACGCGTGTAATTCCGAATGGGCTGCCAAATAGATAGGCGCTGCGAGTTTCGTTGGTCGGATACAAGTACTGGCATACAATACACGGTAGATTTGTCATGTGAGTGTCGGCTATCCTCACTCCCTGGAGCATCACTGGGCCCTGTGGTCAGGAGCATGAAAAACCTACTCTAAATATCCACATGTGGCCTAACACATAGATCCAAAACTGCCTTCATTTTGCATTAAAGGTCAGGAGAATATGACTTCCGGTCAGTCCTCTTAGCTGTAGTGCCCATGCTAAGCTGTTGGCTGATTTTGATAATGAGTTCATACCATGCAAAGGGTAAGTCCAAGGGGATATGCGGATTTCTATTATAACACTGGACGCCGTGAAATTAAGCTTCCTGGGGAGGAGTTGTAGGAGCTGAATGGTCTTCGTATCTGGTAAACATTTGGATATATTACTAAAGGGGCTTTTTGCATTACTTTGTTCCTTTGCCTCGCATGATCTTCATGGCTTGGCCTCGGTTTGTATGCCCTCCAGGTGTTGTTCTTTGGTTCTTCGTCCTTGCTTGTCAGTTGACACGGCCAATGACGTACCACGGTAGACTTGCCTTTGCAAAGGAGTTTCAACCACCATTGCCCATGAACCTTAATGTCACCTTCATTGCCATATTCGTCGGCCTGCATGTGGAGGCTCAAATGATATATGAGGTTAGCAAAGAAGGTTCCCACTGTCATGCCTCTTCGTGGAAAATGTCTTGAAAGGCATATTCCGAGTCTGATTCAAAGCATATCCTGCAGATGCTTCATGCAACAAGCTAATCTTGGAAAAGCTAAACATTCTGATCGAGTTGGAGTCCGGTAGGGCGAACTAATACAATTGGTCCTCCGCTCCTGCTACCGGCGTACAGAATGCTGGCAGGAACCTGGTGGATGACGCCAGCTAGAGCCAGTCTGAGCTTTGTCTACTATTACCTTCTTTGACAAAACAACTGAATAACACTAAATGGCGTAGGGAAAGTCATTGTTTGTATAAGAGGTTTTGATTGGGATGTCTCTGTTAACAGAGAGCGCAAAAGATACTGCCTTTGGACGCCGATTGTTAGAAAAGGAAACAAACAAAGTGCCAACCCATCAGGTGCACTGCGAGAGCCCAGATCCCAACCCTCAAACACACCCACAGTGAGTTAACCCTTTGTGGACTCGCAAATTGATAGGCTACACATTCATTGGCGGGCATGAAAAGGTCTAATCTTCTTTGATGCTTGCGTGTCATCTTGCCGTAAACTCATGGGCCGAGGACTGGTGATAAAGGATTCGACCAAAAGGGTCGGCGAGGGAGAAAGTTAACTCTCGAGTCAAAGAGGCAATAGCTGTTGGAACACGTAGGCGCCTTGAATATTATCTTGTGTTGAAAGCGCGTTTTGTTGCAGTAGAACCATGGACAAATTAAAGATGGACAAAGACTTAGAAGTCAATAGCGGGAGGGGGACAAGGCCGGCTCTCGAGTTCAAAGAGGTATCAAGGGGGTGAAAGACTTGCCTCCAGCATAAATAGATCATCAACTTCCTGTTTAGCAGAGGGGAGTATTAATTTGTTACTTATCATCACTACCGCCACACAATCACTACTATAAACCGGTCCACCATGGCTCAAAACAAGCCTCCAATCGGTGCTGAAATCACGGCGAATGTGGGTCGAATCCTCGACGAAGCAAAGGTCCCTTATACTCTCATGGGGCGGCAGGCGATGTTCTTTTACGCAGACCCTACGGTGTACGGGGTGAGTATAGCGCCCTTCCCTGCTGATGTTCTGCTGCTGCCATTGCTGACAGTTTTTTTTTCTCTACTAGGACCTGACTTTCGTGGTCCGGGATGATTGCCTTGACGACGCGAAACATGCCCTCGAGGCCGCCTACGACGATGCACCGAACCGCAACGGCGAAAAACTCTACAGTCTGTGCACTGACCCCGACTGCATGGACCTAATGGAAGACCGAAGTCTCCACGACGATTGGGACCCTCGTACGGACCTTGCGCGCCTACATCCGATCCCTGAACACCATTTCCACACTGATTTATAGATAGTCGTCATTTATCTGGTGCTCCAGAGCGATCACCTGTGGTGGCTGCCCCCACTGACGATGGATATGCCTGACAAGAACCACTCCTACCTCACCCTTTCCACCGACCCGGCCTTGCCACGACGACATGAGGACGAGGTTCAGGACGAGTGGTCGTGGAAGAGGGAGTGGGTCGGACCCTGTGGGCCGTGGTTCGGGCTTTATCCGGTTCGCATTCTAAAACCAGGTCGCTTTATAGAATCTCTGTGCTGGCTTTGGATGCGGGATGCCGATATGCGCAATCTGACCCTCTGGACACTATGGGAGAGCATGCTCTTATGTATGAAGAGGCGGTGGAACAAGCTGGAAGGTACCGCGGGGAGGTCTGTGAGCCTGTGGCATATGGAACGTGATTTCCGGCGGGGTTTCACATGGTTGGCTGGCGACTTTCCTGATTCTGTCCGCCGTTTATCGTATTTTGGCGGTCCCCACCCCTACCAGGTTGCTCTCTTGCAGCTCCGAAATCGGTTGATCGAGCAGGGCGCATTTCCAATGAAGCTATGTGCTGAAGAGGTTCCTGAGTATGAGCTCACTGATGAGGAAAAGCAAAGATTTCCGTGGTTTGTCCAAGCCTCTGGCGAGTTTCTGTAAGGTGTGGATTTCGCTTTTTATCCAGATTACAGCTGATGTTGTTTATTTCGTCGATTAGGGGTCCATGTTTAGCAACAAATTCAAAGCCATACTTTGTGAGAAGCAGATATTTGTAACTTATCATAGCTGGTAGAATGGAAGATTGAGTCCTGCATGTAAGAAACAAACAAAGATCAAGCGCCGCTGGCAGCGTGTCGAGTTATGTTGATTATATTTGTGCCGTAATGACAGCTGGGGGTTGCCGAAATGGACCGAAATGGGCATCGGCCTCTTTTCCCTGAATCCGATTCTGCTTCGGCTCGGCAGTTTCAGCCTGTCCTGGAGCGCAACACCCAATCAAAGCCCCGCAATATGACGGATGTTGCTCAGCCTAGAGGCTTCCAAGCCGCTGACCTCTCTGGTTCCTCCACGTGCCGCTGGCATTAGCTTAAGAGGCAGTGTTTAGAGTCGCGAAGCTGTGAACACCCTCAGAAGGGTGCCAGGAGGCGTAGGTTCAGGTGTCATAAGTGCGAATTTACCGGCATTCCAAGGCCTGAAATGGGCCTTGTATTGGTGCCGCACCCGACAATGAGGGATCCGCAGTTGGACAACTCCAAACCGCGAATCAGCGAGCAGCAAGTGGGAAAACTTTATGGACTTTGCAGGATATGTCCAGGCTCTCAGCACCCAGCCGGGCCTTCAAAGCAACCCAGCTACCCATGCTGTGAGACACGGTAATTTCGGAGTTTGATAAGGCCCGTGGGCAAAGTTGAAACCAACTCCGGACCCAGATCGTGGATTGCGGCTATGCTTTTCCGGATCGATGGGAATATCGGTTGTGGAAAGTCCGTAGCCCTCAAGTACATCTCTGGCCATGTCAAGACCAGAGAGTACCTGACTGCGTGGGCCGAGAGGAGCAGCCCGACAATGGCATTGGTGAGCGGGAGGGTTTTTTTGACACGCACCGGAACGACGCTGCAGAGCAGCCGAAGCGGTCTTATCCGAACCATTCTCCATTCGATTTCCACCGACTGCCCCAGTCTGATCCCGTTGCTTTTCCCGGAAGAGTGGACACACAGTACTCGCGATTTGGACATTGTGTTTGTCGATAACCGCTTAAACAAGGCCTTCGAGACCTTGAAAACCTCTCCTCTGGTCTACAAGGCCCGCAAGATCGCCATCTTCATTGACGGATTGGATGAAATCAGTGACCAGTACTGCAGACCCCCTCAGCTGGTCGATGAGTTGAGAAGATGGACCGTGGGCAACTCTGTCAAGATATGTGCATCCAGCAGAGTGGCCCCCGTCATTGACAACCGTCTCAGGCAGTTTCCATCGCTCAAACTCCATACAGTGAACCGGGGTGGTATAGCGAGGTTCGCCAGGGACATACTGGCTGCAGAAATGGAGTTCCTCGAGGATGCCCGGGCCCAGGAGACGATGGAGACACTCGTCCGACATGTGATTGACAACTCTAACGGCGCCTTCCTTTGGGTGTCGCTGATCCTTCGAGACCTCGTGGTTGGTCTCAACAACGCCAACAGTCTGGAGACCCTCTACAACAAGACAACCTCCTTGCCTCGGGACCTTGATCACTTGTACAACGATCTCCTTCTCTCGATGCATCGAAACGACGAGAACCAAGCTTATCGATTTTTGTCTCTCGCCCTGGTTCCCCCTCAGCCATGCCCCCTCATCCAGTTTTCGTTCTTGCGCGACTGGGTAGACCGAACTGATCTTCCAGACCAGGCCCTGCCGCCACTTTCGTCGAACAAGCTCAAACAGTGTCTGGCTAGAGCGCGGCGGCAAGTTGCCGGAGACTGTTTGGGATTGCTGGAGATTGTGGACGATCCAGGCCAGGTGGAGTTGACACTCCAGGCGCGCGTCAGGTTTGCGCATGACTCTATTGCCAGCGTTTTGAGGAGCAACCCGCCGGCTGGGGGGCAATGGAGCAGAGCGTTGGAAAGCCCTTTGATGCGTTTCGCGCCTTATGCAACACGTTCAGGATCCACATAAAGGTTGCCGGCCTCGCATTGACACGATAGACCTCCGCTTCCATCTGGCAGTTCCCTTCCGGCACTTGGAGCTTCGAGGCTGATATCTACCACCTGGTACACCAAAGCAAGTTGCAGTCTGCGAGCTTTAAGTTTGATCATTTCCTCAGCAGAGCGGTCGCTGATATCTGTGCGATACATCCGGGCGAGGCCACGGCCTCTAGGCGTTGCTTTACCCAGTTTGGGCGATATCCTCCGAAACTCAATCTCCAGAAGATGGTATTTTTAATCGCCGGCGTCCGCGGTTACAAAGTTGGTATCCCACCTCTATCGCCAGAACGTGCTCGGATCTGTGTGGCCGCGCTATGCGAAATGCTCAAGACCCCTCAGCTGGGAACAACGTCGCAGGCTCTGGCTCTTCTTCGTCGATTTTTCGGGGACTTCAACGTATCGCCGAACGAGCCCTATCCTCAACAGCTGTTCTTGGGGGACCCCAAACGTCAGTTTTCCTACTGGCATTGCGCGTTGGCCTGTGCGATGAGAAACCAAATTTTTCAACCCTCGCCGGCTGACTCTGCCTCCTGCGTGGCCTCCTTCACACTCATGGGAGCTGACCTAAGGGTCTCCGTCAGTGTGGCCCCCTTTGATTCTGATACAGTGGTGTTAAACATGCATCAGGCTCGTGACAAGGTACGTCTGCTTGAGCTGAATCTGCCTATACCGGCTGCGCGTCTTCCACAACAGTTCCAACGACTGTCGGAGATTTCCTTTGAGGCCTTGTTCAAGATCTTGGCCCCTCATCAATACAGGAAGCTGCAAGGAGCCATCGACAGGGTTCTTGGTCCTGGTACACCGCCAACTGCAGAAGACCTGGAGAAGGTTTTCGGTAAACCACTGCGAAAGGTCATAGGGGAGGAGGCGGAGTGAGCCCTCTAGTCGTTGTGGGCCATCTGTGGCAACATACTCCCTCTTCCCTTGCGGTGTCCTGGCGGTATTTGCTAGAACCAGGTTCGCACATGCAGTGTCTACACCATCGACTTGAGCGCCGCCTGCCAGAGAAGAGCTCAATATAGGAAACCTTTGAGCCGTCCAGTCTCCTCCCTCACACTTCTGCTCGCGGTGCCTGTTGTTTCGGTTATCCTTGTTCATGTTGCCCGCCTCTTCTGCTTCCATTGCCCGCTTTCTTTTTCCTTCGTTTCTTTTTCGCTTCTAGTTCCTTGGTTGCTTACCCAACTGTTCTCTCCTTTTGGTTCTGGCTTATGTATGTTTTTCGATTATTGTCTGTATCCCTGCCTCGACACACGTCATCCTGCAATCTGACCAATTCTTAATAGACAGCGTATTAGTCAGGTTCAAAATATATGTCCCCGTCCACTATGTAATTCTACCCTAGTCTTGTTGTTCAAGGGGGATGCTATCTACTCTGACGCATTCCGTCAAAATCTGTACCATAGCGTCTGTACCATAGCGCGGTGTTTCGGACGATCGACGACATCTAAGCACCTCCTTGTCAATCGACCACCATTTTTCTTCTGTTTTGCTTCTCACTAAGAATTACATCAATCTAGTATTGTTTTGATCATAAATGACGTCCGACCTCCGTATCAAATTAATGAACATCCGTGTTCCCCATTGCATCGATCCTCTCCCGAAATGCCCTAAACCGCGCAACCATCTCCTCCGGCGTTGTATCTGTCTTTGGAATCACAGTTCCCCTCTGTACCGCCTCACGCTCCCTGATCCTTGCCACCCACCTGTGCAACGCCGGCCACTCGACCAGATCGAGTTCCAGTGCAGCCGGCCCGATCTGAACCCACGAGAAGTTTGCAATGTCCGCAATGGTATATTTGGAACCAGCGAGGTACGCGCTTTCCCTGAGTCGCGAGTCTAGAACACTATATAGGCGCCTCGTCTCGTCGATGTACCGCTTGATTCCGTAGTCGGAGCGCGTGGTGGCAAAGAGCCGGAAGTGCTCTGCTTGGCCTGCATGGGTGGAAGAATTACTCTCAGTGGACAGGCTGCGGGAAGCAGACCAAACGGAGTCGACTGGAACATGGACACAGAAAGACAATAGACATACCCATCATCGGCCCAAGCCCTCCCATTTGGAACATTAACCACGATAGCTGCTCCACGTATTCCGGGGTGCCAGGCGCATAGCTAATCTTTCTCTCCTGGTCATACCTGTCGGCTAGATAGAGCATGATAGCTCCGCTTTCAAACACGCGCTGGTCGCCGTCGAGCAGGGCGGGGATGCGGCCGTTGGGGTTTATCTTTAAGTACCACCTTTTTTTGGGAGTTAGCGTGACTTTTCCTGGTTCATGATATGGACATCACGTGCTTACTCTTCCTTCTGGATATTGGTAGAGATGTTGATAGGTTCGACCCTGTACGGTATACCAAGCTCTTCAAGGGTGATGGACGCCTTGATGCCGTTTGGTGTTGGCCAGCTGTACAGGGTGAGCGGGGCCATGGTTGAGTAGCGAGTGGATGAGAGTGCGGCTATCTTTGAAGCTGCCCGTAAGTTCCAGGCGCGAGAAAACATTAGAGACGCAAGAACAAATGCCCAGCTGGCTCGAAGGCGACATATATGTATGCGCGTGTCGTTGCGCTGGCCGTTTTGTCAGCGTGGATGGCAAATGCGGGGCCGTGGCTGGCCCTAGCGTTAACCTGAGATCCAGGATGTGAGCAGTCAGAACAAGTAATTTTTCTTGGTTATTCATCGTGGGTCCTTCCGTATGTGGAGTAGAGAAAATGCTTATTTGTGGTCGCGACGCTTGCGTGTCGACTCTCCGGATACCCGCATACATACCCGAATACCCCAGGTAATATCCGAATACCCTCGACGGTGTCCGTACACTCGCCCAAGCCCCGGAAGCTACCATTAAAACATAAGGAGTTAGACCACTACAGCTGAGGCATGCCCCAGCATGATATGCGCCTTCTGACTGTTCTCGCTAGTAAGATGACTATTGTATAAAATCCTGTGACCTCCTTCGTACAAGCAGGGAATACGGGGTTATGGTCCTAGACAGAAACGCAACCGAGTACTGGATCCACCCATATCCAAATGTGCGTGTTCGTACGAGCCCCCGGTAAGATGCATTTCCGTTACGCGATGTCTGGTCAGCGATTCCTGCTGTCATACCTGAATTGACCCGGCTCGTCGTACGAGATTCCTGGTACCCCTTGCCCGCCTACCACACATACCGCCCAGGACGCATGCGCCCTCCCGGCGATATCATGGCACCGGGTTGGCGATCGAGTCCTGGCAGCCGAGCTCCGAGTCAGGGCTTTTGGCTGGGTCTTGAGTTGCCAGAGGGCTCTTTCACACCATTGCGGAATGGTCGATAAGCTTTTGCGGTCGGCCATGGGCTATGAGCCCGGCAAAAATACAGTGAGGCTAGTACTAACCGTGACCTAATGCTAGATACTAATGGAGCCAGCTAGATATAGTAGTAAATACGGTCTATACTTGCAGGACCCGGTAGGATCTATGATGCGCGACAAACCAACGAGAGCTAGGACGGTTTACTACTTAAACATCTCGATCAGCGGGTGCGGGTGAGCAACCTCGAGCAGGCGCAAAAAAAGCTAGGTGTATCAAGACTATGGTGCGTTATCAGTCCGAGCGCTGAGTGCATGGCCTTGTAGAGCAATGACATTTAATAAATATAGAATATCAGAATTCACAGACTAGGAATCCAAACAAATAAACCTTTGTAGATCCCATAAGTTGGGCCGACCCGCCTACTGGCCCATTTTCCTCAAAAAGGCCTCCCTATACTCCTCGTCAATCTGCACAAGCACCGACGGGCCCTGCGTCTGCAACAGGTCCGAGTCCACCAAGAAAGTGACGAAAAACGCTGCCGGCTCGGTGGCACTCGCATTGGCGCTGATGCGGTGGTGGCACCCTGGCGCCTCGTACCAGGACCCTCCCTGCTCTACAACCTTCATCGGAGCATCATTCATCTTGTTCAAAATAGATCCGCGGATACCGTAGGCTGAAACAGACGCACCTCCGTGGCGGTGCGGAGGGGTCGCGCCGTTCGGAGGATACTCGATAAGCGAGCCGACAATGGTTTTCCCAGGGCAGTTTACCAGTTTGTACTGGTAGACGATGGTGGTGGTTGCCGCGGGGGAGCTAGTGAGGATCAGGTCGTGAGCTGCGTCTTGGCTGGAAATGGCTGTGATGTGTGATGAGACTTACTCAGGGTTGTAGGCGGGTTCTTCCATAGTAAGATGAGGTGTTGGTGGTTGCCAGAATTATTGTGATTGAAAGTCAAAATGCCACGACTCGGTTGCATGAGGGGTCTTTATATATCTTCAAGGAACGGCATTGGGCTCGGGTCTAGAAGGTGTAAGCTGTGACTACGCAGCACCGTACGGGTTTCGGAGCCTCGTGGTAGCTTCTGAACCTTGGGGAGGTGGGACACGCCTTTGACGAACCCAGGTTGTGCTGGATACCCGTAAGTTCGCTGCTGCCCCGGTCCTACCAGGGTCGCGCGCCGATCGACCACCGAAGGGATCTGAATCTCCACTCGTCAAGGACAAATTCGTAGCTTTCCGAGCTCCATATGTTGGACGAATCGGAGCACGCTTAGCACTGGTACAAGTGCCTAATGAAAGGTTATCCCTAGATAGTTATTCCCCACAGGGCTTGATGGACGGAGCAAAAGTAGAACAGTAAGATATAGTAATAGTAACCTTAACTATCCTTGAAAAAACAAGTGCAAGTATGGTATGAGATTGGTCACATTTGTCTTATGTTATCGCGTAACAAGGCCTGGACACCGAGGACCAAGAAGTCTCCATTGGTTGCGGGTTTGGTTTCCTGGGCATCTTGAACCGTTTAGGCCCCTCGAATTCAAACACACGGTCACGCCTAACCAAATGCTGTGCTCGCGGGTCCGACAACCAGTAACTCAGTTTCACCGTTCCCTGACCCTCCTCCTGATCGATCTGGATATCGACGGTTCGTATGCGGCCCTCCTCAGGAACGACACCAGTAACGGGGTCCAGCGCTTCGGTCTCGACATCACACGCTGCCTGGCCCAGGTTCATGAGGAGGGTCGTATTGTGCAGCCCCTCAGAGTGCGGCCACAGGCGGAGGAGGTCGATTGCGCGTTGGCGGAGGGTGAAGTCCCGACACTTGAGCGAGATCCAGCTGAGAGGCAGGCTGACGCCGAGGTCGATGACCAGGTTGGGCAGGTTCGCGCCGAACTCGGTGATGTAGCTCGTGATTATGCCGTCGGCGAGGTCGACTGCTTCCGTCCACTCGCGCGGAAAGTTGTCGAAGATCATCTCGGAGAGGCTTGTGCAGGCCTCGATGTTGATGTAGAGCACGAGGTGGTGCAGCCGGATTACGTCTCGGCTGCGCAGTTCCCGGTGGGTCGCTAGAGGAGGGTGGTGGAGGGCTAGGAACGTGTCAAATGCTGCTACGTGGCGCGACAGGTACATTCTCATTTTGTGCTGTTCTGCCATTAGATTGTGGTAACTAGGGCCGGGGCCTGACTGCCCCATCCGCAGGATGGGCTGCGCCAGTCTCCAGAGAGCAAAGACGTTGTTGATGAGGGGGTCGAGCGTCTCTCTCGCGCCGTTGAGGCTGTCAAACCAGACGGGGCACGAGTCGAGGTCGATCACATTGGCAAAGTGTCGATCGACGCTGGGAGCGATCCGAGCCCATTCAAAGGGGGACGAATGGACGTCTATATGGGCAAAGGTTCGCCGCAAGGCCACTTCAAACTCGGAGCTGTTCCTTGAACAGGACGGATGGACTGCCCCGCTGATCACAGACGCCCGAGCAGTTGCGCCTTTTGCATTGGCCAAGACGTTGACTCCATTCTGGATGTGCAAGATTATGCCGTTGTAGTTGTTATTGAGGAGCTCGAACAGGACAAAGACCACGCAGCAGACAAGGGCAACGCTCCTCATCTCGGGATCATTGGACCCGAGTCGCCGTGCCAATGAGCCCAGCGCCTTGCCATGCTGCTTCAAAGCAAAGTCCCTAAACGGGTTATCTGGCGAGCGGACGTATCCGTGGCGCACAAGTGTCCCCTCGTGCAGTGCGCTGAACGCAACGACCGCGTAACAAACCGAGGGGTCGCTCTGGCACATCTGGAGCACAACATGCCATATATCCGCCGAGTCAAACAGGCTAACGAACATGGGAATCGTCTGGTTCTGGAAGATGTGGAAGCACCGCCGCTCATCAGACGTTTTGCCTGCAAGGGCAGCGCCCAAGTCGGCCTCGACAAGTCCCAGTCCCAGCCCCGGCTGGTTGCGGTTGCTGTTGCGGTTTCGCCATCTTGGGAGGCGCGTCATACTGTATCCCTCGCATTTTCGGCCCGTCGAGGTGCAGTTGCGGCATGAGCCGGGACTCTCGTCGCATTTGACTCGGCGGATCCGGCACGTTTCGCATCCTGTGCGTGCCCGGCGACTGTATCTTTTCTTTGGTCTTGAGGGCTGGGTATTGTCCGGTTCTAGCATGGTGGGTGAGCAGCGAGCCCGGGGGCTTCTTTGGGAGAGAAATCGTCTCTCCCCCTGGCTGGCTTTTTGAAGCGAGCTGAGGTTGTGGGTCCGTTTTTCGTGGGGGCCGCGCATTCATTCTCCAGTCATAACGGAGACAAGCTTCGGCTGTGGAGAAGCCAAGTGGGGAATTGTGCCTGCTCAGGTGCCCAAGATTCGGCATCATTATTCCTCCATATCCGGTTATGGAAGATAGGCGAGGCTCGCGAAGAGTAGAGTCCGGCCCACTACAGAGGCGACCAACCGACACCTATGTAAGATGGAAAATCCCCGATTTTTCGCTACCTGCCTGATAATAAGAGCCACGAGTGATAGACCATATGAAAGCCAATCAGACGCTCTATATTCCCCATCTACCGAAAGAATTAAATTGTCTTAGAAAACAACTTCGGTAGAACTGTCATAATTCCGAACTGTCTTGTAATAAGCGGTAGGATGTCCTCAGCTGCATAGTGACCTCCATTGGTACCAACAAAGACACAGGCAAGTTGAGCATACTTGGACGAACCTTCAGGAGCATCGACCGAGTAATATTAGATACGATTCCAGTACGATAGAGTGGTAAATGGGATACGACGCAGAGTTTACGGGTCAGGTCACCGCGCCCAAAGGCTGCCTTAGTGTTTGTATTCTTAGTGATGGATAAATTCAGTTGCAGAGCTGGCGACCGAGGCTGACGACCATTATTCAGCGAGCTTAGGCGGACATTATAGTGGACTGAAACTGTCCCCAAATAACAGCGTGATGGCGTCAACATACCACTTGCCCTACCTGGTTTCATTGCTCTGTATCCGTACCCAGCTACCAAGACTGCGGACATCCCATCCTCGACTCATTCCGTGAGAAACTTGAACTCCTCGAAAATGGCCTTCCCATCCAGGTCCTCGCCGCCAATCCTTCCCTGCAATGTGCCCGACCACCGCGTATACGGCGCGTTCTCCCAACCCCCCGCCGTAATATACGTGCCCGTCGCCGTGAGTTCGACCCGTTCGTCAGGAAGGTCGATTGTAACCGTAAACCCAGTTGGGTTCCCCGTCGATATCAGCGGCGGATACGTCGCATTTGCTCCGTACGGCCGCACACGGAGACCCGCGCACTGCGCAACGAGGATCTCGCCGTTCCGGGCGACATATGCCGCGATGGTGTTTTCGCCGTCGGGTGTGAGCAGATCGTACCAGACGATACTGTAGTCGCCGACTCGGCCGTTGCCCCAGTACCACGAGCCGACGTTTGCCGCAATGCTGGCGGAGCCCCAGTTCTGGACGGGTTGGTATTGTCAGCATTAAGACCTCCAATGTGTGTGATCGCCTGGATCAAATGGCAATGTCAGTCGCGCACCTGATCGTGATACCCAATCCCGGTAAACTCAAAGGGCTGGTCGTGGATGGTGAAATGAACGGTGGCCTCTGCGTCGGGCACCGCGTTTGCCCAGCCGATATTCGGTGCGATCTGTAGGTTTTGCCCAGCTACGGCCGGCCCACAAGGATAATGTGCAGGCGCAGTCTATGTACGGTTAGCCAGGGTCATTAAATATCGATACTAGACAGAGCATGTATGGATGGATGGTGCACTCGCCGACCGCAACGTCAGAGACCCCGAGATCTCTGCTGACCGCAAGTCGACCCGGTAGAGGGACATGTCCGGCGAGCCAGCAAAGGAAGCCCACGTGTCCTGATCCTCACCAAACAGCCCAGAAGCGCCATCGCCAACAACGGTGATGCGGGCCTCGGTCGCGTTGAACAAAAACGTTTCTGTCGTCCCGTTCCGCCATGTCACTTCGGCCTCAGCCAGCGTGAGGCTGGTATATCCTGCGCTTGCGAAACCAGAAAGCAGATCAAAGCCGCCGGGCGTTGCCGTGTAAAATGCGACAACGATGCTGGCTTGCTCGGGGCCTGGGGTGGGGGATTCGACGGCCTCAAAGTACCAATCCGTCCACGTTGTCGAATTGATCGGGGAGACTTTCGGGCCATCAAAGGATGAATTGCCGGACGTCCAGGTGACTTGGGAGACCTGGTTCGCTGGCACCGCGGGGACTATTGTCGTGGTTGCGTGCAGTGAGGGGACGAGCAATAGGAGCGAAAAGATTGAGGGCATGTGCATCATGGATGCTGACGGCAGTGGCTTACTCTCGATAAAGATACCAACATCAACTGGATTCCTCCGTTTTATTTATTTTGGGATGGACTGGATTGAGCATCAGCGGCCATTGTATTGCCGCAGAGCAAAGGCCCAATAACTCCGGACCGCATACGCAACCTCGCGGACTCTGACATATTTTTCAGATCAACCGTGGTTCGGTCGATCAACCAGCCTCCCTACAACAAAGCTATTGTCGAAGCCAACCCCAGCAATGCGAGGATTGGTGGTCAACAGACTGAACAGTGAGATTACGTCCGGAGCCCTGGTTCGGATGCCACAGTCTAAACGAGTGACACGTCATTTCAGGCTCCGTTCTAGAGGGTGAATAAAGCACGATAAAGTAGCTCTGTCAGCCCTAGTCTCGATCTTGGTGCCGATCATGCGGAGTAATTCACGGCGTAAGGTTCCACTCGCTACCTTTTATACGGAACCGCCTCCCGGGAAAAGTGTTTGGAGCCATCTCGGAGATCTCGGGGTAAGCAGGAAGAAGAAAAGAACGATTTTCTTCCTTTTTCACCGCCTGTGCGAACGTCAGATTTTGCTAAAGCCGCCGAGGTCCAGAAAGGACAGCACTATCCTCACCTTTCTTGACGATCTTACCAGCCTCTTCGATCCAACTTACATAGCCATATGTCATTAGGCGCATCTCCCTCGTGGATCCACCTCACTGAATCCCAAGGACAGTCGCTCCAGGACCCTGCACGGCTTGACGTATCATATGCATGAGGGTAGGGATATGAGAAGATTGCGGTAGCAGGTGGCGTAAACCCAAACCTTGATCGAACCTGTGTGAAGCGCACCGTGCTTGGTTGATACACTACCTCTTGTGACATGCCTTTCATGAGTGACACGCTGATCTTCAGTTTTTGGATACCATGCAGGGATTATCCTCGCAGCACCTTTTGAATAGACTTTTGTGTTGTGTGTTGATGGTTAAGCGTGAATATAGAAAGCTGGTCCATTCGTGATATGGGCTGTGTGCAGTGATTCGGAGTATTTTGCCACTTGTACCCACTCCGAGGGTCCACCGCTCCCGATGCCGAATCGAAGCTGGAATTCACTGGCTTTCATGCAGTGGGCAGGGTGTCTGTATGGACTTTCGAAGTCATTAACAGACTGGGTACTATTCACTTTCGCGGGCAGATCCGCCTGCACTGTATCGAATGCCGATATCAGTGCACAATGGTGTTGTCAAGACAAAGGAAAATCAAGCTTCACACTACTATCTAGACCGGGATCGGAGAATGCTTGTTTGCCGGAGTAGATTAAACGCGAGACCCACAGAATGACAAACCGGCGCTTGTGGAAAACTCCTGGACCATGGTGGGCAAGATACGGGCAGGGGACTGCATGCCAGCGTGGAGTAATGAGACGAACCCACTCTGTGCGTTCGGAAGCGCAGCATGCGCCCCGAGTCCAGGGGCCCTTTAGCACGCTTGCTCGCCGTCTCCTTTTCTTCTCCTTTCCTTTTCCAGTCGGGTTCCACTAGCTCTCAGCTGCCCTGGTGCATCACCTTGTACCCACGCACACTCTAAGACACAAGACTCAATCCGAACCGCCGACCATGGTAGTACAAGCCCGGTGATATTCGAGCCGGAACCTGATTGCACACGGTCCCTCGGCAGTCGGCCGCAATCGGGAACGCCACTCGCGTTGGATGATCGACGAGCAGCCGCGTCGTAGGGGTAGCAATCTATTCGCAGACGAGAGTATCTTGTATAGCCACTGGCACAGAGTATCCAAATGATTCTCCGCGCTCTAGTGGGGAGACAGCGCGAGCTGTGGTATCGGTAGGGAGGTCGAGGTCTCCCTGCACCAGACAGGCGCCGGAGGTTGGCACCTCGTCTCCGCTGACGAGAAGAAACTAGCTGGGCTTTAATGTAGAGGGTCGCAGGTAATCTCTTAGAGGGGTTTTACTCACTGTGAGCTGTACAAGGTTGGCTAGGAAGCTGTTGCTAGATTGGGCTATGCTGAGTACGTCTTCCATTGGTCGGTGTGGACAGGTCTGCCGTCCTCATCTTTCCGTGGGGAGATGATACTAGAATGTCCAGATCTTTACCAGGATAATCGCACGGAATGCTTGGGTGGAGATGTAGTGATAGGTGGTCTTTTCTTCTTTTTCGTTTTTCTTTCTTTCTTTCTTTCCTTTTTTTCTTTTCTTTTCTTCCTTTCTTAATTCTTTGATTTTTCTAAGGAAATATGGCATGCTAGTCCTTAACCATACCAAGCCAACTCCTTCTCAATCACTTCCTCTTTCTTCGCGTGCAAATGGGAAAAGCATGCGAGCACAAGCTCTTCCGAGACGCAGCCTGGTCGCTTTCCACGGCCTTGTAAGCGCAGTCCTGTTAACGAACAAACCTTCCATCCTACTCGGCAGTAGCCACTAAGATCCTCAGTGCCAAGTGGGGTCGTACGGAAACCGGGAATAGCACGGCATTGGCCAAGGTGTGGCTAGCCAGACTGCAGAGGGTGACTACCAAGAGCGCGAATTGTTCCCTCGTTGCGCTTCGTTCCGCCCACCGTAGACGCACAACTCACCGATGACAAGGCTTTGAAGCGCTGACTGTAGGCATAATCCTCCCTCTCAATGGTGTCGATGTTGTACGCGCGGCGAGGGAGGATCTTAACCAGGACGTGGCTGCCGATTATCCGAAGTTTGTGGAAACAGGATCGAATGAGAAACAAGTCGTCTGACCAACAACCTTTCACTTTATCCGGCGTGAAAAGATGGCTCCAGCATTTCCAAGACGTACTCACTCATTCCACCAGAGCCTTCGGTGTATACTCAGCGCATACTGATTGGATGGGGATAGCTTAAGGCTGGGTAGAGTGATGCGCGGGCGTGAAAGAGTTGCATTGCGTCGCAATCACCGCTCTCTAATGGATGTGATGCCGGATGGGATTTTCTGTAGCTTGGGAACCCTGTATGGCCGACGAAGCAAACAAGTACTGTTGTCGAATGGAATCCGGTGGATGCAATGCAGAGCCCATTCTGTACGACACGACGCCGGGCATCACCTAACACGGCGTCGAAGTCTGTCGCCAGTTCCGAAGTGTACAATGGCATCCCATAAGGTATACCTGTTCATGCAAGGTGCCATCAGCGCCGTTTGCTTTCGATTCGATCTCACCCAGGCTCGGTCCTGGAGTTCGCAGTTTTGGTGCGGAGTAAACCTACCGCGGTACTACCCTGTGTCTTTCGCCGCGGGGTATATATCTCTCGAAGTCCGGCTCATACTCGTAAGCACCTCACTCGTGGTGTAGATGAGCTCAGGCATTTATACCCTCGGCATCCCCGGCCTTCTGAACATATCTATCGGATCAGCAGCCACATCCACGTTTCAGCGCCAAATACAATGGACAAGAAATCCTTCAGGGTGATCATTGTGGGGGGATCCATTGCGGGGCTGACTTTAGCCCATTGTCTCGACCGCGCCCAAATCGACTATGTCATCCTGGAACGGCGGGCCGAGGTGGCTCCACAGGAGGGCGCCTCGCTCGGTATTATGCCCAATGGAGCACGGATCCTGCAGCAACTGGGACTCTACAGCAAACTCGAGGAGCTGATACACCCGCTCAAGGAGGCCCACCTGAACTACCCCGATGGATTCAGCTATACCAGTCAGTATCCGAGGTTGCTGCGCGAGAGGTATGTGTCTTCCGATTGTTCATCCAGCGCGCCTCGTGTGCTCTCCTGCTGTTTCGGTCCGGCTAATTTTATGTATCTCTAGGTTCGGTTACCCGCTGGCCTTTCTAGATCGGCAAAAGGTCCTGGAACTGCTCGGAGCCAGCCTGCCCTGCCCGGACAAGCTCCATGTGAACACAAAGGTTTTCCGAGTCGACGAACTGGCCGACGGTCTACGCGTGCATACTGCCTCCGGGGCCTGCTACGATGGGGACATTGTCGTTGGTGCGGATGGCGTCCACAGCGTTGTGCGTCAAGAGATGTGGCGCCTTTCTGGAACATCCTCGACGCATGAAAAGAAGCGTGAGATAACCCCTCCCCAGTCATCGACAGAGGCGTCTTGAGTTTCAATCTCAGTGTCCTGACTCACATCTTTTCCAGGAATGCGGGTCGAGTACGCGTGCGTCTTTGGCATCTCGTCGGCGCTGCCCAATCTCCCGGCAGGGGAGCAAATAACATGCTACAACAAGGGCTGGAGCATTCTCAGCGTCGTCGGAAAGAATGGCCGGCTCTACTGGTTTCTGTTTTACAAGCTAGATCGGAAATATGACTACATGACCGCCCCGCGTGTCTCCACTGAAGATGCTGTGCGTCGTTGCTCCGCCCTAGCCGCAGAGCCCTTCTGGCAAGATATCACCTTTGGAGACGTCTGGGGTGCTCGCGAGACATTTAATGTTACCAGGCTAGATGAGTACGTCCTACCCGAGTGGACGTATGGGAATATCATTTGCATCGGGGATAGTGCGCACAAGGTACGGACGAATCTTTTAAATCGCCCCCCTTCCTCCCGATCCCTCTTAATCTTTGCGGGAAGTGGAGCCAACCCCTCCTTCCCCACAACCCTCCTCGTCCATGCCCTGTCCCTCCAGTGGCTAATGCACAAGTGGCCGTACAGATCGCGCCTCATACAGGCCAAGGAGCCAACTGCGCCATGGAAGACGCCACAGCGCTAGCCAACGCACTGCATCAAGCGCTGCAGCACAACCTAGAAAGGAACTACCGCCCATCGCCCGCCGAAACCAGCCAACTGCTCAAGTCCGTCGCGGCCGCCCGTCGAGCGCGCATGAGCGGCGTCGCCCACTCGGCCAAGATGAGTACGCGCCTTCAAGCGCTTGATGGACTCCTCTGCCGCCTGGTCGCGCGGTATTATTTCCCGTATGCCGGGGAGATGCTGGCGGACCTGGCGTCCAAGGGGATTGCTGCTGGCGCGCCCATGGTGCGCTATCTTCCTGTGCCGGAGCGGTCGGGGCCGGGGTGGGACATTTTTGGCAGGGAGAAGAAGAAGACGAAGAAGAACGAGAAGAACAGCATCAAAAACAAGACGACAAGGAGCAGCCTGGGACGCGTGCTTTCTTCTTCTATAGCCACGCTCGCGTCTATTGCTCTTATATGCCTGCTTTGGTTTCCGGCGCAGCTGGCGGCGTTCTCTCGTAGCATGACCAGGGGTTCGTTGACTGTTGATTGGTGAAGTGCGGTGGGAGCAGCGGGACTGTTCCTATCACGCCACCGGCAGGTGGATGGAAGGTGGAGGCAGAGGTTGGTTGGAAAATGCCCCATAGGCCATCTTGGGGGATATTATGATGCACGTCTGCTCTAATTCTGATAGTGGATTAATGAATTCGAATTTCTAGACCGACAAAGGAGTCCTGCTTTTCCGCAGGCACGCCGCCAAGGCGGATGCCACACCCCCTGACCCTATTAAGGGATACCGATTGGTAGAAACGCTTTGAATAGACCTTGTTCCTTAAGATGCTTGCCTTCTTTCCATTTATATGCTAATTCCGCAACTTGAGCACTCAATCGGCTACTTTCCCCGCTCTCGTAGGTATCAATCAGTTTTACCTAGAATAGTTTCTTGGCAACTTGTAACATATGAGCCATTCAAAAATATATTTCGACACCCTTTGAATGTAATGTCCCGATGTGCCGCGTCTCCCTCATGTAGGCCAGTACCAAGGCATATAAAATATGATATCATGGGGGAGTTATTCGCTAGCCATCTAGACGATGAGCCTCCTTTTAGATGATTTAGCCCGTGGAGGTCTATGAATGCCCGTTCCCATACCTCGAAACGAATGCCGACACACAAAGTATCTATTTCTCATGGCTGCACCCAGTTCTAGTCAACCTTCAGCTCCTCAAACTGAACATCGACTGCGTCGGTCGCGACTGCGAACACTCCCATCACTGGACCAGTGAAATCGGCATCAGTCATCTCAAGGGTATCAACCGTGGCCAGACACTCCCAGCTAGCCTGATCTTCATAAGTGTACAGCAGTCGGTATTCGTTCTCGGTGTGCTCGATGCGCAGCCCTAGAGCATTCATGCTCGTAGTACCATCCACCACATGACTCGCTGTCCTTGCAAGCTCCTTGGCCTTGTTCACGATTTCAAAGACGATCCTGTGGCCATCGGACGCGTAATAGATCCGAACATAGCGGTGCTCATCCTTGTAACAGGCAAGACCCACTTTGAGATTGGCTTGCCCGCGGTATTGAGTGAACTTGGGGATCACGACGCTGCTCTTGCCGGCCAACAAGCGCTGTCGCTTGCCGATAAACGTTGGGCTTTTCTCGGGGTCCGAGAAGTCAATAGGGGTGGCTGTCAGACGGATCGACCGTTCGTTGTCAACTCGGTAAATCTCGAGCACTGCATCACGAATGTAGACAAGGTCCACGCCCGGCGCTGCCGACAGGCTGGGTTCAGCCCGAACTGGAGGGATACCTTCAACATGCGACTTGACCAGCTGGAGTGAAAGCCACTCCCCATCCCAGCTCCCCGGCGTGATAAACGTTTCCCTCCCCATGATACCACGCCGCCCCTCGCCTCTGCGAATCCCAAGACAAACACCCCACCACTGCTGCTGTTCATCCTGAAACACATCACAATGCCCTGTACACTGGATGTACTCCTCCGTCCCAAACGCCGTCAAGATTGGATTATGCGGACAGCCCTCATACGGCCCCCAGATATCCCGCGACCGCGCCATGGTAAGCATATGTTCCTCGTGCGTCCCACCCTCCGAGATCAGGAGATAGAACCAGCCATCCTTCTGATACAGATGCGGGCCCTCGGGGTAGATCCCGCCCGTCCCGCGCCAGATAATCTTCTCCTCAGAGAGCTTCGCGCCCGTGTGCAGATCGACCTGGAACATGTTGATCGTCGTATATGGACCCGGTGCCGCAGACCCCTGGATGTATGCCGTGCCATCGTTGGCTATGAACAGGCTGGGGTCGATTCCGCGGAAGTCAAAGTAGACGGGGTCGCTCCAGTCGTCGGACCAGATGCCCTCGAGGGAGGTCGATGCGATGAAGTTGCCGAACGAGGTCTTGTCGCTGTCCACGTGCTGCACGTTTGTGCAGACGACGTAGAAGGTTCCTTGGTGGTATCTGATCGTTGGCGCGTAGAGACCGCCTGTGGCGAGCAGGAACTCGCCGGGGTTCGAGAGCGGGTGTAGTCGCGTGTTGGATAGGGCGAGGCTGAGTTGGGTGCGTCGGTTGATGACGTTTCCTGGATTGATGATTGGAGTTAGCTGGGACTAGGTTATTCCTGCTGGCTGTGATGCCAAAAGCTCACCAATGTGCTTCCACGACCCTAAATCTTTGGACACGTATATCGGCAGCCCGGGGAACATGTGAAAGCTGGATGTCACCAGGAAGTACCATTCGCCGGCCTTGACTATCGAGGGGTCCGGTGCGAAGCCGGGGATAATGGGGTTTGTAGCCTGAGGCATGGTAGCTGGTGCAGGTATAGGAACGTCGCTTAATATAGCATCAAAAACTGAGAGAGGGCGAAGCAAGTCTTATGTACCAGGGAATCGCCAGGATGGTGCAAGTCGGACAATAGGGTGCCCCCGGATTAGCATCGAGGTTGATTTCAAAATAGGCTAAATTGTTTATGCTAAACGCCCGGTCCAGACGGTCTCGAGAACGATATCAATTGCGATTGGATGGACACAACATTGGCGAATACTAGTCTCGCCGGATTCTGCCACTCCAACAACTTGGAAGTACGTGAAAGTGGGAAAGGGGTTCGAACAAATTATCTAGGTAGCAGCATCCAAAAGCCACTGTTCACCGGCAAATGAACCGTGCAATCTCAGGTTTCTGGTGCGCAACGGTACTATGGAATCCTTGCCTGTCAGTATATAGATTCGCCGACTAGAGGGTAACTCCAAATCTCAACGAAATCCCCAGCAACCCTCTACTCCGACATGGCATAGATAAGGCCAAACAGCACTCTACTCCTGCCTCTCCACATGCACCGCAGTAGCCCCCTTCACTGGCCCCATCTCATACACATACCCCTTCTCCTTCATGTCCGCAGTCGCGACCTCGCCGACATCGACCGCACTATCTCCGTCAAAGTACCGAGCGATTTCCTCCATCGGCGTATACCGCGTCTCAATCAGGAACGAGTAGATGACAAAGACTTCGAAGCCGAGAAACACACAGTAGACAATGTAGTACTTCCAGGCCAAAGCGTCGAGGGCAATCGCGTTGATGTACTGGTTGAAGAAGAGTGCTCCGGTCACGCAGAAGTTGAGCCAGGTGAAGCCCTTGGCGCGGAGGCCGTAGGGGAGGATTTCGGTCGTATATGTGGCCATCAGGCCGGATCTAGTGACTAGGTTAGCAGCCAACAAGGGTAAGATGGGTCAGATGTAGACTCACTTGATATCATAGAAGACGCCGTAGAGGAAAGTGAGAAAGACAAAGGCGTACCCCAGTCCCTTGTTCGGTGCGATCTCGTACCGCGCCGAGACAATCGTCCAGGCATTGAACACGACGCAGGTTCCAATAGTAGACACAAGGTACATCGGTCGGCGGCCCAGAATCTCAATGAAGAATGCAAACACAAAGTTTGTGACGAGCCCTTCAGTCTTCATGCCAGCGTTGATCCCCAACTGCGTCTGGGCCTTTGTGATACCAACACTGTCCATGACATATTTGAGATAATACGAGATGAGGCCATTGCCGCTCCACTGGCTAAACAGACCCAGCGCTGTGATGAGAGCGATTCGCTTGCGGTTTCCCCTGGTCCGCATGAAATCGACCCACCCTGTCTGGCCCGTCGCTTTATCCAGTGCGATGGCGGCGTTGATTTCGGCGTACTCGAGTTGCACGAATTCGTCGCTTTCGTCGCCCTCGGCGTGGTACTTGACCAGGATGTCGAGGGCCTCTTCGTGGCGGTCTTTGTAGATGAGCCAACGGGGGCTTTCCGGCATCCACCAGACGCCCGCGATGATTATTATGGTGCAAATGGCTTGCAGCAGGCTGGGGAGTCTCCAGGACCAGTCACTCTGAAATCATCAGCCAAATGGTCAATGTTACAGACAGAATCGTACAATCCGAACGACTTACCGGAATATCCAATGTCCCCAGCGTAACCCAGCTGGCGATAAACGCGCCCGAATGATACGACGCACCACTCAAGGTAACCAAGACGGCTCGATCCTGCGGGTGGGCAATCTCTGCAATTAAGAGTGGCGCACTGCCCAGGACAATACAATCCCCAAACCCAATGACAATGCGAGCAGCAACAAACATGCCAAAGTTCTGCGCGCCAGACTGCAGCCCCACAGCCAGGAGCATAATCACACACCCAACAACGAGCCCCATCTTCCGCCCCCGCCAATCAATCAAGTACGGAACGACAAAGAGGCCGATGAGGGAACCCAGACTCATGCTCGCATTGAACAGTCCCAAAAGGGCGCCGCGCGGGTAGTTGAAGTACTCCTGCCAGTAGGAGAGCGTTTGCAGGCCGTTCATCATGGACCCGTCGAAGCCGTTGGCTGTGTTGCTGAGGATCAGGATGACGATGTAGATGTATAGCGTTCGCATGTTCTTTCGTTTCCACCACGGGACGCGGGCGAATTCCTTGTGCGCGAAGAAGAAGTGCCCCTTTGCGGGTTTCTGGGGCACGACGCTGCGCGTCTGTTTGGGTGGGCGGAGGGAGAATCCCATGGTGGCGGTAATCTGCTTCGTCCGATAAATTGGAGACGACGCCTGTGAGAGCGATGTCAACGGAGTCTAGCCGACGAGAACGTATCCTCTTAAAAAGACTTATATGCATGGGTGCAAGGAATTCAGGCTATACTCATGGTCCACAACCCAAGCGAGGTCCGGACCACGGGATGTCGGCCCCATGCGGCGACTCAGGTGACAGCTCGAATGCGGGGGATTGGCAAATGAACAGCCGGAGAAACAGAGGGATTGGAACCCTTGAGCCCCTAGCGCCGATTTAGGGCAGCCTCCCCGCAGGAGAAACACCGGATCTTGCCCTAGCGCCACGACGTTCGTATTGGGGACATTGAGGACCACGGAAACGCGTGTCCCAAGGAGCATGATTGTTTCTTGGCCAACACACCAATTGGCCAACATATGCCAAGGGCAGACCTTTTAGCCTGAAAAGGGTCTTTTGTATCGCGTGTCAAATTGGCTTCTCGGCGAATCTTGATAGTCAGCACTCTATCTGCTCGCCCCTGCCAGCCGGAGTGCACAGCATTGCCCTAATTTTGGTGACTGGTCCGGGCTAACGGGAATAATGAAGCCATAATATAGCCTAATTTCTGGATTGTGATTATTGGCAATAACTCAGATACGCACTAGTGCTTAGAGTGATGACTTTTGTGGCTTTAGCTTCACGCTGGCGCGTGAGTACTATGCTACAACGGGCGTTGGGTTCCCTTATATTGCCTGTATCTCGGCATCTCCTTCTCTCCTGCCAGAAATCTCGAGGCATTATGTGCCCATCGCACTGTTGGTTAGAAAGAAATACAAGCTGGTTTTCTGTCGCCTGCTTCCGAGTATATGCCCATGGAAGTCCTCTAGGTGTGCATAGGTGAAGAACGACTCGGTCAATGTGTACGAGGCGAGTATAATCATAGCAGAAGATGCTCTAACAAGCTTACTATTGTTTGTTGCGACTGGTTACATAATGGATATTCTCACCAGGTCTTGCTGTGCAACACGCGAGTAGGGCGGTCCTTCCTATCATTCAGCAACCGGAAAGACGCAGTAGATGGATCTATATCTCACGTGGCAGTGCGTTCAAGACCTAGACTGCGTGGTCGCGAGATGCGCGGATGGATGAAGTGAGCTGTTACCATGGACATGAATGCGATGTTCAGTATCAGAATGTTACATTCCTTGGGTAAGCACCATCTCTGATCGCTCCATAGGCGGGCAGGCTATAATCCCCGAAACAGCTGGCCTCGTAGTTTGCCTTGTCGATATTCTCCCGCTGCGCGCGTAGAAAGGTCGACAACTCACAATATCCATCATCGCGCTGGCCACAGGCTGCAATGCTCCGTCCCAGTGGCACAGTCCGCTGGTTGATGAGCATATGTACGTACACCGTCTCATCGCCTGTTTGCTCATATATAGGACCGGAAATTCCTCCATCGTTGAGTCTAGTCGCGGGGATGGGCTTTGGCGCTTGGATGATTTCGATCACGAAGCGTGCTGCAAAGGGGACAATGTGGCTTCCGACGAGTGCACGGTCCCGGGAGGGATTTGTTGAGGGTAGGAACTCGCCAAACTGCGTGAGCCCCAAGGCCGTCAACATGGAGAACATCTCATTATCGTGACTGAAATCCAAATAGACAGTTTGGTTCAGCGGGAAGGTCGACGTTATCGAATCGAGCGTCTTGTTTAATGCGATGGAATCCGTTGGCGGGTTCGGCAGGTGGCCTTCCAGCCGGGCAATCAACTCCTCGAGGTACCCGAGACCGATTGATCGGCCCACTGGAGAAGCCATCCCGTAGCTCCCGTACAGCTTCAGGTCCGTCATGTACCCGAACCTTTCCCACTCTTCCCACGTGAATAGTGTGCAGAAGGAGCTGTAGCCCAAGGCGACTGTCTCGTAGGGGCACATGGTCTGGGCATTATAGGTATCCTTGACTGTCCAGTTTGCGCTCAGACCCCCGAAGATCTGCCCGCGAAATCGCTCTGTTGCGTTTCGGAGGTACACGGCCATCCACTCGTCCATTGCCTGGTCGCCTGTCGCGCCGTTCCCGTTGGCAGCGTTATCACACATCTTGTTGCCCGCGAGCGAGTTATTGAACCCCTCACTCTCGATAATGACCTCGAGCGTCGCATTATTCGTCCAAGCCGGACCGAAGAATCCATTAAGGAAGTTCTCCGCAGACTGCAGCATCCTCACCATCGTCGTTGTGCGGACTATGATTTTCGACGCGGCGTCATGGAGCTTCCCGTAGTTGAAGAAATGCAGTACGCCACTGTCGAATAACTCTTGCCGGCCCCGTGCGGTCAACTCGGCCTCTCCGAGCCTGTAGGTCCAGTGATTGAGAAACGCGAGATCGCCCGTAAATCGCGTCCCGTCCTTGCGCAATCCAATGATCTTTTGAGCCCATTCGCCCGTTGCAGAACCCGAGGTCGGGTATCGCGCGCCGTGACGATGAACCATGTGCATCTGCGTGATATTCGCGCCAGGTGGCAGTGGGTACTCATCCACGCCGAATCCCACAGGGTTGGGTAGGTAGGGACTATATCATGAAAGACAGAGTCGAATAAGACAGAGCTTCTCCTCGAAACAGTCAAACGTACCTCAATGTACCCATCAGGGAAAAGATGTTGCCGCCATGGGGCTGGCCCGATATGGGAAGGTTGGTTACCAACGGTGCGTTTGGGACGTAGGTTGGCTCGTTGAAGACGGGACTGGTTTGGGCGAGGAACGCGGCCTCTCCGGCCTTGGTGGGACCTGCAAAGGGACCGAGGGTGGTTTGGAAATAGTCAGGGGTTGGAATGGGCACATCGGGGGTCTTCTGCGTCGCCGAAGAGGCGCGGACCAGACAGGCAATTGCGTAAAGGGGAAGCATCATGTATGCAGAATGTGTGTCTTGTATCTCGACCAGGATTCGAAGAGGGTGGTGGAATTTTCACAGTCTATATCCCGGAAGCACTCAATATATAAGCTGAGTTGCTCGACACCCTGGAACAACATATCTATCTCATTCCTACTCCTTTGAACATATCCTTCCCCGGCACTCGCTTAGAATGTACCATTTGCCGATATTATCTGACAGACAGCTCTAAGATTCCCTACCCACACGCGAAGAGTAAATGCGCCAGTAGTGACGGCCAGTCAGGACCGGTTTTAAAACCCACAGCCAGCTTAGCGAGTACCAATCTTCGTCCATTGGCCTACCACTACATGGCCCTGTATCGATTAGTGCACAGGCTCAAGGCGCTAACGTCAAGTCACATCCTGCGAGGTCAGCGCTAGTGCATTGCTTGTTGTGACCAAGACGCCGACCCCGCCGGCTTTCAGGCCTCCACCAAACAATCCAACGGCCAATGCCACTATTCTGACCATTGACGTTCCCCTTCATGACGGAAACCTGTTTCCGCATATATGGGGCGCTTCCATTCAGTGGTGGTAGCCTCTCTTGTTGGTACCATAAAAAGCTGGGGAAAGTTACATCGGGCCCTCAATAGTGGTGAACAGTAGCCGACAGTTCCCCGCGTTAGAACGAATGAGCCAGAGACTACTTCTCGTCTTATTACTGCTGTTTGTGTCTGGTAGATAGTTCATGATCGTAGTATATGTAGCCATCCCGCCCCAACTTTCACTGTTGAGTTACGATCAAAGCAAGCCTGGGTGTCGGTTCTCTGCGGGCGGGTGGGAGAAGATACTCAGGACTCAAAATGGTCTACAGTAGTGCCCCTCCCATCGCCGGATTAAATGCATGTATGCATAGCTACAACACGCATCAAAAGTTGAGCAGCCCCTTTGGAAGCAAAATGAAATGCAGGTTGGAGTCATCTTACCCCGCCTTATATCGTCCTCGGTTCTTCGGCTCGCCAATGAATGGTCTCTCTTTGGAGCCTAGGACAAACTAAGCTTAGACAAGCTCAAGAACAAGAATTTAGCACCCCACTATTTCTGACTGGCAATAATTTGGCGTTGCGGAATGTGGTTTCCGAGCGGCATCTTGCCAGCTGTGGCAGACAGCACAATATGGGGTATGGGGAACTGGGGTTGTCTCCACTCCACGCCAAGTGGTCTACAAGTATTTGCGTCACCTGTGTGGTTAGCACCGTGGTAATGCATCTGCTACCCTGTCAAGCTACTGCTCCTGTCTCAAACAATTGTACTAACAGGCCTATATATTACGAGGCCCGCTTATCAAATTGAATTGAGACAAATTTTGTCATCAATGACAGTTCAACATTCCCGACTCCTAGATTATCCCGCTCGCCCTTTCCAGCAACTCCACCATATCGCCATGCATGAAAGTTGCCGCCCTCGCTATGGGAGTTATCCCGAGGGATCCGGGAGATCCGGCCGGGCCCCATACCGCAGCAGGACACGCGCACTCTCAAGGTCACCTCGCGCCGCTGCATTCGATAGGGCTGTCCGGCCGAGATAATCTACCTGGTCGACCGCCACGCCCCCTTGCGCTAATATGGCTTCGATAGCCAGGTGGTATCTCGGTTGGAGCAGCAGTGGTTCGCCGCCATGGCCTGGCAGATCGATGTCGATCCCGTCCTCCGAGAGAAGGAGCTTCAGTGATTCAACGTCGTGTTCCCCGGCGGCAATGTGCAGCGCGGTGTCGCCACGGCGATCGACAGCGTTAATGTCAAAGCTACCAAAACTTGCTATTGCTGTTGCTGATGGGTCGCCACTCGACGCTGTAGCGGCGACGATGGCTAAGCGGCGACGCTCGAGGATATCGCGTACAAGGCTGTCCTCTCGGACCCCCAGAATAGCAAGCATGAGCGGGTTCCGACTAAAGCTAGTCGTAATATTCCGTTTCTACCCATGTTGAATGCCATTTTTTGCCTATTACGGAACAAGAGCATCTCATAGCAAGACTGTGAAGGATTGGATATGATGACTTTTCCCCTACCCTACTGGCAGGAACGTAGGATGAACCAGTCTTTGAGCCACAGTGTCCTCGGAGTCGTTTAGACCAATTCATGGAGTGAATACAACCGCCGTCGGCCAATGTTCAAGTTCAAAGCTTGGCCATTTCTACATCCGATCATGATCTGATCTCGTCGCACATCGTACCACATTAGTTGCAAATATTCTGGCAGTCGAAGGATAGGAATGATGGTCCACGATATATCCACTAATCCTCAAGGGTATTTCCGAGCCACTTTGAAGGGGTAGATGTCATGCGTCCACAAGATAGACAACCAAGCTGGCCCTGGAAGCCGGGCAGTTTTGGCGCAGATACATCGCAGCCACAGTTCTATTTGAACGTGTCGAATAACGATGCCGGGCAAGGAGCTGTAGTAAGCGCCGGGGTCCATACTCCAGAGACACTACAGGCACTGCTAGGAGATGTTCAGTGATCAAAAGCAGCCATCGCACTTCAGGGAATACAAAGTCCTCGCCAAAACACCAGTGGTACAGATCTCCAGCCTCAGCGGCATATCTTCGCTGCTGCATCTAAACAGGAGCTAGCGGATACGCCATCAGAGAACCTCTCTCAAAGCTATGGGCACCAGGCACCCGACCACGGCAATGAATTTGCTTCTCGACACCCACAATGATTTGGGGTATTACAGAAACAGCTGGTTGAGGCGGACGAAGGTCTTAAGTGACGATCCGATTCAGACGATGTAACCCATCCGGTCGATTGGAAAACATTATTTACTGCACGTCAAATCGCATGGGGCCCCAGGCCATAAGGCACTTAGACCTCGCCACAGCCTCTCGTGGCCTAATTGTCCCTCCCAAATTAGGTTGCCCTAATGGCATCCGACTGCGAGGGGACTGTGACGCAGCGGCAAATTCTAGCACCGTGTTGACCAAATAAGCAGCTCCAGGTTATAGACACTGGGTGCCGCGCGCGCTGTGCAGATAGCTTTGCTGGTGTGCTCTAGATCAGCTGCTCGGTTGCTTATGTGTTATTTGAAGATAAATGCCCTTGCGCAAGCTGACCGGCGGCCGCAGTTAGATTGCAGACGTAGGCGTAGACTTGATGGCCTGCGACGAGACAGTACAGCACTACGCCGCGCCCTTGAGTGGCGGTGGCGCCGGTGACAAGGACTTTCTTGGAGGAAGACATTTTCTCTGCAAACTTTGCTAGAGTGGAAACGAAGGGCGGAAGCGCGCGGGGGCCTGAAGGACAAGTGGCGAGGAGGGGCTAAGCATCATGGGTTCCCTGCCGTCGAGCTGCGTATCTATCTTCTGCAACCCAGTGGAAAACGTGAGCCTGGTAAACAAACGACTTATCCAAGATTCCACGCATGAGATCAAGGACATTTCCCGTCTTCGTGGTACTCGGAGTCCATGTTTCTTGTCCATCCTTTACCCTTCCGCGGCAGTGCACAGCATGCGCTGGATAAGCGGAATACGCATACGCCTACGTATACTCTATAAGAAACGCACCAAAGTCTGACACAGCGACCAAGCGCAGGAAAGAATAAAACTCCGGATACATCCCTCTCTCCACTCCCTCAACCTGAATCATTCGAAAGTTAACTACTCCGCGTACAACCGCCGCACCACCAGCAAGAATGCCGCCCCTAACAAAATTCTGGCTGACAAAGGTCAAAGACCGCGCGTCATTGTCTGATCAAACCTTCCTTGGCCTCCTTCGCGACGCAACCTCCTTTTGCGCGTCATATACAAATCCCAACAATGACCCATCGACACCCACAATGCACGCCTTCTACCGTGTCGTGAACACCAAGGGCAGCGGCTCCTCTCCCTCTGACCTCCTCCTTATGGTGTCCGGCTACCCATCGCAAGAGCTCAATGAAGAGGTGCACAACGTTTACATGCCAGAGTACGGAGCGCGGATGTTCGAGTACGTGGAGCATGTGTCGTTACGACAGGTTGAGCTCGTGTCGAGTGAGTTGCCGCTCGCGGAGAAGGTTGTTATTTCATGTACTACTGGCGGTTCAGAGGGGCGTAAAGATGGGCAGGTGGGTGGGTGGGATATCTGGGAACAGACGCCTGAGGAACGGGCGATTATCTCTGCGCAGGGAGGTCGGAAGGACGGGATTGACGGGGAGAGGGTGTGGGTGGGTGTTGAGCCTTGGCTGGATACGGAGGAGACCCTGGGATCTGGACAGGAGGTGTTTTATTGTGAAATGATAGCCAGAGGATAAAGGGTTGCTCGTGCAGACGCTGGCCTGTAGTTAATCGGATATAACTTCCATTCTAAGATATTCGAGCATATTTTCCTGAGACGGCTACATTCACAAGAATAACTGATATACCCCGGCACTATGGGATTTATAGTTAACCGCGCCTTCACACAGTCAGGGTGAATCAGGTACTTGACCCCCTGCCTGAACGGGCCCTTTTCAGAGAGCTAGTCTGACACCAGTGGCAGCCACGGTCTCCGTGCTCATGGCCACGGCGTCGAGGCGCGTTTCAGAGCAAGATTTGATCATGTGCTTGTGAGCATCATTAAGACTTGAGTTTAGTTTCCCGCGGAGCGAGTATAAACCGCGACATGGTGGTCCATGATGGCAACAACGCAGAACTCAACCCATGCGGATCATACTACAGTTGAGGATGATAAGATACGCATCACATTTGTCACACGCACAGAAAAACTGCCGACGCACACAGACACGGCTGGCCGGACTCTCACGATGTCCAACTCTGGGGGATTTATGGCATCAACCATGCAGCACCGTAACAGGCCAATGCATAAGCGCCACAAACGTCTCATCGCGCGAGGCCTTGAACAGAGTATCAATCTTCATGATCTCTTCATCAAACGCCCCGTTGAGGAACCACGTCGCTTCAAACAGCGCCAGTGTGAGGTAAAGGTGCGCGAGGACAACTAGTGACGCATTCGGCGTCACATCAGGGCTGCCGAGGCTGGCGAGGAAGTCCTCCGAGAGAGCCTGCGGCCAGCCCATGACCGCCGCATTCTCCATGTCAGCCTGGATTGCAACTGCAAGGCTGACCCCAGTATCTGGGTGTGTTTCATCTCGCCAGAATTGGACCACGTAGAGGATCCGCATGTACATCGACTCGAGGAGGTCGAGGCCTTCTTTCAATGCCGAGGATGGATGGTCCATGCGGCTCCGGGGCGAGTCTTCATCCATGGGCGACGGCGTAGATCCTTGTAGAGATTTTAGCCGAGAGAGGGCCTCGTATGCGCCGCGGCAGAATCTGGCGATCCGCGGCGAGCAGCCTGCGGGGGCCGTGACGGCCGTAAACATCGTGTCTGGATACATCTTCCAGTCCTCGGTGGCCTCCGGATGCTGCAGGATCTCGCGGAATGGACCCATCCTCAGCGCGGGCCAGCACTGTCTGACCACCGTGGTCAGGCCGCGGATGAGGTATATCCAGTCCAGGCGTAATGTAGGGAGCGGGGAGCTGGTGGAAATGGATATGTGGGAGTCGCTCCAGTTCCGCACGCGCAGCGAGGCAAAGGCGAAGGCGACAAGGAGCATTGACCCGGCGAAGACGGCGTTACAGTTCGAGTCGGAAAGGGTAAAAAGAGTGTCTCGAAAGCCTTGGAGACCGCATTGATGGTGTCCGACGACTACCTGCATGTGGTGAAGAGCGTGGATTGGGGTGCCGTTATCACTGCTGATTGCACGGCCACAGGGAAGGGGAAGAGCAGCGACGGGTTGGGTTTCGAGCGGATAATGATCCAGCCCAGCCAATGCTAGGACAAGATGCATCAGGAAGTCATGATCCGCAGCCAATCCCGGTATGACTGTCTCCCACACCTTCTGTCGGTATGGATTCAGTGACATGCGTTTCGAAGTGCGGATAATGAAATGCGACAAGAGGCGGAGATCGACCATGTTCATTGACCCAGGGTTTACCTCGGCCGTGGGCGCAGGTGGAGAAGGCAGGTTAAAGTCCAGAGCACGCGGCGACCCATCGTGCGAGAAAGGAGGGACCATGTGTCCGGCTTCGCCAGCCATTGGAACCTCATCTTGCCTCTCCCGCCTGGCCTGGCGAGAAGTAGGTCTCGGATAGCCACAAGGCGCGTTTCTCAACGCGCAAGCGCCGCATATCGGCTTTGCTTCATCGCACTGTGACAATTGATTAGAGTTTGTTTGCAACACAATGTAACAGCAAATTGTACTTTGACCCTGCGCGACTTGCACGTGTAACATCCCTGGCGAGACTTTGTGTGGGTGGCGCGTAAACGCTTCTGGGCGCCTCGAAGCGATTGATCATGTGCACTCATCTCACCATGGGGAACTGTACGCGCTGCTTCGGGGCATGTTGTGCCTGGTATGCTTTGTAGAGAAGACAGTGTGATGGAGTGGAAAGGTCAGAGTTTACTGGTTGGCCAGTGCGACTTGCTGGGATTGTTTGACTTGTTTGGGCTGTTTGCACAGTTTTCTTTTTTGTGTTTGATCAGTTTGCATTAAATTGTGTTCTGCTCCATGAATGACCAAAAATATATATAACTGCATCCCTCCTCACAAGCTTGCCAACATCAGAATCAAGATGGTTCACTCTTCCCTCGGCCTGACGGCATCATCCCATCCGACGAGTCCGTGCGAGAGTTTAGCGCAATATCGCCAGCCCGCGATGTCCCCTAAACAATCTTCCCGGGGTACACCCCAAGCAGGAGAATCGCCTCCACCGCCATGAGAACCGCGTCGAAGACATAAAGCATGTACTCCCTCTTAATGATATAATTCCCCTGGACAAACTCGATGATACGAAACATGGAGCGTATGAAAATCAAGATGCAAGCCCCGTACAGACAGCAAAGCATCGCCTCCCACGAGTTGGAGAACCCCGAACCAGCCGAAACAGTACGCGGACTCGATAGTGGAACACGGCGCTGGCGACGATGAAGAACCCGAAGAAAGAGAGCTACACCGCGAGACCGGCTATCACGATCTGCTCGCCGATTTCCATTGCGGACAAGGAACCTGCGGCCATGTATCCTCCGCCTGAAAGTCATCGTAGCCATTATCGACTTTACTCGACGCAGCAGAGAAACTTACCTCCACATTGTAACAGGAACCATATCACGTCGCCCACGACAAATATCTTGGTGATGTATTTAACCCGGATTATTGAGGCCCGTTCAGCCCCGAGGTTGACGATTAATTGGCCTAGAGTCATGTATATCGATGCGGCGAACAAGGGCGGCGCCACGAGGATAAGCATTGTTTGAACAATATACGGGCCCAGCGCGAGTGTATCATAGTGGGAGAAGATTGGTACGGCATAGCCTGCTGCTTCGACTGTGGCAATGCGGACCTAGTCAGTTTGGCTTCTTGGAAAGGGCGGGAAGGGAGTCACGCACATAAAAGTCCAATGGTGATGGGGACGAAGAAACGAGCCCGGTGGCGGAGGAGCAAAACGCCATGCTAAATGGACGAGGCAACGAATACGGCGACAAACACGGCAGCTGCAGGAATGGATGGAGTGTAGCGATATAGCGGAAAGTATACTTGTTCTGATGTGCCTGCGGAGCTCATGAGGCCGGATTGCGAGGGACAGGCCAAGTCGAAATATGTGACTGTGCAGCGGCGGTGATTTTGTTGGCCTACACCTACACAGACAGACTGCTATCTACTTGTACTTGTCTGAATTAAAGCTTGGAGACCCGAGCCATGGTTCGAACTGCAGTTTCTGCGGGCGCAACATTTGGATGATCGCCCAATACGAGTATACGAGTGGGGCTGTCCGGTCATTGAGGCTCGTATATTCGTATTCGTAAATTCGTATTGCCGACCACCGACTGGGGATCAATGTGGATTCAGATTATTCAAGGATATCCATGTTGTACAAATAGATAAAGAAAATAAGGGATTCCATTTAAAACATTCGGATCATTATTAGCGACACTGCCACGATCCTCCCTCATATCCCCCTCGGTCCTCTCCTTCAAGACAACCTCGAATACGACCTCCGCAACTGCTGACTGTTCTTCCAGCACAAATGAGTCGGCAAGCCCTCGTTCAAATCAACTGATATGTTCAACTTCACGTTTGGCCTGCCCAGCCTCTACATTCCTGAACCTCGCGCCCGGTGCATCAAAAATCGACGCAATCTCCTCAAGAGTCGGCCCCTTGGTCTCGGGGAAGATGAAGTAAACCCCAGCAAACTCGACCATGATCCAGACCACGAAAATAATATAAAGCCGCCACTGGATATCCTCCAGCCCAATGGGGACCGCAAACGTCGACAGGATCATGAAGCAGAACTGCACAAAGTAGAAGAACGACAGCCCCTTGGTCCGCAGGTGGAAGGGGAGGATCTCGGGGATGTAGAGGCCCAGGTTGCCGTTGAATCCGAGGTTATAGCATGGGGAGAAGAGGTATAGGAATACCACAACGCTATACCCGGCCGCCTTGTTCATGTCCCGGTCGAAAACGGCGCTTCCAGCCGTGATGCAGATAACAACCACCCACATCAGGACGAGCGACCAGAGGAAGAGCGTTCGACGACCGAGTCTTGCAGGGAGAGTCGCGAAGTACAATGCGCTGAACCAGGAGACCATTTGCGACGTGGCATTGATGAGAGTCTGCTGTAGATCCGACTTGAGTCCGACGGAGTGCAGGATCGGAGACAAATAGTACGAGACAAAGGCGTTGCCAGACATCTGCGAGCAGATGGCGGCCCAGACCATGATAAACATCCTCCTGCGGTTTCCAGGTCCGCTCACCAACTCGCGCAGGAAGGAGATGATGGTCATCTGGGAGATGTTCTTCTCCGAGTTCAGGGCGCTCTGGATTTCCTCGTATTCGAATTGGACAACTGGGTCACTGTTGTTGCCCTCTCCGTGATACTTGACGAGGATCGCGAGCGCTTCGTCATTCCGACCCTGGCTGACGAGCCAGCGTGGGGACTCGGGAACAAACCAGACGAAGACAAGCTGTATCACCGATGGGGCCGCTTGTAAAGATGAAGGAATCCGCCACGAGGCCGTGCCGTCGATGCGGAATGTGCCAAAGGTACTCCAGCCTGCAACGATGGATCCGACCGAGTAGAAGGTCAGGAATAAAGCAGTGGCAGTACTGCGCTGGGCGGGGTGGGCAACTTCAGTGATATAAGGAGCACCAACACCAGCGACAACGACACTCCCTGCGCCAATGATAATGCGCGAGATGATGAACATGGGCATGTTGATCGCACCACCCTGTAGGGCAGCACCGAGACAGCAGAGCGCAGCGCCCGTAGCCAGACCGACTCTTCTGCCATACGTGTCGGCCATGGGAGAGATAAGGAAGACGCCGAAAATGCCCCCAAGCGGGTATGCAGCGTTGAAAAACCCAAGGGTGCCACCCGTGGGAGTACCAAAGTAGCTCTGCCAGTGGGAAACAGACTGGAGACCGTTCATCATAGATCCATCGAATCTGCGAGAAGGATATCATAGTTAGTCGTAGCTGAATTTGACAGACCCAGGGGCAAACTTACCCCTGCGCAAAGATGGACAGAAGAGGAATCAAGAGTAGGAGATTGAGTGTGCGAAGGTTCTTCAGGCGCCACCAATGTTTGAGGTCCAATGGCGTCTCAGGCAAAGCAGACGGCTGTGGAGGCTCCAGGCTGCTGCTCTTGATTTCGGGGGAACCCATGTTGACAGGATAGTACACTCGCGAGCGGGAGGAAATGTGCAGTGTCGGAGGAGAGCAGATCCTGTCTCTCGAAGCTGGGGAGTCGGACCATTGATAAAGGGCCAAAAGCACACTCTCCAGTCCCGACTTCCATCCTGGTCAAAAGCTCGGGGGTCATTGGTCCCCAGACATGGCGGAATCCGGGGGGGCGACAGCTCTCGAACCTGCGCATGCCGGGCCCAGATGACCCGAGCTGCCGGCAAAGCGTACAGCAATCCAGCAAAAGGGGGGCAAACCCGGGGAAAAGTAAGCGACGGCGGACGCCAGCGGAGATACATAAGCCGTAACATCCCCCGCGGACCTCACGCCTCTGCTCCAACCTGGCCACTTCCCCACCCACTCCCCCGGACCCACCCACCAGCGTTTATCCTTGTGCGAGGAAAAGACCGCCCCAGAGGCAAGGATCCCCAACTTTCAACATGGATGGTTCGAGCTCGGCGCTAGGCAAGAGGAGTACCGCGTACGTGACCTTGTCCCATTGCCTGACTGTGTCGAGCCTAATCACTGGAAGCTAAACCGACAGCCCCTCGAGCTGCGAACGCTGCAAAGGTCGCAAGATCAAATGCAACCGCCAGTATCCCATGTGCCAAAGATGCGCAGAGGCTCGAGCCTCGTGCGAGTACTCGGGCAAAAAGAAACCGGGCTTCTCGGCTGGGCTGCGGCAAAGCCTTGAGGCAAAAATCAGTATGTCGAGTGGACACTTGGCGAATCCCTGCTCACCCATCTCTGCACCTAGGTAAGCTGGAAATGGACCTGCAAGCGCTCCGTGGGTCCACTCTGAGCTCTGGAGCGGAGAGTCGCACGTTGAAGTCCAGGGACGCCGCGTGTGGGAACGCCTCCCAGCAAGAACTGCGCCCGCAGCAGTCGGCGTCGCGAGACTCGCCATTCACGGCGACGGCCACGCGCACAAATCTCATACGCGCCCAGCAGCCCCCGGCCGACTTGGTCCTATCGCTAGCCTCCTTGTATTTTCGCCATATCCATCCATGGTTTCCCTTTCTGAATGTGCACCGCGTGTTGGCCGAGATGGCCACCATGGATGACCCCACACTGCTGCACCTGGCGGTATTTGGAGCGTCGCTCCCATTCTCTTACGACTCGCGGCTAGACAAGAAGTCCAGCGACGCTTTTTGGAAGTACTCCAAGCGGCGGATCATGCTCGAAGCCATGGAAGAGCCATCTTACAGCTCGCTCGAGGCCCTGACGATCCTGGTGCTGGACATCTCTGGGATGACCCATGGCCCGCAGGTCTGGGGTCCCATGGCACTAGCAATCAAGCACTCGGTGCACCTGAGGAGCGTCCGAGGCCACGTTCTGCGGACATCATCTAGTGGAACTGACTGCGAGCCACCGCGCGATGACGAGAGCATCTATCGAGAGCGCCTGTTCTGGGCTATATACGCGCTCGATTGCTACGTGACGATTACAACCGCACAGAGATCGCAACTGACCGAGGAACACGTACAGCACTTTCTCGGCACCCGCGATGGCGTCTGGAAAGAGCAAACCCTCGCCCAAATGACCGCCAATACCGTGTTCCGGTACCAACTAGACCTATGTGATTTGTCCAGGCTTGTACACTGCGTGTACTTGGAATACACGGAACTCGAGGAACATGGTGAAAATGTCTTAGCATGGTTTGCGCAGTTTCAAGCCATCGCACCGCGCCTTAATGACTGGGCGAATCTGACGCTCCCTGCGTCAATAGGCCTTTCACCCAGTCAGTCTCCCTCCACACGTGACATCTCGTCCTTTACAATGCTCCATTTGTACATCCATGGTCTGACCATCCACTTGCACGGACTAATGGCATACCCGGCTGTGGACTCACTGAAGTCTCCCACGTATGAAAGTGCGCGGGCGGAAAGCCAGAGCTACTGCAGGGTCAGTATCAATAGCCTGACCCGAATTATGGTCCAATTGAGCGACCAGATGACGGATAAGCTTGGGTGGCCTGCGGCCTGGTCCGCCTGGGTTGCCGCGCGATACCTCCTTCTCGAGGCGTCCTACGGGTCGGAGTTGAAGAATGATCCGTACCACGTCCTCTCGCAGTTCATCGACAAGATGAGCACCCACTGGCAGGTTGTTGGCAAGTATCGCAGGTTGCTTCACAGGGCAGTCTCGGAATTGACAACCAGCGAGCCGGAATCGGCATTACCAGAGGGGACGAGAGTGCTCCCGGCGATAAGGGACTTTCGTGTCCCGCTGTCTGACTTGGAGGATCGATTTCGAGCTGATCCGATGCTCCTTGCCGATGTGGGCAGTAGAATAGGTAGATCGCCTGGATTGACGCTGCCCGTAGGTGGGTTTGAAAGCGAGGAATTGAGTGGCATGGCAGTCGCGCAGGACAGGATCTACGACACAGAGTATGCGCTGGCTGGTGGTCCAGCATGTGATCAGTGGTTTGCGACGCCTTTATTCGGGTCGTCGGCGTATCAGACTCATCTTTTCCTGGCGCCTTCGGACAGTAGCGCCAGCGCATACACCTTGGGCTAGAAATGGTGTGTTGACCTGAAATAGTCTACGTGATCTATATAATACTGGTTTCAGCCGAGTGGGAAATCCACTAGGGCAACGTGTGATGAACGAGGCTTTTCTTGGTCTTTCCTTGTTCTATGTAGTCCGCATTATTATGCGCACAATATCTAACTGGTCTGGTCTATTGCTCTATCTCCCTCCCGCTGCCCTCACGTAGACCCTATCGCCGTAAGGGCCGCTGGCCTCAAAAGACACTCCAAATGCCCTCACGGGAGATAGTCAGAGTGATCTCTTTGTCGCCTTCGACCTTTCTTTCCGGCAAGGATCCTATATACAGACGAACTGGACTCTTCCGCTGTAGTCCACGCATACGCAGGGAGACGACCGTGTCTCCAGGGTCTTTCCTCGTCCAAGATATGTCCGCGAGGCACAGCTGATATTCACCATCACACCCCGTTCGAAACGGCACCGTTGCCTTCAGCTCACGGTACAGGGCAACCCGAGGCTGGAACTCGATGGCGCTCCAACCGGGCTCAACCGGCCGAAGACCAACAACCTCCGCCATGAATTCGTACAGCGGCGCCGCACCCCATGCATGGCAATCTGACCGCTGCGACACGCTATCCTCTTCCCATGTAGTCAGGCCCAGCGCGAGTTGTGCGTGCCATGGCTCCCAAAACGCGTGGAACAGGTCGTCGTAGACCGTGCCTCCGACCTTGCTGAGCGCGCGCAGGGAGTAGAAGGACATTGCTATCGAGGCCTGTACCAGTTTTCCGGTAGGAAGGGGAGCGAGCGATGGGTCTAAAGACCGACGCAAAAGGTTCTCGCTCGCTTCTCCATCGTCAGCAGCACCGCATAGCACCGCCCACACTTGGCCGTGCTGGCTGCGGTCCAGGGTCGAGTCCGAGCCCGCCGACAGACTATCGGTAAAGTATTCACCGTCAAAGCAATGACGTCGAATTCCAGTCGCAACCTTGCGAGACCGCTGAATGTACTCGTCTGCCACCGCATCCCGTCCCAGACAGTATCGCTGCAAGTGCGATGCCAGCTGCAGAGTATACGCATACAGACAGTTGGTATACGTAGAAACGCCAGTCCGCGTAACGGCGGGTGGTATTCCATATGGCCGCCACTCATCCGCCCAGTCGTGGAAATGCCAGACGCCTGGTTCATCCCTTGTGACGACAAGGCCCAGATCGGGATCAATCTTGTCGGCAAAATAGGCCAGGATTGCATCTGCGATTGGAACACAGCGCCGGAGAAATGCCCTGTCGGCGAAGAACTGCATGTGGTCGTAGAGCATGCCGATCCAGAAGAGTGAAAAGTGCGGGATAACCTGGGGCTGGTGGGTGGGTGCACGGCTGCTGGTCAGACCAAGGCATGGTTGGAACGAATTTCCTAGCTGCACTATGGCCTGCCGAGCCAGTCGGTCGTCGCCGGAGACGTAGTAGGTGAAGAGGATTGAGCTTCGCGTGTCCATGGCGTATTGCAGCTGCTCGTAGAATGGGCAGTCTTCATAGCAGTCGTGCATGCAGTTGACAAGTGTGCGGACGCTCGTGTTCCACAACCCCTCCGCTTCCTGGCCTTGCGGACTAACACTGATACTGGCCAGGATATCCAGAGGATAACTAACAGCTTCAATCTCGAGTCCCTTGAAGAATAGGTCCGCCGACCCCACCTGGATCTGTAGCCGGATGATGCGAAACGTGCGGAAGTGAAATGGTTCGATGATCTCATCTGTTTCTTCATTCTTGTCGTATCCAAGGTGCTGCACGCATTCTGACCCTTGCAGTTCGAAAATATCCCGCGGTCCATGTATGGACTTTGTTGTGTCTAGTCGGCCTGCTTTGCGGCGCAGATATGGGACCAAGGTAGGCTGATCCTCGTAGCTTTCCGCATAGTTCAGGGTAACGCGGCTGCCAGACGTGGATGGCCGTGCGAAGTGCAGCGAAAGGAATGCCGTGACATGGCTCGGACATTCCAGATCAACTGAATGTGTCGAGTGCGCTGGTAGATGGAGCGTGGATTTGGAGGCCTCTGGTGAAATCAGTTGTGCCTTCCACGCCTCGCGTGCAACACAGCTCTCGATATTATGCAAAGCCTTCAACGTGACGGGGGTTCTTTGCATATCTGGAATCATGCGATCAACGAGTTTCCACGGCGGTGACAGCCCGGTACTGCTCTGGAACTCGAGTAGCCTCGCTGGTTCCCATGTCCACTGGTCCGAGGGTACAGGGATGGACTTTTCGTAGATGTTCAAGAAATGGTCCTCGGGTTCATCGATGCGAAGCACAGTCGTGGGATCGATTGCGGTCTCCCACAGTTGACTGCTCTGCACTCTTTTTGCCCAAAGATCATCGGGATCAACTGGAACGATCCTCACGCCGCCTGACGGTAGTCGCGGGAAACTACTGGCGTATGCTGTCGCATAGAAGAACCGAAGGACGTGGACGCGAAGGTGATTGTTCCCACGGACAAGGTATGGCGCCAGATCAACCTCGTCAGTAAACCAGAGCGAGCGGTCTCCCTTGACAGGGCCAAACCGGACGAGCTGCTGGTTGACATACAATTTGTATCTGGTGTCTGCGGTGAGATAGACGCGTAAAGACGCGGGGATGTCTTTGTGGATGACCAAGGTCCGCCGGAAATGAACAAACAGACCAGCTGTGTCTGAACGCTCTTCCGTGAACAACGGGTGCCACATCCAAGTGGTGTCAACCGTTTGTGCTGCCATTATTTGAGCCGTTTCCTGCAGGTGTCTTGAGCGGGAGGAAAGGGGTTCAGGACAACGCAGAGAGCAACTTGGGACATTTGTCCCCGGGATACGCGAGCGTTTTTTTTTTTTTTTTTTTTTTTTTTTTTTTTTTTTCCTTTTTTATTGCTCCTAGTCTTCTTCTCCTCACTCGGCGCATAATACTCGGCCGTGGCGGAATATGTTATGCCGTCTGCGGCCCATGTCAGCGCGACGCATCCCGAGCCCCGCCCGTCATTACTTGTCCGAGGTCAGTTTCTCTGGGCCATCCTGACTGGTGGCGTCTCGTGCTATTACTAGTGCGACAGGCCAATATCTGGGGTTGACAAAGGCACAGGGGTGGCCTGCTACTCGAGCTCACATGGCGCCAAACACTGAAAATTTCGGAGCCCTTGTAGGTGGTGTCTTGGAAATTGCAGCGTAGTGGCGAGTTTCCATTTGAGTTGGAGTACAAAAGGGGTGTGTATCTGCTGGTCGATATTGTTCACCGACAAGTCTTTCCCTGTCCTTGTCCCATGCCACCCTCTGCACCCTGCCATTGCCTCTCCAGAATGATCCGCCACGCATCAACCTTTCTGGCCCTTGCCTCTCTGCCATTATGGGCTTTCGCATCCACCGTCGAATATTCCATTCCGTGCAACCCTCCTCAGAATGCAGCCCCTTTGGACTCTGCTCCCATTGGACTCTCGTAAGTCTGCACCTGCCTCCGTGACATCGGTCGAACTAGCTGTGGCGTATACCTAATCCCCATTGACTCGGCTAGATTCGAGTTCTATATGTGGCCATCATACATGACCAACATCACCCCGCCGATGCAGTGCGCCGAGCGCCTGTCGGACCTGTATGGACGGGTGATGCCCATCCGAATCGGGGGTACTACACAGGACAGAGCTACGTACGATCCGGACTTTGACGGTTACGTCTCCTACGTAAACGAGGACCCGCTCGTGGCCCCAATGGAGTTGACGTATGGACCGAAGTTTTGGGATCTTATCCGTAAGTGATTATATGCCTGCGGCCGCACTACGGCTAATCATCATGACAGCGGAGTATGGCGGCGAGGTAATTCTAGGTGTGCATAATACCCCGTTGTCTTTTATAGGGTACTGATCTTTGTAGGATTTAATCGGGGCGATAACAATCGTTCCAACACGTTCGCAGCGGTTGTCGAGGCCAAGAAGAGGGCACTGAGCAACCTTGCCGCAATTGAACTCGGAAACGAGCCAGATGGTGAGCGAACACTACTAGCATCAGAGCGGAGAAATGTACATCTGACCACATGCCTAGTCTACAACATGTGGAACAAAAGCATCGTCGTCCCCCCTTGGAACGCCAGCCAGGAGGGAGCCAGCGCTGCCGACTGGGCGCAGGAGTTCCTCAACATCTGGGAACAGCCTTTGCCCATCCTGGCCGCAGGCTCCTACGCGGCGACCATCCCCAGCATGCCAGACTGGCCAAATATCCCCTACCTCATCGAGACGGCCTTCAATGACTCCGTCAAGGCCGGCGTCAAGATGTACTCGGGTCATTTGTACGCTGCGCCCCCGAACGAAACGGACCTGAAAGGGGAGATGAATCATGTCAAGACCGTCGCGGATTTGTCGGTCTTCAAAAAATCCATTGCCCTGTCACACGGCGAGGGAAGGCCGTTTATTCTTGGTATGCGGCCCCGTCGGGTTCTGGATGGCGTGCCGTATGGCTGACAGACAACTCCCAATAGGTGAAACAAACTTCCATCCATACGACGTCCATATGGATGAGACATTCGGAGCTGCACTAGCAACTCTGGATCGGTCCATGCGTGCCGTCACCATCGGGATACAGCGCCTCTTCTTCCACCAGGGCACAATTAATCAAGGCAAGTTGCGCATGCACCCAGGTACAAGGGAAAAAGAAAAATGTAAATCGCGCTAACTCTATTACCGGTTAGCTCTTTTCAACTGGTGGTCCGACAACCAGATCAACGCACCGTTCTACGGTGGGTATATGGCAGTGCAGGCACTCGCGGGAGGAACTAGCATCGTTGAACTAGACCAGGGCGACTCTTCCTTTGCAGTGTACGTGGTTTACAGCGGTCGGCGGGCGTCTAAAGTCCTTCTTATTAACACAGAGTATTACACCGAGGGCGTGCGTCCTAGGACGGACTTTATATTGAGCGGGCTGTCAACCTCTCGTGTCACGGCTGTTCGATTGACGGCTGAGTCAAGCGAGGTTGTCACTACCAAGGAGCAAACAAAGGGCAGCCCGCGCCCCACCCTGGGAGGTTAGTATACTTTGCGATTCTTTGTGCACCATGGTCATGGCACCTGTGGGCACTGTGAGCTGATGATGATGTATAGGTCAATGGTTCTCCAATACCGACTGTTCGTCCAAGGGCGCTCAAAAGCTTGAAACTTCGCGCGTTACAGGTGGCAAAGCTACATTCTCATTGAAGGCGTCCGAGGCATTGTTGGTGTATTTGTAGTCCAGCGTGGATTAATGCAGTGGTTGAAACATTGGTGAAGGATCTGCTTGCAGTGATACTTGTATGGGATTTATTTTCACCCCTGTGGTAATTTGACCCGTGGTCTGGCAGACCATTGGGAATTGAACGTTTTGATCAACTATACAACTCAGGGCCTTTGTTGTAAGAGAAGGCTGCCGCTTACCCACATAGATTGAAGGTCGGCTGGATTTTTATAGATCTATGTAGACAGCTAGGACTTAAAGTGCAAGGCACGCCAGGCTACGTGTAGTGTATTGGGAATAGTATAATTCACTGATTATGCGTGGCAAGACTGTAAAGTAATGCACATAGACTATACATAAAGAATATATTAGCAGAATAAGCGGTCTGTCAATAATTATATTTTCCGTATCCATGATGTTTGGAATTGGATACAATACAAGGATGTCGCCATCATCACAGATTTTCCAATCACACAACGATAATTAACCAAGCACCAAGAACCAGCGACCTCCCCCAACACCAGACGCACTGCCATTTACCAGTCTGATGCGCTGACCATCGCTCGAAACGAGGTGCCCTCGCACGCCATTCAACCTGACCGTTCCCAGCGTGCCTACTGGGGCAGTAAAACTGAAGGAACTGTACGAACCACCTTTCGCCAGCCTCATGCTGACGCTGAATTTCCCCAACGCAGTCGTAAACCCCGCATCGACGGAACGCAAATCACCCGGGCTCGGCGCCATCGTCCAGGTCGAACCTCCGCCCGTAACCTGGATACCCGCTGTATAGCGTGATAAAACAGCCGTTGGGCCAGACGACCATGCATGTGAGTGCGAGATGCGCGCATTGTTGCCATAGGGTCCGTACCGAAGACTCCCGTCCGTCGCATACCCTTCGATGAACGACGAGCCGGTCATCCGTGGGTCATCGAGCATGAAGCCCCATTGGAGACGGATGAGGTCCAGCGCGCTCTTTGCCTGGCCGGCTAGGTAGTGGGCCTGGAGCTCGAAGCCGCCGATGAAGGGGGATATGGTGCTAGGACCGGCCTCTGGGGCTGGTGCGCCGTAGGGGCCCCAGCGGGCGCGGAGATTGGAGGATACAGCGCGGGTCTGGGCGGATGATTGCGACAGGTTGGCTCGGATTGCCCAAGAGTTACCGTCCTGTGGGTAAAGGGTCGACGTTTCGTTGTCGCGGAAAAGACCGACTTGTTCGTCCCAGAGGAGGGTGTTGGCGGCTGCTTTGAGCTTCTTGGCCGCCTGCGTCCACGCTGCCTCTAACTGGCCATCTTCCATCTCTACCGCGAGTAGCGTCCCGACCAGGAGCACTTCATGGAGAATTGCGTTGGCCTCGATGTTCTATATATCCTGAAAGTAAGTCGGGTGTTTGGCAATAAGAGGCCAAAAAACTTACATGCCCGCCCATTCCAGACCGCAGCCAATCGGAGCTTGTGTTGGCCGCGACGTAGGCGAGGTCCGTAGCATCAATGCTGTCCATGGCCCAGGCAACCCCATCTTTGAACCTGCCCCAGTTTGTGGCAAGCCAGGCCCTGTCGCCGGTGTACTGGTAGTAGGCCGCAAAGTTGATCAAGGTGTGTAGGTGGTAAGTGAAGCTCGGCTGATCTGGAAACGGGGTCGATGCATAAGGTAGTCGACCCTCGACTGTCTGCAGGGCGAGCATGGCGTCCAGGGCGTTTCGGACACTATCCAGGTCGTACGTGCTGACCATCACTGTCTCGAGGGAGATGGTCATGTCTCCTCCCCAGACAAGGCGGTCACGTTTGCCCCCGTCTGTCAAAGCGGTCGATCCATTCGTGATGGTCCAGTTGCTATACCAGTTGTTGTACTCGGATGGCGGTGCAGGAGGCCATGTGACTAGCACCGTGAGGGAGTTTCCATACGCTGGGTCAATTGTCGCAAGTTGCGCGGTGTACGCTCCGGCGTACCAGATGCGGTTCAGCAGTTCGTCATTGGAGTGGAAGTAGCCAGTGTACTCTCGCAGGTTCTGGTCCGGGGCTGCCGTATACTGGACATACAGGTCCCTCAGGACCGTGGAACCAGTCGAGTTATGGACCACTGTCAGATATCGAAATCCTCCCCGCTGTTGTTCGGGACGGGTCATGTAGACTCCGTCACCTTCGCCTACGGGCAACACCAGAGGCGCATCCAGTCCCTCGTCCGCGGTCGCGTCGCTCGACTTGTTGCTGATCCACAGCGACGACTCGGAGAACGTGAGGTTGATATCTGCATCTGGCGAAGAGGATTGCTCCACGTCAATGGAGACAATCCCGGCAATGTTTTTCCCGAAATCATATGTCACAGAAGACAAGCCGTTCAGGACAGTCTTCTGCCCGGTGTTGGTGCATAGATAGTGCGGCCTGGCTACCGACCCGAAGGAGCCATACACTGCCCAAGGGCGGATCGTTCGCGACGAGGGAGCGAGGATATACTCTGAATATGGGCTTGCTGATACACACGCGGCTATGTGTATCGCAGCAAGGATAATGGAAGAAAATTTCATCCTCGGCTCAAACTTGAATGATAGTCAGAAGTGTCACTAAACGAGGCAACGTGTCTAGATTCAAAGCCCTGTCTTCGCGCAACCTGCAGTTATACGAAAGTGTTCTTCCAGCTGTGACTCTTACATCCTCTCTCGCACCTCTAGATGCGCCATTTCTCGGTTGATGATTTCACCGAGCGCAGGTTCTGTCTCAGCCCTTCCCCGCATTGACAAGAATTCCGGGGATTGTTACTCCGTCTCCAGGTACGGTCTGGGGTCGGCCAAAGGGGCTTGAGGGTGTAGTCTCTGAATAGCCGAACTTACATGTGGTCATCATCCACCTCCCAGGTTTACACGGACCATGTGCGAAACCCCGTGTTTTTCTCGTATACTCGTATGTTCGTATTTTACACCGACCCACAATTCGGAGGCTCCACAAAGCAGCTGAATCAACCTGAAAAATGAATGTCTGCTCCACTGATAGTGGGTCGGCAGAATAGCCACCGAAAGGGAAGCTGTTCTAATCCGATTCTAGTTCATGTTTTACCGAAGCAGGGTTCCATGAGAGTTCTGCCACCTTGACATCATCCACCACTTGCCATGCCATTGGAACCTGCACGGTTGTCCTCGTCAAATCTATAAGTAATGGATCTTACGAGCAGGTGGAATAGCAGAATTCATCCTTCGAGTCCAGGTATATTCAACAGATTGTCTGCCTACAACCATGCTGCCGAGCCTCTACTCTCTGCCCAGCCTACTGGTCTGCATCTTGTATATTGCGTCTTGTTCCGCTGGCCTCACTGTGCCTGTCTCTTACTCAATCAACGGCAATGACTTCAACATTAGCGCGTCTAACAAGATAACTCTGTCTTCGGACGGCAACACGCCATCTGTTGTCGTCCTAGATTATGGAAGAAATGTCGAAGGGTATCCCACCTTCAAGGTTGTGCACCGGAGAGGCAACACTTCCGCCTTTGAAATGTCTTATGCTGAGTGCCTATCAAGTCTTGATTTCTACATGGTGAGAGATGCCTGCCCCCTCCTGTTGCCCTGTCGCTGACAGGTTTCCTACCCCTAGTCCGACGGGCCGATTACATTGAGCGCCGCGATGGACAACTACCGGGTTAATCGCTACAATATCAGCGGTAAATCATCTGAGTATAAAAATCGGTTGATCCAGGGCGGCCTTCGATACCAGAAGCTCAATCTGTCATCTGCCGGAGAGTTGACCTTGACAAACGTGGGCTTTCTACCCACTGTTGGCGATACCCCCATTGCAAAGCTGCCTGGCTCCTTCCGTTCATCAGATCCTGTCCTCAACCGCATTTGGGAGGTCGGTGCGCGCACCGTGCAATTAAACGAATTTCCCGCAAACTCACTGCCCGACTTCTGGGCAATCACGGAAGAAGGCGCTCTCGTGGAGAGTCAGGCCCCTCAGCCTTTCTCATCTGAATATGCCTCTGTGCTGACCGCGTATGACCTATCGTTTGCCGTCAAGGTCGTGAAGAACGGCTTTGGATTCACCGTTCTCAGTGACACTCTAGGGTCCGGCGTCTACATATTCGTCAATATCGCAAATGGCTCCATCTCGGCGCACGCAGGCGCAACAGAGCTGGACTCGGAGCCTCTGGCTCGCGCTGTGCTACCCTCTTCAGTCGCAGAGGGTCTATGGCTTCAGGTATCTTCCACTGTGGATAATGGTCATATTAAAGTGTCCATCGATGGGTCTCAGCTGCTTGACTTTACTCAGGGCGGCAGTTTCATGGGCTCATTTGGCCTAGGAGCTTCATTCAATCAAGCCGCTGTCTTCACAAATGTCTCGCTCACAGCGTTTGGTACCACCATGTATAGCTCCAAGCTCAACGACGAATCGGCGCTCCAGGATTTCCTTCTCGGCACGAATCCCCTCCCGGTCAGTGTGGACGGCTCTCGTCGTGATCGAATTGCCTACGCTGGTGACCTTGACATTGCCGCCGCCAGTGCTTTTGCGAGCACGGCCGGTCATGAGTACGTCAATGGGTCCATCTCCCTACTCGGTTCCTTCCAAATGACGCCGGGGTTCTTCATTCCAACTGCAAAGGTGCAGCAGCCCCCACGGACAACAGACATCCCTGCCAACATCACAGGGCTCATCGGATACTCGTTCAACCTAGTCAGTGCGATGAGCCGGTACTATCAGCAGACTGGCGACAGGGCTTTCTTGTCTGAATGGGCGCCAAAGGCCGTTAGGCTATTTGACTGGGCAGACTCTCAGCTGCTTCCAAACGGCCTGTTGAACATCTCCAATCCGGCCATGGGCGGAGACTGGAACTACTACGATCCACAGGTTGGGGGTGTTGTCGCCAAGTTCAACCTTGTCTACGCGTACTCGCTGGCAGAGTCGCTGCCTTTCCTGGCAGACGCAGGTCTGAACGTAAGTACCTATACTCGGCGTCTACGTGCACTCAAGGCCGCCATCAACAAGCACCTGTGGAGTGATGATCTGCAAGCCTACTACCACTCCGAATCGTATCCGGGATTCATCTCGCAGGAGGCAAACGCCCTGGCTATCCTCAGCGACACTATACGAACCGATAGTGGGAACCGTTCCGCCACCGGATTGCTAGCTAGCATGTCCGAAACCCTGAATGTTCCAGCAGGCGTCTTGGCCTTTTCTCCCTCCGCTGCCTCCAGCGGATGGAGAAAGAAGATCAGCCCCTACGCCTCGGGATACCATCTCAAGGCTGCCTTCCACGCACACGATGGGGCCACCGCGAAGCATTTACTCAATACCATCTGGGGCCCTATGAGCAACCCTCAGAACGCAAACTACACCGGCTGCTTCTGGGAAGTGCTGAACGAGGATGGCACACCGGGGTTGGGGATCGGCACCTCGCTCTGCCATGCGTGGGCGGCAGGGCCGACTGCGGACCTCAGCCGGTATGTCCTGGGCATTGCACCGGTTACGCCGGGGTTCGTTGAATGGAAAGTCGAGCCACAGACCCTAGATTTGCAGTCGGCAGAGGGCAGACACCCGGTACCGCAGGGTGCTATTGGGGTCAACTGGAAGTTCGATGACAAGGGACTCCTAAAGATGACCGTGACCTGTCCGCACGGGACGAGTGGCACTGTCTACCTTCCCTCTCCTCTAAAGCGACGCATCGAAAAGTATCGAGTTACCGGCGGGCGAATCAACAAGGATGGAAGCTTCAACGTCCATGGTCGCACCTTCATCTATCAGCAGATCGCCTAGACGTGGCTTCTTTCATGGTGAAGCATTCCTAGGCGGTTTGACTAGCTTCTTAGAAATGGTAAAATGCTCTTATATCAGTGCTTAGGGCGGGTTTAGTGCACATTGTCAACATTTGTTGTAGGATGAACCACAACCATCCGTCCACTTCTGCCTGATGCCCTGCATGACTCTGCTTTTGAACGTGCTTCCACTGTTTCTTTGTTCTTGCTTCGAAGCCTCGGTTATATTGCAGTGGGCCAAACTTGATGGGGAGCCTAGAGTTTTCAATATCAACTTTCGGATTGTCCGCGGGGCTCCACTTCTCGTATTCTCGCTTTCCATCTCCGAGTCTATACGAATATACGAGCCCGCATCCTGGGACTTGGATAGCCTGGGGCATGAAGTGGGCAGGCCAACCCCAAAATACTCGCCACGTAGGAACCATGGCGAAATGACCTGTATGGTGAGCTTAAAAACCACTTACTTCACCGACACGGGCAGTAGTCTCTGGTTAGTCTATATTCATTAGGGCTGGGTTGGTCCACGGCGGCTATGGGCCCTTGGAGCTACCTGCGATGTCTGCCGTATGGTTAAGGATGGACAATCCTTTAGTTTGGAGCTTTCAGGTAGTCGGCAAAACTATTGTTAGGCAGAAAAATATGTTTCCTCGTGAACCTGAAAACGTAACTCATGTAGTGCGTTGCCAGCTACAAAAGGCTAGCATCACCATGATCCCAATAATGCAGCAGACGAAAATTTGATCTTGACTAGACCAGGAAAGTATCCTTTCATTCTTGTTGCGGTTATTAGCTTCTTCTTCGCTGCCCCGTCCGCAAGTCGAAACCCTCCATCCGTTGCGTGCCAGTCGTCGATGCATTCCTTTGCTAATGATCGATTCAAGAAAGCAGTGTTGAAAGTCAGCATTTTCCGATGATAGCACTTCAGTCATCATTGATGACACTGCTAGAGGTGCCCGTCATCGAACGGAGGTGATATACGTCTCCCGGTCTTTCTGGAGAGTAGAGCTTGGTGACAGGTCAATGTTCTGGAGTTTAAGAAATCGGGGGAAACAGGCTGCCTGCTTGAAAGGCACCATTGAGAAAATCCTCAATGGATAACCCTTCAGCAGTAAGCATCTTGGCTACGACCTGTGAAAATCCTCACTTACCCTGTGACGTTGTATTGTGCATCTGTAAGAATGTTTTGTGGTGATATATCGCCATGGGTAACTGCAAAAGGTGCTTCATCAAGCCCAGGCAAAGGAACATTAGGGAGAATGTTCATCTGGTCAGAGAAGTCCTGTTCCGTGAGTTCTGGAAGGAGACCCTCGCGGACCCGCCGGGTCTTGTTTTGAATTATCCGGGTGAAATGCTTTAAAGAAGACCCCCCTGAAATGGTAAGCAAGGTTCAGTCTGAGCAAATAAGCATTCAACATACTAGCCTCCTTGCTACATTCAATCAGCGAGACATGCATCGTCGCAACTTGCTCCAGGATTTTATCCCGAAGAGGTCGCGTCGGAAAGTCATCGGGCCATGAAAGCTGGCGGCCCGGAATCCATGTCAACGCGATAAAGGGGTATCTGATGGCATTGTCGAATGTGAGACTGCAGCCCTGGAGCCTTGCAGCCCATGAGAACCCCTCCAATTCGAGCTTCCGTGAAGCATGGCGGACAAAAAGAGCCACTCGTACATCCCAGCTCTCGCCATCAGGAAACGTCACTCTGAATACGCGACATTGGCCACCGTCAAAGTACCGACACAGGGTGGGGGTTTGCCTATCGTTTCGAAGCTGAGATATGGCAATAGGAATGGTATTTTCATAAAAAGACTGTTGCTGCATGATTTAATTGCGATCGCGGTCAGCTCGACTATGGTTATTGTGACTTTTGAGTATTTTTCTCGGAGCTGCTGAGATGGCTGTGCTTGTTACTTTGGGTAATCGTCACGGATGACGAGAGTTTCTACAAGTCTACTCATCAACCTCTAGTAGATAAAAGAGTGTCTTTCGTATACTTATTATGATGCGTTCTACAATGTTCGAAGAATATTGTTATCATACAGACAACCTTGTAGCAGTTGGCAAATCTACATAACCAACTGGAATAAAGGGTAGGCCAACAGGTCTGGGATTTAGAGAGACATCGATTATTTCTAAGCTAACCCCTAGAGTCCCTAGGTCGACGCCGGCAGTGCTGTGGATAATGGTAGATGCAGGAGACCCTTGCTATGGTCGAGCATTAGCCGAGAAACCCTGATGACCCCATGCCCATCGCTGCCTCTATTGCTCCCATCAGCAAAACATCCAGCAAGATGAAATCGCCCACCACCAGGCTATTGCTCGCGGTGACTGCAGTATACGCTGTACTTTAGGGGACGTGTGTACCTCTGAATACGTCAAAGCGTCCTCCCAGAAAGCGAGGCCCTCGACTCCCTGATCGTCGATCCTTCATCAATCACCTCGAGTGCCGTGTACGACGCCTCAATCGGCGAGGACCCCTCCTACCACGCCGCCACTATCAGCTTCTGCAATGTGACGATTGCCTATACGCACCCCGACAAGAACGACCGCGTCGTCCTAAATTTTTGGTTCGCCGCACCGGAGAACTTAAAGAACCGGTGGTTCGCGACTGGGAGCGGCAGGCCCGCCATTAACTCCGGAGACAACTATCCGCCCCGCGACCTTATGTATGGGGGTGTGTCCGGTCGGAGGGACGGTGGGTTTGGGAGCATCGATACCAATCTCGATCCGTTCAAGCTGCCAGTTTACTAGGCTAGATAGAGTCCATAGTTACGTTATGATTCGATTGAAAGCAACTAAAACTTTTACCCGGGATTAAGAATTCAGGCGCAGACCGATGGGATGATTGTCTATGTCATTACTAAACATGCACGTATATGTGGCACTACCCACAATTACAGGTGACAAGAGCATGTGTTAGCAACTAGAGCCTTGGCCAAACTGGTACCAGAAGGAAGTCCTGGGACGAATGCACTGCCCTTGGTTGGGCTTAGTACCAACGCTCCTTCGGTCGAGCCAACATCAGATAATCCGAGAATGATAAAAGTTCCATGTGACTAGCTGCATAGTGTACTACTAGTATGAAGCACCTAAGCCTACATTCTCAGACCATCGCCCCAAAACTACCACAATTTAGCCGGGGCTGGTGCTATCCATTTCCTACCAGCCCCACAGACTATTTGCGTGGGGGAACAAAGGCGGGGAAAGGAAGCTCCAGACCTTGATACTAATGTCATAGGTAAACCCTCGCCCCGTAGATTGAAGCTGACTGGAAAGGGTGTAAATGTCCACGATATTGCGCGCGCCTATATCCAGCCCATGAGGGATATGACGTAGCTAATTTTTAGCAGTGCAGATGCCAACTTCAACAGGAAACTCAACTTGCCAGACCTCTCCTTTCCTTTCGAATCTTGGTCGTATCGCAATGAAGGTGACGAGTACCCGCCCGACGCTGCCTTCTGACCCAAACGATCGCAAACCGGATATTGGTGTACTTGCTGATAGTTGATTGAATATGATCCTGAACGACTTAACCCGATTGGTTGATGGTGGGGTGGTTAACTCATCTTTCCAATCAAAAACATATATTTCTATGGGAGGACAGTCCAATTCGGGTTCACATACCAAGGGTCAAGGGGATTTTGGGATCACCTGTCTCTGATCGACCACACTGTGAGGTTCCCAGATCCACTTGCCCCACGGAAGAAGAGCAACATAACATACGGGTTATGTGTGCGCCGCGTGGGTCGGTACGTATAAGCTTAGTAGTACCTGGGCTGCTCCATAGGGTCACGCGCCGGGTAAGGCGAGGTCTAGAACCCAGTGAGGTGACATCAACGACCAAATCGTATATACAAGTCACTCGAGATTCGTCTTACATGCATTTAATAACAATCTATTCCTACTAGCCGTCGTACATCTTCAAAAGTACGTGCATTGTAAAATCTAACTACCCAGGGAGACTCATAGAACGGATGGCAGAATACGATAAATGGATCGATGTCAACCCGGGCGAGTTTGGTCTCCGCGGGATCCTGCAAGTTGGCCAAGTATTGGGGTCCCCGACTAACCCTTCCACACGCATACTTCGTCTCGATGGACCATTCGGGGGAATGGCACCTGGAAGTCTTATGGCTGCAATCCAGGGGGGCCTTATCGAGACTGGGAGATACCGAGTGCGAGCCGATCTCAGTTTGTCTCCTCATGGAACGTGGTGGCCCGACGAGCCTCAAAAACAAAGCCAAATTGACAAATGGGTTGGGTCCGCCAATTATGTGATGGTCAATGAGTCCATGTACAGTAACGACCACTTTCTTGGGACTTTGATGCTGGAGCAGGAGATACAGGAGTACATTCGACTGGTGTCAAGAAGATTATTCCTTATCACGAAGGTCAGAAAGGTTGTCATGCCTCGACACGAAATTGGACCTGGACTTGCTTTTATACAAAACCCGGTGGCCCGGAGTTGAACCCGTCGGACCCGCTAGAAATTGATAAATTGAGGGGATTTGTTGCCGGCTACTTCATGGAGGAGATCAAATACAAGGAAGGGGTCCTGCGTACGGTGTCCATCTACCCCTTGGAGCCAAAGAAGAAAGGCTTCTTAAAACTATTTGTTTCGAAAGTGCGGACTCGTCATCCGCCAGTATCTTCTCCAGATAGGTGAGACCCACAGATACCCTTCAGGAGCTTTGGACGAAGCTTAACTGATGTAAATACAACACTAAAGGGACATCGTCTATCCGCAGCTTCCGACCTCTAGCAACTGGACATCCTTACCTCGGGAAAGCTCCCCGGTGTCGGAGACCGAAGAGCGACTCCCCGCACTTCAGGCAGAAACCATACACATTCACAACGCTAGTTCAGTCGCACCAAACAAGGAGATAGGCAGTCGATCTGCCAAGCCTGCTTCGGCAATTTCACCAGGGTCGGAGTCAGGCACTAACGCAGTAACCGGTGATACTCGGATAGAGCTCACTGGAAAGAATACTGCAGACTCGAATTCCGAGCATGAAAGTCGTTCAGCGCAACTCCAAGGCGATGAAGGGGTACAGGCACTCGACACCATTCAGGTCGAGCTGGACCCAACTGAAGAGCATACAGGCTTGACTAGCGCGGACCCTCATTTTCAATCTACAGGTATACACATTCCTCACCTAAAGATTGTGTTATGAAGGTAATCCAAAACCTGCTAACACAAATATAAAGAGGAACAACCTGCTGTCGTTCCTACCCGCCCAGAAGAGGTCTTTGACTTTACTTCCATTTCCTTCGTTGATGACATGCAAATCTCGTAATGTCCCCTCAAGCTTGCGTATATAACAAATCATCTGACTGGTGCAACAGCAAAAGGGAATCCGACAGGTGGTTCAATACCTGGATGGCGAAGGTTGAAAGGTTCCTCTTCCAATTCAGACGAACGCCTCCTGATCCGGCCCATATAGTGAGAATCGCCATGATCGATACTGGGATTAATCTTGACCATCCCTTGCTGCAGCCTTACAAAAGTAGCAATCAGATCTCGCCATTATTCTGCAGGAACTTTGTCACGGATCAACAGTCACCTGTCTACGACAGTACGGGACATGGTACGCACTGCGCCCACGTTATCTTGAAGACATGCCCAAACGCTCGCGTATTTAGTGCCAGGGTTTTCGAGAGCAACGAAGCAACGAGTCTGAGATGTTGGTCTCTCCATAGACATGCAGTTTCAACAGCTTCTCTGATTGTTTCTAGGCGATTCAGTATTCCATCAATACCTGGAAGGTGGACATAATATGCATGGCCTTTTCCTTCTCCGACTACCAGAGAGACATACACGATGCTATACGGCAGGCACGTGTCACATTGGATAATAACAAAACCCGCGCTGTCCTATTTTTCGCCGCGGCATCTAACCATAGACACAATGAGGATATCCCAGTCGGATTTCCGGCGCGGCTGGACGATGTCATCGCCGCTTTCTCATGCAAATACAACGGGCAAATGTCCGGTTTCAGTCCTTATCCCGTTAGTGACAAATTCGCTGTACCGGGGGAGGTAATTAAAGCCGCCTTCCCTCCTGACCTCAATAACCAGTTCCTCGAGAAGCGATTAAGCGGCACATCTGCCACGACGGCGATCATTGCTGGCATTGCTGGTCTGGTCATCGAGTATGTTAAGCTTAAAGCAGACACGGCGCAGTCAGTTAGTGCCTCGGATCAGCTTTGGTACGCCCAGGGGATGAAATCTGTTTTGTCGAATTGTATGACAACAAACCCCAATTATGCTCCAGGAGATTACTTTGTTGTGAAACCATGGCTACTATTGTCCACAAAGCATTCTGACCTTGATGTTTCGAAACAAATCACGTGGGCATTATGGAAGACGTTATAGCAAGACAAATATCACCCTGCTGTGTGTTTGAAAGCGAAAGAATAGTAAACGTTTTCAAGAAACGAAACGAGATTCAGAAACGTTATAGTCCCCTGGCTCAAATGAGTCAATACTGAACGGTTCCCCTCTGATTCTTTCCACCTCATAACCCTTTGGCTTTACGCTGGCCTCTGCGGACCCTCCAGATGTTGTGGCCCTCTCGTTGGTGCCAACAGCCGACGTCTCCCCACGAGTGTAGGGCTTAGGCGGAGAAAGCCAGAGACGATAATAAATCTCATGTAGACGATAGGCAAATACGAAATCCGACATTGAATCCGCGTTTGTGATTTGAGATATGGCAGAGTCCTTCTGGAACTTGCCCCCTCCACCTCCGCCCACAGAAGTGTTCGGATCCTTCCCACTGAATTCACCTCCACCTGTGACGTCATGAGAGGCAGCCTCATCGACATTCATGCTGGCGCCTTTGGCGATGCGAATGCCAGTGACAATGAAAATCCTACGCTTGGCCATGTACCACGCAGTGTTATCCTTGACCTCCTGGACGCCCATGACCTTTTGCACGTAGCTCAGCGATGGGACAAACAAGTCCGCCGCGAGAGTGTCAATTTTCCACTTGGCCTTCGTAGATGCCTTTTCGCTGCCGTCGACGTGGAAACCGAGCTTCGCAATTCCCGGCGCGTTCAATTTGAGCCACGTCATGAATGAAGCTCGCAGGGAATTGCTGTTCTCGATCTCGACTATGCGTTTCTCTGTGCGGTCCCGTGTAGTTGCAGGTGGTATCGCTATCGCGCCTGCAGAGATCAGAGCCCCGGCGGGGTTGCCCGGATCGAGGAGGACTTGGCCCAGCGATAGCGATCCACCTGGCTGGTAATCCTGCGAGGTAGTGAGGATCCAGCTCTTTGGATGTGTGGGTGGCATCTTTGGAGATCATTGATCGTCTTAAGCAGATCTTGAATGGCAGGCCCTAACAAGGCATATGCAAGCCCGCAGAGAGGATGTCTTCTGGATTAGTTTTCCACCTGTTAGTAACCAAGGCTATCTAACGCAGAGTATTTGAATTGATCAACTTGCCAAGTGGGATTACCATTCCTCTGCACCGTCATTAATCTCTCCAGCTGTCTCAGCCAATGGTCTAACTTGAGAATGAATAAAAAGATGTCTTATTGTTCACGACCACGGCTCGCATCGTCAGTCCATACAGCCCATCGTACCCAATCATCATGAGACCATATCATCTCGCCTCTATGATTCAGGCCGGTCTGGAACTTATCGTTTGCGGAAGCTGTGCTGGGTACGCATGTATCCGTAGTCATTCTGTTTTGTGTGCGGGTAGGCTTAGGTATGTCTAGTACCAGCATCCAATGAACCTTTGGCTTATTGGGTTACTACTGGTTTTGGAAAATCAGGTCAAGAACTGGCATACCGATTGTGTCAGCTGGGATTGCGACACCAGTAAATCTCTCTTCGCGGAATTGGGCCTACCATGAAATGGCCACATTCAGACGGTATACCTAACTAGGCTCTTGTCACCGTGTCTCTCGTAGTATTCAAGTGTTGCTCTGCTTGATAATTGGCGTACACATCTGTACCTCTATCAAACCTTGGTTTGTGCCACTGCTATCTCCCCATTCACCCTAACAAGAATCTACCAGGAGTGAGGCACAGTATACTTCTCCCAATGCTCCTCCGTATCAGCCTCCATAAACTTCTCAATGCCACCTAGAACCCCATCAACGCCAACCTCCCAATCCCCACGCTCCACCATCCCAGCCCAGTTCTCGAGGACCTTGTGAACCTGAACACCGTGATAATCCGTAAATCCATTCGACATCCCGGCTTGGTACAGTTCCCCGCGGCTTCCTTTTGGGACGGGATTTTCCTTCTCGGGATCGATGCCGAGTGGCTGACCGCTGGACTGTTTAGCCAGTCCATTGCCGCCAACCCGGAACGGAAGCTCGAGATGAAATTCATTCGTAAAGTGGCGGTCATCATACGGGTTCGCGTGAGTAATCTGCACACCGATGGTATATTGCGACCATCCATAATCGGGTCCATCCGATGGGGTATCATCGGTAGTTTCGATGATGAATATGTGCAAGGGATCACCGCCATAATATGCTTGGTTGAGAAACTCGTCCAGGGTGGGGATGCGAATTCCAGGCGCGATATAGCGGAATCGCACCCGAATGTCGGAGATGGCCTTTAGAAAGTCGTAGGCGAATGTAGACGCAGGGACGAGCTCGTCAGGAAATGCATCAGGGTCGTGCCAGGGAAGATACGTATATGGCTCCGCCGCCGGGCCTGGCAATGCATGTATCCTGGTGTCAATGGCATCAACCAGCCGCTTCATGGCGGAGGCGGCCTTTTGGACGTCGATGGGAGTGTAAGGGTACAGCTGCCAAGGACGAACCAGGGTTGGGCCTTCGTAATCCCAGTCCTGACGCTCAGTGACTGGAACAATTCTGACTTTTCCTTCATTTAGCATATCCAAATAGCCCTCAAGAATGACTTCCAAAGGAAGCCAGCTCCAGCGGTGCTGACAAATCTCCACAGCCTCGTTGTAGTTCGGAATGAACGTAGCGGTAGAAGTGTGTAGATCAAACCTAGCCACCGATTAGAACAATGCAAAATGACAAGAGAAATGGAGTAATTTGCAGTACGCAAGGCCGAATTTATCATCCAGATTCCATGGCGAAGTCATGTAGAGGAGAACATATCGATTTTTCTCGGCTATGTCGAGAAATCCATTGGAGATCATATCGTCTGCAGAAGCGAGACCACCAAGGTAGTAGAAGAAGCAATAAGGGTACCTCGAGTCATTGGGTCTCAGATAGGCCCGCTTAAGAAACTCAATTAACGAGGGGCTGAGTTGGCTCGCTGTTTCTGGTGAAGGGGCTTGATGTTGCCACCATGTTTGCGGTTGGAGCCAGTCACGGTCGCTTTCTGTCCAGCCCCGATACATGATCTCATTATGAAGGTCAGCGCACCGCTGGTAATCCATTGTAGGGTAAAGTTGGGGTGCGGGGGCAAGATGTGCTATTGGAGAGAGCAGGCAGCGGCAAATACGGGAAAGGTAAAAGGAGGAAGGAAGGGAAGTTGCAACCAACCTTGGCAGTCACATGATAGGGAATCTACAGACAGAGCCTTAGCCAAGCAAACGGACCGAAGCACCTAGCCTACTTGAGGGAAACGAGCGGAGACTTATTCAAGAATGGACCCGAAAGTGGCACAGGATTGTAAAGGAGTTGATCATGCTACGGAGGCAGCCAGGGAAGAGAGGATACCAGTTATACACAAGGTTTTAAGATCGGCAAGCACTAGAGTAGCAGTTCCCAAGGCCATTATAGTTATCAGTGCTTCCGCAGTAGCTGAATGTTGAGCATCAGTCTCCGTAACTGAGTCCCAGTGCACGTCTTATTTCCAGCGAAAGTAGGACCGCACTCGCCATTAATACTGAGACCTCCAATATCAGGATGAGACTTACCCGAGTAGCAGACTCCTGGCTCGCAGTACCCGACGCCACTGCCACAGACTCCTTCTATAGAGCAACATCTAGTGGGAGAGGAACTAGCGTGAACTTTTCTCCTGCGAAGTTTGATTGCTTCCCGATATTTCCAGGGAATTACGAAAGCGAGATACGGCATGCTTTGTCTCAGGCGGGTATTTATGACCCGAATGACTTCCAGATACAGAACAGTCTATTCTATTGCAAGTGTGGAGAAACAAATGATGTCTCCTTGGAGAAAGTCTGTGAGTTCGCCTGCCATAATGGTGGCGACGGTGTGAGCGACTACTGGGATGATATTGGACCAGTGAGTATGCCAGCTTTGCTTTCGGCCATACTCAGCTGAAAAAAAGATGAACAGTGAGGGATGAGCAAGAATGGTATTGCTCAATAGATACGAACGGCAAATCTTCATTATGGGTTACCGCGCTGTGCTATTAATTGGTGATAAGCTGAGTGGTTTGCATGAAGTGGTATTTAAGCCACGCGGCTTTCGAAACTGTTAGTCTTTTATTTGTTTATGTTACTTTAGTACAGCACTGAGTAGTTGACTTGCTCTTGGTTGATTTAAAAGATGTTCAAGCACTTGGTGGGCATATATCCAATCCTTAGGCGCACCCACACCACTAAGTGATTTGAGTTACTCAGAATTGCATTAGTGAGCAGGATTAATCCAATCATTCATCGCCATAGAATCGGAACCTTGTATGTAAATGCCTTATACTGTTGCCATCAATTGACAGTTGCGTGAACCGATCAACCACAGTAGTCATCAACCAATTGCACGTCCACCAGGCCAGAAGAGTCGTACCGCTCGGCTGGCCAATGCAGATATGCAGATACTTAAATAGTAAAGCCAGTCTCAAAATCAGCTCAAAATCAGCTCGTTGTCGGACCAAGGACGGGCATTTCAGCGCAATGAGTTTAATTCAACCCACGTCCATCTTGCGTGTACATAGAGCGATAACGTCCAGCTTCCAGTATAACGTAATGCCTGATATTAAAAAATATAGCAATGGTCGGAGTGATTTCTTAATGCTCTCTGACTCCATTGTATAGACGAAGCGTTGGAAGTGACGGCCAGAGATAAAATATCTACATCTACCACGGACCCCAACAACAACATCTAATGGAAGCCCTCGGGGCTTTTCAAGCGGCGATTGAGGACGAGATCACAGTGCCATGGATTGGCAAGAAGGACGTACGTACCTTGTATACCTCCTCGTGCACCTCCGTAAACCCCGCCGCCTCCATGAGGGTCTTCTGTTTGGAGGCCACATTAATCGACGTCCCAAACGTCTACGCCGCTTTCTATCAGCTTTTCCCACCGACGCAAAAGCAACAAGGTTCCCCTACTTCTTCTTGTTCTCTTCACCAGGCGCACCAGTGAAGAACTGCAAATCATTCTCCCGTACCTCAACCCACCCGACTAGCAATAGATGCCTATACGCATTCCGATACAACCCCTCGTAGTCCGCCACCATCCCGCCCCGTGCGTGGCCCCGAGTATAATGAAACGCCTGGCGCGCAGTGATTGGACACCCGCCGCCATCAGCGGAATTTGGGGAGGGGCTTGAATATAGGGCTGAGGTGGGGTCAATCGTTGCCAAGGTAGAGTGGTGGTCGAGAACCAGCCCTACCAGTACTTCATGAGCCCTTGCATATACCGCAATCGGATTCCCACATAATTGTGACACCCCTCTGATCTCTTGTCTGTACCTTGGTATACCTTAAACGCCGCGCCGATCCTGTTCGCTAATTCGAGATCCAAGAAAATACCTCCTGGTGAGTCGAGATGCATTACCTAACCATGTCGTCATAACGATGTCCACCTCTTTCCCCCTCATATCCCCAATAACCCCACCGAATCGCAATTGACGACAACACCTCCAAACAAAACAATAATGTCTCTGTACGACGACATCTCCAATGTGAAAGACCGGCATGCTCAGATCCTCGCCGAGCTATCCACGTTAGAAAATGCCTCGGACACCCTGAGATCCCACGACGCCTTCCTGTCGGATCTCCAGGAGCACCTCGCCAATGCCGACCGTGAGCTCGCGCAAATACACAAGCGCACCCAGGTGGGTCGCGAGCGACATGAGAAATACCGCGACAGCACAATGCGGCGTCTCGTGTATCGCGCGACGGGGAAGCGCGACCAGTTCGAGGAGAAGGCGGATGAGGAGATGAGGAGTTACTACAATGCACTTGAGCGGGAGAATAAGATTCGTGCGCAGCGGGATATGCTTGAGGCGCAGAGGAGGGAGGCAACGGAGGAGAAGGCGGGTCTTGAGGAGGCGTGCACCAGACGTGTCAAGTTAAAGGCGGAGCTGGATGCGATGTATGAGAGGCTATTCAGTGGGCCGACGGCTGAATTCCCCGAGGAGGATGAGCAAGAGGAGGCTGTGAAGGCTGCAAAATCGCATCACCAGACGCTGAGCAAGAACCTGAATGGCCACCGCAAGGCCCTGCAATGTCTCGCCCGCGCCCAGGTAACAACGAAAGAAGCTCTCCTCTTCGTCTTCGAAGCGCGCAAAGCCTGCGAGCGCGACATGCTCGGCTTCGGCGGGACACTTGCCGACTTCCGCCGCGCGAACAGCCTGTCCAACGCACAGCAGAAGGTGTCCCAGACGCAGATGCTGGTGGACCAAGCGCGGCGGCTCGATCCTGACATCCCCCATCTACCCCCCATGGACATAGTCCAGATTGACATGATAAGTGGGATCCTGTGTGACAACTTTGTGTTCAACATGAACTATCTTAACATGATCTACCATTCCTTCGACCAGGTAAAAGTGGCGGAGGAGTTTCTAGCATCGGTTTTCCGGTCGGCGAAGCGGCGCGAGGAGCATTTGAAGAACGAGGTCGAGGATACGGCGGGTGATCTCGAGATGGCGCAGAGGGAGCTCCGTAAGGTGAGGGAGGAGGCGTTTATCAAGGCTGCGGATCCGCCGCCGCCGTATGCGGAGAAGTCTCGTGAGGCGATCGCCGTTGATCAGTAAGTAGGAAACACTCGTTTGTATATATCAGGGTCTAGGGGCTCAAGGCAAGTGCGCTTAAATGGGCATTGGTCAGTTCATATTTGTTTCGCAGGTTCTACCACCCATAGCCTTATCATTACCAAAGTACATAGGGCACGCAATCCACTATTTAAAGACGCTCATGACGCCCTAGATCAAACGCCAGATAGCACAAACATGTCCACAATACTGACACGGAAAGCCTCCCCTGAATTACGAAATTCATTCCTGGCTCCAATAGTGTGTGTTTCAGTCGAGCCCTTACGCTCCCCTTCTCCATCTTCGGCGCCGTCCTCCTCATTCGCCTCTTTTTTCGTCCATGACAATCGAAGAGTCACCCCCAATACCCAAGTTTACTACACTCCTCTCGGTGGAGCTCTACAACATCCAGTGAACCGTCGTGCGTTGGCGTCAAAGCACATTGTGCGCAGGCATGAGACATTAGGCAGGAGATCAGTAGTGAAGGATGAACATCGCCAAGTCTTTGGCCAAACTCCGAATATATGAAATCGAAAATGGGCAAATGCGATGGGAAGGACGCTCTGTGTAACACTGGCAGTGTCTGCAGTCGTGGCCCAATCAGCGATGGGTGCGGCGCAGTGCATACGCACAGCCTCATGCGCTGAAAACGAGGGGCATCCAGCTCATCTCAAACTTCGACTCCTCGCCCTCTTCGCCCATGAGCAAGAATGGATCCAGTTACGGCATTTGGCCTTCTAGTCAACGTCGCGACCTTCATTGACCTGGGTGTAAAGGCTATCGGCATCTACAGAGATGGCGTGGGTCCGAACCATACGCGTCTCGTCGAGTCGGCAGACGAGATGGAAGGGCTCTGTCAGCAGCTCCAATCCACCAAGATAATGAGCCAGGCCACAGCTTCCGGGTCGATAGAGGCAGATTTACAGGACTGTGCCAAGCGCTGCATCGAGAAGGCGACGGCGCTTCGGAAACGACTAGATCTGCCGACCAAGTTGGCTTCCAAGCGGCAGCGCGCTTTGGAGAGCGTGAGGGTACAGTTCTCGAGAAAGATCCCGCAGCTCGAGCGGGACTTGCAGGGCCTGCGTGTGGAGCTCGATACGAAATTGCTCGTTAGCATTCGGTATGTAGCTTGCGATGTCCGAAACTCGTGGTCGCTAAAGAGAAGCGATGGATGTAGGGAGACAATTAACGTCAACGAATTAAAGCAAACAGATCACTTTAAGTCGCTTGACGCGTCGATTCAGAACGCCCTTGTACGTTTTTGCGACAGCCAGAGCACGGCGTTGGATCTGGTCTTGGATCGGAGCACCAGGAAGATTTTCGACCGTATCAACGAGGTCCAGAAGATATATATAGAGAATGGGGCCAGAAAAGATCTCGAACGCCGCAAAAGCAAGATTCTGGAGAGCCTGATCCACGGAAACCCATTCACCCGCGAGAACCACATCTTGGGTAAGCACGATGGAACCTTCGAATGGATCTTTGACGAGGGTCCGGAAACCGGTAGCACCTTCCTCAGCTGGCTTCGGTCTCCGGCCGATGGCGGCATTTTCTGGATCCAGGGGAAGCCCGGCTCAGGGAAGAGTACACTGATGAAGTTCCTTTGCACCTCCACCGACCGCATCGAGCAATGCCTTCACAAGTTCGCAACAGCGAAGACGCCTGTCTTTCTCGTTTTACTTTTGGCTCGCAGACGGGGCAAAGCTGCAAAATACAGAGAGAGGCTTTCTTTGTTCGCTTCTCTACCAGTTTCTAGAAATGAGTTGGACCTTGGATTCAAGCCATCTCACAGATGTTAGATTGCGGCAGAAGAAGACACAGGGAAACTGGGACGTGGTCGAGCTGAGGTCGCTGGTTGTTTTGGCGGCTGACACCTTGCTTATTGACCACACTGTTTACGTTTTTGTCGATGGACTGGACGAGTGCCAGGCGGAAGATCTGCTCAAAGTGCTCAATATGATCAAGCAGTTCTCCAATCGCGGAGTTAAGATCTGCGTTTCTTCGCGGCCAGAGTCGCGCATCGTCAACAGACTTGAACCAGATGCAGCAGATATCATCAAAGTCGATTTTTACACAAGAAACGACATTGCGAACTTTGTCGACGACGAGTTTGACGGCGTTAATCTCAGTGTTGTAGCACTATCCCAGGAAGACTTGAAGGATTTGGCAGACAGAATTATTGAGAACGCTGATGGAGTGTTCCTTTGGGCCACCCTTGTGGCCAAGGATGTGTGCAAGGGCATCGAAAATGGAGACGACGTTGATCAGCTCTACCGCAGAGTCAATCAAACGCCGGGTGATCTTGATGCATTGTACAAAAACATGCTAAGCAGGCTCGGACCCGACGAAAACCTCTACATTGCCGAAGCTACTTGTTATTTCAGCCTGGTTTCGCAATATGAGTCCAAATACTTGCAAGGTGATATGCCACTGGTATATTGTTTATCTGCTTACCAAAAATTTCGAGAGAGTGGACAAGGCAATAAAGAACCCAAACTGGATCTATTATTACCGCGTGTCGAAAGCAGAATCTGTGTGGTATGTGCAGGAATGCTGGTTTGTGGACAACGCTTGGAAGATTACGTTGCATCTGATCCCACCCTGCGCGACAGGACGGTACGCTTTATCCATCGAACAGCTCGCGATTTCTTTCTGGACTGCGATAACCAAGTTATGCGCTCCGGCTCCTTGAGTCTATATGAATACTTCCACACAGTGGCTTCTGGGGTTTCAATGGCTTGTGGCACTCATGGAATACCTCCCAGAGTGGCGAATGACTATTGCGTCTTCGTTATTAGAGATCTCGCCTGGTCAAGACTGAAACCGGCGGATAAGGTCAAATTGCTCCTATCTCTCAATGCATCCATGCAGGAGATATCTCGAACAAAACACTGGTTATACCGGCAGTTGTTGGACGGCAGAGTTGCGATGGATACCCTGGATCTCGTATCGACGGCCCTTTCGAGTAACTTCGACCTTCTTGACCATTTTCGCGAAAGCGGCGCTTCCCTCAGCCTAAGATACAAATCATATCTTCTGTCTCTCGCCTGCAACAGCGCTTACTGTAACTACTATGACTTTCCCCATACCTACCAGGATCTTCTCTCGAGCGGAGGGGATCCGAACCAAACGATGTTTACCTCATCTTCCTTTCCTTTCAGAGCCAAAACCTCACCGTGGATTCAGTACCTAGCTTCTCGTACCTATCCTGATATTCGCCCAGGGTCTCCTGATATTCGCTCAGACGTAGTCCAAATGTTTATTGAGGGTGGGGCAAACCTCAAGGAGATTTCTCTATGGCATACATCTCTCCCATCAGTTCACGGCTACATGCATCTTGAATTCGGTATTCAGTCCGGGTTCCCCCCCGGTGGCATCGACATAGTACTTCTTGCGAATACTCGTTATGTCGCGGAGGGTTTGCTGGGACGTTCGCTTCAAACAATGTTTGCTTCAGAACTCCCCGCCGCCTACTGCAAAATTCTTGGCTTCATCTCGGAGGCCCCAATAACCACGCCGACAGATTTGTCTGCTACAGATCAGGCCTCGCGGGAAGAGGACATGATAGATTCAGTGGAGTTGAGCAGGCTTCAACACCACAAGCATTTATACCTTTTCAGTGAAGACCTACTATCTGCCAAAGATAGGACCATATCGACGGATGCATCAGAAGTCGGTGCGCCCGAGACCTCTCTTCATGGTCTGCTCCGCGATATTCAACATTCCTTCCCACAAACACCGGTCGACGGCCTAGACTCGATACTTGACGTGATTACCGAGTACCGAAAGCACACAAGCTCGGTGCCTTTTTTGACTTGGGCGCTGGAAAATGGATATTTTATCAAGGACACCGACCCGGCCGCGCTGTTTCCGGACTATGAGAAGTTCCGCGGTGAAGATGGATTTATTGACCTTGATGCTCTGTTTGCTGATTAACTTGGATATTTCCATGTTACCCTTGTTGTTTTCTTCGTGAAACCTAGGGTTCATGCGGGAACTTGGCGCGAAAAGAAGCAGGTGATATATCTTTTGTTTGACTTTCAAATGCGGTCTATTTTTTATATTCGGGCACTCTTTCAATACTCTCTCCTTTGATAAGCTGCATGGAATCTAGGGTAGACTTCGCCAGAGGGCGTCCCAGGGCTTTGGAACCGACATAATGAGATAATAACAGCATACACCCTCCTCACATAGATATCTCCAGCCCTTGAGAGACGATACGTCTAATAGTTCCTTCCAAAACAAAATAAAGTTCAACCAAAGCTCCACAACAGACCACACTCTTTAACGGACCAGGATTGGCGAGCAACAGGCATCGACCACCAGTCAGGCAGCAATCGGAACTCGGAGTCGGAGCTCGGAGTTTTGACATATGAGCGCATCCATGGGAGAGCAAAAGCTTGGCGCAATAATCCACTCGGCACACTCGAACGCACGAATCACGCGTTTCTTTTGGCAAATTTGGAGACGCCAGAGCGCATCTAGAATCGTAGCGTTGCATTGTGCCTTGCGACACTGGGGTAGGGAGGATGCCTGACTGCGACTACCGGCCATAATATATATAGTGCACACCGGCCCACATGTCACCACCGTTGTAAACTTTGATATTCAAATTAAAGGCTTTACGCGCTCAGAATTGGTACAAAATTCCCTCATATTTCACACACGAGACACAGCTTTCCAAGTCTCTGCGTTGCAGACTCGCGCCTTCCCCGTACATCTCCGGAACAACAATTCTTCCGGCGTGTTTACTCACGTCTGCGTCGAGTCCTCAGTCCGTCCTCCGCAATCCTGCCAACTCCTTTAAACAACAATTCATCGACCAGCTAACAACCACAGGAACCCAGTCCGCAACCATGTCAAACGCAACACCTCGACCCTCACTGCCCGAAAACTACACCCTGCACTCCGGCTACCCCCCACTCGACGCCTACCTCCACCTCCGCGCTGCCTCGGGCCTAACACCCAAAACCCGCGCGCAGGGCGCCGCGATCCCCACGGGGAGCTGGTACGGATGCTACATCACCTACACCGACCCGTCTTCCTCCACAGACACACCGCCATCGACACCCGTCGCAATGGGCCGCATAATCGGCGACGGCGGGTGGTACTTCCACATAGCAGACATGGCCGTTCTCCCCGAGCACCAGCGGAAAGGGTTGGGGGATATCGTGCTGAAGGAGCTGCTAAGGTATATAAGGGAGAATGCGGCCGAGGGCGAGCCGTACGTGACTCTCCTGGCGGATCCGCCGGGCCGCAAGCTTTATGCGAAGAATGGGTTTGTGGAGAGTGCGCCGGTTAGTACGGGGATGGTTTTCAAGGGCAAACGGGGGGATTTGCCGGAATAGTTGGGGGCGACATCGGTGCGAGGTGAGAAGAGGGAAGGGAGGAGGTAGGTAGCGTATTTAGTAGATGGCATATATGGTCGGTTCTATATAGTCTATTCTCTAGAGTTTATTCTCGAATGTCGCGTGTGCTTGTTGGTAGCTCCAGCCTCGCTTCTGTCGCAAGGAATCAATCCCTCGGATCATGTGCTGGCTGCCCGTGGTGCGGCCTCTTCCAATCCATCTGGATAATCACCCCGATAACCCCCAACGTCCCGGCCGTCATAACAACCGGCCCCCAAATCGCGGGGACAAACTGTCCCCTGGCAAGATTCCTCCTCACAGACAAGTACCGGAAGATGCCGTACCCGAACGACCAGACACTGATCGCCTGACACAGGCGGCTGGCGAGAAGATCGGGACTGGTTCGTTCCTTCGAGCTCGGCCGCCTCCCCTGCATGCGTGCCGAGAGTGAGCTCGAACCTGAGCCTGATGCTTTTGCAGGGATTTGGCGAGCGACTGGTTGAGGTTCATCCCCCTCGAGGGCCTCGACAGGGGGGTTGAAAATATGCTCGATCAATCCCAGTCGGCCGACAGCTAAACCCATCGCTGCGAATGCAAGCCCCATGCGCGTCCAGGAGAGGAAAGTGCGCTCGTTGGCCTGGTGGTCGCGGAGCTGCGAGCCCGTGTTGGCGACGGGCTTGGGGAGGAGGCGGCGGAAGACCGCGAGCATCTTTTCCTTTTCTTCGGAGGATGTGACGGTTGTTATTATTGGTTGAATTGGACCGGGGTGTCAATTAGATTAATCGTGACTCAAGAGCGCGGTTCGACGAGGATAAAGATGGGGCGGATTGCTCCCGCAGCGGCGCAACCTGCAGTCTGGACCGAGCGTAAATGGGGGCTGAAGTTGGGGATACGACCCGACACGTCGATACGCGATACGAGTCGGATGTCGGTCGGAGTCGTGCTGGGGCCTGGATGTGGCGTCAGACTGTCGGGCCATGGTCAGTGCTTGCTTGGGCTCCACCGATAAGTACACAGGGTGTCGATCTCGATATGCGGATACGAAGCACTTGGTTGTTGAGACTTGAATTGGTCCTTGGAGTGTGCTCGATGCAAGGAGTCCGACAAGGCAAGTGCGATGCGAGCTGAAGTGATGGATCAGGGATGCGATGCAGGACGTCGCCCAAAAGCAAACGCTGCAGGTGCCCATGAACCATCCAGGATCCTCACGGCGTGACTCTTCGCAGAGATGCATGTCAGCCGGATGTGTGCGCCAGGTCCCTGGGTCATTGGCTCTGGACAAGCAGCCCGGAGCGCTGAGCGAATGGCGGAGCTGATCCCGACGCAAGGACAGGGGTCAAGAGTCATCCTGTCAACCTGTCAAAGTGCAAAGCAGAGTATGCATAACAGCGGGGTGATATCGTTCGATTGACAAACCCGAGGCGATCATGGAGTTGGAGTTGGAGACGAGTCTCCATCAGAACAGCAATGATTGGCGATTCGCAATGACTCGATGCAACCTGGAAATTGAAAAATCAGACAACTCTGACCCTTCTGGACCTTTAAGAAAGCTTTACGCGCTGATCTGCTTGCGACCAGTCTTTTACCAATATACAACATACCATCTACATATCACATCGTTTGCGCCATGACGGTCAGCAAGAGCGCCCCCTGGGGGTATCAATGGCGCTCCTCGCAGTCGTTCATCATCACCACCGCGACGATCAGTTTGTTTTCTGGTGTGTACACTCTCTCAGTATTTCCCCGCTCGTGACCGTCGCTAACCGGCGCAGAAACGTTCCTCTTTGGCTTCATCGTCCCCATCCTCCCGTACATGCTCGAAACGCGACTGCACCTCGACCCTTCCAAGACCCAGACGTTTACGACGACCCTGTTGACAGTCTACGGCGTCGTATCGCTCCTTTTCGCCCCGATCTTCGCACACTTTGCGGACAAGACCCCAAGCAGGAAAATTCCTCTACTAGTTTCTCTCGCAGCATGCGCATCAGGCACCATTCTTGTCGCGTGCGCGCCGACCGGTAGCTACACCTTATAATCTGATTGGTATTATGCTGACAATTCTAGTGTGGCTGCTCATGACCGGACAGATCCTCCAGTCGCTCGCTAGCTCCTCGGTATGGATTGTCGCATTCGCGACCTTGGCCGACAACGTCGACGAAAGCAACAAAGGAAAAGTCCTTGGGACCGCCATGTCATTTGTCGGGACAGGTATCTTCGCTGGACCAATGGTCTCCGGTTTCCTCCTCCAGCTGCTTGGATACTGGCCTGCGTGGTCAGCGGCGCTGTTCCTCCTCACGGTGGACGTTGCCGCCCGGTTGCTCATGATTGAGACCAAGCCTGCGACAACGGAGCAGCCACAGCAGACAGACGAAACAAGCGCCCTTCTTTCAGGTGAGGGATCCGCCACCGATCCAAATACCAAGGACAAGGCACCTGCGTCGGGATTCTACCGCATCATGCTTCGCGACCCGCACATCCTCGCAGGAACCTTCAACACCCTTATTCTCTCAGTGATCCTCGCCGCATTCGACACAACGCTCCCTCTGCACGTCCGCGCCCTATTCGGCTGGAAGAGCTTACCCGTCGGAATCATCTTCTTCGGTCTCCAAGTCCCCAGCATCGCCCTTGGTCCTGCTATCGGTCACCTGCGCGATCGCGTCGGCCTGCGGTGGCCGACTGTCATCGGATGCGGATCCCTGGTGCCACTGATCTGGCTCATGGGTGTACCAGGCAAGGACCTCCCCTGGGGCCGGCTTGAACACGGTGGCGAAGCCGTCTACATTACTGCCGTCGTGGGACTCGGTTTCGCATTTGCGCTCGTTCGAGGCGCTGGAACATTCCAGATCATGGGTACGTATCTCCTTCACCCCTGATACTTCAGACAGACTAACAATAGCAGCCGTCGTCCATGACCTCGAAGCCAAGAACCCGAATATCTTCGGCCCGTATGGAGGCAACTCTCGACTGTCAAGCCTCAGCGAGCTCCCATTCAACATTGGCATGATTGCCGGCCCGCTCTTGTCCGGCAGCGTCTCGGAGACTCTTGGGTACTACTGGATGAATACTGTTCTCGGTGAGTTGCTGTCCTCCACATTTTGAGGGTATTTCTGACCGGTTTAGCTTTCCTCGCCTTGCTTATGACGATCTCTGCTTATTTCTGGATGACGGCCGCACCGAAAAGCGAGACGGAGGAGACGGTTTGATTTGTTTACAAAATACTCGATATGGGGTTGGGAATAAGGTGCCTTGGAGGCTCGCTTCTGGTTTGCGAGCGCAAGAGCACCTACCTTACGCACGAGGATTAATGGAACGAGGCCGGCTGAGGCCGGCGATGCAAGGATGCATTCAACACATAGAACTAACTATAACTATTTAATCATTAATAATCAACTTATGAAGATACAATATCCTCCTAAGGTTTCGGGGAGTACTTGGCCCGGTCAGTTTCTCATGTTTCTTTCCTCCACGCGAAAGGCTGCAGAGAGCCGTGTCTCCCGCCAGCCTCGCCCACCCGCTTGAAGCCGTCCATTGCGACTGATCCGGCCTTTTCTTTGTCGTTTTAACCGAGCCTCTGACTTGCTCGTGGATTAATGAGGCTGGCGCACGGCTATCATGCGTCTTATTTACCTGCGAATGGCTCTCGAGCCGAGGGATCCATGCATTGTTCCTTTGGTTAGCGGAGCGACTGCCTGGACGAGCTAATAGATTAGAGCACGATTCTTTTACTCTAATGTTCCCGTTAGACCAACCTCATCTATTTGATCCTTTTTTGTGGGCCGGCAGGCTACGAGCCATGTGACCTGGTAGGTATAAGAATGACTTTTATAGAACAGGGGTCTCAGCCCACATAGTCCCTAGTCTCTGATCGCCTCACACTCTCATGATCCCAGCATTACCTTTCGGAAGCTCGCAAATTAAGGTTATTATGATAGATATAAGCCTTTCTACTCCAAGTATTCTATGCAACAGTGAACCGGTACATGGCGTTCTTGGTGGCCAGAAGTCACCAGCCAACTTGATCACATTTCCACTACGACTGCGCCACAAATCAGGCGGAAGGATTGGAGCTGTGAGATATTACTGGCTGTGCAGGCGCCCAGCCATTATCTTTCAACAGCGTGCCGCGTCACAGATCTCACTGCCCCGGCAACTGGAGCTCCCTAAAACCGAGGCGCATCTGCCGCTGCGAGGCTTCCTCCGTCTTCCCAAGTTTACCCTGTCCCTCTGCCTTTGGAATCCTGAGGATATCGGACTCTCTGCTATTGGCGATCCGGGCCTGACCAATGGCTTCATTTCAGGATTGCGGGCCTTTGCGGCCGGTGCGATTGCTATCACTTGGTAGGTGTTTGTCCTTCCCCTTCCCCTTCTCCCTCTCCCACCCATCCATGCAACCTAGTCATCGTATTGCAGTTAAGAGCCGTGCTTGACCGGTCGCTAACCATGGCATTGCGCGGAAACACTAGACGGCGGAGGCATTAGAGGTATATCAGAGCTGACCATTCTGGCGGAAATCATGCACCGCGTCAAGGTTGAGCAGCAGCTGGACGTTGTCCCATTACCCGCTGACTACTTTGACATGATATGTGGGACTAGTACAGGAGGGTGAGGTTTCCTGCCTGCTGCGTCTCCAAAGAAAAACGACTTTGGAATAGAAAGGGACTAAAGATACTAAATACCATGCAGCTTAATCGCGATTCTCCTGGGTCGTCTGCGGTTTTCTGTGGCAGAAGCCATTGAGCAGTATGGAGTATTTGCCGAAAAGGTGTTCTCGTCTAGAAAGATAAAGGGCCAGGATGGATCTTTTAAGGCTTCTAGGCTGGAAGAGGTGATTAAAGAGGTAATCTGCAAGAAGCTAGGAGAGGGGCACGAGGAAGAAAAGATGTATGAAAGCGAGGCAGGCGAGTCGGAATGCAAGACGTAAGTTGAGCCAGTACTCCCGGTCGATAACTGCTTTGTAGCTGACAGTATTCTCCAGCTTCGTGTGTGCAGCCTCAGCGAAAAGCCTAAAAAGCAGCCCCCGGTTGTTTCGAACATGGGTGTCGAATATAAATCCGAGCGAGAACTGTACAATCTGGGAAGCCTGCCGGGCGACAACCGCGGCACCGACGTTTTTCAAGTCCATCCGAATCGGCAGGCCTGGTGTGCAAGAAGAGTTTGTGGATGCGGGTCTTGGCTGCAACAACCCCGTCAAGCAGCTGCTGCTCGAAGCCTGCCAAGAATTCGGCAAGGCCAGACCAGTTAGCTGTATTGTCAGCATTGGCACGGGCAAGGCAAGAGTCATTAGGCTCAATAAACCGCGAGGCCTAGACCGTTGGATTCATCGGGATCTGGTTGGCGCCCTGGCAAAGATGGCCACGGATTCCGAGGAGGTCGCGCGGGAAATGGAGAGACGCTTTGAAGACCGCAAGGGTCCATACTTTCGCCTCAATGTCGATCAGGGTTTGGAGGATATTACGATGGAGGACTGGGAGAAGCTGGGAGAGGTTGCAACCCACACCAAGAATTACATTGTGGACAACGGAAGCGCCCGGGCTGCTGTGGAAAGGATCGTTGCAGCGTTAGTGGGAAAGCCCCTAGAGATGTACCAACTGGGTCAGCTAGGTAATTAATATGCTATTAAACCCCCCACTTTGCTCCTACCTGGTTCTAATTCTGCCTGAGATGGGTCTATATCTAAGCAGCACACGGACACTGATGAACGGACCCTTTTTGACTATCCGTCCTCTCGAGTCAAGCATTTCGTTCATCGCAAGGAGCAATATGATCGACTCATGAGCCAGTTCTCCATGCCGCGAACAGGCACAGACTCAAGAGTGGTGTGCCTGGTGGGAATGGGTGGCTGTGGCAAGTCGCAGCTGGCCATGGACTTTTGTCAGAAGCTGGAGGCAGCAAAGCAGGCATCGGCAATCGTCTGGGTAAACGCCAGCTCCAACTCTTCGGTCGAGCAGAAATATGCCGTTGTCGCCGGTCAAATGACCGCGACAGAGATAGATACTTCGCAAAGCGAGAAGAATATTGAAGTGGTCAAAGAGGGTCTCCGGTCTTGGCCGTCAGCGTGGGTACTGGTGTTTGATAACTTTGATGACCCCGACGCGTTCATTGAACGTGATGTTACCGATTATTTCCCCCGGAGCTCGCGCGGCTTCATTATCCTGACTAGCAGGAATCTCGGGCTACATCGGCTAGGCGATATGATCCAGATGTCTACAATGAACCCCGAGGAAGCTCTCAGCCTGCTTGTTCGGTCGTCGGCAGTCGGGCTTGGGGACGGGAATGCCGCTGACGCTGAGCAGGTTGTGAAATCTCTAGGACACCTTGCTCTGGCCCTTGACCAGGCTGGGGCCTACATCTACAAGCGTCGCATCTCATTTCACGAATTCCTCAAGCATTTTCACAATCGATGGGAAATAATATCGAATGAAGTTCCACGAATCTGGTCCTACGAAAACCCGCAAGACCGGTCCAAGCTCACAGTGGCCACTACTTGGGAGCTCTCTCTCGACTTGATAACTGGAGACGATGACGCCCGATGCAGCAAGGAGCGACTGCTAACGCTTGCAGCGTTCCTCGACTGCAGACATGTATCCGAGAGGCTATTCCAGGCCTACCTATGTCAGGACAACCCTCTGGCTCCCGATCAGTATGTCTTCAAGCGTCAAGTCGAACAGCTAAGAAATAGTTTCAGTTATTACTTTTTAAGAGCTACGACCAAGAAGTGGTTAGACCAGATGCGGGATGCAGCAGATCACCATAGCTACGTTTCCTCGCATACCGATGAAACAGTGGAATATACAACTGTGGACATGCTAGTTCCACTTCTTACGACGGGCGAACGTATATGGGACACATATTCGTTTCGCGATATCATTGCCGAGATGCACGAGTTATCGTTGATTGAGTCATTCGAAAGCAGAGACAGTGCGACTTACTTCTCATTGCACCCTCTTATTCAGGAATGGATGAAACTGCGACTCTCGATTGATGAGCGTAAAGATCGGTTTACGGATGCCACTGTGCTGCTACAAGCATATGTCGAGCGTCAAGCCAGAACACCTACAGACTTTGAGGAAAAAAGTGCTATTCTGTCGCATATCCACACGATACTAGAGGAATTAGCGGCGTTATCCATACAGCCAATGATCGATGGCGGCCTGTGCGAGATCTGGACGGCACTGGCCAAATTCTGTGCTGATCAGGGCCAGTACTCCACCGCTGAGAATCTATATCAGCAGCTACTTGCTACCGAGGAGGATAAATGCTACGTTGACATCTGTCTGTTTGCATTGCAAACCCAAATTCGATTGGGAAACCTCTACCTCAACCAGAAACGCTTGAGTGAAGCAGAAGTCCTCTTTGAGCGACTCGCAGAGACCCTTGAGAAAAACACATCGATAAGCTCAAGTGAAATATACGAGTCAGAAAGACTGTCCGTCACAGGCTCCTTGGCGAGGCTCTACAGCGAGCAGGGCCAGGTTGAAGAATCGGAGAGGTTAAGCAGACAAAATCTGCAAAGGGCCGAAAAGCAACTTGGCCCAGACCACCCGACGACGGTGAAAGTGATGCATAATCTGGCTGTGGTCCGCCTTGCTACACAAACGGCAGAACAGTCCCTGCTCGAATTTCAGCAAGTAGTGGCCCGCACAATGCGGGTTCTGGGGGCGACTCACCTCACCACCATCGGCGCCTTGCATATGACCGCACGGCAGCACCGTATGCTAGGACAATGGGCAGATGCAGAGGAGGTGGCAGAGCGTGTCTTTGCCGAGATGCTGCGACAGCTCGGTCCGACTCATCCCCAGACACTGGGCACAATGCAAAGTCTACGGATGGTGTACAGCAGGTATGGAAAAGAACCTGGTAGTGGTGTCCCGTTCTATGCAATCAAAATAAGTGGGTTCGTTCCTCCGGGCGCCTCCGATCCCAAAATTGCCGTGGAGAAGCTTGCACTACTCGCCCGCGCTTATGGAGACTTGGAAATGTTCGTCGAAGCCATTTCCATTTTCAGAGACGTGTTAAGGTGGCGAGTCACTCACCAGGGGCCTACTCACCCGGCCACTCTCAACTCTATGTTTGCTCTCGCAACCCACTATCCCAAAGTCGAGCGTTATGGGGATGCTATCAGGTTGCTGGATGAGCTGCAGACCAAGCTAGTGCAGTGCCCGGGACTCTTAACTCCAAGTATCGAGGAAGTTGAGGAGAACCTCGCCGCGAACAGGGTCGCTCAAGAGCATCACTCTACCTCAAATGATACTACCGAACTCGACGGCAACCTTGACGGCACCCATATCCTCTGGTTTGACGGCGCACCTCCGCCAGGCCTGCTGGTACCAGCTTCTACTCATACGTTTAAATGAATGGGAGTCTGTACATAACCACCACTAACTGTTGCCCCTGGAGATAGGTGAATGGCTGCCATAGTTAGTCCAATGAAATTGGCTGCGTGCCTGCTCATGCATTAGTTCACCTAAAATTGGTTGGCCAAGCCCATTAATAGCTTGTTTTAATTTTGTTAACAAGTAATTTACTTTGCTTATTTATCTCAAATCTGGTTCTTTACATCCTCCAGTCTCTGAACTAGTACTTGTATAAATAGCTATTGGTTTGATGATCATTAAAGAAGGTAACTAACCACTATAACTTTCGTCTAGGCATAACAAATAAAGAAAACCAGAACTAGTAGTTAGTATAAACCATAAAACTACCCACTCACATGTAACATGTTACACTTTACAGAGACCAGGAACTCTGCATTATCTCAAGTTATATAGCCCCTTATTACACTAGCCTCGCCGCGAGTAGAAGCTACATGCAGTAGCTACTTGACCCAAGTCGACCAACTTATTGCTTAGTACATTGAGGAAGGCACCGGCTGGTATATTTGTGCACAGTCGCACTCGCATGGCTTTACTGTCTCATTGCTCAACCATGTGACCCCTGGCTGGCCGAATATAGACCGTGTCATAACTTCCAGCACCCTTATTCTCCGGGGCCACCTCGTTGGCTAACTTGGAAAGTTCATTGTATTAGTGATGGTAGTAAGAGGGATAACCCCAACTACTCATACCCAAAAATGGCTTATTAGACATGACCACTCCCATTCCTGTAAAAAATCCAGCAGTCAAAACTACACCCTGCCACCCAACAACCCCGTCCCCTCACTCGCCCGCCTCTCGTGCATCTGCACCCCCCGCTTCCCCTGCCCCGCCAAACTCCCCATATGCCCGCGCCGCACATGCGTCTCCAACCAATCCTCCTGTTTCTTCTCCTCATCGCGCCCAAAGATCACCTCCCCATGCCTCATCATCCACCCCATCACAAAAAACACAACCATCTGCAACCCCAGACACGCGCCCACAAGCGCCGGGTACCACGTGCGCGCATTGAACCCGCGTTCGTCGCGGTCGTCGAGGACAACGTATGCGCCGCCGCGCCGGCTGAACAGCGCGCTCCAGCACAGGCAGCTGTTGAAGATCCCGCACGAGGAGAGGACGATCACGCCCAGGACTGGGAGGCCGATCAGGGCGTCTTTGATGAGCGTCAGGCGGTAGTGGTACACGCCGTCTGCGAGGCGGGTCGTGTATGTTAGGAAGGTGATGGCGCAGCTGAGGAGCCAGAGGCATGAGATGGCGACCATCATTAGACTCCGGCAGTCGAAGCCGATTGTCGGCGTGACCCAGATGAGGGTTACGGAGGTTGTTGTTGAGATTAGGAGGGGGAGGAGGGCGAGGACGAAGAGTGTGAGTGGATGTGTATCGCGGTGCCCGCCGCGGAAGAGGATCTTGCGCGGGCGGTAGCAGTAGATGGAGCCGGACCATTGCTGCGAGGCGTAAAAGTCTGTCGTTGTGGTTCGCGACGGGCCTCCGTCCGCAGAGCCTCTTCCCATCCACGACGAGAGGAGCGATGAGCGCTTGTCTGCTGAAAACATCTGGTAGTCCTCGACGCCCTCGCCGGAGACGACCTTGACGAAGCGCTCCATGATCCTCAGGGCTGTGCGCCGACTCGCGTACCCGCCCAGCGCATTACTCACGAGGACAGCAGGGATAAGCCACGAGATGAACATGGACGTCCCGATCCTCCCACCCGGAGGGGAACTACTCTCACCACCGATAACATCAACAAAGCCCGCAATCACGTGGTAAAAGTACGCAAAGACGGCAATCCCCGCGCGTCTCAGCCCCGCAGACCTCGAATCCGAGAGTTCATTTGCAGTCTCCTTGACAAGGTGGTAGAAGGCATCGGAGGAGATGGACGGTTTGCGCGAGGCGAGGATCGCCGAGAAGGTCGTGTGGAAGTGGTCGGCCGCGCGGTCCGCCGATCCACCCTCGAGTTCCTCGATTGCGGCGAAGAGGGTGGCCACGTCGACGAGACGCGCTTTGTAATGGGCTTCCTGTTCGCCGGGGGCTTTGGGGATTGTCCGTTCGGCGAGACTGTGCGCGCGCGACCAGACCTCCGCCGTTGTGAGGAGCGACCACATCGTGTCGATGGGATCGCCGAGGAAATGCAGCAGTGCAGCGTACTTTTCATTCCCGAGGCGCGCCATGTGCATGTTTCCGATGAGGAGGAGGATGGGGATGAGCCATGTCGAGAGGCGCGGACCGACGTCGTCGTAGAAGCTTGTCCCCGCACCGCAGGTCGATTTGCAGCCAGGGAGGGTCAGGATTATATTCTCTGGTTGGGAAAAGGGGCTGTTGGTGGAAGAGCGGTGGAAGATGGAGGAGTTTGCGGAGAGGGTGCCGTTTGCTAGGGCTGTTTGGACGTAGGCGTTGCATTCGGATTTCTGAAAGGCGGAGCTGAGGGGGGCGAGGTAGAGGAGGAGGAGCAGAAGAAGGGGAGAGAGTGGGTGGATCAGCGATGGGATCGACATTTGGCAGGTTAGCTGAAGATATGTATGCACATGGATATGCAGGATGGGGTATGCTTCAATCATCGATCAAAGAAGATGCTGATCGGAGAATTCCCACCCTTGCGGCTCTATATATGCCAGGGGAACGGCCTTCACAGCCTCAACACCACGAGACCCTCGTATCTAGCCATTTCCACCAAGTCATACTCAAGGCAGGCGCAGGGGCAATACTCACGGCTCATGCACATGCCCGTCGAGGCCTCGTCGAGAGAAGAAAGAGGGAGGGAGGGCAGTGCCCGGGCAGCGCAGCAGGCGCCAAAGCAAACGTTTCCAGACGAGAAGGATGGCCGCACATAACGAAGAATCAAACACCAAAGTCAGTCAGTAGATAATGGCTACGAGTCCTCGACACGTATATCCGAGCCCCCCAAATACACCATCATAACCTATTTCCGCGGCGTGATGCGGCTCGAGCGCGATCGTAATCCTGGAAAGTCGCCGTTTGACACACTCCTTTCGAAGCCAGACACCCCCTTTGTCAACGGTGTTGACGCGGACAACTCGTATATAAGAGTGTACGCAATTCCAACTATCGTCGCACGTGGGGCCGGGACTGGATCTTATACACCAGAAGCTTGGGCTGGGCTTAGGCTCGGCGGAGGCTGAGAGGTTGGAGCCCGTGCAAGCGCCAACTATGAATACGAGCCAGGCACAAGCCTCACCTGCATGGTTCAACTCTTCAAAGTGAGTGCGAGTGCCCGAGGCATATTTGACTGCCGACAGGCAACTGGGCGAATATCTCTGCAATCCGGCAAGGGATGGATGAGTCAGATATGTAGTCTACAATAACTATACGACGAGTACCAACGGATGCGCACTGCTTTGATTTATTCCTGCTAAGCACGCTAAGAAGACGAATCCCCATCCCGAAACCAAGTAAAATGCATCGAGTTCGCGCGCGACTTCTTCCCCCCAAACAATCCATACCCCGCCCCCGCTGTATCCCTCGTCGGCGTCAACGGCGGCGGTTTTAGTCGCGTCGGACTCGGACTGGCGGGGTACTGTGTGTGCCACCCTTGCGTGATTCCGAGAGATTCGCGGTCCCGGCCCATGGAGCGGCGGCCGGTGCTTTCTTGCCGGGTCATAGGCGGGCCTTGGAAATGGCTTGTTGTATGCGTATGACTGCGAGTGTGCGAGTGCGAACGTGTGTGTGGAGGCGTATCCCGTAACGGCCATAGATCCTCCTCGCTACCTCTCTCCCTCTTTCTATCCGGCGAAACCTCCTCGAGTCGGATAAACTGTCCACCATTCGCGCTGTCGAGCCCACCCGTGCTGGACTTCGAAGACGAGTACTGTTTCGATCCATATTGGTCCCTCGAACTTGCACTGTGCTTTGACTGCTTGCTCCGCTGCTCATACGTCGCGTATCCGAGCGGTTTCGGGAAGAACAGGGCGTAGAGCCGTTTGCAGAGCGCGCGGATCCCAGGCATGCAGGCGCACATTATCCCAATGTCGACTTCGAGGAGGGACCACATTCCCACGGGGACAAAGTCCTCTATACAGGTATTAGTGGGTGTGCAGCGGATGAATATTGTCCCAAAAAGAAACAAGGTTTGAGACATTGAGAGGGGATAGAACAGGAAGGAACGTACTGGTTGGATTCGTGGTGCTGTTGAATCCGACAGCTTCAACGAGGCGGAAGATGCTTATGACCGTGACTCTGCAATGCACCCCTCATTAGCACATACCTCCACCATTGCCATAGAATGCTCCTTCACATCCAGCATAGACGGAGCAGAAAAGAACATACACAATCCCCACCGCAAACATACCACACATGCCCACCTTCTTCTCCCGACTCATATGCAGTTTAACCAGAATCGGCATGGGAATCCCAATAACAACGACATCGAGGAAAATATTCATAATTGCGTGCGCGAGCAATAGCGCATTATGGCTCGTGCAGCGCCCCTCGTGCTCGCCGTCCCATCTCTTCCAGAAGTAGCTGATTGGCGAGCAGGAGAAGAGCTGCGCGAGGAAGGTTGCGGTTCCCCAGGCGACTGTTACGCCCAGGGCGATGAAGACGGTGCGACGGAGGGTTTTGCTGGGGAAGAGGCGCAGGTAGAGGAGGAGCATGGAGGATTTGATGAGGGAGATGCAGACGCAGTAGAGGTTTTCTTCGACGAAGAAGAGCTGGACTTTCTTAGTTGTGGATAGTGGAGGTGGGCGGGGAGAGAGGGGATGGTGTGGTGCACCTTGAGGGTTTCGCTGATATGGTCAAAGGGAACACTCCAGATATTCTTGCCTAGGCCGTATGTGCGGACTGTCACCGTTAGTCCAAGATATAGTATTGCTTCCTTCGGGACAGCTCGTACGAGGAAACCCAACACCAGCAATCGCAACCGCAACAAACAAGGCCGCGACAATGGTATGATCATCCAGCCCAACCTGCCCACCGACAATGCGATTCGTGATGCGCAGGGCAACCGATACAATCGCAACGATGATCCCGACGATGTTGATGACATGGTAGACGGTTGTGTTCTCGTTGGCTGGGTAGTCGCATGTCGTGTATGAGAAGTTTTGGGCGGCTGTAAAGTAAAGATGAATTAGTACCGGCGTGACTGGTGGGAGTTGCAGGTATGAGGAGACACGCACTCAGCGCTTCTTTTATCGTACAGCTCCCTGCGATACATGGCGCGAGGGCTGCGTTGAGTGGTTCGTCCGTGCAGATGCAGTCGAAATCAGTGAGGCTGCATGTGGAGTTGCTGATTGCTGAGATGAGGCACGAGAGCTGCGGCTGTCAGTACCGCTACCGTGTGCATGTACCGAGGCTGTGGGGTAAGGGGTAACGCACGGCGCAACTAGGGAGACCGTCCATTGTATGGTGACCCAGGCAGGGTCTACATCTGGACAGTCAAAGTCAAAGAGTGACGGGAAATTACGCGGCTAGGGGAAATGCGCCATTATATCAGTCCAGCCCAAGGCGAGCTGGACTGGGTCCTGGGAAGACCAAAGACCTGGGGAAGTGGAGACCATCTCGATTCATCGATATTCGCGCCGCAATTGGAATCGCCGCGCTGGGATTGATCAAGCGAGATTGCAATTGCAGTCGACACACGACCAACAGTGTATTTCCGGGAATGGAATATGGAAGGATCAGGGAGCAGGATCGCTGGATGGTGAAAACGTGGACTTCTGGCGAGTGAGAGAATGCGATTGTGGGATCCCCGCATGTTGACTCGAAACACCTGACAATCCATCACTCTCGGGCCGAAGGATTGCCAGGGCTCCGGAACAGGTGGCATTCACTGCGTTCAGTTTCCGTTTCTTGGTCGATGATTGTTTCAATTGGGGTGGTTGGGGTGCGCAATCGTCATGGCTGATCTATAGAGAGTTCATATCCTCTCTAGCATTGGTTCTTCACCTGTGCAAACTTCAATGCTCCATCCGAGCTCAATCATCTCATCTCCCTTCTTCAGCATCGCATCCTTGCAAACTCTAAAAAGATTAACTGCAAGTCTTCGAGTCGACCACGCAGACAATCCGCGCTAGCGACGTCAAAGGAGCACCATTGTCTTGGCTTGCAGATGCGATTGGTCCGCTTTACATTTGTGTATCGCGCTTTTCCTATAGCCGTTAGTTCAGGCAGGCAGTTCCAGAAAAACGCAGACAGGATGGCAGGGTTTTGAATCCGGGCCTTCGGAGTGGCACAAGATTCAAAGACTGGGGACTCAGCTCTCGATTATTGCTCGTGAGATCCTGTCCAGCTCCAAGTCGCGACGCGCACCTTTTGGGGAGCAGGACAAGGCCACACCAGCCAGGGGCCTTGGTGTGGCGGTATTGGCAGAACAGACGCGAAACAGCCACGAGGGGTCCGACCGTCAGGGCGTTCGCAAGCACATGGAGCTCTTGACTTGAGACTGAAGGGTGGCTTCCCCGCCATGTGAAACTGTATGGAGATGAAGTTCCACCATCACTACCCCGATGACGGACTCGAAAGTCCTTCTCGAGGAAGCCCTTTCCCCTCTTCAAAGCAGCGCACCAAAAAGTGAAATCCAGCCCTGAGCCGGCTACCGTATGCGGGGTAACCGGTTCGCCGGCTTGAAGACCTCATTCGCCGACCAATGGATGCAACGACCTGCAATGCCATGCAGCGGCTCCCAGGTTCCGAGCTCGCTCGACCATGGTTGATATCCCCACGATGCGAATTTGACAGGTTGGCAGTTCTTAAGCGAACTGTTGCCGACTTTAGAGCTGCGTGTTCGCTGGAGAACGTGGCGATTTAGGTCCGAGTGTTCATGAGTTGTTCGCTTGGCTGTCGTGGTCGAGCTCCTTGTCAATTCCAAGTTACCGGTGCTGAGACTTGAGCCTCAGAAAGAGATTGAACGTGGGCTCGTTGAAGTTAAGCTCTCATCTGGAGTTGGGGATTAATTTGTACGGCGGGGATCATGACTCAAGCGGTTCCCGACCAATCTCCGTTCCGTGTTGCGCCCGAGGAATCATGATTCATGGTGTCACTGTCACGAGACATCTGTGCCCTCCTCAGGAGTCGCTTGGCAAAAATATACATACGGAGTATGGATTCCCGGTCCAGACTGTCCAATGAATCCAATCCAGGTCCGGAGTACAGAGGAATCCAGGCCCTGTCGGCCCGGCGCACAGACCCATCGTGACCTGGTTCGTGGTTTGCCATGGTACTCCTAGAGACCGACGCCTTTTAAAAAAAAAGTCGACATTCGTAAGTACGATCATCCCTTCTCGTGGCTGAATTCCCGTATTTCCTCCTTAGTGGCACCCTCGTTCCTTTGCAGTAGATTCATATACTGGCGTCTGCGCTCAAAACCAGAGTGACTTCTCGTGCCACCCACTCTGACCACAGTCCTTATTCCGCACAGGATTACTTGCGCAATGTTTTCCGCTTTCTCTAGGGCCCGTCCGAGCCATTCTTGTACCTGCAGGCCTGCGCTTGGAGGCTGGCTGCTTACGTGCAGCGGCGTCCGCTAACTAGCGCTGCCGAACCGCAATATGGCCACTGGCCAGGCCAGGCTTCGACCCGTCATGTTCAACAGCGCTGGATATGGGCGAGGAAATTCCGATTGCTATTGCATGAGTATTACTAGGAGAATTGATTATCCTGTGCGGTTTTATTGATGCTCGTTGGACTGGCTCGGAATATATTGGTGATCGTACCGTTGCGTATACTCTCCGTATTTCGCAGAGCACTTGGCCCAGAATATATATTCTGGGATACTGTCAGCGAAAGCCGCGTGAAGACGACAGGGTCTGGCATTTCACTGACACTTGTTGAGAACATTCGCTTTATCTAATCGCAGAAATAGCACTAATGCCCCATTCGAGTAAAGTAGCACCTGTCAGCTGTGTTTGCTGGGATAGTACATATGCATGCTACTGTCGTCTCGTGGGTCAAGCCCGCGTAGGGCTGAGACCAAGTTAGACAGGGTTCAGTTGTGGGTTTCACACTTGCATGGTCCAGGGATAACACGGTGCAGGGCCTTTAAACTCAACTGGCAACTGTACAACAGAGTAACATGTGGTTATAGACATGGCTCGAGATACTTTTGAATTCATTCATAGTCTACAGTCATAAACACCCCGCTTGCGCTGAACAAAAGAAACATGGCAGAAAGTGCATCTACTGCATCTACTGCATCCATCACCGCGCCCGCCTCTCCTCAACCGCCCACTCCTGCTTGACGGTGATCCCCTGTCCACCACTTGTACTCCTCTCCCTGCCCGCCACACCCCCGGTGCCCTGCTCGAGGCTCTCCAAACTCCCGCCACTGACGTCCCCCAGCGCGTCTCGATCCTTGTCATGCCGCACGGAAATCCCCGCATAGTGCTTCGGGCCCATGGGCCTGAGCCACAGCTGGCTCGTATCGTCATCGAGACGCTCGAACCCGTCGTCGTGCTCGCCCGTTCCATTTGACCCTTTGGCGCCGACGCCGGATCGCTTGTTCGATGACGAGATCGGGGTCCGGCCCGTTGCGTTGGGCGTTGTGGACGTGCGGCCGAGGAGCGGGCGCATCATGGGGATTGAGGCGAGGATCACGGCGAGGCAGGGCTCGATGCCGGAGAAGATGTTTGCGCGCGGGATCGAGTATGTGATGTCGGTGAAGTCCATTGTGCTGAGGACGGAGATGCGGAGGGCGGAGATTACGCAGGTCCTTTGGGAGAGATTAGTTTATGAAGAGAAATTCAAAGGGGATGCTGGTGGGTGAGTTAGGAGGAATGGGAGCAGGGCCGGACTCACACAACACCCAACCCGAAAACAGCAATAAGGGTCGCCTTCTTATACGTCGCCATCTGCAGGCGATACAACGACGGCATGGGCAGCACGAGCACGATAAAGTCCGTCACAAGGTTAATCACGCCCGTGACGGTAAAACTCGTAACCTGATTTCCGCACTTCCCCCCGGGAATCGTCTGGTCCCAGTTAAACGCAAACGGCCGACAGATCAGACACCCGGCGAGAATCGTCGCGATGGCCCACGCAACGATTACGCTGATCGTCACCCAAGAACTCCAGACCAGCCAGCGGACCGGGAAGATGCGTAGGTACAGGAAGAGAATGGAGATCTTGGTGCAGCTGAGACTGAGGACCCAGAGGAATTGCAGCGGGATGATGAGCTGGAGGAGTTTTGTGATGGGCTCAGGGCCGTATGCTGGGTTCGCGGCGATTGCGGCTGTGTGGTCGAAGCCAATGCCGGCTTGGATTACGCCTGTTATGCTTATTGATTGCAGGCCGACGCCAAAGATCTGTGGTTGTGGTTAGTTCGGGTGGTTGAGTTTGGAGGTGGAGATGGGTCAGGTTTTGGGGGCGTACGCAGGCGGCGATGATAAAGTAGTCGCTGGGCGTCCACTTCTTGTGTGCGATTGCGTGAGCCAGCAGGCGGAGGCACACGGCGACGACGGCCAGGATCGAAAAGGTAAAGGCGACACCCAGCACTGCGCGCTGGGCGTGCGTCTCGATGGGAAAGGTGACCATTCTGCAGAGCCGCCTGCTTGAGAATGGATTGTGGTCTGATCTAGTCGATGGAGTCGATGAGAGCTGGACAGGACCCTGAACTCTGGAGGTCGAGATAGAGTAGGGCGCGCAATCTACTTATATTGTCTGCATGACAGGGATCGCCATTAACCTTTGCCAGGCGTCCTTCAGGGGAGAAAGTCCAAAGAAGGATGCAAGTGCAGAGGCTGTCAGTAAAAATGATGGAATCCGTCACAATCTTAGTTCGCACCAGGGGCAAAACTTGGAACGGGTCCGCTTTTCCCGCTTGTTGACAGCTGCTTTTTTAGCAGTTGGAGCACCGGGGCCAGTGAGCCACTGCCGGAGACTGGCCGCGATTGGAGATGTCTGAAACTCTGCTGCTGTCAGCTGCACGGCCGAGATGGTCCGTGGGCGTATTCGTCGCAAAGCTTGTCCGTGTCTTGCATGTCGACTCGACTTGTCGTGTAGTATTGGAGCTGTAAACTTGACAGCCTCCATGGAACAAAAGTTCACAACAAAGTTCTGTCAGACATGTCAGATGCCGTTCATCCCGCTGACTCGACGGTGAAACAGAAAAATCCTTGGGGCCGTTGGGAGACGGGGCACACCCACCGTGAAGAACCGCCTGATTGGCACGTCTCGTCGCTTGTGGCAGGCTAAGACGACGGCCCCTGCTTAGCGGCGCGGCGCTCGGGAGCCATCCAACCGGACCATGGATCCAGTCTTGAAATGGCTGTCTCAACTCGCCGCTCTTTCCTAACAGGGAAGCCCCTCCAACGGGTTCGAAAGGTTAGCCCCCCCGGCCATTGGGATCAGCGTCTGTGGCGCCTTACTCGGTCAAGACTGCTCCCAGACTGCTGTCCAGTCCAGGAGGTCCAGACCGCCGAGTCAGTCTCGAGAGCTGTGTGGGGGGGAGTTCTTGCCTTCGCTTGGGGTCGTCATTTCACTGGCTGCTGTGGCCAGCGTGGGGTCTTCATCTAAACCATGTGGCATGCTGTGCGCGAATGAACGGCGGGCAGTTCTCCTTTTCAAAGCACGATATGAACCTCCTCCCCGCCATCTGGCGCCTTCAACTCTGCGAGTTCGCAGACTGCGCAGCCTGCCTTCTGAATCGCGACGATGGCCCTCACCATCGCTGTCGTCCTCGCCATCGGCGTCCTCACCCTCGTCTACCTCCGCACAAAGACCACCAGCAATGCCCCGGAAAAACCCCTCCTCAAGCTCCCCCTCATCGGTGACCTGCACAGCTCTCCGATCGAAAAGCCGCTCGTAAACTGGGACGCCTGGGCAAAAGAACACGGCCCGATCACGGTCCCCAAACTCTTCGGAATCGTCCCCATTGTTGTCCTCAACTCGTACGAGGCCGTCGTCGAGCTCTTCTCGAAACGCAGCCAATGGTACAGCAACCGCCCAGCGTCCGTGAGCATGGAGATGATCACGGGCGCGGAGCCCGGTCGGTCGCGGTTTACCCTCATGCACGACTACGATGAGCATCTGAAGCTGCACCATCGCATCCTCTCGCCGAGTCTCGGTGCGCCGGCCGCCAACAAGTACCAGCCGCTCATGGAGCTCGAGGCAAAGCAGCTCGTCTTTGACCTGCTGAGCGCGCTGCGCGATTCCGCAGACGGAGAGACAATCAGCACGCAGGCAATCTACCCACTCCTCGAGCGCACGCAATCATCTGTAATTCTGGCACTCCACTACGGCCTGCGCATCCCGCGCTTTGAAGAACCGATCCTCCACGAGGTCATCCACACCCAAGCCCAAGTCACGCACCTCGCCGCGAACCCGCAACTCCCCGACCTCATGCCTTTCCTCCGCCACCTGCCCACCTTCCTCTCCCCCTGGCAGCAACACGCGGATAAGCTCTTCGCCTCACAAGTCGACCTGTACATGCGGCTATTCAAACACGGCCGCGACGCCCCCGGCTGGAACGCAACGAAGCAGGCCATCGCCTCAGCGGAGAAATACGCGCCGGCCACTAATCCCGTCTCGGACCTCGACCTCGCATTCACCCTCGCGACATCAATACAAGGTGGGATGGAGACGTCCCCCCGCCAGATCCTCTGGCTCTTCATCGCAGCGCTGCACAACCCCTCCTTTGTCAAACAAGCCCACGCCGTCCTCGACCATTTGGTCGGCCGCGCCCGCCTCCCGACCTTCGCCGACCGCAGCAAACTCACCTACCTCGACGCAATCGCCCACGAGCTCTTCCGCTGGCGGCCCATCTCCCCGGGCTCGATCCCGCGGCGCGCAGACCACGCCGACACATTCCAGGGGACAACGATCAAAAAGGGCGTGACGGTCATGGCGAACGCGTGGGCGATCGGGCGCGACGAAAAAGTCTTCGACCCGGCCCTCGGAAACACAAGCGACTTTATCCCCGAGCGCTGGATCCGTGACGGGAAGCTGCGCTCGGACCTGCCGTTGCCGGTCTTTGGGCAGGGGCGGCGGATCTGTCAGGGGAAGCGGGTTGCGACGGATGGGACGTTTTTGCAGGTGGCGAGTTTGCTGTGGGCGTTTGATGTTGAGCCCTTGGGGGAGGGGGAGCAGGTTGATCCGTGGGCGATGGTGGTTGTGGGGTTCATGACGGAGCCGAAGCCGCTGAGGTTTCGGTTGAGGCTGCGGGGCGAGTGGGTGGGCGATGTTGTTGGGCGTGAGTGGGAGGGCGCGGAGAAGGGGTTGGACAAGGTCATGGGGGTGGCGGTTGATGTGGAGTAGATGCATGCTTTCTTGGTTATGAAGAATGAACATATACCTTTATATTGTGATCTGGATGTAGAAGAGAGGCTTGTAACGAGTTTGAAAGTATACACTCGTTTGAGGTACAACTGGGGTCGGATGTACAGCCTTGATGCTACTTGATACACGCCATGACTCGGGTCTACACAATTCCCGGATCAAACACGCACAGCGTTTCATTGAAAAAGATGAGTGGATAACTAACATTATGCTATACTCTGTAACTACGCTAGTCTAGATACTGGTTGAGACACGTTTATCCCAAAGGCGCCCAATCATCCCTCTGGCGACCGGCTTCGGCTACGTTTTGCCGGGGACGTTGACCCGAGTACCCTTCGAAGATACGACACCTCGGGCATACATGGAAGTGGAGATCGCCGTCTGTAGGCTCGAGTCGAGCTCGTCAGTCCTCCTCGTAATGGTATATCAACTGTTGGTCCGTCCTGGTCAAGATGCGCTTCTTCCAACGGGACCATGGGAGACGGCAAACGTGGGGGAGTCGACTCTAAATGGCATCGCTTCAGGTCATCTTCAGAGATAGCTTCATCGAGCCCAGACGGCGATGACGCTCTACCAGGGGTCGGACACTCCCAGCTCTCGCGCTGCCACAATTGAGCGCGTCGTCGCAGGGGTATCGGGGGCGCGGGCTCGTCGGGCTCGAGTGGTGATGACATCTCGGACAGCGTCCAACTCGAAGGCTGTGCGCGATCTGCCTCGGAGCGCGGTGATGAGTGATAGGTTATGGTTGACTGAGGTGAATACCTGGCGGTATCGGCTGATGTTGGCCCTGTGGGCGGCGTCCGATCGCGTGATGGTGGGTACATGCTGGGATCTACCTCGATTGCCTCCGCTGGCGGCCATGTGCTGTGGGTTACGGGTGACCAAGGCGAGTCCCTGCGCCTCTCTCGGGAAAATTCTCCTGGGTGAGGCATCGACCTGGAAAACCGATCGAGGCTGGCGTTGTCCATTGTCGAATACACCGAGGGCGACCTCGTCTTCCGCCGGTGCTGCCGAATGTACTCGTCCACCTCGTTGGCCCACTCGACCTCATCAGTGTCCGGGCTGGAAATCTCATCGAGCGCTTCGATTGCTTCCACGACTCCTGGATGGACCCATGTGCCATCGTACCGGGGCGGGTTGACTGCAATGTAAAATGGAAATTTCCGCCGCGAGAACCCTTTCCTCGCGGCCCAGAGCAGCATGATCTCATATAGCCGCATTAAGCACCACGTGTGCAGGACCTGCACGAGGTCCAGCTCAAGAACATTCCCATCTCGATATCCCAGCATGTCTACAATGTGCCAAAGAGAAAGCACTTCCGGCAGGTATCCGTCTGTCACGCCTTGAAGCGCCCCTCGCTCAGGCCTATTGTTTGAAAAAATAACGTCGTCCACATCGTGATCCCGTGCAAGCCGAATCAGTGTCACCGTGTCGACCATCATGGACCAGTGCTCGCCGTCGATGAATTCGATATCGCGCAACCAAGCTGTGAGTGACGGAAGCATGGTGTCAATTTTCTCATTGAGCCCGTCTGTGGATGGGAAGCCGAACGCGCCAGCGAGCAAGGGTGGACTTGTGCCGAGCTCGTAGATGGTTCGTTCATCGTAGGGAAGGCCACGGACAGGCAGGAGTCGTGGAGCCCCACTGGGCGCTGGTCTTCTGGGGTGCGCGTTAGCATTGGAGGCCAAGGGATATGCCCACTTACCTATAGTTCATGTTGTAGGTAGTAAATATTGATTCAGAGATGATAAGTATAGCAAGAGGGGGACCCGGAGATGGAGCGAACTCCGTCCGCAAGACTTGAAGGAAGATGACGTGACAAGTGGAAAATCAACGAGGAAGGCACGGCACAGGCGGAGGGCAGCCTGCATGCCCAGCAGCGCTTCTGTCGATAGCTGGGCATGTCCTTGACTACGCCGGTGCTGCCCTAAGTCGCTCCTGCCGCTCAAGCGACAGCGTCTTCTTCTCTGCCACGCCGGAAGAGATTCTTTTGTACACCAGCTTCACATCTTTTCTTCACAGTTATCAAACAAATATAGTAGATTCGTTTATCGTTAACCGACTTAAATAACAAATCCCCGTCTCGAGATTAACCTTGTCCGGCCTTCGACGGGCAGCATCATGGCAAACTCCGACGAAGCCAGGCGGGTTAGGATCAAAGAGATGCTTATAGCAAACGTCAGACACGGCGCAAGGATCCCAACAGTAGACGACCGTCAATCTTGGCCACCGAACCCCCCTCATCCGCTACACGACACGAAGTCTGCGGCCCTGCCCCAGAGAGTCGACTACGCAATCATCGGCTCTGGCATTGCAGGTTGCAGTGTGGCCTGGAATATACTCACTCAAAGCGAGCTCAAACATACCATTGCCGTTTTCGAAGCTCGCGGGCTGGCTAGTGGCGCCACTGGCCGCAGCGGTGGCCAGGTCGCCGCCTTGATGACAGCGAACGAGTTTGCCGACACGAGCACCCGCCGTGACATCCTTGCAGCTGACGCCTTGAATCGATTCTCCGGCGAGAGTTATAATCGACTGGTGGAGCTCGTACGGAACGATCCTTCGGCAACGGACTACCACTTCGCTCCTGTCAAGTCCGTGACAAATCTTGTAGATCCTGCTGACGTTGCATCGGTGAATCAATACGCAGATAACTTTGCAAAAGCCTGTGCGCAGTGGTCGTACCCCGGGGACCTGAGGACTCCGGATGACAGCAGATCTGTGAGTTCATCCGATAATGACAAGCCTGACCCTGCAGAGCTGGCCACTGCCTACGATCAAAGTATTACCAGTTTATCAATTCCCATGGCACGACCGAGCAACCTGGGCTAGTTCTGCTCCCGTATAGATTGGTCACAAGGCTGTTCGAACGGTTGCTCCAGAAGTATCCGGCCCAGCTGTCGATCGACACACACACGCCAGTCCAGCAGGTCGGTTACAATTCTCGCCTTACCAGCCACAAGTATACATTGATGACAAGTCGTGGTGAGGTGCGAGCCAATCATGTCATTCACTGCACCAACGGGTGGACTTCCTGTTTGCTGCCTCATCTCGCCGAGAGAATCTTTCCCTGGCGAACGACGATGGCTTACCACGAGTTTGACTATGACCCCGAAACCTCGCCGGGACGCGTGGGGCGACCGCAGTATATATGGCAGGAAGTCTCCTGGCCACGCCACGATTACATTCACAACTCGGTCGAGATGGGTAAGCACTCCGTTACTGAGCTCGGACCGACCAACCAAACTTTGTTCAAACGTGTCCTCGTACGCTCAGACAACCTGGACTATCAGGCCCTTATAGACCATGATGATACACGGACACCTCCTGGTGCCGGGCATCACGTTTCTCGCGTCCTGCGCAGGGTATTTACACCCTGGCGCTTCGCGGGGGTGGAGCAACCGCCACAAATATGGTCCGGGGTCTGCGGATACACCGCGGACGCCAAGCCAATCTGTGGACAGCTCTCCAAAAAAATGGACTTCGAGGACGGGCAAAGGAGAGTGGATCTGCGCTGGGTGCAATGGCATGGGTCTGGCCACGACTTGGACGTTGGGTGAACTATTGGCGCATCGCCTCCTTGGCAGGAAGGAGGAGTTCATAGTATTACCCTGGTCATACAGCTCTGACGATGGGCGCTTGGAGATGATGAATGTTAATAGCTTCTTTGAGGAATGGCTTCCTAGAGTTTGATTTGCGTGCATCTGCAGTTGCCTGGTGCTGGCGGTGATGTGGATCAATGGTCTCATGAGTACCCAGGGAACAGTTAGGATAGAATCAACTGGCATGAACTTGACTCACAGATACGGATCCCTTAGCTTCCCCGCCAATGCACATCCCCCATACCGCATCCCCTGCGGGGAAATGGGAGCGATACCTCCCCACCGCGCAACTGCTATGCCCCATGTCATATAATCGATTTTGTCCGTGCGAGTCCCTTTGCTATCGTATGCCCGCGTCGCTGCCTGGTGCTGGAATATAATTCACTTTTGCATCAGCGCAGGAATATACTTGGCCTGTCGGTTCCACACTTGGAGCTCTCGAGTTTAAAACATCGAAGACATCTGTGGCAAACAAGTATATCCTCATTGGAAACAAGCGTGATCATATTGTGTGGTGTGTGCAAGACCACAGCGGCAAAGCAGAAGGCTCAGATCGTGGTCCAAATCGTCGAAGCTGAGAAAAGCCTTGCATCGAGACGGTTCGCCAAGTTCGGTTTGCTCTACTGCGCGGACTCTCCCCCCCGCACCTGCCCGGTCAATGGCTGTTGTTCTATAGTGACACAAGTGATGTCCTGGCCAATGTCTATAATCCTTGGGTATATGACTGCACTCGTATATAGAGAAATTGCTGTCGCGTAATCAGGTCTGCGATACCAAGTAATGCTACAAGGCCTCTTGCGTGGGCAGCGGCCGCATTATGATGGTAGGGTTACAGAGGGGAAGTATGCATGGCAAAGGAGGTTTTAATAAAGGAGCACCAGGAGATGAAAGCATCCATGGTGGCCGAGTTGGCGTTTGTCGAGTTCGAGTAGGGCATCTCGTCTGGCAGACATGTCGTAGGAGGCTTCGGCTTCGGATTTACGGATATTCGGCGGAGCGTCATCCCTCAATGTTCTCAGCCGCAGCGGCTGTGCTGCCCGGAATCCACTTGACCTAACAAAGTATAGTGCCACGCACGGCCACCAGCGGCGTTTAAGATGACATCATGATTGGCCCAGTCAGCCTTAACAATCAGTGACAAATCCAACGCGCCGCACTGGATGCTCAGCAAATCCTTATCAACGCATTATCCATCCGTATTTCCATGCCGATTCTCGAGGGTCCAAGGCGCGAGGAGAACGTTCCTGAATAGCAATCCAATCGATTGCAATCAATTGCTGCTGGGATTCTATTAACAGCTTTTGAGTTCGCTGCTTAGCCGATGCTGATAAAGGATCTGCGGACCCACTGGACCCAGCGAGATTTAGCGAGTATAAAAGGCTCTGCGAGGGTCGGCATTGAGGAGATATCATTCTGAAAAAAGCATCAGTGTCAATCCAGCACTACAACTGCAACTACAAGCATCCCCATAAAAACAAAAACATTCACCGCACAATCAACACCCAACAACCCACAACAGCAATGTCCAAATCCCTTTCGCACGCCAAGATCCTCGCCCGGCGCTCCGCCGACCGCGGGTACGCCGAACACGGCGGGTGGCTCAAGTCCTTCCACACCTTCAGCTTCGCCAGCTACTACGACCACAAGTACACCAACTTCGGCTCACTGCGCGTGCTCAACGAAGACCGCGTCGCAGCCCACAATGGTTTCCCGACCCACCCGCACCGCGACGCCGAGATCTTCAGCTACATCCTCTCGGGGGAATTGACGCACCGGGACTCGATGGTGCGCAAGGGCGCCGAGGGCACACAGGGAAAGGACTTTTACCGGATGAAGCGCGGCGACGTGCAGTTTACGACGGGCGGCACGGGGATCGCGCACTCGGAGCAGAACGAGAGTGACAAGCCCGTGCATTTCCTGCAGATTTGGGCGTTGCCGTGGAAGACCGGGTTGAAGCCGCAGTATCATACGAAGAGCTTTGATGAGGAGGCCAAGAGACAGGGGTTCGTTCCCATCTTGTCGCCGCTCAAGGGTGGTGTTGATGCTACGCCGAAAGAAGAGGCGGATGCGGTGCCGATGATTGAGGGGACGATTCCGATCCATGCGGACTTTGTCATGGGGGCGGGGCTTATTGGGGAGAGGAAGAGGTTTGAGTGGAGGGTTGGGGGTGGTGAGGGCGTGGTTGAGAAGAGGAAGAAGAGGAATGTGTATGTGCATTTGCCCATGACCAAGGGCGGCAAGGCCAAGATTCGCCTGGATCAGAGGGAGGACGCGGTGTTGAGTGAGGGTGATGGAGCGTTCATCACGGGGGTCAATGTTGGCGATGTCCTTAGTGTTGAGAGTGTCGGGGATGTCGAGGCCGAGGTTATTGTTCTCGACAGCGATTAGATTGCTTTTTTATCGTTTCTTTTCTCTTCTTTTGTATATATCCTACTGATGTACTCACGAAGCATGTAAAATTTTGGGTCTTTTTCTACGTTTATACACAACCCGCGCAATAATACCGATCCACTCTGATATAAGAATGATCACTTGTCGATGTTTTTCATTTTCATACTCTTATCAAGTCGAAATAACTAAGATATACGAGGTAGACGAAGCTGCCAACCCCCCTACGATATATATCCCATGGCAGAGCTCGGGTCTCCAGAAAACTCGCTCGAGGTATATCAAGATGGAAGTAGTTTTATAAAATGTGATCAAGGCTTGATCAAGCAGAAGACGAACTTCAAGCGATCTTTTTTTTTTTTTTTTTTTTTTTTTTTTTTAATTTTGCGAGATAAAGCGCCGGGTCTACTGTCACGACTGGCCCTAATCGTAGCTAAGACGAGCACTAATTTTAGACACAAGGCTTGTTTCCGGTTGAGATCAAAATAACTGGCAAGGCTGTCTTACTTTAGATAGCATGTGGTTGCATTCCAGTCACCTACACTCTGGTCAGATAATAACTCATGCCGGCTCTCGGTTTATTAGGAGAGATTGGAATCCCATAATCAGAACCATGGCGGCCTTTTGTTCCCCTCCGTAGATCAAGCCGCTATAAGGTAATGCTCTCTTCGCTACGGAGTCGAAGCCCCTCAATAACCCCATCCCCAAAATCCGCGACAATGCCCCTCGAGTCCCGCAGCTGGATCCTCCTCGCCGTCTCCTGGCCCCTCTGCGCGCTCAGCACCCTCCTGGTCACCCTCCGCATCCTCGTCCGCACACACCTCCTCCGCTCCTTCGGCTGGGACGACACCGCGATCCTCCTCGCGCTCCTCTGCGCGATAATCAACACAATCCTCGTAACAATAAGTGCGCACTGCGCACCACGGGACGGGCCGGCACGCCGCAGACCTCACTCCATACCAGGTCATGGAATCCACGAAATGCAACTGGCTCTCGCAGCGGTTCCACGTCATGTCGACGAACTGGGGCAAGGTCTCTGTGGGACTGTTTCTGCTGAGGATTATCCAAAAGGTCAAGAGCCGACGACATGCGCCGGTGATGTATGGCGGGTTGGTTCTTATGACGCTTGTTAATGTTGTTTGTGTGTATACGATTTACGGGCAGTGTGCGCCGACGCCTGTGGGCTTTGGGATCAAGCGGTGCATGGCGAGTGTTGGGATCCGCAGGTTCAGAGGGATTATGCGTTTTTTCAGGGGTGTAAGTCATGTTGTCTACCACATGCTTCGTGGAACCCGCAGCTTCAGCTCCTCTGCTGATCTATTGTAAATCATGCCAATGGAACATAACAGCTGCATCCGCCTTCTCGGACCTTGTCCTCGCCGTATACCCGCTCTTCACAATCTACCACCTGCAGATGCCACCGAGGCTGAAAATCGCCCTTGGGATCCTGCCTTCGCTAGGAATCATGTACGTTTCTCCCGCCGTCCAATCCATTCCCAGGTCCCCAATTCCATCTAACGAGATGCCCGTATAGCGCCATGACCGCCGCAATAATAAAAACCATCAACCTCTCCTGCCTGACAAGCCGCTCCGACTACCCGTGGGACACCGTCAACCTCGTCATCTGGATCGCCATCGAGCAGTACCTGATCATCGTGGCGGCGTTCATCCCGCCACTGGCGCCACTGGTAAATATCGCCCAGCGCTGCAGCAAGGAGGATAGCAGTTCGAAAGCGAATCTCGCCGGTACTAGGCCCGGAAGTTCCACGACGCCGAAGCATTTCTTCTTCTCGCCGTATACCAGTGCGCAGGCGGACGAGGCCATGTATCCGCTTTCGTGGGCGCGGTCGGAGACGGCGAGTCGGGGGATGGGGAGTGGGAGGTTGAGCGGTGCGAGTGGTAGTGACAATGTGAGTCGTGGAAATGGGGGAGGCAGTGGCACTGGGTCTAGGACTGGGACTGCCAGCGAGGATCCGGTCGCGGTGGCGCGCGACGGGCGGGGGATTCTAATGACGACGGAGATTTGCGTCCAGTCGGAATATGGGGGGCCAGTGGGCGGGGAGGGCCAGGCTAGGCGGGCTTGAAATAGATTGATACAATACCTACCTAGATTGATTGATTGATTGATACCGTGCAGTATACACTACTAAGCCGGTTTTTATGCAGCGTTTCCACTGATATTGCGTCCGTGTGCTATCCTTTTTCTCCGCGGGCTGGGATCTTGGACTATTAATACTACACATATTGAAGGAATTGATTCCGAATAGTCCAAGCTTACTCTGCGCCATGTAGTAGTGAAACGGACCATTGGTTTGCGTGGAGGGCTAGCTGCCGATGGATGAGCTGTGGGTTAGATGGGTATAGTGACAGTTGTAGTTAAAGGGACGACGCACCTAGGTCAACGCCTAGGTCAGCAACGAAAGAGGTACACGACTGAGCAACTGGATAAGCATTCCAGCGAGTCTCAGAGTGAGTCTCAAGGTAAATATTGCAATGAGAATCTAGATATGGATGCAGTCAATATCCCAGATCGGATGCGAATGTGGGTCTAAGTAATGCAAGAGGAACTCGAAGTGATAGGGGAAATGATGACCTTGGATTAGGTAGACCCTCGAGATAACTCTAGATTTGGAGGCTATTGGTTTCCAAAGTTAATAGAGCACTCTAGAGATAGTACTGTACCCCAACCGCCTGGCCCGAAGTGAGTGACGGACAATACATCGTATAGTAAGGGGGCTTTCGGACTAGATTCTAGCGGACGCAACGAGTCGAAACAAGGGGAGTAAGATCAGGTTGAAGAGACAAGCGGCACGGTGACCAGGGTTAGCCTTATTAGCACAAAGACCAGGGTAGTGCATAGCGAGACTCTGAATCATTGCAAATCGTAAAGATACTTGAAGGAATACATGATGTAATGACATTCCAACACAAACTCTATAGCGATACAGATCAAGGTACCGGGAATGATGGCATAGGAGTTGCAGAGGTTCGCAGCGAGAGGCGAGCTTCTTATGGAGCCTGTCCAGCGGCCCTCCACTCCTTCCCCAACAGTATTATTGCCACAAGATCTACAAGGTGCTAATATTAAAGACACTTAGGACTGATCTAATATGCTCAACTCGGCCGAAATTGGTCGTGAGAACACCTTTCTGGCCCGACGTGGACTTTCCTAGAGGAGCGATCCGTCTATCGAGCCGTGATATATCACACCCGTAAGCGGAGTATAAGGCTGGCAAACTTTGCTTTTGGTTTGCGTTTCCTGAAAGCTGCTGTTTGAAGCTCGGTTTCTTTGCCTGTCCCTGGTTATATCTGACAGATGCTCAAGATCGCTGAATACATCTCTATCCATCCACCATGGATAAAGAAACCTCGACTCTGTCAGATGACTTTGTTGACTGAAAGGGTCCATTACATGCGAGCACTGGATACAAAGGCGTGCTATCCAGACAATGGCGGGTGCAATAAAGATCTGGTCTGTTCCTATAATCAACAATGGAATGGTATTCGAAGAGTGGAGATAAAGGAACCATGCACCTATAAGTAGACCAACAGTGTGCACCCTCTGATGGTAAGTGGGTTATCGCGTATCCCACGCCCACCTTGTCACCATCATTAGCGCCAAAAATGTCAACACATGAGAACCAACTCCTTGGCTGCGACCACCCAATGCAAGAGCCAAGTCTTGAGTGCACACTAGAAGCCCCTGTCGACATGACCTCCGTCCGCGATGACTTCTGGGCCTTTTTCGGTCAGACGGAGGAGGAGTGGAACGCACTGGACCAGAACCAAAGTACCTGGACTGGACCGAGCACGTTCCCACCATACGCGGAGTGGATTGCGCAGGATGAAGGGAATACCGGCTTGAGCATGGTCCCCACTGACGATGTGCAGATGACTGACGATGATGCTGTAGGTGTCCCCAAGCCAACGCCATGCGTGCCTAGTGCTGTTGCAGGGGGTGTTGATGCTGGCTATATGAATCCCAGCGTGACCCTATCGCCACAGCACACGATAAGTGGCGGCGCCCTTCCCGGCGATGTTGCACCGCAGGTTGAGGCTATTCCCACCAGCAGTCTAGATGACAACACTCTCAGGCACACTACGGAGGAAGAGGAGCGCGAGGCAATGAAGACAGTAGTCCAGGCCCAAGCCAACTGCTGCGCCGAATGCAAAACGCGCATCCCGGAGCAGCCATCCGAGCTCAGAGGAATGATCACGGACCTTGAGCACATGTACCAGGAAACCTGGAAAGAGCTCCGAGTCGAACGGCACCGGAGCAGCAGATACAGGAGGGAGTCGCATGAGATGAAGGTGAAGCGTTTGGAGGACCTGAAGCAGCACGAGGTAAGCGAGGCGCTCAAGGAGCTTGAGGGCCGGTACCAGGAGGTTCGAGATGAACTGAAGATCGAACGCAACAAGAGCTTTACATATAAGAAAATGGCGTTTACGGAGAAGGCGACGTATTCAGGGTTGCTGGCTCGTGTGGCGGAGCTCGAGGAAATGAATGCGAAGCTGCAGGGCAAGTATGAGGCGGCGATGGCTATAGTAGGGAGGCTCCAGGGAGAGCCCAGGGAAACGGCTCCATAGGGACGCCTGCAACTGATAATTCAAACATTTAGGGAATGAATTCATTTGAAGCATCTTATAAGCATGTGCTTGATAATCATCCAGATTGCTCTCCGTAACATTTCCTATATCCCAAGATGAGTCCTCTAAGCCAGCTATTATAGAACAGCACTTGTAGTGCCAGGTCAGGAATCTGCCAGCCAGGCCAACCGAGTAGAGATACTAGGCAAGCCTGCAAAGATAGACTTTGATTCCGACCCGCCCAAAAACGATGTCTACATTGTCTAATGCTCGATGCTTTAATCTGGCGGTTATTTTTAAGGAGGGGCTCCAAACCGCTCTGCCTGCGAAGTCGAAAGTGCAATGGGCTTTGTTCTCGAGTAAAGGGCGGTACTAAGACATAGTGCACAAAGCAGAGGCACGCCCAACAAAGGCTTTATTGTGCACGAGCAAACAATGCCATATTCCATGAAAGAAGGCTAAACAGGTATAAATATACAGACAATGCCCCTCGGTGGGGCAGAGGTACCTCACTCACCCACCACGCACAGCTTCACATCAAGTCGACATGTCGACACAGCAGAACAAAGACCCCAACCAAGCCAGGGCAACCCCCGAGCAAGTCCGTCTGACATCGCCCACACCCAGCAACACCCAAGGCATCGATAACATGTGGACCGAGTTTGACAAATCGGCAGAGGAGTGGTTTGCGAAGAGCGACGCAGGGTTTGACGACGTGAGTATACCCTTATATACCGGACCGAGAATGACTTCTCCAGAGGTGGACATGACTGGTGCTGCAGGTGTGGCTGAATCAGGAACTTCTAATGGAACTGCCGCAGATACAACCCGCACAGTCGCTGCCGATGCTAACATGCCATCGACACGAGATGGTACAGCCCCAGCGAGTGCAGGTACCACTGACCCAAGCCGTGTGGCGGCGTTTGCGAAAGAGCGCGAGAATGCCAAGCGGATCTACGCCCATAGACGCGCCGAGTACGAAAGTGGCCCCCCCAATATCTTTCAACCAGTGAGACAAGCGAATCAAGAGGTTGTGGTCCAACGGAAAGACACCAACAATGAGCTTCGAAATGCATTACAAAGGATCCAGGAGCTTGTGCTCGGATGGGAGGAGGATATCAAACGGCTTCAAACAGCGCGGCGAATGATCAGCAGTCTCCAACTCCGACTGGATAATGACCTAGGTGAACTCAAGATCCAACGGAACCGCTGCGAAATGTTCCAGCGGCTCGTGCGCTTGGACACCAGGGATCGAATGAAGACGCACGCTCGCGTGGCCGAGGTGGAGGCGATGAATCTCAAGTGGCAGGACAAGTATGAGGTGGCCAGGGCTGAGGTACGGAGGCTTCAGGAGGAGTTGATACGGGCCCACAACGAGCTCAGCGAAGCGAGAGATGTCATCAAGGCCCTTGATGCTGATAAGCAAAGGGAGTAAGAAGATCCCTGAAGGATGGCGGAAGCCATGGTTCAGCATGAATGCTGTTAGGCTGGACGCCTTGGAGATTACTCCTGGTTTGGAGGCCCGATGAAGGCATGTTTAATCTGTTTCGAACGGTGCTCTACTAGGGGTGTTATATACTTTCTTATTATAGCATAGGAGTAATTTGAAAACCAGTTATGCATGTTTCATCATTTTCGTAGTTGCGAGTAAAATGGGTAATCCCTGGTCCGCCATTCCGACACGGAAACAGAAACTCGTTGAGTCCTTTTCTTCCCTTGTAGAGGCGTCAAGGACACACGTAGCTGACTTACAGGTCTGCAGCAAACAGACAGCTCAGGCTGCGCTAACCTCATTCGTCGTAACCTCGTATGTTGTAGAGGCGGAGCCCTTCAGCTCCGTCAACCCCGCAACCCAAGCAAGCAAGGAGCGATGGCACACCTTTCTGATCTACCCGTGTCAATTCTGATCGAGATATTCGAGTACACCATCGAGGACTGTGATTATCTACCCCTTCTTTTGATATCCCGACACCTGCGTGGCATTGCCGAGGACGTCATTTACCGCGACATCACCGAGAACCTGCTGCACGTCCCAGACCCACGTCGCCGGCTCTGCCTCCTCTTCCGAACCCTCCTTCACCGTCCCGACCTGGCGTCTCGCGTCCGCAACCTGACCATCAAATGCGCCCGCGACATCCTGAGCCTACCGGTCCGACCAAGCGCCGCGCAGCATGAGTTTATCCAGGAACTGCAGCGGCACCCTGGTGCGACAGCGTGGATAAGAGCATGTGAGAACAATCTCATCGAGCCATACATTATGCTTCTCATAATGTTGACGCCGAACCTCTTACATCTCGAAATCGAGGCAGAATGTACGTCCAGGATGATTCCGGAGATGTTTGATCCCAAGGCTCTCGCCTTGCTTTCCGATGACCGGCGATTTACCTCGCTACGGTCGCTCACGTATGGCTCTGGGAGGGATCGCTGGGCGGCTGATATGACCCCCTTTGCTTCGGCTGTTCCATTCCTTTACCTTCCCAACCTGGAAGAACTCCATCTGACTGGGCTGTTTGGGAGGTTTCATGGATGGCTGGAGGGCGGACCACCGACGACGAGAATAAAGCACCTCTCCCTACGCGGGTTTGCACTCGATATGGGGCGGATCGATGAGGTCCTTGCTGCGTGCCCGCGCCTGGTATCATTTAGACTAGGCGCAAGGTACAAGCCCAGCGGGATTTTCCAGGCCTACGGCAACTTGGGTCGCGCCTTTCTTCAAGTCCGCGAGACAATTGAGGTGATAGACATTAGCTATGGCGAGGGGATCGGGTTCGACAAGATCAGCCCGCCGACCCCGCATCCCCACGCAGAAGAGCGAATGTGCGTGTTTCACGACTTCCCTTCCCTCTATGATCTCCGCATTCCAATGGTCGCGTACCTCGGAGCGGTTCTGCAAGAGGCTCCAGATCTGGAGGCCTTCCTGCCAAAAGGGCTAGAGACGCTGCGTTTCTACGATGACATATGGGCTGTGAATGCGGAGGAGAGCGCTGAGCTGTACTGGTCGACTTTATTTCACCGGCTGCACAAAGTCTTGAGCAACAACTCTCTACCAAATCTGTCCGAGATCAATTTCTTCATCCACGAATCGGCGGGTTGGTTCGACTTTGAAGAGGCGATTGACGGAATCAAGGCAGCTGCTGACCGAGCCGGAGTCGCCATCAGATACTGGGGGGTTGCTGATGACCAGTAGTATCCATTTTTGTCATCATAAAAAGAGCGAGACTGTACTTCCCGCTGCCTCGGGGGCCACCAGAATTAACTTCCTAATCTGGCATAGCTCCGGTGAGAGGGGGTGGCCAATCGTGACTCGATCCGTTGACGAGCATCGGGATTTGTAAGGGCAACGTGGACAGGGCGCAGTCCAGACCCCAAGAAGACGTCACACTTGATACTACCCCAGCCTTATTTCTCACAAGCTTCCATAAGCACAGAAAGTTAATAATGCGGACAGCTGAAGAGTATGACCCAGCATATGAGGAACTCTGGTCGTGGGCTGACATGCTCTATACTTAGAGAGCATAAATAGCCCGTGTATCCTCCTGTTCCTTTCTTATATTCCATATCAACCACGATAATCATCCCAATACCACAAACCATGTCTTCAACCCCCGAACAAACTTACGGCTTCACCCCCGTCCCCTCCTCCCCCAACACCCTCTTCACCACCTCTTCCATCTTAGAATCCAAAATCCCACCACCATACACCCCAGTCTCCTGCACACCCATCCCATCAACCCCCCTCTCGCAACGCATCCAAGCCTACGCAAAAGCTCATCTCCCGGAACCAACCTACAACCACTCCCTCCGCGTCTACCACTACGGCCTCGCCATAAAACGCTACGCATTCCCGGAGTGGGAATTCGACGACGAGACCTATTTCCTCACGTGCGTGCTTCATGATATCGGAACGACGGGGGAGAATCTGCGCGGGACGCGGTTGAGCTTCGAGTATTTCGGCGGATATCTGGCGCTCGATGTCTTGCAGCACGATCAGGACGACGATAAGAAGGGACGCGCCGTTGCGCCCCGCGCCCAGGCCGAGAGCGTAGCCGAGGCGATTATCCGGCATCAGGAGCTGAGGGATGTTGGAAGTATTACGGCGGTTGGGCAGTTGGTGCAGTTGGCTACGATTTTCGGTATGTCATTCTTCCTTTTCTGGGTACTTGTTCCTCGGGGTCGGGCGTTTTAGGCTAACATGACCAGACAACACCGGTGGCCACGCACACCTCGTCCACGAAGACACGGTCAAGGATGTGATTGAGCGCTATCCGCGGCTCAAGTGGAGTTCTTGTTTCGCGAGGACGGTTGAGGAGGAGGTTGGCTTGAAGCCGTGGGCTCATACGACCGTGTTGGGGGATTTCAAGGGGCATATTCTAGGGAATCCTTTTAATCGCTTTGAGTAGGGTTCTGCTTTGTGCGCGTTTACAGTGTGCTTCTTGATGTTATAAGTAGTCCAAAAAAGAAAAGCCTATTCCTGTGATTGTTTGCCCCGGAGTTCTGGGAGAGAATATATCAATGTAGCGTCCTGTGTCTGAGCGGAATGGGGTACAATGTGAGAATATTTAAGAGGGTAGTACAAAGGACCATTTATCAAGGAACACTTGGTCCAAGACAACCTCATGAAAAGGGTGAATCGGGATACTTCCCAGCTCCTCCTGGTAAGTGGAGCTGGGTGATATGATACAGGTCTAAATAATGAGAACCAGAGCAACCCAGTCGGTATCAGCTTCGACTACCTGACACTCGATCTCTCGCAGTCTACGAATAGAAAGTGCGTTACTTTATGGTTAGTAGATTAAAAATTCAGCTTGATGACCAAGGATAGGTAGTAAGGGGGGAAAAAAAGATGTTCAATACGAAATAAGTACGTAAAAACAAAAGCAACACACAAGAATAGACTAGACGCTTAAAGCCTACCTGGACCCAAGGCGAGCCTGCAAAGCATTCTTCTCAGCCTCCAAGACCCTGGCCTTCTCCTGGACCTCCTCCAGCTCCCTCGCTTGAGCCTGGAACCTCTCGAGATCCGCCAGCGTCCGATCAAGCATATCCCTCTCCTTCCTCAACCTATCCATCGTCGCCCTCGTAAGCGTGTCCTTTGCATCTCTCAGCTCCCTCGCAAGTTGAGCCTGCTCCTCTCGAAGTTGCGCAACTTCGCCTTGTGCAGTAGCAAGTTCACCCTGGACATATTCCACGACCTGGTTAGCCTCAGTTCGAGCATTATTCAGTTCTCTCTCGGTGACTGCGACGTCGTGTTCGTGCTGCAACAGCTGCTCGTAGAGTCCGTTCTCCATGTGCTCTGGGAGGAGCGGGGGTAAGAAGCGGATGGTGCGTTCTGCGTTGGCGGAGTCACTATCACCTAGTTCCATGTCGGAGTCGGAGTCTTCTGAAAATTCAGTGGCTGCGGATGATGCTGTGGAGGTCTCGGTGGTCGCAGTGGAGGCGGGGGATGTACTCACGCTTGGTTCGACTGTGGTCTGGAGTGGCTGGAAGTTTCCGGTGTTGTTCTGCTGCCAGGTCGGGTTGTCCACTGGGGGCATGGCTGCACCTTGGGTTTGAGAGGTGGGAAAGACGTCGATGTTCATGGTCTGGTTTGCGTCACCAGGGATGGCAGTGCCTACGACAAACCCCTTCTGCATGAATACCTGCACGTTTCTGTTCGGATCAGGTGTAGGAACATCAACGAGCCGATCTTGCCAGAAAGCATGCATGTTGGAGGCCATGACGCCCACCGAATCCGTTGTCCCAGCTCCAGCGATGGCCACCCCGATATTCGAGAATTGATCTGTAGAGGGAGCCTGCTGCATGTCAACGTTAGTGGCCGGGGGCAGAGAACTCATCCTATTGACCAGTATCTCGCCCTCTGCAGTATTGCCCAGCCAGTGAGTCCCCGTGGTCATATCGTATGTAATCAGCGGTCCTCCCGTGGTTGGAGCGGCCGTTTCCACCATCCCGGTGGTCTTCGACGCCTTGGCGTCCATGAACGCCTGCACACCGGGCATCTGAGGCCCCGTATACTCGGGAATATCCAGGTCCTGCATAGCCTGCTCGTTCTGCGCGAACCAGGCCATGGCCTTGTCAAAGTCTTCCATGAGTGCGTCGGGGAGTTGCGTGATGCTTTCGGGGATTGTGTTGGATACGTTTATGGAACCGATGTTCTGGGACAGGGAAACGGCTTGTGAGTCCGCATTCATGTTGATTTCTATGTTGTTGACGTGGGTAGACATTTTGTGGTTGTGTTGATTGGTTGGTGGGTGGGTGGTTTCTAATGGTTAAGGGTGTGTGTGTGATTCTGGAAAGGTGAGCTGGATAGTCAAGTTGAGTGAGGAATAATGGATTCAATGTTGATCCAGGGTTGGGAGCTAGGACATATTTATCTACCCTGTTCCCCTGTTGATGACTTGAAGGTACAAGTCATTGTTCAGACTCTGGAACAATCGCAATTCATTGTTTCAACGAACAAGGCCAACCGTCTTCTTGTCTTCCCGCGCCAAGTCCCTTGTTTGATTCCTTTTAGAGCAGCAAAGCATCTCCTACGGCTCAAGGCTCCCGGACAAAGGTCAAGATGAACAACGCTAGCAAGCTTTCATTAAGTATGCTCCCCTCACTAGTAATCGGATGGTATAAAGGGACATAAATAGTGACTTAGTCAGTGAGCCCCATTATCAAGGATTGATGGCCTCCGTTTCATGGATGAGGCCATCAATTCTAACTTATGGATTCCAGACCATAACATCCATCATCCGGTAGCTGACAGTGTCCTCCGGCCTTGGTCGAAGACTGTATGGAAGCGTGATTGGGCTTTCAAGATTCCTATCGGCTCATTGATATTATAGTACCGCATGCAGCAAAGGCAAGCAGGGGTGCAATGCCCCTGCCAAACACCAAACCTGGGATCCCGCTCCTCTAAGCAACATTGGCAGGCCACTCTCGCACAGCACCCTCCTGACTGGATGCATCGCATAAGGAGCAGATAATCGTGGAACCATAACTTGTTTTGCCTGCGGCAGTAGAATGCTCGGTAAATTGGCGTGTGCCTTACCCGTTCCTCTGCAGCGCGTATAGCTTGTTTTATCTATTCGCAGACCGCTCGATTCTCCTTGAGCTCGAAATAGTACATCTGCCACGCTTCTCTTGCCAAGTCTCGCGCCTCGTCACTTGTCCCGTTTCTCTCCAGGTCTTTAAAGTAGGCGGCATTCGTCGCGAACCATCGATTCCGCTGGACAACAATGCTCATGGCGTCATGGGACCCGAGGAGTGTGTGGAAGGCGTCCCACTCCTGGTCGGTTAACCCAAAAACCTTGTGCTGAAACTTTCGAAATAATTGCGCGCTTCGCTTGTCTAGCCAGTCCTCCACGAACGCAAAAAGTCGAGCCATGAGACACTTGCCCTTTTTGGCTCTATATAAGATGTAGAACAATACTATCAGGAGAGAAATCTTAACTGCTAGCCTATGCTAGAGCTATATCCCCGTTTTAGAACTAAAATCATGTATACTGCCACAACCACAGTCACCCCCTTCCCCTTTGTTTTCGAAACTCCCAATCTACAAGGCCACATCAATAGGCCGTCTTGCCCTCGGAGAAGCAATCTCAGCAGTCAATGTCAGGTTTCTTGATGTCGATCTTCTTGTGGACGGCGAACCCCTTCTTGATGCCGAGGCCCTTCTTGCCACCATCCTTGTTGTCGTCGTCATCCTTCTTGTCATCATCATCTTTCTTGTCGTCGTCCTTCTTCCCATCATCCTTCTTGATCCCAATGCTCTTGTTGATGACGACGACCTTCTTGATCCCGCCATCCTTCTTATCGTCGTCCTTCTTGCCATCATCATCCTCCTTCTTCACGTCGTCATCCTTCTTGTCATCTCCCTTCTGGACCTGAACTTGAGACTGAGACTGGGACTGGAACTGGACTCCACCGCTGCTGAAGGCCTTCTTCTCATCCTTCTTGACGCCGCCGCCACTCTGCGACTGGAACTGAGACTGAGACTGGGATTGGGATAGGAACTGAGCACCTGTGTCTTTGTCGTCGCCGTCTTTTTTGTCGTCGTCGTCCTTGATAACTTGGGCTTGGTTCTGGGTCTGTGACTGCCACTGGGATTGGGATTGGATGTCCTTCTTGTCATCCTTGTGGTTGTCCTTCTTGTCATTTTGGGCTTGGATCTGGACCTGTGACTGCGACTGCGACTGGGACTGGATTTCCTTGTCATCATCCTTCTTGCCGTCATCCTTCTTGTCGGCCTGAGATTGGACCTGAGACTGGGACTGGGACTGGTACTGGAATTGCTTGTCGTCGTCCTTCACGGCACCGCTCTGACCCTGAAACTGACTCTGAGACTGCGCCTGAGACTGATACTGAGTGTCACCACCCTTGATCCCGCCGCTTTGGCCCTGGAACTGGCTCTGACTCTGAGACTGGGTCTGAACCTGGATACCGCCCTTGTCATCCTTGTCATCGCCCTTCTTGTTGTCACCGCCGTGCTGGGACTGGAACTGGGATTGGGACTGCGACTGCGACTGGAAGTGGAGACCACCGTGGTTACCGCCGTAGCCGGGAGCACCATCTTTCTTGTCATCATCGTCTTTTTTATCATCGTCCTTCTTGTCATCGTCCTTCTTGCCGTGGCCCTTCACACCCTTGATGAGGGGCAGCTTCGGGACGTGGCGGGCTTCAAGGGAGGAGATGTCGCGAGCTACAAAATGATCAGTCAACATGGGTTCATGGAAAACTAGAAATCGGGCCAGCTGGATGAGAGTGTCTCAACATACGCTCCAGACCTCCATGCTCAACCCTTCCAACAGGGGAGGCCACAGCGGCAGTGAGGAAAAGGGAGGCCAGGGCGGCCGTCGAAACAGTGTTGAACCTCATGGTACCGATTTGGTCGACTTGCAACGACGAACGAGTGGAAGAGCAGCTTCGGAGTAAGCTAGGCTGTGGAAATGACAGTGGAATACTGATGATGGAGATCCAACACTGGTGAATGGAGGAAATTTATATGTCCATCGGCCTCCTTCGTCGCGAACATTGCGATTCTCTCGTTCAATTTTCGAAATGTCGAGCTTTGCAGGAATAATGGAGGTTGTGCTCCCGCCCTTGCAGGCTGCGTTGATGTATATCCAGTTTCATTTGAGCTTCCGCGTTCGCTTTCAAATACTCTTGCATGTCGACAAAAACGAGATCGCCCCCTTCCTTGGGCACGCCAGCGTGGGGAGAGGATCAAACTCTCCCGGAGCAGCTCTAGAGCCACGCTTCGTCAGGTCCGCTCAACTAGGATCACAGTACATGCCCGGTCTTGTCACGATCAGCTTCATTTCCTTCATTATTGCATCCGTTCGCAGATTCGACGCCCGCATGAACTCAGGGGCACTCCTCGGTCTCGGCCTTGCCAACAGGACCGCCTCCGCCCCGTTTCCAATCCCCCCGAACAGCAAATCCGGTGTCCTGTGCTCTGCCGCTTTTATCACACTCGATTCCGAATCCCGTCCGCGCCATTCCAATGGAAAGCGGAGCCATGCTGCTCCATCCGACGTGGAATTTTGCGTTTCGCTGAAGCTCTTGCTTTCCGAGCTCAGATACTGCATTGGATGAGCCGAGAGGTGAAAATAGAAAGATCGAGTTTGAAATTCGGTCGCAGCGCCATTGATGACGCTATTTCATGGGGAGGCGATATGTTTGCACTATATGCGGACTTTGCAGGTGCCTCCTTTCTCGCGTTAGAAGCCCTTGTGTCGGAGTTGGTGGCGCTCCCCTAGATCCCAAGCGTTTCCTCGCTGCTCGAACCCCGCTGGGTACAGCTTCAAGTTCACCTTGCCTCGACCATACTGGTATCGGCCTTCACAGCTTCCCATGGGCTGCCCCGCTTATCTTCATATGCCTTGACGTCCTCTCCACGTCCATTTCGTCAGCAGCAGTGAAGTTTGCTCCGGCCACCCAACCGCCAGAAGCAGCTGAGCAAGACTCCAAACCCTCGTTCTTTCAACATAGCGATCTCACTTTTCAGGTCACTTTCTGCCTTCACTTCCATCAAGCAGTGGACTCTCAATACCATCTTCCGTAGGTCCTAGTAACTCGGGAGCCAAATATTATCGGCCACATCAATGGGGCTGCCAAGCCACATGATGCCAGCCTTGACTCGCAAATCTCCCTCGTCGACTGCGTAGGGCGAACAGAGCCACACAGCAACCTTCACGTTATCTATGCTCTTTCTTCACAAGTAAATAGATTCGTCCATGTCGTTGTTGGATGCCCGGCGTATCGCTCCTTTGTCTTCCACAGAAGGTTCTCGCACACATGTCTTGTTTCATGTCATTTAACTATATTTAGCAATTTCCCAGCTAGATAGCTCCATCATTCGGACAGACTTCTGAATGCATCTTCTTTGGTCACGGCTGAGTTCTCTCCTGGAGCCGTAGCACGCTTTGTCAGTCGTAGAGGTGAATCATACCTCTACCTCAACCACGATTATTGTCAGCGCGCAAAACTTCCGAACTATGGCCCCATTCACCCATTATATATCTTACCACAGTAAATAAGACCCATGAACTACACATCCATTCCACCAGCAGCACAAGTTCCGTACGTTTTCCCAGTGCTCTCATCCAACCTCCAATGATGTTCTTCTCTGCCCCAGCTTCTAGAACTAAAGATCCCAAGAATCGTAAGGCCCCACGCACCGCCCCATCCATCTCCAACACCCTCATGGCTCAGCCCCGCGCTAACAACGGCGCAGATGTCTGCGAATAATTCAGCTCAGCGGTTAGCGCCGTGCCCAGACCCCTCGGAAGGCTTTCTGGCCCCATTCCGTCTGCCCTGCCTGATGTCGTTATCGGGAGTCGGTGCGCGGCGGGGTATAAATGTCCCTGCTATCCTGATCGATAAATCCATTGGCTTTTCTTTTCTTTACCTGAATCATCACGGGCAAGATACTGCCAGAAACATAATAACCTACACTCCTACATCGTTCTCCTGATTTTTTACCCACCTTCGCACCCCGTTTCCCAGACTCAAAATGCCCATCTACTTTCAAGAAGGCATCACATTCTCCGACCCATCCTACGCCGAATCAATCATCCGCTCCGCATTCCAGGGAACAACCCTTGAAGCGATCTACGATGGCTACGACGAGACAAAGGTCTGCCCGCCTTCCCCAAGCTAGCTTCCCCCCCGCCCTTCCTAGGCTCCATATCCCACTCCCCTCCCTCATGATCTCCACCACGAAACCACCCACTTACTGACCCTACGGCAGGAAGTCTGGATTTGGAACGACTGGCACACAAGCAGCGACCCGAACCAGCACCTGACGGTCAAAGTGTTCGAGGACCGCGACGGGTCGTGGATGACGACGTTCTACCATGTTTACGCCAACGGCAGTTATCGGTTTATGGGCGAGGAGAGTGTTAGTAGTCTTGCTGAGCGGATGGGTTTGTTTCCTCTTCTTTTGCCCAGTTTTGAGTTGGGGTTGGGGTTTTGCAGCGTGCGCTAATGTGTGTCGTGTAGAGAGATATAATACGTCGAATTGGGGGTGGGAGAATCGGTAGGTTGGGTGTTCGGACGAGGGGAGCAAAGAGCGTGAGCGGATGGATGGATTCGGTGAACGGAGGAGGGTATACTTTGATAGTTAAATTGATTTACTAGCATTCAGTGTAGGTGTCGTCTTCACTATAGGACTTGACTTTCAATCTAGGTACGAAAGCGCTACAAACCACAAGGCAAGGCCACCAAAGCAGCATTCTAGGAATATCTGAACCTCAAGTTCCCCCATATTCTCATTCACAGATTCTTCGCCTTAACCACCACCACCACCACTCCCACCTCCAGACCCTCCACCCCCGGATCCACCTCCGCCTGAGCCTCCGCCACCAGAACCACCCCCAGAGCCACCACCAGATCCTCCGCCGCTCCCACCCCCACACCCAGATCCGCAAGTCCCGTACCCAGCGGTCCCAAGGCTGGAGGAGGCCGTAGCTGCCGCCGCCTCGGTAGTCGATCCACAGCCCGAACCGCAACTATTTTCCCCACCAAAGCCCGGATCACCATCACCAGCCTGGCGATCACACTCTGTAAGCTGCGCATCCGTACACTGAAACCCGGGACCCGTCGAATTGGAATCCGTTACGGAGAAGAAGTACGGATAGTAGTTCGTCGAGGCGGGACGACGACGCTGGTAGTAATCGTCCCGGGGATGGTCCGCGCCGAACCCGCTGAAGCCGTCACGGTCGGGCCAGTCCTGTTGCTGCAGGGAGGCGTTGTACTTGTTTGAGCGGGCGACGTCCCACGGGATGTCGGCGAGCTTCATGCGGTCGTTGCGGGCTTTCTCGTAGTGGACGATTTGCTCGTCGCGAGGGAGGGTTGCGGATCCGGACAGGAAATAGTGGCCTCGGTCGGCAGGGTCAAAGGAGTGGCTGAAGGGCTGCGCGCGATGGATTCCGCCCAGTTTGACGCGGGTCACGGAAGGGTTCGTCCTGAGCAGCTTGCTGTCTGTATGCAGCCACGTGGTCATCTTGCGGAATGTCGGGGATTGGGCCATGGCAGCAGCAACCTGGTTGAGAGCAGAAGACGCAGCGAGGATGGAATATCGTGACTTCACCCACTCTACAGACGACATTCGCTCCTTGCCGTACTCGACGCTGCTGGTAAATGTCGGCGCGTATAGGCTCTGCGCACGCTGCAGATGCAGTGTGATCATGGACCAAGTGTCGAATGGGAAAGCCCAGACATGTTTGGCCATGTTACATTTGCCACATTGTGTTGGGCAGCGCTTCCACGCCTCGGAGCAGTCCCAGGGAAAAACGTTTTGATACTTGTATAGCGGGCCGCCGGAGAACGAACACCAATCAAGCCAGTATTCCTGCAGTGAGTCGATGATGTCTGCGTCGTTGAAGCGGCCAAAGAAGAAATTCTTGACATATTCTTCTACCAGCCCGCGCGGGACGTCGAACTTGCTCAGCACCTTTTGGTCTGGATACTCTTGCATGAGTGGGCAGCGGAAGCTGATGAGGTAGAGCGGGGAAGCTGGCGAGTTCTCTGGCCCAGAGGCGCAGACTAGGGGCCCGAACACCGCTTCGTCCAGAAGTGAAGAGCAAAACTGAAAGCCGTTGTTTGTGCCAGGCGTCCATTTAACCTCGGTACTCGAATCAGCAAGCCTGCCTGCAATGGAGCCGATATAAACCTTCAGTCTGTCGGCGAGACGCGCTTTGAGTTTGTCCAGAACTGGGGCCAACGCGACATCAATCGTTCCCTTGCGCTCACCGTCTGAAGCACCAGAGGAACTGGCCATCTGGAGAGCCGATACCAGAAGGTTGATCACTTCCAGTTCCAATTTACCCTCGTCAGTATCCGGCGAAAAGAGACCAGAGAACGGTGCGCCGACGACCTGCTTCATAGCCACTTTGTAGAACTGCGGTGGTCGGGGTGCCTGCGTCCAACGCCATACACCCTTCTTGTCATCGGGATCCACGCGCAGAGCAGTCTCCTGAGATGAGGCCTGCAATTCTTCGTGGTAGACTGGCGGATTGCGCAACGTTATAAGTGCACCACTGCCGGAATCAGTATATCATTCCAAACACGAGGCTTCAAGCGTACCTTGTCTGCCCATTTTCAATCATGACCGTTCCAACACGAAGTGCAACATCAAGATGATCAAACGGTGCCTCCTCGACACACTCTCTGAACAACAGAGGAACATCTGTATCCCTCGATATCTTTGCAGCCGCGGTGTCGGGCAGGTACGTTTTCGCCACGTCTCCCACCCTAGCCTGGCTTCTAAATTTGCTCACAGCGCGCCGAAGGGGGGAGGTGGGGGCTCGTCTCGCCGGGAGAAGCCCCGCGCTTGCTCGAAGGCCATCATACTTTTTATGCGTAATAGAGTAACGGACATTCGTGACCGGACAGAACCCGATATCGACATGCGGCTGACCCTTGATTTTGACACTCGACTGGATGCTTGTGTTGCATTTACACAGCTTGTTCTGCTGGGTAAGCTCGATGACATCCTCAATAATCGAGTGTTTGTACAGCTTGACATAGGCGCCATCTCCGTAGCAGTGGGCATAGTAGCAGGGTTCGCAGATCGTGGTAGACGAGAGCTTGTCCTTGCCTCGGGTGAACATGCTCCCAGTAATTGGAGTGTGGCATTTGGCACATTTGAAGACCTCTATCTCAATCGACTTGGATACGGACTTTGCGATCACTGTAGCGGTTAGCTTTGCATGCTAAACGTGATGGGCACATACATTGTGGGATTCCTGGACGCTTCGCAGACTTGTCTGACTTATCGGCTGTGCGGTTCTTTACCATCATGTCGATGTCGAGGAATCCTTTTGCGGTCAGCACTATGTCAAGTGATATGGTCGGAAAGCCCACCTGCGGTTTGCAACAACAACCGAGCAATCTCCTCAATCCCGGAAAGCTTTGCCACGGCTAGTCGTGTCGGTCAGCAAGCTCTCCACGACGGATACGCGCTACATACAAGACAGGTTCCTTCTCACTTCAGCCTTCATCTTGGCCGCAGTTTGCTCGGCGATCGTGTCGGTGATGGCATCTTGAATTGCCCGCTGCTCGGAAACATTCCTTGCTGCCGGACTGCCTCCCGTTCTGTTTCTTTCCTCCTCTGTACAAGCCATGATCAGCCAAAGCAACTCCGAAGGCTTGGGTTACTCACGATACCGGATGGCGAAAGCGCGAGCTTGCCCGTTGACCTGGTCCAGAAACGTATCATATCCGTGAATACTCTCGGCACTGTCTTCCGGGAGCCCCACGAGCGCGAACTCGTCTTTTTGCCAGGTCTTTAGTGTGTAGAGGATGTTTTCGAGCTCATAACGAACACCTTCCCAGTAGAGCTTCTCGACTTCGAGCGCCAGATGCTCCTTTGCGGGCCCGACCTGGGTGATACCAGTCTTGGCCCCTGAAGGAACATGACTGCTGCGAACAGGCAGAGGGCCGGAGACGGATTTCCACCGAGTGTGGAGCGACTTTGAAGGCATGTTGGAATTGCAGGCGAATATGCTGATCAACAGGCTGGGGATTCTGCAGAGAAGATATAGGATCAACAAGCTCTCAGGCAGAACCGGGAAACAGGGATGACGAGTCCGCCTTGGGGCGGAGCTGGGCGCGGAATACGATGGTGTCACCTGCTTTTGACTTTCTCGGGTCACGCCCCGTGCTCGTGTTCCTCACGCCCCGCGCCCCAACCATCCCGGCAGCCTGGCAAGGCAGCTTCGCCCAGTGTCCGGAGAGTCTCAGCGTGAATATAATCTTCCAAGTGTCAACGTCTGAGATCGCCCAAATCAAGCTTCTATCCATCGTCATGGCTCTCGCCTCTCCAAGCAACCTCTTGTCCCTGCACAATGCAGGCGGCAAGACTACCAGTGCACTCCCCTTTCGCTTCGCAATGCGATACGACTACAACCCCAAAGTGACCGCGATTCCAGATCTTACCCTCTTTGATGGACTCTCTCCGGACGACCCTGGCCCCAAGGCCCTGCCAACACTGGCCGAGTGCGCGGTCCACCTTGAGATGCTAGAGGCCTTTCAGACTCTACGGCAGGAGGTTATCCACTCAAAGAAGTTGGACAAAGCCTTTGGTATAGAGCCCAAGAAGACGACGGTCTACCGAAAAGTGTGGAACGGCGCGAGGCGCAGGAAGGATCGGACGTACACGATCGACAAGCATGTCCTCAAGGACCCCGACTTTGCCAGCAAACGAAAGAACAAGTGGACGTATTTCCTTCAGATTAGTGCAGTGCGATTTCACACCTGGATCCAGGTCGTGAACAGGTGCCTCAAGGACCATGACGCAAACGGCGCGCCTATTCCTCGGTACCTGCTCTTGCCACCACTAGGTCAGTACCTCTCTGCTGCACTCTGGACCATGCTGACAATGCGTAGACATTCTGATCATCTGGCACGCTTACCTTCTAAATTGCGACGATTTCAAGGCGTACTGCGCTGTGCAGAACCTCCACCATGTCCAGAACATTGCGTTCCCATGGGCCGCCATCGTAAGTCGTCATCCCTCTTTGCAGACTGCATGGTCGTTTTGGTAAGCTAACGACGTTCCCAGCACAATGCAATCGATCGCGAGACATGGAGCTATACAGTCCCATCGGAACAAGCAGACTGGCTTCGAGAAAACGGCGACCTAGACGCCAGCCTGATCGACGCGCTTTCAGAAACGACCACGAGCCCCAAAAACCCCGCCTGGAGCCTGCTCAAGGAGTTTGGCAGCATGACGAAAAAGCCCTGGACAGAGGGCCTTCACGATCCCCTCGTGCAAATCATCCTCAAAGCCCGAGCCACTCGAGGTTCGAACGAAGCCCTCGTCAACAACGTCGAGCGTCAAGTCGTCTTCGTCGACAAGATGCACGGCCACCGCTGGATCCGCAGTCCAGCCGTTCACGGTACGCTAAGAAGGGCAGTAGATCGGTACGATAAATTCCTGCACCTCTTCCGGCTGTATCCAAACACCTTCCTCGTTCCGACCCTCGACGTCGATCTCGTCTGGCATACGCACCAGTGTAGCGCGGAGAATTATCGGGCGTTTGTGACGGAGCGCGTGGGAAAGTTTATCAACCACGATGATAAGATCGGTCGGGGCACGCTGGATAACGGGTTCACGAGCGCGGAGGAGTGGTATCGGCTGACGTATGGCGAGCAGTATCAGGTGTGTTTGTGCTGGTCGTGTGAGGCGATTCTTTCGGCTGTGGAGAAGCTCGACGATGATGTACTGGCCGCGGAGGATGCGACGGCCTCCCTTCGTGATTTGTCAGTGCGCATTGAGCGGGAGGTCAATTATTATCGCGAGGTTGAGACTGCGAGGCGATTGGGCAAGAATTTGCCCGTGGGCTGGAATCATCATAAGGCAGCGTAACTACCGTATACAATGGAGCAGGCGTTCACGCTTTCAAGGTCCCGTCCTGGATGCACGCGATTGAAAGCGAGTGCGCTCCCTAGCAACAGGCAACCCTTCGAGCAGTTAGTGCCACTCGTAAACTTCATTTAACCTCTCATATTTCCTATGAATTCAAGCTCACATTCCGTGATATCAATCAAAGCTTCTAAGAACGTAAATCGTCACCGTGCAAAGGCCGTTTCTCTTTTGGCGAGCGAGGCTCCTGGAAGGGATTATGCATTCTACTTGAAACCAATGGTAACTATAGTCTAAACTGCTGCTACCTGCTATAGTAAGAAACTGTCTAAGCAGCCTAATAGAAGCATCTTTCTTAATTCAACGTACTCTGCCTGCTGTCCACTATTTAACTTGAAAGCTACTGCCTCCGTGTGCGACTTAGAAGAGCCTAGACCGCCCATGACTTGAGCCATGTGAGAGTGATCCTCCAAGTCCGCTATATGGGAGCGTCAGAGCCCTGGTTGACCTCTCGCCTTGCGCGGGTTTTTAGAAAGACGTTTCACGTCCTCCTTAAGGCTGCGTACCTCGGCCGTTGCCGCCTTGTACTTCATCTGCCACTGGAGATCCCTTTCACTGTGCTTGTTCTGCCACCGGCCCTCAATCGCCTCATACTTGTCCTGCCACTTGAGATTCATATCCTCGACCTCGACCAGGCGAGCCAGCACCAACGAATGCTTGTGCCTCAACTCACGCAATCTCTTGGTGCATTCATACCGGCGCCTGCGTTCCGTATCGATTTCTTTCCGAGCTTCCACGTAGTCGCGTTCCAGCTCTCGAATGACGTCTGTTACCTCGTGTTGCTGCAGAGCTTCCAGCTGCACCACTTTCATGCCGTGCGATGCGTTCCTGAGCCGAGAACACCGATGCCGCTCAATGTGGAGGTCGGCCCGCGCTTCCTTTTCCATCTGCTCGAGATCCCAGAGCGAGGCTATCAGCTCCTGCAACTGTTCCTGGATTCTGTTCCCATGGCCGGTACGCTTCGTAGAATCTGTTGGCTTGGTGGCCCCGCGCTCATCGACAACGTTCGTAGGACCCGTTGAATCCATACTAGTAGGGGCTGAAGCTTGGTGGACACCATTGCCAGGAGCCGCGCCGCTCGTCAGGTCCTCTGTCCGTAACATCGCGTTGGAGTTGATGTAGTCGGCCCCGAGACTCCCTGGAGGCAGATTGGATGTATTAGCCACATTCATGCGACGGGCTGGGTCTATGGACCTAGTATTAATAGTAGTACTAGCAGCAGCATCGTCAGCCATCTGCACATCGCTGGTGGGCAACATGCCCGGTCCAGCATTTCCACTCTGGCCAACCCACTCCTCGTATGTGGGGAACGCGCTCATCTGTTCGTTCCACTCGTCCTCGGTCTGGCCGAAGAAGGCCCAGAAGTCATCGCGGATGGAGGTCATGTCAAGGGGCTCGGATGTCCACTCCATAGTTGGGTCTTGCGGTGCCTGTGTCTGGGTATACTGGTTGTTGTTGTTGTTGCTGCTGCTTTGGTGCGTCGACATTCTGGCCTTGTTGAGAAGATGAGTGTGAGGAAATGGGCTTGAGATGAGTGGTGCTGATTTAGAGATGAAGAACAGACACTGTTGGTCTATTTATAGATGTAATCAGATGGCTCCCTTGTATGCGCTCTACTAAGACCATCCCATTGTGATTTATGCAGATAAAGAGACGTCGTGCTGAGCCTCTCATTATCTAGATAGAACGCCTTTGTACCCAGTATCTCACATACAACAACCTGGTGATTAAACAAAGCCATTTGACACAATTCATTGTCCTAGCCCGTGACCATAACCAGCATCGTATACCCAATGACCCAAATTCCCGGAAGATTGGCGTGTGCTTCATCTTCCCCGACTCACGCAGAGCCATACCGTGGCCACATGGACCAGTCGATTGTTTCCCACACCTCCGAGTCGATCACCTCGCGCGCCCGCGCCCAGAGGTATTTTGTGGCGCTCACTGGGGCAGCTTGCCGAGGCGATCGTTTTGTCACCAAGATAGGAGCTCTTGTCCAAGGCGAATCCGCGCTGGGCAGCAAAGCTGAAGCGGGTAAAAACCAGCGCAAGTATGTCCTCTTGGACAAACTCCGACTCGATGTCGCTGAGGCCGAAGACGTCATACTATATCCGGCGGGATTTCTGTGCCGCCGTTCTCCTGCCGGACTGTTCGAGTTTGAAGTCGAGGCGCTCAGTGAATTGTACGAATGTTGCTCGGATGCTTGGGGCTGCTGCGGTGGATTGTCAGTTTGCGGCGGAGGCGGCGGTGCATGCAAGGTCGTTGGGGATACATAGTCTGGTTGTGTATGGGCAAGTTTGAGGCTGGATCAGAGGGTTGCTAGCTACTGGTGTGCCCAGTCAGTAGACTAGAATTCCGAGCATGCGTTAGAGTAGCTGCCCTAAAGAATTCTCCGCCTAATCATCTCCACCTGCAATAGGCCTATATTCCCGTCCACAGATATCTACGCGCTTATGCACAACAGAGTATTGAACAAGCACATCAGTATAAGTGCTTCCGGATTTGATTTCAATCAATGTGTACGGAGATCTTGAAGCCAAATAAGCAAAAGTAGATTATGAACATGCTGCTTCCTAGGAACGATCAAGGACACACGACTAAACAACGAACAAATCTCCCGAACCACCAAAGTCGCATAGCGCGGGCAATGGAGCGTAGCATAATTCGCAAAAGAACACCCTTTCCGTGAGAGCTAACTCATCACGTTAATCCTTCGGGCACATAGGGGCGCCCCGGAACAAACACAAAAAACGAAACAAAACCAACTCCCAGATCCCCTAATCGCAAGGTGCAGACACCGAGCCGCAGCATATTTCGATGAAAACGCAGCCTCGGAGGACATATCATCCCCTCATCTCACTTTTTCTGCTCTTCCAATTCCTGCCTGACCTCCTTCAAAGCTTGTTTCTCTGCCTCGCTATCGTCGTCGGTATTGTTCTCAACACTCTTCGCCTTCTTCTTCTTTTGTGGGGATCCGGACTTTGCAGGAGTACCCCCGGCAGCGCGCTTTCTGGGCGTGGCCGCGGGGGTGGAAGGGGCACTGGCCGACTGCTCGTTGGGATCCTGACCGACGGCCGCATTTTTCTTGAGCTTGGCGATTTGGCCTTCGATGGCCTTCCAGGTGCAGTCTGTGAAAAGGCAAGAGGTGTTAGTATGGGTCGTCTAGAAGGGTGAGACGGTCGATCATCTATGTGTTGCTACGCTGCGGAGGGGAGCATAACATACCAGGACCCATGTATTCAGCGAGACGCCTGTAGTTGAGCTTGAGGCTTTGTTCTTTGCACTGTTCCAGAACGCCGAGGAAGAGCTGAGAGGTGTTAGATATCGGTGATAAAATGGAGTTTGGATTGCGGTTGGCAACGCGGAGGGACTTCGAGAGGAAGCTTGTGTTAGGGGTAGGGCATACCTTGGCGTTCTTCTCTGCTGTCCAGTTCACGGGCATCTTGTTTGTTTTTGGTGCCGTTGACAGGATGTAGCTGAGCTGTTGAGAGAGCGCTAAGTACTTGTGGATGCGTTGGTATGGAGCGAGTAGGGGAGAAGAGGGGAGAAGAGAGTTGGGTGATGGTTCAGTCAGGGATGGGGATCCTAAAAGTGGGAGAGAGGAAATGGATTTTCTCCTGCAAAGACTCTTGTGTTGTGTCTAGTTGTGTCTGTCCCGCTTAGTCGTGTGCTTGGTTATGTGTTGTGCGGGAAGACAACCTTCACTTTCAGTTGTGGTCCTTTGTCTGTTAATAAAAATTCACTCCATCATCACTCTGCTTTGAGACTCTTATGTCTCTTGAATGCTACTGCCTTGGCTCCCGCTCAAGCAGGCTCTGTGTCCTGGGAACCCTCTTAGACAACGGAGAGTCCAGTCCACACTTATATACCGGCACTCGACGCATTTCAGGTCAGTTGCAAGGACCTCCTGGACTCGGGTCAGCGCCCTTTAAGGCCCTCGAGTGCAAGTTCAACCCTCCCTGGCCCCATAATGGCATTCTTATTCATCTTGCACAAGTTCCACTAATAATGGTCTAAGTGTCTACGAATTTTATGTAGTTAGTCGATCAACTTGCTCATATTATAGCAACTACCTCTAAAATATCAAGATTTTTACCTCAGTAGAGCTCAGCTTATGGTAGCACGTATGCAAGATCAGAAACAGTTGCAAGTAGTATAGTTGTGGTCTTGCTCCAGTGATAACAAGTCAAAGATTGATGCCTGAATTCTGCCTGAGGCCTCGTATTTCTTCCCCGCATCGCGTCCACGATTTTCATTTTTCTCCGCGTCAACTGCAGCTCGCTGCTCAACAGCGTCACACATCATTGATTGCCTTCAGGTCATTCGCGCTGGATATCCAATCATCGAGAAATGATTCCTCTTACACCTGACAAGTTCTTTTTACTCATATAGCCTGCACTCCTTTCCCCATTCGTCCTCCGTGCCGCCGTCTGTGGTAACACGACTTCCGCTCTCTCCACACCACGGCCGACTTCGATCGCGAAGAAATGACCCGCGCAACGTCAGAAAAAGAACAAAATTCCCCTGCATGAGGGTTGAACATTCGCTTTCGAACAGCCCCTCCCCCGAGACAAACGTTCGACTTTCCGCCGGTTCAAAAATGGTCGGCTCTTGCCGCAAGCGTGAGGAGAAGCGGGGGATGGCGATCGCGTTGGACTCTCGTTGACCACTTTTCAGGTCAATTGACATACATTGACGTGACACCAGACGTGACCGCTAGATCATCACTGTCCGAGTCCTCTGCGAACGAGCCTTCGAAGACGCGCCGCACAAAAAAGTCCAGAGTTCAACCCATAGCTCCCCACTGATCACCGTCTGGCGCGCACACGAGCTGCGGACGCCAGTATCCCAACCCGAAGACCATTGAAGCCAATCTACTTCCAGGAGCGAGACCCGGGCAGTGGTCCATTCTTCCCGGTAATATGGTATACCAAAGCATGTCCAGTCGCGGGCGCGCAACACATTGAGCTTGGAAGGATCCTCCTCGCAGTCTCTCATCCAAATTCAACTTCGAGATTAGGCCTCGCTGCAAACTCACGGAATTAGGTGCTAAACGCCGAGCTTCGGGATACCACGCCCCGGTTATGTGGCCTTGCCCTTTCGAATTCCAAATCCCAGCCGGCAATAATCACGGCGATGGTCGGAATATCTGTTTGCGGAGGATATGTTACGGATCCCGCGGAGCAGGAACCACTAATACACCTCTTACGTTACCTTGAGTATGATTATGCGTGGCCCTCGCAGAGTACAATCGCCGCCCTACAGGCCTGCCGGGTGCAGGTCCTTACTGAAACCTGAATCCCGACCCCGGAAACCAGGCCCCTCGACGGCGTCAAACCAGCCGCACCTGGAATGTTGGAACTCGACAGGCGAATCGCGATTCCATTCTCAGAATCCGAACATGCTTGTCTTGAAGAACGATGCCCGGAAGCTGAATTTTGCCGTCTTTAAAACCGGATTCACCCTGCGAGAGGGGGCCATGACGGTTATCCACGTCATTCACCGGCCCCTAGGGAGACTCCGCCCATATGCCTGTATAGCATGTAACCTACTGGTCTTTATGGCCTCGCTTTCTATGTAAGCTTTACCAAGTGGCTAGCGATAGCCATTCTGGAACAGGAAATCTTCCTTTCTAGGGAATAAAGCTTTGCCAAGTCGAAATCACAAATAGGTCATTGGGACATGAGTAGCTTGTTCTTGGGATCAGAGATCCTCATGGACTGAGACAAGCCTCCACTGCAAATGCTAAGAAACTGTCGATGAGGACCTAAACCAAAGGCTGAATGGCGGGCAGGAAATTTCGCCGGCCCATCGGGGGGATAAACTGGGCGCCTGCCTCATTTATCTGAGCTAGAGCCCTCCATCGTTCCTTCCTTGGTTGTGCATTTAATCTGTTGCTGCAGCGACTCCAGAGCATACTTGAAGCTAGGCAAGTGCCACCCAGGTTCCTCATACCTCAGTCGTACCTGCCTCAAACGGTAGATTCGCGCATCAGGCAGGCCTAATCGGGGAAAAGCGGCCGACCAACCATCGGCTTGACAATGGGAATATTCTCTTCTTGGAGAATGTCTGGTGCAAACTGATGCAATAGCCGTGGCGATCGTCGGCCAATGCCGGTTTTGTTCAAGTTGGATTTGACTTGTGCTGGGAGTTGGAGCTTCCGCAGAAATCCAATGTCTGGGTCTGTGGGGTATAGATTGCGGTATATACAGGCGATTCAGAGCTTTCCCGTCCACATTCCCTTCCATATTCTGCATACATCCCCCGGTTTTGATTATCATTTCTTCCGTGGGCAATGGTCCAAGACGACACACAAGACAATACGGCGGCGGCGATCCATATCCATGATGAGAGTACTGAGCCCGTCGAGGAGACTGCCCTAGCGATCCCTCGAGCACGTTTCGGAGGTTTTGGGGGATAATTTGGTGGATGGGGAGAGGGTGTTGCATGCCAGGATTGCGCGTGAGGTGCTGGCTGATCCGCTGGGTGCGGGTGTAAGGGATGCGAAGGGAGGTAGGTGATGCCTGAACTCGATGGTGGGTGCGGAGGTTCTGAGGTTTGGATAGTGGTTCGGCTGTATGTTGCATACACGACCGTGGCCAACATTTGAGGTTGTACTGCACCCAAGGAGCCAATCATTTGCAAAGCGTGAAGCAATCTTTTCTGGGTCACATGCCTTGATCCCTGATGAGTTTATCTTTACTGGATGAACATATGGAGAACCCCACTCCTGCAATGCGATACAACTAGGTGGTACCGTCAGGGAATGCGGGGGTGCTGTCAGCCAATGGATCTCCTTGATAGAGACATCCCGATCCGCGACAAGTGACCAAGGCTCATGTGTAAATCCGGGCCCTACCTGTGACTTGATCAGCGAGATAGTTTTTCCTGGGCCGGGGCAGCTGCCGGAACGAGCCCGAGCGAGATGTTGGGGTAGCCCCGCTCTTCCACCCGATTTAGAGAAACAATCTAGGACCCTGAACGGGTAAAATGGAGTCAATACCTCAGTACCATTCGATTTCTTCAAGTTGTCACAGACTGACTGACTACTCCTCTACCCCAGCACCGAAATGCTCCTCGCCATCGTCCCCTTCCTTCTCACCACCCTCCCCGCAATCCTTGCCCTCCCACCACCACAACCATGTAAACCACCCTACTACCCTCCTCCGCACGTCAGGGTTGCAAACGGAACTCTTCAAGGCGTCCGCCTACCATCCCTCAACCAGGATCTCTTCCTCGGCGTCCCCTTTGCGCAGCCACCGATCCACGATCTCCGCCTTCGACGGCCGGTCTCCCTGAATGAAACATGGACTGGTGTGAAGAAGGTCGTTGAGCGGAGCGTGAGTTGCCCGGGATATGGCGGGTTTAGCGAGGGGTTGAGAATGGGGGAAGGTTAGTGCCATTGGTGAAATCCTAGAAGTCTGACGGTTCCAGGGCATGTTGCTAATGAGTGCATGGTAAATGCGGCTGGAGTTGGATAGACTGTCTGACGCTTGATATCGTTCGGCCGTCTGGAGTACGCGAGGGGGATAAGCTTCCAGTATTTGTGTGGATATATGGTGGTGGCAAGTATCCCATAACATCAGTCTGCAACAATACTCCTTCTCCAACCCATCATCCACTAACCGTACCACCACTCCAGGCTTCACAGCCGGCGGCAGCGCCGATGGGCGGTATAACACATCCTACCTAGTAGCCACCTCCACCTACGTCGGCAAAGCCATCATCGCCGTCTCACTCAACTACCGCGTCGCGGGCTGGGGCTTCCTCGCATCGCGCGAAGTCGTCGAAGCCGGCGAGACGAACATCGGGCTCTTCGACCAGCGGCTCGCGCTGCGCTGGGTACAGGAGAATATTGCGGCGTTTGGCGGCGATCCGGAGAAGGTCACGATTGCGGGGGAGTCGGCGGGCGCGTATAGTGTTGGTTATCATATGGTCGGGTTTGGAGGGGATCATGGGGGGTTGTTTCGCGGGGCGGTTATGCAGAGTGGGGGGGCGTTGGGACCGGTGCGTATGTATTCCTCCTTATTCCTTCCCTCGTGTTGGGTCATTCGTGGCCGAGTGATGACTAAAAGGTGTGCGAATGGACAGTTGAGGATACCACCACCCTCGAAACAAGCTACCAGCCCATGTACGACAACATCACGGCAACAGTCGCCTGCGACAAGGCACCAGACACACTATCCTGTCTCCGACACGTCCCCTACTCAACCCTCTCTGCCGCATTCTCCCCCTTTGTCATGACACCGATCCTCGACGGGGATTTCCTGCGCCAACTCCCGTCGACCTCCTTCGCACAAGGCAACGTCGCCAACGTCGCGCTCCTCGCCGGCTCAAACACCGATGAGGGGACAGCAACCTTCTTCGGGCCCCGCGGGACCCTATTTACAGATGCCGATGTCCACAGCTTCCTCTCAGATCCTCCGGGACGAAAGCACCTCGATAACGAGACGGTCTCGCGGCTGATGGATCTGTATCCCGATGATCCAGTCCAGGGGTGTCCATTCAACACGGGCGCGCAGCGCTTCGCGGAGGACGGCAATGGGGCGCAGTATAAGCGCGGGGCCGCGATAGTGGGTGATCTGGCCATCCATGCGGGGCGGCGTGCGACGACCGAGTATTTTGCTTCTCTGCCCGAGAGACGAAGGAAGCCTGTATACTCGTACCGCTTCGACCAGGGACCCTGGAATGGCGTTCTGGAATTGATTGCCACGACGGCGCCGGTGTATGCGACGCACTACGCCGAGGTTGCGTTTGTGTTTGATATCGATCCGGCTGTTAGTGTGAATGCGACGAATTGGATTGGGCCGGACCCCAGGTATCATGCGCTAGCGAGGGCAATGGCGAGGGCTTGGGTGGCGTTCGTGCATAATTTGGATCCGAATGTGGACTTTGCAAGTGGGTATGACGGATTGGGCAAATTGCAGCTGCCGCATTGGCCCGATTATGCATCTGGAGGGGAGAATATGGTGTTTAGAGTGGATGGGTCGTATATTGAGACGGATACATGGAGGGAGGAGCAGCTAGCGTATTGGACGGGATTGTGGGGGCCGTTGAAGACTTGATCCAGTTTGAGCAGGAGAGATAATAAGTAGAGTATGGTATAGTGGACCAATTGTGGAATAAGGACATCAGGAAATGGACAATCAGTATTCAGGCTCGTTGGCTAGGCAGCCATCGGGGCACCCTCTGGGATAGGCATTGCATGCTAGGTCTGCGCGTGACTGCCCACAATCCAATTGAATCGAGGCTGACCATGGAAAATCCGCAGAATAGCAAGGACACTGTATGCAAGTGAGACAAACATATTGCTATAGCCGTGTAACGCAAAAAAAAAGGAAAGGACAAGAGAGGGCACATGATGGGTGATGGATCATATATTGCCTAGCAGCGTCCAGCTGCCATCCTCCTTCACACAACAAACAAACATACATACTCCGCCTATCCACGGTCAGACCAGATTCTACCTTGTATATTCTCCAAAATGAAAACCAACCTCCGCGACTTTGCCGCCCAACCCCCAGCTGATCCCTCTTCCACCCCACCAGAGCCCCTCACACTCGACGCCCTGATAATCGGCGCAGGCTTCAGCGGAATCAACGCCCTGCACACACTCCGCAAACAAGGCCTAACCGCAAAAATCTTCGAGGCGGGCCCCGGCCTCGGTGGAATCTGGCGATTCAACGTATACCCCGGTGCACGAGTCGATTCCGAGGCGCTAGAATACCAGTTCTCGTTTCCCGAGGCGTGGAAGGAGTGGACGTGGAGTACGAATTACCCGGCGCATTCGGAGATCAAGCAGTATTTTGAGCATGTTGCGGAGGTTCTGGATTTGAAGGGGGATTGTGTCTTTGGAGCGGTCGTTGTGGATGCGAGGTTTGATCAGGGGGTGGGCAGGTGGAATGTCACAACGCAGGATGGGCAGGTTGCGAGTGCAAAGTATCTGATTGCGGGGACGGGGTTCGGGTCCAAGAGGTTTGTTCCGGCTTGGCCGGGGTTGGATTCATACAAGGGGATTATGCATCACTCGTCATTTTGGCCGGAGGAGGGCGTTGATGTCGCTGGGAAGCGGGTTGCAATTATCGGGACCGGAGCTTCTGGTGTGCAACTCACGCAGGCTTTAGGGCCTCTCGCTGGATCGTTGACCGTGTTTCAGCGGACGCCGAATCTCGCGATTCCGATGAAACAGCGATCTCTCACAAAAGAAGAACAGGATCAGGCCAAGACGCTCTATCCCGAGATATTTCAGCTCAGAGAGAAATGCTTCGGCGGGTTCCTGTATACCTTCTCCGAGAAGTCACTCCAAGATGATACACCCGAGCAAGTCGAGCAGTTCTTCGAGTCCCTCTGGCAAGCCGGCGGATTCCGCTTCTGGCTCGGCACGTACAAGGATGCCTTCGTCGATCCGCAGACGAACCGGATCGCGTACGATTTCTGGGCGAGAAAGGTTCGAGCCAGGGTACAAGAGGGGGCACTGCGTGACAAGCTCGCTCCACTCGAGCCGCCGCATGCGTTTGGAATCAAACGGCCGAGTCTCGAACTGGACTACTTTGAGCAATTTAACAGAGAGAACGTGCATCTCGTCGATGTCGGCAAGAATGCCATTGCTCGATTCACAGAGACAGGCCTTCAACTCGCCGACGGTACAACCCACGACTTCGACGTCATTGCCGTTGCAACGGGTTTCGACGTGTCCACTGGCGGTCTAGTGGACATGGGCCTACACAGCATCAACGGTACGACTCTGAAGGACGACTGGCGTGACTCCGTCTCGACATACCTCGGCCTCTGCGTCAGCGGGTACCCAAACATGTTTATGATGTACGGCCCACAAGCGCCCACTGCCTTTTGCAACGGGCCGACGGCGGTAGAAGTGCAGGGTCGGTGGGTCGCGGACGTCATCCAGACGATGGAACGGCGGGGGATCAAGAGCATTGATCCGACCCCTGAGGCTGCGCGCGAGTGGAAGGGGAAGATTGATGCATTGTCGAATGCGACGCTGTTACCAACTGTGCAAAGGAGTACGTATATGGGCGGGACAATCCCGGGGAAGCCGTTTGAGCAGTTGAATTGGACTGGCGGGTTGGTCAAGTATACCGACGAGATTCGAGGCGTCCTGCCGGGGTTGAAGGGGTTTAATGTAGTCAAGGGTCATGATTGAGGGATCTCTACTTGTCCTGGTAACATGGTGTATCCAGTTGTGGGAATAAGCGACTGAATTTGTGGGATGATGGTAGTATATATATAGTCCAGTGGATTTGACACACCTTGCCCTAATTTTGCGCAAACCAGTTTCACCTTTATTTTTTTACGACCAGTACACCGTACCTCATACTAGGAATCAGATGAAGTTGCTGGGTTATGCTGTTTCCGCAACTGGGTCCGGAGGTCTCGTATGCAACTCGTCCCAAGGGGGCAGGTGGGCCTTGCTGCGTTGTATCATTGGCTGAAAGGGCTATCAGATGGCATTTGATCAGATTAGATCCGGATCACCTGAATCCGACCACGTTCTCCAATTTTTTTGACCCTCGCGATCAGATAACTCGCTCCACTTCTTCCACTTCCCTTCGTCCCCCTCTCCTCCTCGCCTCCTCCTCTTCTTCTCTCCTTCCTCGTATCCTACGCCATCTCCTCTCTCGTAACCACGAACCCCCTCTCCCGCCTCGCTCCTGAGCCCAAATCGCTCTCTCCCAAGTCTTGTGTGGTGTGGGCCCATAGCGATCCGAGATCGGGGTGATTCGAGACCTCGCGTCCAACCGTCATGCCCCGCGGTTCCTTCGCTTCACCGTCTTTTTCTCTTTCCATCTGTTGACTCGAGATTCCTCGCCATGCGCCCTCATGTTTCTCTCGCATTAACTCTATCCGCCGCCCTCACAGCCGCAAACGTCCTCCCCGTCAACGAGCGCTGTGTCACGTCGGTACACACAGCCTATGGATACATTGCTTTCGCTAGCTCGCCGTCAAACGGGCACTACCAGACAAAATGTGAGGATCCGCTCAAGGTGACGTCGATTTACGCCTCTTCGGAGGTATTTTGTCGGCCCGCTGAGCGCGCTGCGGGTATCAGGGGGCTAGAGACGCTGTGTAGGGGGGTGGGATTCGAACTTATCCCGCGGGAGCAGTTGGCGGAGAATCTCACGGAGGATGTGTTAAGTCGCATGCGGGCTGTCGATTACTTTGAAGTTCCTGTTAGCGATCCAGTCGATGTACCGGTTCTTCTTACAAGCGCGCATTATGATCGCGTTTTCAAGACTATAGTGGGTTGAATTTTGGCTCTGTGGGATACACCTGTCTAACACGAGTGACTTGCAGGACACCTGGGCATACGAAATGTGGACGCATTATGCATATGGGTATGGCCTATTCCTGTTCATTGCCGCCCTCGCTAACCCATATTAGCTACGCTGGCTACCTCTACTGGGCGTGCATCCTAGGAGTAGGCATGCTCCACCGTCTCGTTCAACATCTCCTACACTCTCGACATGATCATCCGTCACAACTTGCTACACCGCTGCGATATCTACCATTCCGGCAAGTATCTCACTGGGTCGAAACGCACTTGTTGGTATCGACCACGATCCCATCTCGCGGGCCGGAATTCTTCTGGTGGACGTTTGCGAACCGGGGTGAGGCTATCGTCGTTATAGGCTTCTGGATACTGAGCACCGTCGCTTGCGTCATCAACTATTACGCTTTCCCCGAGAACATATAGTAAGACTGTACCGGGAACTCCTGTCCCCAGCTGTACGACTGACTATCATCATCAGCTTCCCTCCAGTGTCCACACAGGTCGTTCGCTACATCGCAGATCGAACAGGAATTATATCCTTTGCCAACCTTCCCTTGCTATGGCTCTTTGCCGGTCGTAACAACATTTGCGCCTGGGCTACTGGTTGGAATTTTGCCACGTTCAACGTCTTTCACCGGCATATCGCTTGGATAGCTACCATCCAGGCAGTTGTCCATACAGTCGCGTATCTTGTCCTTTTCTCTTGGAGTATGTCCAACTTGAATGTTCGTGGCGCGGTGCATAGCTAACATCACAAAAGATCCCAATCCCTGGAAAAAGCTTCGCAAGGCTTACATTCTATGGGGATTCCTGGTAAGCTCCATCCGCCCTGGTAAAGTCAGAAGGCTGACCGGGACAGGCAACCGGCTTGATGGTCTTGATCCTTCCAGCTGCGGTGAACTGGTTCCGCCATCGAGCATACGAGACTTTTCTCTTCATTCACATCATCTTCTCCATTGGCCTTCTTGTCGGGTGCTTCTAGTACGTCTTCTCTTCTTTCTTCCCTCATAACACATCTGACATTTTAGTCACACAATCATCTTCGAGGGCCAGGAATACTGGGGCCAAGCATACTGGTTCTACCTCTGGCTGCCGGTCGGTATCTGGGCATTTGACCGAATCCTGCGTCTTGTTCGAGTGATATACTTGAACATTCACGTTCGGAGGAACTCGCAGTCTCGAGTTCAGTGCACCAAAAGTCTGGCAATATACGACAAAGCAGCGGACCTGATCCGCCTCGAGGTCGTGCCCGGCTCGTCATCCCTCCGTCCCCGTCCAGGACAATACTACTTCCTCTACCAACCCTTCCGCCTCACAGGCTGGGAAAGCCACCCCTTCACCCTCGGCTCCTGGTCCTACGAAATCGGACGAAACGTATCCCCTTTAACAAGCATCCCAACAAAAGACGACGAAACAGTCGACGTCTCGCAAATCCCCCTCCTCTCCGACGACTCTTCATCCGGAAGCCGATCTTTCCAATTGCAGACGGCATCCACGCCTCGAGAACTAAAGCTCATATTTTGGATCCGCCCCTACGACGGCTGGACTCGTCATCTCCGTCGGGAATGTCTCAAGTCTCCTGATCGGACAAGTAATGTCAGTATCCTCCTCGAAGGACCCTACGGACACGAATCGCCACTCTGGAGTTACGACTCTGTCCTTCTAATTGCAGGCGGGACGGGCATTGCGTCTGCGATGCCATATATAAACGACCACATTGCTCGGTCCTCGTTCTCTCCTGACGACGAAGACAAGATCAAAACACGCATCCAGGACATGCAGCTCATCTGGGTGACGCGCCAACGAGCCTTCATCCACGACCTTGCAACCCGAGAACTACGCCCCGCCCTCGCGCGGCCTGACTTCCGCGCTTCATTTTACTCAACTCTACCCCTTACATCCACATCGTCACCATCGTCACCATCGTCACCATCGTCACCATCGTCACCATCGTCACCATCGTCACCATCGTCACCATCGTCACCATCGTCACCATCGTCACCATCGTCACCATCGTCGAATCAATACCAACGCAACCCCGCCACCGACCCATCTTCCACTACCCTTTATACACAAAACATCTCACCAGACCCAGAAACCGATATCGAAATCTTCTCCGGCCGCCCAAACCTCGAGAAACAGATCCTGGCCTTCGCACACGGGGCGCAGAGTAGCGATTCTTCGGCTGCCGTGCTTGTTTGTGGCCCGCGCGCTATGGCTGGTGAGGCCCGTTCCGCGGTTTATCTCGCTATGAGGCAGGGGTATCAGCTGAAGTATGTGGAGGAGTCGTTTACGTGGTGAGGCTTTTTTTCCGGCGGTGATTTCTATTGAGACACATTGTCATGCTTTGGGCTCTGCATATATGGCTGGCTAGATCTTGCTTTTTCATGTATATGATTATTTATGTATGAACTAGATGTATATATGCATCATGATATAGAGTGAATATAACCAGGAGGCCTTTAGAGTACCGAGCGCTTGTTTAGCTACATACCTCGCCCACTCATCGGCAGAGCTTTGCTAAGTCCGGAATCCAAATCTCGGGTCAACTCTTGAATAGCGACTAGCCCACAAGCCCACCGGCCCTTGGACGAAACCTTGTCTGTGCGTCTTCAGCCTTCTATGGTGTATCGGACGGTTAGCTTCCGGTCTCCCACTCATGGATGGACCATGTCATCCCCATGCCAGCCCGTAGGCCACCCACGACGTGTCAGATTCCACGCATTAATACTACCTGGCAAACCAATAATAATGGCTAGCGGACGTGTCGTACCCCTTGAATGTTGAAACGATAATCGCCCGTTCCTATAGACGGCTGTGTGGGGTGCGGGGTGACATATCACATTGACCCCAGACCCCTTGGAAGCCCCTCGAAGCTTGTGCGCAAGTCACTGGCAACCATTATCTTTCTTACGGGAGTAATTGACCATCGACTTTTCAGATACTGTGCTCCTGGGAGTTGCGATACGTCGGTTTCATTAGCGATCATTTGCGCACACCGAGCATGATTTGCACCAAATATACCGGTACCAGAGATCATTCGGCCATGATGTGTCCAATCTGTCAACTGGACCCAATATTTGGCGGCGCATGCAAGGGCGTTGGCAATAATCGACTTTATACTTCTTCCTAACGGCAGGAGATCGACGTACGTTGTCCCCAGACTCACCAGCTTGAGCAACGAAAAAGAGTCAGATAGAAAGGTATAAAGCCAACCACTCCATCCTCGCAACTCGAACACCGCCACCTCAGCCAAAGAAACCATCTTCCCCATCTCAGAATCACTTAATCATCCTTCTCTTTCTCAAAATGAAGCTCCTCATCCTAGCCACCCTGCTCGCCACCGCGCTGGCCTTCCCCACCAGCCCCGCAGGCACAGGCACCGAAGCCTCAACGACCGAAAACCCAGACGGCAACACCTGCGGCCGCGCGCAGCTCGCCTGCTGCCCCGATCTCGAAGCCACGAGCATCTCCCGCGAGGAGGGAGACAGTCTGCTGAACCTGCTTGATGGCAGCGATGTCCTTGCGAATGGCGTTTTAGGGGGGTATCGTGGGTGTAGTGGTTGTAAGTTTCTTTGGTCCCTCCTTTGACTCGGGTATGAGTGGTGGGAGAGAGAGCTAATCTTCTTATAGTGGTCTCCCTCCAAAACGCCGTTAGCGGACAGTGCAATAACAATGTGGCTTGCTGTAATGCGGGGGATACTGAGCTGGTAAGCTTGACTTCTTTCCTGGCTCTTCTTCTATGGGCAGACGGGTACTGATATTTCCCTGTAGAACGGGCTTGTCAATGTTGCTGTTCCTTGTCTTCCTATCAATCTGCCTGTGCTGTAGGCGATGATTGCAGGATAACCCGCCTCATCTGGTGGATAGGGTCTATTCGCCATGGGTAACATTCTGTGGTTTGATCAGCTGGTTTCCGGTGTATTGTGTTTTGCCTTCGAGTCACTCTTTTGTACTTTATTAATCTATATCTAATCAAACAGTCTGAAAAATATATTTTCTCTTCCCTCCGGGCGTAGGGTCTCAGTCCACCATATGCCAAAACTCAGACCTGAACATTGAATAATTCAGGCCTCCGAACAAGAAGGGTAGGCCACCGCGTACTTTCTCTCGCAATCAACGGCGAATACTTGTCAGAATGTTGGCGATCCCAATGGAATTCATATTTCCGCCTCAGGCACGGTCTCCTCGGAACGGCACCCGAAGAGCCGAGCGCCAAGACAGTTCCGGATCTCTTCCCGATTGCTCTTCCGGACGACCTTCATTCCAACAACATCCCTGAAAAGCAGCTGTCAATTGCCATGGAGACACCGCCCCCTACTCAAAGTGCATTCCAGCCCGACTCGACCACGCGGCGTCCAAAGCGCCGCAAGATTGCGGTCGCATGCGATGAATGTCGTGCGCGCAAGGTGCGCTGTGACGGGATCCAGCCCGGTACGTGTTCCGCTCCAGCCCCACGGTTGCTTCTGTACTATTCTCGAGTGACGAACGCTGCTGATGATTTTGCAGTATGTGGGCCATGTGCGAAGCGCGAGGAGTATGGTGTAAGGTGCAAATACACCGGGGAGCCCGAGAAGAAGCGGGCTGTGAAGAAGTATGGTGGTCTGGACTAGCATGCGCGATGGTTTGTGGAGCTAATTTGTGACAGCTACATCACGACACTCGAGAATCGGATCAAACATCTGGAAAGCCCGAGTGAGGTCTCGAGCCTCGAGAACCGGATTAAACATCTGGAAAGCCCGAGCGAGATCTCGAGCTTGAGTACGCCTAGCACCCGAGTATCGGGCCATCCTAGCGTTAGTCGTCATGTCCTGCCCCAAAGGCTGACAAAGGTATTGCTCAATGAGGCTGACGTGCTCTACAGGCGTCGATATCACCGTATGGACCATCATCCTTTACGAATATCCCGCGGACCATACCGTTCGCGCAACGCCCTACACCGCATAGAGCCAGCATCTCTTCACACAATGCGACCATCCACTCTCCACTCATTGCCGCTCAAATCACACCTAGGAGCAATTCAGGTTCCACCCCTGAGACTACGCGTGCTATGCTATCACAAGAGACATCGCGTCAGGAAGACCGTACGCTTGGCGTCAATGCCATGATGGGTGCGGTGGAGGAGGAACGTCCGACACAAGGATTCTTCGGCAGCTCTAGTGCCGCGAGCTTCATGCGCCAGATCAAGACAGCGGTCGACAAGCGGGTCTCATCGCCGAACCAGGACATTTCGGAATCCGTGCTCGGGGTTTCTCCGTCGAATCTACTACCCGCCCAGAAGGAGCGGCAGTCTACTGTTTGCAACTACGTGCTACCACCGCGGAAAATGGCGGATAGCCTGATGGAAGTCTACTGGAGCTATGTCTTTCCTCTCTATCCACTCGTCGATAGCATCCACCTTCGGGGCGAGTACGGCCGGATATGGACTGGCGAACCTCTGCAGTCCGATGAGAACATGCTCATGTGCATGCTGAATGTCATCTTCGCCCTATCCTGCCAACTAGCCGACTTCATCGCGCCAGCAGAGCGGGAAGCGTCCGGCGCTGCATTCTTCTCCCGTGCCAAGGACTTGCTGCACTTTAACCTCTGGGACTCCGGATCCGCGGCGCTTATCCAGTGCCTGCTTCTGATGGCGCAATATCTCCAGAGCACGGACTCGGCCCATCAATGCTGGATTGTAACTGGGCTGGCTATTCGCAATGCACAGAGCATGGGTTTGCACCTTCCGCAGACTATTGCACGCCTTCAAAATCCGCAGGAGCAGCAGTTGGCAAGGAAGATCTGGCATGGGTGTGTTTTAATGGATCGGTATGAGTACGTGGTCCTTTTGATCAACTCAGCTAATGCATTATAGTGTCATATCCATGACATTCGGGCGCCCGGCTATGATTTCGAAAGGCTCATGCGGCTCCGTTCCTCTACCCGCAACTGTCGACGAGGAGTATATCGCATCCGCTTCCGGAGCTGAAGCAATCCAACCCGCCGATCGCCCGTCGATGATGGCATTTTACGCCAAGTCACTCGAACTGTACGAGATTTTGAACGATGTCCTGCTCAGTCTCTACAAGCCCATTCCCGAGGAAAGTCCAGAAGACATATACGATTTCTATTTCAACAGAGAACCTAGTGAAGGAGAACTCACCATATTTGAACTTGACCGCGCTCTCACGAAATGGACACGCAGTCTACCCGCACATCTGCGCGGAGACCCTTCCCCAGTAGCTGATAACATCATTTTCTACCGGCAATGTGTGGTCTTGCGAGCACGGTATGTACGTTTTCGATATCTACGGCGTTTCTAATGATAGACTTCTAGATTCCTGCACGTCAGGATGCTACTATTCCGTCCAATTCTCTCCAAATACTGTACGGCACGCGAGATCGCCTCCGATCCACTCATATCTCTTCACGACTCATTTCCTCAACGCGTTGCTTTGCAGTGCTCTGTGATCTGCGTCAAAGTCGCACAAGAGGTGATCGGTCTGATACACAGTAACATTCCGGCAGATGGGACTTCTGGGCCTCTACCCGCTTGGTGGTATAACATACTATGTGAGCAACCTACCCAACCGTCAAACAGGACCTTAAAAGACCAGAGTTAATGTACCTTGAAGATGTCTACACCGCAGCAACTGTTTTGATAGCCGCATATCTTTGCCCCGCGATCCTCGACGAAGTCACTGAAGCATCAATCACCACGTCATGGGACACCGCCCTCGAGATCCTCCGAAAGTACCAAAGCTACAGTACATCTGCGCGACGATGCGTAGCGGCTCTTGAGATTCTGTACGAACGGGTTGTATCTGAAGCGCCGCCGGTGCATATCCAAGGTCCAGATGTCGCTCCCGCCGCAGGGGCGGGTGTGGGAGCTCCGCTTGGTGCAATCGGAGATGTGTCCCTTGGCGAGGGGATGAATGCAAGTTTCCTCGACGCGTTCGAACTACCGGACTTTCAAGATATGTCGTGGTTGAATAGTGTTCCGAGTCATTTGTACTAATACAAAGACGGATATGGTGGCCTGGCGGTGCCCTCTGTGGTGGACAGGGAGTTATTGTAAACGAGACCTTCGAACCGAACTTCTCGCTTCTGAATCAGTGAATCGCCAGGCGTCTGCGCAAAGCTTCGCCCTGGTAATTCTTGCAGATCTCGGGCAAGAAGAGGCCGAATAGTTTTTCCGTCCATACAAAGTGTCTCCACGCACTTGGCAGGGGCGTCCCCGCATTCCCCCGCCGGGATCATGACGCGTTGTGGAGATGACTCCGAAATGCTTTTGCCGTTCCTGACTCGAGGACCGCAAAAGCATCTCCTGAGAGTGTCATTTTGGGCTAGCTGTTTAATATTTCGCCCGAATCTTGTGGAGCATCATGCAAATTGTCCCGCAATTCGGTCTGATTTACCCCGGATTCCCAGTGGTTCCGCCTGAGCTCGCTCAAGCGAAATGGCTACAAAACTCCGAATTAATCCCCCCCGGGGAACATACTCCATTCAGTGACAGAGCTGATCAGACAACATGCGTGCAGTCATCAGTCTGTTGGCATGGGCCACGGCAGCCCGCGCCGCGCTCACCGCGGTCGAGGACGACAGCTCAATTACTCTAGAGAACGACCGACTGAAGGCCATCTTCGACAAAGACCGAGGTAGCGTCGTCGACTTATATCTCGACGGGCAAGACCTTCTCGGTCCGCAGTCAGGCTCCACCGGTATCGGACCATACCTCGATTGCTACTGCACGCCCTCCGGGTTTTACACAGCCGGCTCCACCAACCCAGTGATGGAACTGGTTCAAGGCACAGACTCAACGGGAACAAAATACGCAGGCGTCATCTTAAACGACACATACACTCCCACCGGACAAGAGTTCCAGCAATACTGGTTCCTGCGTGACGGCGAGACGGGGTTTCATATGTTCAGCCGACTGGCATATTACAACGAGACGACCCCATTCCTGCGCAATCTGCAGGAGCTCCGTACGCTTCTCCGACCGAACACTGATCTCTGGACGCATTTAAGTTCAAGTGACCTGCAGACTGCGCCACTGCCCAGCGATGAGGCGGTTGCGGAGCAAATTGTTGTGCAGGATGCGACGTGGAGACTGAACAATACACCGAGCGACGCGTACTACGAGCAGTTCTCGGAGTACTTTACCAAATATACTTTCTCGAACTGTATGTGGCAAGTCCATACCCGTTTGGGCAAAGCTAATGACCTAGTGTGGCGCGACAATGATGTCCATGGAATGTACGCCGATGGCTCGACGTCGAATGGAACGGCGTACGGCGCGTGGTTGGTGATGAACACGAAGGTAAGCTCTCGTCGAACCTCCAACCTTGGCGATCATAGCTAATGAAGCTTAGGATACTTACTATGGCGTACGTCCTCCAATCCAGGTGGATGTTCATAGCTAACCCACGCAGGGGCCTCTCCACTCAGATCTAACGGTCGACGGCATCGTCTACAACTATATCGTGTCCAACCACCACGGCGAAGGCACGCCCAACATCACCCACGGCTTCGACCGCACATTCGGCCCGCAATTCTACCTCTTCAACGGCGGAAAGGAATCCGGTTCTCTGGAGGAGCTGAGGGACGAAGCGCGAGCGCTTGCCACACCAGATTGGAATGTTGATTTCTACGACTCGATCGCGAAGCATGTTATCGGCTATGCTCCGTCAAGCAGCCGAGGTCGTGTCAAGGGAACGATCAAGCTTCCGCGTGGCGCAGAGAACCCGATTGCGATCCTGACGGTTGACGGACAGTACTTCCAAGATAACTCTGCCGTCCCATCGTCGTACCAGTACTGGGCTGATATCGACAAGAATGGAAAATTCGAGATCAAGCATGTCAAGGAGGGCAAGTACCGTCTGACCGTCTACGCCGACGGCATCTTCGGCGACTTCGTCCGTGACGGCGTCACTGTCAAGGCTGGCAATGCAACCTCGCTGAAAGCAACCTGGACTGCAGAGTCCGCAGGTACCGAGATCTGGCGCCTCGGCACCCCCGACAAATCCTCTGGAGAGTTCCGCCACGGCTACGCGCGCGACACCACACACCCGCTCCAGCCACCGGAGTATTTGATCTACTGGGGCGCGTACGACTGGCAAACCGACTACCCGACGGGCGTCGACTACACGATTGGCGAAAGCGACCCCGCGACAGACTTCAACACAGTCCACTGGGCGGTCTTCGGCCCTACCCCCGACAACCCAGACATCGAATACAACACAACGCACGACTGGAAGATCCGCTTCAACCTATCGAAAAAACAACTCGCGCGCCGCAAAACCGCAACCCTAACCATCCAACTCGCCGGCGCTAAAACCGCCGCCGGAAACACGGACGTGTACAACCCGGCCGAACCATACACGAACCTCCCGCTGGAGAGCTACATCAACGACCAGGAGGACCCGCTTACATTGCTCGTCGGGTTTAACCAGAGTAGCAGTTGCATCGTGCGCTCGGCTGTCAGCTGCTACCAGGTGAGGGAGCGGTGGGAGTTTCCGGTTGAGTGGTTGAAGGTCGGGGAGAATGTGCTCACGCTGCATTTGCCGTATAATGGGACGAATACGGAGACGGCGGTTTTGCCGACGACGGTTTATGTGCAGTATGACGCGCTGAGGTTGGAGGTGAAGTGAAGTGGAGTCGGCGATTCTAAGGTGGGGAGGCAGGTAAGAGATTTGAGGCGGTATCAATGAATTGCTCGGCAGGGTGGTCCTAATATTTTGACACTGTTACGATACCTGTACTGATGTATCAATATATTTCCCGACGAATTCATGAGAACGTAGGGTTGAATTTGTTTTGAGAGGAGAAAAGTTGTCCAAGGTAGGTATCCCTATCCAATCCAATCCACGAAGAAACCATCCAGCCACGGCACGCAAGGCATCGCTCGCCCCTCCTCGAACATCAGCCGAGGCGGAAGCTGCACCGTAGCTAGCTGGGAGATGAGCGCTCTGGGTGCTGGATATAGATGCAGAGCAAGTGTGGATTTGGATTTTGTAGCCTACGCGTGCACATACTACTGTGACGTGTGGCTATTGCCGGGGGACTGGCTGGCCGATAGTTCACTCTGCACAAGTGCATAAGTAGAAGAATCAATGATACTTTCACCGTAAAACGCATTATAAAACCTATGTACAGATACAACCATTTCCCAACTCTAGAGCTCATAAAGGTACATTGTCTACAACATCGCCTTGGGGAAATTCTTAACCGCCTGCCTGACACCCAGATCCGCCAGAATCTCCTCCGTGCCACCCAAGATCGCATCGAACTTGTACGTGCGATGGAACATCTCGATAACACTTCCCATGCCGGACTGTGTGATTCCGCGTCCACCGAAGATATTCGTCGCCTCGGACGCGACCTCGCCTGATGTTCGCGTGACGTGTGACTTGAGCAACCCGATCGGCCCACCGAGGTGCTTCGACTGCTCGGCGTATGTCATGTTGCACATTTGATAGGCAATGGATTCGAGCCAGGACTGGTTGGATTCGACGATGGAGATCATGCGGGCGAGTCTGGCATGTTGTTAGCATTCAAACGGCCCAAAAGGTATAGGGTGGATAGGAAAACAGTGGTGACATACTTCTGTCGAATAACCGGCTGCTCAATGAGCTTCTTCCCAAACACAATGCGCTGGTTGCACCACTTCAGACACTCCTCGACGACCATGCGGGCCGCCCTCGCGACGGCGCAAACCATCATGAAGCGCTCGTGGTTGAAGTTGGACATGACCACGATGAAGCCCTTGTGCTCTTCACCGAGCAGGTTCTCAACGGGGACCTTGACGTTGTTGTACTCGACGAATGCCGTTCCGGCAGCTGTTGAGTAGGATGTCTTGATCTGGGTGGTCTCGATGCCCTCGCCGCGGGGGATCAGAAGGACGGAGAAGCCCTTCTCGGTGCGGCAGGCGGTTACAAAGTAGTCGGCGAAGGTACCGTTTGTGATCCATTTCCTGGCGTTGATTAGTTATGGTCGCTGCGCAGGGAATGTGAGGTAAGTAGGTGGCATACTTTGTGCCATTGACAATGTAGTGTTTGCCGTCGGGCGTCTTGACAGCCGTCGTCCGGAGACCCGCGACATCACTACCAGCGAACGCTTCCGTCACAGCAAGAACCATCTTCTTCTTGCCCGAGAGAACCTCCTCGGTGACCTGCTTGCGAAGCGGTTCATTGTGGAGCCACTGCTGGACGGCCGTCAAACTGATCATCATGCCGGCCATGTTTCCATCTTGAAAGCCTGAACAAGCAACCAGTTAGCACTCCCCTTTGACCGAGGAAGGAAAAGAAAAAGACACGGCAGGAAAGGTAACTCACCTCTAGCGTTCGCCCGAACCATCTCCTGCGCAACAATCAAATCATGCAAATAATCAAACTCCTCCCCCTTAACCCCACCAAGCAGCGTCAGGCCATGCAAATGCTTCCCGGGGCCCAACTTCATCGCAAGCACATTCGTCTCCGCCATCTTATCGATAAGCTCCTGGCTAATATACGTCCCATCCTTCTCCTTCGCCTGCGCCTCGGCCTTCACATACAGGTTCGTAAACTCGCGAACGGCAACCTGCAATTTGCGGTGACTCTCGTTGTAATACGGACTGCTGAATCCGGGCCGCAGCCATAGCGGTTCGGCGTAGGGGACGGGGGAGAGGGAGGTGGGTGTGGGCTCGAGGACTTCGGGGGTCTCGTTGGCGATCGTGCCGATGCACAGTGTGGGGCGGTATTTTGTGATGATCTCGTGGCGGTGCAGGTTGTAGAAGTCGGTTGTCGCGTCTTTGCCGGCGATTTGGGTCAGGACGACGCTGCCGCCGGGGTGGGCGTCGAGGAAGTCGGTGAGGTCGTAGACGCGGTGGTCGATGATGCACCAGAGGGAGTCTTCGGTGTTGTGTTGCGAGACTTCCTCGCGGGTGAATGTTTGTGACATTTTGGCGGTAGATGTGAATGAATGAAATGACGGGGAGAGGTTACAGAGTCAACCGGAGACAATCATGGGCAGGTGCTTTTGATCTTATAAAGTGCAGAATGCTGGGCCTCGGCTCACCATCGAGTGTTGCGTTGCAGCCAAGCTGCAGACCAGCGGGGCCCCAGATTAACTCTCTAACCAATCAACAACTAATGATTAGAATTGGCCAGCGGGGACCGAGGTTTTTTCCCCTTTCGGAAGATCGCGTTCATCCGAGGCCGACGTGATTTTGTACGTTTAGCGGGGTGATGGCATTCCGATCAGGGCAAATACGAGATCAAATATCTGATTCCGAGTATATTAAGCCTGTCTCAACATCCATGAGTGAAATATATGACCTGGAAGTTGTCCTCCAACCCTCTTTGCGACAACCTCGGCTCATTCCACACGACTAGACAGATCGACAGATACAGATCCACAGGCTTGGCAGGTCGGTTGCCAATATATCCGAAATCCCCGCTTGCATGATATATCCAAAACGCAGACGAGAGGCAGGAATCGATACCATTGCTAGCTTCAATACCGCATCCATAACCAGTTCCTGGTGCCCAATTCGTCCAGGCCTCGACGGCAAGTCACAGAGTATTAACCCGGGCACTTTGGTTTGGCATAGATAAATGATGCAAGACTCAGCAGTTGGGATTCGAACAAGACAAGTGCTCGGGCACCAGACAGGAACTACCTTTCTATATATTCTGCATTAGGCTGTGGATCCCCCCGCCAGATATGATCCCATCTGCTTCAGCCACATGCGGGTAAAGATACGAGACACAAAAAGAGTGACAAAAGGTCAGACCCAATTCGCCCAGCCATAATATGATGCTTCCCTCCAGGCCCGCCGCAACTCGCCTTCAGATTCGTCGTTCTGTTCCGCTATGAATCTATCTACTGATAGCTCCCATTCGTCATATCCCGGGCATTGCCGGTTAATAGGCATTACCCCTCGCTGCATCACCGAGATTGTGAGCGGACGCCTCTCCCGGTTCTGCTGGTTCTGTTCAGCTAGTCCATGGGTCCTTTCATTTTCAGCACCATCTGCGGTGGTCTCGAGCAAATCCGGTGAGTGGAATGTCACCTGGCACAAACTCTGCTGCCCGTGACGCCAGTCTTGTTCGGTACAAATGAAGAGTGTATATCTATCTTTGCTAGCTGGGTGATCATCTATCAGCATCCTCCAGCGTGATCGAGTCAAGCAGCGGGTGAGAACCCCCTATTACGAGATCTCGTATTTGCTTCGGAAGCGCCGGGCGACAAGTCCTGCACTGCAGGTCTTCATACAGTCGGAAGCCTGCTAAGGATCTGGGCAGTGTTGGTGAGAAGCGGGCTAGTCTCATTGGGAATAATGCCATAAGGCTCCGGGCTTCTAAAATGCAGGAGTTGAGTGCGTAGTTCTCTTAACTGAGTAAGGTTCTTCAGGGACCTGAGCTGTCCCAGGGAGCATTCGCAAGGGCTCTGATGGAATCCTGCGCGGACAATATCTAGATATTAGATATCTTTCTGGTGCTCATGAAACGCCCCCCAAATCTCCGGGTTTAACATCTTGAATGGAATTTTCCGAATGGGCGGCTCTCGGTCATTGATAGATAATGAGAACTTCAGCAGAGCACGTGGCAGACGTATCAAGGCTTTGATATCAGCAGGTCGGCAGTTTGCTTTGTTAATAGTCCGGAGTAACAGGTCTTAGATATAGCAAGTCTGGTGATTCGAATTCTTCTTAACGAATGTGGCTATGCCCTCCGTCTCGAGATCATATAGATGGAGTTTGCGCATGGTCCTCAGAAAGAACACCGGCCATATGGCATCTAGTTGCAGAGGGGCCTAACAAAGCGGGAAGAAGGGAACGATGGGAAATAGTGGACAATAGAAGAAGATATCCCCTCCATCTGGAGCTCGTCTTCCACGCTCTTTCCAGGAGCCAAGATGTGGAAGGAGCAAACACCGGTCGGGGACGGATGTGCTGCTGAGGAAGTTGCGGGCGAATAGAGGTTTGCCAAATGAGGAGGGTGCTCAAAACCCCGTCTTGCGTGGATCCCATCACCCATCCCCCGTCACAGTCGGACTACTCAATAGTTCCATATCCCAGCGGTTGCTCTTTAGTCGGAAGGACGATGATCAACAGGGGTCTGAAACTGGAACACCCGGATGTAGATTATAGGGAGCCACTATCCATGGCGCGTAGCCTTCCTTGATCGCTCTCTATCTACCCAAATGCTAATGACCCACAAGCGCCTGCTGCGCAGCCGCATACCGATTCCCCTGCGGCTTCGCAGAATCAACAATCCTCCTCATCTCCCCAAGTTCCTCCTCGGTCAGTTCAACCTCCCTCGAGGCGAAATTCTCTTCGAGCCGGTGCACCTTTGTCGTGCCGGGGATAGCAATCAACCCCTGGGCGGCAACCCATGCAAGAGCAATCTGGCTAATTGTACACCCTTTTCGGGAGGCGAGGGTCTTGATTTGTTCGACGATGGCTTTGTTCGCGTAGAAATTCTCGCCTTGGAATTTGGGGACTACAACAGAGCGGGTCAATTCGGTTTTCCAGAGGGATAAGGGAAGCATGATAAGGTGTGTAGGGTGAGATGATAGAAGGTGGACATACTCTTCCGCCGAAAATCATCAGGCTTGAAATCGTCTGGGGTCTGGTAGTCAAAGTTGTCGACTAGCCAGCCATGGCCGAGGGGGCTGTAGGCGACATAAGCAACCCCCAGCTCCCTGGCCGTATCAATCAGGCCGTCTGTCTCGTGCAGTGTCTCAAAGGCCGAATACTCTGCTTGGACTGCGTCGATTTTGGCGACTAGCGACTGTGAGCGGGATCACCAGATAATATGGATTACTTACTCGAATTCGCCTTGCGCAGTGTCGCAGCGGAGCACTCCGACAGTCCAATATACCTCGTCTTCCCTGCCTGGCGGATCTCTGCCAGCGCGGGGATAGACTCTTGGAGAGGTGTGTCTGTCTTGCTTAGTCTCACGAACAATGATCCGTTCTGGGTGTGATACTTACTAGGATCAATACGATGGAGATAGTACAAGTCCGGCGTGAAACCTAGTCTCTCAATGGTCCCCTCGATGTACTCCTTGATATGGGAGGGCGAGTTAGTGACGGCACCTCTTGCGAGGCCTTCGCTGGTGCCGAAGACATCGAAGCCGCATTTCGAAGCGACTGGCAAACGCTATCAGCTTTATTGCACCTAGCCTTAACTAGACTTGGAGCTTAGGACAACTTACTAAACACCTTATCCCGAACATTATGTTTCCGGATAAAGTCTCCAAGGAGTTTCTCGTTGACACCAGCTTGGTAGACGACCTTCGATATTTCCAAAGTTAGAATATTACAAGCTCCAGATGAAAAAGAAGGGATAAGCTCTAGCTCACCGCAGTATCCCAGAACGTACATCCAAGCTCAATCGCCTTTAGCAGGACTGGCTCGGCCTCTTCGAGTGTCAGGTTGGTACCCAGGCCAAAGCTCAGGCCCATGGCGCCGAAGCCTGGCGAGGGGACTTGGATGTCGCCGAAGGGTAGAAATCTGACCATTGTGCAAGTCAAAGGACGTTTTTGGTGGAGTTTTTATTCTTTTTGGTTTTTTTTTTTTTTTGCTGTGGTTTGTTGAACAGCGAGGTTGACCGGGAGGCCTGGGAGTATATAATGGCTTTGCGCTGACATCCATGGAAACTCCGAGAGAGTGTTAACTCCGATGGATGACATAACTTGTTCACGAGGGTTCTACCCACACTATCAATGCTTGTTTCGACGATTATTTTGACCGTGGTCCGTGGTATGCTTTCGGGTTGCTCCTCACGCGTGTTGCTTATGTCTTGTGGAGAGCCGAATTCTCATCTGAGACCTGTGATTCGCCACCAAACAATAGTGCCCCGTATTTGGAGTGCGCTAAATGCTGACACTAGCAGCTCTTTTGCATAACTAATCTCCATGCGCTGATGCAAGACAAAGACGACCAAAACCCATTCTGCGGTCCTGGTTCAGCACGGTCAAGAAATAGAACTACCCCAACCAGATTCTACCCTTGACGATTACCCACTGAAATCAACTGCTGATCTTGCATTGGCCATAGCAGGGCCCCGCAGTGTAGTTCATATCACGTGCAAGTGGATTAATTGCATTGAAAACGTCTCATTGGCAAGATAACTTGTTTTGGTCAACCAAGGGCTCGATGTGGAAAATATCACAATGGGGCGCGCATGGTTTGCCGATAAATGAAGCGAATCAAATGCTCTGCCCTTTGCCTATCTCATTCCCGGTAACCACGAGTACTTCGACCGCAAACCTTGGTCGATCAATCAAAAAAAGTTGCACCTTGTTCAAGGGTTGACATGGGCCGAGATGTCTCGTTTCAAGAAGAGCAAGCCATTTCATGCCGGGCGTAGCTGACAATCTACGAGACTGGATTCGTCGGCCCTCTGGGATCGGCTCGGTATTCCTCCCGATTAGCAAGGTGGCGGCACCGCTGGCCAAGAGCCGAGAGACATAAACGATCTCTGACGTGCCGAGGCCAAACTGGGGCGACGGATTGAAGTGACTGCCAGCCTTGAGCGCGGTAACGGTCGAGTGTACATCTCGCCCCTTGCACATTGAGAAGCTGATTTAGGGACATCAACGGAATACCCACGCGCTCTAAATAATCAAGTAATCATGCTGTCGGGGTAATTCCGGGAAGCAAGTCTATGCAAATCAGTTAGACCAGCGGAGAATTATCGGACAAATTCGAGATCAGCTTACAAAATCCCTCCAAGATATGTTCCCCTCGTGGCCTGCCGCTGACGTTTCCGCCTCACGTGCAGCCCACACCTGCTTCAACAAATCTGCAGGAACCGGGTTGCGCATCTCGGATCTCCTTTCGATCTCGCGAAAGCGCGATAGAACATAATACTGGGAATGCCGCGATAGCGAATCAGCACCCGCCATGAATAGCGGTAGAATTAGTAGCTCGATCAAGCTACATTCCGATGGGATCTCGGCTGTCGCGTCGAGAGTCTTGACCACGGCCGCTTGGATTTCCGGGCTGCTGGCCGGTTGTGACGGATCGAGTAGACGATGCACGTGCAGGATGCAGGCATATTGGAAAGCGATCGCTACACTGATCCACCGCGGGTCTGAGCTTGGATACGTTTTGTCTTTTGGGTCCCAAGCGTGTAGTTCAAACTTCGCCGACATGAGCGTGGACCGAAAGTCCTCATCAGATGTCCAGCCCATTTTGTATTCTTTTGCTTTGTCTAGCACAGCACCAATGATGAGAAAAATTTCTCGCGGGCATCCGTTGACAAGTTCGAATCTGTGGCCGCCGGCGGTTGCCACCATCTCGCGTATTTCTTGTGTGAAGCAGAGTCGTCTTGTACCGGCAAAGGAGCGGATTATATCGAGCCTGTGAGATGTTAGTCTAGGAGGTTTATGAGATACAACACGTACCAAGCCAAGTTTCCTATGAAAAAGACCGCCCTCTGGCGACGGCCATTGAAGCCTTCCGATATCAGCATAGGTTTGCATACTGACATCGCTCCAGTAATATGTATCCCATGCTCCGATATTCCAGACTCAGCAATCTGGCACTGTTATTTCTGTCACTGTCATGCGTGGGTTTAGACAACTTACATCATGTAAAAGCATTACCTGGATCGTGGCAAACACACAATCCTCCTCTTCCTCTGACAGCGAGGTATTCTGCCCTTTGCGAACCTGATCACTCAGTGCACGAATTGCTTTGACTCTATACTCCACAGAAGTCGTTTCAATAAGCGCCTTGTTGCTTGTGAGTCTCCCTAGATGCACGGCAGAGAGCCCAAGGACGGCATAGAGAAGCCCAATCTGCTTCTTCGCCAGGGGCAGGATGTACGCTCTGTACGGATTATCTTGTTCGTCCCCAATCTCTGCAATCTGGTGAGGGGCCATGAAACTATCATCTATATAGCGTTAGAGGTGTAAAATCTGTGATCTGTGGAACATACAATGATGAAGAAGCGCCTTAGTCTGAGCAGACGCCAGCAGAGATTTAAGATCATCGCGAACCTCCGCGACCGGTTGCACAAGCACGGACTCAATTGCCATACTTCTAGAGGTTCGTGATACCGGCGCGGGAGGGGTCGAGCCCTCGCTTGCGGTCTGCTGCTCAAGTGGACTCGTGGCGGGGGGAGACTGAAGAGTCATCTCGTTGGCCGGGATGCGCGCATTCTTCCATTTTCCTCGACTCGCGATTCCGCAAAACCGGAATTGATCCGGATAGCCTTGGCATACGAGTCCCTTTGAGATGCATCGCTGGCAGCTGGGTCGGCCGCGGTCACACTTGCGACATTTCTCCCGGCAGGTCATACAGGCGGGGCCTGGTCATGTGTTAGCGGCGACGGAACAAGGTTCGAATGCGGGATACGTACCTGCCCGCGGCATTTTGTCAGGCTGTTACACAGAAACCGTGATGTTGGTCGGATGAATCATGGCCGTCTGTATTTATGCATACATGAGACATCTGGCGAGTTTGAGGCAGCGTTGGAGACTCTGCCAAAAGTGGCACTGGATAACGCTAGAGAGGTCACGTGGAGGCTAAGCCCGTTGGGGAAGTTTCGGGGTTTCCCCAAGTCGGCCAGATTGAGACAGCGACACTAATTCGGTAGCAATAAGGAGGCGATTCTCGCTATGTATTGAACTATCGAGGCTTGAGGACCGGGGCAACAGTCATCTGATTCGACAATAGCATAATATGCCGGCTCTGTGGGCACCCATCGTGCAGTTAGGGCTATGCGGAGGTGGGCGCGAAAAGTGGCCCCGAGGCTCAAGGTAAAGAAGTAGCCAGTGGATGGTGAATCGAAGGACTGCAGAAGCTTGTCGGGTCAAGTAAATGGCGATGCCGCCGCAAAGTTAACCAGGCCTGGTATAGAAGACAAAAACGAGGGAAGGCAGGTAGATTTGATTCAAGTTGGTGAGAATTTCATGGGCCCATCCAGCATCAGGTTGCCCCCGCTGACGCAGGCTCTGGGCTGCGCCTTCTAGATTTTCGCCTTCATCCGTCAATCGACCTGTTCGGCAGGAGCGAACGAGAGCCTCAGCGGCCGTGCCTGCCCCATTGTCTTTACGACCATGGATCGCTCCTTCCTCGAGCGTCTAGAAGGTCCCCAGGCATAAGGTACTAGTTCCACCACAACCACTACGCACATATAGGTAATGGTACCAGTGGCATTTTTCTGTGAATCGACGATAAGCCATTTATGTTTCTCGTCATATCAATTTATCAGCTCCGAGGGATTGTTCGGTTGGCTATTGATGAGTCCGTAAAACTATACATCTCATCGGAGCCAGGATTTATCTCTACTTACTTGTTCTTGCTAACAACAAGAGACTCATACACTGACTATGGCCAAATTGTACCTATAACTGCAGCACTACAACTGAAACTTTGCACGCATCTCCACGTCATCCATGCTGACATTCCCAATCGTCGATGAGAACGCGGTGGGCTGGACTTGCTCACTTTCAGCTGGGGTCTCTGACCTCTCAACGGCTCTCTGGCCAACAGCGACCTGCAAAATTTCTCTCGCCTTCAGCCCTTTATCAGAAAGTGACGAGCGCCACGCTACGTGGTCATCAGGACGGACAAGGACGGCATCCCTTTCCCAGATGCGACGGACGTGGTCTTCATCCGGCAGATGGACAGGCTTGAACGGGATCTTGAGGGTCTTTGCTTCATGAGCGAAGCTCTCAATGTAAGACCCAGTCGATGTAAAATCAACAAGGGTATACTCAGGCCCCGTTCCGAGTAGGTCATGGGTACTGGTCACCCCATCCCTAAGGAAGACATGAGGCACCCGCGCCCCAGGCCATGTTGTTGGCACATACTCGCGCTCGTAAAATGGTGGCTCCTCCTCGCGTGGCTCATCAATGACGACAACGTTAGATGAAGTGTACCGATAACCCATCTCCAGCCCTATATCCAGGTTCTCCGCATCATGCGAGCTGAACCACTCCGCGATCTTTGCCCGTAGAGCAGCCCCTCGTTCCGAGCGCTCAAGGACAACTCCCGGCTGCGCTGCACACCAATCCTTATACGCCGAGTGCACGCTCCAGTGCACGCCCGAGCGCTCGATATTCCGGACTGCAACGGGTCGTCTCTCGCGCTCGTACGACTCAAGCAGATGGGCTCCGCCATGTCCATGCACGACAGCCGCGAGCTTCCAGCCTATGTCGAAGCTATCCCCAACAGCGGTGTTCATCCCGTATCCGCCTGTGGGGATATTCTGGTGTGCCGAGTCCCCGGCGAGGAAGACGCGTTTGAGGTTCGATGCGTAGCGTTCTGCGATGCAGATGTTGGGTCTCCAGGCGCTGGTGACGAGGATCTCATCGATCTCGATCGGGTAGGGGATGTTGGTCTCGCCACCGAGGGCCGTGTAGACGGCTTCGCGGGGGTCGAGGGTCGAGATGTCTGTGCCTAGGGGGATAGAGTGGTGAAGGGTCCATGTGTCCTTTTCATTCTGCGATATGATTATGTCGCCTAGTGTCGTGAAGATGTGCCAGAATTGGCCTTGGACACGGAGACGTGCCAGATCGTGCGACTTGAAATGCACAAGGTACATTGCTCCTGGGCTGGAATGGCAAAGTCAGCTGGAGAGTGCTGAAGGCGGAGTAGAATCAGGGTGTATCACTCACACAGGCCCTCCCTGGAGCTCAATGCCAACGTTCCTCCGAACCCTACTTCCCGCACCATCGCATCCAATAACAAACTGAGATCGGACGATATGTTCCTTTCCATCATCAGTAGTAACCAGTTTACTCTCCACTCCGTCCTCAGTCTCGACCAGGCTCTCGAATTTGCAGCCAAATACAGAGGTGATCGATGGGTTCGCCTGGATCTGCGGCTTGAGCCAGGCCTCCAGAACGGCCTGCGAGCATCGCTGCCAGGGCTCGCGCGGCATGCTTCCGTCATTTTGGGCTCGGATTTCGGCCCGCCAGGTATCTGGCGAGCGAAGCTTCTGCAAGGGGTCATTGTGAGCTGATGGACCAACTGGCCTATAGAATAAGACGTCAAAGCGAAAGATACGCGTATACGTACCCACTCAGAGATCACCTCCCCACCCTCCGAAAGACCCGTACTGAGAATCACGTCATGGGAATAGTGTCCCGGGACGCCTGGTCAGGCATTTGTTAGCCGTTTGGAAACATGCGCCGAGGCAAGCTACGAATAGGCACTCACCAACATCCCTAATCCCCTCTGCGATGCCGAGTCTTCTGAAAATCTCCATACTGCGGCAATTGGTCACATCCATCTTCGGCCACTTTGTCGTCGTCTCATTGCGTTCGACGAGCAGGCACGGAACGTTATTTGTTGCGAGTTGTAGGGCGGCGATCAGGCCGGAGGGGCCGGCGCCCACGATGAGGACGGGGGTTGATGCGGGGATGGACATCTTCTCTGTTCTTGACGAGGGTAGAAGGCAGGTTGATAATGAAGAAGAATAGTACGGAGGGTTTAGTTACCCGTTGGTTGCCTCTAGGACGTGGCTTTTATACGGATAGTGTATATTCGGCTTCTGGTAAGCAGCCGGGGGAGGTGCGTCCCGGCGCCTGGGCAGCGCGACGTTTGTCCTCTATTGGCAAGGGATTTGGCGTGAAAGGTCATTTGCAATGACTTTGCGTAGCAAACTGATGATACAAGTAGGCTTATGGGGGAACCCTTGTTTGCGGTGCTAATGTGAGCGTCAGCTTTCTGTCATCGCTTACCGCAAGTGACACTATCCATCACCCATGTAGGTGTATCGTGCCATTTTACCACAAGACAGGGCTGAGCACACACATTCGTATAGCCCAAGCGCAAGGGTAACAGTACAGACTATTATATGTCAAGGGGGTGAGTATCGCGTTGATGGGTGCATATGCAGACCCTGGCTACTGTTATATGATTCAGCGATTTATAAGAGTCTGTTCGCAACGCCCAGAGTGTTTCTGTAGCTTACCCATAGAGAGGAATCCGATGGTTCAGATATTATATCGCGTGGGATAACCATGTTGTACAATCTAGTCTTTTGAACATAGAATCTTGGCCAATTGTGTAGGCATGTTATATCTACACTATGTTGGGAAATCCAACGATGAATCGACCCTATAGGAAACTCCATATAGACAGTAGTCCGCTGCTAGAATGTATGGGGTTGTATGGTGGCCATAACGCCACGCTTCTTCGTTTGTGATTATCATAGGAAGATATGAAGAAATAAGAAGTAACATCATTCAATATGAAAGCAGAGCCAATGGTATTTCTATCATCCGCCACTCTTCTAAGGGAATGGTCAGCAGATCGTCCGGTCTCCGATTGTATGTCATCCACGGACTGAACCTCAACTAATAGCGGGACAAGCCGACAGCTGTTTCATAAGACGTAGGTAAGGTTGGGGTCACACAATCGTCCCCCGCTTGTGTCCACCGTGTCTACTGCTATTAGATAGAGCCCTAGACAATATCGTCCGATCAATCCACGCTACTCACCACAGAAACTCATAGCTCTCACAGCCCCAATTCAAGTAGATCTCCAAGTCCTCCTTTCGGAATACTCTGTACTACGCCTCCAGAAAGTAAACTCTCCCCAGATGTGGCAGGCCAGGATAAGTCCGGGGACCATGTCTGTGCGTTCTTCTGGCGGCAGAAAGCTGCGTCAAGTCTGTCATACCTAATATCAACCACAGTATAGATAAAAGCCCCATCAACGCTCCAGCTTCGAGCTTGAAAGACAACGCCCCTACGATGCTCCCTTCTCCATACAAATGAGCCCTGGGACACTCACGTCCTCCCTGGTTGACTTCTTTTGCCAGATGCCCATCACTTCTGTTGCTATTCTGATGATGATAAATTCCCAACGGATTCCGCAGCGTATCTACATCTCGACCAGCCATGTGGACCAACCAAGTTGTCAAGTTATCCACGTACTGGCCCTGCATAATCTCCCTTGCAGCCATCGCCGCAAATGACAATCCACCACAATCGTCTAAGATGTGCGTACTTCACCTCCATGCACTCGCTGGCCCTGACCCTGGACCATCATGCGTACCTTATGTGTAGGTCGCCGTCATGTACCATCAACCAGGATATCAGCTTAAAGTACTGACCATTTCCCGCTCGTTTCATTGAAGTCCCTCCCCTCCTCCTCCTTACAACTCTTCCATTTCTAGCTCTACAACGACCTCATCCACAACGTTTTCCCACAATCTCCCCTTCCATCCAGCTCCTCCTCACAACCTACCAAACATCCCTCCCAACAATCCTCCTCATCACCAGCCAGTATGTCCTAGGCTACCTGATCCTCGGCTTCGTCGCAACATTTACCCCCGCAACATCCTGCCTGCGCCACGCAACCGTAGCGCTAATCTTCGCCCTCGCCATCTCCATCCAGATCGCCGTGTCCCATGGAGTCAGCCTGCCCGTCCCAATCGCTCAATACGGGACCGTTGCGATCACTGCTTGGACGCAGGTGTTTAGTGCGATTGATATCCTCCTTCTTAAACGGGTTACGTATGAGGAGCATGTCGCTTGGGTAAGTAAGCGAAACCAGGATAGGGGCAGGGACAACAACGAGAAAGTGAAACCTATTCGGGATAGTGGGACAGGAAACAAGCAGGGGACACCGACACCGCGTCAAGGGTCTATCTGGGAAGCAATGTACTTCGCGATCTGTCTGCCCAACAACACCCGCCTACTCGGCACAAAATGGCAGATCAGCTCCGTCTACAACTTCTACAACTTCTACAACTGCTCTGGTCCGATCCCCCCGCCCTCCCGGGCAAAGTTCCTCCGCGTGCGAGCCTGCACGCTCATATCGAGCCTCCTCGTGGGCGCAGTATGCCTCGTTTACATGATTGCTCCCTGCTCGAACTCGTCCTCATCCTGGCTCCCAATCCCATCCCGAGCCACGCTCGCCACCGTCCTACAACAGACCCCCTCTGAGCTCCCCCACCCAGCCTCCTTGACGAAGCCGCCCGGTGTGCAATTTTACCTCTATGCACTATTCATCGGCTCGGTCTTCCTCCTGCACAAGGTTGGGTATACCTTCTACTCCCTGGTCGCCGTGGGATGCCACCTTTCTCCGCCGGAACATTGGCCGCCGTTCTACGGGGCAGCGTCGGAGGCGTGGACAGTGCGGAGGTTTTGGGGGTGAGTTGCCATGGCCATTCTCCTACCAACCCAGCCGATAACTGATGGGAAACAGGAATTTCTGGCACCAAATCTTCCGCTCCTTCCTGGACTCGAACGCCAACTTTATTGTTTCTCTGCTGGGCCTGCGACGGCAGTCACTCGTCTGCCGGTACATGCGATATACCATCGGCTTCTTCATCTCGGGTTTCCTCCACCTGACCCTCGACCATGCCCTTGGCATTCGGGGACCAGAGTTACTTGGAGCGATGATCGCATACCTCCTGCAGCCGATTGCGTTTGCTATTGAGGATCTGGTCGGTGTCATTTTTCAAAAGTATAGTAGTGGCAAAGCAGGCGAGACCAAAGACAGGGAAACGTTTAGGAGGAGGAGAAAGCTTATAGGATACATCTGGGTGGCGGCGTTTATATTCTGGAGCTGGCGGTTCTGGGGTTTTATTCTCTTGAAGCGGGTGCTTTTGGTCGATGGCCAGGTAGGTGGGTAGGGAGATAGGTAAGTCTACCTGCCAATCGTGAGGGTCTTATATTCTTGGCCAAACACGGCAGGCACGGTTACCGGGGCGGGTGTCTACGGTCTCCATTCTTCCTTCCTCTTCCGTTGGTGTGTGGGCTGCATCTCCGAATTCGGAAGGAGCGGCCCATTGTCCTCTGGTAACCCATGGCAGGGGCGGTTGATGGGTCGTTCCTGCCTTCTTGGTACGTTGATGATATTCTGCTACTACAATCTTACAAGGTGTGTCTCGAGTACCAATAGTCCACTATAGCCATCAGAAATTCGCAGGATATGGCAGCACGCCCACACGCAGCCAATCCGCATGCTTTCATCAAGGAGCCTCACAGTAACATTCTCCCCCAAAACTCCTCTTCCAACTCGAGGGATCTCTTGATAGTCTCCCCTTTTGCCCACCCATGTCCCTCCCCCTCAAAAACAACCATCTCAACGCCCTTCCCTTTCTCCCTCAGCACATCCCTCATCTGCACCGCCTGCTCGAGAGGAACAATCGTATCTTCATCCCCCTGGAGCAAGAAAAGCGGAGCTTTCACCCTATCGGCAAAATACACCGCGCTCCGAGACCGATATACCTCTTCCCTCTTCTCTTCGGACCAGGCTTCACCCCCAAAGCCCAGAACAAGGCTGACGATATACCTCGACTCGAACTTGTGTGTGATCCTCGCAAACGCCGCGAGATCCGAGATCCCATACAGACTTATACCGGCAGCCCAGAGATCCGGGTATGTAGTCAGAGCCTGGAGGACGGCATACCCGCCCGCACTCTCGCCGACGATCCCGACTCGGTTTCTATCGATGAGCTTCTGCTCCGCGAGGTACGCCACGCAACTCGCTGCATCGGCTATATCTTCTACACCCCAGTGCTGATTTAGCGCGGAGCGGTAGGCCCGGCCGTACCCCGTTGACCCGATGTGGTTTAGCGATGCGTAGGCGTAGCCGCGGGAGGTCCAGTATTGAACAGATAAAGCGAGGGAAGGGGGGACGTGGGTTGTGGGCCCGCCGTGCATCCAGAGAAGGAGTGGGGGGAGAGTGCTGGGGGTACCGGTGTAGGAGGGGTTGAGCGGGGGGTTGAAGACTGCGTGGGCGTGCGTTGGGAGGGGTTTGGAGGTGCTGTGGCTTTGGCTGTGGATGCGGGGAAAGGTTATGTGAGTTGCTGGGGAGATTAGAGATGGCGGGAGAGGGTTGGTGGTGGTTGTGTAGATTAGGTTCAGGGTTGGATTCGTATCATTTGCGAGGTCGACTTGGTAGACGGCTTGCGAGGATGTGCGCGTGCTGCCTATGACAACGAAGGAGGTTGGTGAGAGAGGTGCGAGGGCATTCTTCTGGATGTCGACCAGGGGGAGGTCAAGGTCCTCCCATGTATCTATCCTCAGATCGATCTTAACGAGATTGGCGGTCGCATTCTGGACTGCCGATGCAACGAGCGTGTTCTCATCGAGAAGAACATACGTGCAACTAGAAAGGAGACAGATGTCAGCAACTTTTACCTCTTGTAGATGAATCAAAGAATGAGGCGAAAGGTGAATCTAGTTCATACTTCCCAAGACAAGGCTCCCGACTTCCAAACTCTGCACACTCTAAACCCTTCAACTCAATCATCTTCACCTCTCCCTCAATCTCTACCCCAGTTCCAGACCCAGTGGCGTCCCACCGATAAAGCTGCCAAAACCCACTCCTATCACTAACAAAAAACAACGTCCCATCCGGCCCCCATCTCGGCTGACAGATACTCTCCGCTCCAGGCTGGCCAGCGACGACAATAGTCTCCATATCCGTAAGAACCCTCCGCGCCTCCCACACCGCAACATGCAGAACGCTCCCCGTCCACGGCATATCAGGATGATTCCACTGAATCCAGGAGACATACCTCCCATCGGGACTAAACTGCGGATGCTGGTAAAAGTCCGCGCCCTGGGCGACGGTGGACACTTCCCCTGTCAGAGCGTGGATGGCGACGACGCTATTCTCATCTGCGCCCCGCGGACCATGCGTTTCTCGTACGGCAAGGATCCACTCGTGCCTCTTTGGGTAGACGTGGAAGTTTCCGTAGCGGATATGTGGATTTGGGGGGACGATTGTCGTAACCTCTCCAGATCTCGGGTTCAGCGAGAAGATGCCGTTGCGAGGATAGTCTGTGAAGAGGACAGTATCTTCGTCCGGGTAGACGAGGAATGAGCCGCCGCCGTATTCGTGGATCGCGCCCATGGCGTTGTACCCCGCCGGGAGGACATCGCGAGTCGACGGTGATGTTGACGTTGATGCGAGGATCTCGACGATTGCGTGTCGGCCGCCTTCTGCGGGGCGGGACTCAAGAGCGTATATTTGACCAGTTGAGGGCTGCTTGCATACGTTAGTCTTGGTATAGTAGGTTGTGGTGGGTGGTGGGGTTTTGCGGGGTCATGCGTACGTTTGTCTGGATGCCTTCGAGATGGACGCTTCCGCTGGATAAGTGACCCGCGGTGATTGGACTCGTCCATTCTCCATATGGGGCGATCTGAGGTTCGGACATGATGACCTCATATGGTGGGCTTACCGGGTTAAGAAGCGGAGGTGAGGTTTGATGTCGTTTCTGAAGGAGCTGGCGTCGCTCCCCGATTTCCTGATACGGAATAGCCTAGATTTAGCGAGTATATACATCGCGAACCAGCCCGACCAGCCACCCTATTTAAAAGCACGCCACTCAGCAAACTCCCAAGCCTAAGCCTAAGCAGCCTTATCAAACCAGATCAGAGTATCAGGCATATCCGCGTAATCCACCGCTGCCCCGAACCTATCCACCTTGCCCTCCGGACTGATGTGGAACTCGGCCTTGATTACCATCGCGGGGTCAGCACCCCAAAGCGTCTCGAACAACTCTGCGAGGAAGTAGTCGGCTGTCACATGCTTCAGGACGAGGCGTCCGTGGAAGCTCCCTGTGATTTTGGCGTTGAGAGTGGGCACGTCATCGTCAGATATCAGGGTGATGATCAAGTCTGGATAGGCGGAGTGAGTAAACGTGCCCATGTACTCGGATAGTGGTAATGAGGGCGGTCGTCCTGGCGATGAAACTCCTGGGTATAGACGCTCTCGAGATTTGGAGAGGTATTCTTTGACCTTGGCGCGTTTTTCCCGTACGCTAAGAGATTGGTCAGCTTATTGCTCTGCGCCAGCGAGGTAGGAAGATTCGGACTTACACATTGTAGAGGTCAATGCGCTCATTTTGGGGCACTTGCAGCATCTCATCGATCAGGTGCCACGCCAGGCTTTCGCGCCCCGGACCAGCCGAGTTGGCGAAAACAGCGACACCCCAGTCGCGTTCAGGAAAGTAGATCATGGTGGCGGTCATGCCGTCAAGGCCTCCCGGGTGGAACACTACCGTCTCACCACGGTACGTGCTCGTCATCAATCCGAGGGTGTACAGCGTTTGCTTGCTGAGGTGTGGAATTATCTGTGGCGGAAAGGAGCGAGGCTTCAGCAACGCAGCGTGGCCGGCCTTTGACAGCGGCGCCGTCTGTCGTATTAATGATCGGATATACTTGGCGTAGTCGAGCACATTAGAGATCACGGCGCCAGCGCCGCTTAACGTTCCATCACAGTGGGGAACCTCCCTCGACTGCTGTGTCGCCTCATCCCAAGCATATGGCTGCGCAAGCACCGTATCGCTAGAGGCAGCAAACTTCCTCGCGTCGTCCAGCGAGAAGAACGTAGAGTTCATCCCCAGGGGCTCCCAGATCCGCTTGCGGAGGAAGTCGCCCAGCCACTCTCCAGTCGTCACCTCGATCGCAAGCGAAACAGCAATGAACATCGCGTTGCAGTATTGCCATGTCGATCTGATCTCTTTGTCCATCGGCAGATGGCGCAGGCTGCGGACGACGTCGCGGACTGTGCCTTCGCGACCCAACGTCAGCATATGGCCGGGAAGCCCAGTTCGATGTGAGAGTGCGTCTTCGAGCGTAATGTGCCGCGTGGCGTACTCGTCCTGGAGAACGAAGTCGTCGCGGATCAGGTCGCTGAGAGGGGTTGTCCATGTGATGTTGGGGTAATTCTCCGTGTCATCGACTAGTAATGATGCTGCTGCTGCGGTGAAGGATTTCGTTGTACTGCCTGTCCAGAAGAGGGTATCTGGTTTCGTTGGGACATCCGGCAGTGCTGCGAATCCATACCCCTATTGCTGTCAGGGTTTCGTTGAGATGGAAATAATCCGGGCAGGGGGGAACAAACCTCTGCAAAGGTGTTATCCCCGTCAATAACAGCAATAGAAACACCCTCGATGTGCCATTGTTCCAGCGTAGACTTGACTATCTTTGCGAATTCTTCATCCAAAGGCGACTTGGTAATTTTCCGAGGCGTCGTTGAGCCATTAACCTGCGTCTCTTCTTTATCACCCCCTAAACACGAGCACAGAGCGCCCATTGTCTCATGCGCAGCGAAGCGTTCTGCAGAATTCCCCGTAGCCGACATGGCGAATGGCGGATTTTAAAGTCGAACGCTTTGACGATTTAGCGCTGCGTGAAGAAAAACAGAATGCGCTGGCGAGGGCAAGCATTTTGAACAAAGTACTCCGGCTCTGTCGCCGACTCGCGGCCTTTTCTTCATTCATGGATCTTTTGCCTCTGGCTCATCCCGTGGGACAGAGTATCATCAATTGGTGGACCCCAGCGGCGCATCTACCATCGGCACCGCTAAACCTTTTGGGGAGCAGAGAACGACGACGCAGCGCGATTGGCTGATGGGAGGCTGACTACAGCCATCCTCATCCAAGACATGTGCTAACCGAGCCGTCTCCACGATTCTGCTACCTCGTTTCAGATCTAGGTTATTATTATTCTTATACCGATCGCAGTATTATACCCAAAAAGTGTTCCCCACGCCATCCATCGCCTATTCAGATTCGATGCATCAGCCCCTAAACTCTATCACCCCCCTACTACATACGGACTTCGTCCCCACGGGCCCTGACCTTATTCTTCACGGCATCCACCGCCCCAGTCTTACCGATGACCATTCCCTCGTACTCCCTCGCTTCATCAACTTCTTTGATGTTAAGATCTTCAACCAGGATCCCAGCAACGATTGCAAACGCTTGCAAAATGACCGCGATCAGCAGCAGTGTGCGAAAGGTGTCGTGGTAGGACTTGTTGATTGCGTCGCGGATAGGCGTGCCCCATTCAAAGCTCGTCGCAACCACAACTGACCCTAGGATTGCAGGAAGTTGACTTTGAGCTTCGTCGGGGAGGTTGCGGCCGAGATTGCGAGGAAGAAGCTCTGGACAAGGACATGAACTCTTAGTATTCTTGCGCGAAGATTTGTAGCGGTTGGTCAGATCTCTTACCGGTCCATACTCCACCGCCAACAGCCCCGCTGACGGCACTGCCGACGCCGAGAGATGCTGTAAAGAGCGCGGTGACCGCCGCCATGTCTGTAAGCACGGATGATTAGTATATTGCGCTCGTTGTCGGAGCTGGAAGGTCATACTAGATTGGCTAACGGAGGCCTGCATTCCAAGTTGCATAGTGTTGATGACTCCGGACCCGAACCCGATAATAATCTGCGAAACGACCAGTGCGGCCATGTGGTCGTGCCCATTGATATACCTGTACGACAAACCCAATCCAAGCATAGTCAACGCGTATCCAGACACCAAAATCCACTTGTATCTCTTTGTATATTTGACCAGAAATCCGGCCGAGATTTGGCCGATTGGGCCCATGAATGGGATAATGACGAAGATATTCGTCGCCGTGGTGGTAGACAAGTTGGCTGCGACCAACTCATAGGTTATTATGTAGTTTTGAAGAAGATAGAGTGCCGTATAGTCAATTATACTGGCTGTTGTACGATTAGCTCGAGGTTTTCGCCATGGAGAGATCTCACGTACCTATAACACCAAAAATAACGGTCCTGGTCCTGAGAAGGTTCAGAGGGAGCAGGGGCCACTTGGCCCCCCAAATCTCCCACACAACAAACGTGGCTAAGCTGACGGGGCCGATGACGAGCATGACGATGATATGCGTTGCGCCCCATCTATTCGACGAGCTTGCAGCTAGCGTGAATGGAACAAGTAGGAGCGAAAGCCCCGCTGCAAAGAGGATAAGGCCCACCGGATCGAGTCGAAGGAAATTCCGCAGGTAGTTCTTGCGCTGATATGTACCTTCAGCTTTTCTTTGCTTATTAGCTTTAACTTTGCTGTAGTAGAGGCTTCCCAGCATAGGAATGGCAACTACGGGAATCTAGGCCCCATTAGTACAGACTTGAATCGCACGCTCAAGACGACGAACCAGAATCGCAAACACTCCGAATCCCCATCTCCACGAGTGATCAAGCATTGATGTCGCAAACGGACCGGAAGACTAAATGTTGGTAAGCCCCATGTGAGTTTAGAGCTCAGCGCGGTACTTACCCATGCCGTTATAATTGAAGGGGCATAGGGAATTGCATTCATGAGGGCGCGATTGTACATATCGCTTGAATCTGATAGTACTTTAGTTCAAGGCCGCGCAGGAGCTGTTTCGGGAACGTACCACCGGCAAGAATCTGAAGCATCAGTGAGATTCCTAGACATGTTAGCGCGCACAGCGCATAATTCCACATAGCATACATACCTTGCGAACCGAGGACAAAGAGCACCTGAGAACCGGCGTAGACACTTATGCTCTTCGAGGAGGCAACCATGATGTTTCCAATAGTGGACATCACCACGCAAAACACAAACATCTCCAGTCGTCTATACCTGATTAGTAGGCAGAACTTCCAAAACGAAAGGGCACACGAACCCGTAGACATCAGCAACCCTCGCCAGAGGTTGTAGACAAGCTATAGTCACTTAGTACACAGAGTCGCACGACAACAGAAGGCGGTAAGACGACTGACCTGAGGCGATGGTCGCTTGCACGACGGCAATGGTGCCCAGTAAGGGCGCCGACCCGAAATCGCTGATGGCGAATGGGACAAAGGTCGAGGAGGAGTGGTTGTTGAGATTGTTGACGAAGCTCATCAGGGCAGCCGCGATCCAGATGATGATGAGGCTCCGGAGAGTCCAGTTCTTCCTGATGCCCTCCAGCTCCACCAGCCCATCGACCTTTTCATCCATGGTCGGGATGGCCGCCTCTTCCGCATTGATCCGAGTGTCGGCCTCCTTCATTTTCGGAAGGATGAATAAGAATAGAGCGCTTATATGGGCCAAGAATCTGGATCGCAATCTAATTCAAGCCATGTTTATGGAGGAGAAGAGGAGTCTCGGGGACGGGACTCGGGAGGTGGGGAGAACGAGCCTCCAGGGGCTGGCTGGGTGAATTTTGGCGAGGACAAAGAAAGGGAGAGCGCAGGCCTCGCTCCAAATTTCCCCGTTTTGGCCTAGCGGTGGTGCCCATTCATGCAAACGATCGCTCTGGCCTTCTGCTTTGTTTTCAAGCTGATCGCGAGCTCCGGCAGAGTGAGTTCACTCGGAAAGCCGAAGTTCAAAAAAAAAAAAAAAAAAAAAAAAAAAAAATAGAATTGATTGTAATAATACGTAGTAATAATCCTATTGGTCAAGTTAGGCCGGCAAACTGACCACGTTATTATAAAGAATCCCCTTCAGCCTATCTTTGCCACAGATCGCCATCAGAAAAGGCTTGTCGGTGCGATAAAAATCCCATTTTTCCCTGATATCACTGTCGACCATCGACAGCCGGTAGATATCATGTCCGCTTCTTTTCATCATCGTGACCAGTCGCAGTAACCGCTTGATTAATGTCAAGGGCATACCATCCTCAACTGCCATCCCGTGGTCCTCCAATCGTTCAACCCACGCGTTGATCCAGTTCACCACTGAAACGTGCGGACACGAGGTTGCACAGATGATCAAGAATGAGATGATCCCGATTTGAAAGGTATGCTTGTACAGGCAGTCGTTCGGGTTCAGACCGCTTGCGATGCGAAGAATTACGCTCTCCCATGGATATTTCTCGCGCGAGAAGCCGGAGCTGAGGTTAGGAGTTGTGAGGTCCGCCATTCGGTCAAATGTTCTCGATGCGCTTGAAAATTGAGCAGCGGCATAGTACGCATAGGTCATAGCTGCCTCGTACGATCGGAATCTGAGAGGCTCAACCTCCAGCTTGCCGTCCGTCTCTCTGATCGGGTCGATGGAAGTGGAAGTGAATGATTCTATTGGAAGTTCCGACATGTCGAGCTTGGAATGCCAAGCATCAAGCTTAGCACGCTGGGACTCAAGGGTCCTCCTGTACGAGTCGTCTGCTTCCGCTAATTGAAGACTTGAGCACTCCCTTGCGTCTGGTAAGTTGAGTTGCTGGAGGAGGCCGCCAAAGGCAGCGTGACGCTGTTCTGGTGTGGTCAGACACTGAGCACGACATATAAACCAGTCGATGATCACAGTTCTCGTTGTCATGAATGCTTCAACAACCAGTTGCGCAATCGACTCATACGACGTTGCCAAATCGGATACCGCAGGCTTCAAGAAGTTGGGCGTCAAAGCCGAAAGGGATCTCACTCGGCCGGACCCAACGGTCCCTTGTTTGTTGAGAATTAGGGAATGGACGCCCCGCCAGGCTATCAGTAATTTTTGGCCCAGCCTAGACGATTCAAGCTGCCTTCCGGTTTCAGGAGAGCCATGCAGTCGGCATAAATTCTCGAGGTGATCAACAGCTCCGGACAACGAGCCTGTATTCATTTCATGGTGATGGAAGAGAATAGATGTGGCAACCTGATGACACAGTGTCTCACTCGAAGCCACGCCGACATATTGCGCCAGCTCTGCAACCCCTTTGCCGTAGTACTGAAGACTTTGGTACCGATGATTGCGGTTGGGTATGTACATCGAGATCTGATCGGCCTCGCCAGGGGTTCTGTGAGACTCGGTATGCGCAAGATGCGATGCTGCTAGGGCTAGAATAGCATGTCGGAGAGGCATGAACTCGGGCATATTACTATACAGTTCCGAGAAAACCGGTGGAAACATTCGACTGACACACGTGGCCCACTGCGTAAAGTAATACTCGTCCATTCGGGCAGAGCTGCCCTCTATCGTGTGATCGGAAAGCGGTGTCTTGAAATCTCCATCACCACTCATCGAACGACTGGCCGGAGTGCTATACATGGGAGAGGGGCCAGAGCCTCTGGACCAATCCGATCCATTGTATGACCTGTTGTCGCCATCGTTTGCTGGCGAGACGCCGCTTACTCGGCGCTCTCCCTCGGTAGATGCACGTTCCGATGGGACTGCATTGGTTGTATCAATTCCCTGGGCTACTGATTTCCTTGCTGCTGCCGTATCGGAGGACTGTGGGGCCGGCTGCAGCACTCTGGGCTCCGCGAATCTGTACCTGACAACACTGCCGTAGCCATCACAGGTCAGATCGAGGCGGATGCACGCCCTACAGGAAGGTTTTCCCTCATCGCACTAGAGAAGCCCTGGTTGTTAGCGTCCGAGTGAAGCAGCCGTGAGTGGAGGATAAGTACCTTGACACGTCGTCGCCGGCAGGTGTGGCATCCCGTTCTGCTCCGTGTGATGTTGGTCCTGTTCTGCCGTTTCCGTACTGGCTGGCCGGGCGTACTCATTCCGCGGGACTTCGTGGTCTCAACTCATTATATATACTGGAAAAGTCGGGATGATTGAGGGGCGAGGCTCTCCTGGGCGGCGGCGATGCTCGGAGGTTGGAGGGAGCGGTGGAGCAGCCAAAGGAGCCTAGGTTTGTGGGGAATGTAAACTTGATCGCCTGGGATCTCAGGCAAAACGCCCTCGTTCCTGTTGAGCTTATGCCAGCTAACTTTATATGGCTAGCTGGGTCACGTGGAGGCTTGCGATAAGGATCGCAGCCTAAATCAAGCCTTGGGACATGAAGACTCATGAGGTTATTTCAACCCATCGCTCTCATGCCTGATCTTCGCTCAAATAACTTTGAACATCTATCATATTACGATTTCTTTCCTCCTCTGACCTGATAACAAGCACAAAATGACCGGAAATCAAGATTCTTTGAGCTCGGACAATGTGGTGGAGCTTGCAGCTCAAGCTCTCCGTCCAGACGCCACCTCCCACTTCAGCCTCAAGACTCCTTACGAAGCTGTTGCTCTCATCGGCCATGCTTGCATGGTAGCCGTCGGCTTTAGACTCGTCGGGCTAAGTGAAGATGATACTTTAGGTTTGTGGAAATCGACCGATCTTCTGACTATCTATTTATTGTTTCTGTCCGTAGGCTCGCCCGAGGGTCTCACACTACCCGCGGAATGGAACGCCACCACGACGTCGTCTTTTCGATACGCACACTCCCAGTCCTCGATGCAGTACCTACTGAAAGTCAGCCGCCTCGGAAATAATGCAGTTGTTTTCGCGCTAGCGCTCGGTGACGACAGGACAACCTCCTTCGATGTCCCCGTCAAGGACTACGTTTCCGGATCCGCCCTGCCTTTGGCCTCTTCTGCAGACTTGACAACCTCCCTCAAGGAAGCATTCATCTCGGGCCATCGCCTGAATGATTTGATTTCGTTGTTCAAGATCAACGTGATCCAGAAGCTCGCGCCCGGACTTCACAAAGAAGGCCAGGAGACCTCGACACAGCCCCCGCGTGAGACCCAGCCAGAAAGAGCTCCCAGGCACGATCCGCTACGAGACGAACCCCAGCCGGCTCGCCCATATCCGTTTGATGATCCTCTCGCTGTACCTCCCCGCCGACCAGTCCCTCCTGGCGACTTTGCCCCTCCCGGCTTCGAAGACGAGTTTGAGATCCAGCGACCCCCTCGAGGCTTCCCAGGAGGCGGCAGACACCCACTGAATATCGGAGAGCGAGATTTATATCCTGCTGGGTTGGGACCAAATGACCCTCTGCGCGGAGGTATCGGTCCTGGTCTCGGTGGCGGGGGTGGTGGGATGCACCCTACGTTTGATGACCCTCTCTTTGGAGGCCCGAGAGGGGGTGGTTACGATCCGCAGGCACCACCTGGCTCCAGATATGATCCTGTAGGCCCCGGTCAAGGTCCGCCTTTCGGGCGAGGAGGGCGTGGTGGCCCTGGTGGGGGAGTGGGAGGGTTCGGGGGGTTCGGGGGATTTGGCGGTGACATCATTTAGCTGGGAAATCTCGTTTCGCGCAAAACAACAAATGATGCTTGGATGAAAATGCTGAAATGATTATATATGACTGTATGAATATTTACGAAATGAAAATAATGAGATGGTGTGCAAATTCTGCGAAATTTGTTTTGTTGTTGCAACCCCCGCCATCCATCAGCATTTGTGTGGCTTTGCAGCGGCGGTGTGGCGCACGGGCGGCCAAACCTCGTCGACGCTGGTCGCCAACAAACCTCCTCCTTCCTTCCCGCCCTCGACCTCTTCTCCTCCATCGCCATCCCATCGTTTCCAAAATCGAATTCTTTTCTTCCAATAGACTAACTATCTTGTTCTCATTTGCTCTTCTTTAATCACACCCAATTTCGACTGTAACGCCGACAGCACCACCGATCACCCTCCGCACGAGACCGTTCCGTCACCCAATAATCCCACCCCTCCTCGGTCGCCGTATCCCTGGTTCTGTCCCGCCTCTCAGCTACCGCACAGCTCTTGAGAATGGACAACAACATGGAGATTGATGCGGCACGTTCGCCGGAACCACACCATCTTTCTCCGACCACCGACCCTGGGTCTATTCCCACTCTCGATGGCTGGATTGAGAGCTTGATGACTTGCAAGCAACTCGCAGAGGAAGATGTCCGGAGGCTGTGTGACCGGGTGTGTTCTTCTTTTCTACGACAGCAGCATCAACATCGCTAATTGGAGTTTCTTCTCCTGGTTTAGGCGCGAGAGGTGTTACAAGACGAATCGAACGTCCAACCTGTGGTATGTGCTTTGTCATTTGGTTTTGTGGTGCATTGTGGGCTTTTTCCCACGAGAAAGCTGCACAACCGACTTGAAAATGATTGAGAGTTGACACAATCATTCAGAAATGCCCGGTAACTGTGTGTGGTGATATTCACGGTCAATTCCACGACCTCATGGAGCTCTTCCGCATAGGAGGACCCAACCCCGATACAAATTACCTCTTCATGGGTGCGTTCATCGCGTAACTCGCATTTCGCTTCCTTCCTAACCAGTCCAAGGTGATTATGTCGACCGTGGATACTACTCCGTCGAAACCGTTACTCTCCTTGTTTGCCTGAAAATCCGCTACCCCCAGCGTATCACCATCCTTCGCGGAAACCACGAGTCCCGTCAGATCACACAGGTGTATGGATTCTACGACGAATGCCTGCGGAAATACGGCAACGCCAATGTTTGGAAATACTTCACCGACCTCTTCGACTACCTTCCCCTCACCGCCCTCATCGAGAATCAGATCTTCTGTCTGCACGGCGGTCTGAGTCCCTCCATTGATACCCTGGATAACATCCGATCGCTCGACCGTATTCAGGAAGTTCCCCATGAAGGACCCATGTGTGATTTGCTCTGGAGTGACCCCGACGACCGTTGCGGATGGGGTATCTCCCCCCGTGGTGCTGGATACACCTTCGGGCAGGATATCTCAGAGGCGTTTAATCATAATAACGGGTTGACTCTCGTTGCAAGAGCCCATCAGCTGGTTATGGAGGGATATAATTGGTCACAAGACCGAAACGTCGTTACGATTTTTTCAGGTAAGAGGATTTTCGACCTGTGGCTGGCCGAAAGCTAACCAGGCTAGCTCCTAATTACTGTTACCGCTGCGGTAACCAAGCCGCTATCATGGAAATTGATGAGCATCTGAAGTATACGTTGTACGTGTCCCTCACTGATATCCGACCGCAGTTCTTTACTGACATATGCACAGCTTACAATTTGATCCCTGCCCCCGTGCAGGAGAGCCAATGGTCTCTAGACGTACCCCGGATTATTTCCTGTGATCTTAGTGATAGATTTCCTTTCACTTGTGAATTTGAGGTTCTTCCGCCCTTCGAGAGGGCTTCTGGGACGTTGGAATGAGCAGACACCGGCATGCTCGTCTAGATAATCACATGTCCGGTCATGTCGCCGTGTTGATACCATTTATGAAAATAAGACATGTCCAGACTCAAGAATACGATTCTCTTAAATTGTGCTGGAACTAGTAACTGTCGTATTCGCCACCGACTACTTCAATAATGGCAGGCCATCCAAGAAACCTGACTATGATTGTACCTATCTTGAATCGCCCCTTTAATCATTCCAGGTCTTATACTCGATACGTGATTGCAGGTCTCTTATTCAATTCCCAGTGTCCAACATGCGAAATTCGTGGAGACCCGGAGCGATGTCAACAATATATATCCACAAATCTCCCCAAACCTAGCACTTTAATACCAAAAACAAAACTGTTTAAGATGAGAACCACATAATACAATCAAATTCATACAGCCGCTATCATAACTACAAAATCCTATTATCCGATGTCAAAAAAAAAAAGCTCATTTCTTCCCACTCTTCTTCAAAATTTCCTCAATCTCTTTGGCATGACTCGAGAAGTTATCCACAAGACTATCCCACATCTTCGGCTCGTGCTCGTGCTTCTTCTCGCTGTTCCACGCGTAATCCGTGATCGTGAATGGCCGAGAGGACTCAAACATGAATGCGATGGAGCCCTCCGAGATCTGCATCACGGGAGGCGAGGTTTCGGTTGCGGCTTTGAATTCCTCGTAGGCGACGCCGTGGGGGACCACTGGATTATTGGTTAGGAACTTTGCTTTGCGAGGATGAGGTGTGGGTTATGGGGGGTATAGACGTACTTCCACACTCAAAGGAGATACTGCCCGGCTTGAACTCGTCGGAGCGGCCGCCGTAGTCGCCGTAGATGAGACCCATTAGTTCTGAGGCGGCGTTGCGGTGGTAGTACGGTGGTCGGTAGGTGTCTGAACCAGATGTTAGCACATGAGTGATTACCGTAGTCAGAGAGGGGGGAATAGTAATGGCAGGCCACATACGGGAAGCAACATCCCAGCGAGGAGAGAAGATGAGGACATCGGCGAGAGGAGCAGTAAGGTCGCGGGATTTGGCTGTGAGAACGCAGAAGATGGAAGGATCAATGTGGTCGACGGAGATGGAGCCGACGTTGACAAATTTGGTCAGGTCGTACTTGTATGGAACCTTTTGTGATCTGTTAGTGCCCCGTTCGCTGTACTTTGGATGAGGAGGAAGAGGAGAAAGAGTACGTACATAGTTACCGTGCCAGGCAACAACATCAAAAGGGCTGTGATTTTGTGTGCTCTTGAAGAATTTGCCTCCGAGCTTGTAGATAATTTCCCAGGACTCCTGGGCGACCTCGTACTTGGCCGTTGGGTACAAGAAGTCGCGAGCGTTGGCAAGACCATTGGCACCGAGGGGACCGAGTTCAGGAAGCTCGAACTGTGAGCCCCAGATCTCGAGAATATACCCACGTGAAGGTCCATCGGGGAGCTCAACGCGGAAACGGAGACCGCGCTGGATAACGACAATCTCACCAGGCTGGACGTATAGAGGACCGAATTCGGTCTGGATGTCGAGAGCACCCTGTTGGGGGACAATGAGGAACTCGCCGTCGGAGTTCACAAAGGCCTTCTTCGTCATGCTCTTGTTCGCGGTATAGACGTGTGTCGCGATGCCCTCGCGGAGGGTTGGGTCGCCGGAACCAGCGACGGACTTGAGACCGGAGACGAAGTCTGTCTCAGCTTCTTCAATGTCGAAGGGGTGCCATGCGAGCTGTGTGGGAGAAACGTGGATGCGAGGGTTTAGTGGTAGGAAGCTGCACTCGGTGTCTTTGTTGTCGGGGAGGTCGGTCTGGCATCATTAGCAAGTCGAACATCAATATAGTCGTGGTATTGACGTACAAATCCTTGATGAGCAACAGCAGGCCTCACGCGGTAGAGCCAGGCCTTCTTGTTTGAGTGTCGCGGCGCAACGAAAGCAGTCGCGGTGACCTGCTCTGCGTAGAGCCCAAAGCGAACATTGCGAGGGCTGTTCTGGCCGTGTGGAATCGTTCCAGGAATAGCCTCGGACTCGAATCTGTGAATGTCTCAGTCGTCTGCGTATCAACATCGCATCCAAGTCGAACATACGAGTTTCCAAAACCAGCTTGATACTGCAGCAGATTAGCAAGATCCTCAATCAAACAAAGAAGCAGATACACGAACCTCATAGGGATCATTCCTTCTCGTCCTGAACGAAGGAATCGTCGCATCCTTCTGAGTCTCCGCCCAGTGGAAGATCTTCTGATACTCCGTAGGATCGAAAGCCGCGGCGACTGAACCCATTGTGACGGTGAGTGCGAGAACGTGAAGATAAAGATGCAGGAACCAAGTCGTCAAGTCAAGCCGATGATCGCAAAATTATGAAATCCATCCAACCCAGCCGGACCAAACTCCCTCATATACGCCCAGTCCGTGGGGTCTCACATTCCACCCCCGCAAGACCGCAACTCCGAGTCCCAAAACCAAGTCGCCTCCGTCATCCGTTTGAAGGTGAATAACACCCGCTAATTGGCTGGGGACCCTCAGTCTCAGCATCATACCACATCCAGCAAAAGCTCGGCTCCAATGCTCGCCGTGTTCGTTGAACCTTCTCCTCCCCTGTACCCCGGAAAAGACACCCAGGTCGGCATCTCGGGGGGGAGCTTAAATGCCGGTGCCGCTGCGAGTGGATCGCGCTGTTGAGTCGTTGCGCCGGATCTTTGGCGCTCTGTAGGCGGCTCGAGGCCTCAGGACGGCTTGACCCCACATGAGTCAGGAATGAGTAACGTGGGGAGCGCAGGTGGCAGTTGTTGGGTCGTGGTCTTGGTGGTGGGGGTTGGTGAGTGTTCGGATGGTGCTTGGCGGGGATTTGCCGATGGTGGGGGTTGCTCCGTGATTCAGCCGCTCAGGGCTGAGTGGCGTGATTGGACAGTTGGTTGAAGTGTTTTAGAGTATCGTTGACCTTTGTTGTGCTCCAGTGGCCTACAGCTTGTCGCGTGTCTTTGTCACATGTACCTCGCTCTCGCTCCGTGGTAGGTAGATCTGGCTTGGTGTCTATAGAGAAGCCATATAGTACATTCAGCAAGTGCCATAACCTGGACCTATATTTAATGAAATCATATCTAATTCAACAAGCTAATCTTCCCAGCCGTCAAAGCAAAGACAATAGGCAGATAAACCTCAATTCCAGCCTCCTTGAGCACCTTAAGATGCCCAACCCTCCTCCGGAAAGCAAAATCTCCCTGAGTAATCTCCTTACTCTCACCCACAGGCCCATACGCAAAGCGCCCTGTAAGCCGCCAAGGCTTCACGCCTGTGACAAACGTGCTCCAGTTCTCTCTCATCTGCCTGCCCACGGCCTCAGCAGCGGGATTGAATGAGAGATCTACGCTACCGAATAGGAAAAGTAGATCAACGGCGTGATGCGCGCGGCTGGATGCTTGCCACGGGTTCGGCTGGTCGACAATGTACTTGTAGACGGGTTTCCCGGTGGCCTCGAGCTTTTCGGCAATGAGTTCGACAGGCAGTGTGTAACGCGCGTCGTTTACGAGGTCGAGAGCGCCGAGCTTGCAGGCTGTTGGGCGGTCCGGGACGACGTGGTACATCTTCCGGAGCGTCGTGCCCCAGGTTTTGTCTTGTTCAAAGGCTGCGGCGATGGTTGGGCCGTCGAGGGTTTCGATGCCGTTTCGCCAGATGACGGACTTGGCCGTTAGTATGAAATGGCGAAGAAGATAGGAAGGAAACCCTGAACTTACCTCGTACTCAGTATCACCAATCATGATCTCGTCAACTTGCTCCATCCGCGTCTCCCAGCCTTGTAGCTCCTCATCTTCCTGTATCCACATTGTGTTGACATTGCTCTCCTTCAGCGCCTTTAACAACGACGCAACCGAAGCCTCTCTGAGAGACGACTGTCCAGCCTGTTGTACCTTCGCCTCAAGCGCCTTGATGAGACCATCCCCTCTCTCCACCGGTAAAGGCGACGATAAGTATAGTGATCCGGAGGCCAGAATAGCCCTCTGTACTGGTGGACCGGTAATGAGATGGGCATGGACATATATCGCGCCGGCGCTTTCTCCAGCCAGCGTAAGCTTGTTCTTACCCAGTTGCAGATTAGTATCACCATCACAACGTCCTCCTATGGGTAGGTGGACATACCGGACTCCCTCCAAAAGCACCAATATTCTTCCTCACCCAGTCAATCCCCAACCTCTGATCTTTAATCGCCAGATTCTTCTCCGCACCATCCCCAAAGCTAAAGATATTAAGCCGGTAATTGATCGAAACGAAAATCATCGGCCGACCGGCTTTAATCGAGTCCGCAACGAGTCTCGTCGGATCTGTTATTGTAAACCCTCAACTTAGCTCCTGATCCTGCAACGAAGCCAACCACGTCAACAACTATCAAGAAAACATACCACAAATCCCCGAGGCCGCCGAACAAAACGTCATAATCTGCGACCCGCCATGAATCCAAACCAACACGGGCAAATCACCATTATGGGTTCCCGGAGGAGGAGCGGCGATGTCGATAGTCAGACACTCGAATTCATCCTCGGCCTCGGGCTGTATCTCGTAGTCTTCGGGGATGCGGAGGAGGTGGCGGACGTCGATGTCGACTTGTGGGCAGCGAGGGCTATAGAGCAGCAGTTCAGGGTTAGCATTATGTCGGGTAGGTCTAATGGACTAAGGTATTGGTCAGGTAGGGAAGACATACCCATATCGCGAACAATCAACCTCCCTCCCCTGGAACCCCTCAACGGGCGTCGCGCGCTCGAATCGTGCGGGGATATTCGCGTACTTGATGCCGCGGAAGTGCTGAACGGGTATGCCGTCATATGTTGTTTCGATTCCAGTAAAGGTCGCCTGGAGCGCCTCGTGGCGGACTTGTGGAGGGGCCATCGTGCGGGCTGGTGTTTCACTGCTTTCTCAATGTGCCGAACGGATGTACTGGTGTGAGAGCGAGCGTCAGTCATTTGATCGCTCCGAAGAAGCTTCGCATTGACGCTGACGCAAGGTCAAGGCTTCGGGACCCCACATTGTCGCCGGCATGGTTGCTCTGCTCGGCTGCGATGATGTGGTGTTGTCCCGAAATTTGGAGTGGTGCAATGGTCTGGAAATTGTTTGACCCCTCTTGAGGGGTTCGTGGGGCTGCTGCGGGGATCCGCAATGTGGTGCTATGTACTCCGCTCGGGAATTCTCGCCAATGGAGGCAGGACATTGCTTTGGGTGTTGATCATATAGTAACCATGAGAGGAGATTGATGGTTATTATATTGCAATGACTGTTATGTACATCATTGATAATATGTAACAGGTTAGTCTACTCGCTGCACAACATATGTATCGATGCATATGTACATCACCCAGGCATAGCTATCGCTTCCTCGCAGATCATTGCCCAACAGCCTCTGCATCTGCTTCATTGCCCTTCCTCTTCTTAAACAAGAACCCTCCCAGTAACAACAGCACCGGAACCCCCGTGATTCCAACAACAATCGCAAGTACCCAGGCCATAGTCCCCCACCCCTGACTCTCTCTAATAAAGCCCGCCAAAAACGGCCCAACAAGACTCCCACCTGCAAACGCCGAGTTTAGTACCCCATATGCCAGTGCCATTGCGCCACCTTTACCCCAAACCTCAGGGACTTTCTCTTCTTTCTCACGGACGACATACGAGACCTCGACGAGGAGGATCGCAAGCATAGATGCGAGACAGAGGCCCAGTAGCGCGAGAAGCGCGCAGAGGAGGACGATATTCCGCGTGGAGGCGTGATCCACGAAGCGGAGGCAGACGAGGACGGGGATAGCGGCGAAGAATGCACCCGAGGCGATGTACCGCCGGGACGAAGGGTATCGGTCGTTGATGAAGCCGATTACCGGGTCGATGATGTGTGGGATTGTTAGTGGGATGAAGATTAAACCCTGCGCCGTTTGCTGCCAGTGGAAGGTTTCTTCGACGAAGAGGGGGAGGACGCTGTCGAAGGAGGTTAGAAGGAGGGAGAGGATGAAGTAGGCCCAGAGGCAGACGAGGATGCGCGAGGAGGCGAGGAGGGTGTAAAGGGCGCCTTTTCGTTTCTTGGTCGTTGGGTGAGGCGTTGACTCTGGTGTGGTGGCATTGGGAGCATCGGTGGATGGTCCGAAGACCGGTTGTGATGAAGGGCCTGACTCTTTCTGGCGCTCGATATCAAGGTCTGTAGTCCCAGCTCCTGGAGAGGCATCATCTCCCGGTCCTCCACGTTTCTCCCCTTCCCTCACAGCCTCCTCGCCTTCACCTTGACTCTCACTCTCGTCCCTCAGCCACTTAACAGCATGCTTCCTCTCAATCATAACAACCCGAAACACAATATCCAACGCAATTAGCGCAAACGCCAACGCATAAACTGAATAATATCCACCATGCTCATATAATACCCCACCAACTAGTGGGCCCCCCATCGCCCCAAACGTCATCCCCATGCCAATATACCCAAGAGCCTGGCCAAGCCCATCCTTATCGACAGTGTCGACGAGCAGAGCACAGCCAACCGTCCAGACAACGGCTGCCGACGCACCCTGGCATAGACGGCCGGCGATCCAGAGCCCAATGTGGGTTCCCACGCAGAGGAGGGCAGTTGAGGCGCCGAGGGCGACGAGACCGGCTATTAGTGGCCAGCGTCGCGATTCAATTCGGTCTGCTAGGTAGCCGGCCGGGGCTGTACGTATTGGCCGGGGTAGTTAGAGTGATATGTTCAGTACCAGTGGACGAGGCAGCTGCTACGTACGAGAAAATGCGAGGAGGGCTCCGCCGTAGAGACCTAGTAAGATGGAGGTCCACCTCTGTTCTGCTGGCTGTCAGCGCGTATTTCGTTGCGTGATGCGTAAAATGACGCACCATCATCTTCACCCACACCAGCTCTCTCGTTGAGTGCAGTTGGAGTAACCGGGACAATCTGGGACAGTCAGAACCCGTCGCCACACACGTTTCAGCACAAATCGCAGGATAATACGCACAATTCCATATAACAAGATATCCTATGAATCAAGCGTTAGCCAAGCCGAGCCAAGCCGAGGAATTCAAGGACCAGACCGTGAAAACAGCAAAGCAGACTACGAAAATGATGAAGCCCTTTGAGGCTCTCCACTCGAGCAGGAACGGCCGCGTGGGCTCTTTATGCGCCCACAGTCTGGTCAGCATCGCGACGCTGGTGCTGTTAATATGTGCAATTCTCCGGAATAGGCAGGATATGCTACAGGCATCTCATGATGGAAATTGAGGACGGAAGTGATGGCAAAGTTCATTTTTAATCAACTCATGACACGAGATTTCGCTCGCGGTCCGCGGGCGCCGACCCTTGGCGTTCTAAGACAAGATGGGCGATACAAGCTTGTTTGCCGAAGTCGACGATCGCAAGATGGACGGATCTCGGATCCAGATGACCTTTTTTGGTCCGGATAATTTTGCAAGCCAGATATCGAAGACATTGTGCCAGCCGGCGTGGTTTGTTGATGTAGCTGTCCGTCCGGACCTGTGAGGTCATCCTTGTGAAACGGAAATCGCCTGCGCTTGGCTAAAGGTAGAACGGTGGGTAATAATTTGCTCTTCCCCAGATCTCGGTTGAGTGAAGAAGTATAATACATATCAAGGAATCTTGGCTCTTTTAGAATCGATGAACCCGGTCTTTTGTGTAACCCAGCTGCTCCAGGATTCCCGTCCCGCCATTTCCAAACGGACCAGCTCCCACCAGAGCCGTTTCCATCGCCGGCGGTCCGCAAACAAAGACCTTGGAGTCCTTTTCACTCGGCCCCTGCATGAGCTCTGCGAGAAGTTCCTTGGTCACGTATCCCGACCGCACGCCTTCCTCGGGAGAGAAATCCTTCTTCGGCCGGCTGACCGTATAGTAGATATCGAATTTGTCGGGGTACTGTTGTTTGTACGCGTCGAACTCCGATCGTAGCAGGAGATCTTCCTCGGTGTTAACGCCAAAGACCACCGTGACCTTTGTCTTATCAGCCGGGTTGTCGAGGATCCCCTGTGCCAGCTGGTAGATGGGCGTGATGCCCGCACCGCCTGCGATGAGGTAGACGTGCGAGAATTTGTTCGGTGTCCAAGAAAACCCGGGGATGCTCGCGAGAAATAGCAGGCTGTCGCCAGGTTTTAGGTTGTGGAGGTGCGTGCTTGCTTTGCCGTTGGGGTACTTTTTGACAAGGAGCTCGATAAATCCAGGTTCATCTACCAACGTTAGAAGCAGACTCCACCCCAAGATCATATGAGGGTGCTTGCCCAGCTTGCTAATAGGTGTATAAGGTCGCACAGCGGGTAGCCAGATACCCTCTGGTTTAGAAAAAGTGAGAAGAGCAGCTAATAGATTAGCTTCCAGTTAGCCTGCGCTCGACACAAGAATGTGAGAAGTCAACCAAACGCTCACATGTGAGTCCCAGACCACTTTGCGCACTCTCTCCACCCGGCAACTCAAAGCGCAGTCGCTTCGTGTTATGGTTGACGCTCTCAGAGCTGTGTAGCTGGAGGTACTTGAACGCCGGTCCCTTGCCGAAAACCCTCTGCGACGCCGGCGATTCCGCGAGCGCGCTCTGGCCAAGGAAACTCGAGACTGCGTATGTACTGATTCCGCCGACGGCGATAATCGTGACAGCCCTGGCGACCGTGCGCTGGTTAAGGAGAGCTGACATTGTGTGTTATCTAATCTCGATTGTTTCCGCTGCTGTATGCGACAAGACGGAAAGAAACTTCTCACACAAGTGTTGATTTTAGACCTGATACGTATAGCTAGGGGTCCCCGGGCTCATAGCCTCTATTTGAATTGTCCTCGCAGCCCTTGTTCCTCGTCCTCGCACCCGTTTGTTGCTCGTCGCGTCCGTTGTTCGTCCGTCGGGGGATCGGGCGACCGGGCGTCCAGCCCCGTCCTCCACGGAAGATCCTTCCTTTCGATCAGGCAATACTCTCGTGGATATAAGCCCTGACCGTGTTTGCAATTTCGATCTCTTCTGAAAAGCCCTCGTCGCCAAATGGCCCCCATTTTCCATGCGTCATTGTGGACGAGTATGACTCTTCCATACAACATTATCCTCCTACTAGCTTTTCCCTAGAGTCTCTGATATCGACCTGGAAACATGCAGGTGCCGGACATATGGACAATTCGGGTCGGTTCTCAGCTCGATGCCATGATTCTTGCGGACACTTGACGAGTAAGGCCTCCAACTCCTGGAGCGAAGCATCTTTTTTGGCCACTCTCTTAGATATTTGTTGAAACCTCAAGCTATCTACGGAGTACTCCGTCACCTACGGAGTAGGTCCTAGAGGGAAAAATCGCTCAGCCTTTTGTGGGGCCCGCCGGGCAATTGATGCGCATTGTCGATCACGGAGGTCGGGGCTAAGAATGCCGACACGGCCATTGGCCGAGGCCCTTTGAGCCTAGAGGTCCGAGGCTGATAGATTGGAAGCAAATAAACAAGCATGTCATGAGCTCTATAAGAACATTTCACCTCGATTCAATGCACAATATCTATAGCTCCGTGTCCAATCACATAGACATAAAAACATTGAACACCTTGGCCAAGTCATCAGGACCAACCTTATCAGCAACGTCGAAGAAGTTTGACCTCCGTTGACTCTTCTCTCCAAATACCCGATCAACAGTACCGACGGTAATCCCTTCAGAGCTAGGCCCATAGCACCTTGCCGCAAACCCGTTTGTCACTGTCCCCGGAGTAATGGCGGGCCATGGCGTCTGCCCGTGGCAAAACTTGAAGAAGTCTTCCGCAAACGCAGTTGCAACCGCTTGTTGGGAGGGAGACAGGGACTCGCGGAAGTTCTGGAAGAAGTAGGCCAGGTCGAGGATGTGGTTTGATCGGCCTTGCCAAGGACCTTCCCATGGGTTGCCCTCGTTGAAGTGGTACACGTATGTAGGTCCTTTCCAGCCTTGTGCGAAAGTTAGGACTGGGGTGAAGAACAGGGCGTCGTTGATAAAGTTGAGAATTGAAGGGTAAGCATCCTCGTCGCTGGCGTTTTCGTCGGTGAGGCCGTAGGATTTTAGGACTTCGTCGGCAACACTGGGTTGCGAGGGGAGTGCGGCGTGAACTGCTTTGAAGAACTTCTTTGCGCACAATTCCTTGATGTGCGGATATAGGAAAGCGATGATACTTGCCTAGACACGAGGACGTTAGTTGAAAGCCATGCTACCTTGTTATTTACTTACATCCATCTGCGCATCCCCAATCATCAGTTCGTGGCACCAGTTCTTTCCTCGTGGCTCACTAGAGTTCGAGCGACCAGTTTCTGCCCGTGAAGGAGCAGATGGAACAATATCTCCGTCTACCGCAGGGACAGCTAGGATGGACGGAGGCAATCGAGAAACAATATCCTCTGCAGGAATCTCGAGCAACGCTTTTATTCTCTCCTCTGGCGCCGCACCAGAAAGTCCTAGAGCCGATACAGCTTTCTGATAATTTTGCTCGTGAGCCTCATAGGGCAATGGTTGCGTCAAGAAGTAAGTACCGCTCATCGAAATAGCCCGCTTGAAAAGTGCCTTCTCAGAGTTCAAATGGTAGGTCACGGATGCTACATTTGATTAGCTCTCACCTGTTTTCGAACATGGGATAAAACCTACCTCCTCCGGCACTCATTCCTGCTACGGTAATGTTGTCCAAATCTCCACCAAACTCGTGGATGTGCTTTCTGACCCATTCAATAGCCGCTCTCTGATCTCGTAGACCGTTGTTGGCTTTATATCCGGCGTTGCGCAGCTCTTCAGACGTCAAAAATCCGAGCGCTCCAAGCCGATAGCTAGACATGTCAGCTTTGAGAAAACTGTGAAGGGCCGTCTACCTTACTTGATAGAGACTGCCACAATTGGCAGATTCTTCTCTATGGACAGCTTAACAAGCCGAGCATAGTCAAATTGAGGCCAGGAATTGGCGCCAATAACTAAACCGCCTCCATGGATGAAAAGAAAAACGGGAAGCCGCGAAGACGAAGTCACGTTCGCCGGAACAGCGATGTTCAGATTTAGGCAGTCTAGGTCGGACTGAGGAAGGTCCTTCTTGGGCAGTGTGTTTTGAATATGGCTCAGTTCTAGATCACACCCGATTGGGAGAGACACTGCCGTAGGCCTGTTTTCGGTTATGATATTAGTCCTCCGTCAACCTGAGCATATGTTAAACTGGGACTCACCCATCTTTCGTCGCGTCAAGAACACCGTCACCATTCCCCTCGTATAGCACCGCGTCTGCCAGTCTGTTCTCCAGGGTCGCATATTTGATTCCACGATATTGCGTTACCCCATCACTGCTTTTCCCTTGGATGGCACCAAGCTGTTGAGTTTGAAGTAGAGTGGCCATTGTCAAAGTACAGGTGCCCCTGTAGAAGGTTCCTTACAATAGAAGTCGGAGGAATGCAATTTGACTTCTTATTCCTGCACGCGAGATCTGTCAGAAAGCGGGGGAAGACGTTCTCTGATCATTGTCGCTGCCGAGCCTTCAGACCCAGAGTTCGACCGCAGTCCAGGGGGAAAATCCGGTGGGCACCCCCCACCAACAACGTGCGAAAAGCGAATCTTGTCCAGCTGGGAGGACGATTGCCGATTATCTCGCGGCGTAACCCTACATATCCTATAAAACGTCTCAGTCCGACCTCTGGCAAAAATCACTGGCGTATGTAGTCCTCCGAAAGCGTTGCGGAAACACTGTCAATCTGCGAATAAGCAGCATTTGTTGACTTCCGGAATTCCCCCAAGGAGCTTGTCAAATTGCGGGGAAACGTGTATACGGAGCGGAACAGATACGTCTTCCGGTCGCGAACCGCGGAATCGATACGCGGTTGCTGCGAAAGTTGTCACGAAGCGGACGCGAAGGTGAACTGGGGCAATCAGCTTGAAATCGAATCAACATTTGTCTTGCATGGCAAACAAATTGAAAAACAAAACTTGAACTAGCAGGAGGACTTTACTTACTAGCTGGAGGCTCAGCCATCTTCTGAGCCCAAAGCTTGACGAGTTCGATGAAAAGCGACCGGCCGGCAGGGTTGATAGATACGAGAAAAGGAGTGTCAGCTGTGATGGTTGCAGCCAGGCCTCATACACGAGACCTGTACATGGTCCCTTGCCCAGTTGATTGATTTGACCCTTGGCAATCAGCCCAAAGGCTGGTCACAATTTCAGGCCTCTGATTGAGACAGCTTGAACCGGATGAGAATGAGAGAAACCCCGTCTGACACTGTCACCGCATGAATGCCTCATGTTGTGTAACACCAGACGCCAATCATCATGGATGCGGCTGCTCGGTGAGGTTCAACCCCTCCCTTGCTACGTGGACATTTTGATTGTAGTCGGCCGCCAAAATGTTTATATTTCAAAAATTGAATCACTATGGAGAAGAATCTCGCAAAGAGGCAAAATGATTTCGCCAAACTTTCTCGCCCGCGTCTTTCGGGTCGCCCTGCGACATCAAGAATCAGTCGCACCAGCACCAGCGTCGCTCCCAAGCAAAGAAGCAACCCAGCATTATATGAGAGGGCCTCACTACTTTATCCGAGCTCTCCTAGAGTCCCCGGGAGTCCATCCCTCAAGCTGCGAAGTCGACGGCAACCGGCATAATCGTGAACGTCTCCCTATACTTCCTACAGACCACACCTCGTTGTACTCGTCTATGGTCGATCCTCAAACCCCAGTTCCGGACACACAAGCTCAAAGTCCATCCTTCGCAAGATTGCCTCCTGAAGTCAGACAGCTGATACACCAGCAGCTTTTCGGAGGCCGCCGCATTCACCTTGACCTTGACTATGTATCGCAGCAAGCACAGTGGCTCTGGTGGCTTCGAGTATGCGACTGCCCGTATACATGCCCAGACAAGCGATTCATTTGTCCCGAGAATGCGGCCGCGGAGACCATGATGCTCCTCTGGGGTCCAAGGCTTTAGTGACAAACAGGGCTGAAGCGAAGGTTGGTGGGATTGGATGGCTCAGGTGTTGCAAACAGGCGTAAGTAATCATCCGAGTTTTGTCATGTAAATAGCTCTGGCGAATGGCTAATATCAGACCAGATACGAGGAGTCCCTCGCTGTGTTGTATAGCACGAACACATTTGTCCTTGACCATGGGATCGACCAGATATTTCGGGTGTCGCGCGCGATACCGCAGGACCCCCTAGCGATTTCGACATCGCTAGTTGTTGAGATTGATCTCTATCGGATCTCGAGGTCATTTCCTAGCATGAGCACCGAGTTTGCCGAATATTATCGTGAGTTCTTTTTTATACTCGAAGAGATGATGTCCGGTCTGCGAAGTCTATCGATATGGATTGCAGGATTGCCACGCTCCCCAGCTCTGATTGAGTGGTCTATTGAGGACGAGGATATGTGGATAGGACCGTGGGAAAGCCTGGCGAGGAGCAGGTGGTGGTCAAAACTGCAGATCCGTGTTCCGGCCGGCTGGTATGATGATCTTGAGGCAGTGATTGGTCGTAGGAACCAGCTGGGCGATAATGCGAGGTTCTCGCTGAGAAAGAGAGAAGAGCCATTCCGAAGGGATTGGTGAGGTTGTATGCTAATCATCAAAGATGATGTTGTCACAATAATGGACGGGATCGCATACTAAATATCCCACTAAAACAATACCATGGAAATGGCCCAGCGATCAAGTCCAAGCGAATTGTCTTAGGTTGCAATGTCGGAATAAAAGTGAATGTGCCATGCAGGGTTGGCTCTGGATCTGCATTGGCACAATCTAGGCCCCTTTGGCGCCGAAGGGGCATGAGTCGCCAGGCAAATCAGGCCTCGTGATCGAGACTGGCAGGGGTAACCACAGCGCTAAAGAAAACCCCCGCGACTTTAAAGGGATCCCCTGGCCCCTGAGTAGCACTCGGAGGTCCCGAGGACGTGAAGAGTCGACCACATGCAACGTCACAGCTGCTGGCAGGGCGCGTGGTTGGGTCGTGTCAACCAAGTGTCAGCGCTAGGTGCAGCAGGGCCATCGAAGCCTTAAAATGCGTGTCGTGCCTTCCAGATGGCAACGTTCGTTCTTCAGACTTCAATTTATGCCTCTTGAAAGTCGACGGCTATTATTATGAAGCTGCACCGCATTCTGTTCGTTTTGGCCGGGGTCACGAATCTCTATGATCCGGTCAAGGCAGCTCCTGATGCTTTCCCGATCCGATCAGGTCATGCAGCACGCGCAGTCAGCTCTAGACCGCGAGATGATGCGAATGCGAAGGGTGCTACATGCAGTCCCGGCGATGCTACGTATAGCTCCGAGACTATGCCAGCCGGGAGCTACACAGATTGGGGCGCCTTAGGGCTGGACAACCTGACGTCCGGAAGGCAGTATGTCACAATCGTCAATCTTACACCCCATCGCTTCCGACTGGACCGAGCCCACTCCTACCAGATGGATACATTCAACTGGGGAGACATCCCACCTGGCCGTTCCCGCCAGAGCATCGCGCACTATACGACAAGAGTGGGAGCAAACCCGAAAGACACCAACGGAGAAGCATACTACTCCATCGAAGGCACGAACAGCCGATTCATGATTCGAGCAACAACCCATATCCCTGATCGCTACCCACGTCGCACAGTCATTGACCTCAGCGGCATGGGATTAGGTCAGCGCGAGTACCTAGACCCAAGGCCGGAGGTGCCTGTTACCTTGGTCATAACGGGTAGTGCTCATCATGGTTTCATCGCGTCGCTCACTCACGGCCCCGGAAACTGGATGCGACAGATTTATGAGACCATCAAAGACAGACCGCTGCAACATATTGTTATGCCAGGTACGCACGACTCCGGCATGAGCACTATCAGCGGGCAGATTGTGTCGATCGGCAGTGAGGAAAACACGCAAACTCAAGGCCTCAACATTTATGATCAGCTTCGTGTTGGCGCGCGATGGTTTGACCTGCGCATCATAAGTGTCCATCAGTCCAACACGGCCAACTATGATTTCTGGGTTGCACATGTCAATGACGAGAACGCTGACGTGCCTGTCGGAAACACTGGCGAGAGCCTGGCGGATATTGTTAGCGAGATCAACCGTTTCACCTCGGAGAATCCTGGAGAGATTATATTCTTCCGTGTCAGATACCTTGTCGGTCTTCGAAGAGTTCCTCTCGGAGGGCCCATTCGCTGGAGCAGTGAAATCATGAATAACTTCTTCACCAAACTCAGAGGAATCAACAACCGCTGCGGTAATCTCGACACCGGCGTGCAGTTCCAGCACCAGCCAGCATCATATTTCATGGATCGCAATAATGGTGCGGGCTGTGTGGTCTTCCTCTTGGATGGAGGCAACCTGCAGGACGGGGTTCCGCGAGCTTCAGTAGCTGATGGGATTTATACAGCCGGACAAATGGCAGTGCGTGACAACTGGTCGAATTTACCCACAACACAGCCAATGGCTGAGAACCAAATCCAAGTGTGGTCGGGGATCAATCGCGTTGAGCCTTTCACCAACGATGAGTTCCTCATTAGCCAATGGCTTGTGTCGGCCGATGCCATACAGACAACCGCCCTTACCATTCAAAAGATTGCAATCATGCCAACCAACCCTTCCCTTTACTGGGCAGGGCTCAATGGAATGAATCCGACTAAATGGCCAAATGTGCTGTTGGTCGACTATATTGGTGTTGTGATTCCAGATCAGTTTGCTTGGAACCAGCTCAGTGCTGAGCTATATACCTTGGCTATTGGTTTGAACCTGTACATGGTTAGTGAGAACTGCGACGTTAGCACCCAGCGATCTCCCCTGCTCTCATCCGTGGCAATGACAAGCGGTGCGAAGAGGAGAATTTCCCGGCCTTGGAACGGCATCATTTTTGCCAATGGGTCTATCATCGATACCCCGCCGCGAAACCTCCATCCTGGGCGTGTCGAGGTGCTGAAGAATGGCACGGTGTTCAACGACGGTACTATGCTGGAGGAGGATATCCTTAACCCGGACTTTGGCTCTATAGCCTAGTGTATCTTTATTAACACTCACTAATTTGCATCTTTTATCATTATACCAAGTCATCCTGTCTCCGTTATATTGCATGTATATTGTATATCGTACACGCCGCATCAGGCGTCACGAGGAAAAGTTCATGCTGTATCCACCGGTCTTAGGGTCTTGGACAAATTTGAAATTATCCGTCGACAGCCCGAATGGCTTGAGAATACCGTTCCCCAGCTAGAACAACGTTAGCTATACTCCATCTGCAGCAGACTGGCCAACTTACATCTTTCAGCTTGCCCATCATCTCCGCCATCTCGCTCTCTCGCGCCTTACCTATCCTCTCGGGTAACTCCCGCAGCGCCCTTTGTACAATTCTCCTATCATCCGCGGGAAGATTATCCATCGCAGCAAGAATCTTATAGTCCTCCTCCGCCCCTTGCAGATTCCCCCACCCACCCAATTCCGTCTTCGCCTTGGCGCGTCGCATCAGTGCCTTCGCCCGGATCCGCAGCACATCGCGTCTCTTCTCATCACTCGCCTGTATCCTCTTCAGCTCCTCCTGTTCCGCCTCCTCGCCATCCCCCGAGATCTCAACAACAGCGTCTGCGGAATCCGGCGCATCAGAAGTATCTTCACTTTCCTCCTTCGGCGGCGGAACAACACGATCCAAACCCTCAATACACGCAGTCGCACTATCAACAGCTGCTTTCCAGTCCTCGAGCTTCAGATAGCAAGCGGCCATGTTGCTCCGGATGACGGCGACATCATAGTCGAGGTAGCTGGGGCAGGAGGCGAGGGCGCGGTCGTAGGCGGAGATGGCTTGGTCGTAGGATGCGACGGAGTAGAGCTTGTTCGCTTCGGCTTTTATTGATTTTGATTCCTCCAGGAGGCGCTGTAGATCAGGGGGTTCTGGCGTTAGTTTGAGTTCGAGAGGTGCGTTCCATTGGGTGGTGCGGTGGGCTCACTGTTTCTTCTTCGGCGGGGAAGCGGGCATCGTGGAAGATGTCTTCTTCGTCACTGTCGAATTCTGTTTGGGGATTAGGGACCTTGCCCTTGTCGGGAGTGGATGAGGTCATTTTCGTCGAGGAGAGTGTACGGAGGACTTGATGAAGATGCGGGGGGATTTGGCACAGTCCTCGATCTATCGGTGCCTAAGGCGGCGATCACCGATAGTGAATCTTGCGGAGAATCGCCAGGGCCGGAACCAACTTGACTCTGACAACTCACCCGCCATTTGCTTCAGTTTCAAGATCACCTCAGAAAATGGCTGACGGAATTAAGAAGTATGTAGCTATATCAATCTACCGCTCATGAACTGGTTCAACCGCTTACTTACGCTCTCTCCAGCTTTCCCCCCGTGCGGGCCTGTCTCTTTGACATGGATGGCCTCCTGATCGACTCGGAGGATAAATACACGGATATCACGAACTCAATTCTCGCCAAATACGGCAAGGGTAAACTTCCCTGGGAAATTAAGGCACAGCTCCAGGGACGTCCGCAGCCAGATGTACGTTCACTTCCGTACTTGATCTCTCCTCTGTCGTCCTACCCCGCCCCCACCTGAAGAAAGGCAACACATAGCGCACCCCCCTTACCTCGCACGCTCTAACACAATAATCTCCAGGCCGCCCGAATTTTCCACAACTGGGCCCAACTCCCCATCTCGCACGAAGAATACATGACGCAAGTCTCAGCACAACAAGCCCAATTCTTCCCCGAAAGCCAGCCCCTCCCTGGCGTCCCCACCCTCCTCCAGAACCTCGTCGCAACCCAAAACACCTCAAGTCCAGTCTACATCGCGCTCGCAACATCCTCGCACTACAAAAATTACAAGCTAAAGACCGACCATCTCGGCGATCTCTTCTCCCTCTTCCCTGAACCGAACCGCGTCCTCGGCGACGACCCGCGGATTGGCAAGGGCCGCGGGAAACCACTACCCGACATCTATCTGCTTGCACTGGAGACGATCAACGCTGAGCTAAGGGAGAAGGGAGAGAAGGAAATCACGCCAGAGGAGTGTCTTGTTTTCGAGGATGCGGTTCCGGGTGTTGAGGCTGGGAGACGCGCGGGAATGAGGGTAATCTGGTGTCCACATCCGGGGCTCCTCGGGGCGTATAAGGGCCGTGAGGCGGAGGTGTTGGCTGGATTGACTGGAGAGCATAAAGAGGAGGAGAAGTCTGAGCAGGAAAGGGAGGCTCAGGGCCTCGTTGCCGGGAGGTTGCAGAGTGCTGGATCGCCTGGGAAGCTGGATGATGGCTTTGGTGAGTTGTTGACGACGCTGGAGAACTTCCCTTATGAGAGGTATGGGATTCGACTTGCGGATTCGTGAAGGCTAAATAGAGGTACCGTACACTGGGATAGAGCTCGATAGACATACATGCATGCGACACGAATTAACTCTCTTGATCAAGCCAATTTACACAACTATATACTATACACTTTATACTATACGTCCAGTAGCTGTTTATATATAGTCCCATCGCTGTATAGCACTCACTGAGCCTTCCTCGTCCCATCAACAACCTCTTTAACAACAAAAGCCCCCTTCACCTCCTTCGCTGCCTCATAAAGCACCCAAAGCGGAATCCAAACCCAAAGGGTATTGAAGAAGACCAAGTAAAACCACAGATAGACCGCATTCCCAGTCTCCAGCCCCGTGCTTCCAGTCAACCACTCCGGCGCAAAAGTCATAAACCCACCATACAGCTCAGCAGTCGCGAGACCTGTCGCAACAAGCCAAAGCTTCCCCTGCGCCTTTCCCTTAACACCAACACTCGAACTCGGGCTCGACGACACCCAGAGCAAGTAACAAATATAGATCGCGGCAGGCCCACCGAGGAAGACAGTGAGCAACTCCAACGAAATCACCGTCGGATCCGCAACCGCCCAGCGATGATCCGCCTTCGCGTATTCCTGCCACAGGCGCGCGGAGGGCAGAGTGCCGTATGCGGCGCCGTAGACGCGGTCGGCGAAGCCGAGAAAGGCCGGGGCTCCGCTGCTGACCTTGACGCCGGCGGGGAGGAGCGCGTAGCTGGTGAAGCACTCGTAAAGGTAGGAGCCCTCGATGAAGAGGTGAGTGAGCGCGTCGTATGCGTGCCAGTAGAAAAGGATGCGGTTGCGCGTTTGCGCGGAAGGGATCAGGGTAGCGCCGAGGATGTAGGCAATTGGCATGAAGGAGAGGGCGAATGCAATGCACCCAATTGTGGGTGTGTCGAGTTCGAAGGGGGCAGGGATTGTTGCGGACATTGTGATATGGCCGCAAGGGCAGTTGATTTTTGAAGGTAGCCTATTCGAGTGCTGAGTATTTCGTTTGTTGACTTGTGTAACAGTGGATGGCAATTTTGTGGGAGGACTCGAGATGGGATGAAAGGCTGCGACGCGCTGCGCGTAAGCTGGACCCCTGAGATTTCAATGTTGATGGGGACTGTGGCCTGAGGCAGGGACACTGATCGTCTCCGGTTCACCCTTTCCTTACTTGTTCCTGAGTTGCTTGGCCTTCCCTCCCTCAATCTTCTCAAGATATAGCTACGAGCAACCGGTACGATGGAGATGTCCGCAGAGTTGCCTGATAATGCGATCGATCTCTACAGCTTATCTTGAGCAAACGATGACTGACCCTCGCCTCGACGCCGAACTACAGCACCACCCTTGCAAAACTCCCCTCCCAAGCTTCTCACTTTTGAAGGCTCTCCTTTGAGCTCCATCAATTGAATCAGTGCGTCTAGTAGGCCAGCTCTATAAGAGGTCTAGAGGCAATATTCGCTCTAACTACCTACGTTGACTGATTGGTCTTTCATGAATCGACCCCACGATCCGCGGAATTGTGCCCCGTGTCCCCCACATTGGATTCTTGGACAGTGCTCGACTCCGGGGTATGTTTGTGTACGACAGCTTCGGTGGCTTCCAAAATGTCGATGTCTGTCAGGCACATGCACTTCAGCTTTTGAGGTGGTTCGTCTCAAAGGACAACCTCGTATAGGAGCCCCTTCTTGCACAAACCCCAGACCAGCCAAGCGACGACCCCCTCGCAATACGGAGGTGGAAAGCTCGACCTCACGAGCTCTCAAAGCACGCTGCTCGGACAAATGTTTGCTCAATGTCGTTCACGTAATTCGACTATATTTGCTCTCTTATATCATTAAGTTGCTCCCTCTTTCCCCGCGTTAGCTTCTCGGTTTCCTCCCAGCGACGACTGCTGCTACTTGTCAACGTCATCCGATCGCTAGTAAGGAAACAGTGTTCTGCCCCTTCGCCTACTTTGAGAGGCTATCATGAGAATAGGAACGCTCAACCGTGTGGTCAGCGATCCCCGCTTTCAGCTTCCTAGTAGCCTGCTTAGCCGAACGCTTGAGACAAAGGACGTCTCTCGGAATGTCGCCTAACCCCGAGATCCTCGACATTGACACCGTGTCAGCCCTGGCCTGGGACTTATATCATAGTTGCCATCTTCTTTCCCCGGGTGCGCCCGATAGTTTCCGGCAGCTTGTCAACGAGCTCGCTTCCTTACATGGAATACTAGGCGACTTACACGACCATCTGAACTCGAAATCTTCATTCTTTACCGAAGTCCCTGAAACCCGAGCACGTACATTACAAGGCTGCGTACACGCATGTCTCGATACTTTGCGACGGCTCAAAGAGGTTGTCAGCAAATATCGAAGTCTGGGTGGTGATGGAGGTCATATCTGGCACAAAGTCAAATGGGCCACACAGCGAAACCATATTGAACAACTGAAATCGAGGATTATGGTTCACACTGCTAATCTTCATCTATACATGAGCTCTATCGGCAAGTGAGTGACAAAACGCGATCTTCTAGAGGCCCACCTTCTAATTTCGATAGCTCTTCGCTGAAAAGGCTCGAAGGCCAGATATTTGCCTCCTTAGAACAAGATTCCCCGTCTGATTCGCGCGATATTCCTCAATCTCCATCGGACGCCGGTTTGCCGCAAGCACAAACAATAAGTGAGAAGCATGTTGGTATTGATGAGACAGATGGGCCTGAAACGGAGAGATCACCGGTCTCGGAAGCTCCTAGACCCCGTGCCTCCTTCACGATTGCTCAGCCTCGCCAATCGACCTCTTCTGCGTCCAGGGTCTCTTCACGATCTGAGGAATCTTCTTCGACAATTTTCACAAATAATTTCTTTCCAAGCTCACCACCACGCGGCACCTCGCTGAAGAGCCCGGCCGGCCCAGGATACCATCTCCTTGAACAATATGCCAGCTCTTCAAGATTAGGTTCGTCTGGGAGCATACATAATGATCTTCCTGTAGGACCCAAAGATGACTCGCTGCCTAATAATCAGGAAGGCGAGAGACGTGAGAACGAAGATGTCCATGCCAAACAGGCCGTCGTCAGCGCAATGCGGCACCTTCACGATATGCAGTTAAGGGAACAAAACCTACGGTCGCTACGGTACGAGCCGCGAGACAGCTTCCATCAACCTGATGCTCCGGTCGTTGCAAAGTTCGAGGCTTCTTTCAATGGTGAAGAACATGCTCGACGGCTGAGTACAACGGCCTGGCTACGTATAGCAGTTTGGTGGCTGTTGAAGGTGAGCACTCCTTTTTATTGTTTCAAACGCCTTGCTCAATCGAGTAGGTGCTCAGACAGTTACTTGATTTATCCTGCGGGCAAGACTATGTTCTGTCAATAAGCCTAACTAATAGCAACAGGCTGGAACAACTCTCGCAAACGGCGATAGGCCTAACCTGGTCAGCGCTCGTGGTAGTATGAGCCCTTCTTCGACGTCTTCAACTTCAAGCCACCAAGCATATGTGGACCTTCTGAAAGCCTCCTATATTCTTTATGACGTCGTTCTCAAACGACAGAGCCCCCAGTCGTTGATGATAGATGAGAACAGAAAGTTGATCTCAGACATCTCAGAAGGTATCAAAGAGTACTTCTCTCAATTTATTTCTGTTGACATACCGGAAACAGCGATCATATTTCAGCAAAACCTCGACTTGTGGGAGCCAGTCCAGCCAGACGAAAATTTTTGCAGTAGCACAGAGGACCAGCTCTACGCTTTAGAGAATGTGCGCTATACCACTGTAGAGCTGGAGGACGCTGGTGCCGAAGAGGAGCGTGTACTTCTGCGGACGTTTGTCAATGCAGGAATTGGAGGCAAGAAGCTGAGAATGCGGTTGAAGGGCGCTCCATATATGCTTCTACTGTCCACGATAGACGGGGAAAGTGAGCCCAAAGTGGCCATCTGCAACCAGAGTGGTACGCTTTGTCTGCAGAGAAATCGTAAGTCCGATCTGGAAACCTGTAAATTTGTCAACTATCGCCACTAATCGTGTCCCTAGTCACACATGAAGACTTGGCCCAGCTCATAAGAGTCTCTAACACCTCACTCAGTGGTGCACCTGGTGCAAAGATCTCTGAACCAATAAACTTGAAGTTCGATTCAGTGACTCTTTCAGTATCCTTCCAGTACTCTGCGGATCTAGGTCAATTCATCAACATACCCAAGGCGTATTTTGACGCGGTTTGGCAGCGCGAGCCGGTGGACTCGGATCAATTCTCCGAAAGCGTCATATTCAAGACCTCCGTGGAAGTTGTTGAGCAACTTAGAGCGCCAATCATGAAGTCTATGAACCCTCCGATGATCACTCGATCATGTGAAGTCCGCGTTTTGGAGAGAACATTTGGAGAGGTCTGGCGATCCATTCGACGTATGGTGATCAGCTCTTCCTTAGCGGAAAAGACCCCTCGATGCTTGGAGTTCTTCCTGCCGATGAGTCGAGTGCAAGTCCGTCGCAGCGAGGATTCACAGTCAGTCCAGATCAAATGGTCGGATACTGGTCAAGAGCGGTCGGACAAGACGGATGGTTGCTATAATCCGCTTTATTCGTACGTCTACGATGACAATAGCCCCAACATCGGCTTGGACATAGAATTTCGATCCCAGCAACAGGCTCAGAAGTTCGAAAAAGTGATCCTGACACTTACTCACAAACCAACCTTCTCTTGGTCACAACCCAATAGTGCTGGGCTAGTCTACGAGGTCGCGGACGTTGCACTGGACCAGAAACAGTACAAGGCCGTTTTGCTCATAGAAAGCCGCCTATCCTTCAAACACTCCAGCCTCTACTATCTCTACCGCGACGTAGACTACATTTATGATTCTCCGAACTTCCATGTCAAGTTTCCGAAGATCTTCTACGTTGACTACATCTCATCGCACGTGGAGCAATTATACCGGGCCGCAAATAACGTATTCTTCTCCCACTGCGAGAAGAAGATCGCAAGCATGGAAGTCGTCTTCAACGACGAGCCTGTCCTCCACGCATTTATGAGCTCACTCGCATCCACCTACGAACTATGCTTCTCCCGACGTGCTGAGTCCATGACCACAAAGAAACAATCCTTCCTGAGCTCCAAAAAATCAACAAAAGGTGAGACAGAGGTACAACTATGGCGCAAAGGACATTCTATTCAACTCGCGTCGCGATGGACAAACCATGTTGCAGACAGGTGGCTCACGATGTCTGTACCATCGGGAAGCAGTCGCAATATCTCCCGTGATAGCAACCGCATCGAGTTTCCTGTGACAACGTATTCCCGGGGAGCGGTTCTCAATTTGGCAGTTATAGCTGCTGGATCGCCCAAGGATCCAAGGATGTCGAGGCGGGAAGGGCCAATTACGATTTCCTTTCCTAAGCCGAAGGGTATGCTTCGCTTCATGCTCTCTAGCAATTTTTTATGTGCTGTAGCTAACTATGATAGACCGTGATGATTTTGTTGCTGCGCTAGATGGCGGTGGTCACCCTTCCAGGAAGTATGGCCATAGTTATGATATACTGAGCTCTTAGCTCTGGAGATAGAGTTTCTATATTTGAGTTTGACCCTATGCAACTATAGCTCGCAGCGGTCCACGGTTGACCGAAACCCAATCATGTTAACCAAACTCAACCGAAGGGCAGATCTCAGAAGACCACAGGATTTGGTAACCGGAGTTTATCTCCGGCTACTTGCAGTAGCTTTAAGTGTGCAGTCTCAAATTAGGGTCCTCCCGAGCTCAACCAACTACCCCATGATCGGCCCCGAAAATACCATGAGGGCGCGTGATTGGTTCAGCTGACAACCTACCAGTCTGCCGAAGGGTTTGAACCAGCTATACAGCCGTACCTCATCAACCCGCTGCGGGTAGTATCAAAGTATTTCAGTCTTATTTTGAGATACTGTTGATGCCAGTATGTTTGATCATAGACCTTTCTACTAGCAGTTGGTCAGGATCCGGCTCCGTCCTGCCGGAGATGTCTTACAAGGGCAAATTACTATAAATATATGAGGAGTTGCTAGACTAAATCCTGCGTCAAATCTAGTCAATGCTAAGATTGACAAATCCATCTCCCAGGGAAGAAATAAGCTTTGCGGAGATAAGTACGGGGTGCAGCGTGGATGCACTGCATGATGGGCTGTGCAGCAGTACGCCTAGTAGATCCCACCCCATCCACCCGGCTGACTACACCTGCCGCCCGGTTTGAAATCATCTTATCAAGGAGGGTAAGACGCGGCTAGGCGGCAGGGCTAAAGAGAGTTCAGGAGCTTACATCAAAGCTCAAGGGTGCCAGCTCGCCCCGCAAGCCTGCGACGAAGATGACATGCGCATCGCCTACATGACTCAGTCTTGACCCTGAGCTGCTACGCTGCCTTTCCCGGGAGTAGGGACCGGGTTGTTCGCGGGTAGAGAGCTCGAGCACCTCGTACCCTCTATAAAGTTCTCTGTGGTGCCCTGAACAGTCAGCTGGGCGAGGGACTTGAGGTGTGCTGCGCGGTTTCTCAGTTGCGCGTGCGCCCTTCACGTGTCCGCCGTCTTACACATACCTTGGGGCTGAGTGCTTGATAATTATCTGCCTTGGACGCAGCTGTTCTCCTTTTTCTGTTGCCTTGTTAATGCGATACGTGGTTTCTTTGCTTCTTTTTCTCTCCTTCCTTTGAGGCTCCGCTGCCCTGCTAGAGGTGGAGTTGCCCGGAAGCAAAGCAGGCAAAGCACTTCGAATGATGACTCGAAACGGGGCTATTGTTTGCCACTGACCTTGCTGACTCTGTTGCCTGTCCGACCCTGCATCCTGGGTTTGTCGTGCATTTGCATATTGCTTATATACCCCCCTTGCATCCCTCCATCCACCCTCAGATTAGTTTCGATCAGTCAAAAGTAATCCGCTCTTGTTGAGATCGATTTCGATATCACCATGCCACGCCTAATCCACCATAGACGACGCCACTCTTGGCCGTACTGCGGCACGGGTATGAGTGCCCGCGACCGTCGAAATGTCCCCATCATCACGGTGACAGAGCCGGACGATGAGTTTGAAACCGAGTTCCTGACCCCGATCATGTCGGAGGATCTGTTCGAGGATGATGCCGCTTCTGCTGGGATCGAGCCAACGCGAGCTCATCATCGGCTCTGGCATTCGTCCAAAGAGTCCACTGGCGATGGTTCAGCGCGCGTTGACACCGTATCGCTTAGGAAGATAGTGCAGCCGCCGCTGGACAGAGCCCGATCGCTGTTCATGTTGCCCACGGCGTCATCTGCGAAGGAGATCATGTTGCTCCCGTACTGGGTCCATCGGCTTGCTGCGCACCCTATACCAACTCATCAGCGAGGGAGGTCCCGGGAGACCGAGCGTGGCCGGCTGGCGATCGACAAGAATCATCGTCGATGCCACTCAGAGAGGCCGCGTTCATGGAAACAGCCGAGCGAGAATTTGTGGACATTGAAGGAGGAGTGATCGGCCTTTTACGCCACTCAAGTCCCAGTTTGCATATCATGCTGGCCTTTTCATTCGGTTTGCGTTTGGGATTGCGCGTGCGGGTTTCAGGGCGTTGATATAGCATAATCTTGGTGCATGGTCCGAAAAACGCATATTTGACCGGCCTTTGCTTGCTCGTTTGTTTTCATGTCCGTATCATCGAGATTGCATATTCGGAGTTGTTTTCCCGGGAGTTCAGAGAATGAATTTGCGTTGTGCGAAATTTCAAGGACCAAACATTCCACGCTTTCCTTTCTCTATGAGTAGGCCGTATCATCCATGCCAACGCTGCATCAGACCGGAACTCGGCAAGGAATCGCCCTCGTTCCCATCTGTGCCCCCAAGGCAACTTGAACCGTCTCCGCAAAGGCTGCGCCATGTGGGGATGGAAAAAGAGCCTCCTTGCTTTCTCGCTCAGACATTCCGACGTTCCGTGATATCCGCGCCTGTGGCCGAGTCACCCCGTTTTACCCCATATCCGAACACGCACACGCAGGGCTTCGAATCGCATGATACGATGAGCACCAATAGGGGGCAAGAAATTATCGCCTTGGACAAGTCGCCAAGGGCATTCCGTCGCCCTGTTGAAGTCATCCCGCTTGGCGGCGGAGACAATGCGTCAAGAATGTCTCAGACATGTCTTTTGATATGGAGCCGAATCACGGGGACACCGAGCATGTGATTGGGTTAGTCCCAGAGTGGACTAGGTGGGGGAATGCGTCAAGATCACGCGTCGGTGGTGAAAGGAATCTCCGCGGCTTGTCAATTTGACTCGAGATGCTGAGACGTTGCGGAATGCTTGTCATTGAGAGTAACATCGGTCAGGGTTGCTTTGTTTTCACCGAGTCTTCGTGTGGTTGCATGATGGGTCCAGGTGGTTGGATTCTTCACCGACAGCGAGGCCTCACAAAGCGGCTGAAAGAGCGGGCGTTGCTGCGAAACCTCTCAGGCAGAAGCGGTCAACCTGCCGTCATCATGGGGGCCGAAAGACCTTTGAGCGGTGCGCTAGCCTAGGGCACCAACATTTTTCGGGCGATTATTGGTTGCCGACAACTCAGAATAAACAAGAACTTGCGCTAGACCCTACCGATGGACCTCCAGGGCACGCTGGCAGTCTCCCATTTGTCTGCTGTTGACCGTCTCCGTCGGAGTCGCTCGCAGGTCCGCATTCCAATGAGGGCGCTGATAGGACAACCCATCAACGATAACGCTAGCGCCTGCCCTACGAGGACAAATCCCCCGCTGCTGAGGGTCTGACGAACCGATTGACCGGGGTTTTGTCTCGGTTCACCTTGTCAAGCACAAAGGGGATGCAGTCTCGTGGGCCAGCTGGGCAACATAAATAACCATCCGATTCCCTCGGGATTCGACTTCACTCGTTATCGAAACATCACATTTTTATACCACTTCCAATCCACCAGCCGTTCATCCAATCCTCAAAACTCGCGCTTAAACCTCCTCCACGGTTTTCTACTGCCTATCCACCACGCACAATCACAATCCAGCCTCAGAGCAAGATCCTATCCCACTCAAAAGCCAAAATGTCTCGCCCAAGCACAGCAGACAGCAACGCCTCGTTCTCCCGCACCTCAGGCGACCACCTCCAACGCACCGAGAGCCCTCTCCAAATGACATCCAGCTCTCGTCGCAACAGCCCGACATACTCGAACCGCACCTCAGGCTCCTACAGCTCCCGCAAGAGCGAGGATCGCCGCCGCTATGACAACACCGTCTACCACTATGGCCGGCACTCGAACTACTGGCTCTTTGGAGGGTTCAGCGTGCGCGACACAGTCCGCGACGGCGTTGACTGGATCCGCCAGCAGAAGAAGGGTTGAATTCGCTTTTCCCTTTCTTTGACAACAATGAAATATATCGATATTAACTACGGACCTCTCGACCCGATCGATACCTATATTGCCAAAGGCAATTCTCGGGTTATGCGAACAAACCACATTTCCGATCCCAGTCACGCTTCCCACCTCGGATGAAAAAGGATGCGGATGTCGGTAGAGCACTGCGCTCCCGTACCTGGAATTTCCTTTGATGGACTCCATCACTGTTTCATGGGCTACATGCTCCTCGCTATGCGAGGAATGCTCCGTTTCATATCCATACCCCAGACCGATGTTAGGAATGAGACTCATCACAACCTTGAATCTTTGCTCTATCTATCATGTAGACGACCGTAAAATAGCTCTGTTGTAGAATTACTTTGTCCTGATTGTAAATCTCATGACACCGAAAATATATAGATGTAATGCTGTCGAACTTTACTTTCTCTTCTGCCCTGCGAGCCCACACATCATAATCTAGAAATATTTATTTTCTCACGTCATATCTTTCTACAATTAAGCATAAAAATTATGGTGTAGCACTGCCTCAACCCCGCACCAACCCCTCTTCCTTCAATTCTTCATGAACAGTTCCTCTGAGCGCTGCCTGCTAAATAAAATACTAGCCGAGAGGGGTTTTATTCGGCGCTACCTGAAACGGACCCTAAGACGCCACGTTATATGTTCGCCTTCGACCTCACTGTCGTATCACAGAAAGGGCTCGACAATGACCACCCCGAGTCGCTGAAAGAAGCCTTATTTATTTATTAACCAGTATCAGTACTCTTAAACCTTCCCTTGTTTAGAAGATTGCTATCAAAAACTGTTTGACAATATTGAGACTTACGTGTCGCCCAATCAGCCGAGATACAGAATATGGCCCCAACGATCGTTGTTACAGTTGAGGCTTGGGCTGTCGGCCAGCAATTTCTGTTGTATAAAGTCTCGGACCGCTCCAGGCTCACCACCACTATCACAGTTGAGAAATCATATAGAAATAACCAAAAATGCTGGAACACTTCACCCCCGCGTACCTCCCCGTGCTCTTTATCGCAACTACGCAAGCCCTCGGTGGCCTGATCCCCATCCTCTTCCCCACCCGCGCAATCCTCGATTTCGGCCTGCGCCCCCGTAATAGTAATCGGAGGCGCGTGAACAACGACAATCGGCCTTATCCTCTGGATGTTCTACGCGCAGAGGAATTAGTCGAGTTCGACACGATCTTGGCGATTTTTGGGAGCTGGGTGGGGTGTGGGTGGGGTTGTTTGTTGGAGTGAGGGGAAGATGGGGAAGGGGGTTTTCAGGGCGGTTTCGGGGGCAATCGTTGCATTTTGGGGGGGTTAGGGGGTTGACGAGGTATCGAACTAGCACTGTTAGTAGGGTTGAGGGCTACCAGCAGTGGACTCGGGGATAGGAGCTCCGAGAGAAAGGAAGGGTGTGGATGGGAGACCAATGGACTCCACCATTCGCGACTGACTCGACAGAATGAATGGCCCTTCAATCTGTCGCCTATCAAACAATTCCAGTAATCTACCTAGTATTGGAAGATGCACCCCAATGGCCATCCACGACCCAAATCTCCAGTAGCCCTACTTGAATAGGAGTTGACATGTCGTATAAAAACAAGGCATAGCAAACTCTATGTAGTGACCCGAAGCCATTACCTAACTATCGGGTAGCTCCCCGCAAACCTAAAATTTTAGGGTTTCAGGAGGTGCAGGAACTTGAAAAAGAGACTGGTGCAGAGGTCTGGGTAGGAGGTTCTAGCCATCCCAGTGGAAGATTCATCCGACCCTTGGGATTGCTCTGGAGTTTGCTGCCCCGCCGCCACGCTGCTCCTCAGTTCGACTGCTGCGGTGCATGGTGCCCTTAGAGCTACGAATAGTCAGCTATAGTGGTCTACTAGTGGACTCTAACCTTGGAAGTTGGAATCTCATCTATTTGGTCCAGGATAGCGGCTAAGCTATGACACTCTGCGTAAGAGATAGTATTTCTTGAGCACGCAAGAAGAAAAAGAGGGGGAAAAAACCGAGCCCCTTGCTCTACTTCATCGAACAAGGCAGGATAGCGGTGAAGGGAATAGACGGCGAATTTTGGTGACCCGGTGTAAGGGAGCGGATTCCCAGCCATCTTCCACTCCGCTCGGATACACGGTCCGTATTCCAAATAGTGGTTGTGGACTTATACCTATGTACTAGCATGATGAGGCAGTCTGGGGGATGATCTCCTCGACTCTTCGGTATCAATATTGCACAGAAGATGGCCCAATAAGCAGGTAAGGTGGGCAAAAACGCATACGAGCAGCTAGGAAGAGACATACATGATCTGCGTTGAATTTCTAGAACATGCCTTAGTTAACGTCTGAGGGCCCAGGGGCAGGGGGTTCATATCCGGAGATCACACCGAGGGCGGGATAACAGATTGCTTATTGGAGCGGAGAATTTAGGCGTTCTTGGGCAGGCTAGAATGGGTCCTCATAGAAGCTTCAAAAGGAGAATTGTTGCCTGGGGCTGTACCTGTTATGTGTACTAAAGACATCCATCTGTCTTATTATCATCGCATACGGCGGCTCTTGACTAAGAGGAAGTAAGAAAGCAGTGTACCTCACCAGATTATTAGGGCTAAGTTTAATGAGTTAGGATTCGATTAGCTGGTGTGTCCGCATATTTGTCAAATGTGTAGTACAAGATAGTATCGATCGAGATTCGGGGCGCAAACAGTCGGAAGGCTTCTAGCCATGGGCTATGAAGAAGATGGCCTTCACGTGGTTTGACAGCATGAGAAAGTGACAAATAAATCCTCTGCCGGCGAGGAGGAACAGAAACCCATCGATGGGGATATGCGTATAAACGAACGACGGAGCAGGACAAAGAAAAAACAAAAAAGGTGAAATATAGGCACGTCGGCTAAAATGGATCGTAAGGAAGTTATGGAAAAACGAGGGTCAATGATCATAACCTCATCTATAATTGCTGCCAGGCCGCGATATCTCCCGCTGAGATACCAATGTTTTCGCGAACTAGACGTTGTAGCCGGGAGATCTGTACGGCAGCTAAAAACAAAAATCACATGGTTAGCCAATGCCACTCCGGAAAAGGTCTCCGGAAGCACTACTGCACGGTACTTTTGGGCCCTACTATGGAGTGGGTGAGGTTACATACTTGGGTGCTGTGACACGGCGGCCTCCGCATGAACTTGAATGACCCGAGAGTCAACGAACTCACTGGTGACTGTCCCGTTGTAACTGTCAGCCGCCACCATTATCCGCAGCCTGTACCTCCCTGGGCTTGGGATTCTGAGTGGACGAAAGCAGGCGTATCCGTTGTTGGTGTTCCCCGCCTGGCTCCGGACGCTGTCTGTGAGATTCCCTGTTAAGCGGGTAGGAGATCTGGCGCCGGTCTCATCTAGAAGGCTTGCCCCTGCTACCAATTGTTGCGTAGGGTTATTGCTCGCTAAACCAATAGGCCGAACAGCCACGACGACGGGAAGCGTAAAGGCGACACCTGGGCGAACAGATGCGGGAGGTTCGATCTCGAATGTGAGGTTGTATGCTCGACTCGAGCTGCCATTCGTTAAGCCAGAGCTGCCGGAACTCATTGTTGCTTTGTGTCGCGTTTCAATTGACTGAAAGGAACGTTTCGGTGGAGGGGGGAATTGAATTGGCTGCTGATCTTTGTCTCAAGGTCAAAGGCTTTGTTGCGTTTGTGATGCGAGCCAGGAACAGGACATGAACAGACGGGGGATAGTGTATTATATAGATCAAGAGAGCTGAAGAGTTGGGGAAGTCAAGCGAGAAACCGGGATTTGGTCAGAGCGGCTGATGGTGTTGGTTTCGGGGATAAGCTTTCGGCGAGTCTGTAATTCAAACACAAATGCACCATCGACGATGCTGACGCCAGAAGGTGGCATTTGCCACCGCTAAACGGCGGACTATATTGTCGAAGAGATCTACAGCAAAAGAAAGTAGGTTGTGTTGGCTGACGGGATGCAACGATGAAGCTGCATGATGCAGAAACAACGAAACAATCAACTGGGAGTGATTTTTTCTGAAGAAGTGGAGCTAGGCCAACAGGCCTCGCAAGAATGGCCAGATCCCGAACAAAGCTCGCCACATGCGAAGCTTAAAACTTAATAGATCTTGCAGAAAACCGGTAATCGGCTCCACGATGGCTGCAATCCAGGGCGAATCACACCATTGATGGGATGAGAACTTGCTTTTTCGGCCGCTCTGTTTTCGACGGACTGCCCCTCAGGCTGCATTATTTGGCGTGGTTCTGTCAGAGTACACTTCGCCGTGCAGTTACTCTTGGCCCTGTCGCTCCTGAGAGAGGATTTCGTTCCCCTCGCCTATCAGTTTACTTCTGCGGCGCCTTGCTCGCTCCCTATCTCGCTTAGAATCCCTGCGTAGATCTTGGGCGGCATTTGAAAACCAGATGCGCGCGTCAGGATCGTGGATCGCGGAAGATCTACTCCGTATGCTCCAACACCTCGGACGGACTCCGGGACTGTTCCAAGGTTCGAGGCCCCGTCATCTGCACGATGATGAGCCCGAACGAATGGCAAATCGCGGAAGCTTTTTTCCCGACTGGTATGGGGAAATACACGTTCTTGGCAGACGGGCAGAGCGTGATATTCCCTGTTCCAAAAGTAAAAAGGAGGCGTGGTCAAGAGATGGGAGCACCAGAATCTCAAATCCCGCCGTTACCCATCGTTACTTTTGGCTGGACTCCAGTGACCGCGCGGGAAAAGGCTAAAAGCGTATTTCAAATCCTAGACGAAACAGTGGTGCATGGAGTCTTCCAAACAGGGGTCATTCGCGGTGATTACCATGTTTGTTAAAGATCATGGCGGTCAACCTTCAAAGTTGCATCGTGGTCATGCACCTTGTTCAAGCCCGGTTCAAGCCAAGGCAACCATCTGTGATTTTCTGAGAGAATATGTAAGATGAGGAGTTGTGAGTAGCTGGAGAGAAAATCAAGGGTCCGAGAAGGGAAAGGCCAAGGATGCGGAACCACATCGGCGGGTCCGAGGATGAGATCCTTGCTCTGCCCTTGTTCACGCGCCACGATTCGTGCCATTCTAGGATTAGCACATTAACTAGCCACAGGTCAATCTGCATAAGTGTGGCGCAGGGCTCTACCACTGGTATCTTGTGGAGTCAAGGAGTTCGCTGGCCGCTGTTCCAACTTCGAAGTTAGATCAACGAGAGCGACAGATATCAAGACTCTGTAACCAAACGCCACAGCTGCGTTTCTTCGAGTGCCAAAATTGTGCTGCCTTGCGTGATGCTGCCGCCAAGTTCTTCTTCCTTGCCAGTAGTCTACCACTCGCAGCAGATCTTGCAGTGATGTGTGATAGCCACAAACCTCTGACGGCAGACGATGGGATTTGGGAGTCCTTGATGGCACCATCTTCGCATTCCATACTTAGAGAGGTAAACAATCCTCCTAGCCCCTCTGCATTATCATCACATATTAGTTTCGTGATCGGAATTTACGTACATCTTTGTCTTTGCGGTCATGGCCGCCGATGGCGCAAGATCGCCTGTGTCTTGATCCCACGAAGAAGACAAGTGGTTTTGCTTCTTGCGAGTCTTCGGACCCATTCACCACCTGTACTCAGCGTACTATCGTACGTAGCAGCAGTGGGAACTTAGGCCAACTTCGACCGATTCAGCTAAGAAAAGCGATATAGTCTTCTCAGGACATCCAGTGGCCCGAAGCTCAGTACTGTATATGCTATCGTCCAGATCAAATCGCTACAGGGCACCTTGTGCTCGGACAGAGACATTCACCTCCATCATACTTATCATAAAGTTCCGCACTGCCACAGAATGCGGGACGTGCCCCGAGCCGGCTCCGAAATTCCGTGTCCTTGCCTGACATCTCGTCTGGGCGATCTCTTCACGGTATCGCCGATTGATCGTGCATCACACTGCAGGAGTGAATGTCATCGGGAGCTCTGATCGTGAGTCTTGATGTGTACCTCGTTCGCCGCCGCGCATCAGGCCTTAGGGCCAACGAAATGCGGTACCCGCTGTAACAAGTGCAAGCAAGGGATGAGGATTTAAAATTCTTGTTAGTTCCTCTTCCTCTACTCCGTAAGATTGACGCTGTACCAGGAATCGAAGCCTCCATCTGGGGATCGATGCTGATGCCCTTGTGTACCTCGGACTCCGAACTCCGGAGGTGGCAAATCGTCGATGGATATGCACGACTCCAGAGAAAAGAACATATTGCCGCATTCGGCCAGTTATGGGTCTGAGAGGTATCAGTTTGAAACTGCTTTCAGAAAAGCATGCGCCTTGCCCCGATAGCGCGATGTCTTGGTTGGACTGGGCGGGCGCCAAAACGGGGATTAGAGTTTGGATGGTACGGAGTAGGGCTTCGGTCCATTCCAGGGAGTCCGCCGTAATCATTATGCGCAACAGGGCAGCAACCCTGAAAAACCAGATCTGAAGCTCAATTCCGGGATCGAGGATCTATCAGGCCTTGCCGGAAGGAGGCTAGATTATTCAAGGCACGATCTCTTGTAGATGAATCTGCAAGGATTGTTGGTGGGTATTCGACGTATAGTTTTTAAATTTTTCGAGGGAACACAGACCCACGAACAAAGAGGTGAGTATTTGGATTCTTTGAGCTTCATATCAGCTGATTATCTCTGTCCAACAACCGAAGAGTTCCAAGTACGTATCGATAACTTGCGATTTCTGGCGGAGAGCATGGTGCTTCGTGGGAATCGTGGCGGTGCTTCCCACGTGTGTTAGGCCATCCATTCCACAATTCCTTAGAGGGTTAACGCATCAGGGAAGATCAGATCGAGTGGCGCCCAATGAGACAGGCATGATCTGCGAGGCTCCTTCAGAAAGGGGCGTCGGCGATCAATAATCATTTCCTGGCTCTCGGTATCCAGCCGCGACTCCCTCGAGTTCGACCGAACAGAGTACGAATAGATAATGAGGGTTCAATGGTGGTGATATTTGAAGAGAAATGAGGAGAAATGAGGCGGAAAAGTGAGGCGAGAGTCAACAAATAGTGTCACCTGATATGAGAGCCATTGAGAGCATTTTTTGGCATTGCCAGGCAATGCCTGAGCTTTTCCACTTGGTGAACAGCAGAAAGCAGGGCCCGGCGCGACGTCATTAGCCTGGTGAGGACTTTTTGTGTCAAAGCTCAAGTAAGTGCTCCTTTGTAGAGGCGGTCTTAGAGGTTGCGCTCCTCTAAACCTGAGATTTTGCCGAGGACATTGCAAGTTGACACTTTCTATGAAGAAGGCTCCTTCTTCATGCATTAGTGAGCTATAACTGGTCTTTGCGCTTTCAAAGGATAACACCCTCTGCGATCCTCCACTTGTCCAAGACGATGGTTCAAAAGGGCAGTCGCGGGGGACAACCCTTGAAAGGGCCACCTGCCGTCTACGCCACTATCTCCCACACAGCTCTTAGAGGATTGATCTCGACAAGGAACGATAGAGGTACCGACCGAGAGCTCCACCACACGCCTCTTATTGTTATCAGAATGACTGCCTTGTTGCGTCCTTTATCCATCAGATGGCACCTGTCCCTCGCCGGCCTCCACCTACGCCTCTGATTCTTCGACCAACACTGGTTGCGCCCTCAACGCCAGTTCCGGTCACATCGTTCATTCCTCGCAAGCTTTTCCTCCAGCTCTTCGCCGGGACCATCTGCATCTTTATCGTCACCGTTCTTTTCTGGAGGTTCCCTAGCATCGTTCGCTTCTTCACGAAGAATAAGGTCCTAAGACAAGGAAACGCAGCCACGGCTCGTTACGCGAAAACCTGGTACGGCTGGGTGTCATCTCAGAGGCACGAGTCCAACAAATGCGCTCTACGGAATTTTATGGCCAAGCTCAGTAACTGGGTCCCCTGGAGATCGTCGAGGGCGGATTTCCAGTGGGTCTGGTGGGATCACAGAAACCAAAAGCTCGGCCCCTGTCGAGATGGAGAGGAGGGAACACTGTCCAAGTGGGAGAGGGGCTATGGGTTCGTGCCACCCGATATCATCTGGAACCCCGAGCGCGTCTCTAGTGATGGTATGGAGATGCATAGCCGCCCAAGGCCGCCTGTTGCCCGATATGCAACTGGAGCACTTTTGCCGCCTGAACCTCCTCAGCCTACCATTTCCTCAAGAATGCGGGCCACACGGACAAGCTTATCATTGCAGGAGTGGTTCGGTAGCACATTTCCAGCAAGATATCCAAGAGGTCATCGTCGCCCAAGGACGGACTTTTCCTATGATTTTGGTTCACACCCTGGATTGCTATTAGTACCACACATCAACAAGAGGCTCAAGCTACTTCGCCAGTTGCCTCACGATAGAGGCCCGAATCGCGTTTCGTTGACGCCCGCTTTAAATCACCACTCACTTCCGCAAAGCTTCTCCACACCATGTCTTTCACAACTGGGTCACTTTTCGCCGCCGCGAGTTATGAGTTCATATGCAGTCTGCAAGTCTGAAAGTGCTGGGAGCGACAATTTCCCGTCAGGATCCCTGGCAATGCTTCAGCGCTCGCGTAGATACCAGGTTTGGTCTGCTCGAATGGGGTTGCTGACACTCAAGTGTCTCGGATACAGCACGCATACACTTCCAAGAGGTCCTCCTGGGACGCCGCAGTCTGCACTTCTTGGCAGCTTCTCGATTGGTCACACTTCCGGTGGTCAGGTCAATCAGTACTGTCACAGAATCAAGGGAGATTGTCCTTCGGACATCAGTGATCTGTCTCTCGGCAGTGGCGATCACCTGTGCAGCCGGGGAAGACTCGCATCAGCAAAAGGGCACAAACTTAAAAATTATGCGCCAGATGGGCAACTCGTATCATCGTTAAGCGTTTCGTCGAGCCAACCGCTTCCTCCAGTACTCCAACCGCCTGACAAGAACCTTCATACTGATCGAACAAACTCGGCTGGAGAGGGTCCTACTCAAGAAGGATCGAACACGGAAAGAAACGGACGCTGCATAGTCCAGTTTAAAGACTGGAGCAACTGGGAAGTACGGCTTATGGACAATTTGGATCGGAAATTGGAGTGGCTTTCGGATCAACTGAGCCCAGGGAAAAGAACGTTCCATTTCGCCCTTCTCGCGAACCATTGGTTGAATACGGAAACTTGGATTGTATATGATCCGATCTCTCGTGTCTCAATTGACGCGCGGCGGCGCTTGGGAGACCCAAGATTTAACGTTCCATATCCCAAGCCTCAATGGAATCCTCAGCCAAAATATCCCAAAGTTCAGCACCGGCTCGCCCATACTCCCAATATCAATGCGTGGAGGGCCGCTATGAACCAAAATAGAACAGCATCCGGATTGAGGAAATTCATAAAGAGTATTGAGCTTTATGATAGCTCTGCGGAGGACCCACCAGATGGAATGGTCGATCCAGCGAGCTGGGTTATTCGAAAGCCACCACAGGGGGTCAGCTTGTCCGCTCGGCAAATGGAAACATATTATGAGGGTGGAACCGGCTGGCAGGAGAAATTGAGCGACTGGCAGAAAATTCGCCGCGGATATCGTGTTCAAAAGGCCATCCACGAAGGGCGAGTGAATCGGACGCGGGCGAAAGAGATTGTTTATGGTTTAACTCGTTATTACCAACGGACGAGCTCGAGACTTCTTCGGCCTGAGAGCAGTGGAGAGTATGGGGTTGAGCAGGTTCTCACAGAAGAAACGTCCTGAAAATATATTATCAAGATTAATGAATCCAGACTTTATCGAGCGCGCTGTTGAGTTCTTCATGGTAGCCGGGAAAGGTAATGATCCATACTGATTGTTTCAGCGATGCTTCTGAATATGTGACATTGCTATGCTAGGCTCTATTCTCCATATCTTGCCGAGCAGTTTTGTAGCTCAGCAGCACTGGAGATTCCAGCACTATTGAACAAGAAACATTGCAAATACCATGGCAGAACAGATGATGCAGGTAGGACGCGATTCCCAGTTTCCAAAACTCCATAGAACCCTCATGTGATCTTCTCACAAGGTTGCGTCCCTAAAAGTACGGACGTTGGTGGTATAGACAGCGGTGTATAATACAGTAATAGCGTGATATCGAGGAGGGTATCCGTTATCGGTATGTGGTGGTCGAGGGAGAGCAATTGATCTCACAGCGACTCTGATGACCACGGCACAGGGAGTCGTTTAGAAACCTGGAGGGTTGACACGTTGGCTGACACGGGTCCATTTTGGTAATTCTGGTAGAAGAGCACGTTAGATACCAAGTACAAACCAAAGAGCTTGCGAAGAATTGCCGTCCAAAAAGTGAAATCCAGGACCACAAGATACTGAAAAAGCGTAGATACAACTGGAGAATCGGGCAGAGGTAACTTACTGTGAATACCCTTCCGATACGTCTTCTCCTTCTTGTCGAAGATCGTATACTTGTCTCGTGGCAGCATCTCCTCCTCACGGGGCATCTCCCTGTACCATCTCTCGACTGCCTTTGTGGTCTGCCCTTGTCGTGCGAGGGCTGCGCTGACGGTATCGACGACCTTGTCGACGGCGCGGAGGCGCTTCCTTTGGCGGGCTTTCTGGGGCTGCGAGATGCGCCATGGGATTTTCCTATACAGGAGGCAATGTTAGACTTGATTCCGTTGTGAAGAGGTAGCGCTTTTCGGCTGTTTGAGCCCAGGAGGTGCCGATGGAGTTGGGGCATTGGCAAGCAATCCCAGGAAGGGCGAAGAGATATCCATACCAGAGGAGACCTGAAAATAACGGCGACGAGGGCTTGAACATCTTGACTGTAAGACACGGAGCACAGCGCTGAGCGAATGGTCCCTGTGACGATGAAATCTCGCAGGTGGTGACCAGCCGGCGGACACGGAAAATCCCGTTCGAGGTGTGGAAGTGGTTGGTCCGTGCGCGCCAACCTCCGCGGCGGCGCAACAAAATCCAAGAAACCAGTGATCTTTCAACAGCCTTCACGCCGTTCATCCGGCCTTCTTCAATCGCTTTTCGCTCATTCCTCTGCATGCCCATCTGTGGCATACATATATGCTCTTGCTGCGCCATTCGTTTCTGTGATTTTGTGCATATTTCGTATGGAGATCTTATAGAGCTTCGACACAATGTCGCGACAATCAGATACTGGTGCCACGGGCGAAAGTCCCTCGGCTTTCTGGAGGGGCCTTTCGTCAACAACGATCGTGGGAGTTGCTGCGCTATGTCGGTCCTTCCTGTATGCGTGCAGTCGGCCTGAGACTCACGGTCTCGAGCCTTTTCTGGAGCTTCTTGACTCGAGGAAGGATCCGTCGCAAAGGACCAAGGGACTACTTACTGGTACGAGCTGCCGTTCCCTTCTTGGAAGGCTTTCACTCGCTAACTATTCGCTTGATCATAGTATCGAACCATATTAGCGTGTACGTACGTACAGTGCGCCTCAGACACCGAGGCGCGAGAACTCTACATCCCTACGGACGCTGACCGACTCGCGAACAGAATGGATGATCCCCTGATGTGGGGATTTCTCCCTTTGAAATACCAATTCGGGCTCTCCTCATCAAACAGGAGATGGGGGCTTGCTAGCCATGATATCTGCTACCAGACTCGGTATGACCCGCTGCCACTGACCGGCAACCCTTCGATCGACGTGCGACTGATCATGACCTTGCAGACCGTTGGCGCTATTCTTCACAATGGGCCAGCTTCTACCTACTCATAGATCCGCTCACTCACAGTACGGAGGTATCGCGCAACCAGCCGTGACACAGGCAATCCGACTCCTGTCGAAAGGACCTTTCGCCCCCGAACCACACCTCGCGCTCCCGGAACGACAAAGCTGGAGCTTGCAAAATGTCTGCGTTGACCCGTTCTCGGACCTCCCTACGGCTTACACAACGGACGGACACGATTCCCACCTCGCGCCGTCCGCATTTGCATGCAACTCGTATTCCTGGGTCCATATCTTCCCAGAGGGAAAGATTCACCAAGCCCCGAGCAAGACTATGCGGTACTTCAAGTGGGGTGTTGCTCGACTGATACTGGAGGCTAGCGAGTGCCCGGATGTCGTCCCAATATGGCTAGAAGGATTCGATCATGTCATGCACGAGAGCCGCGAGTTCCCCCGGTTTCTTCCACGACCAGGGAAGGAGGTTAGCGTTACCTTTGGGCAGAAGGTGGACACAGATGCGGTATTTGGAGAATACAGGAGCCGATGGGAGAAGCTTAAGGTGAAGGCTGAGAAAGCTGCACCTGAGACTCGCGACCTCCCGCTTGGTGCGCTAAATGATGAGCTGCTGTACGGCGCCGAAGCCGTCCAGCTGCGAAAGGAAGTCACGAAGAAGGTTAGAGATCTTGTGCTAGAAGTACGACGCTCCAGAGGCCTGTCCGACGAAGATCCCAAGGCGGGACTCGTAGAAACATGGATGGAAGAAGGGCCAAAGCGTGAGGGGAAGATGGCGGACGAATCGTGGGTTCGGGATGTATGAGCGGCCGCCGGATATACTGTAAATTAAGAGGGACCAAAATAGACCTATGTACATGTACACAATGAGAATCAATTGTATGAAGCCAGTGAGTCAAGTTAGGCGACAGTGTGTCATAAATAACGGGGGCGAAGTATGACTCCGCCTCCTCAGCCTTACTAGCAAGTACTAGCTAGTGTTAGTTAACTACCCCTCAGCAGCCTTCGTCATCTCATTTATAACTCCTCATTTCCTCGTTCCCCTCCATCCTCCGCATACCTCACGCACCTATGCCCAAGAAACACCACAGGAACACGTTTGCCAAGCCCATCAGCACACCCCATCATACACTCGCGACTTCCGGCTTCCACGCCCAAAATGATCGCTTCCGGTCGTCTGCCGCTTCCCCAGGCGGGGAGCAACCCTCCGTCAACGACCTAATTAACCACCTCCGCCGAACCCAAGTCTCCGCGTCAGCGACCGACACTAATCGCAGTCCATCTCGACAGATTGCGCCCCGATCCGTCCATCCATCTCTACGGAATCTCCTCGAGCTCCCCGAGACCCCTCCACCTCGCCCCCGCCCAGATGCACGACGCACTGGGATCGTCGGACGACGATTGAGGAGGACAGCTGGACCGCCGCCGCCCGAGAGCTGGCTTTCAGGAAATTCGGCGGCAGATAATGAGGAGGAGAGCGAATTGGATGCGGCTGAGATGACGAAGATCATATATCGCCTTGAGCGCTTACCTGGGAAGGAATTCCCCGCAAAAAGCAGCTTTCTGCATGCGCTCTTGAAGTCAATGGCTATGCACTGGGCGTGGCATATTGCTTATGATGGACAGTTCCTGGCGCTATTACCTACGCATATCAAGGTGTTGCTACTTAGCTATATCGGATACTATGCGAAAGACCAGCCTTTGCAAGGTCTTATGCGGGGTCTCAAGCCATTGTTCGAGAATGTGGAGAGTGATGGCTCTGAACAGGTTGCGGCAGCCGATAGAGAGGTGACGCACCTTGATCTTAGCGGCGCAATTGGCCGGTGGATGTCTCTGAAGCAGCTCCCGAGAGAAGTGTTGCTTCCAAAGAAACCTGTCCCTGTCCAGATTGATGCGCCGGGCTCAGTTCCATCGTCTTGGGATGAGGAACTTGAGGAGGGAGTTGATACCAGCTCTAGCACCCGCAGTACCATTCCCAAATCAGTACAGGGTCTCCGTTTCGAAAACCTACAGTACCTCTCACTCGCACATCCAAACCCAGCCTCCGTGAACTGGAACTCGCTCATCCACCTTCTATCCCGCCTCTCAACAATAACGCACTTATCGCTCGCTCATTGGCCAGTCCCAACTATAACCCCTCACGCACTCAACGCCAGCATCAGACATCCAACGCACCGCTCCCTCACCTTCTCATACGGCGGCACAGACTCATACTCCGCCATAGAGAACAACTGGGCCGAATCAGCGGGTATCCTCCGCAAGTTGTCCCGCGTAACGTACTGTCTCAAGTGGCTAGATCTCGAAGGCTGCGGCGGCTGGATCCCCGCGCTGAATTGGGAGGGGGTCGGTCCTCAGGGCGAAGCATATACGACAGGTCCCGAATGGAACGGATCCTGGCGAGATATTGAATGGATCCGTCTCGGGCCGGGGTGGCTCCCCCAGCTAAATGAGAGTGATATCCCCATGACAGCCTTGACATCAACCAGCACTCACCCATCGAACTCCCGGTCCCTCGCCTCCTCCATCCATGCCGCACCAAGCCCCAGCCATTTCGCTACACCCGGTGAAATCTCATCGAACCTAACCGGCTCAAGTGAATCATGGGACGTCGAGGTCGAACGCCGCAAATACCGACTTGGAAAGGAGCTCGAGCGATTCCGGGAGTCGATTCGCTCGGCGAAGGCCGTTCAGCGAAGGGTTCTGCAGAGTCGAAAGGAAGGGCGAGGGAAGTGGGCGCAGTTCTCTTTTGGCCTTGAAGGGTTGGAGGAGAGTCTGCTTGAGACGCTCTTGGGTCCGGAGTTTGAGATTGGGTTGAGATAGTGTTTTCTCGATTTCTTAAATGAAAATGCATATATATTCCTGATGGATGTCCGTATAGATTATCTTATTCCATAGGTGGTTTACTCTTAGCTTAGCCGTGCTCTTTCTTTCAGAGCAAACGGTTCAATTGCCTTTCATCGACCGCGGTTATAGACCCATAGTATTGATTCTATATGCAAGTTGATATCATATGCAGCAGCTTTTCCCAACCCATCACTCCGAGCGAAAACATTATAGACATAGCTACGGCACATAAGCACGATCACACCAAACCTCACTTCCTCCCCCGATTAAACGTCTTCAACGGATCAACCTTCCTGCCCCCACCCGGCGTCTTCCTTCCACCACCCCTCCCCTTCGCGCGATTCTTATCCCTAGCCTTCCGAATCCGATTCTCGCTCGTCTTCCTGAACCCAACGAACCCAACATCTTCACTCGAGAGGCCCTTCTTCCCTTTACTCGGCATCAGGTATTCGGGGATATGCTTAAGATGCGGCTGGATGCGTGCAGCGCGCAGCTCGCCATCGTGACGCAGCTGCTTGAGTTCATCCGGGTTCTCCTCGAAATGGCGCTTGAGTTTCTCGGACTTGACCAGTTCCTGGCGGATTTCGCGCGCGCGAGCTTCCTGGATTGCGAGGCGGGTGATTGCGCGGAGGGCATCGGTCATTCGGTAGCGGAAGGCGTCGACCTGGGACATTTCGAAGTGGTATGGTTTGACCTCGTGGCCCTGCTTGGATTGGCGTTTGACGATTTTGGCGAGGACGGACTCATCGTGCTTCGCGCTGGTGATTGAGGTGGGCTTGTGTTTGCCGTATTGGTCGGCAGGGACGACGAAGGAGAGGGCCATGCCTGTTTTGCCGCCGCGGCCTGTGCGGCCGATGCGGTGAGTGTAGGATTTTGAGGTGGTGGGGAGGTCGAAGTTGAGAACGCATGCGACGTTCTGGAAGTCGATTCCGCGGGAGATGCCGTAGTCTTTCTCTTTCGATGTGAGCTTGCGGCGTTTCGAGGTGGATGAGGTTTCTTTTCTTTCTTCGTCTTCGTCGCTGGAAGCATTGGCGGCTTGCTCGGTGGCTTCGGAGGATTTCTTCGAGGATTTAGATGTTCCCAAGACTTCTTGCTCGTCGGCAGCGATGATGATATCGTAGACGCCCTTGTTGAACTCTTCGACGACGTGGATTCTGGAATTTACTGGGAGCTCAGAGTTGAGGACGCAGCTCTTGATACCGAATTGCTCGAGGAACAGTTTTACACGGTAGCATCGGTCAATGTCTCCAACGAAGATAATAACTTTGCCCTTGATCAGCTGGAGCTTGAATATAACATATGTCAGAAGGAATTTTTCGTCCTCCGCGCATCTATTTTATGGGTTAGCTCATGATAATCCAGCACCTCACAACCAGTGGGTGAATACTTACTTGACGACAAACTGGCTGACACCAGCGCCTTGATCTTCCTTATCCTCCAACTTCAACACCACAGGGTTGCGGCAGAACAACCCCTTCAAGGTATCAACCTCCGCTGTGAGAGTCGCACTCATGAGGAACGTCTGCACACCCCGAGGCACAGCCTTTGACAGAGCATTGATATCATCTTCGTATCCGTATGATAGCACCAAATCCGCTTCATCAATCACAAAGTGCGTGAGGTTCTCGAGAGACAAGGCCGAAGTTCCAAGATTGGCAATGACACGAGCAGGCGTCGAAACAACAATGTCCGGAAAATCAGCGAGCAGGGATTTTTGGACCGCATCCGAGACCCTTTGTGTTAGGTTCACCGAGCGAATATCCTTTCCACAGAACGCAGCGAACGTCGTGACGACCTTTTGGACTTGCTCAGCAAGTTCTCGGGTAGGGACGAGGATGAGGCCGGTTGTAGCCTTGAGCGAGGCGTCGGTCTATAACAGAGTACAATCAGCATACACCATCTTAGCCTCGTAGATATATCATCCAAGGGCCGAGATACGAACCGCCTTTTTCTGGAGAATAGTTTGGAGGATCGGAAGAACATATGCGGCCGTCTTGCCGGAACCGGTCTTTGCGCGGGCTACCTCAATTAGCAAGAAATAAAGAGCGAGAGCAATGTGATTATACCTAGAATATCTTTCCCCTCAAGCGCGAGAGGGATAGCCTTGGCCTGAACCGGGGTGGGCTGGCTGAACTTCTCTTTCACGAGGGCTTGGCGGAGTCGCGGATCGAGATTGAGGCTTTCAAAGCCCTCTGTGTTGTCGGTTTCTGTGTGATCCTTGGTGTCGGGAGCTTCCGGAGAGGGAACATCGTTTGCGTCAAGCTTTCTCTTCATTTTTCTGTTGATAGACGAATGGACTGGGAGAATGTCTTTGGGGGAGACGAGCTCTGGCCTCTGAAGTTTTGCGTCCAGAAAAAGTTCAGGGCGGTGGACTTTTCCGCGGCAGTATCGTGCTAGCGTCCCCGCTTATGGAGAAATACTCGAACAGGCTTAGTCTAAAACAGAAGTATATGGCACATTAACTAGAGGTAAACAACTAAAATTCATCTCGCGTATCGTATATGGCATTCTGGATCATATAGTAAGAAAAAAAAAGCGCGTATCAGAAGGATTAATAAGGTATTGCAGAGTAATCGCGAGGCAAAGACAGCGTATTAGTGACTTGAAACATCATCCGAGATTTATCGGTGTTGAAACGTATATAGTTGTCAGTCTTGTGTAGTAGTTATCGTATAATTCGTTGGTCAAACAGTCTTTGGATGTCGTATGTATGTGATCATATCTCCAGGGTCGTGTTTGGGGCAAGGGCCAAACACAATGACATTAGATCGCCAACTCGGCCCTCGCATAAGCAATGAATCTCGGCATTGATGCCGCTGAAATGACGCCAATAGGAAGCACCTTCACATTGTGCTCGACCGTGTATATCTTGCCAAAATTAAGTCTCGACTTTGGATGTAGTGTTTCGTCAAACCGTTCAGGGTCTACCTCTAGTGGTTCTTTCGTCGTCTCTGGCTCGTTTGAACCAAGTCTTGGAGGTGTATCAGCCATATGAACAATCGCATGTTTTGACGGATCGACACCGGGCTTCGCAAGCCCACGGCCACCATACGTGCTGATTGAACTGTGTATTGACCATTAGAATCCAGCACTGTTGTCGGTGGGTATTGGCTTCACTCACTAACACCAGGAATGCTGGTCGAAGGCTCTCAGGACTACCATGCGGCGGATGGTACTGTAAATCGCCTGGTTATACCTTCCTCGGAATAGAGGGCCGGCGCTCACATGCGTATTGTTGGCTCGCCCGTCGCGCCCGTCGCTCTCGTGCCACAAGATTGAAAAGACCTAGGAAGGATCAGCCACCTTAAAGACCAAAAGGCAACCAGACAACCGGAGTGTGCCTATTATGGAAATGCGTACCTTTCCGGGCTCAAAATAGTCCAGGTCTTGGACCACGTATCCTGGCACACTTAGTTGGAATTCATCGAAGTCACGGACAACAGACATACGTGGATCCAGTTCGCCTTGCGTGGACACACGATTGGGATGCTATCATGCAATTAACCTTGAATCAACTCGTTGAGGTCTGTACAGCTTACCCCTGGCTGTATGCTAATGTGGCCGCCCATTGTTTGCTGATGGTCCTCTGGAGATGGCTCATCCGGTCCAATCGCTTCCTCAGGCCCTTCTGGCTCATAGTTGTCATCGCCCTCAGCGTAGTCATGCTGGTCATCTTGCTCATAGCGCGCATCGTGTCGAAGGCGCTGGTCATTGTCATACCGCGGGTCGTGCGGATATCGTGGAACACCCTCTATACGCTGAGCCCGTCTATATCGCTGGTCGTACCCATACGACGCATACTGTTCTTCGTGCTCATACTGCTCTTCCTGCTGATGTCCAGGGAATGGCCTTGGATGGTGATGGTCGCCATAATAGGGGTCTTGGAAACGGGAATACCCTGATGGGGGACCGTGATCATAGTGCGTGTTGGATTGACCGGACAAATTATAGTGGGGGGGTTGTGCTCTATATTCAAGTAAGTAATGGACATGTTATTCGGTCAAGAGAACTCACAGGTCATGCGGCTCCTGGTAACGAGCTGTCCTGTCGTACTCAGAGTGTGGGTTTCGAGGCGTTGCAGGCGACCTAAGCAAGAGGAGTTGGCTTAGGCAGATCAGGAGAGTCTCGGTCAACAAACCTATGGAGGTCGGCGAATGGATCAGGCGTGCCATAAGCTGCGGCGTGACGGGAGGGTCGATTGCTGCGAGAGCCTGGAGCAACCGTAAGCATGTTCGCCCGCGTATAAAGGGCTTATCCATCTCACCGGAAGGGCGGTTACGGCCGTTATGGTAGATGTGGTGATTTTGTGAGCCGGACATGGTTGTTGCAGCATTGCCCTAGTTAGAAATTAGGCCGAGAGCCGTAGTGCAACAGTCAAGCTGCCCTCTGTGTCAGAGGAACTCGGGTAATGTTTGCACGTTGGCATGGACAGCTCGATGTCGTTGACATGCATGTTTAAATAGACCCGATGCACTGGGAGCAGCAGCTGGAGTCCTAGACGACGGCAACGATTTCCCACAGCGGAAAGGTTGAGGCTCTTTCAGATTGCGAACCCCCGCTTTGTGACAGCATTGTCGCTGGCCGGACACATGACGCGAGGTGCTCGCTCTCTAGCCTGCGCGAGACAATCAGCATCGCGCGCTCGGGTTGGTCCCAGATGCAGAGGGAGGATTGTGGAGGGATGGCTCGCATCGTTACCGGACAGCTGCAACGGGGATTTCATGCGCTAGGGACGGCGCGATCCAACCAGGTGCGGTCAGACGGCATCCCCCACGTTCAGCCCACTCGGATTGTCGGATAAAACGGGGTGTTGCCCTGCGACCTGTCGTCATTGCTGAGCGATGGAGATTACCAGCGGAGGAAGCAACTCTCGGCACCGGCAGCGCCCGTAGCCTGTGAGTTTCGTGACATGAGCAGCGTGCAAACAATCCTGGCCCTCCTCAAACTCTGGACTGCTCACACACTGGCTGGCCAGTCCACCTATCATATGCACAAAAAATGTGAGGCTTCCATCGACGTGTTGCATGCGGTCGTGGTTACCCAGCGTCAAAAGAATGGAAGATCATTCGCTTTTATTGAATATCGAGGGGTTGGGTTTCCATTCCGGGCCCCAACCTTTGTCTGGCGTCGAGATTGGAGCCCTAGCAAGCGAAAAGATTGCCTAACGAAGTTTATACAGGAGGAATTTCCGCTGGCATCTCCGCGGCGCTTCTGAGGCTTTTACAGGTATATCAGTTAAGATTACGGTCCCCGGAGGATCAACAGTGAGACTGGGACGCTGAGCCGAGCCACCCCCTAACGCACGCCCCAGTTCAACAAGGCTAGAGCTTCTTAAGCCCACGTGGATCGGGCCGTCCGCTCTGGTGGGAGTTTATCACTCCACGGCCCTGGCAGTGGCGATGGGGCAACGGGGCCAAAACAATCATGGACGGTCTCATGGTCACTGTTACCACCACATTCTTGAACTGGCGCGCCCGGGCAACCAAGGCTGTACGCTGGGGCTCGGTAAGTCCCTTATCTAGACCAACCCTTCCACCTTTTTTTCAGGCTGGTCCTGCAGAGGCGCAAACTTTGCTAAAAATGTCTCTCGTTGACCCACAGAATCGCAAACACAAGCACGAATCGCCGATCACGTCGCAGAGCTTGCGATCTAAAGAAGAACCAGATCCACCCACCCCGCAAAAACAGACGCGAACCAGCGATACATCCAGTTCTGCCAGCCATATCTACCATGCCGAGGCACGGGATCCCACTCAGCCAAATCAATCACAATTCTTATCAGGTCCGGAACCTGCTGGGACCGCCCAACCTAAGTTGGAGGATAACATACCATCGGCGGAACCTTCCAATGCTTTGATAGGACTCATTACATCCACGGGAAGCGAGATCCAGAAACCCGGGAAATCCAAGGAGGACGAAATTCTGGCCCTGAATGCGCGGTTGATTGAACAGCAAAAAGATGTCTCGGCCAAGAGACTGCAGGTTCGGGAATCGCGGACAGCCCTAAGGCACAAGCGCGACGAGGTCTCTGAACTCAGGTCTGAGTGGATGGAACAACTTAATACCTTCTTTGCACGTCTAGATCACGTCGATGAGGAGCTTCTACGAGGCTTCGAGCAACTACAGGGGGCTACGGAGGAGCACATGCACATGGAAAGTTCATACCACCAGGAGGAAGACCAACTGGAAGAAGAAGAGTACATGCTAACTCTATCCATGGAGAGCTTTGCCGCTCTTTCAGGTAGCGGATCCTCCCCTATCACCCCACGCCATCCTAGACCTTTAACCCAGCGCGCGGGCCCTAACACACGTCGGGAGCTTCCACGTTGTATCATAAGCTATCTGAAGCGAATAGCAGACGAACGAATGCTCCAGGAAAGTCTCTCAGAATTGGAATCAGAATGGTTTATCACTCTGGAGAGGCAGGACGAGAAATACCATCCCTTGGAAGCCGAGGACTCAGAATTCCTTAGGACATTCGAAAAGCAAAGAAGCGATATATGGAGGGACCTGACTAATGCCCAAATGGACGTGAACTCACTTCGCTTAGTCTGCATTGATCAGGGGTATACCAACTTTGATTACGAAGATCTCTCGTCCCTCAACTTATTCCAGTATGACGGAGAACGTATTTTGGAACCAAATAGAGACCCACTGAAGCTTGGCCTCGAGGAAGAATTTCTCTACATCTCTGGAAATGAGGCTCCAGATCAAGACTTTGACATGGCCCTGGACCTGCATTTGGAGACATCAGAGGTACCCCCCTCTGAGCACATCCGCTTCATTCCGAACCCGGACCACAACAGACCGCATAAATCTGCGGAGTTCGTCAATAAATGGATGCTTCATAAGCTCAGAATATCGTCAATGGGCATATGGCACCTTCAACACCTGCCCATCTGGGGTCCATTGCGCAAGAAGGGCTGGGAAGACCATGATATCAGCCGGTATGTTCTCGATCGATGGTACTTTGACGACGCGGCGCTGGCGCCGCTGTCAAGTACTTCCTACTATGGCGGTGGTGAGACTATGATAGCCCCCACTACTAAACGCAAACATCGTGTGAAAAGCCGATCTCTACCACCTCCTTCTCGCTCACCTCGCAAAGTTCCGTTGCAGCGGTACCGGACTTTCCCTTCAGCGCTCAAAGGGGCGTCGATATCTGTCTCTACTTGATTTTTCTTTGTTTACTACCTTGTGGGGTCATCTCCCTGGCCATCCACTCATTCCTTGACCGTATCTTCTGAACTTTTTTTTTGTTTCAATGCGCATTCGGGTATAGAACGGCATCTCGGAGGTTATTACTGCTACTGATCTTCTTTCTCGGATTCTTCTTTTCTTTCTTCAGACTGCCTATCTGTATTACTATACCACTTTCATTTTCGGCATATCACTTAGCGTACATTTTGGCGAATCTTTTCATCAGATTGTGGTTTCATCAACCTTTCTATTTATCCGTGCATTCAGGGTGTCCCCGGCCTCGAATTCATATGCAATGGGCTAGGTCTATCCTTGCATTGAGTTAGATACACGTAAAGAAGATTCGCAAGAACATAAAAGAAACGACAGCTTGCGCAGTGATATCATATAGTGGTGGTAGAGCAGTAGGCAACAGTACAAGCGAAGAGAACTTATCGCAATCCAGATAAGAAATACAGTTCGAGTTCCATTTCCATTCCTGTTTCCCATTTCCCATTGCTGTTGATCCGTATAGCGCTCCTATCGTAAAAAGAAAAAGAAATAAAATCTTAACGCTGGTGGACTCCATTCTCGTGATGTTGTTGCTGGCCTTGAAGGCTCGGTTTCATTCGCGAAGGTTCGATTCCACATAAGCTCATTGCTGACCAAATCCCTCGTGGCGCCCCGGGGAATATTACCTTTCAGTCAAGTAGTGGGATGGGGGCGATGACAGAGACAGACAGGCTCATCATGAATATCGAGTCTCATCGCCATCACTATCACTCAGACTATCTCTGCGCCGGCTGCGTGCCCCTTCACGACGGTAGCCCTTACTCAGACCCGGAATCGGATGATGGTAGCTGACCGTACCGATGTCCTCCTCCTCAGTCCCGACATTCGAGTACTGATAGTCCGAGCGTGAAGGCGTAGAGGATGAGAAGTCCAACGGCTCCGTGTAGTGGCCCCCACCGGCAGCGGCCGAGCGGGATTCCCTCTTACGCGGGCTGCTCTGACGAGACGAGGATGATGTGGGAGGGTTCCGGCGGCGTTCACGGCGGCGGTTGTGTCTGCGGTTCGACGGTTCGTGGAGCATGCGTTCTGTTGTGGTTTGAGAGATTGTCTCTTCGGTTCCAGGGACGAAGGAAAAGTCGCGTTCTTTCCGAGGCGGTTCGTTGTAGGCATAGTCGCGGACTTCGCTCATCTCGCTCCGGTTGTAGTGCGTGGGTGGGGCGGAGGTGTCGTAGTCGCTGCCATAGTAGGTGCCGTCTGCTTCGCGGTTGATGCCGCCGATTTGGGCGGGTTTCTCCTTGCGGTAGGCGCGCACGTCCTCGTCGGCTTCACCCTCGTATGCCTCGTTTCTGTGTTTGCGGCGGAACTTGTCCCGGAGGTTGCGCTTGCGCTTAGGTTCCTTCTCTGTTATTGTGGTTGCTGTATCGCTGTATCCGGGGGCGGTGTCGGCGACTGTGTACCCGTCATCGCTGTAGCCTTTGCCGACAATGCTACCTCCGCCTAGCTTTGTGCTCCGGGTGGCGTTACTGAGGGTTCGGCCGTCGGGGCCCTTTCGCCGGAGGACAGTCGATTTGTATTCGTCCCAGTCGCCCTTTTGCCATCTAAAGCCGCCGTTTTTTGCCCAGAAGAAGAACCAGATAGAAGCGATAACAAAGGCCGCACCTAGGATACCAAATAGTGCGTACAGACCGCGCATGTTGATGTTGCTCGGGTTGACTGAGCCTTCTCCGGGGTGGTATGTTCGGTCGGCACGAGCAATTAGGGCATGGGTGTGGTCTGCATCGAGTGGTGTGAGTGCAATATCGTGCTTGGCATCGCGGGAGGCATGTAGGTGGGTGTTTCTGATGCCGTCAAAAATGGATCGACCGAGAATGCTGGGGAACCACCCCGCATGCTGGACTGGAGGCATGGTTGATAGAGCTGTCGAGAGCAAACAGCTCAAGACGAGACTCTCAAACGTGGGCTAGCAACCAGCTACCTCGTCTACCAAGACCCAAATTCCAACCGTGGTCAAACAATGTGTGTGTTGTGTGCGCTATGTGAAGATCCCAGTCCCTCTGTCCTGTATAGTTCTCCGGAGCAGTTGCGCGAGACGGATCTAGACAGACAATCGTCGAGATCAGAGTCAGTATGTCAATTTCGTAGCAACTTGAGGTATCAAGATTGAAGTATCATCAAGCAGGAAAAATGCAGTCAGAGAGGATCGAAAGATCGGGTCCCAGCCCGAAAATACGGTGGTTGGAGGAAATGGAGAGGCTGGGGATGACGCTCTTTTGTTTGGGTTGTTCCCGTGGCCGGGGTAACCTGCTGAGTCATCCATCTTATCAGAGGCGCTAACCTCGATATGGATCTATTTCTCCAGCGGAACTGAACCTTCATTGAGGGGTCAATGAAGAGCCATCAACGTTGATTAACCGCACTGTATCAGCTCTAAACTAGTAAACGGCTTGACGCGACCGCTCAAACACCGCTCTGATATTACTACAGACGAACATATGCCGACTAGCGGTGCATCTAGGACAGACCTGAATAAGGGCACCGTCATGCTTGCTGAGTTGCACTGCGTATATGTATGCTCTAGCTGGGGCAGGTGAGGCGACCAACGGTCAAGCCTTATTGATGCTTCCTACGCACATGACTGAAGAAGTAGTGGAAGTACGGAGTAGTCATGCGGTTCTCAACTCCAGCGACATCTACAAGTGAGACCTGATCTTATAGATAATTGAATTGTCAGTGTTGACAGCCTAGATAAGGCTTGTCTGCTTAGTGGTGCGGGAGACGGCATAAAGGCAGGGTTCCTGTGCCACAGCGAGCGGGCGACTGTCACACGGCGAGCCAAATATTGTTCGGACAGACGTTAGGCTCGTAATCATTGCTGAGTGGCAATTTCGACAAAGCATGCAGGCCCGTGACTCATGTAGTACACCTGTTTGGTGGGGATTGGGCAGCAATTTGGTGTGTCGAATTGCGGATTCTCTTGTGGCGAGGGATGGCTCAGCGCGGGGCAGGCGGGGTGACAGAATGGGATCCTGTCGAGTATCTATCTTATCTCAATCTCGTCATTCAAGTTGTCCTGATCTGATAGCGAGATGGATAGAAAAGAAAGAAAAGGCGGTCGATCGTCGGGACAGAATGACGTAGAGAAATTAATAGAGTTGAAGGGCTATCAGCCTCAGATGGATGGAGCCAATAGAAGTTGCCTTTGCGATTGAAAACCTTGAAGACGTGCAGATGGAGACTAACCAAGACCTTGGGCAAAGCTGCCCCTCAGCGGAGTCGATATCCCAAGAAGCTGTTGGGAACTTGGGAGACAACAAAAAGCGGCTTTCTCACTGCTTGAAGTGACTCACCTTGGACGACTGCGAGATCGTCTTTGCAGCAAGAGTCCTTGGATATGGAGCTTCGCCCCCGTGAGGCGGAGAGAAAAAGAAAGCACGCAATGCCCGAGGGAGGCTGTTGCGAAAGCAGACGGGTGAAGGCTGCCGTGTAATTTAGAGAGAGAGACAAGCATCCCCTGTCAGCGGCCAACGAATAATGTGTCGGTCTGGGCGGGAGGGCAATTGTGGACTGTGGTTGTAATTACTCACAGTGAAGCAGCCTCCGTGTGGGAATTTTTCTAGCGTTCTTCTCCGACTTCTACGCTGTTTCTCACTGAAATCCGCTCTCCACTTTGAAGGGCTGGAGCTGACTAAAGTTTTGGCTTGGGCAGGTTTGTCCGGTTGCTGGCCCCTCCCCACAGTGAAACTCAAGCCGTTGCCAAAGTAGAACGTCAAGGTGATCGAAGCGTTCTGCAATAATATGTTGAGGTGCGGTGTAGGTGTCAGACGGACAGTTCGGAATCCAGCTCCAGGAAATAATGCCATTGAGAGAGAGACTCTGTCTCTCATCTGCAGATCTGAATGGGAACAGGAATTCGACAGTTGTGGAGGAGAACGCTATTGGGCCGCAACCGGCAGCCCGTCCTCCTCCGTGCATAGACTTTGGGCAGCAGGACGGCGCAGTAATACCGGGAAAATTGGAGTGGCGTATCCTTCACTGAGGACGCTGAGATGGCATGTTGGCTCTGTTTCAGCCGAAAATCCTCGAAAATAATAAGAGCCTTGGTTTTGGACTAAGAATATCCTCCGAAGTAAATAAATTCGAGTTCCATGGTTGGCCCCGTTCTCAGATCCAGGGTTTCCGCGCGGGCCGTCTCGATTCTGTGGAGTGGCTTATTTCCACACTGGTCCTCTTCGGCGACGATCATTAACGGCGAGGTAACTATATTGATTCAGAGACTGGTTGTTGTTGTAGTATGAGATCTGGAAGCCAAAGGTATTTTCTCCAGTAACACTGATTTTATCAGGTTTGAATGTTATAGAACGATGATCACAACCTGATTGATAGATCTTGCAGAAGCCTCCATGGGGCAGAGCATAGACGTGCATCCATATCTCCGAGAAACTTCCAGACACGCTGCAGGGAAGTTTGTGATGGAACTATATCTTTGAAAGGGCTAAGCCAGAGGCTTGTGGACATTTGGTCTACGAGATCACAGACATCCGATGGCTCCTTCCATCGGTTCATATCCAGGCATACCATAGGTTTCTTATTCGCTTGCCTCACTCGTGATGGTAAGCACACTGATCTCCAACAGACAACTACGTTGTAGATGGAGAATAAACTTCTTCTTCTCGATCTTGTCGTGCAACCATCACATGTCCAATTCATCGGTGGGAGCACGAGCCGTTTTGTAGAGTTTCACAATCTCCAGCGAGTTCTGCCTACCGAGTACTTGCCTCCGGCAAAGTGATACCGAGCCCCTTCCTTCAATCCGTCATGTTTAGAATCTGTTTGAGACTGCCGCGGCGAGATTCATCTGGGGGAATGATATCCACGAACATGTTTCGGAGGTATGCAGCTATTGTTATCTCATCAAGTGCTCCATCGAGTGTTGTTCTGAGAGCTTGCTACCATACGCTTGAGGCCCCCAGAATGGCTCTGCAGGATGCTAAGTCGGTGACTCCTTGCGTCGCAAGTTCAACTCTGTAACTGTAAAAGACCCTGTCAGACGAGCACTGGCCCCGATCTCCGGCAAGTAATGCCACGTAGGTTCGTCGTAAAGGCCACATCCTTCCGGGGTATTTCCAATGACGAAGAATGTTTGGATCTGTCAGCCTTGAGCCACAGATACGCCGAAGTATGGGGAGACTTCACCTGGTGGGAGGCTGCTGCGTCTGCATGCTGTCTGCCTGCTGAGAGACGGTCGCCTGGGGGCCAGCGACGGTGACCATATAAATGCCGGACGCGATTCGGCCACGACGATGGGAGTATTTATACTTGATAAACGGGCAGCACGATGATTGACGGCTCTGTGAAATGATACCACGACAAACCGCTAGTATCCCAGCGTCAGACTCATCCCTCTTAGCGGCAGATCAGGCATCGTTCGGCAGCCACTCGCCTCTCTCCTCCCCACCTCTTTGTCGCCCTTCCGATTTTCTGCGATTATTTCAGAGCGAAAAAAAAAGTGGTTGAGCTATCGTATTCGTCATACTCCAGACCACGAGAATCGCGATTTTTTTTTTTTTTTTTGAATCCCCGGAAGGAAAAAAAAAAAAGAAGCCCAGTGCAGCAAGGGGGTGCAGATAGAACGAGATAGAAAAAGGACCCTCCTCCGGCTAAGATCATGATTGCGATCCGTTTCTTTGCGAACTCTTCTCTTCAACAAGACATACTGCGACTGTCTTTGGTGGCTCCAAACGCACTGTGATTATTTTTCTCAGTTGGGCTGCGACCAACTTAAAACCGACTCTCGCGTCTGCGCGTGCCCATCTGGCCTTGCAGCACCGTCACTTCTTTTTCTCCTTCGCTCGCCTTCCCCTCTTCTTTCCGTCAGTCAATCATCACTCGTCCTTCCACCATCACTGACTGACTGGGTTAAAGTGGCCTTGATACTCTCTGTGCCCGATCTGCTCCTCTTCTCGTCTTCTCGCATTCTTCCTTCTTTTCCATCTCCACAGTGCACCCCACCTGGCCTGTCTGTTCCCTTCATCAGGCCCAGATCCGTCCTTTCTCTCCCAAACCCCTCCAACCGCCGTTGGTTACACGCTTCACACACTGCAGCCTCTCGACTTTTTCCTCTTTTAGCCCTCCACTCACCGTCTGCCAGCCGACAACTGCACCTTGTCGCGCGCGCTTCCTCGCTCTTCTTTCGTCTTCGCCTAATTCGTTCGTGGATGCGTTCCTGTATCGTCTGTTCGCTCCCGCCCGATTCCTCCGTCCACCATCCACGTCGTCGCTAGCCCTGCGCCAAACCTTCTTGACCAAACATCTCTTTTTTTTTCGATGGAGACACTGCTATCTATGGACGACGCTGCATCCACCCTTCATCGCTGACAATCACCGATCTAGACGCCTTCACCAGTCTCCGTCTGACTAGCTGATCTGCACTTCTGGACCTTTCCCTTCTCTTGCGACTCTCCCCATAGTGTGGGTTCCCAGAGTGAAACAAGAAAGGGGTTGACAAGGACAAAGTGGGAAGGAAAAAATCAATTGGGAAAAAGAAAAAAAGAGGAAAGGGTCCAAGGGGAAAATTTTCTTTGACTCATTTGAGCAAAAGGTGGCAGCACTAGCTGCTCTATCTGACCAAAACCCCCCCGAAGCCCTGCTGGATCAGCACGTTTCACGTCATCCGCAATCGTGCCTTCACCAAAACCAACCCCTCCTCCCGCTTGGGGACCCAACCCGGGCCTTGGCCGCCGAAAAGTCATGTCGAGGAAGATTCCGCAAGCTGCTTTCCTTGAGGATTATGACGAGGATGCTCATGCTACTCTCCCGGAAACCCGCCAAACCGCCAACCTCACTGCCAAACGTTCCAAGCCTGACCTGAAGAAGTCGACCAGAGAGCCTTTCGTTGAGGCTGCTAGTGATTCCGGCTATTCGAGTCGCACGGCTGCCACCGTGAACAGCACCCAATCTGCCCCGTCGGGCCGGAAAAGCCCCGGCCCTCTTAAACTCGACACCTCCCTGAGGAGGGCTGATTTGGAGCGAGTTCGTTCGAGAACCAAGGATCGACCACAACGAGATCACAGTGCTCGCCCGACACGCGAAGACAAGATGCACGCCGGTCCCTATGCTGGTTACTCACCAGCTCACACCCCGCGATCACCGTCCAGAGGCCAGAGACTCGAGCGAGCCTACACCAACCACTACCCTAGCAGCTATTGGGACCATGAACAGGGATTGTATCATGCCACCACCCCTGTTGAGCCGCGGCAGAGAGAATACCAGTACCATTCATCGCGTGCATCCACTGCATACGACTATGCTCCGTCGTCACCCCAAACAGCGCGATACCCGCCGTCCACGGTCGTTCAGGTCTCACACAGCAGCCGCCCAGCCGGGCGGGTCGCTCGCTCGAACTCATACCACGCCAACAACCGACCGGTGAGCTACCATAGTGGCATGGGCCCTCCCATGGGCGGGGTTGTGTACAGTCAATCCCCAATGAGCCGTTATGAGTCTGGTCCGCCTCTATCCTCCTCAGCTTACGCCAATACGCCGGCATACCCGCCCGCCCCCTCCTCGCTATACTCCCAGCCTCCGGGTTACTATCCTTACCTCGATGCCGCTAGTCCACCTGTGCATGGGGACCGTTCGCTCTCGCGGCCAAGGGATCAAACCCGCATGCGTCGTCCCTCAATCTATGAGGGACCTTCTCCAGATGACTACGGTACTTCTGAAGAAGAGGAAGAAGAGGAGGAGGATGAGGAGTTGGAGGATGAACTGGAGCCAGTCCCGCAGCAACGGCAACCACCTCCGCCACCTGCACATCTTCCCCGTCAAGCTCGCCCACGACTGCCTTCCCACTCTATGCATGACCGCGGCGATGAGGACTATTACCGAACCATTCAGCCTCCTCCGGTTAAGCACAGGGCAGCTCCTCAGATCATCCAAAAGCGGCCGGAACTCCCACGCAAATCTGCCACTACCGCCTCTGTCATGGGTGAACGTCGTCCTTCGCGGCCTTCTCTTGACTTAACTGACCTCCGGGACCACCTTCCTGAGTATGGTGGATATCAGAGATCGTCCCGAGAGATCATGATCCCTGAGCGGAACCGAAGCCTTCGTGGGGAGAGACGCCCTTCGATGGCTTATCACGATTCCTCCAGGTCCACCCGCCAGATCGCCGTTGAGAACTCCGTGAGCCGTCGACGTCGGCCTATAATCTATGACTTGCCTCTGGGTGATGAGATCGAAGAGAAGCAGCGCACCGCTGAAGAATATCAGGCGTCTCTCTCCGGCAAAAGTGGGGCTGTTCAAATGCCTCTGACTGCGGATGCCTTAATGACCAAGGCGAATTCCCGCGCAGGGAGTGATAGCGGAAGCCACAAAAGCCGGTCGGCCAGCAGTCGTGGTAGCGATGCTCGAACCCACTCCGGTAGTGGCGTCCTAACCACCACCCGCCCCGAGGAGGACAACAACAACATTGTTATGACGATGAACGGAGTGACGATGAGTTTCACGCAGGAGTCTGTTGGCGGCAAGCGCATCAGCGTGCGGACAGGTCAGACTGGAGCTGTTGAGTTGAATATCGAAGGAAAGCGCCCGAAGAAATACCTTATGGGCGGCTCCGAATATACGGCCGCAAGCAGCAATTCCAGGAAGGGTGACCGCAAGTCTGATCGTGCAAGCCGACACTCCGGTCGGTCGATCTACAATGGTGGTCGTCGCTAATTGGCGCTTTCGTCGCTCTGCTGCAACGTCGTTTCTGCTTTGTTTTCCCTGAGAAAAGACCACTGGGGACTTGGAACTAAATGAGATCAAAGGAATAGCCATCATGGCAATGGCACCGATCCGTCTAAGGTTGCCTTTATGCCAGGGGACCCGTTCCCACTGGGAAATTGGCGACTGGTGATATCAGAGCAATGCCTGTCTTGGGCCATGACTTTGAGCTCTCGAGGACTCCTTTATGCCAGTGGACTACGTCTTGGGAACAAACGAGCAGGAAATGGCCGCAAAACAGCGCTTCTTCATACGTGTTATTTTCTTTTCTTGGGAACAGCAAAAGTTTGATGGTTTTGGGTTAAAAAGACTGGCTTTGGAAAGGGAGGCTTCTTCGTTTTTTCGTCCTGGGCATCGACTCGAATCATCTCCTCCGCTACAAACAGCGGGATTCAACACTCCGTCTCTCATGGTTCCACGTGATTGTATGACTCGATGACCTGCAATGATTCACCTTACGCCTGATGTTTAGTTCGTGCTCATGTCATACTTATGGTTATGTTTACGTTTTATGTTGATGTGTCATGTCATGTCATGCCATTTATGCACCTCTTGTTCACCTTGCATCTGTATAACTTTCTTCTGGATAACCCAGCTTGTTTCTTCATCGTTTGTTTGCGTTGTTTTCATGGTCAGTCAGCATTGAAGAAATGAGTCCGGATTGCTGGAGGAAAAGATATACCCCTTGTTCTTTTTGTCGTCTGTTTTAGCAATGCATACATCCTTACCCTTATTTCTCCCCACTGGATTCACTTTGACTCCACTTTTGTTTCTCATTCTCATCATCCTCTCTTCGTATCCGGTATTCGTTTCGCTTCGGACGTCGCCCATCCAACAATGATACCCTTGCCCGGCATGTACTTTTGTCCCTTCGGCTTTTCCTGTTCCCGACATCTATTGTCCCTATATTTTCTTTTCTTCCTTGTCGATCAACTTTCGCCGGCTTCCCTTGCCTGTTGGCCTATAGTCGAGATGGTAGAACGTGGATGGAATATACATATCAATATTCTAACTCAGTCTTCTCTCTGTCCTGTATTTTATTCCTAATTCTAGAAGGCTCTGCTCCATCCCGGGGCCTGTTGAGCTTTTAGCCTTCCGAGGCTCCTTGCGCTTGCAAGTGTCCTTATGCGATGCAGTGTAGTGCACTGTACCGACCTGGGTACCTGCTCTCTGTATGTATGTGCTATGTAATGCATGTCCCTTACAGACCGGTGGGAAATATGCACAAGAAAGCAAGCACCTTTCTGTAATAAGATCGTACGAACCCATGCATCGCATCTTCCACGCATACTGAATGAATTCTTGATAAGTATTTGGCACAATCAGACATAATGGGGATGCATATTTGCAACCCATGAATCGACGGATGAGAGGGACGAAGAAAGGTTGAGCAGAAAGCCTAGCGAATATTGCTTACTGGCGTCAAGGATTGGACACATCCCAAAGGTCGTTCTAGCACTAAGAGCATAGGAATAGTCTTCACCCAGAGCACGAGCACCACGGAACAGCGCAGTCCACTAAGGGAGTGCTTTATATATGGAAATGGCGGAAAGCCTCCTCCTCCTCCGCTAGATTTTGGGCTCTCCCTGCGATATGCCTAGGGGCACGGTGTGGCAGAGTTGGAACCCCAGTTCAAGAGCCGCTGACTATCTACAGATTATTTCGGCTGGGACGTATAGATATTTCAAGTTGTCCATGGCCATTCCGGGTAGGCCCCCATTACTTGAGCATATTTTCAGGCCAGGGGCTTTGATTGGGTTCTAACTAATAAACACAAGACTGGCAAGAGAATATAAACATCAGAATATACACCGCGACAGGATATGGTTCTTACTGTACCCTTCCCATTCCCCATATTGCCATTCCTCAACTATTATGATGGCGCTGTCCTCCGAAGCAGTAATAGCCCTTGCTGGTCTCTTCATCGCATGTGTTCCGGGCCTATGGTTCTTGATTCGTCGAATCCGTCGCCGGCGAAGAATGGATCTGGACAGTGATAATGAACTCCCATTGCTTTCCGTGGCAGGTGAGTGGCCACGTACATATTGCTACTGAAGCTCTCATGCTTTCCTCTGTCTCTCTTCCCCCATGCTGACCAAATACGGTTGTTTTGAGGTACATAGAGAACAACTACACGAGTAGCCCTCAGGCCAACCAAGACGTCAATCCAAGTCCACCCGGCTCTAGACATGCCATTGATTCTCGTTTCGTCCCTACGCCTTCGGTCAACCAGACGGACGGCTATACCTCTGGAGGTCCGTTGCCAATTCGTGTCGAAGGAGGCTTTGCCTACTATGGTTTTATTGAGGTATGGTTAGAATTTGTTGCTCTGCGTTGGTGGATGTTAATCTTGCTTCGTGCAGTCATGGAGGGCGGCAGGTCATATATACAGCACGCCACAAGGGGGACATTTTGTATAGAGGAGAATATCTCGACCTTGTCTATATATTCCTATTTCCTTCCTCTTCTTACTGTACTATAGGTCTTGAACAATCTGCATATTAGATAAATATCGGAGGCAAAATATATATATCTAAACGAGGATCAACCCTTGATCATTAAAAAGATCCTAGTAACAGTAAGTCTCAAATCAAGGTATAGTGAGAAGAAGTGTACATAATTTATCATCAGTATGAAATGCATAACGCCCAAAGTGGTTTAGATTTCAGTGTACAAGTGCCCACTCAAATCTAAACCCTTTCTGGTTGTGGGCAGTTACATCAAACCAGCCTAGCGATCCCATATCAGTCAAGGCGTACGTTTTCCAAGGTTCCAGCTCCAAACCTTCTTACTAGAGGACAAGGACGAGCAGTGGTGGCATACTCGAGCTCAAGGGGCGGAGAAGCCCAAGCGCAGTTGCCAAAGAGGCGGTTCGAGTCTTATGCTTTGTCCTCGATCCGATACATCCAAGGTGTATATACGTTCAAAGGGATTATGATGGAGATCTATGTTACGTGAAAAAGCTTGCACGTTCACCTCCTCAAAGTTGCTCAAATAAGAGTGCTCCCATTTGACACAACATTCTTCTCCATTTTACCCGACACTCTGTACCTCGTCCGCCCTAACAATCTAGCAGAAATGACCCTACCCGTTGAAGTAGCAATCGGCCTAATAGCCCTACTCGTCACCTGCCTCCGAGGAATTTGGTACCTCTTCCGTCGAAATAGCCGGCTCCGCCGCTGGTGGAATTCCAGTTGCATAAGTAGTTCGCAGGATGGTGGTCGCGCAGTGAGCTTCCGCTTTATCAAATGTCTCGTATGCTCTACGGTGCTCTATGCTACCATGTTCTAAGATCAAATATTGCTGGTTGTTCTAACCCGGCGTGCGAGCGATGTTATCTAGCCTAGGCTATAATGCTGACTCTGGCAATGACATTGCTGGACTACCCCTCTTAGAAAGTCCTCCGGTACTTTCATTGGTCCTGAGCACTCCTCTCGGTATATATATAGGGAATGCAGTCATGGATATACCTCTCGAGGGCCACCATTATCACTACTACCACGCCTGCAACCGCCATTAAGTGACGAAACGTGCTTGGTCTATTATAGATGTACTGAGGTACGTATAACCCAGTCCTGTGGTAGTCTGCCTTCGATTTCCTGCGCAAGGTGCTAATCTACAGGTTCTAGACATGTAGGACAACAGAAGATGTGCGTGGTTTCCCGATCTTGTATGAGGAGCGGCTGGAATAAGTGGTTAAAGTTAGGGAAGAAAAAGGGATGGAGTTATAGAATTAATTATTCTCTTTTGATCTGCATTATACACTAGCAAACCCAAGTCTTGAGGCTCTTATGGTACATGGTGGCCGTCTCGTCATTCGAACTATGTCATGATATACAACAATCTAACCCGAGTCACATACTATACTATTTCCAGCTCAACAACCCCCCCGAAAAAGCGAGAAGAGATGCCTAACTCCTCCTCAACACCAAGGCAATATACCCAAAAAGTCTATAAACCGCAATGATCCCAATTAAAATGCCGACCCACTTCCCCGTCCTACCCGTGGCATACCCATACGATTGCAGCACCCCCGTTCCACGAATCTGGCACTGGTCCGCCAAATCTGTCTGGTACATACAATTACAACCCGCGTCACAGTTGAAAACACGATCGTCAAACTCGTTGACCATCATACCCTGGAAGACATACGCCTGGTAATCGATGTAGTGGAAGACGTATTTCCAGAATGGGTTGAGGATCGTCGGGGAGACGAGGAAGCCGCCGACGCTCATCCAGAGGCCGTTTGCAAAGGCGACAAGGGCGAGGGCGATGACGAAGTTTGGGAAGATGGAGGTGACGAAGACGACGAGGGATTCGGCCGCGAGGAGGTCGAGGAAGAGCCACATTACCCAGCTGAAGAAGGCGGGCGCAGTAGGCCGGAAGTTGGAGAGCCAGTAGGAGACCACGGAGAAGAGGATGGATATTAGGACTGCCTTGTTAGATGTCAGTTGTTTTGTAAGTGGTGGAAGGACTTACAGAGGAACGGAAGGCCGATGATAAAGTTGGAGATAATGAAGGGGAGCGCGCCGTAGAGACCGTTTGCGCGCTCTTTGGTGAATGTTGCTCGGTCTTCGAGGAAGGCTGGGACGTAGGCGACTGCCATGAAGCTCATGAATGCCGAGCCGAAGAACTGATGGGTTAGCGTGGACTTATATATGGTTATAGAGGTGAACTTACAATCGCATTGATGAACGGTTGGATATGTTCCTGATCCGTCTTCAAGCGCAGCCATACCGTCCCCATCATGATCGCCAGGCCTATTAAGTCAGTATTTCTGTACCAGGATTGATAGGTGTATAGGACCTACCCATATACATAACGATGCGAATGCCATAGGCTACGACATCCCGATAACTTTTGATGAACAAGCGGTGCAACAGAGAAAAGGTAATGCTGAACAAACCAGGATGGCTGGCCTCATCCACCGTAACCTTTTTGCTGCCATGCTCGGCAAGCTCTGCGCTCTGCTGTGCCACCCGACCTTTTTCGGAAGATTGTGCCCATGCCGCCTGAATCTTCGCCACATCATCCTGCGCCGACGGCTTATCCGCTGCAAAGTCGGAGCTGACCATGTCGAGAATAAACTCGGCAGGGTTCGTCTGAAGCGGAACTGGATATCCGATGCTACCGAAATAGGACGGTACCTCACGGACCGGGCCGAAGTAGCACGTTTTGCCGCCGGAGAGAAGCAGAAGCTTGTCGAAGAGTTGGAACGTCGCCGTGGATGGCTGGTGAATACTTGCGATAATAATGAGCTTCGCGAGTCAGCCAACCAAGCACTCTGTTTATGCAAATCCTCCCTACCTTATTCGCGCGCGCCAGTTTCTTGACATATGAGATAACTTCATAGCTTGCCGTCGAATCCAATCCGCTCGTGGGCTCGTCGAGAAAGAGAATCTTGGGACATGTGATAAGCTGACTCGCAACACTGACCCGCCTCTTTTGTCCACCACTAATCCCCTTCCTGATCGGAGTGCCAACCAGCGTAGACGCCTGGTTTTGAATACCGAAGGCCTCGAGGAGTGTCTTGATTCGTTCCGCTCGCTCCGACTTGCTCACGAAACTAGATCGCCACGCCCGTTAGCATATCTCGAAACCTCATACTCACAGGCGCAGTCATACCCCGGCAACGACAGATCGGCCGCAAACTTCAACGTCTCCTTCACCGTCAACGACCCAATCAGCGCATCTTCCTGCTCAACATACGAGGTAATCCGGCCGAAAGTCGCATTGTCAAGTTCGCCGCCATTAACTCGACAGTTCCCGGTCGTTTTGGCGCCAGATGAAGCGGCACGTCGCGCAAGAACGTTGAGTAGAGTTGTCTTGCCGCAGCCGGACGGGCCCATGAGGGCTACCAATTCGCCTGTCTAGAGTCAGCCACGCGTCCGAGAAGTACCTTGCGCCGACTCCTTTCTTTTTCTTTTCGGTTGCCATAGAAGACCAGTGGTGAGCTAACGGACCTTGTTGAACGTCGCCATTGATATTCTCAATCAGATTCCGAGGCTGTTTCGTTCTGCGGTCCTTAACCGTAACCGTGAGCGCATTCCAAGAGAAGCTCTGCACCGAGTCGTTCATGAGAAACTGGTGACCTGCATTGTGTTCCAAATCGCGGGGACCCAGCCCGTCGCTTGAGGAACTGTATGCCATGATCGAGCGGGGCAAAGTATAATCAAACAATTAGGATAATAATATAGCAAACCTCAGCGCAGGTGTTCGTGCTGAGACTAAAAGCAATCCATGTAAGGGCCCTCGAGTACAGAAAAAAAGAGACTCGAGCGGCGTACTCTGGGACCAGGACAGGGCTGCGCCATTTTATCAGTCGTGTAACGGGGACTAGCGGGCCCCTCCCTGTATTTCAGAAGAGCGAGGAGAGCGGCCAGTGACGGCGCTAGAGCCAGACGGCGACATGGGCTGAACAGACAAGGAGTTCAAGCGAGGCGCCAGCAGCCGGTGAGGGTGAGAGCAAGGGAGGAAAATGCTGGAGACGGCGTCTGAGCGTCTAGAATGTCTGTGGTCCCCGAGGCCCGGCCCGCCTGAGGCATCAATCATCAATGCCATTGTTGTCCGTCCCCGCAGTGGATCCGCTCTACAATCAAAGGAATTTGGCTTCTTCATTACTCTCAAAATCAGCCTTCCCAAGCGACATTGCGAAATCTCCGACTCGTGCGAATGGACCAGTTTCATATGTATGCCTGGCAGCATTTCACACCTCCTGTGTTACCTCGGCCGTTTCGAATCATGAGCTGAACCCACAGCCACGATAATATCTACTGGGATGACCGCTAGTCCGCCTGACAACGGTTGGCCGGGAACCAGGGTCCCCCGGTCGATTGAATTATTTCTCCGCTCCAGGTGCGGCCACGAATCATACCATTGTCTGAGTTTTAGTGAAAGGGTTGTCTTTGTCCGCTCACCTTGGTTGGTGCAGTTGGCACCGGACCAGAGCCACTAGGCAACGCCGTCCTCGGGCTTTAACAACAAGTTCGCCGTCAATTTAGGCGAATAATGGAGCCATGGCGCGGACCTGATGAACTGTCTCTTGCCCTAACACGAAGCTCCGTCGATCGAAGCAAGAAGAAAATACGGTCTGGCTCGTGGGTGGCCGAGTACAAAACTGGCTGATCCTCAGAGTTATGAAACCACAGCCTAGCCAGCAGAGTCTACCTGCATGGGTGCACTACGACGTCACCTGCATTCAGCTTAAGATTTGGAACCAGTTGAGTTGGGGAAGTTCTTATATTCCGCTCTTTGAATATTTGAACTAAATAGTCGCTTTGTTTTATTTGTCCAATATCGCATTTACATTCTATCACACGCATGTCAGCAAGGTTTCACATAACATCAGAAGGTAGCTTACCGGCGAACAGGGGTGAGACCGAGAATCCGCATGCCGTTATGCAGGACTTGCCGGGCCGACTCGTACAGCGCCAGACGGGCCTTCTTAACCTCGGGCTCGCTACCCACAATTCGGAGTGTGTCGTATCCTGAGCTCAGGATGTGCGTCATGCGGAAGAGGTAGGTGAGGATGGTGGTGGGTTCAAGTGTCTTGAGGGTGTTGAGAACAACATCAGGCCACTGTGACAGCAAGCGGACGAGGTCGGTGGCGTGGGTCTCGGTGAGGAGGTCGAGGTTGGCGGAGGGGAGCTCCTCGACGTTCAACTCTGCCTTGCGGACAATGGAGCAGAGACGGGCGTGGGCATATTGCAGGTAAGGACCAGTGTCTCCTTCGAATGAGGTCATGGCCTCGAGGTTGAAGTCGTAGCCGTTGATACTAGAAAAAAGTTAGAATATTGAGCGAGCGGGGGGTTTGACGGCTACGTACCGCTTTCCAGACATGTCCTGGACCATGACAGAGGTGATACCCAGGGTATCGGCGGTCTCCTCTGGGTTCTCGATTTGCTCGTATTTCTCAGGGTTCTTCTTCATGACTTCGTGCATCTTATCTGCGACATCGCGGAGGATATCGTCCAAGAACTTCACGGTACCCTTGCGAGTACTCATCCCACGGACCATACCGAAATTGATATGCTGGCATCGGCTGGCCAGGTCCTTGTAGCCCATAAGCTCCGTGATCTTGAACAACTGGGCCAAGTGGAGATCTTGCTGAGCAGCGACGACGTAAATCATCTTGTCGAAGTGGTAAGCTTCCTCACGCTCGAGGATAGCACCAATATCACGGGTCAGGTACAGAGGCGTACCGTCCTTGCGGACAATAATAGCCTTGCCAAGCTTTTTAGCTCCGTGCTTGACAAAGTCGACAATGACAGCGCCCTCGGACGACTCCGAAACCCCACTTGACTGCAGGGTTTCGTTGGCCTTGGACATGCTCTCCTGCTTAATCTGAGACTCGCCAGAGTACACATCGAAATCGATGTTCAGGCGGGCGTAGGTTTGCTTATACTTTTGGATACTGAGGTCACGGAACCGGCGCCATAAGGCCAGAGCATCTGCGTCACCGTCCTCCATGCTCTTGAAGTATCGACGAGCCTTCTCGTCTTCGCTAGCATCAACAAGCTTGGCTAGTTCGGCCTCAAGCTCTGCCGCATCCTCTCCCTTCTCCTTCTTTGCCTTGACCTGCTCCTTCAGCTCCTTGATGGGGCCATCCTGCTCCGAGACAATAGCGTTGATCTTGACGTAGACATCAAACAGATGGTTGATGGGATCCTTCAGCAGCTTCTGCTCATCACCAAACATCTTGTATCCGTTCGCCAGCAGACCATACTGCTTACCCCAGTCACCGAGATAGTTCATCTTAGTGACATCCCATCCAACGACCGTGTACAGGTTGGCCAGGAAACCACCGATAATGGTACTCCGCAGGTGACCAGCATGGAAGGGCTTCGCGATGTTGGGCGACGAGAACTCGACGATGATCTTTTTCCGGCCCTTGGAGGGGTCCTTGGGGTCGACAAGTCCCTGGTTTCCATTGGAACCAAAGGCCTCCTTAGATTTCAGAATCTGTCCAATGACAGTCTTTGTAAGTCGGTCCGTCCTGAAGAAGAATTGGAGGTGCGGGCCGAACGCGACGGGAGGGAGGACGAGGTCAGATTCGGGAAATTTTTCGGCGAGTTCCTGGCAAAGGTCATTGGGCTTCTTCCCCTTGATTTGCAGCGAAGGGACCTATATTTCCAGATCATGAATTAGCTACTTTTGCGTCTGAAAGAAAAGCGAAAAGCTTTGTCGCATACCGGCAGAACCAGATCACCCTTATCCAGAGTGTTCGTCCATTGGAGACGGGTATAGATCTTCTCGGCGTCAACGCCCGCGACAGGAGCCAACTGCTCTGCAATGTGCTCACGGTAAACATCGACGGGGTTCAGAGACGGGTAGCAGTTGGGAAATTTGGACGTCTCGGAGGTAGTCTGGAGAGAGAGCGACTCAACCGCCGCAGGCAGGGAATCCGCGGACGCCATGGCTGAAAATGCTATGTGTTTATGGTTCGCGGCGGAGGAAGTACTCTGAGAGTAGGCGCGAGCAGAGCAGATTTTCCAACGCGAAGAGAAGCGATTCGTCGAAGAGGCAGAAATATGCTGTGGACGGTAGGACAGGATACTTCTGAGCGCGGTGGTGGAAAATCGTTGGGCCCCGCTAAGCAGATTGCGACCCATAGAGGGGGGAGTCTTTCAAGCTTGAGGGGAACTTTTTTTCTCTTCCAATGAATTGAATGACTCAAGGCTGGCTCAGCGGCAGTTCTGCAAGCGTTTCTGCCCTGGGTCACTGGGCGGTGAAGTATGGGTCGCGCTTTCCCTCGTGATCCTTGAGCCCTAAGCCTAGCGCCTTCCTAGAGTAGTAATTAGTCAACATGACTCCAGATCACGTGCGCTACACCAGGATGATCGCTTACAGTAGATGCTCATTGAGATGATCATAGTTGCTCACCAAGCTACTTGCTCAATTACTTACTTGGCTACTTGCAGCTAATTACACTTGTCTACGTCCTCGCCCTGTTGCTTACTTAGCTGTTTACTCGGTTCCTCACTTACGAGTGGCTTGCTCAGGATTACCATCTCAGATAATTCCTTGTGGCGCTTTACTAAACACTGCACATGTACAACATAGCTTCACTCACGTATAACCTGCTACAACACGCAGTGGCTGCCCTCCGCAGGAGTGGAGGTTCTTCTATCGCAAACAAAGGCTGAAGCGGGATGTATGTAGTTCGGATGCCCGCCTCTGACGTCACCCTGGCGAAGCCCCGGCCTGATTTGCGACAAGACTATAGAACAACACCTCTCTGCTTTGAATCGTGTCCAAAACATGACCATAACATCCACCATCGAAAATGGCTAGTCGTCGCCAGAAAGCCATATCTCGCTCTGTTCAGCGGGCGCTGTTTCGCGACCCAGGCACCTTCAAGCAGAATATCATCCAGTGCATCCTCGCCTTCTTCCGCATCTACTATATCACGCTGCTTCGCTATGAACAGGAGCTCTTCCGCAAGCTGCGCACGGAGGTATGGAGAATCAGCGAGGAGGACTACATGTCTTCTTTCCTGAGTGATGAGAAGACTGTCCCGCTGGTCTCGATGGGTGATCTGGGATTCTCGGGTTCCGTATGTAGAAGGACCACTCACTTCCGCTTCTTCTCAAGCGATCCCATGGATAGCAGCTAATAGTGCTTGATCGCTGTATAGACCTTCTTCCGCACGTCCAACTCTGCCTTTCTCGTCAAAAGCGTTCCTAGACACTTTGAGCACTCCTTCTTCCGCGAGGATCTCCTAAGGCCGTACTTCGACTACATGCGGACTCACCCCGAGTCCCTACTCGTCTGGATAACAGACTACCTCTACGCACCGTACCGATCCATCGGGAGTATCCTCCGCACGTCGCCAGGGCACCACATCATTATGGAAAACGTACTGTACGGGAAAGCAGAGGATCCCAACGCGGAGAAGTGGGAGACGTACGACCTCAAGCCGATCGATTACTTCTACCCAGAGCGGGACCTCGTACCTGACCCGTTGGTCTCGAAAGACACGCTATCGAGGCTCGCTGATAAGTTTGAGGATAAGATTAGGCTGACGCGGAAGAACTATGAGGCTGTCAAGCGGACGTTAGAAACAGATACGGCGTTCCTCGCGTCCGCGGATGTCGTTGACTATTCTCTATTTCTGGTGCGGTTCCCGGCTTCCTCGAGTCCGGATAATGTTGGCAGGAAGACGCAGTGGCGCATGGGTGTCACGTCTGCCGATGGAAAGTGGAAATACCGAGCTGTTGTGCTGGACTTCTTCTGGGCTAAGCATACGCTGCATGCACAGGCGATGACAGGGGCTGTCCAGGCGTTCAATGTAATCGGGCGACAGGGTCCGATGAGCATTACCACGACGGCGAAAGAGTACCGCGAAAAATTTCTGACTATGGTGGATGAAATGATGGAGGTACACACTCAATCACCGGAGTAATGATATAATGAATTGATTAGCCTTTTCTTCTCAATGTCTATACAACATCTCTGATATCGAACCACGTAAACTGATCTGTGCATGAGCGCAAACAAGGTCGTGACATCTTTAGTAGATCTGGGTCATTTCATAAGAAGCCATCGAGATTCTCTTTAGAGCTGCGTAGGAATTCTAGTTAATATCTCCCAAGATAGGTTCGATAGGGTGTTATGCGATGGGGCATAAATATAACTTGTCGTTTTGTTTAGAAGCAGAAGACCTGGTCCTCGAGCTTGCTGACGGGGCGGGCCTTGGTGTAGCCAAGAGACTCGGTGGCCTTCTTCATGGCGCTGACCATGGGAGGAGGACCGCACAGGAGGACCTTGATGTCGCTGGCAGGAGCGGGTAGGCGTTCCTAAGAAGAATGTTAGTCGGTCATCGGCATCAAAGGCTACATAATGGCTGCTCACCTTGATCATGTCAGGGGTAACGAAGCCGACACCGCCGGTCCATCCCTCAGGGGGGTTGTTAAGGACATAGTATACACGGAAGCCGTCATCCTCCGCAACAAGCTTCTCAAGCTCCTCCTTGAGCAAGATGTCATCGGGGTTGACGTTGGCGAAGATGAGGTCCACCTGGGTGGTGTCGTTTCCGCCGTTGCGGGGACGGTTACGGATGATGGCCTTGATGATCTGGAGCATGGGGGTGATTCCGGTACCTCCGGCAATCATACCAATGTGCCGGCACATGTTGGGAGTGTAGACCATGGCACCCTTGGGACCGCGCACCTTCATGGTATCGCCGACCTTGAGGGTGGTCAGGTACTTGGAGATGTTACCCTGGGGGTAGGCCTTGACGAGGAGGTCGAAGTAGCCGACTTCATTGTCGGAGGAGATGGGAGTGTAGGAGCGGACGACCTCCTTGGGCTGGCCGTCAATGGTAGCGGCGAGAGAGATGTGCTGGCCGATGGGCAGGCCGAGGATATCGGTGGGACGGGGCAGAGCGAAGCGGTAGATGGTGACGTTGTGGGAGATGTCGTTCTTCTCCTTTAGGACAAAGTCCTGGAACTCGGTGGGGTTGAGGACTTTCCTGGCCTCTGTGACGGAGAATGTCAGGGTTGAACATGTGATATACCTGCGGTGAACGACGAGGGCTGGACTTACTGCTGCTGCTACTACCACCGCTGGACAGCTTCCACCCGGCAAAGATCGCAGCCAGAGCTACGGCAAAGGGGACCCATTCCTTCTTGACAATGAAGGTTCCGACGACCAAAAGGGCGGAAGGGATGTAGACCCCGTTGACGTTCTCCGAGGATAAAGCACTAGATCAGGGAGCAACAACCGTCAGCTTTAGAGTCTCGGGGATCTGTGAAGTATAAAATAGTAGCGCACCTCATATTGACGATTGGCAATTGCTCCGACAGCTGCAATGCAAGACGAAGACGGAAGACCGAAAGGAAGAAAGAGGAAAGAAAATGGCGTGGGCGGATCTCAAGGAAAAAGAAAGCTTGAGGAGCTTGCAGAGCGGCGGGTGGATTTGGCGGGCGGGTTTTGGGACGGTAAATTACCAACGGCGACAGCTCTCACCCAGCCTCTCTGGCGCCCGCGATTGACTGCCTTTATCAGCGAGTTTGGATCTGTTCTCCGAGTGACCTTGACGATAAGCTCAGCCTTTGCTAAGATGGACTTTATCGAACCTTCCAGACTTCATCCCAAGTATGAGAGACAGACTCGCAGTGCGGAATCAATCCTTTGGGTTGTTGGGCCGTTTTCCTGCAGGACGACAGTGCTTACAGCTTACTACGGTCTCCGAGTCTGCTCTGAGACTCCGACGGTTTATATTCCCCGCTGAGGGGGCATAATCACCGCGTTCGCGAAGCCCCTCCAGGTTGGGTCTTTTTCCGCCATTTCTTTGCCTATCTCGACCAAGAATCCCGAGTCCCGAGTATCCTCCAGGCCATCATCCCATCATTCCCCACCATGACTGTCGAGGACGAGCCGCCAGCCTTCCACCTAACGGAAACAGACCGCGCGGTCCTCGCCCAAACAGACGAGGAGTTTATCTATCACGACTGGAAGGATCTCCAAGATATCATCGGTGCGCCCATCCCTTCATCCCCCCATTCTCCAAATCTTTTGATCCCCTCACTTCAATCTCGAATCTCAGCGAGAATTACTCCTAACCACACGACCCTGTTTACTTACTCCATATTTTACTTACCACCCCCGCACAGCACGAGGCGATCTCGGCATTCTCAAGCGGAAACCATCCGATCTCATCCGATACCTCCAATGGACGAAGGAAACCAAGGCCCAGTATGGCACGATCACCAACTACATCTGCCTGCGCCGTCTAAAGTGGGAATTGCCGAGGGAACCTGAAACGGGCGGGCCACCACCACCGCCAACCTTCAACAACCCAATCCCCTTTGCCGACCCCGCAGACTACAAGATCCTCCGCAACGACTGGCCCTACGGGCTGGTAAAGGGGATCTCGCACCTGGTTGTGTGGTCTCGTACCCCTATCCCTGTTCAAGATGAGGAAGGGGTGATCACGGAGGAGAGCCGTGCGCTGATCGAGGATTTCGTGCAGAGGACCTTTGTGGCGAGGCTCGCGCAGGAGAAGGATCTCTTCCCTGATCCCAAGTCCCATGTTTTGTGGTTCAAGAATTACACCGCCCTTCAGAGTGTGAGGAGTTTAGAGCATGTACATGTTCTCCTCAGGGAGGTTCCAGATCGCCTTTTGCATGAGTGGACCAATGAGTGAGCACTAGACTGTTATAGAACAGTAATAGACTAGATCTGGTTTTAGCTATCTACACTGAAATAAATTCTGGAATGCCTCAAACGTGCTAGTATTGGGAATCCTGGAACTAGAGAAGAGTGACAAGATAAAGTACATGGAGGAACAAACCACTAAAGAAAAAAGTGAACACAAAGCAGCAAGCAGCCTGAACTGATCATTAGCATAGTCATCTGGAACAGATTTAAAAAACATCACATCGCCGGCCCCCAACTATGTCTTCTGCTCCTCGACAAACTTCAGCGCCTCTTCTCTCGACACGACGTCGATCGTACTAGCCTTCTGCCGGAAGCTCACACCGTAGCACTTCTCGGCCACATGCAGCATCTCTGGTCGGAAAGTAGTGCAAATGAACTGGCCGTTAGTCGAGTCAGAGATGGATTTCAACATCTGAGCGACGGCGGTTCGGTACTGGGCGTCCAAGTTGGCATCGATCTCATCAAACAGATAGAAAGGCGCTGGGTCACACGCTTGGATAGCAAACACCAAGGCAAGCGCGCAAAGACCTTTGGTTCGTTAGCTACTTCTTCAACCAACAAAAAAAGCTTGGGGGCTGCTTACTCTTCTGTCCTCCAGACAGCTGCTGGATGCGCTGCTGGTCGTCATGTTTGCTGTTGAAACTGACACTGATACCAACTCCGACGTAGTTTTCTACACTCTGCTTCGCTGCTTCGTCGTCGGAGTCAAGGTCGTCGTCCTTTCGCTGAGAACGGTCGGTTTTGCGCTGGATGATCAAACGGCCGCGGCCGGCAGGGACAAGCTTCTCGAAAATGTTGGCAAACTCGCGAGACACCTGCTTGAATGTTCTCTCAATTGCTTCGTCCTTGCGTTGATCCAGCACTTGGATCAGGTCATCAATAGACTTTTGAGAGGCATCAAGCTCTTGTCTTCGGTCAGTCAACGTTTCCCGCTGCTTCGTGAAGCTGTTGTACTGCTCAAAGGCCTTTTTGTTGACATGTGAGTATTTCTTCAGCGCTTCGTTGGCTTTGTGTAGTTTCTTGACAACAGTGTTGGAGTCTGTGTTCTTGTATTTTGTGAATGCCTCGTCAGGCAGGACACCAAGGTCACGGATGTTGGCCGCACATTCAGCAGCCTGCTTCGTCAAAGCCGCCTTCTTTTGCATGCTCTTCTCCATGCGGCGCTGGTGCTTTTCGATCGATTTTGCCAGTTCCTCGAGTACTCGGCGAGACTCAGCGTTCTGTTGGCTAAGCTCTGCAACGCGCGCATTTGCCTGCTCGATAGACTCGTCGACCTGCGCAAGTTTCTGGCCAACCTTATCTAAAGCCTTTGTGAGACGCTTTTGCTCTCGCTGCGTTTCTTTCAGGTTTCCTTGACCGTCATTGTCCGCGAGGTCTGCATCCTGGCTGACGAGTTGATCGAGGCGAGGGTTCAAGTTCTCCCGCAGCTCAGCTTCTAGGACTGATTTTCGTGCCTCTAGCTCGCTGCGCTCGCTGGAAAGTTCCTGGTACTGCCGACGTTGCTCCTGGACTGTTGTGTTTAGAGCTTCCAGGCGTGATTCTTCTTCATCGCTGAGGGCCTTTTGAAACGGTGATGCAAGTTCCGCCTCGAAGGCGTCGACTTGGTCTTTGAGAGCAGCCAAGTTTCCTTCGATGTTGCGAAGGGCACGTCGCTTGGCCTCAAGGTTGTCGTTCTGCTTCTGCAAAAGGTCCCGCTTGCTCCGCAGTTCTTGCCGGAGAGGCCCACTGCTATTCTGAACCTGGTGCCGCTGCTGCTCGAGCTTTTGCAGCTCACCAACCGACCGGGTAATGAGCTGATCTAATTTCTCGAGTTCCTTGCGGATCTCAGACCCACGGTTCTTCTTGGTCTCGTACTCGTCCCTCCACTTTGTCAGGTTCTTCACCCCATCCAGGCGAGATTGTCGTGAATCATGGAAACCACCAGTAAGAGCACCCCTCTTGTCGGACCTATCTCCCTCGGGCGTAATCGCGTTGACACCATGGCTTCGTGCGTACTGAGAGGCAACTTGAAGGTTAGGGCAAATGATTGTCTTACCAAAGACATGTTGGAAGGCCTTCTCATATGTACGGTCATACTGCAACTTTTCAATCATTGGGATTGTGTCACTGGCTTTGGGCATGTTGAGTGGCTTGTTTCTGAGGCGGTTCAAAGGCATAAACGTGACACGTCCCGCCTTTTCGTGTTGGAGAATTTCCAGGACTTTCGTGGCAGTATCATCGGTGTCAACAACGTAGTGGAACAAGCTTTGACCGGCGGTAACCTCGACAGCAGTACGGTACCTATCGTTTACTTCGAAGAGTTCCGCAAGCGTTCCGTAAACGCCGTCCAGATTGTGTTGACGCTTGATCCTCCGCACCGCAGCGATGCCCCGGCTGGTATTGTGGTCCATCATCTGGGACAGGTTGCGCTCCGCACGCTCGACCTCGTTAGATGCGCTCGACAAAATCGAATCCAGCTTTGCCTCTTCTCTCCAAAGTTCCCTGCATCCAGTTAGTGATCGCACCTTTGAGGAATTGACTCGTTCAACAGCTTTAAACTTACTTTCGCTGATCCATGAGCCGGTCCCTCTCATCCTTAGCAGACTGAACCTGCTGGTCCACCGATTGCATGGTATCACCCCGTCCGTCAATCTGCTGACGTAGACGTTCGGTTTCCGGCTCTAGGAGAGCAATTTCATTCTCTAGCTCTTTGATATCCTCCTGGGTCTGCGATAAGACGGCCTGCACACTTGAAATAGAAGTGTGATTATTCTTGATCTCCGCATGCAGCCACTTGTCCCGCTCCGACTTGTTTTTGAATCGTGAATTCCGGCCTTGCTTGGCGTATAGTCTCTGTCGGGCGGTCTCTGATTCTGTGAGCTTGGTCTTGGCATCATCTTCTTGATCTTTTGCCGTATTGAAGCGGGGAATGAGTTCCTCTAGTTCTGCCTGGCGCTCCTTGATCGCTTTCTGAACGGTCTTCAGATCTGCATCATGGCGGCTTTTCAGGGCCTGCGCTGCCGCCTGATTATCCGTGAGTGACTTGGCATGTAACTCCACCTGGGCGAGAGCCTTGGAAGCTTCACGCCTCTCTTCTTCCAGTTGCACCTTGTCGACCTTGAGAAATTCAATCTGCTGCTTGCACTCGGTGATTTCCACGTCAACCAGGGCCATTTCTTTCTCTCCTTCGATGAAGCGATCCCGGTTGATATCTGTATCTTCAACGCCTGTTTGCCGCTGTTCTTCAAGGTTATCGAGAAAACTGGCAATCTCTTGCTGCTCTCGAGAGTAGATGGTGTATTCCAGGCATCGTCGCTCTTTATCCTTGTCCTGGAAATTCCGGAGTTCGTCCTTCTCCTCTTCTAGTTCAGCAAGCCGCTCGTTGATAAATTCCAGTAACTCGTCGATTTTCTCCCGTTTGTTGTTGGTTTCGTGCATAATCTTCAACGATTCCGCTCGACGCGCTTCATACACCTGAGTTCCTGCGACTTCTTTCAACAGGTTCAACCGTTCCGAATCCTTCATGTTGGTCAATGCCGTAACTCGACCTTGCGGCACGATATAGTAAGGGTTCGATCGCGAGAAACCAGCAGACTCCAGCAGATTCATCACATCCGATTTCGTCGCATTCTTTCGGTCGAGGGTATATTCGTCCTTCTTGAGTCCAATGGTTCGACGAAGGACAAGTTCGGGCTTTCCGGTAGGGAATCGATCGTCCGAGTTATCGAAGATGATTTCGACATAGGCGGACATGACAGCAGAACCGGAACCTTCCTACTCGTTGTAAGCTTCCACTAGTCAACGCTATCTGAATCCACGTACGTGCAACAGAGCCTGTCTCTCCTCTCTGCCAAGGTGAGTGTATGCATCGCTAAGGACGAATCGAATGGCCGCGAAGAAGTTACTCTTCCCCGAACCATTGCGACCGACGATCACATTGTGTTTTGGGGAGAACGGCTCGATAACCGTCTGATCTTTGTAGCTGTAAAAGCAACCAGCGTGTCAGCTTGATTCACTCTGCTCATGAATTGACACGCGACAGCATGAGACGACGTACCTTTTGAAGCCCTGGATGATAATCTGCTTGACATACATCTTGACCGACACAACGCGAAAACTCAAGAAAACAGCGCGTCAACAGCACCTCGCGGACTCAGCCGCCACAAGCAGCCTCAGATATCCGGACTAGATACTGGAAAGGCGAATTGACGAGATACAGCGTCGCAAGGCTCTTGTAAGTTGAGTTACCCGGGCCTCGACATGCGACGATAGGAGCCTCGACGCGCACCCACGCGTTTCTCTTCCGCCAGCGGGGTTCTGCCGGGCGGTCAACACATGCCGCTCCACAAACAGATCGTCCAATGAGAGAAGACATTCGATTATCGATAACCCTGCAAGCACTTTTTCTGCCCGAAATTTTGTCGACAGTGTCAACCTCTCGAATCACCAATTTGACGGTCAAATCTGCTTGAAAGATTATCATGGCCGATTCAGCTGCCCCAGCGGGTTCCCCTGCCGACGGCTTGGCTCCGTCACACACATACGTCCCTCACAAAGGCTATGCGAACGCTGATGGCACAGTCCCCGCCATAGCGGGGCAAGATGTACTTCCAGAAGAAGAAGATGACAATGAAGAGGACGACTACTACGATGACATCTTCGAAGAAGAGCTCGATGCTGATGACTTCAACTCGTCGAATCCCGCTGACCTCACGAAAGCCTACAACCGTCAACGAAAAGTCAACGAGCTTGCGGCCGATCCGAACGTACCGAAGTGGACTTACCCCAAGACGAACACGCAGAAACCTACGGTCAACACATATGCATCCGTCGATGATCAGATCAACTCGTTAACTCGCCATGCGGGAAAGATCAAGCTGGATGATATGCAGTCAGGATTGGGCGGACGTGGTAACCAAGGTGCCGACAAGGCGGACAGAGCTACCTCGGAGCAGGTGTTGGATCCTCGCACTCGCATGATCCTACTGCAGATGATCAACCGCAACGTTGTCTCTGAGATTCACGGATGTCTGTCAACCGGTAAAGAAGCCAACGTATACCACTCGATGTTGTTCCCGGACGACAATCTCGACGCTCCGCCGATTCACCGCGCCATCAAAGTATACAAGACCAGCATTCTCGTTTTCAAGGACAGAGATAAATACGTTACGGGAGAGTTCCGCTTCCGCCAGGGTTATAACAAGAGCAACAACCGAGCAATGGTCAAGGTGTGGGCGGAGAAGGAAATGCGCAACCTCCGAAGAATTCACGCTGCTGGCATTCCTTCTCCTGAACCTATCAACCTGCGCCTCCATGTCCTGGTTATGGGCTTCATCGGAAACTCCAAGGGTATTGCTGCGCCTCGTCTGAAGGATGTGGAATTTAATATTCCCGATCCGGAAGCCAAGTATCGCGAGATCTACATTGAGCTTCTCGGCTACATGCGTGTGATGTACCAGACCTGCCATCTCGTCCACGCAGATCTTAGCGAGTACAACACACTTTATCACAACAACAAGCTCTACGTTATCGATGTCAGTCAAAGTGTTGAGCACGACCACCCGCGGAGTTTAGAATTCCTGCGCATGGATATCAAGAACGTTAGCGACTTCTTCCGCCGGAAGGGTGTCGAGACACTTTCCGAGCGCGTTGTCTTTGAGTTTATCATCGCCGGCAATGGGCCAGTTACGGTCTCAGATGAGCTGCACGATGCGATTGAGAAGCTCTTCACGTTGGATGAGAGTGAGCAGACTGCAGCCGAGCGTGAAGTGGACACTGCTGTCTTCCGTCAACAATATATTCCTCAGACACTAGACCAAGTCTACGACTTTGAGCGTGACGCCGAGAAGGTCCACGCAGGTGAGGGAGGCGACCTTGTTTACAAGGATCTGCTCGCTCGCGAGAAACCTACAGCCGTCGAGGATGCCGAGTCTGGATCAGATGTCAGCGGCGGTGTATCAGTCGCAGAGTCCGACTCTGAAGGCGACGAGGACGATGATCCATTCGCGGAGAAGCCTCCCCGTGGGAAACGCTTCGAAGACAAGGACACCAAGCGGGAGCATAAGCAGAAAGTCAAGGAGGAGAAGCGCGAGAAGCGTGCTAATAAGATGCCAAAGCACATGAAGAAGCGTCTCGTTTCGTCGTCGTCGAGGAAGCGCAAGTGAACGATTCATCCCATCACTTCAACCCCGCCTCGCTTAACATGCGATCACTATACTTCATAGTGGTTTCCCACTGTCTCACGGTCCAAACAATGGTCTGCTTCGAACAGACAATCAGGTCCACCCATTCGGCATTCGCCAACAAAACAAGGGCGCCAGCCGCACCTCTCACAAAGCTTCCTTACTCTCTAGAAGCATGAAACCAGACAGACTTCAGCGGGTACTATACCCTAGAAATGATGAACATAACATGTCCCACACTTTTATTTACTCTCATAAATTTATCCAAGTCGTAATTCAGATTCGTCTAATCATTTCTTCCACACACTCTCGTCATACCCATCCATCAGCGCCGTATACTGATCCCCTGCAGCAACCCACCCCTTGATCCCACCCTCCAACTTCCAACTCTTCACATCACCCTCTGAGACGCCCTTGTCAGATAGATAATCCGCAAACCAGCCTGCCGCCCGCGTGCCCCGCCCAGCAGACGATCCTACACCAGCGTCATTAGCTTCAGAACCCACCCAACTCCCAAACACCAGGAAAAGGGAGAGAATTGATAGAGAAAAGAAATATAATACAACATACCACAGTAAAAAATCACATCCCGAACTCCCGCCTTGCGCACAAGACTATACAGCGTGCCCAAGGTCGGATAGAGGCTCTGGGCAGGAAGATTCAGCGAGCCGCGGATCGTGCCGCCCTCGAAATCTGTACGGCGCAGGTCGACGAGGAGGAAGTCTGCTCCTGGTATTTTGGTGCCCTCTTTCAGCCATTGCAGGACTGTTGAGCGCGGGAGGGAGGCTGGGTTTGTTGTGCGGGGTGAGGGGAAGGCGGCGTGCCAGGGGGTTTCTTCTGCGGACATTTTGGGCTTTTTGTGTGTCGAGGGAGCTTCAGGATCGAAAGTCTGGATATAGGGGATTATGGTGGGAGAGGTGTCTATAGACATGTGAGGGTAAAGTTGTGACTTTGTATGGAGGTGCTGGTGGGAAGATGTCACTGCGGTGTTATGATTGGTTTGGAGTCCGCAGAGCCTCGGGTTTGAGTTGGGGGTATGGATGATGGATGCGAAAGATTATCAGGAGCAGTGGCCGAGAAATGAGAAAACATAGTGAGCCTCACAGTTCCACGCTTTTAGCCACTGAAAGTCGATTTTGACTCGTGTTACCAGGCATCAAGGTTGTTGTTCGCCCTTGGGGACAGATCAGCGATTCCTTCCCTCGAAGTATATAATCTGACTCGACGGAAGCTGAGGGTGAGACTCGCCCCCAAGCTCGATCAAGGCAGCGTCTTTCTGTCCAGTCACCATTTTAATACCAGTACTCTCGGTGCCTACAGAGTACAATTTATATACAAGGCATCAACACATCCAGAACTCATATATTCATACCCAAATCCCCTCATCCCAAATCCGAAGAAACAGCGCATTTACCCCGCAAAATGAGCCACCGCAACATCCCCGCAATCCACCTGCTGTGCATGGAATCCAAATTCCTCGACGCCTTCAACGAAGCCCTCCCAACGCACTGGCCCACCTACAATGGAAGCACTAACGGGAACCCGCCCATAAAAATCCAAACCCATAACAGCTCCCTCGCCGCCTTCCCCGCCACCACCACATTCGACCTCGTCGTCTCCCCCGCAAACTCCTACGGCCGCCTCGACGGCGCCTTCGACGACGCCATCTCGCGCGCGTTCTGCCTCCCGCACCATGACTACGATACGCTCACACGTGCCGCGCAGAAGATACTGTATGACAAGTATCGCGGGTTTGCGCCGCCGGGGTCCTGTGAGCTTGTGCCCTTCCCGGATGAGTTGGTTGGGATGAATGAGTGGGGGTGTAAGTGGGTGGGGTTGTGTCCGACGATGCGCACGCCGGATACGGCGCGGTGGGATCGCGAGGTTGTGTATGAGTGTGTGTGGAGTTTGTTGTGTAGTGTGGAGAGGTGGAATCGGGGGCTTGATAACCGGGAGGGGGAGGGGAGTGTAGTTGGTGAAGGTGGGGAGAGTAGAGATCGCGGGAGAATTGAGAGTGTGCTTATCACGCCAATGGCCACAGGGTGTGGAGGGGTGAGTCCGAAGAAGTGGGCGGCGCAGTTTGTGTTGGCGATGAGGCATTTTGTGGATGCGTTGGAGAGGCCTGAGAGGTGGTCGGCGTTGGGGTGGAGGGAGATCTATGAGGATACCAATGACGTGGAGAAGACGTGGAAGATGTAGAGCTGTATACGATAGATCATATTATCATATTCAGAAATATTGCAAGCTCGGACTAGAGCTAAAGTGTGCGCAAAGACCTATCAGAGCTCTCTTTGATCATCAGTTGTCTTCGGACAGACACCTGTGGCATCCACATCAGCAGCCTAACGGCTGGAGTATACGCCCACAAGATGCTTCAGTCCGAAGCGGTCAGTCCAGGCAAAGCCTGATTCAAGTTCATCATGTAGGTCGCCCGGGGATAGCGGGCTGCAAGGTTATCTAATAAGGCAAGACGGTAAGTGAAATGCAGATAGTGCCAGGCTCAGGCCTCCTGGCGGTCAATTGCATGTCTGCTCTTTAACCGAGCAATTGCTTGCTCTACAAGTGACTTCGGTAAGTCAGGAATGATTTCGCCATGGTCAGAGGACCCTTGTTCGTGGGTCTGCGCGGGGTGTTTCCCCTCAATGGGCTCATGGCCCTGTCCAGGAGTGTCCTGGAGAACGCCTTTGAGCAGGCCGCCAGATATCCGGCAAAATTCGATACGCATTGGCTCTCGGCTTAAACCCGGCCAAATATCAGATGGCAGATAGTCGCCTTGTTCGACCCGAAACGTCTCTCGAGCGTTGACGTCCTCATCATACAGCGCATCAAGCTTGTGACGAGTATCTCGTAGTATCTTCTCGACACGGTGACGGACGTGCTTTCGGCGTGTTACCTCGATGATAAGCCCGTCGTACGCCTCAAGGAAGCCGTCGTACAGCGAGCTAAGGTCGGAGAGATCCGCCAATCCTCCTTTGATACGGTCGTGCTCCTCATTCCACACACCAGTGAAGGTGTGAGCTTGGGCGATGTATCCCGGCAATCGAGTGGAAGCAAGGGATGATAGATGGGTGAAAACGTCTTTCGTGGCGCTGTAGACTGCAGCAAAACTGTTCCTTTGGGTAAGCAGGTTCTCGATAACCGATTCCATTTCCCCGATTCGGTCTTGGATCTCCATCACGACATCCTCCGCCTCAGCAGCGTCATTGATGATGACATTCACCATTTCCCGATATTCGGAATCACTCAAGGGGTCGAGTGGGGCGTTCAAATTTGCGACAATATCCCCTTCGTGATTCCCGCCCCGGCTGCTGATGACACCATCAGGCATGTCGCCTGTAATGGATTGAGCAGCCGCGCCTCCACCTTCCGTGTGCTTAACGGCGGTGACACAGAGATCAAAATGGCGCACCAATGATTCTAACAGATTCGCCATTTCTTGCGCGTGCATCTCGAGGGAATGCACCATCGCTGGCATCGATGATAAAGAAGGCAAACTGTTGCTAGATCCCGACTGCGAGCCTGATGATGACAGCGACGTACGAGAGTTCGCTAACTTTGTAGCCGCACGATAGGTTCCAAGCGCCTTTTTGATTGCCTGGAGCTCATCATCGAAGGCATAATTGGACGCATCGAGCTCCGCTTGCGCGGCATTTGTTCGATCAATCGAGCTCTTCAGAGTTGCATGAAGCTCCTCAACGCCTCGCTCGTCCACAAAGTCGTGTAAACTCCTAGGATCTTCCCCTTCAGGCCGAAAAGAAGAATGGACAATTGTTTCTTGAAGTAGGGCAATCGTCTTCTTGAGCCGCACATCAGCTGCATCTAGGCTTTTGAGCGCACTGGCAAATTCCGACCGCCCCCTCAATGAGATTTCCTCTACCTCGGCTCGAACATTGTAGAGTAGCCTCAGTTGACTGTTCAGACCACTGCGTAAGAAGCCTGTCCGTGCGGAGACCACGACACTCTCCTCGAGGGTTGAGCGGGCAGTGGTGACTATCTCGTTAGCTCGCCAAACATGATTGATGGAAGACAACGATCTCTTCGCCGCGACAAGGTGAGAGATTAACGTCTCTAGTGGAGGCGGCCCCGTTGTCTCGTTCCCCGGCTCAGGAGGGGGCAGTGATCCGCTGGATTCCGAGGAGGAATGCAACGCGGACATGATGGGAAACCTGATCTCACGGAAGACGGGTCCTCAAATAGTGACGCAAGCGGATTAGCGGCAAGCGGCTGCCTTTCGATGAGCAGCCCAATGGCGATGGGTATCAAAGAAACAGGGATACGCCGGAAGCTGGAGCAGAGGCGTTGCAAGAAGTGTCTGGCCCGGATCACGTGGAGCCAAGAGATCAGACACGCCCCGTGATTGCGGTATCCTTTATCAAAGAGGAAGAGCGAGGCCACGTGCAGCGTTTGGTTTCAACTCTCAGCATCACGTCCAGATAAGGTCGCAGAAATTGTTGAGCCAGTGCAACTGAACCTGACAAACACGGTGCCCGTTTATCACAAACTTACTTGATTTGACCTCGGTATGAAACAGTTTGTTTACGGAGTAGTGCTGATTCGGCTGAAGTCTCCGAGCAATTCAACGACACACGCTGATCGTGCTTGACGATCCCGCAGGCTGAGCTCTCTTTGCGATCTCTCGGATGCAGTTCTCAGCACCTTGCGACGGCAATTGATTCGCTTTGCCTAGAAAACCCACGTCAAGACCTTTCTCGCTCCAGGTAGCCCGATAAATATCAGCGGTAAGGCACCCAAGTCGCACGCGGAGTAACTTTGAGAAGCAGTATGCGCGTAACTTTAGCCCCGATCGAACCATATGCGACGAATCATGTCCGCTATGTTCCGCAGGGGGTGTCTTGGTCAACCCGTGTCAGGATAAGATGGCACAGATCACCTGGCTGAGCGAGGTTGCGGTGAGACTGAAACAGAGGGCAGCATGCACGATCAAACCGTGCTCTCTAGCGGCTCTGCTCGTTATGTCGGCCGAGAAACAGGGGAAACCCCGGCTATTGATAAGCTCCTTCTGAAAAGGAGGTGCAAATAAGGAGGCTCGGAAGTGCGGGAGCGCGTGTATGAGCACGGAGTATATGAAGGAGTCGGCTTGAACCGTAGCCGATTGCGTACCTGGCGCGAGGAAGTTGGGGAGAGCTTGACGTCGCGGAGCTAGGTTGCGCTAACTGCACTAACCGGAATTGGTAATTTTGCCTCTCACCTGGGCTGCAGGTGATATCGTGCCATCACCTTGGTGAGCAAAAGTTTGATGGGTTATTGTCAGTACGCTCTGAGAGAAGATCGCGCCTAGAAAGTACACAGAATGTAGCTAGCGATATCGGTCAGATGGCATGACCTGTCTTCTGAGAAAGAGGAAGAGTTGGGGCAGCTGGGGAAACTGATGGGTTGAGTCAAGGATTCCCCGTACTCTGGCGGACGGGTCCGGAGACTGTGTTGCAAATTAAGCCAGGTCCAGAATCGAGGCCCTAGTGCAAATGCGACAGGATCATTGCGACGAATGGTGTCAGCTCTGGAGAAGAATTCCCTCATCTCGCCACCCAGCTGGTGTCACAACCGGTCCCCATCGCGCCATCGTATCACGTGACCACAACCAGTGCTTCGGAGCGGCAGTGGAGACTGGAGTAAAAGCAATTCAGAGCACGAGCGGGAGATCCTGACTTGCGTGATCGATGCGCCATCTTACCGCTCCTTAATCCAGCGATTCATAAAGTCTTATTAAAAGGACAGGCCAGATTTTCATCCGCCCCTCATTCTGTGCCCGACCATTGCGCTGTGCTCGACTCGCGGCTGGCCCATTGTCGAACGTTCTCTCGCCTTCAACATCGGTCGGCGTGATATTCGCAATCACGACATTCGCCACCAAGGTCCAACTCCTTTGACTCGACAGCACGCTATATTACGACCTCGAACCCGTCCATTCGTCGCTCAACCCGCTCTACGATTGCCCTGACGACGTCTCCACCTTATCGCAAAGATACTGGGGTTGGCATGGTAGTTTGAGGTTCTCTGGCCGACCGCAATACCCCGAAATGTCTATTCCCGCCGATACCCTCCCCTCTCACGTTGTGACGGAACGACGCCGATCCGACGACATGCACAGCGATTCGCAAGACTCGCAAACTTCATTCAAATCTATATTCGGTGGTCCCACACGAAGCCCGGAGACAAAGGAGAAGGAACTCAACTCCCACCAGCATTCTTCCCACGGCTTCGGCAATGTTACCAAAGCGCCTGCCAAGCTTGCGACTCAGAATGTTGCACCGTTCCTCGCCAGACACATCCCGGAACAATATGCCCCTCTAGGCCCTCGATCTATCCTGCCGGATGAGCTCAGCAGCGTGAGCTCCAAGTACTGCTACCGTCATCGACCTGACCTTAAGTGCCGGCGACAGGCAGACGAACCGACGATGGATAACCTGCAACGAGTATGCCCTCCCACTTCTCTGGCCTATTCTTGATACTAACCATGCGCAAGGAGTTGGAAACACTCCCACAGGGCGATCAACAAAGCATCTCGCACGTCTGGTCCCTCTTCTCCGCCGCCCCTGCGAAGCACCGCAAGCTCTTGCTGCAAGGCATAATGGCCCAATGCTGTTTTCCGCAGCTGTCATTTATCTCCGCAACCGTTCGCGACCTTATCCGCATCGACTTTGTGACCGCCCTCCCCCCGGAGATTGCGTTTAAAATCCTTTGCTATCTGGATACAACTTCGCTTTGCAAGGCTGCTCAAGTCTCGCGAGGATGGCGAGCACTAGCCGATGATGACGTCGTCTGGCACAGGATGTGCGAACAACATATTCATCGCAAGTGTAAGAAATGCGGTTGGGGTCTTCCTCTCCTGGACAGGAAACGGCTGCGCGAGTCCAAGCGCGCAATTGAACTCCGCGCTTCAACGTGGGACATGGAGAAAGAGGCTGTCACTCCTCAACCAGAACTTCCGGCAGAGTCGCAAGCAGATTCCTCGAACACGGGCAAGAGGAAGCTCGAGCCAAACAACGAGGTATCCATTGTCAAGCGTCATTGTTCGTCGTTCGAGTCCGACTCTGAAAAGGACGTAGATTTCTTCAAGACCCGATACAGGCCATGGAAGGAGGTCTACAAGGATCGCTTCAAGGTCGGGACGAACTGGAAGTACGGACGATGCTCGATCAAGACCTTCAAGGGCCACACGAACGGTGTCATGTGCCTGCAGTTCGAAGATAATATTCTTGCTACTGGCTCTTACGATACGACGATCAAGATCTGGGACACCGACACCGGCGAGGAACTGCGCACACTTCGTGGGCACGAGTCTGGGATTCGTTGTTTGCAATTCGACGACACAAAATTGATCAGTGGCAGCTTGGACCGAACAATCAAAGTGTGGAACTGGCGTACTGGAGAGTGCATCTCCACTTACACCGGCCATCGTGGTGGTGTTATTGGACTGCACTTTGACGCTTCCATTCTCGCCTCTGGCTCCGTCGATAAGACGGTCAAGATTTGGAACTTCGAGGACAAGTCGACTTGCCTTTTACGTGGACACACTGACTGGGTCAACGCCGTCAGGGTAGACACGCAGTCGAGGACGGTATTCTCCGCTTCGGATGACTGCACAGTGCGCCTTTGGGACCTGGACACGAAGACCTGTATCCGGACTTTCCAAGGACACGTCGGCCAAGTACAACAAGTTGTGCCGCTTCCCCGGGAGTTTGAATTCGAAGACCACGACGCTGAATGTGAGAATGACAATCTCAGCACCACTTCCGGCGACACCGAACCGCAATCGCTGCAAGCTTCGTTGGGATTACCGTCGAACTCGACGTACAACCAATCCTCTGCCTTTGGCCCCGGCTTTGGAAACGGCCGTGCGGCCCCACCCCGCTACATGGTCACAAGCGCCCTTGACTCGACCATCCGTCTGTGGGAAACAACCACCGGCCGATGCCTGCGAACGTTCTTCGGCCACTTGGAGGGCGTTTGGGCACTGGGTGCCGACACCCTCCGCATCGTATCCGGTGCTGAAGACCGCATGATCAAGATCTGGGATCCGAGAACTGGCAAGTGCGAGCGCACATTCACCGGCCACTCGGGACCAGTCACCTGCATCGGCCTCGGCGACAGCCGCTTCGCAACTGGAAGCGAAGATTGTGAGGTGCGGATGTACAGCTTCCAAAGCTGATCTGCCTGCTACTCCCAATATTGTTTTGAGTTCAATTTCTTCTTCCAACCACATTTCAAAGTGGGATTGGTTCTAATGATTTTTTTTTCTTATTTATGGATGGATGACGGATACCCTTTGCGCTGGCGTTGCCTATTTCCGGTTTTATCTTTTTCTTTTCGTCTCTATGTGCAGCGTTATCTGTTTGTGCTGGTTGGCCAAGATCATGGTCATGGACATTGGGAGGCGTACTGATCTCAAAAATTCAGAATTCTGCTTCAACGCATCGGAAGGAATTAACGGCTCGGATATCAAATAGTTTCATCCACAATCTATATATCTTCTTGATCTATTTCATACCTACCCTATCATGTGGTAGCAAGTGGTTCGGCGTCCCGTAGTCCGCGTCCCAAGGTTCAGTAGTGAGATCAAGGCCGGCGTGGCAGGCTGGTGCCTACGAAGCAGAAAACCGCAATAAGGAGTCCGATGCAGATAAACGTGATAGTAATCACGTCTACCCTTTGTTTATTCAAGTATGATTCCAGCACGCCTGAACGACAACCAAACCCCAGAGTTCTATGAATGTTCCCGAGCGACATGCAAGCAGCGGACAGCACCAATGAGGTTCCATGTCCCGTATGATCCTATAGTTTGATTCGATAACGTCGTTCTTCGAGTTCCAAGCTGTCAATTTCTCCGCAGTCGTATCGTAGTACACGCTCCCCAAAATAACCCGACGACGCGGTTTCAACGGCGAGCCTCGCAGCTCACTCTTTTGTGAAACTGAGTTATGCCCTCTGCCTTGACGGGCCTTCCGGGTAGCAGAAAGGCGTGGAGACGAAGATCCGCCGACTCGACTTGTCCATACGGGGCCTGCGCAGATATTGGAATGACAGTGCAGTCGATTAGTTCAGCGGCTTTGTCGGCGCATGAGCGAAAGGTTCTGAACCTGATAATCGCATGTCATTCTGCATAGGTGGCTTCGATCCCCGAGTACGCCAATAGGTCTGATTACCCGTAGCATTCGGGGACGGCCGGCCCCGCGTGACGGAAGTATGATTTCTCTGTGAGCCAGCCTCCGTGATGGCCGAAAGATTCATGGCATACCCACAGCATGTGCTGCTGGAAGACAAGTAGTCGTCGGGACATGAAGTGCTCCTGCATGGTCCACGCTCGCTCTCGGACGGTCTCTGTCCGGCAGGCGGCCAGTTGGTGCCAAACATGCCAGACGACTGTTCATACACGCAAATCTTTCCAGTCTGCCCGTCGGGGAGTCTGGACGGCAGCAAGAATGGACGGGAAGCATGAACTGGTGGAGGTGCTTTCAAGGATCCGGTATCGTATGACGGAGCTAGTGCCGATGAAGTCGTGACATCCGCGTTAGCATAAATGGTGGTCATCCTCCCCAGCTCGTTCGCTCGGTCCTCATCGGAATCCTGGACAATGCACAGAGAGTCCACCCACAGGAAATGATACCCGAGTCGGAGACAGGCGGTCACTGCATCTTGGATGATCCTCCCTAGGCAGTTTACAGAAATCTTTCGATGGTACGCATCGAGTTTACAGGTGGAAAGGCCATAATCCAGCGGGGCCTCCCCAGCAAGTAAGTCAAGGCCATGTAGCAGGGGTAGGGACTCTTCATCTCGATTAGACGTATGTAGCCCTGTTGCGTGGAGGAAAGATCCAAGATTCTGTACGGGTGTCCTTCCGAAATGTTGACGTTGTTCGAGTTCGAGTTGCGGCGTTCGTGATTCTGGCGACATTCCTCAATCCACCGAAAGGCCTCATTCCACAAGGACGCGGATTCGAACTCATTGCAAGGAGTTAGGTTTTTGGTAAGCGCTGTCGCCGGTTCCCCTATCACATCCACGGCTACTTCAGGTGTAGCGCCAGTATAGCAGCGCTCTGTACTTACCGGCTTCACTTCGAGGGTCAGCCCCTTTCCTTGCGGTACCCACCTCTTTCCAGAGTACAACGATGCAATTCGAGGGAAGATACATGCAACGACAGAGTAATCCTGTGGCTTGACCGGGCTTCTCCTACCACTTTGGAAGCTTCTCATACCAGATGTTTGGCTGTTGAACCTCAGTTGGAAGCCCATCGTAACCGGGATACCAAGTCCTGCGCACTGGAGATGGCCGTGCTCGACGTCTGAGACCACAACGAGCCTTTTGAGACCGTTATCTCCTGGCCTGGCCTATGTCTGGCTTCATTCAGGGCAAACTCTGCCAACAGGTCGTCAAGTGGCTTCCGCTGGATGGCAGGGTCATCTGTTACGAGCAAGTGCCGGCACATCAAGCAGCCTTCCAGCGCCCCCTAGTCCATCGAGGACTGGTCTCTGAAGATCTCGACAGTCTGCTTTAGCATGTAAAGAAGGTTGTCGTACACAAAGTTGGACCAGCAATGGGCGCAGGTACTTATTGTTCCACAGCGGACTAAAGATCACAAGTTCAAGAGTTCGTCTATTATCTGTTTGACCAATGGGGCAAGGCTGTGGCTGGTTACTGACCGGCTCATTGAGAAGGCATGCTAAACACGCCCACGTCACGTTATGCCACCTGTTCAACCTACATTAATGAATATGCCACGAGACATTGGCATATACACAGAATGTCACTGCACAGGATTCAGCATCGTTATTCGTCCAGTTGTGCGTACCCATGTTATCTATAACTGTTGACTTCCTCGGTTTCTCCAATCGCGCAGTCACATCTCCAATGCCCTTAACTCACACCAGACGCAATCTTTTACAAGCTGGGCGTCTATCTCTGGTGTAATGTAAGATTTTCGGCCACACTAAAAATATTTATCTATATACCTTCCAAAGGAATACAAAAGTTGGTCCGAAGCACGCCAGGACACATCACCCTAAGTAGGATATCCTCTGCTAAAAACCCACTTCTGTGAAGCAGAACGCTTCTTTCAGAGAAGGCCTCCACCTCCTCTCGACGAGATATCTTCCAGACAAGCTGATAAGTGTTCCAGTTCCTGCTGAAGTACGTCTGGGTCATCACATTTCCGAGCCGTGTCAGAATCGATCAAAGTGGCTTTAGAGTCGTGGATGAACAAATTGAATCGATTTGTATCGCCATGGTGGATCCCTAAGCCATGTAGCCGAGAGACGACCTCCCCGCAGATCTAAAATCGGCGGTTCTGTAAGATCTAGGATTGGCGTCCTGTGCTTGGACCTTCATCTGTGGTATTGCCCAAAGCTCAATAACTGGCCATCGTTTCCCTCCACAGACGCTTTGCTGTGTGCGACACTCTTTTGAGGGAATACCCATATAAAGGCACCGTTAACCGACGCAGTCCTTTCTTCAAACAGCAGCCCCCCAAAGCTCCCCAGCGAGAAAAGCATATATCAGGGTGAGCTATAATGATTCGACAGAGATAAAGCTTAGGTATGGGGTGACCCGCCTAACCCATATTGAGCACGATCACGGTGCGATTACGGGACGCCCGATTTTCCTGGATTTGCCACCTCAGGGTGTGATCCAGTGAGAACCCTAATCCGTGAAAGGCTCGCAAGTCCTATAAAGCAAGGCGCGAAAAGCCGCCTGGGAACTTGTCAAGCCGCTATTTGTCGAGACAAGCCGAAGGAGACTGATTAGACATTTTAATAGCTAATAAGGTGGATAAAATGGCAAGGTTAAATAAGTAGTCAGTAGTGGCCCGCATCGCCTATTGTACAGAAAAGCGACAAGTCTGGACCCCGACAATAGGGACTAAGCGCAAGCTCAAACTACATATGGTAAAGATGTTGTGTAAAGCACACCAAGTAGAAGAGGTCATCCATTGTTTAGGCGACGAGGGCGACCAAAATCTAATAATTGGAAGAAATCCAGGCAGCGTCAAGGGTACGAATACACCCAACAAGGCAAGTTTATAATGCAACTTAATAATAGCTTAGTCGTCCCATCTGCTAGCCTCCCGTGCTTCCCTGTCTTCGCCTTTGTCCTCGTTTGCTCCCCCGCGTACCGTTGGGCAAGTCGCCGGTATCGCCACCCATCTCCTTCATGCCAGCTTGTAGTATATCGGCCTGAATGTGCGAGCCCCGCGTGCTCCGAAACAGCGCTCCTAGGTCCTTCTCAAGGGTAGTTGTGGCGTTTCGGGGAGGTTTTGGAGGCCGATGGCGGGTGGAGGTAGGGTTGTCATCCGTGATAAGGGTCGTCTGAGGATGCGGTCGCGAATGTGCGGCCATTACTTTCACCGGCCATTCCAGGTCGATGATTCAGACTTTGTAGTCCCCTATCTCTCGTGTATTGACTTGGTTGGACCCTCCGGAAGGTCTGGAACGATGACTAGCACGCCCTTCTCAAAGGCGTCCTCAATCACGTTTGCCAGGATCAGTCCACATCCCAGTCGCGGAAGTGGCATACTCGTGGTACGCTAGACGACATGTCCGGAGCTTGGATAGAGAAGGGATCGATATTTCCTTTTTGTGTAAGGGGGCCACAGTTTTCAGTCGTCGCAGAGAGTTGCAGCGTGCATGGAGGTAGAGTGAAGAGTTAGAGGTGGTAGTGAAGTAATTGTTGGCCGGACCACTAGGCCAAAAAGGTGTCCAGACAACAGTTTGTCTCTAATAGTCGGCAAAGCATGGTAGGTTCCGGCTGACAGTAATAATAGTGAGTGGAGTGACCACTTGAATGCAAAGGAAACTGCAGTCCTCGAAAGAATATTGGCGCCTCATGAGGATCGTGTAAGGTCTCAACGCAGTCGGTGGCAAGCAACGTTAGTGAAAGGGTAGCCGGCAGTAGCAACCAGACTTCGGAGGCAGGAGCGTGGTTAGACTGCGCGTTCAAGTCCCCTACTCGCGCTTGAAGACCAGAATCAAAGTCAAGGATCACCCTGTTCTTCCTCATCTCCTTCGCAAATGTCTAATCTACCGAACTTCCGTTCCAATCATTCAGTGGATGTATCTGGCTTCTCCGCTGGGACCGATTGAGACGTCCAGCCGATTTTGTTCATCAGACCACCTCAAGGTTTCGGAGAGAGTGTCGCAGGAAACTCTGCTGAGCGATGACGTTTGATGAGGGATTGACGACAGTAAGCTCCGCTAAACGCTACAACTGACTCCATCTCGCCCTGAATTCACCTTTCACACTGTCGTGCTCATCACCGTGAAACCACCAAGCCCTCCTCCATCCGGAAAATGCGTTTACGACGGGCCATACGGGACCATACTCGACCTCTCTTTGAGCGGATTGAAGACAAGCTAGAACGGTCGGGTAAGCAGGTCGCCGCGCAGAAGTTTCGCCGCCTCCAGCATGACGTCTTTGGCCTCACTGAGATTGAGTGGTACTTCCTCCAAGAATACTTCCGCAACTTCACTCTCCTTGGCTACGCCGCCCAACGCGCGTGGACGACGAGTCGGAATTCCTACCTGAACGACAAGCTGCTAGCGTCCTCAACGAACCCAAAGGAGGCTGCGGAATACCGCAAAACTCGCGATGTCCTCGACGCGGAAGTCCTAGAGAATAATGAGCTCATCCACGTGGCCAAGGTGTCGCTGTTTGTGAGTAAAAGGAAGCTCCTGCACACACCAATTTTCCGGGCCTTCAAGTCTCACAAGGAGGAAAAGGATGATTGGCATATGACTACTTGGTTAGTTGCGCGATGCATCAAGGCTGGAGGATGCTGCGCACGCGGGTGTGGATGCTGCAAAAAGGACTATACTGAAATTTGGGCTGGGCACTGCACGCCGGGCTGCGGCTGCTGTCGGGAATATGCTGAGCACGGAAACAAAGTGGGAGTACTGAACAAGCCGGTGGAGGCTGATTTCGACCTCGATCCACCAAAAGATGATGTCTACAGCCGTTTGATGGTGGATGCTTTGATATGGGGTTTGTTGTTGCGAAAGGATTCTGATCCGCTTTGGCCGAGGAGGTGATGGATAATCGTGCGAGATGTATTTCATGTGTTTGAAGGATTATTTGCCGAGGTTCTAGGGTCTTCCACGTACTGCTATCGACAGCAGGTATAGAATGATATTGTCATGCTGCGCATGCTTTCCTCGCTGATATTACGCTTAAAAGGTAACGCCTGCGTAGTTCTGAGATAAGATAGACTCATTCATTAATAATAATTGTGTCTTCTCTGCAATTGCTAATGTATACAGCATGTGCCAAAAAGGCGAAGACATACAAAACAAAAAGAAAGAAAAAAAGTTTCCGCTAACAGCGGCGACAGGTTTCCGCCCTAGCTGGATGATGGGCCCTCGTTTGGATTCATCTGGCGGTCCAAGGGCACGTTCGCCGGCTCGGTGGCCCTTTGAAGAAGGCTGCTGCCGGCGGCGGCGGGGAGAGCGGGGAGTGGTGCTGCTGGGCCAGCGGTCCCTGGGGCCAGCGCAGGAGGCTGCGCAGCAGCCGGGGGCGCGGCGGGGAGGTTGGCGAGGTCAATGGCGGGGAGGTTCTTCATCCCCGGTGGGGAGCGTAGGAGCAGGCGATCACGGTAGCGCGGCCAAAATGCCCGGCGTTTGAAGGGGCCGACGTGGCCCTCGCGCAGGAAGAGGTCTAGGGCCGGGAGCACTATGAACAGCAACGCCATGGTATTAGCACTATGATCACACCAGTAACAGCGACAATATAGTACTCGCATTGCCTGGTGCTTTCCAGGCCCAAAAGTCTCGCGGTCTCGGCGCGATTGCCGGTCCAGTTGGCGATGGGGAGGGTAAAGCGCGCGTCTCCCCTGCACATGGATTAACATATGAGTATATTTTCCAAGCTATTAGGGTGTCGTACCTTGCGCGGTAGCGCTGGGCAAATGGCTGGGCTATGATATAGCCCAGGAGGCAAATTCCGGCCACGATGGCCATCACCATGATGCTGTTTTCCGGGGACATCCCGGCCATGGGGGTGGGGGTGGTAGGGCTCGCAGCGGAAGACATTTCGGGGGGAGCGGGGAGCGAGATGGGTTGACAACTTGATTGATTGTTCTAGTGGGTGGTTCAGGAAGTTTTGTTATTCGCAGTTGGTAGTAGGAGGGACAGAATACGAGTTGCGCCATCTTGACGGTAATATTTTGTGAGTGCTCACTCGCTCCTACCCTATCTAGTATATTGTCTACATTGGGATGTGGCAAAACACGCAGGCCGAGATAGGCTGGTTCGTGGACGCGCTCAGGTATAAGAGACGCGTAGGGCTGGCGGTAGGCGGTACATACAGTACAAACATAAGGGCTTACATATGCATATCTGAATTAAGCCTTGCGGACCCGCCGCCACGTGGTTGACAGGTAGCAACCTCAAGAGCGCCCAACGTATTTGCCTGATGGTGGCATAGGAATCACGATGAAGGTGCTAACCAAGAAGACTTTGCATAGCATGGGGTATACCATTTCTTCTCCTCAACTCCAACGGTGACGTTATACTCGAGGCCCTCAGACTCGAAGCGGACGAGGCGAGTAGCTGGATACTCGCGGCGGACAGACTGTGAGTAGCGCGAGGTGGTGTCGTAGGCGCTGCGTGCGGCCGGCGAGGGGAACTCCTTTGTATTGATAGTGAAACGGACATGGGCCTTTTTAGTCATGACCTCGTTGTCGTCGTTCTCGGCAGGTGCGATGGCGGGATACTCGTTGCGGACGGATTGGAACCCAGGCGAGGTAAGGTCGTAAGCACTGTGTGCGTGTGCGTGTGCATGTGCAGCCTGGTCGGGAACCCCCTTCGCCTCGATGACGAAGCGGACATGAGCCGTGTCCTTGGCGGGTGTAGTCGTGATCTCGGTGGTGGCGGTGCTGTGGGTGATGCTCGGATACTCATGGCGAACAGAGCAAACCGCAATGGAAGCAAGGTCGTAAGCGCTGTGTGCAGCGGAAGCTGGGCGCTCCTTCGATTCAATAGTAAAGCGGACACGAGTCTTGGAGGCCATGGCCTTGTCGTTGGCGGAAGGCATGACTATCTTGGTGGTGGTTGTCGTCTTGAAGGGATACTCGTGGTGGACGGACTGGAAGCCGATGGAGGTGAGATTGTACGCGCTGAATGAGGTTGGAATGGCGATTTCGTTGGATCCGATGTTTAAGCGGATATGGGCTTTGCCGGCCATTATGTTGTCGTTCTTGATGGGTGTGACTGTTTCGGTGATGGTGGTTGTGGCGGTGACGATGGGGAAGTTCTCCATGGTCGAGTGGCCTGACTGCATCCTGTGCAGTTCGCAGATGGAGATGAAAAGAGGTGAATAAGTGAAGTGAGGATTTGATTGTAGAGAAAGAAGGAGTCGAATGGCGGTTATAGCAGATGGTAAAGTGGAGTGTTTTTGTAGATAGTTGGTAGATGGATGAATGGTGGAAGAGACAACAAGAGACGACAGACGGCAGCAGAGGAGGACGGGGTTTCTATATGCCCCAAGGGACGTTGAATCACTTCAAGGTTAGGTTAGGCCAGACGGGGGCAAGGCCAAAAAAGCTAGTATAGAGAGCTCCGAGCCAGTGAATAGCAGGTGGTGACGGGGTCGGATCTAGAAAACTGCGCGCGGATGGTTCATCCGGGTCGACAAAGTTAGGGCTAATCTTCCGGCCCAATGGGCAGGATTCCGTACAGATCAACATTGGTACCAAGGGATAAAAGTTAGATGTGAACCGAGAAACAACCTACGCTTCCTGCTCAATGTACATATTTTCGGATGCGAACTCGGAAACTTATTCTTTGTGGCGCTGGTCTACTTGGATGACGGTGGATGGCTGATGGCCAGGAGCGAGTCTACAGAGAGGCGCTGTACAAGCCTTCGCGGAATAGCCAGCACCCAACTCGAGTGCAACCAAAAGGAAGCATAGAGACAGACTTTGACTGGGTATCTAAGATGCATCATCTCAAAGTGCTGCCTTGCTCTAATCCGGCAGTAGGTGGGCAGATGGAGTGGGCAGACGATGATTGTTCGGCACTGAGAAAAACTTTGCATAAAACTTGCAACTAGGCTACCTCGTACGGAACCTAACCTGGGTCTAGTGCTCTTTTCTTTACTGGACAGTGTGCTAGAAGCATCATAGCGAGTGTAAATAGGCTTGGACCCTGTCCGTAGTGCAGGGAATGGACCAAACTGGCTCGGACGAATCAAGTCAGGCAATGATGGATGGCAACAGCGCAGAGCCTGTTTGCTTTCGAAGAAGCTTTGCTATAAAGTCCTCTTCGTAGGTTTTAGGAACTTAGTACTTGGTTCATCGAGGAAAACTTTGAAGCAGATGACGGCGACGGCGGCGGCGATTTTCGTGCCTCTGCCCCCGCCTCCTCTCTTCTGTTGTACTCCCTCTCCACATCTTATCCGTCTCAGCTGCTCAATTTCACTTCTCAGAACTCGACTATCATCTTTACACTGCAAGAATCTACTCTCATATCATCTTGACCATATATCCCAATATGGACCACGCCCTTTTAATCCTTTTCTCGCGCTTCCAGCCTCGCGGAAGCAACAACGCCAACAGCGAGAACAACAACGCCAACAGCGAGAACAGCAGCACCAACAGCGAAAGCAGCAACGGCACTGCCACTACTGCTACTACCAGCACCACAACAGACAACAGCATGACCAGGCCACCACCTATCTACATCTCCGGGCTATTCTACCCCAACGACGCCTACGCATTCTACGATAACCTCAGCACCGAGACCCTCCCGAAATACAGCAGAGAGGGCGAGGACCTCGAGATGGCCGTGCTCCCAACATACAAACAAGCTACCAAAGGCTTTTCCCGAAACAAGCTTGGGAGTAAGTCTTTCCATTTCTTCTGCTTGATGTCTTACTGTAGTAGTAATCAGGAGGCTAACGAAACGACAGAACTACGCCGCCACTGTCGAAAGGAGCGCGTCCTTGCTCTCTTCGTGGTTTTCATGTGTCTCATCCTTGCTGCTGCGATTTGGGCTACTACGAAGAAAGAATGAGTCGATGGATCTTTGGTTGGGGGTTGGGGCGACTTTTCTTTTGTTCTTAAAGACCGACGATAAACGATAATGGATATTTGGGATTCGACGGCGTTTTGGAGTTTGAATGGATATCATTGTTTGGATATGCCTGTTTTCTCATTCGACGTGAGGCTTTCATGATTGCTTACAAAACCGAGCGTGGCCGCTGAAATTGGAATTTAACATCTACACTCGTCTACTGTTTTGAGCCCGAATGTTGAGCCGTTATTTGACCATAATGCCACCGTATCGTGTCGCCCAAGTTCGATATATCCTTTAGGATCCATACTCTAGTACTGCTCCTCAAAAGGAATCCCTCAACTTCAGCGAGACCTACCCTCGGGTATAGTAGTGTATACTCCCGAAATGGCAGAAGCCGTACAGAGTGCTTGGACCCTCTGTGTGTGGATGCTCCTCCTCCGTATCGTAGCCAGTTCTCAGGTAGTTGATGAGTGGACTCAGAAAGCTTCTGAGCGCAAAGCGTATGGCTACTACAAAGCGTCATTACTCCCTGGCAAGGGAAAGAAGATAGGCACCAGACCCTACTCATAGATATACAGGCGAGGGAAAAAAAGAACCCCGTCATCAAACCATCCGATGATACTCTCGAACAATCCCCCTTGACTCAATAATATTCTCCGTACTCTCCGTATCCCCCTCGTTATCCGACTGTGTATGGACCTGGTAGGAGCTCGTCACAGTAATGCCAGTTATATCCTCGCTTTTCTTCTTAGAGTGATGATGGAACCGACGACCGGGACCAACACCGCCACCGCCGCTTCCCTCATTTTTATCAAACGACTCCAGCTGGTGAGAGCCTGGTTGGTTTTGGTGCCGCAAAGATCTAGATGGGTAGGACCGGCCCGGGGGGTATCTGTCGCTTCCCCTTGAGGTGGGGATGAGCATTGGGAAGACGAGGCGCACTAAGGGCTTTAGGACGGCGAGGCAGTTGCACATTATCCCAAAGTTGAGTTCGATTGCTCTGTGTGACATCTCTCGGTTAGGGAAGCATGGGAGAGTGAATGAGGTGCGGGTACTTACGACCAGACGCAGACGGTTGCTTCGTACCATGTAAAATCGACCTTGTCGAGGATGTTCATGATGTAGGTGATGCGGACGATGCTGGTTATCATTGCTCTGTATGTCGGTAGAAGTTCTGTTAGAGAGGCACACACCGAGACAGACCGAGTAGGAGGTTAGTATGGAAACCTACGCAGACCCAAGCGCAAAGATCAACCCCAGAGAGAGCTTTTGCAACAGCGGCAACTGAAGCGCCCACAGTAACGGAATTGGAATCAGTAGCATCAGGAAATCTGTCACGATATTCAAGATCGCCTGCCATAGCGCCAGGCTGTTGATGCAGGGGGTTGCGCCTTCACTCAGGGGATTACATCCGCCAGCTGTTGCTAACGTAGTTGCCAGTGTATAGCCCGCGATGATGAACATCAATGCATAGATCATATATCGGAACTTTTTCGACGGGTTAAGTCGGTGATACCTGAAGAGAGTCAGTCTACCTTGGCTCTGTGGCGAGTTTTCTTGCTCTGAGTCTCACAAAATAAGAATTGAAAACTTGGTCATGAATGGTGCCCAGCAGTAGGTTACTACAATGGGTATGAGAAGCTGATTTCAGGCAAGAGGCTTTAGCTGCAGGTCAAGGGCTCAGACATTTACAGGGGCTTACTTTGAGATACGTCGGAATCGCAGTGGCCGGCACGTTGTACAGGTGTCTCCCAAACCCATATTTCATCGCTAATGGAAAGATTAGTCTAGTAATAAGCTTGAAGATCTGAACAAGGAGTTTCTTACAAACAAAGCACAGCGCAAAGAAGGCTATTGAGAAGAGCTAATTGCCACATTAGAGATTCGAAAACCAGGCGAATGTCACGGATCTATATTCTTACAGCAGACGCAATAACAGCCCCTGCAGAAGTCTGGTCAGAACAGCCACTCGATGCAGCAAAGTCGCAGGGAGTGGAGCATACAGTCGTCAAGCCCGAAAGATTTGACAAGGAAGAGCCGCGTATAGAGCCGCAGGAGCAGTAGAAGAAGGGCAATTCCCAAGGTGGAGGCATAAGTGAGGATAAACTCCTGCTGTACAGAGGTCCTGGTGAGAGAAAAGTCCGGCGTAACCCCGTCCGGCGGCGGCATGGCGCCCACGATTTCCGTGGAAGCCATTATGAGTGAACAAACAGGTTGAACCTGAAGACCCTCATGAGGTCGACAAGAAGGGAAGAAGGAAGAATGAGGAGAAAAAGGGCAACAGAAGAAGCAGAGAAAAGAGGCTCCCTCGTCAAAGCTCTCTTCGATGAAACGAGGCAATGACTTTGACTCTGATCGTCCATGTCATTTCCTAATTCCCCAGAATTTGCCTTGGGAGACAGGAGTCGAGCCGGACAATGGCGTCGCGCGTTTTGATTTAGTTGCAGGCGAAGGATCGTATCCCCAGTCGGGTTGAAGCCCCAGTTCCTTAGTGACCCGCCCTTCGTAACGTATCTCACGGCTGGATGCCGTCCACGCCCCGAGGGCCGAAAGTTTCCCGCATCCATAGATAGTAAACCGAGCGTTTTGGCGAACCCGAATGGCTACTCTCGAGCCGTTGGTGGGTTCGATGGAGAAAAGCTGAGACGGCGGACTCGGGAAGCTCCGCGAGCGCCTCCACTGTCAAGCCGGTCATGGAGTCGTGGAGGGAAAGAGCGTACAGAGTATCCACCATCGATCGCTCATCGCATATTGGCCCCCAACTTGGAATGGCTCTCTTGTTCTCCGGATGGGAAGGACGCTCAACTCTCGATTCTAGCGCATACGAGGCCGTCGAATAATAATCAAACTATTAATACTTTCTGAACATCGTCCGATCCTTTAGGATTCCCCCACAGAAACAGAGAAGCCCCTAGATAATTTCCCTCTTCTCCCTCGACCAACATCTTTGGTCGTGCGCCCACTTTTGGATGCAGATGCTGTCACAATGGCGGACGCCCAGCAGTCACTCACGTCCACGATTCTGGCAACGGCCAGTCTCACGGGTGTCGCTCTCCATCTTTTCTTCTTTAAACATGTCGAAGTCGACAAGCGCCCCGTGTCGACGGCAGCGTCTTTTATCGTAGGATATTTCCTGATTGCCAGTGCTCTGCCCCGGATCAGCAGCGAATACGAGGGCTTCCTTTGGTCACGTACTGTCGCCCTTCTGGCTTGGTTATCCCTGGTCCTCTCCCTCTGGACGAGCATTCTCGTCTACCGCGCCTTCTTCCATCCACTGAAGAATTTTCCTGGCCCTTTTGGTGCGCGATTGAGCAAGTTGTGGAGCTTGAACAAGGTTCTCGAAACGAACATCAGATGGTATCGTACTCTTGATGCACTCCACGAGAAGTATGGAGACTTTGTGAGGACAGGTAGTCGACTCTGAATGATCCTTTGACCTTTACTCACAGGGCTAATCCGTCACAGGGCCTCGTGAGCTCGTCATATTTGATGCAGCGGCCATTACCCCGGTCCTGGGCTTTGCGTCGGTAACGGGCAAAGGTCCCTTTTATGATTCCATGGAAACTTCCGTCAACACGACTCGGGATCGAGCTTTCCACCGAAAGAGAAGAAAGGTGTGGGATAACGCCTTCAAGATATGTAAGTTGGAACATCACCCCTTCACTCCCTGAGCCCCGTACCCTGACACTACTGCAGCGCTCGCGGACTATGCCCCCCGGGTCGAGGAGTTTACAAGCCAACTGCTCACTCGAATCGGGAATAACCTGGGGAAGCCCATTCTCGTGAATGAGATATGCATTCACTACAGCTACGATGTGATGAGTGCCTTGGCCTTTGGGGAGCCCATGGGCTATACCAAGGGCGAGTCCAATGACACTGCCAAGTCGGTCCTGGATAACATCCAGAAGGGAGTCGATGCGATTGGCCTCCTCCTTCATGTCCCCTGGTTGATGGGCACATTGACCACTTTCTCTTGGGCAATCGGTCCGATGCGTGAGTGGAACCAATACTCGGAGAGTCTGGTCATTGAGCGCAAGAACGTGAGTCGCCTGATTCACCAGTATCATTGTTGCTGTCTGACAAGTGCAGATGAAAATCCCCAAGCCGGATCTCTTCAGCCACCTTCTCGACAATACCGAGGACACTGCTACCGGCCGTGCTCTCCTCAACTCGGAGTGTCGCTTGATTGTCGGTGCTGGAAGGTGAGATATCTTCCTCTTTTAGTTCCAGAAGGGATTCTCATTTGACTGAGTAGTGACACAACCGCAACCGCCTTGACGTTCCTGCTCGTCAACTTTGCCCTGTACCCAGAGTGGCTGCAACGACTGCGCGATGAGGTTGACCCTATTCTGGCCAGCGGCAATTTCAACAATGCCCAGACGCTGCCCGTTCTGGACGCAATTATCAACGAGAGTATGCGGCTCAGCCCGTCGGTATTCTTCGGTTCTCAGAGAGAGACGCCCCCAGAGGGAATGAAGATTGGAGACACATATATTCCTGGGGGAACCATTATATCCATTCCGGCCTATCAGGTGGGCAGAGGTATGTACAGCTAGTTTTTTCCAGTGACATTTCTCTAACATAACATGTGTAGACGACCGTAACTTTGTCCATGCAAAAGAGTTCCTCCCGGAAAGATGGTACTCGAAGCCCGAGCTCATCATCAACAAAAGCGCCCACATGCCCTTCCTGACCGGCCCCTTCAACTGTGCGGGCCGGAACCTGGCAATGATGGAACTCCGGTCCGTCGTAGCGCGGGTGGCCCATGAGTTTGATATTGCGTTCCCTCCTGGATCCGACTTCGATGCCGAGGATTACTTTAGTCGGATCAAGGATCATTTCGTGTCTGGTGCACCGCCGCAGAATCTTGTGTTTACGAAGAGGAGGGGCGTCTAGGTTGTTAGTTGTGCCTTGAAAGGTCTCATACCTTGGAACGGTACCAGAGGAAATAGATGTTCAGTCACGAGCATATTGATATTGCACTCATTTCTTACGTCAACATGGGTCACTCAAATCCTTTGGACCATACTCTTGATAAAATGGTCTTAGAAGCTATAGGCATAGATGGTGGTGGTGAGAGCGTGATGTAGTGGACCATGGATAATCAAGCACATTCGCGGTCCACATGGTCCAGCCACTCCACATGAACTGCGTCGCTACAGGATTTCCGATACCTTTCAATCAAGGGCTCGACTTTCTATCGTGGACTCTTGCTTGTTTAGTTGTGATGATGATAGAATCATGATACGTACAGTATTAGTTGTGTGATCTAATGGGAGCTCTGCCTGTTATATAACAATAGTGGTATCCCCAATTTCCCGAATCATACGAAGAATATGAACAGAACATAAGACAGCCTGTGAATCCTCCCGGTTTCTTACAGGCAAGCTCTATGTAACTAGTTTACGCGAGAAAGAACCATTGACTGTTCCCAGACACGCAAATATAGCACTTCGTTACCACTGAACCCAGACATACCTCCCGAGTGATTGCATCTCGAATAACTCCCGCCAGGTCAAGATGAGATGCAATCTGTTCCTATTGTCTATCTGTGCTTTACCTGCCTTTGCCATTTATATCCCTCAGAGCACTCTAGGCCCTGAATTTGTCTGTCTATATCCAGCCTCGTGCTGCTCATACAGAGACTGTTGGGGCAACGAGAGGTGTGGATGCGCAGGTTTTGGTGGCTGTCCTGGTGACAGCGTAGTCTATTGCAGAGATCTAGATGGGACTGAGCGTATTGATGGTCATTAAGGGATGGGATAGGGCTAACTGGTTGGTCCAGGTTGGGGTCGCTCTTGAGTATGGAATGGAATTGATGTACACTATGTTCTTCATCTCACGAATTTGACATGAGCACTCAGATTGGTATACTCTCTTATTGCTAGTATATCAGATAAAAGCATAGCAGAGTGGCTGGTACTCGCTGACAATGCCAAACTCAACTGATCGACGTCCAACTGCGCTTGTTGAAGATAGACGCCAGGTTCGCTGAAATAACCCAGATATCAACTATGGAAGGAAGTGTGAAATGCTGTAATGCGCTGAGATTCTCATTCCTTCTCAGCGGCAGGCTCTACTGGTGCCTCAGATTACAGCTCCTTTGTCGTAGCTCATTCTCGCTGGCCTCCCCTGGCTACCTGGGTATGTAATCGAGTTCCGGTCCCTCTAAGCTAGATCCATGTTATACATAAACCTAGAAAGTTTTATTCCCAAGTCACGTTGAAGAAAAGTTAAATGATAAATCTCCCCATGCTGGATCCAGAGCACAACATTTATATGAGCTCACATACCTTTGGATTCACGTACCCTTTCTCCTCAAGTCTCTTGCTGTCTAGATCTAGGAATCTGGTCTCACAACAAGATGCCTTACCAGCCTACCTACCCACGACATCGCTACACCGTCCGAAGGAGCACTTTCTACTCCGATATGGAGAGACGCGCGCCACCAGAATACGAGACCATCGAAATAAACGAACTTGCGCCTGTCGACACTCAGCCATCGCGGCCAACTACCCAGGCATCGAGAGGAGGGCCACCAGACCTTCAGGCCAGACAACGACGTACTGGAAGAAACGCACTCCCAGAGCCTGCCACTCAACCTAGACGATGGCTGCCTGCGTTTAGAGGGTCAGAGAGAGAATATGGTACTGAAACTTTAGAAGACGCTCGTGAGTCATTTTTGTTTCCGCTTCAAGGCCGTTCGAAGGAGGGAATAGTGTGTGCTGATGTCTATCACTTAACAACAGGATGGGAGATACGCCTTTACATCATCGTCATCTATTTCTTGCTCATTTTTATTGTCATCATGAACATTCTCTACAATGTCCTTTACAATGTCTACTACGGTAGAGCATTGCGCCGCTGCCAGAGCTAGGCCACCGGAAATTGCTTCGTGCGTGGATGGGCCACGCGTGCTTGAAACCCTAATTCAGAGTCATCCATCGTCTTACTGCCACCTAACTTTTCATGTGGGCACAGTTTTTAGACATCGGTATTTGGAATCAAGTTCTAGTTTACATTCCGTCTGCTCTCCTCTCTCTCTGTCGTCGCTGTGCCTGTCCTTCTCCTGCTCTAATGGTCTTATTTATCTCCTCTGATCTTGGTGTCTTTTCCTCTATCTACCCCCGCACCATCCATCACATCTCGATTTACCGCCGACTGCCTCTACCTACTCTTTTATATCCATCTACTCTTACCTTCATACTCAGCCTTAGGCTCCGCTCTCATCTCAACCCATCACCACCGATCCCACGCACGCGATCATGGCAAAAATAACCCAACCTCCACTCGCCTACTTGAACAGATACCACTCCACCGAACCACCCGCCTACACGCCAAATGAGGCACCCGGCGAGATTTGCATCGACATGGCCGATCTACCGCCGTACTCTCAGTCCCCCACCGCACAAGAGTCACATCGACCTTCTGGACACACGGTTAAAGATAGTTGGTGCAATATTTGTTGCGAATGGCACTGCGATATTTGCCATGATTGCCTCTGCGAGGACTGTGGGTATATCCTAATTGGGCTGCTGGGTTTTGGAGGCGTCGCTGGCATGGTAGTCGGTCTTTGGCTGCTTTATTGTGGTGCGCATTGATAACGTCGTACGGAACTGGTTATTATCGTCCCCGTCCCATCACTATCAATAGCGCCCTCCTCGCAAGACATCCACAAAAGTGCCTGCCACTTGCACCGTGTGGCTTTTACGTGTTAGCTTTGAGATATTAGGAAGTGGACTTGGTGGTAGAGCTAGATTCTGGCCCCGGAACTACGTAACTTGCTACTTAGCTTTCCTCATACTTTTGCTCCTAGTTAGACCGAAGCCTGCTTTGTGGTTTACACGTGATGACTCTTGAAGAAGACCCTTGGTTGTGACTCCCTCTAAGGGTTTTTTATCGAAATCAACTCTTATCCTTTGATATATTCTTCTCTCCTCATCCTCCCTCCTGATCCTAGAGTGTCCTCTAGACGCACCATGGCAAACCCATCAAGCCCACAGCGCATCTACTCCAACCAGCCTCACGCTACCTATGATCCGAATAGGGCAAATGAAAGCTGCATCGAGATGGGCAATCTACCCGCAAGCCCCCAGGCCTACGCCACACAGACACCATATCCGCCTCCTGCAGGCCGAAACCCGGGTAGCACGCCCCGTTTATTCTCATGGCCTGCCACCAAGTCTCGCCTACGCCGGTTTAGAAGTACGTACTCCTATATCAGTAGTAGCATGCCAGACGGGCGTATACTGACCAGGCTACCAGCAAAACTAAGCGATTATATTGGGGAACACGATTGGGTCCGAGGCGTCCTGACGTGTTTAATGGCTGGCAGTATCATCACTGGCGGTTTTGGGCTGCTCAGTCATTTTGACTAGTAGTGTCTCACTGGAATCCTAGTGGTTGGCGAGAATCCTTGCCTTGCGCCAGATTAACTTTGCAATGGGGAGATTGCTGAACATGGTGGCGGAGGAATCCCAGTGTTGGGGACCTGGCTTTTTTTCTTTTTTTTTTTTCTCTTGGATCCGGGTTTAGTTATCCATGGATAGATGCTTGTGTCTCAGGCGGTACACGCGAGAGCTCTCTTTCAGGCCCGGCTAGTGGTAGTTTAATTTCTTGATTCCTTGTCTTCTCTTCCCCTCTTCCCATAATCCCACCATCCCATCCTCTCTCTTTGATTCTACAGTGATATCCACGTCCACGTCCACAACATGACAAACAAATCTAACCCAGAGCGCGTCTACTCTGGCCAGCCCAACCCTACCCGCGATCAGGTCAAGGACCCAGCTGAAGTCTGCATCGAGATAGCCAATCCAGACACAGGTCTAGACTGGCATGAGTGGGCATAGTAATAGAGCATTTGCGTTGACCAGGCCGGCTCAAAGAGCCTCTTTTTTGCATCATGTGTTTTTCACTTGGTCTTGGTTCATGGTTGGTTTCATTGTATTGATGATGTATCTTCGGACCAAATTTCACTAGTCAAAGAGCATCCTTGCCAGTCACGCGAGGATGGATCGGTCAAGGAATCTCAGAATGTTGAGTTTGGTGGCGGAGGCGACGTTCGGCGTTGGAGTGGCTGGCCTTTGTCTTTTCTGGAGTCCTGGTTTTGTTATGCATGTGCTTTAGGCTTTACACGCGAGAGCTCTCTTCAAGACCCTGCTAGTTCTTAACCTTTGCTCCACGATCTTCTCTTCCCAGCTTCTCATCTTCTCTTCTGAACCTGCAGTGACCACCGACTGAGTACACCATGGCAGGCCTATCTGAACCACAGCAGGTCCATCACCGACAACACCACGCCGAAGTCCCAATCACATACGACCCACCTGCACACCTAACAACGACTTTGTGATCGATGTGGACATGACCATCACATACCCTCAGACTCGTGTTCTCCCAGCACCGACCCCGCCTCCTGCATGCTCCAGTGTTCAGACAACAGCCCGCACTATACCTGCCAGAGGAACCCCTCGCACCCGGGAGGTCTAGAGTAAGTACAGCCAGCCGCAGCATACGTCAGAGACTAGTCTAGCTAACCACTCAGACCCAGAGCAGCCGATCCGCACACGAATCGGCAACTGGCTCAGCCGACGTGCGGTAGGCCTGCGTCTACTAGGTGGCGAAATCTGCGTTGGACTCATGGTTGGAATGTAAGTGGCTTTGGAGAGGGCAGGGTACACTTTGTTATCTTTAGCTCGGTAATTCCGCGCCTCCCCCTGACGTCTGTGACGTTGATGTTGTGTGCCTGACGGCCAGCCCAGAGGCTGACACGCGACGGGCAGCAGAGCTGCAATATTTCGCGATTTGTACTATGGAGATAGGTTGGGGATACAGGGTCGGGGTGCTGAGAACTTAGTCGGGTCTGGAGCCTAGAACGCAGGCAGCGAATTCGGGTGCTGGTGGCGGAGCTGACTTTTGCTCTGGGACTGGTTACTGGTTAGGGCTTTCCAGAGTTATGTACTTTTAAGCTTTTTGAGGGGCGGTGGTTTTCCGTCTTCCGAGTCAAGGTTCACGAGCCAGCTATCTGAAATCGACTCCTGCTTTTACCTGAATATTGGCACAGTACCTCTCTTCCTCTTTCCCACGTTTGATCTACAAGTACAACAAAATGCCAGAGACACAGAGGCCACGTCAGGTTCACCAACGCCCGTACAGCGCTGGAGACCACTCCACATACACCCCGCTTTTACCAGCACCCAGCGAGGAAGTTATCTTTGAGATGGAGGCTATCCCCAAGTGTCCCGAGTCCATAATCTCACGAGCACCATCCCAGCCGCCTCCATATGAGGAGATCGATACCAATTGGCTTGCAAGGGAGGATATCTACACCCGCCACACCCCGAACAATGACACAAGCAATTCTCGCTCTGCAAGCGCCGAGAGATCAAAAAACCGGTCAGGAAGAGGATAGAGGGTAAGTTCATCCCCCCTCTCCACTCATAGATTAAGTCAAGCCCCAGACTCACCACTTTACCCTTGTTACCCAGACTCCAACGCCGGCGTCTGGCTCCTTTTAATCTTTATGCTCTTGGTCATCATCGGGGCCTCCATCGGCGGACCGCTTGGGGCAGCGAAGGCGAAAGAGAATACCGAGAAGAACGACCCTGTTCCGGCTGGGAAAGCGATGCAGACCCCGTCTGCGACTACGACTACGACTACGACTACGGCTACGGCCACTGTTACAAACACGGTTACGGTCACGCAGACTGCCGCCCGAGCATGAGATACATTTGATGACGAGGATGAGGATGAGGATGAGGATGATGATGATGATGGGGATTCGACAACGTACTATGTGGAGCAGCAATCCCAGCCCAAATACCCGGGGTTGTTCTCTAGAATTTGGCGTTTGTTTTTCGCATAGAGGGGCTTCTATAGTCGGGTATCTAGGCTGTGCAGACGACAGAAGAAAGTGTATGGGCCAGGGTATGGCATATGTGGCTGGCTTGGACATAAGAGCCCATCACGTGCACCCTGGGGGAGGGTATCGGAACAGACTTCCACTCAACTTAAGCTTTTGCGCAGCATCAATGACGTTGTTGTCTCTTATGACGGGAATTTTATTTACCGCCGTCATCTTATTTTGCTTGCTACTGTTCTTCTAGCTACTGTTTAGCTAGTCCATCCTACATCATCTGTTCTTCGTACCTACACCTGCCTCTCTTATTGACAATCGTCTGCAAGAACTTCCTCATATAGTCCAACCACATCTATCTTCATTACTCCATTGATCTATTACTTTACTCTCTGTGCACAGCCATGGCTAGATGCAAGAGAGTGAAGAATACCTGCGTACGTCTCTTGAGGAGGGCGGCACCACCAGCACGTGGAGACCGGCTTCTAGCCCTAACTTGCGAGCCCAATACGTCCAACACGGAATTACCGCCAGCGTATTCCTCTTCGATTTCCTCCGAGAAATCTGACGATGTGCTGAAGAAAGACTGTAAGTGGCACCAATCTCAGTTCCCCTTCTCTTGCGACTTCTCCAGTCAACCAAGCTAAAACAGTCATCTAGCACACGTATCTCTCCACTCGCGCGGCCTTCGCAGACCTAGTCGCAGACGCCTCGTCTCCCTCCTACGAGAGTCCAAAGCCTCCATAAAGCACATTCTATCCGAGACAGTCTTCAGTCTCAGAACCGGCTTATTCCTCCTCGCCCTCTGCGGCTCAGAAATATCGTTCTACGTGCTCGACGCGGTGAAATTCGTGGTGGCGGTCGTTGTTTGTATTCTTATTGCTCCAGGTCTCATACTTTATTCTACTATGCATCGATGTACCCGAAAGGAGCCGAGGATATATTTTGGGGAGGATGTGTATTTTGTACCTTGAGCGGCGCGGTGTGGTGGTGAAGCCGGCTGGGGAAGACAAGGCATGCGTTTCGATGGTATCTATCTATTGGGCTATTTCGAGTATATTCTGTTCGCACTGGAGCTCCAACGCCTCTCCGAAGGAGGCTTCAGCCCTGATCTATGTTCTTCCTTCTTTAATGATGCTTTACTATATACCCCTCGGCAATTGTTTGCGTCGTCTTTCAATTTCTGAATACATCTATCTACCGTGACTACTTTTTTCTTCCGAGGCCCCATTCCTTGTCATACTTATTGATGTTTTACGATTTTTGAATATCAAGAGATCCTGGCTCTCTTCTACCCTGCTACCCCTACCACCTGCCCAAAACGGGAACAAGGAATATCTCCAGCCCAGTTCGGGCTCCCACCACCGCAGCGAGAATCTCGAGACAACAATGCCATTTTAGGCGCGAGGTATCAATTAAAATATCTCAGAATAAGCAAGTGTTTTTGCGGAGAGTTGATGAAGGCTTGATAGAGGCCAGGCGAGGAATCAAAGCGAGAAAGAGTTTCGAGGGATGCCTGTAGAGATGTGGAATGGCTTTTGCCGGGGAAGAAGAGGTTTGGAGCAGGGCGAGGTTCTTATGGGGGTCGTTGGCGGCCCTTCGTCAATATGACTGACGATAAAACGGGGTTGTTTTTTCGGAAGGATCATGAAGGATTAAGAGGTTTCTCGGTCTGGGTGGGGTCAAGCGCCCATGGTATCCCAAGCACTGCAAATGCTTACTCCTTCCTGATCAGGATACACGTGGTCGAGGGCGTTAAGCTTTCGGGGCAGGCAGAATCTTCTCTTCCATTTTCCTCTCATCGATAGTCATCTTTTATTCTTTCGAGTCTCATTCATTCTTCAACGCGTTCCTCTCTCATCTTCAGGACAGTCTTCATGCGAAAACCATTTTCAGGGATGTTGGACGACAAAGCTACGATCCCCATGTCCTCGCACGAAAGCCGGCCAGTGCTCGCGCCCGTAGACGAGCAGCAACGAGAAACTCGACGTGATATTGGAAGAGGTGCGGAAAATCCGTCGTGGAGCCTCTAATAACCACCAATGTCAGTACCTATGACAGTGCCTACTTCGCCATGATCCCCCACCCCGCCGCCTCATGAATAATGGGATACTAACAAGCGACGCTGAAGACAAGCATTGCCAGAAGATGCTCGGCAAGATCTCCGAAAAGGTGAAAGATATCAGACATATGGCCTCTGATGACGAACAAGGTCAGTGCCTGTAGCCCTACCTATTTCACCATGATCCCCGGCTCCGCCCCTTCATGGCTACATAGTGGGATACCTAATCAACGACACCCACAGAGAATTATTGGCAAGAAATGTTGGACAGCATCTCCAACGAAATAAAACAATCTAAGCGTATAGCTTCCGATGCCAAACAAGGTCAGCCATAACATACCCTACCCATTCAACCATGATCCACCGCCCCGCTGTCTTATAAAGGGATCTACTACTGACAACTGCAACGCCGACCACAGCGATCTAATCCTAGATACTGATAGGCCTGATATTGCCATTCTTCTGTTCTTCTCGCTTAGGTTAAAGAATCAGTGCTTGGTCTTTTGGAGTCAGCTCCCCCCTGTTCTCTAGGTTTTAGATTTCCTAAATTGGCGTACTTGTCGAACAATCGTAAATGACGTTATGCTCTTCAGTAGATGTCAGATTGTAGCTCCCGCTCTGTAAATACAAGCGCGAGGTCACCCTCTTGCTCTGAGTGTGGGAGTGCGGACTGCTGTGGGCGTGTTTTCCTTGCCACCATCCGGTCGAATTAGGGTTTACGGAGTGGCGTCAGATGTATACCACAGACTGGCACAAGCAACATTCCCAACGATTTTCCGCAACTTTGTTCTCATTGGCACGGCCACAGCTCAATAAATGAAAGTTTACCTTTGAGTCAGCTTATGATTGCTTCCAGGAAGAGGAGCTTGACGAATCTCCGTAGAGGCTGGACAAACCTCGCATGATCGAAACAAAACTCTAAGAGAATTCCTCACTAAATGACGCATTCAGCCTGACCGCTCGCTGCGCCCACCTCAGGCCCAGCTCTCCCGCCTGCTTTCCTCCTGTCGGTAGTCTGTTTGCCTACATACTCATCCCCTCTCGTCCCGCTCCCAAGCACCGCAAAACCAGACATCTCCAAGATGTCTCCCCCGATACGATATATCTATTATCGGAACAGGAGCATTGCGGAGGATTCCAAAATGGACGACGACGACTTGCCGCTTTTAGAGTCCGACTTTGATACTGATTTCGAGTCCGACTCCGACATGCTTCTCACCCCGACCAGCTCGATCTCAGGCGAGCGTCCGGCGCCTTCTTCCTCTGCGCCTACTGCGCCTACTACCGATGAGACGCCTGCCTTTTTGCAGGTTCAGATTACCCTGCCTCCTCGGATGGGAAGGTGGATTCTCTGGAGGAGACGAGGTATGTTCTTTTCACGGAGACAAGCTCCTCATATATCCCAAAATGATGTGTTGATCTAACCCGTTATTCTCTTCTATTATCTAGCCGCTGTTGCTGATATCCAACTTCGATTTACAGAAGACCGCAAGTGGGTGGCGTATACGTTGGTCGGGCTTTGGACTGGCGCGGCGTTTCTCTCGTACGGGGTTTTGGTTTCGATGCTTGTTCGGGGATTCAAGACGTATTGCAGTTGCTGATTTTTGATCTTGGCCTGTGAAGTTCTGGTTGTTATGGAGTCTGCTTTTGGACTGCGTTTGGGGGACTTATGGCGCGCAGGCCAAGGGATGAAAGAGGAGGAGAGGGGCTTATTCAACTCTCCATTAGGATCTCTATGATATTTCACCGGTGCCATCTCGTTTCTTACTTCACTTACCCTTGCATTGACATACTATTCACTCCTGTTATACCTGCACGGCCCAAGTCCATGACCCCGTGAGGTGGAGATGCCACTTTCTCTTCCACCATCTTCAAATGTCTCTGAAGGATCTGAGCATGGGAGAAACCTGAAAAGCTAGGCTGCCGAATACCAGGTAGCCGCGTCATGCGGTCCAGAGCGGAAGCCTTATCCTAAACTTTGTTCTCATATCCTTCATCCATCCCCAGTCTTCATCTCCATCTGATCTCCCAAGGGACCATCATCTCTACACTACAGTACTACTTGAAAACCGTGTCGACTCAAAATGCCTCGCAGTCTCGATTATGATACCTTCACGGATGAAGAAGAAAACGTCCCTGAACCGAACCAGTCGTTGCCCCCAAGCTATGACGACGTCGCCAACTCATCGATTCATGCCTCCTCTTCAATGACCCGTGAACAGCGATACATTGAGACATCTTGTAAGTCGAGCTCCATTCCAGATCCCTGCCCAGGCCAAAGTACCTCAGAATGCAATAAGATTAGTCTCGGCTGACTGACTGGCTGACTGGCCGGCACCCCTCTTCCTTTATCAGTGTGCGAGTGCCATATCTGTCTGTACCACTTGACGTTCTGGGGATGCGTTCTCGTCCTGCTATGCATTTTCGCGGTGGTGGAGTTGGTCATGATCTTTCGGCTGTGCATTTGGCTTCAAGGATGGCCGGCTTCGAGGAATCTGTGAGAGTGTTAGGCCCTCAGGGATTGTATGGGATTCGTTGATACTTGGATAGCATAGGCATTGCTCTTGGACCAAACTGCGCCTATAGCTGTGCGAACCGCCTCATCGCGCTGTGGGAGGGGATGCAACAAGCCCTGATGGCTAAGCGAAGGTTGTGCCACACGCCAGTAATAAACTTTACCAGTCGACCCCCAACCCTCAACCCAAAAAGTGCTATGAAGACCAGTTTGAGGCTATGAGTGGGAAATATGCTCATTGATGTGGTCATGTACAAGCAAGCTACGAGATTTCTTCAAGCTCCCAGGGCTAGCCTGGGGACTCTGGTCCAGAATTTAAGAATATGTAATTGCATAGATTCTCCTAGCCAAGACTGCCAACGCACTCGTAATAGTAATTCTCAACAGGTCTCTGAGACCCCCAACACCTAAGGTCATCCACGCCAAGCAAAACCCCAAGCAGAGGACACATAGGTACCCTTAGGACCATTATAATCCTGGCTCGCCTATTTCTTTCCAAATATCACCTCCCGAATCAATCTGCATATGCCGACTAATACTAAGACTGCCATGGCAGTCGCAAGCACACCAAATCCGAACTTTGTATATTGTCCAGTGCTTGGCAGGTTTCGTCTGATTCGTCCAACGTCTAGAGAAATGGCTGTCGGAGGTCAGTGCAATTCAGCTTCGCGGTTGGGACTGTTGGGAGCGTAGCTGACCCGGCATACGGCAAGCCCTGCGGGTAGGCACGGTCGACGTCGCGGGAAGGGGAAGCTCGCGGCCTTGGACTAAGGCGCTATCAACTGGTATCGTTGTCGACGTTGGGGCGTAGGAGGACGAGGCCGAGGTGGAATAGTACCCGGGAGGTGGGATTTCCGACATTTCGGTGTCGTCTTGCTCTACCCTGTTGTATGTGGGTGTGGAAGGCATCGTGAGTGGCTTTTGACTTTGTTGGTTTGTAGCAGACTGGATGAGACGTGATAGATGGTATTAGAAGTACGTGTCTTGCAGCAGCGAGTAAACGGCAGAAGAAGCCGGGGGCAATCGCTCGCAGGGATTTCGAAGAACGAAAAAAGTCATTAAACTTCAGAATAACTTTTCCAGTGACTCACATGCTTCTACTACCTTCTACTAGTAGTAAGTTTGGTCCTGCTATTCCACATCCAAAGAATCGACGCTTATACTTGGGGCTTGAATGTATATACTAGGCTAGAAAAGAGTCCTAGAGTCTCGTTGCGTGGTTGTACATCACTGGAATCAATATCTTCATAGTAGTCAGAGGTGCTGTTTTCAACTATATTCTGTCTAAAACTGTTTCCGTCTTGATCCCAGGTACTCCTTATTCTCCCCGTCTACTACTACTGAGCACTATCCTGTCCATTACAAGAACAAACAAGCCCAGGTCCTCACCGATTCGGATATTTTGGTTAGTGCACCTTCTATATGAAAGTGACGACGGCTCTAGTACTAATACAAAAGGAGTTGCCATAGTCTTGATAGCTAAGAGAAGGTTGTAGGTAAGGCTGTGCCACACGCTAGTTTATGAACTTTACCAAGTCCAAGTTTCCGCTCTGATTTTCTTCGGTACTTCTAGAGGGAGAATGACGGCGAAGGAACAGATACAATTCGACTCAGCTAGTTGCCCCGTAACTGATCCACTGACGGTAAGCCCTAGTCACCAAAAATCTTATCCTGAAGCATATGACTTTTCTTCTTTTCAAAACTTTCTGCGAGCACCATCTGCCCTCTGCAGCATTACTACCACATCTACTACCACAGAACAACTCAAGCCGAACAGTCGCTCACGGAACCGCTTAAACCCACATGTAGCTGAGTGGAACAGCACCTGTAGGATCCAAACATGCCCAAATATGCGCCTCCACCTTAGCATCATCCTAGTATCCTAACCCCAAAACTTCTAGCTCGGTACTAGTCAATAGCGCCCTAACCATGTCATATACAGTCTAGGGTCATGAGCATCCGGCCCCTGCAAGGCCGGCTCAGGTTGTTTGCAAGCGCCATCATCTAGGTTAGCAAAGCTTCATACAGTATAAATGCCCAAGCTGAATCGTGCTGACCTCTATATTCTTTTCTTTAGATACCATTGATATCAGACGTATAAGACAGGACCTTTCGAGCGGCGAAGAATACATGACATTCTTATTCCTCATGGTCTTAACAGCTTTCGCGGTCTTCTTTCTAGTCGCCACAGGCAGATTGACTTGGGCGGTGATATTTAAATGAAATAGATGACCGAGAATCACGATGGTCCTACTGGTCCTACGCTAAGATAGCGTTTTGCTTGGGCTGAATACGTTTAGGTGTTGGAGGTTGCAGGGACCTATTAAAGCACTATTCTAACTACATTAGTAGGATTAGCTATGGGTATCTATTTTATCTTTCTACACGTTCTTTTCTTAGTTCATTAGATGGATAACCGTCAGAGTCATAGAAGCGCAGTAGGAATACTACTAGGACACCCAGGAGTCGAACGTGTTGTCTAAACTTTATATGGCTAATAAGAACCAAAAGTCTCTCCACCTTAATCCCTTAGACTTTTCTATTCCCGCTGTCGGCTGCTACTGAGAACTATCATACCCACTACCTGCAGTAAGACACTTCCACCTCATTTCCAGCCACTGCAAGAAAAAAACGGTTCCAGGCCTCAAAATAGTCTCCAAGCCCATATACTTTCAAAATCCTAACGAAGAGTTCCTCGAAGCTGGCGGATATGCGTCTCCAGGGTACAACATCTCTACATCAGCAACGACCTACTCGTACCGCAGCTCACATATCTTGCCTTCGCGTTGAGTCCCTACTTGGGACCAAAACTCGCAGCTCCCTCCTCCCGTGTCCGCTCGAGATAGGCGCTTGAATTTATCAAGTAAGTCAAATCTCACATTCAGTGGTACTTATCCCCAGGAGACGGGACGAGAAAGTGACACACGCGCTGACGCTCAAACGTTCTCTTATGCAGATCCCAGACAACGCCGCTTAGACCCCGACCAGGAACTCGCACTTCTCGTGCTGTTCGTGTCGTGTGCTATGGTGGCTTTCATATTTTATCTCGCCCTCTCCTACGCTTGATCTACCCATGGATGATTGTGGTTGTGGAATGGAAGTATGAGATGGTGGCTGAAATAGACACGCGCGCTCGGGACAAAGTGTCGACAGCAGGTAGGATGGGCAGCAGAAATCGTGCTGACCCTCTTTTTTTCTTCGTCTCTGTTTCGATCTCAGATGTTTCTTGCTTGCTATGGATGCGTTCAGGCGTTAGAGGATTGATACAGCGGGTGCGCTCGATAGTTGTTCCTGGGCCGCTGGTTTAGAAATGACTTAGTCTGAGAATCTACGTTGCTTGTTACATCTTTGGTTTCCAATTCTCCCGGAAGGGTTGTCTCGACGGACTGAGGAGTAGAGGAGAGGAATCGATTGTGCGTAGCGCCATGGCGCGTGCCTGGGGGTTCTGGTCCGTCAGCGATTTCTGGATCGCAATGATGGGCAGCAGAGCGAGGTCGGGCTCGGCCTCCGCATGGTGAACCAGATAGATATAAACCAGCTTCTTGACTTCGAGGTTCGCGCTCGCCCACGTTTTTCACAACTGCCAAAAGGCAAGGTAGGGAGGGCTCAGATCGGTACATCGGCTATATCATCTCAAAGTGAGAAGATGGGCTGCTCTGAATGCCCGTCTTGATTCCGCCCTTTAGGTTTCGTCCGGGTCGAGCAGGGAGTAACCTATCCGCCACTCGAGCTGTGTCTACTCTCCACTCACCACTCACCTCACTTCTGATTGACAGGAAACCAGCCGCACTTACCTCTCAGTGTTCCAGGAGCAGGCTCAGTTTTAGTACTCAGCTCGCTTTACACCATCCTCTCATCCTATCCCGAGGTCGATTTCTCATCTCACTTTGCCCAAGTCGTGATCTATCCCTACGTATCGTCACGATTACTCCTCAACTTTACCAACCGCGATACTCTCAGTGAGGGAGGGAGGGAATCCGATCGTCTCGATCTTTCTGGTCCAGAACGCTTTCCTCACGCCTCCGGCGCAGATCACGATTCCTCGCTCACCTCGCGCCGCGTCATCATCCTCTCCCTGTCTCTCAATTTTCCCAGCTCATAACGCCTTCCTCTCAGGCCTCTCACGCTGATCGAGATCCCTCACTCCTCTCACTCAGCCTAATCATCTCAAGACCTTAGTCGGGTATTTCAATCGCTCTTTCGACTTCCAAATCCAGTCGAAGCCGCCTCCTTCTCAAGTTGATCACTCTCCCTCACTCCTCCCACTCAGGCTCCGTTAACATCTCGAAGTCAAAAACCTCATGACCACCGACCCCGACCTCTCCCTCGCCACGGCAAAGGAGCTCTTCCTGGACAAATCTCGAAAGGCCATTCGCGAGCTTGTCAAAAGCGAGAGATACCAGCTACGGGCTCGGAGCCGAAGCATGGAACGCCTGCCGCAGTCGAGCTGGGAGGACAAGGACGACAGTGAGGACTACGACCCCGAGATGGAGAAGAAAAAGAGCCAACGGAAGAGGAAACGAGCGATGTCAGACGATGGCGCGAGCTCCTCGGCGAAAAAGGTCGCGCTGAGTGAGGAGTATTTGTCCGCTCTGTCGGTCTCTTTAAGTCAGGAGGACGAGGGACAAGATCTCAACGCGCTGGCGGTTACTGGTTGTTCGGTGCACGCAGAAGATAATAGCACTGCCGAAGCTATGGATCTGGAGCCGCCCGCGTTGAAGAATGAGGGGAACGACGTGGGACGACAGAGCACACCTCCACCCCAGTCCGCATCTGAGGATATCGAAATTTCCACCCCGGCCGTTAATGCGAGAACGATAGAGGCAGAAGGCGCCGCGAAACCCGAAACTGAGGAGGTGGAAGATGCAAGAGTCCCGAAAACACTGGAGATCTCGACCTCGTTTGTGCATCCCATCGAGTTTAACCATCTTCCCAACGAAGACGGGTCAGACCCGTGTCACTTTTGCAGTGACTTCGCCTACGGCATCGTGGGATTGGGCAAACGCACAGTTGAAGTGGTTGATCTCGGCGATGGTCGCTACGACGAAATCAGAAACGGCCACTCGCAAACCGGCCACCAGGCCACTCGAATGTGCAGCAACTGCGTTCAGAGGCGCCTTCGCGTCGTCAAGTGTCTCAGCCATCAATTCGTCCCCATTCAGGGGCTCACCGCGGAGTCTTTTGACTTTAGAGCGGCGTACGACAGTTTGGTTCCGGGCATTATCGGCCAGAAGAGAAGTGCCAAAAATCCATGGTGCAGTCTTTGCCCGACCCCGGGTTTTTTCCAATGTCGGTGCGGGCTCATTCTCTGCGAGACGTGCGAGATCATGGCTCGAGTTTTCGATAGCGATCTGGGGAAGATAGTCGCGAGAATTGAGGCGGAGGCGCGGGATTTGGAGGGGACTCGTGCAGATGTCGAATTCATCCTGCCGGGCAACCAGTGGGAAAAGCAGCATGCATTTGGATCTGACATTACTTGATGGGGAAAAGTGACATTTGCGTTTGTTTTAGGATTGGTTAACACAGGAGACAAAGAATCTAGTAAAAAATAGCACTTGGTCAAAGGAATTTGGATTTGCCCAGCTACATTCGATTCTCCAGTTAATAAGCGCCTGATTAAGCGGCTATATCCCTGCATAGGTATATTTTAAGCAAGCTGGCGCTTTACAAAGTGAGGCGTGAAAGAGGAATTCGATGAGGCTGTGAATGAAGCGGATGAGCAGTCAGTGAGGGTGAATGGGGAGAAATTCAATGTAGTGGCTGGCAACGAGGAAATAACACTAGGACAAGTCACTTTGTCAACCTTTGATTACCGCATCAAGTGGTGATCTGGTGGAGGAACAATGAGGCGTGCCAGGTGAAAGAAAGATCTTTGATGAGTGAGAAATTCCCCACCTCGCACCTAAACGAGCTCCGCCTTTTACGGCGTCGGAAATTCCAGTTTTCCCAGACTCTCGATTCTGTGCTTCGGTCTCAATTTTCCCTGACCTCACCTTTTCTTTTGTATTCTATTGGGGCATCTGACCGATTTTCTGCCAGTATCCGCCTGTCACCCTGCCTCGAAACATCCTTCCACCGTGTTACCCAGAGCTGCCACGAGACGTGGGCAGCTCATTTTCAAGACGTCGTCCACAAAGCGCCGCAAGGTAGCAGAGCCTCGCAGACCAACGGGTTTGTCGCTTGCCTCGCAGCCCGCAAGACGTCACTCGTCCACCTCGTCTCGCTCGCCTTCGACGGCCGCTCCTCCTCCTCGTCCTTCCTCTACCTCCGGCTCGAACCGCAGTCAGACCTCCGTCTCGCCCTCCCCGTCCTCTCGCTATATTCCCGCTCATCTACAGGACGACGTACTAGGAACCGCCCCGTCCTCCTCCGCTGCCGCCGCAGCAGCGCGCTTACCAACCCCAGACTCCCCCACAAGCACCGTTGATTATCCCGCGGCTGCTTGTGCTGGGCTCACCCTTGCCAGTGAACCTGCGACCGATATGTCCGGCTCGGAAAAGAGAGATGAAAGCGTCCCGCCGACCGGGCGCGAGGAGAGGTCAGCTTCGCCCAGTACGAAGCGGGCAGCGCCCGAGGCGGAGCAGGACGTCGAGATGAATCTGGGGTCGACCGACAAGGATGGGGAGCCAGCTGCTGCCGCCCACAGCCAACCCGATCCGATGGATACGACAGGCTCAGAGGAAGATTCCACGGGCAACGACGCCAACTCGTCATCCGACACCGCGTACCAGACGCCATCCAGCATGTCCACCTACACTGCCCCTGTGGCCGGTACACAGGAGAATACCAAGACCGAGCCCTCAGTCTCGCCCGACGAGCGCCCTTCCTACGATGACCAGGTCGCCAAAGTAATGTGTATGATGATGCAGCCGCTGAAGGAAGACCAGAAGGGATACGTTGTCTCCATGTCGTGGCTGAAGCGAGTTCTCGCCCGCAGCGCTACCCATGCGGACAAGGCCGATAAGAGTGCCGCGGAGGGGGAGGTCGGTCCGGTCGACAATTCCGACCTTGTCCTTGTCACCGACCCTATCAACACCGGCTTCAGGGATGAGCGCGACCAACCCTTTATCCCCCTACGCCCGGGCTTAGAGATGAGTGAAGACTTTGAGGTTGTGCCTGAAGAAGGCTGGGATCTCGTCATGCAGTGGTACGGCCTAGCGGACCAGTCACCGGCCATCGTTCGCTACGCCCACAACACCAATGCCTCCGGCGATAGCGTAAATATCCAGTACGAAATCAACCCTCCTGTCTTTACTGTCCTCAAACTCGCCAACCCGTCTACGGGGGCTACTGCCAGTCAGGAGTCTCCTGCCAAGACCCTTGCCAGTCGGCATACCAACTACCAAAAATGGCTGCGAAAAGCAAAGCAGCTGGCTCGCATTGATAACTCGACCAGGGTTCGCGTTTGGAGAATCTTGGGCGGGTTGAACAGCACCACTGCGTCCGCCGCTATTACCCCGGCCGCGTCTCGCAGCGCCTCTCCTGCGCCATTCTCACCCCTTGTCTCCAACACTGGCCACAGTCTTTCTCTCGACGTCAACACCTTCCTTGCCCTTTCCGAGGGCTCTCAAAGGGAGCTGCTAGCGGCCAAGGATCAAACAGCCAACCCCAACTATAATGGCAAGATGACAATCGATCTTGCAGGCTTAGGCGACAACAGCATTGTCGTTCTTGAAGAACGCGTCACCGGGCACGGTAGCGGTGTGGAATGGGTATCCGATCTTGCGACGAGCTCAAACCGTCTCGGTGTGCCCTCCGGCGCAAAGGCTAACCTACCCTCTAAAATTAAAACCAAGAGCCCGACGACGAGCGGTCGGTCGTCCCCCGTCCTCGAGCCTGTTCGGAGAGGGCGCAAGGACGGCAAGCCTCGCGGTAATACCGGTCTCAGCAACCTAGGAAACACTTGCTACATGAATTCTGCGTTGCAATGTGTTCGCAGTGTGGAGGAGCTGACCTACTATTTCCTGAGTGAGTAGACCTAACTTGTCAAAAGTAGCCGTTACTAATTTGTACAGACGATGTGTACAAGAAGGATCTGAACCCGAGCAATCCGCTGGCCCACAATGGTGATGTTGCCAAAGCGTACGCGCAATTACTGCGCACGATGTTTGATGAGAATGGCCAGTCGTCATTTGCACCGAGACAGCTGAAGCACACCATCGGCCGCTATGGACCAGCCTTCTCCGGCTACGGACAGCAGGATTCCCAGGAGTTCCTCCTGTTCCTTCTCGATGGTTTGCAAGAGGACTTGAACAGGATCCAGAAGAAGCCGTACATTGAGAAGCCAGATTCTACGGATGAAATGGTGCACGACAAGGAAGCGCTGCATGATTTTGCCAATAAATGCTGGGACATTTACAAAGCTCGCAATGATTCAGTCATTACGGACCTGTTCGCTGGTATGTACAAGTCGACTCTTGTCTGCCCGGCCTGCGAAAAAGTCAGCATCATTTTCGACCCCTTTAACAATCTGACCCTGCAACTTCCGATCGAGAACTTATGGAGCAAGTCAATATTCTACTTCCCTCTCAACAAGAAGCCCATCATTATCGATGTTGAGATCGACAAGCACTCCAGCGTCAAGGCGCTCAAACAGCTGATCGCCAAGAAAGTTGACACCGATCCCCAGCGACTGATTATGTCTGAAATCTACAAATGCAAGTTCTATAAGATGTTCGACAACACAGCTTCAATTGCCGACTGCCAGATTGGCGAGGGTGACGAAATCGGCATTTACGAGGTCGAGTCAGTGCCAACAAACTATAATCCCGACAAGGTGACCAAGAGCTACTTCTCTTACAGCCGATCAAGTTATGAAGAGGTCCCGAAGTTTGACTCGCCCAAGTCTGACAAGATGATTATTTCCGTCTTTCACCGACAGGAGCGGCCTCGGAATGGTGGCTTCCGCTCGAACTACCAGTTCTTCGGAGTGCCGTCGTATATCATCATCAACCGAGACGAGGCCACAAACTATGACAGTATCTTGCGCAAGGTTCTTCAACAGGCTGCAAACATGACAACCAGGGACTTCCTTAACGAAGAGGTGCCGGGAGAAACCTCGGCGGAAGATTCAGATACCGTCATCATGAATGAAGACGATGCAGAGTCGGCCGACTCGAAGATCAAGACCACGTCCGTCGATGGTGAAGAAGGCATGGTAGATGTTTCTATGCGCGATGTTTCCGATGAAACGGATGCCCCGCAAGATTCTACCCGCGCCGCTCGCCTCGAGAGTTCTATTCCTGCCAGACTCCACACCCTCTTCGAGATCAAATATGCAAAGACGAACGAAGCTGTTCCTCTTGGCTTCTCCTCGGTAGACGAAAATAAAGACTACCCGAAAATGACGTCGCGGATCAAGCCCAAGGTTATTGCAAAGAAGCAAGTCGAATCAGAAGAAGCCACCAGCGAGGATGAAAGCTCAACAGACGAACTCGACATGTTCGCTGAGAAACGCACAAGAACGCCAAAGCCCGAGCATCAGGGACCTCTTATCTGCCCTGGTGAGGCCATCGTGCTGGATTGGAACGCGGAAGCGAACGATGCGCTCTTTGGCGGCGACCACAAGGATACCGATGGTGTGCGTGGCGCTCCTACGTGGACACAAATCGATCGGCTGCCAGATCCTGAGCTGGCTAACCGGCGTCAGCTGCGACAGAAGCGGAAAAAGCGAGGTATCACGCTGTACGAGTGTTTGGATGAATTCAACAAAGAAGAGATCCTGTCTGAAAATGACGCATGGTACTGCCCCCGCTGTAAAGAACATCGCCGTGCTAGCAAGAAATTCGAGCTGTGGAAAACGCCAGATATTCTCGTCATGCATCTGAAGAGGTTCAGCGCGAGCCGTGGGTTTAGGGACAAGCTCGATGTCATGGTCGACTTCCCCACCGAGGGATTGGATCTGACGGGCCGAGTGGAGGCACCAGAAGAAGGGAAGAGCCTGATATATGATCTTTTCGCGGTGGACAACCACTACGGCGGTCTCGGAGGCGGCCATTACACTGCGTATGCAAAGAACTTCATGACTGGCTTGTGGAACGAATATAACGGTATGTTATTAACTCTGTGAGAGGGATGTGCGCAAGGATTAATGAATTGCCGATCTAGATTCGAGTGTGTCACGACCGATCGACCCTCAGAGCGTTGTTACATCCTCGGCGTATCTGCTGTTCTACCGCCGTCGCTCTGACCGCCCATTGGGAGGAAAGATCCTGGAGGAGATCACCGAGTCATCGACGAGGCCGGGCAGTGAAACAGACTCTCACGGGGAATCTCGCGGCCCGTCTCCGTCGGGGGAAGGCCGGCGCCTCGGCGGCTCCTCCCGCAATGGGTCGTCGAGCGCCTTAGCCGGAGTCGGAGCAGCTCACCAGTCGGGAGATGGTGGTTTGCGAATCGGAACACAACTGAAGAGCAGCAATGAGGACAGCCCGCCGGAATACTCCAACAGCCCCTCGTACGGGGAAACAAGCTTCGGCAGGACCAACAACGGCCGACTCGAAGGTATGAGCTATGATCTCGCGGACGACTACGGCAGCAGCGCTTCCAACCCGTTTCGCTCCACAACCCCGCCCTCCTGGTCGTTTGCTCGAGCCTCGGATACTCATGGCCTTTCACAGATGATGACAGCAGAGCTCCCGGGGGGGACCCTCTCTGACGATGACTTTGACGACAACGCGAGCAACAAGGCCGTCGGCGGCGGCGACATGAGCGACTCCGATTACCGCATGGCTTCTCTCATCGACAGCCCAATCCACGGACCCGTCGCCTACCCAGGGACTCCCATGGAGTCGACCATCGCGGACCTGCCACCGCTGGATGACGACGACGAAGATCTCCCCGTGGTCGAGCTGCACGTAGCCGAGGAGGAACGACTATCGGACTAGATCTCTTTTCTTCTCTTCTCTTCTTTGACCGCTGATATGAACATTTTGGATGTGAAAACGAATTCTTAGACAGGACCTGCATGACAGTCGAGGATGACAGGTATTACGGTTGCATTTTCTTTTCTCTTTTTCTTCTCTTTCTGTTTCCCTGCATCGTCCGGATCTAGATGGCTTCCCGCTGTCCTTGTAGTTTTTTTCCCCCCCTTACTTTTTCCCTATGTTGCTGGTGGAAGGTACATTTTCCTCCTTTTCTCCCCGATCAAAAAGCTTTCCGGCAACTTTCTAGAGCAGAATGTGTTGCCTTATGTGTTTACGTTGATGGGTGCCCGTTGGCACGAGGTGATGAGGTGATGAGGCGTGTTTGTGCTCCGCTTGTGTATAGGAGAGTCTAGAGTAATAGATCTCTGGCTGGTCTTGACTAATTTCTATACTAAAAGCTCCACAGTAATGGCGTCTCTAGAATTGAATGGGTAATGTGATGTGCTGATTCAACTTTATTGCATAGATATACGTATTCTTTCGCATTTACATGGACACTCAATCGGCGTCAAAACTTCTCAAGTCTATCATAGTCGTCGTCCCCAACTCTTCATGATTCAGGCGGGGATTCCTTGCTTGAGACCCAGGTTCAATATCTTGACCTCCCTTCCCCTCATTATCCTTTTGCCCCCCGCCTTCAGAATATCCCATTCCACCAACATCACGACCTCTTGGTATTTATGGCAGCGAGTCGGCCTTATAGTTCTGGATACTAGAAATGTTCCCAGGCGCCAGCGGGGCAGGAAAAGAGAAGAAAAAGGGGAAAAAAAAAAAAAAAAAAAAAAAAAAAAGAGCAATGGACGTTGTCAAAATATCTTGTTTTTCTGCTACTGAAATAAATACTGCTCCTATCTCCCAGCCCTGCTCTCGTGCGCATACATATAGTTGGATATATGGACCCCGCCGAGCCGACGCACCATGAGACAATCGCATCTTCTGATTAGTCAATCGCACCTACATTAACTTAACTAGTTAACTAGGTCCGATGTAACCCAGATTTTCAATTGACTCACAATCTTGGGAAACACACTTTAAAGGCTGAATTACACATATAGAAGAGGGAAAAAAAACCATGACCGTCGCGTTGAGGGAGGAAAAAGAGGATATGTACACTCACAATCACCCCTACACAACCCTCCTCGCGCATCTCCACGCGCACCTGCCGCTCTCGGGACCACTCTACCGGCGGATCCAGTATCAGGTCTCGCACCCTTCGCCCACGGCGAGTGTTTTGGCTTCGTTTGAGGAATCTGAGCTGTCGCAGGAAACAGAGACACGGCCATGGCTCGCTGCCTACGTGGATATCCCCCGGGGCCCGGATACGCAGATCTGGCTGTATTCCAGTATCGAGTCGGAGTCTGGGGATTCTGAGTCTGGGGCGCCTGCCACAGCAACAGCGCACTCACGAGAAATTGTCAAGGCGCACCTCCTGTCGCTCTTCACACATATCCAAAGAGATCTTGTCCCAGACTACATCTCATCCCTACCGACAACCCTCAAGACCCCAACTCCAGTCGTGGTAGACGAGGGCGTCCCCAAAATCCCGGCTCATAAACCAACATCCTACTTACTAGGAACCGTCCACACGACCCTTGAGGCACTGATCATCGAACTCCGCAACGAGGGCAAATTAACCATCCATCGCGGCGCGGGCGTTCATTATGTGAAGTACTGTTTCTCGAGCAAGACATTCGATACCGTCTCCCTCGAGGACTTCAACACCGACACCACCACGACGGAAGACAGTAGCAGCTCCGGGTACAGATTCCACGACTCCACGGGCAAGCCCGGAATCCAGGGACACCACATCGACCTCGTGAAGAGCCGGACGAATATCCCGCGGAGCCGCGAAGCGTTGTTGGCTATGGGTGGTGTTGCACTCTATCATTCCTCGCAACCTGTTTCTTCCTCTGAGACGGAAAAGGAGATGCCAATAGGCTGGGCCTTCCTGGGCTTCGACGGGAGTCTGTGCAGTCTACATGTGGAGCCTGAGCATCGGGGGCGTGGACTCGCCGGCGTTGTGGGCAGGGAGGTTATGAAGAGGGGGGTTGAGGTTTTTGAACCTACCGATTCCTCTGGTCCGAGGTCTGGAGGGGATTTGGCGGGTAGGGGTGGAGAAGAGTGGTTCTTTGCAGATGTGGCTGTGGAAAATGCTGCTAGCCGAAGGGTTATGGAGAAGATGGGGGGTGTGGCGCGGTGGAGGGTTGCGTGGATGGTTGTTGAGGTTGAGAACCTGGAAAAGCAATGATAGAGATGGGGAGTAGGATAGATATAAACAAAGTAGAAGTTGAAGCGTTCGGGATTGGTTCGTTAGTCCATGTCTATATACATATCCTGTCTTGTCTATATCTATGATATCTAGATGTCTATATGGATTAGATGTACGGGGATTCGAGTATAGCTGCTAGACAGCAACAGGCCACCCATCCTCGTATTCCAGCCTGTTATATCCAAGTCTAGCTTCCCAGAAGTCGTAGCTGATGGATGTGTTTACTAGTCCGTAGTTAGCTTAACACTCTATACACAAGATAAGGAAAAGATGAGGCGACTCACAGTAATGATAGTAGAGGATATCACCGAGTCCGTCCGACAAGATGCCCTGGCCACCTGGTGCAAATACGTCGCCATTCGAAGCGTACACTGTCTCTCCACCACCGTCGATAAGGTCCTTGCCTTGCTTATCGACGAACGGCCCCTGGGCACTTGTGGATCGGCCAACCTTGATGCGATACCTGTAGAGCAAAAGTTAGCCGAAGTTGACAATATTATAGTCAGCGGGTGCACTGCGTACTCTTTCCCGTTCGTCCTCATCCTCTCATCCTTAAACTCACAGCACCGCCCCCAACTGAACCAGAGATAATACCACCCACCATGATACGAGAGAAAGCTCCCCTCAATTGGGTGCCCTCCCGTCGGATCACCACAGATACTATTTGCATTCTTCCTCGCTGGGAAAATCGCCCCGGGCTCGGCAGCAAGATGCCTCGCATCCATATCCTCCGCGACAGAAATCAAGTCACTACCCAGCTTAACCTCCCAGATGCCCGTCCAGAAACTCCCAAAGGTCAAATACACGCTCCCGTCGGTATCGACAAAGATACTCGGATCAATCGTATTAGACTGGTTGAGCGGAAATTGGTCCGCGCCTGCCCCTGTCCCAGACTGGATGAGGAGTCCGTGGTCTGTCCAGGCGCCTGGACCGGGCGAGTCCGAGGAGGCGACGCCGACTGCGCTGTCGCGGCAGCCGGCGTTGCTAACAGCGTAATAGCAGTAGAAGCGGCCGTTGATTTGAATCGTTGACGGCGCCCAGGGGGCTTTGCGGTCGCCCTTGGGGATTATGCTGTCGGCAGGCAGGAGGCTGCCGAGTTCGGTCCAGGGGCCATCGAGTGTAGGCGATTGGTGGATCAGCATTCGTGGTCCGACGCTGTAGCTGTAGAATGAGGCTGTTGAGGCATCATATATTATGCTTGGGTCGTGGATGTGCAGGTCTGTGCCGTGGGCTTTTGCGTAGACTGCTGCTGCCCCTGCGCCAGTTGTTGCTGTTTTCAAGGCTGTTGGAGCTGATTGCAACGTAGTGGGCGACGATGAAGGAGGAACAGCTATACTCGAAGACGCAGGATATGGTGACTCTCCACGAAAAGCATTTGTATCATTGATGACCCCGAAGCGATATGGTGTCGCTCGTGTCGAGCAAGCCAGCGAGAAGAGTGCCAGAACAAGAAGTAGAACAGCCATCTTGACAAGCCGACGCAGCGTTGAGCGACGAATCCGTATTCCAAGAACAGATATCCTTGTGTTTGCTCTTGGTATATGGGACGAGGGCAACGCCAGCCATGAGGACACCAACCAGGGCCGCGCAGCAGCCCCGGCTAATAAACCCGCATCAGCGTCATCGAGGATGCCGCGCTCGTCCATCCTGCTTGCTTGCGATAATCACCTGGCGTTCACCCTGGGTAGAAGGCCCGCGGGCTCCATTATTGTTTCCGGGTCGGTTCCTGGTTCCTGCTTGACTCGTTCCTGCCCTCCGACGTCGAATGAGCGTTCTCCTTGAGTGATCCGCGAACCGCTCAAATCATTGTTTTCGAGCGTCTGGGTTAAGCTAATGACAACATGATCGTCGAGAGAACGTCAATGGAGAAAGGAAGAATGTGAGGGGGTTGAAAAAGCGTTTGGTTCGGGAATCAAAGATTTTCGCCGGATGCGGGATTTGGCAATCAATTGATGGATAGTGGAGCAGTGGGCGGCTGTGTTTACTACTATTGCTAGGTAGACGTTGCGTGGTTTGTATAGAATGAGTATTTACGAAGTGAAAAGAAAGTTGAAGAGGAAAAGGACAGTTGCTCAATGATCTTCAGTGCTGGCGCCGGCTGCAGAAATGGCGCCTGCAAGCGCTGGAATGTCGCCTTGTCGATCCAGTCGCGATGCAAAGGCCGTTGATCCACTATTTATTGAATGTTTGCAATTAGGCTGAAACATATTAAGCAATGCTGTCGAAAATATGCTTGAATCAAACATCCATGGATCAACGTTGAACAACCTCCTTGCTTCGTCGTCTCGAAAATTCGCGATCAACGGCGATTTATCAGCTACAGGACTTTCATCTTTCAGTTCGGTTTGTGGCACATCATGCGAAACGTCATCAAATAGAGATACAGTGCTCATATCATAAATTATCTGGTGTCTAGACCATAGTCTCGGATACATGATAGCGCGCAACATATTGAGAAACAGATCGATCCACCAACGCCCGTGTTCGGAATCAGGATTGAATGCAACTACCGAGCAACGATTTTGTCCACTTCGTCTTTGGCTTCCGTCCATGTCTCCAGGTTTTTGCGCGCCCAGTCGAGATGGCACCGCGCGTACGCGACCTGATTTCGTTAATTCAGCACACAGCTGTTTCCATGGTGAACATACCATGTACCGCCGGAGATCCGCCTCCTTGTCCTTCTGGAACCGCTTCAGGTCCTGCAAGACACCTGCGCTTGCATCCTTGACGTCCTTCTCAGATACACCCAACGCTTGCTCAAGCTGTAGTTGATTAGCATCATACTTCAAAATAAGGTTTGCGACCTACCTGGACCAAGCTTTCCTTCGTCTTGCCGATGTGGTCCCGCCGTGTCCGCTCGGGATCGACGTCCACGAATCCATGGACCGCGTGGCTGATGCGACCGAAAATCTTGTTGGTGACAAAGTTTCCACTAGACGTCTTGCGGTGTGTTGGCGACGTCTGTCCGGACTCGGGATACCGCTGCGCCGGAGGTTCGGCATGCGTAGGGGGAAAGTCGGAGTCAAATGACGCGGAATCTTCGCTTGGTCTTGACTCTCCTTCAGTTCCACCCTGACTGCTAGTTACTGACGACGTCGACAGAGATCGACCGGGCTTTGTCGCGGTTTGCGGCGAGGTGCGGTTGAGGTACTGTTCGATACGCTTCGCCTCCATTTCGCTTCGTTCAAGAGACTCCAAGAGCGACTTCTTTTTCGCCAACTCATCCCGTGTCATGTCCTCCTGCACTCGTTTGAGTACCCGGTATCGCAGAACGCTGCGGACGACGCTTGCAAATTGAGCGCTCTCTCGCATCGGCTCCGCAAAGTGGGCACTTAGGGCAGCAGATAATTCCTCTGTCTCAATATAGGACGTATCGGCCGCCTGTCCGACCCGCTCGATAGCAGTAGCGACGGTCGGAGATTGCTCAGATAGCGAGAAACCATTATACCGCGCCCCGAGCTCCATCAGATCTGCAGAGAGTGCCGATAGATGTGAAAGCGTGCGGCGGTTCACCTTTTCCATGTTCCCTTGTAGCAGCAGCTCCAGTTCCCGGGTCGAAGCCTCAAAGTTGATAAAATATGGATCCAGGTCTTTCTCGCTCAGTTTCCGCGACTCCGGGGGAAAGCGGCCAAGAATCTCCGGGCCAGGTGTATCCGTAGTTGGTGAAGTAGCCGTTCCGGGTGAGTTCTTCAACTTTGCAGACGTAGATGGAATCGGTAGCCAAGCGTGCGCGGGTGAAGGGTTGGCCGGGTCAAGAGGGGGCGCTTTGAGGTTGTTCTTTGGGATCGAGGATACGGGTTGGGAATGCAGAACCTCATTCTAACGACAAGTAAGTTTACCATACTCTTAACTCAACACTGTGTAACATACCCAGCTGACATTAGGATCCAGGAACCTCCACCAGACCCCGTCCTCACGGACTTCCTTCATTCTCCGGCATCGATTCAAAAACACCGCGAGCATCCGTTTTCGGAGCTCGATAATACCCGTGTCTTCTTTAGCCTTTGTCGGTTTCGCGGCATAGTCGGCCATTGAGTGCTTTTCGGGAATCGGCGGAATGATGAGGGTTGGATGAAGGTTAACAAGCGTCTGTCGCAGCGACGCGAATTCCGAGTACCGTCGCCGAACCTCTAAATCCTACGCCATATTAACCAATGCATACTCAATAACCTAACAGACACATACTCCAGTTCTAATGGTGTATACGATGAAGCTACCACCTCCCTCGTGGTTCTTCCCGGCGTCGGTGATAAGGATCGGCATCTCCGGGTTCTCATAAAGCAGTTGCTCTATGCGACTATCGTACACACTTTTGCGAGTGTATCCGGCACCGGCCTGCTGAGCATTATATTCGGCCGCGTCATCGTCGCTCGCTTCTTGTGGCTGCGAGTAGTCTGTATCGGGGTTGGAGGATTGGCTGGAAGGTGGAGGGGGATAATCGGTATTATAGAGAGCTGCATCTGTCAGACCATTATTCGTCAACTGAAACCAGTATACCCTTACGAGGACTAAGACTCGTCGTGTGGAGCGATTCTGACAGCCGGGCCTCGCTGTCAAATGCGCCGTACGGGTTGTTATCTTCATCGTTCCACATGGTTAAGGTGGAGGCTGGTCAGGCAGCCTTGATCTCAGGAACACGGAGCTGCGGGAGTGGGCATTCACAACAAGCAGAACTTGAATTCCAGAAAATTATGAGAGCAAAGTCTATGAAGATGCAAAGGGACAAAAGAAGATCGCCAGTCAGTTGGCAGGAGAACAGGAGGTTGCATGAAACTCCAAGTCAATTGCAGCTCAGCGTCAATCGTCACTTGCCCCGGTCAGCCTCACCGCCCGCACACCCGCGGGGAACAGAGCCACAACGTCACTTGCCAAGACAAGCACCTTCTCTTTTATCAACTTTGTATCACAATCTCAGTGCCTGGATACCCTTGACCAACGCTCACCAGCCCCCTTCAGGGGCTGGTGCTGCTTCGCTCTCTTGCGCCGTCACATTAGCTGCCTGCCATCCCGAGTTTCCTCCTTGATCGTTGTTATTATTGTCGTTGTTATTCGCCCGATCTTCGGCACTCCATCCGCCCCCATTGTTGTCGTTCTGCCCATCATTCTTATTGTCGTTATTTCCACCGTCAGGCTGCCATGAATCCCCATTGTTGTTGTCCTGCTGCTGATCATCATTGTTACCCCATCCTCCCTGGTTTTCTCGACCTTGGTCGTTGTTATCGTTGTTGTTTCCCTCGTTACTCCAACCCTGGTTATCCTGCTGCCCTCCAGAATCCTGGGCATCGTTTCCTCCCCCATTCTGGTTATCACCCCATTCATCATTGACAGTCTGGCCACCATCATTTCCCCCGTTATTATTATCCTGCCCCCACTCATTTTGGCTCTCCTGAGGCTGCTGTCCCCATTCGTTATCCGCCTCTTGAGGCCTTGTAGACCCAGCCCTAGAGCCTTTCTTCACAGACCCCTTTGTAGACCGTGCACCTCCATCTTTCTTCCCTTTCTGACTGTGCTTGTCACTCCCTCCCTGTCTCTTCTCACTCATCGCTCTTCTGATTTCCTCCACATCCGCCGGCGAAAGCATCCTCCGTCTCCCCGGGGACCTCTCCCGGCTTCGAGCTCGGCTCCTAGCGCGGCTTCTCGCGCGGCTTTCCCGTCTCGCCTGTCTTTCCTGCTGAACAATACGTTCCTGGTTTGCGGCTACGACAGTTGCGGCGGCGGCTTCTCTCATGCGTCGCTTCTGGGACTGGGCTCGTATCACGACGATCTCGCGTCGCATGTTTACCCGGAGACGTAGGATGTACAGCCATAGAAGGCCAGCTGTGCCGAGGGCGACAACGAGGACGATTGCGATTATGCCGTTCTCGTGCATGTTTATGATCTAAACATGGTGATATTTTCAGCAAACTGGAGGAAGATGTAAAAGAAAGCTAGAGGATCAGGTGTTATGGGTGTAAGGTGCGGGCTCACTTCTTGCTTGATTGGCTCTGTATAGCAGATGGTTGGGGAGATCAATAGGTTGGAGACGTAGATGTTCAGTAGAGCATATTAAGGAGGATGCTCTTCGGGGGTTCGAGTCCCTGCCATTGCTGGTCTATCGAGAGTCTGGTCAGAGTGGAATGGGTAGGCTTGGTAGGTTGCGTTGTGTTGGTCATGAGAAGAAGCAGCTGATTCAATCTTGGAAGTGAATGAGCAAATATTGTTTGAGAGAGCTAGCTTCACCCAGCTGGTGAATCGGTGAATCTACCAATCCTCCTCCTACTGATAACACCGAGGGTGAAGACAATGATTTCTACCACCAGCTCTAAACTTTTATCTATACCTCTATTCGATCTATGAGGCCTCCAACGCAGACTGAATCCTCGACACCAAATCATCGTGAAGCAGGGCTTTCTTCCCACACTCCAACAGTGTCTGCAGTTGCTCTCTAAGAACAGCCCGTCTACCACCCAACATATTCAACGCCTTGAACTCTCTCGAAACCAGCACACCAGCAAGGCTAATCAGCTGCACGCCAAGTGTGTAGGCCTCCGCCTTCGCAATCCAGCCGATCATGCCATCCTCTCCGTCCTGTCTCCCCAGAATCTCCGAGAAACATGCCAATCCTTCAGAAACCCAGGTGAAAGTCTCGCTAAGTAGACCCTCCGCAAAGGCGTCTTTATTCAACCGCATCAGGACCACCGACCAGACATCAACCTCGCGGACCTCCTCGATAAACAGGTTCTGCTTCTCCTCCTCGAACAGAACCGTCCGCTCCTTTCTCAGCTCAGCTACGGTCGTCGAGACAGTAGGTAGAGACCTCTCGCTGTTCGCGTTACTGATTCGAGGTTCCTGGCCGAGGATATACCGGACAGCCCGAGTGGAGAGGGCACGGGAATCGACATAGTTGTCTGCAAGGAAGGTCGCGAAGAGCTCGCTTGCGTTTAGCGGTGATAGTGTCACAGCCCTGTCAGGGGATACGGAAGAGTAGGAGAGAATGTGCGAGGCAGTTGAGGCGGCAATATCGCGGATCTCCTCGTCGTCGTCATTTAGGAGATCGTACAGGATCAGATATGTCTCGAGCAAGACTCCGTCTACACGTGGTTGACGATCTGGTTGGCGGAGGGCTTGTGCGAAGGCAGCAATGGATTTGGAAGCGGCGTAGCGTGTGGTGAATTCCTTGGTCTTGTTAGTGTATTTCTTCTCCATGATCTCAAAGTGTGCTTACTGTTTCTTCTCTCAGTGCGAAGCGAAGTCGAGTTGCCCACTCCTGAATATCTGTTTCTGGGAGTAGGGATTGAGAGGTAGACTTCAGAGCGAGAAGGCAACCTTCGAGTTGCAAATCTGCATCGGCTCTATCTCTGTTGAATCCCTTTGTCGTCGAGACAATCTTTATTTGTGCAGCTAGTTCTTCCAAGGACTGACTCAATGTCTGGGGATCTGAGAGTCTAGACGCGAGATTATCCTCTAGGTTCCCGGCGAAATTGGAAATGGCAGGCGTCTTAACCTCAAGGGGGAGTTTTCCAACAATGACAGAGCTGTAGAGTGCGTTCAATGTTTGGCTGTAGGCCTCTTTAGACCCAAAGGTTTCATGCAACCTCTCCAGAATCAATTGGCAAGCGTTGGGGTCCAGGGTTGCCACCTCGTAGATGAGAAGTTGTAGCCCAGTTGTTACACCACTCACAAGTATCCTCAGAACAGTGACCCAGGCAAGCTGTCTACGCCAGAGAGAGAATGCTCGAGTGGTGCTCAAGGTAGCCCAAGATGAGTCACTCGAATCAAATGCAAAAGCTAGAGTATCCAAAATATCGTAGGTAGCGAAGATGTGGTCCATGAGCGGGATCATGTCACCTGTTCATGGATCTTATTAGCCGGGTAACCCATTCTGAAAAGCAATAAACCTACGTTCAGCTCCAGATTCGACGCTCCTCTCAACAGCATCGCTGAGCATCTCCAGCAGAGTCGTCGTTACGAAGGGGCTTCTAGCGACTGGATATGATGCCGCGAAAATCTCCTTGATAACGGCATTAACCCTCTCAATATGGTCTATGCAATGTTAGCAGTAAAGGGTGGTCATTGGGCGGATACATACCGTTCCAGAAGGCTGAAGGCGTGAACGCAAACCTACGGAGTGCGTACCTGACGCACACAGATTCCCCATGTAGGTAGTTCTGGGTTTCGGCGTCGCGAGCATTGAGCAACTTCCGAATGTCCTCGAGGATATTCGTTCGATCCAACAGCGAGGCATAGACTCGTGCCGCGTGCTCACGAATACCCCAAACGGGGCTCTTGAGGTGCTCCCGTATCAAGTTGAGCAACATGGCATCATCTTGAGCTTCCGAAGCATTTGGAATCTTCTCCGCAATCAGCTCCAAGGCTGGGAATACCCGCTCAGTAATGATAGCTGATTCCTGTTGCTCGGAATTATCTGTATCCTTCGACGGAGACAGAAGGCGAGACAGCAGTTGGACCAGGCCGGGATATTTCTGGAATGAGATTCTAGCACCCGGCTCTGATCCAGACTCGCCACCGAATCTTTGGAAATCATTTCGGCACATACGGTTCATGAGTGCGCGGAAGAGCATCAGGCCAGCGTTTCGCAGAGCCCAGCTGGATAAATTAGCAACGCAATCCTGTGTCAACCTGAAGCGTGACTTACATTGGTGAGCCCATCCGTTCTGCTGAGAGATTCAACGCCGGCATGATGAAACTCTCCGTATGGGGACCGAGCCTAGCATTGTTATAGACCTCTCGAAGACAGTTCATCGCGTGAACCTGAGGTAATTCAACGGTTTGGCTGCGTACGTCAAGCTGCGCGGGTAGTTGAGCCACATCTTGAAGCTCGCGAACCACTTGCTGAAATAATGGTCCACCGGGGTTGGACAACAAGATTCCTGCGATCAATGCCGGCAGACCAGCTGATCGGCGGGTGAGTTTTGACGCTGTTTCAAATATGATTTTCTTCGCTTCCTGAGTGCATACGAGACTAGATTAGATTGCACATCCCGTCTTAACTTATATTATTAGACGCACCTGGTACCATAGTAAGGGTAGAGCTGAAATTTCAGGGTTACTTGACTGGCCGCATCGCTGGCTGCAAGTCGAGAATGTCTGGGCCACTGTCGAGAAAGCTCCTCGGTGGCGCAGCTCGGCGAGCTGAGTGAAGCTGCTCTTTCCGATTTTTGCATAATCATCTCTCGTCAAGCCACCGGGGCCTTCGGGTCCGTAAGTCTCGTTGAACAATGTAGCGTGCAAAAGAAGACTGGCTATATTAGAACCGAACACTGGTGAGTACAGAGGAGAGTATTTACCTGGACTCTCGAAGCGCACGCCAGGAATAAGAGAGGATATCTTTTGGACCAACTTCAAGGTCCTCGATATCTTCTGCCGCATGTCCTTCTGGGGAGTCAATACAAAGCTGAGGCTTAACTTCGTCCCAGACCCGATCACAAATGAACGAGATTCTGTCGTGGATTGATCTCCAGTTCTCCGAACCCGGGGAGCTTTCGCAAGCAACGAGCGTGTAGAAGTTCGGTGAAGAGACAATATACCTGCCACTTAGTTAGTAAAACATATAACAACAGATACCACGGGTTTGTACCGAAGGGCGCAAAGATAGCCGTGAAGAGGCGCATCACGCAAAGCTGAGTTGAAAAGCCCTTCTGGAGATGAGAGCTTATCCTCCAGCTTTTGCAATATCGTTCCAACGACGCCCATCCTAGTATCCCACCAATTGGTCTCACCTGGTTCTCGCGAATCTGCCGTGAAGAAAATCACAGAGTACAGGCGAGCAACTGTATCAGCATGATCGGCTCTACTGGTATTGCTTGCCAGTTGCCCTGCTTTATCGAGGGCAATCAGCAGCTCTGGTTTCTCTGTAGTCCGGCCGACTCCACCAAAGAGCACAGCTTTTGGAAATAGTTTCAGCAGGTGTAAGGCTGTTGAACGCACTTCATCGAACGGGTCTAATAGAAGATCCACCAGCAGTCTCTCAAGCCTGGGGCTGAAGATCTCTAGGTGGAACTTCCACTTAATGTCGCGGTGTTCAGGCTTATTGGACACAGCACCGCTGTAGCGCTCATCAATACCAGACTCAAGAAGGAGTAGAATGGTCTTTAGAGCCATGCTATGCCGATGATAAGAGGCGGTTGGTCGTAGGTCTGCCGTTAGAAATACCATATAGTCCTTCATGCAGGCCTCGGTTTCGTTATCGTCCCTTTCGAAGATCGGCACCAGCTTCTTATTTGCAGTCTTGTATGTGACTGGATTCTCTTTGTTTGCAAGAACGCCACCTTTCAGGCGGATTAGCAACCCGCGGACTAGGCTTAGAATTTCTCCTCTTGAGCCAGGATCGGATTCCGCATGTAAAGATGGCAGGCTTTTGATTATCACCCGTATGGCACCTGATGAGAGGGGTTTTGTGGTGGATGGAGCCATTATCAGCAAAGAAAGGGCGGCCATCTTGATATTGAAATCATGATGGAAGAGGAATTGGCCAATGAATTCGCTTTTCAAAACTAGCACGCTACTATCCTGAGCGCTGCCAGCTGGCGATCTGGAGAAATAATCTAATATGAATTAGAAGTTGTGCAGGCGCTTGTAGTAGTGCAGACTTACGATCTTCGTGGACCAACCCAATCTTCTTTGCTAGTTGCAAGGACGCAAATAATAAAGTTAGTTCAGCCGATGAAGAGCTGCTCATGTCGCCGGCCAGAAGACTGTTTAGCGGCAACGTATCGAGGAAATGGCGAAAACCACCTGTGCTAACCTCGAATAAACGTTGGAGTATAGAGTGAGTCAACTTGTCTAAGATTTCGAGGTTTTGTAGGAGGAAATGCTTGACCGGTCTCACCCAGACTAATGTAAGACTCTTTTCATCCTCAGTGGGCGGAGGAGCAGAGCCTGCTGGCTGCTGGAGCTTCCGGAAGAAGATTGTCATAACTTCGCCCACAGATGCGGCCAACTCAAACGCCTTTGTTCGGTTGAGAAGGCCTAGGAGTAAAATCTCGACCGATGTCTCCTTGAAATATAAGTCGGAACCTGCCGTGTTAGAGGACCGCTGCAGGTATTTGGGAATATCTATGGAGGAGACCCGGCATTCTTCTTGCAACACAATGGACCACTTGTCTGAATTCTGCAAAAGCCAGTCCCCGACCAGTGAGGTCAGCTCAACCGCATGGATCGCATTTTTGCGTATCAACGTTTCCAATGCAATGATGGAAGCCTTGAGCCTGGTCCTAGGTTCCCCAAGTATAATACTTGGAAGCACAGCGTTCACAAACGCCTTCCTAGCCGCATCATTTTCTGGCGCCTCGCGGGATTTGGCGAGGATCACTGCCAATGACTCCAAAACTTGCTTCATAGGCCTGGGCTTGACATCTTTAAAACGGGTCAAGAAATTGTCAAATATCAAGACCAATGTCTCCTGTGATCGAGCAAGTTGGCGAACATCTTGAGACTTTGAGACGAAAGCTGCGTCAATGAAGGCGCTCAGCGCATTACACGCAGCTGTGGTATGACTATGGGAGATTGATGCTGACCCAAACGTCTGCAACAGAGAAGTGAACACTCTCTTCGCTTTTCTGTAGACATAGTCAGAGTCACTTCTATGGGATCTAGCAGAGAACTAATACTAGGATGCAGCCTTACTCAACATCATCACACGTATGTGTAAATTTCACCAGAGGGCCTTTTGCGATTTTTTCCAAAGTATCCTCGGGCAACAATTGTATATTTTGGGAAATCTCCTGCATGTCCATGGGCATCTTGTCGCCCTGGGCGCTGCGTAAGGGTTCGGAGGCCATGGTTTATTCATGCAACATCTCTGTATGATATGGAATGATCAATGCGACCAACTCGATCAGAAATCAGTGCTTTCTGTTGCCCAATCCCCGCCATCAAATCATCCGAGCCTTTTGCCTCTTGTGGATTTTCTGAGCGACCCCACCGAGAAGGGATTAGCGCCGGACTAACCTTCCTCCGGGTACCCGGCCAGCCGGCTGATCACGGGACTGAAGTTTTTATCCTGATTCCTCAGATTTCGACACCAAAGCGAACTCGGAGGCGACCTCAAAACTACACCAGTGTCCGGCGGCAACCTAGTGAAGCTATTCTCATCCTGTTTTCCCTTTTTTTCTATTCGACCCTGTATTTTTTCTACCATTAATTTACGTCAAAATGTCCATCTGGGACTCATTCAGTGGCCGCAAGCAGAACAAAGGCGCGGATGCCTTTGACTCTGCCGCGCCAGATGCTACCTCATTCCTCTCCGAAGTTGCCATCGCCGATCCCTCCAGACTTCATCCGTTAGCCGGCCTAAATCAAGAGACGCTTGACTACCTTACACTCGAAGACACCTCCCTCGATCAGCTTCCCGGTTCGCAATCTATCCTGCCGTCTCGAGGATGGTCAGACGACCTTTGCTATGGAGTCGGAACGACCTATCTCGCAGCTCTGACAATCGGAGGAGCCTGGGGGTTGGCAGAAGGGCTTCAACGAACACCAGCGAATGCGCCTCCTAAGATTCGTCTGAACGGCGTGTTGAACTCAATCACCCGGAGAGGGCCTTTCCTCGGAAACTCCGCAGGCGTGGTGGCTATGGTATATAACGGTATTAATTCTTTCGCTGGATATGCGCGAGGGAAGCATGACGCGGCCAACAGCATTGCTGCTGGTGCTATCAGTGGAATGGTCTTCAAGAGTACTCGAGGTCTCAAGCCCATGTTGATCTCCGGTGGAATTGTGGCCGGAATTGCAGGAACATGGAGTGTAAGTCGAAATGTCCTAGTCTTTCTTGTTGGTTTCTTGCTAAGAGTACTATAGGTTGCGAAGAAGGCCCTCTTCTAAACAGATGCATCTATGGTGTTCAATTTCGACCAACCTATACTCGTCCACAATTATCCAAAACCCTACACTCATGATCTGTCTCGGTCGAGCGAGGAGTTGCTGCTTTAATTTATACTTTCATATACTCTGTATTAGAACGACTGCGTTACCTTTTCTCAACTCTCCTCTGGCGCTTGGGCATTCCTTTATTCAGCATTGTCCATTGTTCTGGGAACGGGCATGGTAATGGGTTTTGAAATTTTCTTGTACATATACCAGTTTCCTGCGTTGTGGTTCTTGCTGGCGAAAACTGTTGCAGGTTCCAGTCCGTTTACCAAGCGCGTTTAATGTTGTCAGGAGCCACCGAATGAAAACCACTAAAGTTACTGATGATAACTCGTACTTGAACGCCAGGCTGACTGCGCGTACTGACCCGCCTCTCTTCACGGATTATCGGGTTTCAAGTATTCGTGGTCTCTCATGAAGATCCTCAAGGCCAAGGAATACCGCAGGCGGCCTCGGGTTTCCTTCCCCAGTAAGCCAAGGCTCGATCAAACACAATGGCCCGGAGGGTCCAGGTCCACGAGGGATCAATCAGGCAATTTGATTGCCTTTTCCAGCCGCTTTTCTCAGACCATTACTGAATGCGGGGGAGCACTAGACCCGAAGCGTGGGCGCTGGCCAGTTACGTCGGCAGGGCCATCAGCTGACCCCGCGTGGTTGAGCCAAATTTTCCTGCTTCAACACCAAGCGCCAACCCGAAGCAGAGCTGCAGAAGCGCTCGAAGTTGAAATTAAAGTGCGCGTGTTCTATTAATATACGACTGGCGTGAAATTACTCCGCGCAAATTACGTCGCCGTTGTGACTGATTTGATTCGGAGATCATTCCTCTCATTACTCGGCCCTAGAAAACCAGCCCCCATCCGCCCTCGACTTCCTTCCCTTCTTCGCCATCTCCCTTATCACTCCTCAATCACGTTCCTTTTGGAATTTGGGTCCGCCGGTACTTTGTACGGCGACTGTTGTTGTTTAGTCGGCCTTGTCTTCGATTCTTGGCCCGAGGGCTCCAGACTTCAGTGCCACTAGATTGCTTAGGATTGACCCGAGCGGGCGTTTCCCCGATCTCTCCCGCACGGCTTCGCAAGTATGGCTCTGCCTTCGTTAAATCTCGTTTTAACGTTGGAACAAGTCATCTAATCAGATGCAGCTTTCTCACTCAGACCCTTTACTCGTTCGATGGTTCTCTCAGAACCTCCCCAACCGACCGATAGGTCAGGAGCCGGTGTCAATCAATCCGAGTTACACAGGCCTCGCGGGACAACGGCCTCGAGCGACAATGAAAATCACCCAATGACCCCCGTGAGTCCAGGTCGAGGGAGTTTTGATTCTGCCCCTTTGTCCATCGAACACGCCTCGACGGATTCGATGCGCGATGCGACCCATAAAGAGCACCATGCGTCCGCCCACCCTCTTCCCTCGTTACAGATAAGGACCGACTTCTCAAACCCTCGCCAATTGAGCCCTCATCGAGACGCGGAGACATTTGTGCATCACAGTATCTCCTCTAATAGCCTTCCGCATCGCACTCCAAGTTTGCGGGGATTGATGGCAGGGCCAAGTCATAGTGGGGGCTCCCTATCCCCAGCTTCTTATTTGTCGTCTCCACAACTAATGGCAATGGGAGATATCACACCTCTACCATCGCCCATCGGCGGCGCATCGCCTTGGAGACTTACAACGCGTCGCGATTCGCAGTCATTGTCCCGGACCTCTTCGGTCGCATCAAGGACTGGCTCGAGTCTCAGTCTACGGCCTATCGATCCTTCACAGGTATCCGTTTCAGAACCTCGTTCGCGCGGCAAAACGCCTACGATCACGGACAAAGTAAGCGTCGAAGAGCATTCAGACACACATACGGCTCCGAAGCATACGCGCAATCGCAGTTTAAGCGAGTACGTGCCGCAGGGTCGAGGAATTCCTGTGAAACCCCGCCCCGTTGCTGTCTCCGGAACCGGCGCGCCCCAGGGGATTACTTCATCATCGAGCACGGACTCCAAGTCCAATAATTTACACCGCGAGCAGTACCTCGCAGTTCATCGAGGGATCGCATTACCTGCCGTCCGCCCACCCTCCCCGCCACGAAGCAGTGGGTATGGCGCCAGCGATAATGATTCTGTTATAATCCATCCGTCTGATGCGCAGGGTGCGGAGGAACTTTACTCAGTGCGATCAATTCGGACTCAACAACCCCGACTGTATCGCAAGCTCCGACAGTTAGGGCATGGGACATTTAGTCAAGTGTCTTTGGCTGTGCGCGTGGAGACTGAGGAGAACGGTGAATCCGGGGACGGGCCCCAAGACGCTGCCCCAGCAGCTCAGAAGTTAGTTGCTATCAAGGTCATCGATCACGGACCGGCAGGGGGCGCGGATGAGGAGCGACTGGAGGTTTCGCTCAAACGAGAGGTTGATATTCTCAAGTCACTAAACCATCCCTCTTTAGTTCAACTGAAGGCGTTTGGAAGTGATGAAAAGCGCGCTCTCCTTGTACTGGACTACTGTCCAGGCGGCGATCTCTTTGAGGTTGTTTCGCACAACACTAGACCTATGGGTCCGGGGCTCATTCGCCGTATCTTCGCCGAGCTGGTTGCCGCTGTGCGCTATTTACATGAGCATTACGTAGTTCATCGCGACATCAAATTAGAGAGTAAGTTTCAACGCTTGTGTCTAGTCAGGCTAGTGCTTACGCGTTAACTCTGCGCAGACGTTCTTGTCAACATACCGTCGGATTCCCTGCAAAAGAACGCCGACTGGCGCACATATGACCGTGCGGTGGTGACTCTTAGTGACTTGGGCCTGTCAAGGAGAATTCCTGAGCCTCCAGAGAGTCCTCTTCTACAGACTCGTTGTGGCAGTGAGGACTATGCAGCGCCGGAAATTCTCATGGGCCAACAGTATGATGGACGCTCCACCGATGGCTGGGCACTCGGTGTACTCCTCTATGCTATGATGGAGAGTAGGCTTCCATTCGATGCTGTACCTGGAACTAGGGGCGACCCTGCGAAGCTTCGAGCACGAACTCCACACCGTATCGCGCGTTGTGAGTGGTCGTGGTATCGGTACGCTGACAGCGATGGCGAATGGGACCCCGAAAAGGGGAGAGACCTGGAGGGGGCCCGAGCATGCGTGGAGTCGTTGCTGAAACGGAATACAAAGCGAAAAGGTCTCGACGAAATTGCATCCTCTGAGTGGGTGAAGGATGCGATTGATGTACCCGGTGGGTTGAAGCGGGGTGATAAGGAAGTTCCGTAGAGCTGGCCTCTATCTTCTTTACTGTACTTTTCTCTTTCCTTACTATTGTCTCTTTTACTTTACGCCTTGCTTTATGCGATGATATATGATTACTTGGTCGGCCGAGAGCCGAATGGTCTATGAACCTTTGGTTAGATTGTGATGTTATACCCTAGAAGCTACATACTCTACAAGAGTGATCGCTCACTCGGTAGCTTCCCCACAGAAATAGAATGACTATATTTGCGACCAGATCCTTGACTCATGGGCTGATCGCCTCAAGCTATAGTTATAGAACTGAAGAAAAACAAGCAATTGCTAGGGGGTTTAGTAGGGTCTCTTACTAAGCCCGGCAGTTGATTGGCGCGCGGGGAGGACGCGGTCAACTCCGGTCCCCGACTTCGCTGCGGAGAACTTTCCACCAGCTCGGCTCTTCGTCACTTTTCGCTCCAGAAAGTCGTCCACGCTCAGAACTCCGACCATTTTCCTGCTCAATATTCCTTATTTAAGCCTTTGGACGTAGTGCGGTGTCTCCTTTCCCCAGACAGACAACCGTGCGTGATCTGGGCAGACGACAATGCTTCTCTCACAAGCCCGGGGCCGCCTGCCCTCTGCTCTGCGGAGCTTGGCCAACCAGCAATCCATGTATTTCACCCTCCATCGCAGCCAGACAGTGACGATTCCCTTACAATTACTTCGCCACTAACACCTACTGTCTCTAGCCGCCCAATCTCAACCACTCTCCCCAGGCAAAAGGCCTCCCCTACCGACGAGCCCGTTCTCAACAAGGTCTCCCGCCATGTCACACAGCCCAAATCCCAGGGTGCCTCCCAGGCCATGCTGTACGCCACGGGTTTGTCAGAGGCGGACATGAACAAGGCTCAAGTTGGTATCTCGTCCGTCTGGTACAACGGCAACCCTTGCAACATGCATCTTCTAGACTTGAACAACCGTGTCCGCGAGGGAGTGCAGAAGGCTGGATTGATTGGCTTCCAGTTCAACACCGTTGGTGTCAGTGATGGAATCAGTATGGGTACCAGCGGCATGCGTTACTCGCTGCAGAGTCGTGATCTGATCGCCGACTCCATTGAGACCGTCATGGGTGGTCAGTGGTATGACGCCAACATCAGTATCCCCGGTTGTGACAAGAATATGCCCGGTGTCCTGATGGCCATGGGTCGCGTGAACCGCCCCAGTATTATGGTCTACGGAGGCTCAATTAAGCCCGGCTGCGCGTCAATGCAAAACAACGCCGATATCGACATTGTCTCTGCCTTCCAGGCTTACGGTCAGTACATCACAGGCCAGATCAACGAACCCCAGCGTTTCGATATCATCCGTCACGCCTGCCCCGGAGGCGGCGCTTGCGGTGGTATGTATACAGCCAACACCATGGCCACAGCCATTGAAGTTATGGGCATGACCCTCACCGGATCCTCGTCCAACCCCGCCGAGTCCCAAGCCAAGTACGACGAATGTGTGCGCGCAGGAGAGGCCATCAAGAGGCTGCTTGTTGAAGACATTCGCCCCTCTGACATTTTGACCCGTCAGGCCTTTGAGAATGCCATGATTGTTGTCAACATCACCGGCGGCTCTACCAATGCCGTCCTTCACCTCATCGCTATTGCCGACTCCGTCGGTATCAAGCTCACCATCGACGACTTCCAGGCCGTATCCGACCGCACTCCCTACCTCGCGGACCTGAAGCCTTCCGGAAAGTATGTCATGGCCGATCTTCACAACATTGGCGGTACCCCCGCCCTCCTCAAGTTCCTCCTTAGGGAAGGCGTCATTGACGGCTCCGGTATCACTGTCACTGGTGAAACCCTCGCCAAGAACCTCGAGAACGTTCCCGACTTCCCCGAAGATCAGAAGATTATCCGCCCTCTCTCCAACCCCATCAAGGAAACCGGTCACATCCAGATCCTCCGCGGCTCCCTCGCTCCAGGCGGCTGTGTTGGTAAGATCACCGGTAAGGAGGGTACAGTCTTCACGGGCAAGGCCCGCGTCTTCGACCACGAAGACGACTTCATTGCCGCTCTCGAGCGCAAGGAGATTAGCAAGGATGAGAAGACCGTCGTCGTCATCCGCTACACCGGTCCTAAGGGTGGCCCTGGTATGCCTGGTATGTTACCTCCTAAACAACACCAAACACAACCTCAACTTCCTTGACCCCACTAACTCTTCCCTACAATAGAAATGCTCAAGCCTTCCTCCGCCCTTATGGGCGCTGGCCTCGGCAACTCCTGTGCTCTCATCACAGACGGCCGCTTCTCCGGCGGTTCCCACGGTTTCCTGATCGGTCACATCGTCCCCGAAGCCGCCGTCGGTGGCCCCATCGGACTCGTCCACGACGGTGACGAGATCACCATCGATGCCGACAACCGCGTGCTCGACCTGCACGTCGAGGAGACGGAGCTTGCCACTCGCCGCAAGCAGTGGGAGGCGGACAATGCTGCGGGTAAGCTGCCGCAGACTGGTCTGAACCTGCGCGGAACGCTGGGCAAGTACGCGCGTAATGTGAAGGATGCCAGCTCCGGCTGTATCACCGATGCGTTGGATTAGATGGTTGTCTTGGGAAATGTGTGGATTGTATACGTATACCTGAATGAGCTGTATCTTTTTTTGTAATAGCTGGCTAGCTTTGGTTTGATAAGATTTAGAGATCGAAAAGCGCTTCTATTCTTCCACACCTCATCTCCTCACTTGTATACTTATATATTGCTTGCGTACTTGTTTACCAGCAGGAGATTACGACGAAGTGACCACGAAGTGACTTCATATGGGGGAGTGAGTGAACCTATCATGTGTTCCTAACTAATTATTATAATATCCCACAAATTTGTCAAATTACAACCTAATCATCTCAATCTGCCTTGAACAAATCTACCACACGCGCTCCGTCCTCTTCCACGTCTTCACAAACTCCTGCTTCTCTCGAACCCCCAGCCCAACCCTCTTCACGCGCCCCAACCTCGCAAGCGAATCCCCCACCGTGTCCAACACAACCTTCTCAGCCGGACTAAGGTCAACCTCTACCTTCCCCGACGCAGATGCCACATCACCCCCTTTAGACGCACTCACCTCTTCCAAGATATCAAAGTAGTTCGTCTCGTATGTCGAGTTCTTGATCCGCGGGCTTACGCTCAACCCCTGCGGGCCCGAAACAACCGCCTCGGCGATGCGCACGCGAATATAATGCGTCGGTCTGCTGAGGAGTGCCCAGAGGAAGCTGAGATACGAACCCGGAAGCGGTGTGACGACGTCCTCGGGCGAGTAGCGCAGGGAGACGGGGAAGATTTTCCCATTCGGTGCGACGCTTGCCAGGGATGGGGAGAGCGGGAGGATTCCGCGGCCGTTAGTGGTGGTGCATTCGGCGAAGACGACGATTGGGCGGGTCGAGTATTTGCGCGCGAGCGCGGACAGGGTTGTTGTCTTTGTACCGCTTGGTGGGGAGAGTTTAGGAGAGGAGAAGGCGCGCAGGATTGCGGTTAGGAGAGAGATGTGTTCTACCTCGCGGGTGTTGGGGTATGAAGCTGTGAAGATGGGGTCGAAGATTACGGCGAGGTAAAGGGCGTCGATGGGGGAAGTGAAGGAGGCGGCGATTACGGAGCCCGGACCGGGGAGGCGAGATTGTTGTTTGGAGAGGTAGCTGCTATTCTATTAGTAGGTACTTCTGTCCAAGCCAGGTCATTCTAGAGATCTGAGGTACTCACCCCTTTCGCACACCGTCCACCTGGAGATCGACCCACCAGATACTCGGGATGCCGAGTATACACCACAGCGCTGCCTTCTTACCCAACGATCCAATAGGAAGCCATTGTAGTACCAGGAAATAGCTCACGCAGGTGAAGATGAAGAACGGGAGTCGGAAGAAGAATAAAGACAGCCGTATCGGTAGCGGAAAGCAGCCAGACACGGGTTGCGGTGGGAGAGGGAGGAAAGGAGCGATGCCGGAGCCTGTAGAACGACTGTTAGCTCAAGAAGAATTTTGTACAGTGCTCAATGGGTTTGCGAACCTCGATCGCGAAACTGAGAGAATTTCTCCATGGATATAGAACGGTGCTTGAATATGTGAATGGATTGAGAGTGAGGGGCTGAACTTTGTGTAGCTTTGCTATGTGGCCATCGCAGTGTGGAGACGGGGGATGATGGGTGTATAGGTAGCTCGGTGAGATCAGGTGGAAGACAAAGCGCGGTGGAATGTTTTCAGTCCTGAAACAGAAACAGGAGTTCACGTCTCTGGAAGTTGCGAGTGTGGAGTGTGCGAAGTGGTCAGCTCTGGTCATTTTGCGGACTCCGGAGCAGCGAGCTGTGCCCGATGACATGTGAGACACTCACTGCCTTGGCGCCTGAGGCTCCCATCAATGGTCGAGTACTGCTCTAGTCAATGCGATACAAGGCTGATCGATGAGTTGCAGAAGAACAAGTTATTTCTATCTAGTCTATATACCCTTGTGCCCAGTACGCCGTCTATATGTACAGATTATATATATATACAAGTGCCGCCCACGCTCAATCGCCGTGGTCTTCAGCCTTATCCGCGGTAGGAGGCAGCTTAAACGCCCAAATAGCTATTCCAACGCAACAAAATGCCGTAGATGTCATCATCCACGCGAGACCAACCCATGGGCCTCCTAGCTCAAGGCCCACTTGGAAGACTGTCGTAATTGACAAGCTGGCAATGACATTGCCAAGAGCCTGCAAGACCTCGATCACAGTGAACAACCGCGCGGTCTCATCACGCTCCACCAGCGTTGTAATCAGGGATCGTGTTAGATAAACAAATCCAGAGCCACAAGTCTGGACTATCAGACTAGGGATCAGCATCCCAATGCTAGGCGACAATCCAATGCCTAGTGTGCCTACCGCGAGAAAAATAAGACTCACTCGCGCGAGCCGGAGGTCCTTCTGGTTAGACTTCATGCGTGGCATCATGCGCTTTGAAATGAGAGGAATAATGACCAGAAATAGAGGTATAGTGAGAGCTGGTTTGAAGGACATGAGGAGGTTCGCTTGGGCTATGGTCCAGTTGTAGCGCGCAGAGATGTATTGGACCAAAAACCAGGAAGAGCCCCGACTGAGACGGTAGACCAAGAATGCGGTGAGAAGGAGGAGAACTTGTTTAGACCGAAAGATAAAGGCGTATGGGGTGAGATACGATCGTAGTGTTACCCACAATGAAGCGAGGTATGACCTCTTCTTCGTGATGGCGAACGTCACCCCCTCCTGTAGATCGTCCTCAGGATCATTCAAGAGGTTTGTGTTGAGTTTTTCAGAGGAACGCCTGGGCTCTCCGTTGGCGAATGATAGCCGGTCAAGTTCCATCTCCGACGGTTTTTCATACGAGTCTTGTAGAACGGCATTCTTGGTTTCGGGTAGGAGCAAGGCCATGAAAACGCCAACAATGACCACACTCCATCCAATCAGCATCGGGATCCAAGGGTTCAAAACCATGAGGTATGAGCTAGCTGCACTGGAGATGAAATCGGCGCCCATACTGGCGACGCCGAAACGGAAGAACATCAACGCTCTAGGCATCTAGTCAGTGATATGCACTAACAATGGGAGAAACCACGTACCTCTCTTCTTCTGTCGTCACATCCGCCATCATGGTATAAATGATAGCAATAGTGACAACCGGTCCACCGCCAAAAATAAAGGTCAAACATGATGCCCAAACGGCCCGCAGAGGGATGGTATCGGAGAACCACATCACAACAAACATGATAAGGCAATTCAGGACAAACCCAGGGATGCCAAAACAAAGTGCCTTTTTCCGACCAAACCGATCAGCCAGCAGTCCATACGGAGCGGCCAGCAATACACCTGCGTGGGATCGTCAGCTCAACCCAATGATCTAGTACCACGTAGGACGAGATTCGGAGATTACACACTGAGAACACCCTCGAAGAATTCCATAAACCCTTTGACAGCCGCAACCTCACTCTGTACCTCCTTACCCTTGCACAACTCTTCGGCCACCTGCCCATCGGACCCGATCTTGGTCGGATCAAACTGCGTATAGTGTTCGCGGCAAGCAATCGACTCATAAATCCTTGTCATTGGCCCCCCTGCCATCACGAATCCAACTTCGACGGCTAGAACCATGGTGAAGAGTGTGATCATAAGTCGAGTACGGATCGCGCCATCGATTACCACGCGATCTTTTGTCCCTCGCCTGTCGAGCGATGGAGGCTCGCCGTCAGATTGCGATAGGAAAGGGACATCCTCGCTGTCGCGCGGATCCTGGTACTGGAATTCAGGGGTCATGGTGTCGCTTCCATTTACTGTCGTTGGCGAGGGTTGGGTGAGGATCAGTTTTGTATATATAAGAGTCAATTCATTCCTCCGATGATGAAGAAACGATAGCAGGCAGACACTTTTGAGAGGTAGGTGTGAGAAGCTCAGTAAGATCCGGGGGGGCTGAGACTCGGCTGAGTTGTCAATTTGAAATTCCGGAGCAATCTCACCTGGGAGGCCTATCGTTTCAGTCTCCGAAAGCTGCTCTGTAAGTTGCAGAAAATCCCAGAGATCACCAGGCAAAAGGAAGCAAATGCTCTCACTTTGAATGCCTGCTTTCCAAACAATCTATTTCCATTTGGCCCTGTTGACTTTTGCGATAGAAGCTCTGCTTTGAAGACTCGGTATACAATAGACCAAGGGCGGGCTAGGCCACAATCGGTATGGCTTAGGCATAGCTTTCCCGTCTGAGTAAGCATGAGTATGCTATTTATGTAAATCACGTGACAACGCCGGACATTGCTTGCTGTGGGGACGTTCCCGTTTTGAAGCTCAGGAGTAAAGTCAAGGTCCGTGCTCAGGCAGCCTGGACCAGGCCACGGACACAATCAAAGATTCAACCCTCAGGACTTAACTTAACTAATCACTCGAAAGAGACTCAAGAAGAGAGAGAGATGCATGGCTTTTGAACTAGTGAGTACTGAAGGCAAAACCATCTCATGAGTGAGACTTTGAGTGAGACCAGTCATTCAGTCATCATATTTTCCCCATTTTGGACAGATACCGCACTTACCTCTCTTACTCCTAGTATGTGAGCTGGAACCCCTCGCATCTGTCAATAGTTTCTATCCCTTCGGCATTATCTACGTGATTTCGCCGTCTTATCTCCTCACCGCATCTCTTGGTGCATGCCAGCTACAGGAACTCAGCGCCCGCTCGATCACCGAACTCGTTTGTTGGCAAAAAAGTTCTCCCAAACTGATTTGCTCTGACAACGCAGAGCTGCCTGTTGACACCTCAGATGTTCGTCCGTCAAGCAAAAGTTCGTCTTTCGAGGCTGAAGGCTCTAATGCAGGTCCAGAAGGCGAAGGATTTAGTCGGGCTGCTGACTCGCTCAATGCCCCTGATTGAAAACATATTCAAACTTGGCGGAGTTTCCTATCCAGTGAGAGCACAATTTGTTAAATGAGAAGAGACCTCCAATGGACATTGTTCTCCTCGTCTGGAGCCAAATCACCAAGCGTGGCAAGCCATCAATGAGACGTGTCGATTGCAGCTGACGACACGGTGGGCTCCAACTACTGGTGCTCCCGCTGGCTAGTGATGCTAGTGCGATCGCGATAGTCGACGATCGTTGGTCACTGCCGTAAGCCAAGATCAGGTCGTCCTTGTGGTGAGGTGCAGGGACCAGTCGGAACGCCAATATTGAATTGCGATTTTCTCTGAACCGACGCGGTTCACGCGAATAATCCTGATTTCTAAACTGATCTCTGTGACAGTGTGACGTCTGGAAGGCTTCCTGGCTCTCGGCCTATCGAATATCAGCTTTGAGCCGAGTCGCGAGCTTCCTGACTCTGCTCCGTAGGTAGCATCGAGTCCCTTGTTTGTTCCTGAGGACAGCAAAGACATGGCTCTGAACGAGGTGTTCAAAGGTTCCAGCACATCGGGCCAATGTTGCATTTTGTCCTCATGATTGGGTATCACCAAGGACGCAGGAAGGCCCATCCTACACGCGCATGCATTGTGGGATCCTTCTGCTCGGTGTGATTGATACTTGCGCTTGACCCGGGGACCAAACTCTCATCCAATCATCGTCCCCTCTGATGGACAGTGTACGACACTGGTCGACCAGGTTATGATTTTCTCTATTCGCGCGTTTTTACTTTTCCCTTCGACAAGCCCGCCGAGTGGATAAGCCCGCGTCTTCCATGCGTTGAGTCTAATTCCCATTCTCTTCCGCTGGGGCTAGACGGTGAGCTCTGCCCGAGCCTCGCTACTTGATTCCAACAATAATTCAAATTTTGGAGACTTTCGCCTCTGAGCAGCCTGTCGAATATTTACTTAGTACATGCCAAATCTCACTCCTTGTTCCCTTCCAATTCCTTCAAGTTTGCCTCCTGTCATTGCTTCATGTGCGCCTCTACCTAGTACATGGTGTGTACTACGCTGTGGGTATTCTTCCAAATCACCTTATGTGCCACGTTTTTGTCACTATTCTGCACACCAGAGGATTGATTGGCAGTCTTGTTTCTCTGGTTAGGTTTCATGGTTGCTTGCGGAATTATGTGAATAAGTATCTGAGGAGAAGCTCGCTGCAAAATTCGAGACTAGCACTATATCCTCGCATCAGTCGTCCTACAGCTAGCCGTCACACCTCCGCCCTCTCGCCCTTTCATGATGAGGGTGTCCTTCCTTTTTGTTCTGGCCGCCTGTTTCTTCCCTTTCCTGCTTGCGCTTGTTATCCATGTTCCTCAAAATGAACGTCCCGGATATGGCGCCCTCCTTTCAAGGGAAACAGAAACAAATACTACCGAATCCTCCGAATCCTCACATGATGATACAACGCCTACCAATGCGACCAGCTCTGCAACTCCAAGGAACTCGACGTCAACGTCGGCATCGCCTAGCTCTGTACCGCTGCTGAACACGTCGACAGATGAAATTGATGAGGGTAAGCAACTGTGAACACTACTCTTGCGAATCCTTTCCCAGCTAATGCTCCACAAGAAGAGGGGAGACAAAATGCAACTTCACCAGGAACTTTGCCCATTCAACCGAAGGTGACGCCTGCTCTCGGCGTAGGCGGCTTTATCCTGCTCATGACTGGTGCGGTCCTCGCACTAATAGGAGTCCGCAACCTATGGTGAGTTACCTCTTTCTCGCGGCATCTGCCAATCTACCATACTGATCTGGAAATGTCCAGGGTTCAAGTTTTTCTGTCCTCAGCCTTCCTGACAAGCTTAGGAGTAACGGTAAGCAGCTATGCTAATAAACTATATTCCGTCCTAACGAATCTATTTACCTAGGTGCTTATTGTCTATGTCATGAGTCCTCCCGTTCGGAGCGCAATACAAGGAGCGTATCTCGTGGCAATTTTCTTTACTGGACTCACCTTTGGTGCACTTGGGATCGTGTTCAAGGAATTAGCCGAAGGCCTCGGGTGTCTTCTTGGAGGTTTCTGCACGAGTATGTGGCTCCTATCCACAAAATCGGGCGGCCTTCTCACGGCAACGGATGCCAAAACTGGATTCACTGGGGCGATTTCTGTGGGATTCTATGCCATTTCGTTCAGCCACTACACACGGCCCTATGGCTTGATCGTCTCAACATCAATTGCTGGAGGTACTGCCGTATCTCTGGGGATTGACTGCTACAGCAAAGCAGGATTGAAGGAGTTCTGGCTTTACCTTTGGGGTGAGTCTATTTTCATGCTCGAGTAACCCAGCTAACAGAGATTAGCTTTGAACGACGACATTTTCCCCCTTGGGACCGGCACATATCCGGTGACTCGCTACATCAAAGTTGAACTCGCTGCTACAGTAATAGTGGCCATCATGGGCGTTATATCTCAGTTACGCTTATGGAAGGTCGTTCGTGATAGAAGGGCAAAAGAGGAAGAGAAGCGCCAAGAGGAGCAGAGGCAAAAGGACGAGGCCGAGGCCGAGACAGGGAGACGATTGGAAGCGAACAACATGAAAGAGCGAATGGAATGGGAGGCCAAGTATGGCGATCAAGGAACAGACTCAAGTTCCCAGGATATCCCAGAGCTAGCTGCCGGCTCGCATGTATTCCCTGCGGACGAGAGGGAAGCCTTGAAGGACGAAGCTACAGAGAAACGAAGCATTTCCGATTCAGCGGTATCTTACCGTTGCTCTGACTGCAGGGCACGAGGTGAGGACGGCGATTCAGATGCTAGTGAGGAGACCAAACGCGACGAAAACGAACAACACGGCAAGGATGAGTCCGATCGAACTACATGCGCGCATGAAGCTACTGGAGATGATGGCTTTGGCCCTAAGGCCTTGCACGACGCAGCGACAGCGGACGACAAGAGCTCAGCTATGACGGCAATCGTTGGTTCTGAGACCATGTCAGTCTACTCTAAACGCCTTTCCGTGGCGCTTTCGCGCAGGGCGTCAGTGAAAAGCGCTGGAAGGCCTGTTTCGGAGTCGCAGGAAGCTTTGATTCCCTGCGACAACGATGCCTGCCCTGCGCAAAGTGTCAGAGAGGACGCTGAGGATATTGACTCGGATTGCCACACAATCGCCGCAGACAGTCATTACCAAGCGATGCTAGATGAGGAGCAACCGGCGAAGGCTGAGGAACTTGGGAACTCTAAAAACCCTACAGACGCTGAGGTACGTACAGATCTGAACCAGCCTACGAGTTCCCAGGAGTCCGCAAAAAGTGAGGATACACCCGCAAAGAACGATACGCTCCAGCCGAAGGCAGCTGTTGCAGATCAACAAATCCCACCAGTCGAGAGGAAACATACTACAAAAAAGGCTGTGGAAAGCCAACCGCTTCAGGTGTCGGCCGGCAATGAGCCGCCCTTTGAAGTGGCCCCGCCGAACAAGGGTACATCCGAGCAAGTAACGCCTCGAACGGAAAAGGTTTCTGAACCTAATGATGTTGGAGGAGAAGCCTCGCCCCAGAGCACACACAGCCGCATGGAAGGCCCTGCAAATGTTTCTGCAGAGGTGCCGATGAGCACTAACAACGATGTGAAGACTGAGAAGCCAGAAGGGCCCAGAATAGTAGATAAACCACCACAGCTTGAGGGCCCTGGCAACCAAGGCCAGAAAGATCAACTGACAGAGGACTTGACAAACGAGAGCCGCCCTAAGCCTGAAAACGAGCGCCCGCAGCTTGAAAATGGCTCACCAGAAACGCGGTCCGCAACAAACTCTCTGCCAGACGACAAGTTCTCAGAAGGAGCAGATGAGCCATTAGGGTCACCACCGACGGACAAGCAGAAAGCCATCTCTTTGGTTAGAGTTCCACCTCCGCCCAAAAACGAAGAGCCCAAGCGACTGGACGCAGAGACAGTGGAACAGATTCCAAAACATACGTCCAAAGTCGTTCAAACCTACCGCATGAATGAGTGGGCTAAGCATCTGGTGGCGGCTGATATACCTGAACTGGAACCCATCCAGCCATTTGACGATGCGCCGACAGAGTGTCCTGTCGACAAAGAAGAGATCGCTGCGCCTGTTAAAGTCGCGGAGCTCATGCAAACGCCCTTGAATGCGCAACCACCTCCGGCTGTAGAGTCCCGAAACTCCGGGAAAGACTCAAACGAGATCCGTCCGCATGACTCTCGAACGGGTTCACAGAAAAAGATGAGGCGATCTAAATCGCCCAGGCGGCTCTCCGGACTGTCGGTTGGTTCAGCGCATAGTCTGGCTCACCATTCTCCTGCAGTGCAACCACAGCCAGGTAACCTTGTCACTGCCTCTTCAAACACAGTACTCACAAACGTTGCCTCGGCCGAACCGCAACAGGAGGAGAGTGAGAAGCTGAAATCGAAATGGAAAGGACCTCCTCCACTAATAGCTGTGCGCGAGGACATGATGCGCAGCCGACTGTCTTCCGTCTCGCTGCCAACGGACCCCTATGTGCGGCATAGCGCCGGTTATTCGCCCACCGATTTATCGCCACGGTATTCATCGACATTCCCAATCGCGGAAGAGGATGATGATATACCGCTATCTCAACGCCGTACAATGCTCCACCAACAAGCCCCTGCAAGTGGACTCCCAGCGATCCCGCCCCCAGCCGCACCAGCACGGTGGAACAACAGTGGCGTACCTTCAAGAGCCAATTCCCCGGCGGTTTTGGCAGCTTGGCGGGAGTCAGTCAGAGAAGACCTCAAGGAGCGGAGCGATCCGCTGAAACTAGCTCAGCCCCCAGTTGCCGCTAGCGGACCGACTGATCGCAGCTCATCGCCGTTTGGGCAATTAGGGCAACGCAATGCTTCATCAACCAGCATCGGAGACAAGATTGCTGAAGGGATGCAGCGTGGCGACATGAGCCAGCTGCACCGAGAGGCCATGCGACGGATGCAAGCGCAAGCCAATAAGAGTGTCAACCGCCTGGTATGACGGATCATTGGCCACGACCCTTTTCCCTAACTTCTGTATTTTGTTTTGTGACGATGTTAGCGATGAGATATGGATTTGGCCTCTCCCCCTATTACTTAATCTTTGTTTTGTATAGTGTCGATCGCATGTGGGAGGGAAAAGCTGGGAATGATGTAATATCAATAGTGAAAGAGATGAAGCATGATGAAGGAATCTGGAGTTCAAGTTCTGGCCGCTCGTAATTTCGCGAGCTGGGCCGCTGGGATCTGCATCCCTTTAATGCCCGTGGAGTGAAGTCATTGATACTGTGATCCTTCGATGTGGGCACTGGGCAGGAGTCCAGGGCTCTGGAGCGCTAATCTAGTCTCTCACTTTTTGGGTAAAGTTGGGTCCTTACTTGGGGCTATTATTACTATTTATTGCTGGTGAGGCGAGTCCGGTGCTGCCCGGAAGGCTGGACATGGGGATTGTTTCTGATTTAAGAGCTTTAAAGGAAGATGGATCAGTCGTTTTGCTCACTAAGTCCGTTTTTCTGCTGCTCTTTTGCCCTTTTGCTCACTCCCATTCTCTCTCTGACCCCAGAGCTGCGTGTACTGGCAGATTCAAACTGATGCATCCAATTGACCCCCTCTACTGAAACCCCCTCCCCCAACCTGCCGTCACTCCTTCTTGAAAATAAAAAATCCCTATTCTGCTTCTAGACACTCTTTTCGCAAGCTATCAGTGCAGAGAAACACTCTATTTTCTGTGGATGTCGAGCTCAGATCATTTCTTGACCTTTGCAGCCAGTGCGCCCCTTTTCGCCGTCCTCCGGCCAATCACAGCCGCCCCTGACCCTCATTTCGATCTCCTCGTCTTCTCTCCCATCTGCCTCTGCAAAGTCTCTCCTTCACCACGGCTTCCCCTCCTCCCTCCTCTCCCCTCTCCTCCTTCGCCACTAGGTCTCGGTCTTCGCCAAAAACGGCGCACCAGACTGTATCCCACGACCTCCCTCTCGTATCACCGCCCACGATTGAAGAGCCAGCTCCAGCGCATCCGCCCCCGCGCGTCACCTTCGACTCCCCTCAGTCAACATCCCTTCCGCCATTCGAACAGTTGGAGATTGAAACACCTCCTTCCTCGCGAGCCAGATCCTCGCGCGTCCAGAGGCCTTCGTGGGTTTCTACCTCTAGGATTTTACGGTCCCCTCCCGCCGTCCGACTCGCAAATCCCGTCAACTACGTTCCACGAATCACACCAGTAACGGTACCTCACCCGTCACAGGTTTCTGACGAGAATCTTCCGCTTGAAGCGCACCGCGACGCGTACCCGCTTTTATCAATCCCAGAGCGGCGTCGCAGCCGGCTGACACCGTCTCCGAATAGCCTTGCGGTAGAGCGGAGCCAGCAGGAGTCGGAGAGTGGCCGCTCCAGCATCGCGGTGCCTCGAGGGCAGAGGCAGAGCGGCGCATTTGAGGACGTGCCTCTAGATATGGAGACTATAGCTGGCCTCGGTGCGGATCGCCCACGCCATGTGGCCTCGCAGCATTCTCTACGATCACAGTCGCAAATAGCGTCGATTCCCTCAAATCCTGGTGGGCCGCATGGCGAGCCTGAAGTTTCCGAGGAGCTAGCATGGGGACCGGCTCATCCCTGCTTCCCACATATTAACCCGCATGTCCCGCTTGGGTCTGAAGAATACTTGACCACGCGTGTCATTCGGATTCGGCGAGATTGGATGGACAAGGGTGATCTTGCGCCCACGTTCTCCAACCTCTATCCAGAAATTCTCGACCCGTTACTACCGGAACAAGAGTTTCGGAGGGTTATTGCGACGGTGAATGAAGAGCTGACCCGCGCATTCAACCCGTATAGTCTTCGCAACTGGATAGACGGTGTTCTTGGCTTCATCACAGGCTGGATCTGGGAGGATCTGGGGGCGCCGGCGATCAAGGGCCACCTGAAGCGGGTCGAGGACTGGCTCGAAAAGTGGAACCGGGAGGTCGGGGCAAAGGACGGGGTTCGTATCTGGAGTCTCCGACGAACAGCGTATATGTCGCTGGACATTCAAATCCCTGATCCAAAAGTCGGTATTGTGCCCAGCGAGGGTAACCAATCGCGCCCAGGCACTCGACCGGACAGTGGTCCATGAGCTCCAGATTTGCCTTTCACCTTTCTCTTTTTATACCCCTCCCTACTTTAATTCTCCGACTCTGTGCATTAGCGACTCTCGGATTTCCTTCTACTTGTTTGTTTCTTGACTCTCGGCTTATGAGATGATGTCTTATATCATTGATACCTCGCTTCCATGACTCCACCGAGGGTCTGGTTGGTTAATTCGTGTATATTTGGAGCCTAGAATTGGCACTCAAATGCACAAAGCTAGAAAATACATGTATTACTATCATAGCTAATACCATATAATTGCGGATTCATTAGACTGTACAGTAGACCGCATAGGCTCCGTAATCGTAGATACGTTGTAGATCAAGTGGTTCTTGGGAGCTCCGCCGATCGCGGGAACTTCTGGCAACTTTCTTTCCCCAAAGCTTCAAGCTTGTCCCCCCTCCTCAACCAAACCCAACGCCCACCACGCTACAATGCTTTCCGGAATCCTAGTCTTCAACCAAAAGGGCGAGAACCTTATCTTCCGTGCCTTCCGCAATGACTGCCGGCCCCGACTCGCAGACATCTTCCGCATCCAGGTCATCTCCAACCCCCAAGTCCGCTCCCCGATCCTGACCCTGGGCTCGACAACATTCAGCCATGTCAAGCACGAGAACATCTACCTCGTCGCTGTGACGAAGAGTAATGCGAATGCGGCGCTGGTATTCGAGTTCTTGTATCGTTTTATTCTGCTGGGGAAGAGCTATTTTGGCAAGTTCGATGAGGAGGCTGTGAAGAATAACTTTGTGCTTATTTATGAGCTTTTGGATGGTACTGCCCGTCTATCTAAAAACGCCTTATTATGATCATACTAATTGATCCGTCCGATGGCAGAAATCCTTGACTTTGGTTACCCGCAAAACACCGAGACAGACACATTGAAGATGTACATCACGACGGAGGGCGTCAAGTCCGCGATCGCAAATAACCCCACTGACTCGAGCCGGATAACAATGCAGGCAACAGGCGCCCTCTCGTGGCGCCGTGCAGACGTGAAATACCGCAAGAACGAGGCCTTCGTCGACGTAATCGAAGACGTGAACCTGCTCATGTCCGCGACAGGGACCGTCCTCCGCGCAGATGTCAATGGGCAGATTGTCATGCGAGCCTATCTGACGGGAACACCAGAGTGCAAGTTTGGGCTGAACGACCGGCTCCTTCTCGACAACGACTCCGCGGGCCCGGGGTCCGGTTCCGGATCAGGGTCGCTGGGAGGGAACAAGATGGGCCTGGGAAGCTCCAAGACGCGTGCGGCAGCAGGTTCTGTGACACTCGAGGATTGTCAGTTCCACCAGTGCGTGAAGCTCGGCCGCTTCGACGCAGACCGCATCATCTCCTTCGTACCGCCGGACGGCGAGTTTGAACTCATGCGCTACCGCGCCACGGAAAACGTCAATCTTCCCTTCAAAGTCCACCCGATCGTGCGCGAAATCGGCACCACGAAAGTTGAATATAGCGTCGCGATCAAGGCAAACTACTCGTCGAAGCTCTTCGCCACAAACGTCGTCATCCGCATCCCGACCCCGCTCAACACTGCAAAGACCACGGAACGCACCTCGCAGGGCCGCGCAAAGTATGAGCCCGAACACAACAATATCGTCTGGAAAATTGCGCGCTTCTCCGGCGGCAGCGAGTACGTTCTCACCGCGGAGGCAACTTTAACGAGCATGACGAATCAAAAGGCCTGGAGCCGGCCACCGTTGAGTCTGAACTTTAGTCTGCTCATGTTTACGAGTTCCGGGTTGCTGGTACGGTACCTCAAGGTCTTTGAGAAGAGCAACTACAGCAGTGTCAAGTGGGTGAGGTATATGACTCGCGCGGGAAGTTACGAAATTCGGTATGTCTCTGATCTCCTTAGTAATTACGGCCTACAGTCGTTGCTAACACCAGATATAGATTCTGATCCTTGCATTTTTACTCACTTTGGTAAATCGAACATGTTAGCATTTGTCTCATCTTACCATTCATTTTGACATTGATCATCTTCTTCGTTGCCTACTACTAGCTGGGTAAGGTTAATGCTTGCTGGTTGAGCTTGGTGTTCGGCGTTTGATATAGGTAGTTTACATACATCCGTATACATCACATCATATTTCATTGCACCTCTTACTGTGTCTTCACTGTGGGTCATTCACCAAAGCTGCCAGTGATACGCGACGAGTACTAGAACCGGGACATGAAGATCGCGTGTGTGTGTATATATATAGAAATGTATGTAGATTTGTACTCACTGACCCAAGAGATGTCATATCGATTCCTACCACTAGTCCACTCCGGGAGTGTTCAATCATATCTCGCTGCTGGCTTAGCGTCACCAAGAAAGAAATATATCTAGTCAGACCTAGGTCGTGGAAGCAAATGGGTCAAAAGATTTACTATACTGAGGATCTAGTGGTGCTCGAACCAAACAAAATACAGTATAAGATATATAATAAAACTAGCCAGTCACACATATGAGTGTCAAAACGAGTATCAAAATAAGATAGGAATGGAAGACAGTGACACAATACGGTTAGAGCGAAGAGGTTGAGGTAGACTCACTCATAGAGAGGTAATGAAGATTGATAGATAGTATAGTATTGTACAGACCAGGCTAAGCGAGGCTGGATTAAAACGGTAAAGTAGCCTTCAAGATAGATAAGACAGGATAGAAAGAAATGAACAAAAGAAAAGAAAGGTAGCAGAAATAATGATACAGTCGTCGAAAGCATGTTCAGCGGACCCAAACCTCAGATATGTAAACAAGGTAAGGCAAGTGGATATATAGCACGGAAACAAAAACATAGGTATCAGCCCCCATCCAAACTCCGAGATCAATACATATATAAACCAGGTAGATAGTGATAAAAGGTCGCATCACATCCAGTCCTTATGAATGCGACTGCGAACCATCCGTTTCCCGCGTCGGAGGCCCACGTTCCCCTCACCGACGAGAGCCTGCCATCGCTGGCCGACACTTGCGTGGTCTTTCCCCATGCGTCGTGCGCACTCGTCCCAGTCATGCTTGGAGAGCTGGAACTTCTCTAGTACCATCTCTACCAGGCGCTGGTCGTCGTCTGTTGACCAGGACATGTCATCTGCTGGTGGAGTGGGGTCGTTGTTTGACCCCTCGATTGAAGGGAGAGCCGTGTCTGGATTGAAAAGTGGAAGGTTGGGGAATTGTTCGTGCCGTCGGCGTTGTTCGGGCGAGGGAGGGGATTGTGTGACGGGTGGTGAGTGGAGGGAGTAGAAGTCTGTTTGGGAAAGGCCGAGAGGCAGGTCGTAGGGAAGGTGGCGGCGGCGTTTTGGGGTGGAAGGGTTCGAGAGGGAGTCTGCATTGTATGGGGTAGGAGTTGTGTCGCGGTCCATGTCGATGTCTTCTTCGTATGTATTGCGCCTTCGCTTATTGGGACCGCGAGATGGTCTAGGCGATAGAGGTCTTGAGGAGAGTTTGGACGAGGCTCTGGTTTTGCGCGACGAGCTGGTGGGCGACGGAGGTGTGGGGCGGATGTTCAGGGGGCTTTGAAGGCGAGCTGGTTTCGCTCGTCGCGGAGATGGCGCTGGCGAGCCGAGGAGTGACTGGAGTGCGCGACAGGTCCCCAGCAGGCCGTTGCCTGGGAGCCCGCTGTCGTCGTCGGATGGAGGCGGCGTTGAAAACAAACGCATAGGAGTGAAGCGCGACGGCCGGCGCAGGTCGCAGGAGAGCGCAGATGGGAGCAACATGTTGCGCGGTTGCGATTATCGATGTGTAGGATGTATTGTTGGGAGACGAGAATGAGCGATGCGATAGGAGGGGTGTTTGTGCGATGCGCGAATGGGCGCTCGTTTGCGCCGGAAGGCCTCTCAACAAGCAGGGAGCGAGTGACGGGTGTAAAAATATGTGTAGACGCTTTCCTGAAGCTGGCGCGTTGGAAAGGGCGATTTCCGGGCGATGCGACGGACGGTTTGGGCGGATGGTGGATGAAAAAGCGCTGAAACTCGAGGTGTGTTGGGAGGGAAACGAGCGAGGATGTTTGTGAAGCGGGAGCGATAAGTTAATGTGAAAAGGAGTCAATCAGGGTGGAGCCGCCACCGACGTTTGCGGATGACCCACGGTCAGGCTAGCTCAGAAAGCAACAATGAATGACTGCATCAGATGAGTAGGAATAGAATAACTGCAGGTACAAGACTTCAATGAATGACTGGGATCAGGGACTGGAATAGATCGGGCATTGCCTTCATTCTCTCTCCTGCGCCCTGGTTTCTTTATTCCTCTACGCCTTTGCGACAGGGGGATGGGCTGGTTTTGAAGCCTACGAGACACCCTGAAAGGTCTATACTCCTGTATCAACATGACCTTGGACTTGGCCCCTCGTGCTCTGAGACAAGGAGAAAAGGAGCCTTCGAGGGATGCATGACGCAAGGCTGATAAATCTCCTTGACAGGCCACCGAGAGGACTAACTTGATCATCTCTACTGACGACACTGCTCAGTCAACAGTCTCTCCAAGGGCCGTGCCGCTGTGGGACGCTGCTAGGATCACTCTGCAGTCTGCAATGCACGGTAATTCTGGCCTGCATGTCTACGGAGTAGGTGCTCTTGACAATATCCTCCTGTCCTCCATAAGGGTTTTCAGTGTACATCCATAGAGTTACTCTGTACCACAGCACTAATCTCCCAATTGACTATTTCATTCATTTATTCGGAAAAGCAAAGACAAAGAATCTGTTCTAAGGGCTTACTAGTGCAAATTGCCCCTCGATCAGGTGGTTGGGTTGGGTGGGTGTCTCCTCTCCCTCGACCTTGGAGATATCCCCGGTCCTCCTTCCATATCCTCTCCCAGGAACACCAACTCCTTCAATTGCGCAATAGTATTAAAGTCTTCCACTTCCAACAGATTACAGCAATATTATATTCTCACTGAACGACCATCCATCGCTCTTTCCTTTTCCTCCGACAAGTCGCTCCTTCCAAAAGAGGTCATATTGGTCCGTCGCGTAACGCGTCGCGTAAAACGCGTCTCATCGCGTCAGGCGAGTGCGCGTCAGCCAATCACTGGCAACGATACAACCTGGTGCCTGCATCCATTGCCTCATCCTTCGGCAATCTTTTCAGGTCACAGTGACGTTGATAGAAATAGTGCGGCATTTCTTTGTCGTCTGATTTCTGGTCCAACTGACCCCTGCAGCTTTGCTAAGTTTATTCCAACGCTGTCGATCCGGGCTGCTTCCCGGCATTATCACAAGCAGTATCTTATCGATACGCGCGCACTCCGGGTCCGGTCCCCAGCCCCTCCTTGCTTTGTCCTTCGAGGGGTTGAGTGCCCACATTCTTCCTCGAGGCAAGACCTCTGACAACAATTGCGAGATGTTTGGTCTTGGTACTCTCAGGGTCTCTGCTCCATACTCCGTACGGGCGGCTGACCACCAGCCCCTGTGTGTCTCAGAATATACCCTACACTGTGCTCTGTAACCAGCCTCCTCCAACTGGTCCCCGGGCAAAGCCTACTCAATTCTCAGCCCTGGAGCAAAGGATGCGCTCCACGGACCCTCTTGCACGGCTGTGCCTGGTCTCCTTGCTGATCCGTCTGCGCAGCATGAACCACAAACTTCCGGCGTATTCGATCTCGTGGTGCTTGCATTATCTTGCGTCGACGCAGAATAACATCCAATATTGGCCGTTGAGATACTCAATTGAGCTATCCGTCAGCTTCGGGCGTCGGTGCGACAGTCTACGATGCAGCCGGTCTGGCTGACAAGCTGCAATGTACCGCAGCCTGCAAAGCTCAAGAACATGTCCAAGTTCCCTACCTTATACCTGGATAGGAACCATCAGCTGATCTGACTATGGTAGAACAAGGGCGACTCATCTAGGGCTTGTACAGGAACCAATGCCCTTTCTCTACTCTATATCCTTGTCTCTCAGATTATCCAAGTGTTGTACAACTTCACACTGACCACCCTTCCTCAACCTGCCCTTCCCTCTTCTCCCCCTCAGCAAGGGATACCCCAGCTCTCGACCCTATATTCTCCGAGCAACGTATGCAGCCCACTGGCAATCACAAGACGTGCATTAGCAGCTGCACGCTGTGCTCAACATCGGAGGTTTATCCCTTCCTCGTTCTCCGAACCCTAGCGCCGATCCTATACTTCCAAGGCCTGAATTTCGGCGCCGAGGAGTGGCTGGCTGATTGTCCTTGATAACCCCGATGCGTCCCCTCAATCATCGATCCGTTCCTTTCTCCTATGCCTGGATCGCCTCGTTCTTCCAATTATGTGATGCCGTTTCTGTAGGCGTCTCCTTTGAAGAGTCATGTTTGGTTCTTTTTTTCCTAGTCTGCTGAAGTGGGTCGGCGAGGTGATCTCTTTTCGCAGCGATAGATATCAAGCGTTGACGGCCATCTACGCTAGATTCTATGAAGCACCCTGTCTTCACCAGACGCATATAGAGAAGAGAAAAGACCGGCCACGAGTGGTAGTATCCACATGGCGAGTACTGTTGTGAGGGAATTCAAGCAACAGGAAAAAACGACATTCAATTCAAGGATGCCCGTAGCGATTCAGATGATAGCAAGGTGATTGGCGAAGAGGAGGTTCGGCGAGCGAGGTCAGACTAATATTGAAGAGTCCTCCCCCGGGACCAAGGTTCGCGCCTTCCCTATCAGTTCAACTAATGTCCTGAGTCGCACCTTCTCTTTACACTATGTCAAGGCGCGCGGAAGGCACGACCGGGAGACGCACTTTCCTAAACTAAAATAGGAAAGAACGACCTACTGCTTGTGCCTTCCCGGAGCATTCGCTCCTTCCTTATACGCAACTCTAGGCAAGCAAGGAAAGAGCGGCCATCAAGTTCCTTGAGGACTAGGGGAAGGAACAACCCACCGGACACTAGCTATTCAATTCAAAAGGGAAAGGTCTTCTGCTAAAATTGAACCATATAATGACGCCAACAGACGAAGGCATTATGATTACTAGTTACTAGTTACTTTCAGTACTACTCTCACAATTCGGGTATCCCACATATCAAACACTAATAACGTTGCTGAAAAATCAAAAGTACAGCCATCACGCAGCACGAGCGCTGTAAGCCAGCTGCTCCTTCTTACCCGTCACAGGATTGACAAACTCTTCAAACACCTCTTCGCACATCTCGCCATGCCTTTCGTTCTCCTCACTTGCTGGGGTTCCATCTCTAAAGTGTTCGGAAGTGCTTGGCGGTGTAGTGACGGCCTGCCAGCTGGAATAGACATGCTGGGGTTTGTACTCTGTCTTTGGTGGAGAGGGGCTCTTCGGTGGATCTGTGTCTGTGTCTGAGAAACTGCTTTTGCTGCTCACAAGCGGTGGGAGAATTGGATCGGAGAGTGTCTGTGAGGCTAGTCGGAAGTATCTACTATCTTGTCCTTCATTTGCGTTGTTTGGCCATGGGAGTAATTGCAGCGACTCTTGAGTGGGTGACTCGGCCTTGATGGGAGGCTCGCTCTCTATTGAACTGGTTTCTTTTTGCGAGTGAGATCCCTGGGGCTGAGTGCCGTAATGCCCGTGGTAAAGGCCACCTGCTTCCGACGCGAGTACTTGCGATTGAGAACCATGAGTTTGACTGCCGTAGGGTCCGTGGTAGAGATCAAGTGGAACAATTCGTGGCGACTTGGAGCTCGCCGTGCGTGGCGCCCGTCCCGAATCGATCGCTTGTAGAGGGCCTCGAAATCAGCACTGTGTGAGGGATTCGTGAACCACGCATGTTGCAAGGCTTCTTTGACATCCATACGTTTAGCAACGATGTGTTCTAACAGCCGCAGCACGAAATCCTGCGCCCTCTCGCCCACTTTGTTTCGTTTAAGCCTCGCTTTTAGGGTCATTAAACCGGTCACTTTTCCCTCATTCGTAATACAGCCCCAGCGCATATCGTCAAACGGGGACTCGCCCGTCAGAAGAACTGCAGTCAGAGCTCCCAGAGACCATAGATCTGCGGCTTTTGTATAGCCGCCTCCTTCGCCTACTTTTGCGACCTCGCTGTATTACGGTCAGCAGCGGTACGAGGTAGGCTTTATTGCGCATGTCCATTTTATGGTTCCATGGGGCTTATTCTAGGATATTAGGAAAGACGAATACTCACGGAGCGCAGAATTCCATGGTCCCAACCATCGATGACATCCTTGCCGAGTCAGTATCAATCAAAGTAGCGCAGCCGAAATCAGTAAGCACAACCCTACATCCATCTGCTCGGGAGGTCATGAGAATATTATCAGGCTTTAGATCCCTGTGAACAACATTCTGATCATGCAGGAATTCGAGGGCGATCACAACCTGGCGGACGATAACTGCTGCTTCAATATCAGGTAGGTTGCCCCCTTTGTATTGTATGTATGAGAAGAGATCGCCGGCTGTGACGAGATCTTGAAACATGTAACTGTAGGAAGCATTAGTGACCAAATAGCTCGAAGCCCTTGGACTTTGCCCGGGGAAAAGCTCAGAGTATTCTAGAGCTGCAACTCACATCGTACTATCACTCTTGATTACTCTTTCCAGGCCTATAATATTCGGCTATTGGAGTCAGCTTGGAGGATGAAGGTCAGAGGATGGCAGTGAGAAGAAGAGAACATACGTGCTGTAGTCTCTGAAGGATGGTTGCCTCGCGGAGATATAGTTCAACCTTCTCTCGGAACACCTGCTTTACGGGCTTATCGAGTATTTTCGCCTCCTTCAAGCGTTCCAGCTTCCGCTTAACGGCCAGAAGGTCGACGATCTTGCAAGCGAATTGCTGCCCAGTGTTTCTCTTGAACGCCATGAAAACCTGCCCGTAGGAACCGGAACCGAGTTTCTGCCTCGTCACAATGTAGTCATTTGCAAAGGCCTATCCCACAACGATCAGATAAAGATTCACACGGAAGAGAGAAGTAACACACTCTCATCTCAACGGCCTGCCTCGCAGTAAAGCACTTCGCCTGCGAATGGTCCTCAGAGTTATACTTCAGATACACCGTATCCGAAAGACGGAGGATATCTCCATCGCTAAGCAGAAAGCTGCTGCGCCCATTTCCCATTCTGTACCCGTTCCAAAGTGTGCCGTTCATCGAGATATCTTGAGCGTACACCAACGGTGCGACTTCTCCGGGGTTCTCCTGGTCGAAGATGACGGTATAGATCCATAGGTGCTTATTCGAAACGAATGGGTCTTCGACGGCGTACTGACTATTTTCCGACAAATTAGGTAGAGGTTCTGTCAACATTGAGGTGAGGGTGCACAGGGGTAACATAACGCACCATCGTCGCGGATCCCGGCCGACATAGATCTCCTTGCGGCTGTATATTGCCATGGGATGGGAGGTGTCTCCCGTGGTCGGATTCCATCTGCAGATCGTTCCAACATAAATGCCTGAGTTGAAGATTATAGGGTGCGAGAGGGACATGGTGAAGTTTAATGAGCGTTTGATAAGGGAAAAAGTTGGTCTCGAATGAGCGTCAGTGTTATTAAAGGTGAAAAGGAGCTCAGGGACAGTGATCATGCTCTTGTTTTTGCGGGTCGCAAGATCAGCGATTCTCTCAGCAGCGGCGATATGGCCTTCCTGGTGAAAGAGTAGCTCAGGTGAAGTGCGTAAGCATCAAGCGAGAGACATAGCAACTAAAAACTAAGATGCTGGTTTGTTGAATCTAATGATGGGTGTTGGTGGGAAAGCGAGGGTCAAAGACTTAAAATGAACAGAGCCACTACCCTATTGCCTCAACAAGGAAATTATCACCTAAGACCTACTATATTAGCCAAATACTATTCTACTAGTAGGTGCTTTGATTACAGTTTAAGCTCCTAAGTAGCAGAAAGATCTAAGATATCCTCTTTCATGCATAATACCATAGTTTGAACCTGATAGAGGTTTAATATGTAGCCCCTATGATAAGTTTACGTAGTGACAGAGAAAATGCAATAGGAAGAAACGGACAGACAGGAACATAATATCTGTTTTTAAGTGCTCCTCAATAGAGCTTCATCCTGAGCTTAGGATAGTTTTGTTATTTTCTACGTACTAGGCTTAGATAACTGTAGGTGCTTGAGTGACTACCTGAGTGACTGCTTTAGTGACAGAGCATGGTGAAAGCTTCTAAGGGCTTGAAAAGCCACAGAGGTTTATGCATCTCAACCTTGAGCCTAGGTATAGGTAATCTTTATCTTCTAAGTACATATCCAAAAAAATGCCAGAGTGCTACTATCGATTCTCCTGTGCGCGCCGAATGCGCTCCTCAGCAGCCCTAGCACGACGCTCCCTCTCCAACCGCATCCTCATCTCTGGCGTCATCCCCCGCATCTCTTCTTCCCTCTTCTCCTGCGCAGTCTTCTCTACACCTGCCACCCCTCCCAGAACACGACCGCCCCTCCTCGACGCCTGTAGTACGGCCTGTTCGGCCTCCTCCTTCCGCAGACGCTCCAACTCGGTCTTGCGCCGTGTTGACTCTTCCTCCTCGGCGGTCTGCCGTTCTCGTTGTGAGCGGCTGCCGGCGTCGGACTTGGATATGGGTGATGGGACTTTGGCGGCTTCCCAGTCCCATTCTGTTTCGCCGAGCTCGTGGCGTGCTACACGGAAGGCATCGCGGGTGGCGCGGTCTCCTGCGAGCTCGAAGGGCATTCTTCCTTCGCTGTTCGCGAATGTGGGGTCGGCGTTGGCTTTTGTGAGAAGAGCCGTGACCACGGCGGGGGAATTAAGGTTGGCGGCGAGATGAAGAGGTGTAGGGCATCGGAAGTTTTGTTGGATATCAGAAGGCTGGAATGTGAAGGATGAGGGTATTGAGTTCTTAGTGAGATAGGACAGTAGGGCGGGAACCTTTGAGCGGCGGATGAGGGCCTGTATCTGCGTGGTGTGCATGATAACCGCCTCTTCCTCCTTTGAGAGCTTTGGCTTTTGCTGAGGTTTGGGGGTTGAGGGTTTCGGAGGCTCCTCTCGCTGCTTGGTCTCGGCCGCAGCAAGGGCGGCTTCATCTATCTGGCTAACCTTCACGCGAGTGAGTTCTTTGAAACACCTCATCAGCTCGCTCTGGGTAGCACGACGAGTGCTGAACGGGAAGCCCCTCAATCGCGGGTCGTTCTGCTTCAAGACCTGACCCTCATGTTGGCCGAACAGAATCCGTCGATTCGTAGTTCCTGCAGCGCGAACAAAGAGCAGTTGAGCGTCGTCAATCATGTGCCTCCAGTCCTGTAACAGCTCCCTAATCTCCTTCTCCAACGCAGCCTCGTTGTATCGTCGAAGACTCGAGCCCGCGGAATGTGCCGCACCCTTTGACGCATCATTGGCAGATTGTGAACCACCCTGTTTCCGCCTCGTCGTATATCTGTGAAAAGTTTTGTGTGCAATCACGCGAGCCTGTCTCTCTTCGATACCACCCTGTCTCCGATGAATCTCAGGCGCAAGCGACACAAGCATTGCCGCAAAGTGTCCACCACCGATCATACACATGAAGATATGCGGACTCACAGAGGGCAACTTCCCCTCCTCCTTCTTCTGCGGATTCACCGGGACAAGCTGCTTCTTCCTCAGAGAGTCCGCAAGATATCTCGCCTCCTCCTGCTCGGCATTCGTAAACAGCGCCCTGTAAACACCCAGCGACACATTCTCAGGCAGACCGGGGTTCGAAAACCAGAGCAGCGGAAGCTTCCCAGTACTCCTCGGTGTCGAATCCCCCGCTTCGCCCGCGACCTGCGAGATCCTAGCCTGTCTTTTCAACAGAGCAGTGAGCTGGTCTCCCGTCTCTTCATCTTCCTCCGTATCCGAAGACTCCGACCCTGAGATCGACTCGTCCAGCTCGCCCACGGCTTTTGTAAACTGCGCTTCGTCTAAGACAGGGTTCCCGCGCAGTTGGGCTCGCAGGTTATACTTGTGGTGGTCGCCCCGCACATGCTCGCGCTGCTCTGAGACGTTCGCAAAGCTTACCCCGCAGAGGGCACAGCTTGTGGATGTTGCAATCGCATACTCTTGCGCGTCATCGGGCGAATTGGATTTGCTTTGAGTGGATTCGGAGTTGTCGTTTACAGCGATGAGTTGGTCCTCCCCGCGGAGGGCGAGCGATGTGAGGATTTCTTGTGGGAGGTCGTACACTGAGTTGCGGGGTTGGTTAGCAAGCACTGTCTCCAGAGGGAAAACACCACTGAGTGTGGGCGCACCAAAGAAATGTAGACTTACCATATAGCGGCCTTTTTAAGAGCTCTTCCACGCGATTTTCAGCGGCCATCGCAACACCTTGAAGCGTGGGATATGAAAGGGAGAGCAGCCGTGGAACGATGACGGAATGGATCAGATGGGGCCCCTCCAAATAGAAAATGTCACCGCCTGGGCTCGAGTGGGGTCTTCTTTGTCGCAGACCACTTTCTGGGTTTCCCTTTTCCAATTTATCACAGGGCTAAATGAGTCTGTACTCTTGCGCGGCTTTTAACTGAATCTGGACAGGAATGGAGAGTGTGGCTTGGTTGTAGATGGGCGGTGCCTCTTGAGTCAGATGTCTCATCCTGACTCATGGCGAGCCATGCGGCCCTGGGCTGTGCCTGTTGACCAGAGGAGTTTATCCGTACGTCTGTGTACCTGGACGATGCAACGGTCTACGATCTACAATATTCGAGACCGTTCGCTTTGAGGAGATTGCTCTTGGCAAGATCTGTTGTCGCCGCTGCGTCTGGCATCAGTATGATTTGTGCCCAGAATCCCTGTTAAGCTAACAGACTAGTTCTTAACAATATACACTGGCAACCATGCAACCGAATTGATACGATCACTCGTCATTATCCAGCGTGTGTGTTTGTGCAACCCTTCCTGCAGTGGTGCTTAGCGGGCACCAGACCCATCGTGCGGAGAATCCTATCCTGCGTCTGCCAAATTTTCTCTCGGTTCTGGAGGAATTCAGAACGCCTGTAAAGCCTTCGAATATCTCGGTACAGCATATACCAGTTCGTCTTGTCCAGCAGTGGTTTGGACAATGTCCACTCAACTAGGTGCTTATCCACATCAATCGAATGCGAAAGCACAACTCTCTCCTTGGATCCGGGATCAGGTTCGTATCCTTCCTTTTCGTTTTGCAGTATATCGTCATAAGTCACCGTGGCCCAAAAATAAGGCGGATCGTCGCTCCAAATCTCCCATATCCATGGCATATCCCGGCAGAGAAGCCGGTACCAGAAGAAGATGGGAATGTAATCGAATGATCGGGACGCTAGGCGCAAAGACGCGATGTCTTCCGGTCGAAGATGTTCCAAAAGCGAAAGCCGCAATTCCTGCGGAAGTTTGGAAAAACAGTCCCTAGTGGTATCGCGGCGTATCTTGAAGGGAGTGTCATCAACACTGAATGACAGATCTGTGGCCGTTGCCCTTTCGAATAGCGGGCGTAGATCTGAGACGGAAAATGGGTTCGTGGTTATATATCCGCCTTCCCCGCGTATGGACTTTTCCTCTGAGTGGAAAAATTTCTCCATGAGCCATTCGATAGCTTCATGGGGGGGATTCAGGAACATCCAGACAAGCTCATTAATAGGGAGATAATTGAGTCGGAAGCGGCACTGTTGGAGGAACATGCCAAGGCACCATGGATGAAAAGGTATCCCATCGCTTGAATCCCATCTGGTCTATATATCCTTAGTTGTGAGTTCTCTGTAGGGTACAAGAAGCAAACCTCAAGGAAAGGACATTTAGGCTCGATTGCAAGCTTCCCATGGCGAACAGGTAAAGATGGTGTTGGAGCTTCGCGGCCGAACATGCCATTGCAAACACCGGTAAGATAGTAGTTGCTTGAGCGCTCTATCTCATGATCGTCTGGTTCAGGTTCCCAGTCGCCCGGCTTAAGGACGAGGCTCTGGACCGTCTGAGCAGCCTTCATTTCTTCCTTTGAGAAGCGATAGCCGGAGGAACCCGCCCTGGACTTGCAGCCCTGCGCTCCAATATGCTCCAGGCCATCCCCCACGATACCAATCTGGTCCTTCTTTTCCTTGTGGTCTGGAATCATTGGGAGTCGCTGTCCGGCGGTAGGGAATTCGCCCTTATTCAAATCGAAGAGGTCGAAGAAGTAATATCCATTGCTAGCCTCACCTGGCTCATCCACCCCTCGCCTCATGAATAGTGTACTTCGAACGATGTAAAAACATCCTGTTTTCTCAGTCGAGCATAGGCCGAGGTCATCTTTCATCGCAGATACATAATCACCGTGAGTCACTTCCTCGGCTTCTTCGGGCGTCCTGATTCGATATACATGGATGCTCTCGCCGCATAGACAACAAAGGGTCTAATACGAAGGAACTCAGCGACAGTATTATGCAGCCTTTGACGAACCTACCTTCTCATATACGGGGTCTGCCAGTCAAACAGTTAGTACATATTCAAGGAAGTGATTATGCTGGATGTTTACTCATATCTTATGAACCCACGAGCGTTCGATGTTACCAAGGCGGCGGCGCAGAGTGAGGATTTGAGGAGAGCAGGAAAAGAAAACCCCGGTGACCAAAGCGTGAACATTATTGGGCGCATGGTAGATACGAACATGTGACCACTTTTTGGGTGTTCTTGCATAGAGTTTCAGACACGGGAAACGAAAATACGAGGACAACACTCATGTCTTCAAATCTTCTTCACACTTTGCTTCAGGGAGGTCCAATGCCTTAAGTGCCCTAATTAGTAGAAGTTGGTAGTCCATGATCCCAAGCTAGAATGCCAGCTCGTTTTGCAATTACCCCTCCGTCTGCCTTGGCCTAGAGTAACTCTTTCTTACAACGTGTCCAGCGTGACAATTGACTGGCACTTAGCTTTATCGAAATACGGGGTGCGCTCAAGGTCGTCAAGCTATCAGCAGGATATGGCGCATTGGTAGCGAAGCAGCGCCTATTTTGACGAAATGGGACCGAGAGCTTGCACTGGGCAAAGCCACTACTATTCCCTTGGGAGCTTGGTCTGATGTGCAAAATTAATCACCCTCATTTGGATAATAATATGCTTAGTCCAATTGTTAAACTCCTGGTCAGTGTTTGTCTGCATGCCAGCACTCACTTCAAGGCATTAACAGAGTACCTTGTAGTACAGCATTGACAACAAAGTAGGATGGTTCCCAAAGGTGATTGGGCTCGGTGCTACCTATTCAAGTAATAGTACTCGAAAGTAGTCGGATTTCGGTCCATGCGAGTAATCGCAAGGCTGCTGCAGGGTTTATCACACCTGTGGGGCGTTATTCAAAGATATATAGATAACCCAGTTCAATCTTCAATGAATTCTGAGAGCGTCCGACCCGATGACCTCGAGGGTACGACGTGGGTGTGGCGACTGATGAGCTTCCCAAGTTGTAGCAATACGACTCCCTCAACAACTGGCATCAAAACAGAAGTAGATTTCTCGGTGGATCTTCGGCAGTCAAGCGGGCAAACGCACGGAGCAATTGTGGTTACATCATCGTTTGGTCAACGAAGATGTTTTCCTGGTGCAGTCGGCCTCGCACAGCAGGAGAGTGTGCGCAAAGGAGACACGTCTGTCGGGAACTGAATGCGGACTAGTCTCGATAGCAAAAGCTCGTATACCTTGACTCACAAGGATTGGCCGTTGTTATCGTTAAGGTCGACGCCAAGAACATCGCAGGATCCTTGCTCCGCAAGTCCGCAGCGGTGAGGTCGAGCCTCGAGGAGAACGGACGACTGCATAATCTTCTCCGAGCGTTCGAATGCGAATCTAGGTTATCACCTGAGGGAACAGGCAGAAGCAGACTGTGACACATAATCTCGTCAGCGCGAGAGTCTCCACGACGAAATCGGAAAAGACGACCGAGAGAGTAGGTCAAGACCGACGACCCCGGGGATAGCGGGCTTACCAATCCGCAAACGATTGAAGCTTTGCCTATCTTCCCTTAGTAAGCATCTGCAAGTGGTCAGCCTCTGGTTGGAGACTCTCCGGACTCGCCTACATCTCTTCTTTTTCTCTATCGCGATTCTTCTTGTTTCTGCACGGCCGTTCCTTTACCTTCTTCTCTGTGCGTCCGGAAGGACAGAGGAATTCGAGGTTTGGGTTACACATTCCGGGGAAAAATGCTGGACGACAGCTCTCAGTCGGTTCTCGGGGAGATCTCCCCAGGATCCCTGTCGCCTATTGCATTCCAATCCGCAAACTCACGGCCTTTCTGCGGCGACATCGAAGGTTGGGGCCCTCTGAGCAGCCTGCGATTCGATTTGACGCCATGCTTTCTGGACCTGGGAGTCTCGTTCGTTGCGGTATTCGGTTTGCTGCTGGGAAGCGGCGCGCTTTGGTTCCTCTTGAAAAAGCGCATACCGCAGCCAGTCTCCAAGAATTGGCATTTCTACGCTAAGCTGGTCAGTATACGCTCCAGTCGTAATCGAAGCTGTCACTAATGTTATCTTGATATTCAACACATAGGCCGTTCTATCCGCTTTACTGTTTACCACCGCTCTACAAGCTGCCCTTCAAGTTGAGTCCTACACCGATTGGTTCGCCGACTTCCGGTTCTGGAGTTCTGTCCTTATTTTCGCTTCGTTGGGAGTCATATTCGCCGTACAATACTATGAACACTGGCGCAGCAGGCAGCCAAACGGGGTTGTACTCTTCTACTGGGTATTCTTCATCATCGCATATGCCGTCAAATTACGTTCTCTTGTCGCTCGACACGCCTACAAGGATCGTCTCCCGTATTTTATCTGCTTCAACGTGAGTTTGGGACTCTCGATATTGGAGTTTGCGCTGGAGTACTTGGTCCCGAAAAAGCAGAGCGCCTACGATGCCCTTGGGGACGAAGACGAATGTCCGTACGAATATGCCGATATCTTCTCGGTCCTCACTTTTAGCTGGATGACACCTTTGATGAAGTTTGGGTACAAGAACTTTTTGACCCAGGATGACCTGTGGAATCTTCGCCGACGAGACACCACTCGCGCCACCGGTGAGACGTTGGAAGCGAACTGGGAGCATGAGTTGAAAAAGAAGAAGCCTTCCCTTTGGATGGCGATGTTCAAATCGTATGGAGGTCCTTATCTTCGTGGGGCAATCATCAAATGTGGAAGTGACATCCTCGCCTTCACCCAGCCACAGCTTCTGAGACTTCTGATTAATTTCATCAAGTCGTACGAAACCAGTGAGCCTGACCCGGCCATAAGGGGAGTCGCAATTTCTCTTGCGATGTTCTTAGTTTCTGTAACCCAAACGTCGTGTCTTCACCAGTACTTCCAGCGTGCTTTTGACTGTGGAATGCGTGTCAAGTCTGGTCTGACTGCCATGATTTATGCCAAGGCTTTGAGGCTCTCCAGCGAGGGCCGCGCTGCGAAAACCACCGGCGATATCGTCAATCACATGGCCGTGGATCAGCAGAGGCTGTCTGACTTGACTCAATTTGGTACGCAACTGTGGTCTGCTCCGTTTCAGATCACCCTATGCATGGTTTCGCTTTATCAACTTGTCGGAGTCAGCATGTTTGCTGGAATTGCTGTCATGATCCTAATGATCCCGCTCAACGGTGTCATTGCTCGAGTGATGAAGAAGCTTCAACTTATTCAAATGAAGAACAAGGACTCGAGATCCAGGCTGATGACTGAAATTCTGAACAATATCAAGAGCATCAAACTTTACGCTTGGAACACCGCCTTTATGAACAAGCTGAGCCACATTCGTAATGACTTGGAATTGAACACCCTCCGCAAGATCGGCGCGACTCAATCAATCGCAAACTTCACCTGGCAGTCGACCCCATTCCTGGTGTCCTGTTCATGTTTTACGGTTTTTGTACTGATTGAGGACCGACCACTAACTACGGCAATCGTTTTCCCCGCTCTAACCCTCTTCAACTTACTCACGTTCCCTCTGGCGATGCTTCCCATGGTCATCACATCTATCATAGAGGCCTCTGTCGCTGTTACACGTTTGACAGACTACTTTATGGCCGAAGAGCTGCAATCTGATGCTGTCAAGTTTGAAGACTCAGTCACTCATATTGGCGACGAGTCTGTCAGAATCCGCGATGCGTCCTTCTCTTGGAACAGGTACAAAGACGAGCTGGTGCTGGAGAACATCGACCTCAGTTGTCGCAAGGGAGAGCTCAGCTGCATCGTTGGACGCGTTGGCTCCGGAAAGTCGTCTCTTCTCCAGGCACTTCTCGGCGATCTCTGGAAAACTGAAGGTGAAGTCGTTGTCCGCGGCCGCATTGCTTATGTCGCACAGTCCGCTTGGGTGATGAACGCTAGTGTACGGGAGAACATTGTCTTCGGCCATCGCTGGGATCCCCAGTTCTATGACCTGACCGTCGAGGCGTGTGCTTTAATTGACGACTTCAAGAATCTACCCGATGGCGATCAGACGGAGGTTGGGGAGCGAGGTATCTCTCTATCGGGGGGGCAAAAGGCTCGATTAACGCTCGCCAGAGCTGTATACGCCCGTGCTGATATTTATCTCCTTGATGATGTTCTTTCCGCAGTTGACCAACACGTCGGTCGTCATCTCATTAATCGGGTGCTTGGCCGAAACGGTATCCTCAATAGCAAGACAAGAATCCTTGCTACCAACGCCATCCCTGTCCTGAAGGAGTCCGATTTCATTGGCCTCCTTCGCGACAAGACTCTGATCGAGAAAGGAACCTATGAGCAATTGATGGCTATGAAGGGTGAAGTTTTCAACCTCATTCGTACTACCATGAACGAGTCTGACGATGATGGCTCTGGTGCCGAAAGCCGCGGGCTCGCTAGCCCAGAGAGCTCGGAATCTGCTACCATGATCGAGACTCTGGGTGACTCCGACCTTTCCGATTCTGATGAAGCCGAACAGCAAATTGGCTCTCTGGCTCCGATCAAGGCCTCTGGGCCCCGTAGGACCAGTACCGTCACTTTACGACGCGCTAGCACCGTCAGCTGGCAAGGTCCTAGGCGTAAGCTGGGAGATGAAGAGAATATCATCAAGAGCAAACAAACTCAGGAAGTTTCCCAACAAGGCAAGGTCAAGTGGAGCGTTTATGGCGAGTACGCGAAGAACAGCAATCTGATTGCTGTTGGTGTCTACCTGGTCACTCTTGTGGGCGCGCAGACTGCGCAAGTTGCTGGCAGTTACTGGCTCAAGTATTGGACTGACGAAAGTGAAAAAACTCAGTCGGCCTCGAATTCTGGCAAATTTATTGGTGTATACCTGGCCTTTGGAGTTGGATCGTCCCTGTTGGTTATACTTCAAAATCTTATCCTGTGGATCTTCTGCTCAATTGAGGTACGTTGTCATTTCAAACTCTCTGAACTGTTCTGACCGATTAGGCCTCTCGCAAACTACACGAACGGATGGCCTTTTCTATCTTCCGCTCTCCGATGCGCTTCTTCGAGACAACCCCATCGGGACGAATCCTCAATCGGTTCTCCAGGTAAGCACCGATCTTTGGATCAGGGCCTCATCCAACTCTAACGTGAACCAGTGATATTTATCGTATTGATGAGGTTCTTGCCCGAACATTTAATATGCTTTTTGGAAACGCGGCCAAAACAATCTTCACGTTGCTTGTCATTGCTTCCTCGACCCCTCCTTTCTTGATTCTGGTCATTCCTTTGGGCTGGGTTTATCTGAATTATCAAAAATACTACCTCCGCACGTCTCGTGAATTGAAACGGCTTGATAGTGTCACGCGAAGCCCGATCTATGCACACTTCCAAGAGTCTCTTGGTGGCATTTCAACAATCCGCGCGTACCGGCAAGAGGAAAGGTTCAGCTTGGAGAGTGAGTGGCGTATGGACGCAAACCTGCGTGCCTACTTCCCGTCCATCAGTGCCAACAGATGGTTGGCCGTGCGTCTCGAGTTCATCGGGTCCGTCATCATTCTAGCAGCTGCGCTACTTTCGATCATCGCTGTCGCGACTGGCACCAAGATTTCCGCCGGCAGTGTCGGTTTGGCGATGTCCTATGCCCTCCAGATTACCCAGTCGCTCAACTGGATCGTCCGACAGACCGTCGAAGTTGAGACCAATATCGTGTCTGTTGAGCGTGTCCTCGAATACGCAAGCCTTCCGAGTGAAGCGCCCGAGGTTATATTCAAGAACCGTCCCGCCATCGGGTGGCCGGCTCAGGGTGCGGTTTCATTCCAGAACTACAGCACGCGCTACCGCGAGGGACTTGACCTTGTGCTCAAGGATGTCAGTCTTGACATCAAGCCGCGTGAGAAGATTGGCGTCGTCGGTCGTACGGGTGCCGGAAAGAGCTCGCTCACTCTCGCACTGTTCCGTATCATTGAGCCTGTCAGTGGAGGAATCAGCATTGACAATGTGGACGTTACCAAGATCGGTCTCTTCGATCTACGTGGACGTCTCGCTATCATTCCTCAAGACCCTGCCATGTTTGAGGGTACTGTTCGAGACAACCTCGACCCTCGCCATGCGCACGATGATACTGAACTGTGGAGCGTTCTTGGTACGTTGACCTGGGAACGTGATTCATGCACTTCTTACTGACTTGACGCAGAGCACGCGCGACTAAAGGCCCACGTCTCACAGATGGAGGGCCAGCTGGATGCACAAATCCAAGAAGGAGGTAAGAACCTACTTTATCCCTTGCGTCGCGCTTGAATTAACGACAATACAGGATCGAACCTAAGCCAGGGCCAACGCCAACTGGTTTCTCTCGCCCGAGCGCTCCTAACGCCCAGTAATATTCTCGTCCTTGACGAAGCGACGGTGAGTATCTTTTACCACCTTCACCGTTTCTTTCTTCCCCGCGATCATGCAGAGTCTAACATGCGCAGGCCGCCGTCGACGTGGAAACGGACGCCCTCCTGCAACGCACACTTCGCAGCGACATCTTTTCAGACCGCACAATCATCACAATCGCCCACCGCATCAACACAATCATTGATTCCGACCGCATCGTTGTCCTCGACAAGGGCCGCGTCGCGGAATTCGACACTCCCGCTGCGCTTATCAAGGAACGCGGCAAGTTTTACGAACTTGTCAAGGAGGCCGGGCTGCTTGACAGTGACGGCAACGCGATTAATGTACAATGACCTCGCACTCCTACTATACTAAACTCTCGCCTGTTTCGGCCTGCATAGTTTCAGCCAGGTCTACGGGATCTGGACCGGTGAGGTGCAGCAGACGAGGCGAGATGGAGAGAGAGGAGAAGAGAAGGAACAGAACGGAAAAGAGATTAATATAAAAGTTGGTGTTTGCTCAAACTGATTGGGTAGTCTGGCGTTGATCTGGTTTTCTCACATCACTCGGAAGACAAATTTACTACCTGTATATAGCTGAGCCTCGTCCAGGCCCCAACGAACCTCAAAGTATATTTCAAGCCAGCTAGTTGCGATGAGAATTGCACATATCTTCCTTACCTTCACAAGCTGGCAAAATGATCATATGTAGTAGGACACGAGTCAACACCAAACTCCCTCTTCTCTCCACGAACCCCAGCCTCCAAAATCCGATCCCAGTCCTGAATAGCGGTGTAGCTCAGCACCTACCTCAGCAGCTGCTCACCCCATCTCTGCATCAAACTGCATGTTTGCATGCACGAGACAGAAAATTCAAAAAAGCCAATGACGCAGTAGAGCAGCAGCTTCATACTCTTGTCTCACAGTAGTCATCTTAACATCGCTCAATATTAATATATTTTATGATATATACCAGGAGCTACAGCGTTATAGCACTCTTGGATTTGGGGGTTCACCGACTTATTGTCCTCAAAGGAACATCCAAGGAATGAAGGACCGATGGAAGGATTAATGAAGATCATCGGCCAGTCCGTGTGTAGTGTAGCTACTGTACTGCAAGCCAGGGTCTGCGCCGTCATCATCGTCGTCTATCTAGGCACGCATAGAAACTGTTCCTTCGAGCATACAGATTTCGAGCCAGGGATGTCCTTGTAGATAGCCCGTACTAACAGATAAACGGAGTTAATAATAGGATAACCGAGCTCTCGCCCGCCCGTATGCACAGGTACAGACTGTTGATGTCCAGCTCCCATGAGTTCAGCTCAGCTCGGCTCCGAAGGCGGGGTTGGGAATCTGCGTCTGCAGATTCTTGCTGTGCAGCCTCAGCCACGGAGGCGAAGCGGAGCGACAGCTTTGAGAGTTTGAACCGAGACGAAGGAAAGCCTTGCGTTGTGTTGCCACGATCGAATTTAATCTAAATTGTGCTGGGATGTCCTTGTATACTTCGGTGTCGGGATTGAGGCTGGGCGCGCTGGCTCGCGAGGGCTCAAAGGAACGATAACGATGGATTGACGATAAGCTCGGTAACGATTACGATAGAGGTTGTGATTACCCAAGTGTCTGTGAGTTGGCTCTTATCGGCTCTGCGATTGGTGAGGATGGGATCGGATTATTATTGGGGAGTGATGAAGAGAGCTGAAGAGGCCTGCAGGCGGGCTCTGATTGAGCGAGGCCGCGAGGGGACGCAGTGGTAAGCTAAGCGAGAAAAGCAGGGCCCATGCAGTGCTCAGTGCACAGAAGTCCCATATTATTCTCCTACTGGCGAGCTCATTAATTTGGTTGCGGAGTGCGCAATACGACTCTCAAACTTGGTAAGGAGGAGCCTGAAGACCACAACTCGATACTTTGAGAGTTAGTTCCGCTGTTTGATGCTGAATGCTGCCTGGCTGCTCGAGCGGAGCTGGACCTCGGCCCTTGTGTTTACCGGCAGGAACGGAGTGCCTTTTTTCCTTCCTTCTCGATGTTTCTGAATCATCGATCCTCTCGACCGAGATCGCTTTGATCCTCACTAAGCGCGCTCGGTCTACATACGGTATCCCGGTCCCCGGGTCTTATCGAGATCCAACCCACCAGGCCTTCTCGCACTAAGTTCACTAACAGACCAACAAAGAGTGCACACACACCGGGATCGACGCCCGCCCACTCATATTGAGTTCAACTTTGTTGGAGAAGGTTGGAGCTGGATTCCGCTGTGGGTTATCCAGACTTGGGACTAAAGCAGTGGGTCCGATGGGAGGAGATCTGGATCTGAAGGATTCAAGGTGCGAACGTTCTTCCTGAAACTTCGACGAGTTCCAAATTAACACTCTGCCTGTGCCCGTTTCAGCGATGTGCAGGGAGAGGTTCGTCATCGCTCCTCAAGTACGGAATTTAGGTTCAGGTCTGTGGTTCTTGTTCCTGCACTCGGGCTGAACGCGACATACACCGTGCGTTCTTGTTTTTAAGGCTTGAGCGGGGAGAGGGAATTCCCCGAGGCGACTTATCTCCACTTAGACTTGGATTTTCAGACTCCCTGCTGGGCTTGTTCAAACACATAGATAGAAGACAAGGTACAGGCATATCCAAGCAGCTTTGGCTTCGTACTGTTGTTATCAGTAACTTGTCGAGCATTGTTGGCGGGTCTTGCCATACTGTGGCTGCTCATACACATGTCATAGCAAAAAAAAACATTGCCAGGGTATTAGTTGGCTGATAGACTATGTCATAGCCTCCGAGCGATATCTTTCGTTTTGCGATTCTGCACACAAAGTACGGGGCTTCAAGAAAATGCCCAGAACGGCTCCTCAGATGAGCTGCTCATCGTCTTAGTCGATTAGCCTTATTTCACAAGGTTTAACATAAACCTCAATCGACTAGGATGCTCCCAGACTGCAACTGGAGTTAGTGATCTCTCGTCGAGGACAGATCGAGATAACATCTCGCATCGAAATGTAGATCTCGTCGCCAATTCAGGATCTACTCCATGATCCGCGCGATGCAATTCTGCAACCCACGGGAAACTAGCCATGATGGGATATGTCTCCGATCCAGGTTCTAGATTTCCATCTCCTGCTGCATCAGGATTCGCCGCTGAAGGCCCGAGCACTGTTTTCATACTGACATCCTTGCTCCTGCTCTGCATGGGACTTTCGAGTCCAGGAAGTCAGAGTAGCTATCGATGGACCGACGAGACTGGGGCCATTTGATGGAGCAATGGTGGTATGGGGATCTGGGGCGAAGTGGTTTGCCACAAATCACGGCGCTATGGCAATATGATGGCGCCGCCCTGATCTGAAACATATGCAAGATATAGGATACGTCGAGTGTCCGCCGCAAGGTCATGGTACTTTGTATTCTGCCATATGCCTAGTTTGAACCACGGCCATTCGTTCCTGAGCTGACAAGGATGGTCTCAGTTGTTGCCTTCATATCCTGCTGCGTTCCAAGCTCCGTCAGGACTCTTCGGAAGCCTATTGACTCTGGGAAAACTGAGGACATGTCAGTGTCTCCCCTGAGGTGGCTTGCCAGGCCCGTCGGAAAACTTCCACGCGTGCAGGTTCCTACCCTTTCTGGAACAACGCTGCAGGCAGGATCAAACTCAGCTTCCGCATCGCGTACAACATCCAATCAGAATGGCGACAAACTACTTCCGGCCAGCAAACCGGGAAACCAGAAACAAAGGCCGCGGTGTTATGAACCCGCTATTCCGTGGGGAATTGATGAGATCGACGTCCGCTGTCGAAAGTACACTCAAATCATCAAGGACGAAACCCACATCGAGTTCCTTTCGTTTCGTTCCAGAAATGTCTGATATCATTTGATCAGCAATTGCGTTGAGAAAACGAACTGGATCCTGGATCATCCCTACCTCTTAATTAACTCAACGTTGTAGGATTGGATGGAAAGCCTGACCGCAGTCATAGCACTAGCCACGTTGTTAAGGGGCGGCGCTACACGAAATTAATCGGGCGCTTCCTTGGTCCAGCCAACTGCAAAAACATCACAAAACCCCATCAGATGGATCTCAACCTTACTCAGGCCAGGAGCAAGCTCACCAGTCATTTGGCGCGAGCAGGGATGGAGCGTGTAACTTAGCTCTAAAGCTACTGTGCGGCTGCAGAACTCCCGTCCACGCGAGGCTGGGCGATAGAATTTGACGGAGCTGGGGGCCGCAACGTCTGTGTGTCTGCAGATTTTGAGCGGGGTGATCGCCACTTCTCTCTCGCTTCAGGAAGGTAGAAAAAAGAATTATACTCATCAGAAACTCAAGTGGAGTCTCAAATCCAATGGCTGGAAGCGCATGGCTTCCACGCTGAGAACACATGGGCTGAACCAGTGACTCGCAGTTGGAGCGAGTGGGATGAAGTGAGGGAAAAAACACGATCATCACCAAAGTCAATCGGCGGTTATTATCCAATTGGGTCATCGGGCTTTGCTTTGGACCGGATCTGCATGGTCTAGTAGGGGAACGCAAGGATTACTGCGCTTATTGTCCCAAAGACCATGTAATCGCGCGATTATTAGTGGGTTTTTGGTCAAGTCATTTGTCGTCACTCGCTCGAATGCTCTTCTGAGGCAAGTTTCGACCCCCCACTAGGGGTATGAAAAGCCCTCAGCGTTCCTCGAACACAGGACAGGTCAACTTTAGCACAGGACCACAGGGATCATAGTATGAGAATGCGTCCAAGGTGTCGAGGGTTCGTCATTTCCAGGTTTCACCGTCCGGCTCATCTATCAACCCCGCATTACCCGCAGCTTAGCCAGATGCGCTGGCATTTTCCAAGAACGCTGTACCATGGTTGAGTTCGCGGCGTTCATGATCCATGGCACCATTGATGACTATAACTTTTCTGAGAGCGACGGTACTCCAGATGCTGCCATGATATCTCTCACCAAGAGGGGTGAGCCCGACCACCATAACAGTCTCTTGAGTCAGGAACTCAAAAGTCAGGTTTCATCTCACTCCAAGCTCCAGCCATCAATATCTTCTGTTGCCTGCGGTTGTGTAATACCGCATGCACATTGTACATAGTCCCATCAACTAGTTGCATGTGTAGGGGAGGCCCGGCCCGGCCGCGCGCAACGAACCAGCGACATATGAGCTGTAGAGCGTAAAAACAGAGCTGGGATATCCCGGCTTCGTTGAATCGTTGCAGCGAGAGAAAGTTGACCCACGGGTGAACTCGGTTCGTTCTGTCTATATTCTTCCACAAGCGCAGCACGATGACGTCTGTTCGAACTGAAGGAGCCACGAAAAAGCTCATGTCCTACCGGAGCAGGCAAAGAGAAAGCTTCTGAGCTATCTCGCCAAATGCACACGATGAGATACTATGTACTCTTTGAAGGTTGAAGACCAAAGTACTGTTTCCAAGAGGAGAACGGAGATTATCCGTCCGATGTCCGATCCTAGTGTCGCAGAGCGCTGATACGCAAAGGACGCGCGAAGAACATACATAGAATCGTCTATCTTCTGTGCTGCTCCAAAATCGACAATCGTCTCAACCCATGACGCTCAGGCCGTTGCAGCCTCACTTTCACGATTCCACAATCCACTGCGAGGGCAGATGGTGAAACTATAACTTTGGTTCCATCTTATACACGATCGACAATGATCCCATCCCATATACCCGGTCCTTGGTTCATCTCATCACTGTATGTGGAGGCTAGAAAGTTTCCCCGGAGGCCAATGCAGAAGCGAGGGTGGGGGAGGGCGAAAGTTCAAAAGGACAA